AGAATGAAATATTAGAATGAAATATTAGAATGAAATATTAGAATGAAATATTAGTGAGAAGCAGAAGCGAAATGCAATCAAATTACCAATCAAATTTCAATTTTTTAGCTGATTGACACTCAACCTGTTTGCATAATTCATCCAATTCCTGAGATGTTTTTGATGGAGCTTTACCACCCACAAACGCCGGATTAATAGGACTTCCGTTTTTATTTTCCAACTCAAAGTGATTTTTAGTTTGTTGAAACACAATGGACTCATCTCGAGCATCGCTTGAATGTGCCATCTTCAAGCAGTGGTTGAACTTGCGTAGTTCATATTGTTTAATAAATTCGATAAATTCGTTTTTCTTGAAATCCGATATGTCATTTTTGGAGTATATATCATATTGTAGTGTGGTTTTATTGTGCGAGACAGGAGAAATCTTCAACGAATACCAAGCAGGACCAAACACATTGATTGAAGAGAGAGGAAATAGGATGAATGAAGTGCCAGTAAATATGTCAGTTTTGGATTCTGATTGTGGAGAGCTGACTTTGTTAGTTTCAACCGACGAGCCCCAGCCAAACCATGATTTAGTAGCGGTTGATTGTTGGGTGGATTCGTGTTGCAGTGGGTTATATTGCACTGTGTTTTTGAGGAAATGGTTGATTGACTTGAAATGTGAATCGTTGGACTGGTTGAATGTGAAGTGATCGTTTGAATGGAGATACGCTTTCCAGTTGAAGTCGCCCTCTAGTGTGTAAGAAGTGGTGTACGTATAGTCATTGATATCGAAATCAGCTAGCTTTGACTCAAACGAGTTGAAGAATTGATCAAATGAGTAGATGGGGAGGTTGTTCTCAGCTGATCTATCAAAATTGATGAACACTAGACCCTGGGACGTAACATGAGTATTGATCTTGTATAAACTGTTTTCGGACTTGACAAACCCATCGACGTTGTTGAAGTGAGGCGCTTTGGTGAGTAAGCCATCGGTGTTGTAGGACCAACCATGGTATTTACAACCCAAGATGATGGAAGAACCCTTTTCCTTTCTAATGACAGGATAGGCCCGGTGGCGACAGACGTTGTGGAAGCAGTTGATCTGATTTTGCTTGTTTTTGATTAAAAAAAACTGGATACCAGCCAACGAAAATGAACAATAATCACCAGCTTTTTTCAACTGCGAAGAGTGGGCAATGTAGAGCCATGATTGGTTCAAGATAGCTCTCTTTTCTAGCTCGAATAGTTCTTCAGCAGGAAAGGAGATGGGGGATTCGTCGATGATGGTGTTGGACGAGATGGGCAAGTTGGCTACCTTAGCAGTTGACATTTTGAAAGCACACTCAACAAAACCAATTTTGTTTGTTTTGAGTTGCGTAAACAAGATGGTGGGAGACAAGACAAGAGAGAAAAAGCAGAATATTTATACCACCCTATGTATCCCATCCTATGTATCCCATCCTATGTATCCCATCCTATGTATCCAATAAACATATTCGTTCTGGCAATTTCACGCCATTTGCTGAGATGGAATAAAAGTCAAGTGAGGAAGTTCAATTACCCCAGATAGCTGAACATACCAATGGACCAGATACATGACGATAAAGAGAGTGCCAGTGAAAGGAAAAGTTTCTAAAGAGAGTAATGCAAATTTGATTCGAAGAGCATATAAAATTCCACTCGAAGCAGCCAATTAAAACCAGCAGTTGTGTCAGTGTTGCGATAAAGAATCAGAGATGGAATAAAGATAGAATCAAAGATAGAATCAAAGATAGAGGTTATCTCAGATCCACCTTCTTCTTTCGGCACATGCCACTTTGAGCCACCAATTCCGCTCAGCATGTAAACGGCAGTCGGACGCATCTGTCTGTGCCATGCTGTTGGAATTGCGCACATGCATACCACAGCACGTGTTATGACATGCCGGTTGACTCATCCGTTGTTACCTTACTCCAACCGTACCGTCTCGCTCCGTTCACCGTGGCGAGCCGTGCCAAGGTTATGCTTGGATCTGCCGGTGTGACGGGTCCTTGCTGGTGTTCAGTACTCCGCCTTGCTGTGTCCCCGTGTCACCCCTGTTTCACCGGGTGACTTTGCGGGCGCCTGTTCCGCAGAGCAGCCTCTGTCGCCGCTCGCCCCTCAGCTGGCCGCAACATCGCGGGTTTCTCGATCGGCACTGCGTCCGGATGTGCCCACTGCTATTTTTACCTGCCCGTGCACGAAAAGCGGTGTTTGTTATGCTGTGTTCGGTCCCAGTTTGGTGAAAGCGATTATATTTGCTCTGAATCATCTCGTTGCAAGAGCAGTTTTTTGGCACCTTCTCAACACCACCACAGGCACCACAGCATTTCACCAGCTTGCTCAGCTATATCGAACAGGCACCACACAAGCAACCACTTCACTTCGCAACAGCAACCACCAGGCCCACCAAGGCTGGCGCCACTAGAACGAAGCACACAGTGAGCCAAACAGGATCTTTTCACAGCAGACACTCACCAACAATAGCAAAAAGCAGAGTAAAGAGTAGAGTAAAGAGTAAAGTAAAGAACACAATAAAGAGCACAACAAAGAACACAGCAAAAAGCACAGAAAAGAGTAAAGAGTAAAGAGTAAAGAGTAAAGAAACAATCCTCCCCACTGGCTGGTTTATGCTCTCACTACCCAATTGCAATTTCATAACTTACGTCTTCTGCTCGCAAACTCTATTACCAATTCACGACTATTAGTTCTATGATCATCGCTTCAATAAATGCTTTCAGCCCAGTTAGTTACTTAATTAATTGATCTCGTTAACAAGACTACCAACAGCATATAAGATATTCAAAACAGCAAAATACTTTACTTTTCACCAATCATTCCCAATTCTGAGACATCCCCAATTTTCAATCACCAATTAATCTTGCAATCCAATTGACAATTCAACTGACCATTTACCAAAGCCATTATGTATTGGTTGCCACATCTCCATCATATTTATCACCATATTTATCACCATATCTATCACTATATCTATCACTATATCTATCACCAGCTCACTATATCTTGTTCATTAAATCTTTTATTTTGCTTTCTTTTAATTTCTCACATCCTCTTACCTGTTGATTCAGCCATTGTCAATTCCTATGAGTGTTACAAAAACAATAATGATATCTCTGACCAGCTACTAGAAATACAGTCTCCCAAAATTCAAGCCTATTTTGATACAAATGATTCGAACTATTTATATCTTCGACTCAATTCCTACATAAATCAAAATTACTCCAATTTCACTAATTCTTCATATTATCTAAATAAAAAAAGAAAAAGAGATATAAATAGTCGATCTGGTAATAACGTTGACAGTAATGATTATTCATTTGATGATGACGATGATGATGATACAAATGATATTGATAGTCGTAACTATTCAGCCTTTTATCTTGATAACTATGATAACTATTTATCATCATCAAATGATTCTCTCATTACTGACATAAACTATAACACAAATAAATATACAACTTTACATGTAACAATAGAATTCATGTCTGGTGAAATATTAGAAAGATATCTAAGATTTTGTAATCTATTATCTTTATCAGATCAAAATTATTCTTATTTAATTTATAATAATAACTCGAATTCAAACTTTCAAAAAAAAAAAAAAAATTACTTTAGTCCTAATAATGTGACCACTTCCAACCTCAATTTATATAACCAAATCACTGAAAACGACGAGGATTATGATGATCAATATAATAAAAATATCAAAAAATTTTTTCCTCCCTTTTATGAATCTCAAACTATTACCCCCAATTTCACTGCTTTAACTCACAAAAATTTCACTTTTTCAAACGTTTGTCCTCTAAATTCTTCTAATCGTTTTGTAATAAATTATTTAGAAGACTTGTCTTCTTTTAGCAAAATTGGCTCATATTCAATTAGGTTATCAACTCTAAGTAACGATAAAACCTCTAAAATTTTGGGCTGTTCAAAAACAATCGTTACCCCAGTTTTACCAACTTATATCACCCATTCAATTACAATCATTACAATAATCTTACTATTATTAATTATTTTTTTCAACTATTTCACTCTCTTTCTATCTCCATATCAAGAGTCTTCAAACCCTTTCTTACTACTACCTTCTACCATTTGTAATGAGTCTCTACTAATCCAACTAGCTCCAATGTTTTCAGATTTATTAAATTATTACCAATTCATCTACTTCAATGGCGCCTTAAGCTTAGACTACCCAGGCTTTTATCAACCTTTACTACTATCTTTAAATTGGTGTGTATTATCCTTTTATAACTTTTTCACAAATACCTATACTAGCGATTATTATAAAAATGATAACATTTATTTAAACTCTTCCAATTTTAATATTCTATTAAATCCCTTTACTATTAATGATCAATGGAAAAATTTCATTCTCTTTCTAGTAGGCCTAATTTTAGCTTTTTTTGCAATTTATCAATTCTTAATTCTATTGCTAAGATTATTCAGAACAAAGAACATTGATGATTACACTATAAAACCTAAAAAAAGATTTCTTTTTTTTAAAAAAACTCACAAAAAGACTCAAAGTAGAGAATCTTTCATGAAAAAACATAATAAAAGATCTTCAATAAACTCTCAGAATACCACTCAAAGTGAACTATTTACTCAAGAATCTTTATCAAAATTTTGGTTCAAAAATATTTATTTAGGTCTAGGTGTTGGCTTTAGAATGTTTTTCATTTATTTTGCCTCTCCCTTTTTAATACTTAGTTTATACCAATTCTATAATTATATTGATGTTAAATTAAATTATTATGATTTTCCCCGTCCCAGTCACCTAAATCCTCCAAACTCTTTGGCTTTGAGTCTTGTTGGTTTCATAATGGTAATTCTTTGGCTTTTCATCATTATCTATTTTAATTCAAAATATATTCTATACAAAAAAAACTATTATCAAAGAAAAATTTACTCTTCTTTAAGAATTATCTTAATTTATGGCTTAATTTATAATTCATATAAGCCTAACAAATTATATTTTGTTCCTTTTCAATCCCTTTTATATTTTTCTAAATCTTTGGTTATCGCTGTTATTCAAAAATCTGGGTTGGCTCAAATTGTACTATTGGCTCTATTGGAGATCCTAGATTTATTTTCAATCTTAATCATCCAACCAAATTATGCTAAAACTGGTAAAAACAAAAATTCTATTCTAATGAGTATTTTCAAAATTGTTGTTCTTTGTTTTAATGTGGCATTTTTAAGTCAATTAGATATTTCTGAAAGAATCAAATCTTATATTGCCTTCACTCAGTTAGTCTTGCATGCTTTGTTAATCTTAATAACATTTGCAAGAGCAATTTTTTGTTTCGTCAAAGTATTGAGCTCAATGCGTAAACAGAGGAAAGGCATATTATATGTTGGAAATGATGATCAAAATAAAGATATCAATTACACAAATAGCGATTCTTACATATCCAATAGAATAAGCAGAAGTATTGATATTGAAGAAAAAGCATTAAATAATACCTCTCATCAGGGAAGTGTATTGTTTAGAAATAGCAGCTCCATGCTAAATGAATTGTATCCGACTTACAATGGAGCAAATAACTCATCATTTTTTAGAACCCCTCATACTTCAACTTCATTTTACCATACCACATCAACTCCAACCCCGTTGATGGAAAATACCAATAGTTCTGGTATTAACTCTATTGTAAATTTGGATCCTTTGCTGCCTCAGAGTAAACATACATCTTATGATTTATTATTAGCCCCTAGTCAACGAAGAACAGATATTGATTATTCAGTTAGAGAGGCTGATCTATATAAATATAAAGGAAGAGTATTAGATCCTGACCCAGATGTTAAAAAATTATGGGAGTCTAGAGATAATAATAATAATGATAAATTAACCAATCCTCTTGACGTTAAGCCAGAAAGTTCTTCAAAAAATAAAAAGAAATACCAACCTAAGATTTTTACAAAAATGTTGAATAGGTTGAAAATTTCTTCAAAGAAAGATCAGATTTCCGCAACAGGGACAAGTGGTTTTCAGGTTATGAGACCTCATCAATTAGTAGTTCAAAAAGAGGCTGGCAATAATATAAAACGCGAAAATCGGAAAAAGACACATTCTGAAAATACTGTGGTTACACCAAAATCACCCACTACGTTTTTTATGGACTATATTAATTCTAACGCAAATAAATCAAATGATCAATCATTAAAAATTCCCGAAACAAACATGATTCAATCTCATTCAAAAAATATAAGTAAAAGAACCATCCTGGAAGAAGAGTTGACAGAAGTTAGCAGTATTGATCCTAAAAAGTACAAAGAAAATATTCAGTTGTCACCCATGGCCAAAAGCAATAGCACACCCAATTGCAATAGCTTGGATATTTTAAACAGCGATAGAATGGAACATCAGAAAGCAAACAAAAATAATGAACCATTACATAATGATTATTGTGATGATTTGTTTAATTTTGAAAATAAACAATCTTACGAAGGTGATGTAAATCGTAAAGTTTATCAATTTAACAATCCGAATTTTTTAGATAATGCAACTACAACCGAAAATCTTTCAAACAAAAAATAAGTAATAAGCTCACTACATAATGAATGATTGTTTTTGCTTTTCAAATCTTGCTTAGTATTATATTTTGTTATTGTGTGGTATTCTTTTTTGATGTTTAATTGGGATCTATTTAATCAGAAATTTTATTTCTTGGCTTGTGCTCCAAAATTTTGCTTATAATTCATTTTAGTATTTTTTTTTGTGAATTGTTAAATTTAGCTGATTAATTGTTTTTAAGTTTTTTTTGGTTTATGGATGGTCATCATTTAATCCGTTTTTTATTTTATTTTTTAATTTGTTTTTGTTTTAAGATTATTTTTGTCTTGTTTTTGTTTTTTTGTTTAATTTGTTTTTTCCCTTTTTTTTTCTTCTATCTGATAATGTTATCAAATCAAAAAAATTAATTTTTGAAGATTCAGTTCTTTGTTGTTTTTTTCTGAAAATAAGGAAATAAGGTAAATTTTTTTTTGGTTTATTATTATTATACTATATACTTTTTTTCTTTTCTACTTTCTAAAAATTTTTGTATCAAAAGATACTTGCTAATATTTTTTTTGCTACTATCATTCATTAAAATTATATAAAAAAAGACATTAATTGAACGTAATCTAGTTTTTATAACTTGAAATTCTTTTATAACGAAACTAAAAGAATTCTATTTTTTTGGATAAAAAGACTGATATTGATAAAAGTAATGAATAAAAAATCAGAGAAGAAAAAATAGGTTAATTTGTATTGTTATTATTTTTGTTGTTCTCATTAATGGGATGTACTTCATTATAAGCAGTCGTGAAACCTTTTTTCCATTTATTGAAATTTTTATTTAATTGTGTGTTGAAATTATTTTTTGGAGGAAGCTTTGGTTCTTCGCTATTTTCAGTAAACAAATCTAATAGTAAGCTTGTAGCAGTTTTTTTCTCATTTTTAAGAAAAGCGGTGTTTTTTTCATAATTATTAGAGGTATTATTAGTCGAATTTGCTAAAAATCTTGACAGTGAAGCAGGACCAACTTTCGAATTATTAGAAACAAGTCCATGCATTTTGTAGTTGATAGGATCAAAATTGGTCATGCTGTTATTTAAAATCTTATGATCGTTTGAATTGGTATTATCACTTGAAGGAGATCGTAATAAATTATTAAACTTAAAATTTAAATCCTTCTCGTCAAGCTCTTTATTTGAACCTGAACTACTGGTTTTTCGAGTATCATGTCCAATATTTGCTCCATCATTTGTTTCTTCATCACTATCGTAATTACTCTGGAAATCGCTGCTGCTATTTTCATAACTATCCTCTGAATCTTTCTCTGAATCTTCATCTGAAATTTCTAAATCTTCTAATTCTTTGTCAAAGTTTCTGATTGAAAATTCCTTAATCAAATCTTCATCAGTATAGTCCGACACTCTCGTTACATATCTTACCCATCTTCTTCTTCTAAATTCAAAACTTCTTGCAGAAGTGGTTTCATTTGTGTCATAACACCATTTTTCGTCATCATCAATGTCAACTAAACCCAAAATGTAGTTTTCATTGCACCATTTGTAAGGGCTAAGATCTAACTTCCAGTTATAAATTGAATTAGATATAGCCTTGATAGGCTGTTTAATTGGAACAGTAGGTTCAGTCGAATCTGATTTCGAATTTTTTGATTTCGAAGATAAAAAACTAGAAGTTTTCGATTTTGATTTTGAGTGCTTTAGTGTTTTTAAATTATTTGAATTATTAGATTGATCGTTTAGTAATTGATTTTTATCAGCCAAAAATGTCCAGCCTAATGGAGGCTTTATCAGTCTTAGATCGTTTGAGTAATTATTTGGTTTTATTGGTTGATTATTATCATCAAGGTTTAAATCAGTTTTGAAAGAATTTATATTGTTTGAATTTAGACTTTTTAAGTAATTTAATTTTTCTAAAGTTTTAAATTTTCTTGAGGGGGAATTTTTTGTAAAGAAATCAGTTGAATAAATTGTAGAGTTCCATTCTTTTTCAAACAGATCATAGTGTTGTAATTCAAAAATTTCTACTAGCTTGAGATCGTTATTAGTATTTTTGTGATTTTTATTTAAAATCTCCATTAAATTAATTTGAAATTCATTTTTCAAAAAAATAAATAAATTTTTTTTAAATTTTTTAAAATTTCTTTCAATTAATTTTTTCTGTTTTTTATTGTAAAATTTTTTAATAGTATTGCTATCTCTTTTAGTTTTATTGACGTTGTTGCTAAGATTATCCGTAACGTTAGTATTACTATTTGCATTGAAAGTATCATTATTATTATCTTTGTTGCTGTTCGTAATGGTACTGTTTGAGTTTTCCATATTATTTATATTACTAATAGGATGATTATCGTTTGATAGAATAAACATTGAAAAAACAGCACGATATTTGGGATGGATTAATATCGATAAAGACCAAATTAAAAAAAGAGTGGAAAATTTTAATATAGGAATTAAAAATGGAACAAATTTTGGTAAAATAAATAAGTTAAAAAATCCAATTGATAAGAGTACAAGTACAAAAAAAGAGGAAATAGTTTCATTTTGCCAAAATGCAAAAGAATTAAATAGCTCTGATAAAAAATTGTAGGTATTAATATATAGTAAGACGTGATTTTGTAAGTCAGTTAAGTTTAAATAAAATTCTTTTGAAATTTCGGGGACTGGTTTTTCTAATATTGGTTTTTTAATTGGTTTTGAATTGAGCAAAAAGTCATAAGAAATATCTGGAAAAGAAATAGGATCAAATGTTGAGCTTGAGTTTAAAATTGAAATTGAAGGAGATAGTTGAGATACTGAATAATGATAAAGTAAGTTTAGATTTGACTTTACATCAATTTGGTATTTTAAAAGATATGATGGTATCATTATGACAAATATTATATAGAAAAACGGGAAAGATGATAAAGTTGGGATAGGGCTAAGAATTATATGAGATGATATTAATAAAATAAAAATGTTTTTATAGGGATTCTGCCAGTTGATTAAATTTATTACCTGATCGATTAAATTAAAGGGGACAGATAATCTTTGATTCATTAAAATTACATTTTTTGACATCAAAGGAATTGTTAATTGAGGCCGATTCTTAGAGTTTTTGATTCTTTCTTGAATGTTAGATTCTGACATCTCAGATGATGGGGGTAATATCATTAAAACTAGTTTTTCCATAAATTTATCAGTTAGCTGTTGAGAAAAAGATGATTTTGAGGCTGTATTTGTGATGGTGTTCGAATCATTGGCAGCACTTATATTTTTTGTAACAGCACTGTTAGTGTTTTTAGCATTATTGTTATTGTTATCATTATTATTCAAAGATACTTGTTGGGCATTTGTAGATGAGGGAACGGGTTGAGTATCATCTACTGTTGCAGAATTTTTGTTATTTGAATTAGGATATAGCGTTTGATTATTGCTGGTGATTGTATTATAGATTGAAGAGAAATCAAAAGTTGAAGAGTGTGGTCTTGAATTAGGTTTATCTAAACCAGAGACGCTGGGATCATTATTTGAATCGTTATTGTTATTGTTATTGCTATTATTGCTGTTACTGTTGGAGTCCCAAGAGGAGAGAAAGTTGGATACAGAATTCATTTTGTGGGAAGAAAAAGAGCAAGAAGAAAAAGCCAATCAACCAATATTCAATTCATAAAAGCATCAAGAAAAATAACTAATGATATCAATATACCTGTAATCAAACACATATAATCCTGAATCTTCAAGAAAGAAAGAATAAAACGATGTCAATTCAGCAACAAAAACATCGTATGCACATCAATGCATTATATCCGAGGTTGCATACAAATACCTTTGTAAACATATACATCGACACGCACTTTGAAGGTTGCGTTTGTAACGGAAACGCAACTATTCCGTCTCACCCCAACGCAGAGCGTGTTTGTGATTGGCTGATTTCCGTCAGCCGATATTCATATTGAAAAGGATTTGTTATCTGTTGAGAGTGTTGAGGAAGCTGGTTCTTCATCGACTGGTCGTATTATGTAGGAAATGTTTTTTTTTTTGAGATCACCTTCTGCTGCTGCTTCTTTTGCTGCTTCTTCTGCTGCTATTAGAGCAGTTTTCAGTGCCAATTCTTCCTTAAAGACCAGCTTTTCCACTTTGAGCCAGTTATCCAACTCTTTACAAAACGAAAAAAATGAAAAATTAAATCAGGTATCTCAAGAGAGTATCCAAAAAGAACAGAAACAAGTTAAAAAAGAGAAATATGTTTTTGCACAATTGAACGAGAAACAAAAAGAGTTTTTGGACGAAGTTATCAGAGTTGACCAAGCTGGTGAATTGGGCGCTAATTACATCTATCAAGGTCAGATTTTTGCGTTGGTTCATAAGAGACCTGAATTGAAAGAGACCTTGAATCATATGTGGGAACAAGAGGTTCATCACCATAATACGTTTAATCAATTGCAAGTCAGAAGAAGAGTTAGACCTTCCTTGTTGACCCCATTATGGAAAGTTGGTGCTATTGGGCTAGGGTATGTGACTGGTTCAATCAGCAAAGAAGCTGCTATGGCTTGTACTGTTGCAGTAGAAACAGTTATTGGTGGTCATTATAACGATCAATTGAGAACTTTGATGAAAGAGTTTACTGTTGATGCCATTGAGAAGGATAACACAAGCAATCTAATTAAAAATCCTGATTTTCAAAGTAGTGAGATTGAACACTTGAAGGAGATAATCAAAGAATTCAGAGATCAAGAATTAGAACATTTAGATATTGCTATTGAAAACGATGCAGAATCCGCTGTTCCCTATTGGTTAATTACTGACGTTATCAAATTGATTTGCAAATCTGCCATTTTGACTTGCGAAAAGATTTAAGTAAAATAGCAAAAACGAAAACAAGAAAATGCTAAATTAAAATAAATTAAACTAGATTAAAATAAACAAAAGATAAAGACAAACAAAGGTTAAACTAACAAAATTTTTTCGTAAATATATCATAAATAGTTAATGTCATGTATCTAACATCACACCAAATCTTTATATAGTTGTAGTGCATCTATTATTGAAGGATCCACTCGATTGATGTCTCTGAACTCTGCTAGCGAGATCATAGCATCATGGTTCTTGTCCATCATCTTAAAGATCTTCTCGCATCTTCTCTCTGGAGTCTTTTCGTCATCGTTCAACTCCACCATTGGCCCAATCATCTTGTAAATGCTTTGGACCACCTTCAACATTTCTTCAAATGAGATATGCCCATCCTGGTCTAAATCATACAAATTAAAGCTCCACTCCAACTTCTCACTGACATTCCCTCTGCTGGTTATGGACAACGCAATTATGAACTCCTTGAATTCAATGGTGCCACTTTTGTTTGTATCAAAGGCATTGAAGACATATGTTGCAAACTCTGTGGGATCTCCAAAAGGGAAAAACTGCTTGTAGATCTTGATGAATTCCACTTTGCTCAACTGGCCACTTGGACAGTCTCTGAGAAACCCTTTGTACCACTGTTGGAGCTCTCTTTTGTCGAAATACGTAGCCTTCTTGAGTGTGCTGATGTCGTCCTTGGAGAGTTTGGAAGCTGTCTTGCCCATTATCGCTACGTCGCTAGTGCTCTTGTCTGTGTTTCAGTGTTATCGAGATTAACGCCAGAGTTGCTCTAACGCCAGTGCAAACACGGTTCACTCAAAAGGAGCGATAAGACACTGCTCGCGATGTCTTCACAACACAATCAAAGAGCTACTGAACTACAGAACTACAAAACAAATTTCAAGACTCAAATGTTAATATCGACTAGTTGTTGGGAGCTATATATTGGTTGGTGCATTGCTTGTTTCCGATGTTGACTTCAAACACTAGAAACAATCTCGCTGGCATTGGTCAAAACCTCAACCATTTTCTTGCATTCTTTTCTTCTTTGAACTGTTATTTCATTTTCTCTAATCAAATCACTGACATCATTAGATCCATACAACTTCTCTAGCAAAATCTTTTGAATTTCATCTTTGCTCTTGACAATCAATTTTAGCATAATTGCCTTTGGTATCACATCGGCTACCGTTCTTTTCACAATATTGAAATAACTTTGAATCAATAACTTGATCACCTCAGTTTCCATTGTTTCTCTTTCTGACATTGAGCCCGAAGCTCTCAATACCTGAGGTGGAGCCTCCATTGCCACCATTCTTTTCTTATTCTTGGTGGAAAAAAATCCTCCAAAGAACCCACTTGATTTGTCGTCAGCAGCTAATTGCGCTTGCCCATTAATCGATGGTGAAGGGGAGTTTTGAATCTTCAAAGGTTTTCCTGTTTTAGGATCAATTTGCACAGTTCTTGGGGGATGTAATTTCTCTTCAACCATTGCCATGGCTTGATTCCCCTTTAATAAATCAGGGTGGGCGGTATTGACATATGTTTGTTCTGCTCTGATAATATCAATAGAAAATTGATTTGTAGGGATTAATCTTTCTTTTAAATACAATACAAACACTTGGGAAACTTTTTCCTTCAAAGCAGGATATCTTGAATACTGTGGATTTGATAAAATTTGTGTTAAAATTCTGACCAATTCATCGAAGATTAATGTAACACATCTCAAAACAGGATCTTCAAATCTGCTAATTTGCTGTTTAACTAGCACTTCAAAAGCACCTGTGCCAACAAATAACGAAGGCTTTGCACCACTTGAATTGTACATAATGGTTCTGATATCAATATCTTTGATTTGATCAAATGGATCCAAGGCGTTAACTCCGTTTTTAAAAATTTCATGGAAAACATACGAAATTCTTGCACCACCACTTAATTCTTGAGAACTAATGTCTTTGGATTCACCTTCTAAAATACTATTATAATCTTTGCAAAAGTTAGTAATTACACCCAAAACTATTGAAGATGGTGAATCAACAATTTCTGGGCCCAAGTTATTTAATTCTAATTGATACTTTTTCAAAGCGCTCTCAATTCTCAATTTAATTTCAGGCAATGTTTGCTTAATATGATGCAATAGGATTGAATTTAGTTTCTTAGCTAAATAGGGAGTACCGCAGTAATGAGATTTTGAACTGTAAGAAGGATGGTTTTCAAAAAACCTTTTTTCATCTAATAAAGCATTTCTGATTGATTTACTTGTCTCAATGTCCTTTTGGCCTCTATTGATAACAGGAACATATCCATATCTTAATGGAATAACTCTACCAGCTAAGATATCAATAACATCTGTTCCCACATCCATTAAATCTACTTTTGTTAGAACACCTATGGTTCTTGTTCCTTCTGGATCAACTTCTCTTGCTAATTTTAAACCATCTGAATTTGCCAAATCAATATTAGCAGCATTAACAGACAATATAATTGCATTTGGCTTTGAAATAAATTTTAAAACCATGTCTTTAATTTGTTTTTCAATATCCTTTGGTTGATCCCCAACAGGAACTTTGGTTAAACCAGGTAAATCAACTAAAGTTAAAGTTAAAACATGAGGAGAATAAATTCTTAAATTTATTGGGATTGATGATATTCCAGCATTTTTACCTGTAATTTTTTCGGTTTCTTTAACAATTTCTTTTCTAATGTCATCAAATTTGAAAAACTTTTTGCCAGGTAAATGTAAAAATTCACCCCATTCGTCTTTATTATTTTCAGTTCTTATTGAAGATCCATTAAGATTTGGAGATTTGGGGGATGAAGAGCCATCGATATCCACTAAGATCGAGGAGTTTCTTTTTGCTGGCCTTCTGTTGATTAATTGTAAAATTAAGGGTCTTCTTGTTACTATACCTGTACCTCTTGGTAAAAAGTCTCTTCCGACTATATTTTCTAAGACTGACGACTTCCCTGATGATTGAGAACCAAGAACAGTTATTTGAGGCAAATCAACAGGTGAGCCAGAACCTCCACCTAAGGGAGCTAGGGCATCTTGTAGCTTATTAATAGTTGCGATAAGTGTTTCATCCATTGTTTATAAGCTACTTGTAAATAATTAGATATGAATTGGAATTGATAGGATATTAATAAAGAATTATTCGATAGTGTTCCTTTATTTGCGCTTTTACTTTTTACTTTTGATTTTAAAATAGAAGATAAGTAAAAGATTGATAAGGAGATTTTACTCGCTTGGTGATCAAGTTGAACAAAGTTAATAGTGAGTGATACTGGGGGGGGGGGGAAAGGATAAAATAATGAGAAATATTAATAAAGTGTTAAGAAATACAGGTATCCAGAATAGAAATCTATCAGCCAATACAAAATCAATTGAATATAATTAAATTAAATAAAAGGCGTGCGAAGATAATGACTATAAATTAGATTTATTTCGCAGAAGATGGTGATCCAGAGTTGAATAGGAGTGAATTGAAGATACAAAAGACAGATAAAACAAAAACACCCAAATCAAAAGAAAAAACCATCCACCAGTGTGGCTATCGGATGATGCGTGTCTCTGTTGCTGCTCGTGTTTAGTTACAGTTTGCGCATAATCCATCACACTGGAACTGCTGTAGCAATCAGTTCACGTGATCTGATCTTGGCTATTTAAAAGTCGTGCTTTCTCAAAAACTTGCGTTTGCACGCAATTGGTGTAGTGGTTAGCACACCTGCTTCCCAAGCTGGAGACATGGGTTCGATTCCCGTATTACGTACTTTTTGGTATTATTTTGAGCTGGCACTACAAGCCACCGTTTTGATGATGTTGAAAAGGTTTTCCACTGTTAATTCCAGCACTGCTGGTGAGAACATTGAAGTCAGCAAATTTGCCAGATCATCGTCGGTATAAACAGGAGCAAACTGGGTTATTGATTGTTGTGCAACAATTAGAGCTATAATATGACTTATTTACATCAGACCTCGGCTAACACCAAATATAGTTTAATCTTTGAAATGTTTGCATGGTCCCAAATAGTGCCATTTTTACTTTGGTCGACGTAGACGTCAACAGAACATCCGGTGGTTCATGATATATCGGCCACAGATCTATAATGGTAAATCCAATGCTATACCAGACTCATCCGAACACAGTATCGCAAATCCTGCTGAGATACATTTTTTGTGCTTCCAAACCAAGTCATATATATTATGAGCATCTGGGGGCACCAGGTCCATGGTATGCAAAGAGGATAGGGAAGAGCTTGTGGAAAATGTTTTGCAACTCGATGCTATGTTTTACTCTGAGCTCAGCGCTTAATACCAAAATTTTTACAAAAGAAGTTCTTGTTACATCCATCAGTTATAATCAATAGGCTGCCATATTGATTTCAAACCTGTTTCCATCAATCAATGGCAAAAATTCTAGATCAATTGTTAAAACTTCCAGATGAATCGTCTCCAGATGAATCGTTAAAGCTCAACCAGACAATCGCTATTCTCTCACATCATTAATAATTCCTGCAATAATTTTAGGTTATTTAGTAATGAGAGAATTGTTGAAGGAATATAAGAAAAACTTTTTATTTTTCAATCTTCTTTTTAACGAGTTATTCATTTACTCTATAATAAAAAGGGTAATTCCAGATGCTGTCGCGCTATTAATTTTACGTTTTCTTTCTATTATATTCTTCCCCATCATTGCCATATTCCAGATCTTTTGCAAAAGAAAACCTGCTGTTTCTTCTGTTTTTGAATATAATGATTTACTTATCAGCGAGATCAATCAAGAAACTAATCCAATAGGTAATGAGCAAATTGTCAACACACTTAGAAAAATGATTTCTAATTGGTGTGTAATCGAAATCGATTTCAACGATCTTCACGAGCTAAGTATTTCTTTAAATAGAATTAGTGATTATTTATTTGGTGTTCCTGCGATAGTTGTTGTGAGTGAGGCTATCAAAAAATTTGCAAAAAAAAACCCAACAGCCCTTCCAAAAACGTTTCTACAAAAGGCAAAAAAATTTAAACAAATAATCACCAAGAACCATATTTTTATCTAAGGTTTTATTATACAAGACACTAATATAGATATAGCAACAAAACTCACGAAAGCCACGTTTAGGGAGCTGAACAATAATTCAAGTCAGATTTCTGATGAAACGATTTCCCAATAGTTGACACCTGAGAACAACCAAGTAGCTCTAGACCCTAATGAGTCAGTGCCTGTTGAGAATAATCAAGAATCAATGATATCAAATCCTCAAGGTGCAACCGTAGATGGTGCTGCCATACCAATTCCTCCGGAAAAAGCTCAGCAGGATGGATGGAAAAATCGAACTATTGATAATTTTAATGATGATTTCATATACAGTACTCTAGAATTGATGGCATTTCGTCATGACAACCCATATTTAGGTAATGTATTTGGTATCCAACAATACAACATCGTAATCCAAAATCAAATTATGCAGCTTTCAACAACTAAAAATTTGGAAAAACAATTGAATGATATAATCATAAGCTATAACAGCTTAAATGAACTTATAACGGGTAAATATAAAGATTATACAATAGAGGATATAAAGATTGTGAATGAAGTTTTGAAGGGTGCCTGTGGTGGTGTTGAGAAGGTGCCAAAAAACTGCTCTTGCAACGAGATGATTCAGAGCAAATATAATCGCTTTCACCAAACTGGGACCGAACACAGCATAACAAACACCGCTTTTCGTGCACGGGCAGGTAAAAATAGCAGTGGGCACATCCGGACGCAGTGCCGATCGAGAAACCCGCGATGTTGCGGCCAGCTGAGGGGCGAGCGGCGACAGAGGCTGCTCTGCGGAACAGGCGCCCGCAAAGTCACCCGGTGAAACAGGGGTGACACGGGGACACAGCAAGGCGGAGTACTGAACACCAGCAAGGACCCGTCACACCGGCAGATCCAAGCATAACCTTGGCACGGCTCGCCACGGTGAACGGAGCGAGACGGTACGGTTGGAGTAAGGTAACAACGGATGAGTCAACCGGCATGTCATAACACGTGCTGTGGTATGCATGTGCGCAATTCCAACAGCATGGCACAGACAGATGCGTCCGACTGCCGTTTACATGCTGAGCGGAATTGGTGGCTCAAAGTGGCATGTGCCGAAAGAAGAAGGTGGATCTGAGATAACCTCTATCTTTGATTCTATCTTTGATTCTATCTTTATTCCATCTCTGATTCTTTATCGCAACACTGACACAACTGCTGGTTTTAATTGGCTGCTTCGAGTGGAATTTTATATGCTCTTCGAATCAAATTTGCATTACTCTCTTTAGAAACTTTTCCTTTCACTGGCACTCTCTTTATCGTCATGTATCTGGTCCATTGGTATGTTCAGCTATCTGGGGTAATTGAACTTCCTCACTTGACTTTTATTCCATCTCAGCAAATGGCGTGAAATTGCCAGAACGAATATGTTTATTGGATACATAGGATGGGATACATAGGATGGGATACATAGGATGGGATACATAGGGTGGTATAAATATTCTGCTTTTTCTCTCTTGTCTTGTCTCCCACCATCTTGTTTACGCAACTCAAAACAAACAAAATTGGTTTTGTTGAGTGTGCTTTCAAAATGTCAACTGCTAAGGTAGCCAACTTGCCCATCTCGTCCAACACCATCATCGACGAATCCCCCATCTCCTTTCCTGCTGAAGAACTATTCGAGCTAGAAAAGAGAGCTATCTTGAACCAATCATGGCTCTACATTGCCCACTCTTCGCAGTTGAAAAAAGCTGGTGATTATTGTTCATTTTCGTTGGCTGGTATCCAGTTTTTTTTAATCAAAAACAAGCAAAATCAGATCAACTGCTTCCACAACGTCTGTCGCCACCGGGCCTATCCTGTCATTAGAAAGGAAAAGGGTTCTTCCATCATCTTGGGTTGTAAATACCATGGTTGGTCCTACAACACCGATGGCTTACTCACCAAAGCGCCTCACTTCAACAACGTCGATGGGTTTGTCAAGTCCGAAAACAGTTTATACAAGATCAATACTCATGTTACGTCCCAGGGTCTAGTGTTCATCAATTTTGATAGATCAGCTGAGAACAACCTCCCCATCTACTCATTTGATCAATTCTTCAACTCGTTTGAGTCAAAGCTAGCTGATTTCGATATCAATGACTATACGTACACCACTTCTTACACACTAGAGGGCGACTTCAACTGGAAAGCGTATCTCCATTCAAACGATCACTTCACATTCAACCAGTCCAACGATTCACATTTCAAGTCAATCAACCATTTCCTCAAAAACACAGTGCAATATAACCCACTGCAACACGAATCCACCCAACAATCAACCGCTACTAAATCATGGTTTGGCTGGGGCTCGTCGGTTGAAACTAACAAAGTCAGCTCTCCACAATCAGAATCCAAAACTGACATATTTACTGGCACTTCATTCATCCTATTTCCTCTCTCTTCAATCAATGTGTTTGGTCCTGCTTGGTATTCGTTGAAGATTTCTCCTGTCTCGCACAATAAAACCACACTACAATATGATATATACTCCAAAAATGACATATCGGATTTCAAGAAAAACGAATTTATCGAATTTATTAAACAATATGAACTACGCAAGTTCAACCACTGCTTGAAGATGGCNTTAATGCTATCAGTTTCCGCTAAGCTCAAATCATTTATCTAACACTAATATTTATTATCACTATTTATCAAAATGGAGTATTCAAACAACTGTTTAATTGGCATCAATCCGGACCTACTGTAAAATTGCACATCATATACATTATATACATCATATACATCATATACATCATATACATCATATACATCATATACATCATATACATCATATACATCATATACATCATATAATTCAAATTCTATTGGTATGTGCTCTGATTAATTTGCTATCTTCAAAGAAAGTAAATCTTAACTTGGGAAATTCTTTTCTATACTTATTAATAAGGTCAAAGTGGTTCCATGACCTTCTTTCCAATCAAATTTCGCTTGTGTTAGGCCATTGTTGAATATATTCACAATTCATTTCTGGCAACGTCAAAGGTAAAACCAAATGAGTCAAAGTGCTCCATTGAGATAACCCTTTGAGTTTTCTTTATCTTGTTATAGCTTAAATTTACGTCTAAGCAACTACTCAATTGTTCAGTGATGTGTAATGTTTTAATACAATTACAAGATAAGTTCAACGACTTTAAATTACTTGGATATTTCCCATTGTCTGCAATCATCATGTCAGTGATTTGGTTACAACACAAATCAATCAATACTATTTAAATCAAGTAAATTTTCAATGTTTTCAATTTTCAGGATATTGTTCCGGAATAGATTGAGATCAACTAAATTTATCATCTGGTCCAAAGTCTCAATTTCTTCAATTTTATTATCTGATAAATCCAGCACTTTTATATTATTTGTTTTATCTAAGTTCTCAATTTTTGCAATTTTGTTTCCTGCTAAGTCGACTCTCACTAAACTGGGAAATTGTCTCACTAAACTGGGAAATTGAGTAGGAAATTTCAAAGTTTCCAAATTTCCAAAGTTGTTATTCCTTATATTAAGCGTTTTTAAGTATTTTTTGTGTAATGCTCCACAGTTTCTTTTCGATAAATATATTCCATTCAACATTCAATTCTAGTGTTGTTAGTTTAAATGTATGAAAAAATGAATGTGAAAAAAAAGATTTAGAATTGATTATATGATGTATAGAATTATCATCATTCAGCTGTCTTTGAAGCTGATATTCTGCATCCCAATTATTGCAAAGAATTAAGTTGCCAAAATCATTTTGAATTGCTTTCAATGTGTTTTTGTGAAAAGGTAGTAACTGTTTTAATAATGATAAGCATTTGAAAAATCCATCTGGCCCTTTTTGTGGAATACTTTGAAGTACTCTAGCAAACGAAATCCATTTGACCACAATAGACATTTTCTCTACAAAACAAAACATGGTAGTTATATATTTATCTAATGTTATTAGAGTTTGATCTGGCAAAATTAGTCTAAAGTATATGTTTCTGGAGAATTGTTTGATATACTTTGTTAAAACGGTAATTGTTTGAAGATTAATCAATAATACAGGTTTTCCTGAAACAATATGAATTTTTTTTCTTTCATTGAACCATATTTTAATGGAACCTGAGTAGACTTCTATGTTTTCAAATAGTGCTTTCAATGGAGCGATTTTAACCATTGCATTCTTAGCTGAACACAACAAGATTATTTGCTTGATATAGAGTTTTGTTGTAATTGAGCTAACGATGTGGGGTGGGAGTGTGTCCAGTAGAATTGTTTTGCTGTTATAGTCCATTTTTGATATGTAGTGTGTAACATAAGCAATATCAAGAATGTGGGTTTCTACAAAAATAAAGTGAAATAGCCAAATATATATTAAGGTTTTCATGTTTAGTGCCACGCATTGACATGCATGAGATCAAACGAATAAAACAATGCTTTTTATCGTTTTCATAGCAACTTTGCGTTTTCTATTGTTTTCTTGCTTTATTGAGCAGAGAAGACTATTTCCTGTTGGTCTTAGGCTCCATTTAAATCAGATCTTTGAACTTCTTTTAATAGCCAAAAAATAAAACCAATTAGTCTCAACAGATTGATGTCTATTTAGTAAAATCTAAAAGATCTTGTTCTCCAACTCTTCTCTCATCAAATACTGACTCAAATTGTCATATCACCATCAGAAATACTAATACCAATAATAATGGAAATTCAAATCAAAAGAACAATTCACCTTGACCCCAAATTCATACCTAATAGCCAACCGTTCTTGTGAACCAGTGCATTACCACCTTATAAAACATACTTCAGTTAACCAGATAGGAAAATAAAGCAATTTTTAAAAATAATGGTTCATTGGGGTACTATCTCATCATCAGTGTATTTAAAGAAGGTGTAGTTAAATTCAATCATATGATTAGTTATTATTTGGAGATGTTCGCTCAACAACTCCATTGACTGTATCAGTCAATTCTGGAAATTCTAATATTATTTTATCACTTAAAGTATCTCTAAAGAGTTTCATGGCAGTCATTTTACCTCTCAAATATTGATTCATTTTCCGTGTGGATTCAACAAATTCTCTTGTATAGATATTAGGATTTCTGCCCATATCAATATACTGAATGATGTCTAGAGGAATCTTGACACTTGAGAGCTCATTTCTTTTGAAATTAAGCAATTGATTTAAATTTGTAACAGTTTGCTCAAACTTGAAATTCAATGCTCTCTTCGCTAAATCTGTTTCTTCAGTATCAGAAACTAATATGCCGAGCTCAAACAAACATTCTATGATATTAAATAACTTTTCCCTGGTTTCTACTAACGCAGCTTTCAATTCTTCTTCAGTGTATTCCATTTGGCCATTACTACTCTGTTGAGTGGACATTTTGATTTATCAATTTACATCAATAAAATTCATTTGAAGGTCAAAACAGAAGCTTGAAAACGTGACCTAAAATAGTCCTATATTGGTTTACACGTTATGATACGTGGCTTTTTCGATCTCTCGATTGCTATATAACGGGCGTTTCGCTCTGATTTTTGTTACAAATTTTGCAGATACAATAGTTATATATTTACTAGTTTTAATTTGATTATACTTGATAAAACTCTAGAACTAGAACATTTTATAGTCCCGTGAAACTCAGGTGATTTTCAATTATATTTAAAACCATGTATATGGTATTTAGAGGGCCCTAATTTTTAATATCAAATTTATTTTATTTTATTTTATTTTATTTTATTTTATTTTATTTTATTTTATTTTATTTTATTTTTATTTATTTTTATTTTTATTTTTATTTTTATTTTATTTTTTTAAGACGTTTATGAACTATATATAGAGTGAAGGATTTGGTGACTATAGATTGTGGTTCGAAAGAAGAAAAGAGCAAAAAGAAAAGAACAGAGGTTGAATTGGGTTGTTTAATTACATTCCTCTAGGCCCTTTTTCTTTTCTTCTTTCGATGATCTAGTTTAAATTCAAAAACTGTTGTCCTGTAGCTTTTAAGAATTTATCAACTTCATTTTTACTTCCTAGCCAAATACCACTTCTAGCATGAATCTCCTTTGGAGTTAAATCTAGGATTCTGTCACCATTATCGTTGACAGCTTTACCACCAGCTTGTTCTAGTATCATCGCCATTGGGAAACATTCATATAATATTCTTAGTTTACCTGATTTGCCTTTGGTTGGATAAGCAAATAAACCACCATACAATAAAGTTCTATGAACATCGGCAACCATTGAACCAATATAACGAGCTGAATAAGGTTTGCCGGTGTCTGGTTGAGGTTCCTTTAGGGAATCGATATATTTTTGAATTGGAGCTGGCCAGTAAATATAATTACCTTCATTGATGGAGTATATTGTTCTTGATAGAGGTATTTTTAAGTTAGCATGGGTCAAGATAAATTCACCTAATTGGGTATCAAGAGTGAAACCATTAACACCGTTACCAGTGGTTAACATTAAATGAGCAGAAGCACCGTACATGGTATAACCTGCAGCAACCATCTCGGTACCACGTCTTAAGACATCGTTGATTGAACCATTTGAACCAGGCAACAATTTGTAGACACCAAAAATGGTACCAACGGAGACACCAGCGTCAATATTAGATGAACCGTCAATTGGATCACAACAAACTGCATAATTTCCTGGACCTTTGAAGGTGATCAAGTCTTCTTGTTCTTCAGATACTAAGACTTTGACGTTACCACTTGCCTTCATCGCGTTAATAAAGATCTCGTCACCAATAACATCTAATTTTTTTTGGTCATCACCAGTGGAATTTGAGGCACCAGCCAAACCGATCAAATTAACCAATTCGGCTCTTCTAATAGTATGAGCAATGAATTTGAAGGCAAATTGTAGAGAGTTTAACAATAATGTTAATTCACCACTGGCTTCTTTAGCATAATGGTGTTGTTCTTCCAAGATAAATCTTGTCAATGTAACAATGTCAGTGTTGACATTATTCTTCTCGGCGAAATCAGATGACATTATAAAATAATTATTATTATAGAACTAATATAAAAACCAATAGACGTGAAGAAGTGAAGAAATGAAAAAGTGAAGAGGCTAACTAATTGGTAAGTCAATAGGTATTTGGAGAAAAAACAAAGACAAAAAAAATCAAAACAGTGAGATATCCAATCTATTTTATAGAAAATTGGAGTGTAAAGGAATTATTCCATCCTTCAACGACAGTCCCACACTGACAGTATTCCATGATGAATGCTCCGAGAAAGACCTCTCAGTATTCCAATCGCCCAGACAGAAAGCAAAAAATGCAACAAAAACAAAACACTCACCGAAGAACACGAACAATTGGACGTAATCCAGTGATTGTTCACTGAATAAGATGCCTCTCCTAACAAAGTCCTCCTTGTGATCAAATCATTTTTCCCTCTTTTAAAGTTCCATCCACAAATTCTGCAAGCGCTGCTAGCTACCGCATCCAAATGCAGAGCCGGTAATGATCACGTGTGTGTCTAACTCCTCTCTTTCTATTGGCTGGTGTTTTTCAACACCGCAGTGTCCTGGCCGTGATTACATCAGCAGCAATGGATGAGCGCCAGCAGTGCGGTGCTCTATCAGACAGGCTCTGATTGGACAGCAAAATAAAAGGTCCCAGGGAAGGAAATGCATGTTATGCGGGAGGTGCAGGGGGTGCAGCGAAGGAGGAAACGAAGCACAGAAGGAAGCACGAGAAGCACGAGAAGCATGAGAAGAAAGAGAAGCACAAGAAGAAAGAAGCCGTAGGGCAAAGGACGAGACAGGGAAAACAGACAAAAAAACTGAGAAACTGCGCTGGTTTTATATCAGAGCTCTTGCTTTTGGCAAAGGTCTGCTTGTGAAACAGTGGGGTAGATAAATCACCAGAAATATTCACCTATTGTATCAAATAACACCAACAGTCTTCATTATTTATGTTTATTTTTGTCAATTGTAAGCTGTTGAATCGAAATAATCAGTGGCTTTATCAAGCTCCTCAGAAATCACCCTTTCTTTTTCAAGATCATATTGTTTATATTCGAAAGTTTTGTGGAGTAATTATAAGCTTAAAATAACTTTTTCAGTTACAATTTGACGATTTTTGACCAATATTAATTGAAAAATTGAAATATTATTCAGTATATTTGAATAATTTAATCTGATTTAGAGTACTTGAGAATATTTTTGAGATAATTTGGAAGAAATGCAACTATTTTAAATAATTTAACTCTTTTAACTTGTAAATTTTATTGTAACAATATATTTAGTGGTGAAGATTAATTTCAACCACCAGTAATCTTGTGCGTATTTTAAAATTAGTTTTCTTTTAGAATTTTGTCCTACACCTCATTACTTACTTAGTTTGAATGAAATTCTTCTTATAAATTTCTCTTTATTTCTCCCCAGATTTTCGAATTATTTTTCTATCTTTCCCTTTCTTGTCTCTTTTTCTTTTGCTTTTCCTCTTGATTTCTACCCACCTAATTTATTCTTTATAATTTACAAATCATAAATCATAACCCTATAATTATATAATAATATTCTATTCATTTATTCTTAAATATTCTTCAACAATGTTTTCAAGAACTTCATCTTTCCAAGCTAGAAATTTAGCCCGTTGTTTTTCAACTTCCCTCCCATCAAATTATAAAGTCTCAATCTTAGGTGCTGCTGGTGGTATTGGTCAACCTTTATCTTTATTGATGAAATTAAACTCAGATGTCACTGACTTGGCTTTATATGATATTAGAGGTGCTCCAGGTGTTGCCGCTGATGTCTCTCATATTCCAACCAATTCCACAGTAAAAGGTTATGGTCCAGAAAACGATGGAATCTCCACTGCTTTAAAAGGCTCTGATGTTGTTATAATTCCAGCTGGTGTTCCAAGAAAACCTGGTATGACCAGAGATGATTTATTCAACACAAACGCCTCCATCATTGCTAGTCTTGCTGGCGCTGTCGCTGATAACTCTCCAAATGCTGCTATCTTAGTTATCTCTAACCCAGTTAACTCAACTGTTCCAATTGTCTCTGAAGTCCTCAAAGCAAAGGGTGTCTACAACCCAAAGAAATTATTCGGTGTCACTACTTTAGATGTCATTAGAGCTTCAAGATTCATTTCTGAAGTTCAAGGCACCAACCCAACTGAAGAAACTGTCACCGTCATTGGTGGTCACTCTGGTATTACAATTGTTCCATTAATCTCCCAAACTCCTCACAAATCTATTCCAAAAGAACAAAGAGACGCTTTAATCAACAGAATCCAATTCGGTGGTGACGAAGTCGTCAAAGCTAAAGATGGTGCAGGTTCTGCTACTTTATCTATGGCCAGTGCTGGTGCCAGAATGGCCTCCTCTGTTTTATCTGCCTTATCTGGTAAAACTAGCGTTACTGAACCAACTTTCATAGATAACCCATTGTACAAATCTGAAGGTGTTGAATTCTTTGCATCTCCAGTTACTTTAGGGCCAGAAGGTGTCACTGAAGTTCACGAATATGGTCCAGTTGAAGACTATGAAGCTGAAATGATTTCAATTGCTAAGGATACTTTAAAGAAAAACATTCAAAAGGGTATTGAATTTGTTGCTTCTCAAAAGAAATAACTAGCCGTAGAAAACCAATCCGATTCTAATTTCCAGCAATCTAATACAAACACCACTTTTCAATTTTATGATTTGAGTGTTGAAGTCTCGAAATATAAATAGTTTGCTAGTGATTGTTTCCGATTACGTTTTTGCTATTACATACTTTGATTTATAGTGTTCATATAATTAGTAATTGTAAATCTGTTGATATTCAATTTTAACTTAAACTCTATTAAGAAAACAACCGAGATTTGCTTCTCTTATTAATTCAACACCCGTATTTCAATAAACCATTAATAATCTCAACCAAAGATCTAAATCAAAATGCATATTATATAAGCTGTTTATTATTCCCAATATTTGCTCTTTGCAACTATTTCCAATTCCAGTGTCATAATTCAAAATCAGTAATAATTTTAATCATAATTTTGCAACTAAATTTACAATGTCTATTCAATCAAGCTTGCTCGGAAAAATCGAATACTTGCCTCTTGATCAGATAAGACGCCCAATTCCTCCAGTGTTGGATTATCAAAAGATCGATGCAATGGTTTCTACTCTTAAAGGTAACCCAATGGCTTCCTATACTTGTTCTTTAGAAGATGCTCAAGCAATGAATGGCGAGTTGCCTCCAATCGATGTAATGAGGGTGAAGGAAAATGGCAAGGTATACTATTTTGCTTTTGGTGGATGCCATAGATTTCAAGCCTATGAAAGGCTAAATGGTGAGAAATTAGTAAAGTGCAAAATTTTACCTGCTACGAAGAAACAGCTCAGCTTGTATCTCGGGGCCTCTGTTGATACAATGTTTAATTAATAACTTGAGCATATGAAGTCTTATTTATTTATTTATCAATTTTGTTTCACCATTTTATCCGTACATTTTTTATATAAAATCTCTTACAAAGAAAATGATTTAACAATACCAACCTTCAATTTCTAGCATGTAAGAGATATCAGAATAACGAAACAACAAAAAAAACCAACAATACCTCTGTTACTTAAAAGAATTAAATTATAGATAAATCGTTTTTTAAATCTTTCAATACAATTTTATCACCTTCGATTGAAGACCTATTTCTTTGTTTAATTGAGTTACTTATATGAAAGGTCAAATTTTCATTTTTCCCACTATTGATTTTATTTGTCGTTGCTTTCAGTACCTCTATATCAGTATCAGAATAAGCATAGTTAGAAAAAAGACCACTGTAAACAGATCCTGTTGGAAATTCTGAATTTTGAGTTGAAGGTCTCACCCTTGAGCTGATTGTTAAATTAACTTTTGAATCCCATATGGAATGAAGCGTTCTTGATTCAACAGGCTTTGAGGAAACATCCATCTCAACGTTTCTGATATTCTCAATGTTTTCAGCATTATTCACATCTTCAAAATTTTCAATTTTGTCAACTTTTTCAATTTTATTTTGATTTTTTTTTAGATTAGATATTTTATTGTTATCAAAAAATTTGATTTTCTGTTTTATTGACTCTTTTTCATCAATTTGAAATTTATCTATATTTTCAATTTTTTCAGTAGGGTCATTATCATTAATATTAATATAATGATTGCTATCGATATTGTTGACAAATTGATTATTATAATTTTCTTTTATGATTAAATTATCTTGAGAATTCGATTTGTTATTTTGAGAATTTAAAGATAGTTTCGAAGAATTATTTATCATTGGTAAGGCTCCAGTTGATATTCTTGCAGCAGTTAATGAAGATTCATTGATGATTGATTTCCAGATGCCCTCTGAGACATTACCTCGTTTTCTTTCACAATTGAAGCAATTACAAAGATTCGATAGAATTGAATCCACTTCTTGTATATTGTTATTATCAGTTAATTTAACCTCTGAAGACTGGTTTTTATAATGCTCATGATCTTCAAGAATATATTCCTTTTTTTTACAATGGAAATTTTCTTTTGGAGTTTTATTGTTTTCAATATGATCAGCATTTACTAGATGTATTGTATTATCCTCCAATTGTTCTATTTGTGAAGAATCTGTATTGCATTCATAAATAGGAGATGGAACAGCAGAAAATATGTTATTTTTTCTTCTAAATATTGAAAATCTTAATCTTTGTCTTTTTGATTTATGGTGAGGTTGTTGGGGTTGTTGAAATTGTTGAGGTTGTTGGGATTGATTGAATTGATTATATTGATTATATTGATTATATTGTTGATTTTCATGATTTTCATGATTTTCATGTTGAGAAAAATGGTGGTTTTCAATTCTGAAGTCTGCAGATTGATGATCAGTTATAGTTAAATCCGAACAACATTCCAAATGGTCTTTTAATTTTTGAAAAGTTGGATGAGGATGATGAACATGGCAACTGCAAATACATTCTCTTCCGTTATCTAAAATTGTGCCAAACTTTTTTGCCGTCAGTTCTTTTTCCAATATTGCAGCATTTTGGACTTCATCAATTGGGACTTCATCGATTGAGACTTCACCATTTTCATAATTTTCGTCATTTATTTTATAATTGTTTTCACTGTGATTTTGATTGATTTGATTGATTTGCTCCCCATTTGCCTCGAGAATATCGAGAAAATCACTATGCTCTATGATAGTTGGATATTCCTTTAAAGTATCCAATCTGTCATTCTGTATTAACCGATGAAGCGAGCTTTTATGGTTGATATTCATATCTGAAATTCTATCGTTGAGACAAATCAATTGGTCATCATCTCTTCTGAATTCGTAATAGCGATCACCAAGCATGTATAGGTCGTGAGGGTTTGTTCGTAATGAAACCAAAGGTTGGTTGGGGATTTTGCCAGTGATCAGTCTTGGATTTCTTTTATTTGTATAGCGATTGTGGCGATATTCAATCTTTAACCGATCAACTTTGCTTTTCAAACGATATAGGTGCATACTAAATATTAAAGATAATATCAATTAAAAATTGAAATAGCGCTTCTCCTTTATCTTGTTTAGACATAGACCTGTGCATATAACTTTGCTATCGAGTTCAATTGTCAAAAGTCAGCAAGTTGAGAAAAGAAGCAAGAATATAAGCAGCGAGAAAAGATACAATCAAGGATCAGAAGCTAAAGTGTTGTCTTCGCCAGCAAAGCCTGCTTTTCCCTCTCCTCTTTCTCCAATCCTGCCTTTGCTGTTTTAGGAAATGGATATAATCAAAACACAAAGCCAACAATTTCTGTTTTGAGAACACAAACCCAACAACCCCAAACAACCCCAAACAAACCTCCAAAACCTCAGGCGGATCCCCACCAGGCTGAAATGTTACACAGATATTTATTAACTAGCTAGTTCGCACTACATAACAGACAGCCTCAGTTGCTGTACCGAGAAAGGTCGTGGAAAGCAGACTCTATGCAGTCCTTTAGTTCTTTATATGAGATGATGATGCAGTTCTGTTCGTTGGGTGCAACTAACAAGATCTTTTCCTCGATTCCTGTGTCCAACTTGTTTAGGCATGTTAGAACATGAGACAAATCGAGAACCGGCCTTCCTGAGCTGTCCACCTGGTGGAAGAGATAGTCTCTGAATAGCTTGATTGGATACCTATCCCCAGATTCAGACCATGAGGGATCATGGTCGAACTCAGGTCTTTCGTTGATGAATCCCAATTTTGTTACCAATCTGAACAATCTCCCATTCTCAACTTCTTTTGACAATTGACTTTCCATGAAATCGCACGAGTTCTGCAAATAATCTATTGTTTTCATTGCGTACAAACTTATATCTGAAGCAAACAATTTTAGCTGGGACAATGAGCTTTCTTCAGATTGTGCCATGGCGTATAGTATGTTTAGATTTTTTTTGAAGTTTTCACTAAAGGGTAGAAATTTTATTAATATCGAATTTTCTTGGTTCCAAGTTCCAGCAGGCAAACTGGATTTGGCTAGTGTGAGTATAATATCGGCAAACTTCAATATATCTTCTTTTTGTATTACATCTATCAAGTTATTATTTCTGGAATATTTAATTATATCAAACGTTCCACAGTCTGACAACCGGATTCTCCCCTGGTTAGTAACAATGATTTTATTAATTGACAAAGATCTTGCTGCCAATCTCATTTCGTGAATGCAAATCAATGCGTTAGTGATTTGTACCATATAATTCCATAATAATGGCTCATTTATTTGAACTGGAAGAGCCCCAGTGCTATCTCCAAAATGTGTCTCTTTTAAGGTTTTTGCTAGTGGATAAAAATCATATACTAAAAATAATGAATTATCGCCAAATGCCATACTAGTAAAAGCCTCGTGTAATTTAACAACGTTTGCACATTTTAAACTGCTCCAAGCTTTGATCGATGAAATACTCTTTTCATCTGTAATTTTAAAGCCTTCTAGTCTTCTCAATGCATATACGTTACCATCATAGTTAGAATATACTTTATAAAGTGAACTTGGTACACCATAGTATTTTAAATTTACTTTGTGATTGAAATTGTCTAAAAGAACTAGGGAGTGATAAATGTGAATATTCTCAGGCAATCCTCCAAAATTGGGCAATACTTGGTTGGTTGCTTCATTTTTTTTCTGCAATGATTCTCTTAAATTATTATCCAAGAAAAATGATTGGGGATTTCTTTGGTAAGGTTCTATTGGCATCTCAAAATGAGGCGGTGGAGCTGGAGCATAACAATGATACTGTATGGGTTGAGAAAAAAATAATTCAGGACGAACTGCTGAGACTGCAGAAACTGCAGTAGCACTTGTAGCAGATGTGGTAACTGGGGCATAGAGACTATTTGGAATTTGATTAGTAGGCAATTGAATTGGTTGCAGGGAAGATATTTGAGCAGGTTGTTGTTGTTCCTGTTGTTGTTGCTCCTGTTTTTGCTGCTGTGGTGAAACCTTGGTCTGAGAGCTAGTTGATATCTCGGAAGATGTAGACCCGACTATCGGAATATATCTTGACAAAGTTGAGGCAGATGAGGAAGATGGTTTAAAAACTGGACTATCAAAGTTGTAAGTGACTTTTGAATATTTTTCTGGGGTTTTTGAAACTGTATGCGTACTTATTGGAGTTGTTCCGTTTTCGAGTTCGCCATTTATATTAAGATTCAGGTTGCTATTTGTTCTGGCACTACTAGTAATGCTTTCTGTAGCCGAAGAGCTGCCGTTACTTGCCATGCTGGAGATGTTGGAGTTACTTGTGCTTGGGACAAAAACAGGAATGTTGTCCAATTTTGAAGCAGAGACAGCAAATTTCTTCTTTAGGGGCTTGAAACTCTGAGAGCCCATATTGAATTTTTTGCTTGTCTTAATTGATATCGCATTAAGCAGTTTTGAGGCAGAAGATGGAGGAGTTTGGTTATCTTTCATATTAAAATCATGTTTAAACGCACAACCCTTGTTTTCATATTTACAATAGCCATGTATATTAATGTTTTTGCATGGAATATCTTTTGCCCACTCCATATCACTTGGGACTTTCACTTTATCAATAAGAGTGGGAAAAAAAACAGTTGTTAATAAGTTGGCTCAGCCAAACCGGTTTGGTGATAATGGAAAGAGATGTTGAACTGTGTGAGAAGAAAACATACTTTTTTCCATTGTCGTATTCTTTTGATCTTGGGATTAAACGTATAGTATCATAAACACCCTATATTACGTCTCTTCTCATTACTGAACAATACTGTTGTTTTGGCCCACTGGAATTGCTGTTTCTACAGAAGATGAGGAACTGTTTGCTCAAATCTCATTCTGCATTCTTGGAGCTGGGTCATGTGTCGGTTGGTCATATTGGGCTTTGCTACTATCTGTGCTACTGAAAAGACTCGAAGACGTGTAAATGATGGCTAACATAAATCGAACTAAATAACTAAGGAAAGCAAAACAAATAAACAAAATAAAACAGTAAACAAAATAATGATTGGGTGGAAAAAACAACTAAACTAAACTAAACTAAACTAAACTGAAATAAGATAAGGTAAAGGAAAATAAAATAAAGTAAAATAATAAAAAAACAAGGTGAAGAAAAAAAGCCCATTAGAACCGTTAATAAATGTTACTTTTGCCAGGAATGAATGTATTACTAGAATTTTGTAAAGCATTGGATGAATAAATAGGTTGAGACATGTGTTTATATTTCACGTTTTGGTCTATTAGAGAACTTGTTGAAAAATTTCCATTTGAGAAATCTTGGTTTTTTATTTTGACTGAACTTGATCTTTGAAAATTTCCATTTAAACTATTATTAACCACAGTGGGTGAAACGTTCACAATAGTATCATCAGTGGTATGTGTTTCCTTAGCAGTGCGATCATCAGAGATGCCACTTTCATCGGCATCTGATTCTCCAACCATATAAACTGGCACTGATGGATTTCGAGATAGCATGCCATAATTTTGATTTACGATTGATTCGTAATTGTGGATTGGAACAAACTTGCCATTTCCAAGATTCAATGAATCATGGTGTTGAAGATTATTTGTCTGAACTTGTTCTGAGGTAGATGTTGGCACTTGGACAATCATATAGGGAACATTATTTACAGCCTGGGGTGGTAGCTGTTGATATTGTTGTATCTGGACAGGTTGATGAAATTGTTGGGATTGCTGAAGTGTTTGAGATTGGGCTTGAGATAATTGAGGATGCTGTTGTTGTTGTTGAGGCTGTGTTTGAATTTGAACTTGAGGCTGTAATTGAACTTCGGCAAATGGAATTTGTGTTTCAATAGGAGTCATGATATCACCTTCATTCATTAAAACACTGTTTCGGTTATTGAATGTTTGATTTTGATTTTGATTTTGATTTTGGTTTTGGTTTTGGTTTTGGTTTTGGCTTTGGCTTTGATTTTGATTTTGATTCTGAGAAGATAGTTGAGATTGAGATTGAGAAAACTGTTGATATTGTAATTGAGGAGTTGGCTGAGACATTCTTTTATTTCTAATCGGAGTTGAAGCACCTCTTTTAGGAATCTGGAAACTTTTTCTTTTATCGATTTGAGAGGCTCTTTTTTTTAGAATGTATTGGGCTCTTGCCTGGGAAGTTGGTAATTTGGTTAATTCCTTAATATCGTTATACCATGCCATCATTGAATCATAAGAATCAGCTCTAAAGACCCAGTTATGACCTCTATGGATGATACCATTTTGCCTTGCGTGTAGAATAAATTTGTGCCATGATTCCAGATTACTTTTATCCTTTTTTGAGTGTTCAGCTATTTGGCAATCATCTAAACTTAGAGACATTACAGGATAAATATCTTTTCTTCTGTCAGAGGATTTAAATTCATGGATAAAAGTTGGGGTTAGAACGTACCATCCTCTTGAGTAGGATTTTAGAAATTTAGATCTTCTATCAAGGAACCCGGATTTGATTTCCAAAGTTAAAGGATCAGACATGTGTTTATAGGAGATATCTTGAAAATGTCTCATTGCTAGTTTGGGATCAATAAAATTTGGATCTCTTTGAATAAAGCTATCCCATTCGAAAGTTGGCTCCTTTGTAATAAAACCACTGTCTAATTTATTTAGTAATAGATTGAATACTAGTTGGGCATTTTCACCTATTAGTTTAGCGTAGATTCTTATAGCATTTTGGACTTCGATAACGACGACTTTTTCTAGTTCCTTTCCGGAAGTTTGTAAATTCATAAAGGCTTCATGTAGATAGTTTTCTTCTATTAGTTGTTTTCTGATTTGTTTGTCCAAGTAAATTTTAGTTAAGAAAGGATCTTGTTTAGGGGATATAGTTGAAGAGGAAGATTTGACCAAGTCGATTGAATTTAGGAAATTTGAATAATCGATTTTAGTTTGAATTTGTTCTTTTCCAACAGTTGACTTGAAATCCGATGCTAAACCCCTTATTTCTTTAATTTTGACAGCCAAGTCTCTTCTGAGATCATCTAGTCTTGGGATGACGCTGTTGGATAATTCTTTAGTTATTCTTGAAGCACTGGCAGCAGAGTTTCTATGGAAGGAGGATAGGATTGAGGGTAGGTCTTGAATCGAGCCGGAAGAAAGAGGTAGAAAGAATTTTTTTGAATTTAATTCATCCATCAAAATTTGGTCGTTATTTGAGTTTGAGTTGTTGTTGTTTGAAGAATTGTTATTATTTGAAGAGGAGTTGTTGGAATTGTTATTGGGAGAGTTTCTTGAAATGAGATTATTTGAGTAGGCATCATAATTCAGAAAGGGAAAATTAACAGCATGTTGTAGTCTTACTTGTTGACGAATGATTTCTTCTTGAACCATTACAACTTCGGAGAGATAATTTGTGATTGATTTGATGATTGCTCTCCAAGAGTTGAATCTCGAAGCTAAAACGTCAGTTGGGTTTGCACTGGTTGGGATTTGTAGAAATAAGGGGTTTCTTGGGTCGCCATTTTGCATTGAATTTTTAGAGACTTTTGCATTGATTTGATTCAAATTTTGATTTAAATTTTGATTTGTATTTGCAGAGTTGTTGCTTCCAACAGTTAGATTTGTTGGAGTGTTTGAAGTAACAGAGTACATTCTTTGTGGGATTTGGTTTAATTGTGGGGAATTTGGTGAGTTGTTCTGGTTAATAGAAATGGAAGGAACTAAAGGAGAATTATTGTTATTGATTATTTGGTTTGGGTTTTGATTTTGATTTTGATTTTGGTTTATTATTTGATTATTATTAAATTGGTTTTGAGAGGGAATAGCAGAAGTGTTAGAATCAAAAGAAAGCGTTTGATTATAGTTATTGTTGTTGTTGTTATTGTTGTTGTAATGCTGAGGCAGTTGTTGTGGCTGCTGTAGGTCTATTGATGGAAGAGTTATATTTGAATTGATGGTGTTAGTGTCGTTCCTTATATTTAGATTATTGAGATTGGTATTTAAGTTGTTCATGTAATTATTGTCATTTATAGTATTGTTCATTGCGTAAAATGGAAATAAATTTGAAATTCAAGTATCGAGAGTGGATGGTTGAAAGATGGGTGAAGTATTGAGGTATTGAGATGTTGCAAGGAGATGAAAACAATGGAAAAATTAAGAGCTTAGGAGTTTAAGGCAGAAAGGTGAGAAGAGGAAATTGGAAATAAATAGGTATTGTAGGGTATTCTGGGTATAAGAGATAGTGTGGGACTAAGGTATTTGTATTATTTTTAATATCTGTGATATTTTTAATATTTGTGATATTTTTAATTTCAGTATTTCCAGTCTGTTTGATTAGATGTTTCTAATGTTTCCAAAGTATGTTTTCAGATATTTACGATATGATGTTGTTATATAGTGGGTGTAAAAGCAAGTGCTCCATTGAGTTGCTTTTAGGTGAGTTGCTACTGAAAGAGCGAGTAAACGGCCTAATTGTGCCAAACCAAACCAAAATAAACAGAAACAAAGCGGCCAGACCACACTAGCCGGCGTTGCAGAGATGGGCTGTGAAGCTCTGTTTCTGCTTTCCCTGTTGTCTCTGCTGTTTCTGCTGCCTCTGCTGCCTCTGCTTCTCGTTTCCCTTCTTTCTTCCTCGCTTTGGTTCCGATGTGCCTCCATTCCGTCGGCTCGAACTACGACCGTCCCGCAAAAAGCCACTGCTCGCGGTCTGTGATAGGCCCGCTATGTTTACCATACCGCTGAAATCCGTCCCAGCACATGACCGTCTCCACCGGAGCTCTTGGTTCTTGGAACAGTGGCGTCATTATGTCATTGGTGTCAGCCGCTTTTGGCGCGCTAGGCAAGCGTGTGTATGCGGTCAGCTGTGCTGTGCGCGATGTTCTGCGTAAGGGCTGTTCAAAAAGCGGGTAACGGCGGGCTGAGTCCTGGCTCATCTCTTATCTCGAATCCTTTTCCCTCTCTTCCATTCCATTTGCAACATTTAACAATCCTAGCTCTAGCATTTCATCTCTACAAGCGTTTCCAATTCAGTTCGCTTTGAAAAAGTGCAAAGACATTCTTTGCTGTCATCTTCACCCGATAGCCTCAATTCCTTTTCTTTTACTGCCTCTAAATCAGCTGAAGATTTAAAGAGTTTGCAGCACTCACTTCTTTTTTCTGGTTTTGAATACAACTTGAGACAACATTGCTTCTTAGTCAGCGCTATTGATCTACACTTTTACTTTCTTTTTTTTGCTCAATTCGGTTCTAGCAAAAATGATATTCAATTATATTTTGCCAACAATACACTTTCTTGACTTGCTTTACTTTTGGTATTGTTATTTGCAACAACTGACCTGATCAAATTATTTATTACTCAAGAAAAAGAAGGTCATCACATTGATCAACTACAAATAATTGACTTCTTCTGATCAAATATAATGTGTAATTACAATGTACCCCCCTCATGTTTCTATGCACAGTCACAAACTTTTTTGAAAAGAAACCACTACAATGGTATCATATGCATAAATACATATGTGACGGCATTATATATGTTTGTTTTGAAAAAGCGTCAGGGGTCTGGAAACTGGGGTCTAAAGGGCTATTAACAGACATTCCACAGGGGTTTACTGATTACATGATTTTTCATCTCCTATTCCCTCATCATTATCTGTTTATGACTCCACGAATCTTTAGTCTCTCTTTTAATTTTCCAATTTAAAACAAAAGATAAAAAAGATCTTCTCATCTCTCTTTGTTTTTTTAATCTCATACAATCTCAAAAATGTCAATTGCTCAATTATCAAACTATGCTCCTTTACCAACAACTAAAAGAGGTCTAACTGTTCATTTATCTTATGATCCTAAATCAGATAGAATAGCTTATTGTAATGGTAAATCTGTCTTTATAAGATCTGTTGAAAATCCGCACCACAACACAATCCAATTCACTGCTCACAATTATCCCACAACTGTCGCCAAATTCTCTCCTACTGGCTATTATATAGCTTCTGGGGATGAAAGTGGTAATGTCAAAATTTGGGATTGCTACACCTCAAAACTAATTCTTAAAAATGAATTTCAAATAATAAACGGAAGAATCAATGATATTGCTTGGGACATCGAAGGAAAAAGAATCATTGCCGTTGGAAATGGTAATGAAAAATTCGGCCATTGTTTTACAATGGATTCTGGTAATTCAGTTGGTGAAATCTCTGGTCATTCTGCTCAAATCAATGCTGTGGATATTAAACCCAATAGACCCTACAGAGCTGTAACTGTATCCGACGACTCGGCTTTAGTCTTTTATAATGGTCCCCCCTTCAAATTCGATTCCAGTGTTAGAAACAAACATACCAATTTCATTAGAGATGTCAAATACTCACCAGATGGCAAGTATATTGTATCTGTCGGTGCTGACAAAAAAATCATTCTTTACGATGGCAAAACTGGCCAATTTATTAAAGAAGTCAAATCAAATGACCAAAATAAATCTCAAAATCATACAGGCAGTATCTTTGCTGTCGCATGGCTAAATTCTTCAACCGAAATCGTCACTTGTTCTGCTGATTGTTCAATTAAATTATGGGATGTTGAATTGAATTTAGTAGTTAAAACTTGGGCGTTTAATCTCAAAACCTTGGACAACTACCAGGTCGGTTTAATTGTAACTAATCACTACTTGATTTCCTTATCCTATAATGGAAATTTAAATTATTTCCACTTGGTCAATTTTGAGGAAACTCCATTTCAAGTTATAAAAGGCCACCAAAAGTCAATCACTGCTTCAGTTATCAACTCAAACAACTTATTCACTGGTTCGTATGATGGTAGAATCTGTAAATGGAATTTAAATGACAAGACTAATGAAATTGCTTCCTATATTCAGGGTGATAATCATAGCAATTTAATTGTTGGTTTAGTATCAAATCAAGATAATGAAATCATTTCAACTGCTTGGGATGATTTGTTAAAAAAGTTTAACAATTTAAATCTTGCGGCTGCTAGCAGTTATCAATTTACTAATGATTTCAATATTAAACTAGAAAAACAACCAAAGGCCATTGCATCCAACGATTCAATTATCTCGTTAATATCTACTGACAATACACTTAAATTATTTAGTGATAAAAATGGGAAACTCATTAACTCCAAACAATTTAAATTTGAACTCTCTAATACTTTAGATATCAACGGAAATCTAATCATTATCGGTAATGACGATGACAATACTTTATTATCATTAAATACTGACAATATTGATAATAAATTGGAAAAACTAGATATAAGTTTCAGATCAAAAATCTCATTTATTAAAATCTCACCCAACAGAGAATTTGCGGCCATTGGTGAAAATTCAGGAAAGATTGTATTATATAATTTAAAGGAGAAAAAAATTCAAACCAATAAATGGAGCTTCCATACTAGTAAGATTAATTCAATCAGTTGGAATGTAAATAATAAATTTATTGTGAGTGGATCATTGGATACTAATATTATTGTTTATTCAGTTGATAAACCAATGAGAAATATTAAATTTTCAAATGCGCATAAAGATGGAGTTAGTGTTGTTGAATGGTTAAGTGATGATGTAATTATCAGTGGGGGATCCGATAGTTGTGTAAAAAAATGGAAAGTTAATTTCCATCCATAAGTGAACAACCCAACAAAAGAAAAAACGATAAAAAAATACTTTTATAAATAAGTACATAATAAATCAAATTAAATTATACGAAATCAAATGAAATCAAATGAAATCAAATGAAATCAAATAAAGTAATAAAACCATAATTTTATTATTAACGTTTGCGCTCTTTTTTCCATTTAAATACTTTATTTCCACTATTTTTTGTTAATTTTTTTTTGTTTCCGTTTTTCATAACCTCTCTGGATAAATCTAAAGTTAATTGGACTTGTCTTAGTTTCTTCTCATTTTGTATTCTCTTTCGATGCAGTTTTAACTGTTTCAATTTTTTTTTGTTTAATTTTCTTATTTGAGAATTAGAGAGTTCGAGAATACCATTACTGCTATCGTTATTGATAGCATCGTTGTAATTTAGAGAGTTCTTAATATTGTCAACTTGATCAAGAGTCAATCTATTGGATGAGTTCAATAGACTTTTGTGCGTCTTGAAATACTTCGTTGGATTGAATTTAATTTGGTCAGACTTATTATCTACAAAAACAGTGTGTTTGGATAGTTTCGAGGTATCATTCATAAACAATAATGGAGAATCTTTGAACTTTTCAATTTTTTTCAATTCTTTCAATCTCATGACGTTGATATAGTTTGAGTCCTGGGTTTTAAGCAACTTTGCCTGGTCAACATCCAAGACATCATTCCCCCTAGAGGCAATCAAAACACCATTATCGTCGGCCCTCTTTCGTGTCATCGAGTGGTAATACTCATCAGGATTTCTGAGCGATGCCTTTGTGCGTAGTTTCTTCAAAGCATCCTGTTTCTTGTGATAGTCTGCTGCTCTGAGCTTGTAGTCCTTCTTCTTCTCTAGAAGCCCCCATCTCTTACGCTCGTTGGGCTGAGATCGCTCCCTGTGCTGTTTCTTCTGGACGTTGTGCACCAAATTCACCATCTTGTGTGTTCTCTGCCTCCAGTGCTGTTGGTGGTTTTTTATCAACACTGTGAAGAAATTTTCAGCCGAAAAAATACCATAATTACCCGACCGTCCAGAAACGACCACCACGATGGATCTGCTACGTCAGTACACGCGCAATCCTGCGTCTGGGCCGAGCTGCGGGCTTCTTATCTCGGCCGCTGAAGGCAGCCCAAAACGAGATCGCAGAAGGTGGAAAAGTCGTAAAATGCGACTGCAAAGCAGAAAATGGAAAAACACCCAGGCTCAGATTGTGGATTTGGCAAGAAAACGTTTTTCATGATAATTCTGCAATTCCTTCTGTTTCTTTTAAGCTTTATTAGGGTTAGCACTAATTCATATTTAAACCGACTTTTTTGCTCCTTTCAATACAAATTTCTTTTTCTCCCTTTTCTGGTTTTTTTTTTCACACCATTCTCAATTACTAAGCAAATCAACTCATTATTCAATCTATTTGCTGGCACCGCTCCTTCTTGTTTCTCTGGTCCATCCCTGCGATACTCACTAATCATTATCCCAAAATGCCACCACAACTAAACGATGTCGACTCCATTATTAGTACCTACAATCTCGACATCGACAGAGACTTGTACATTTCTTTGTTTCTCTCTTTGATTTCCTCCAATTCCTTGATAGTATCCTCCTATGATATTAACTACACCACTTCTGAATTGCTCAAGCAGTTCAAACTAGTCTTCGGCTTTAAGGACTTGCACATCAACCATATGAATTTAAATGATTCGAATTTCTTGGATTCCTTCAAAGAACTCTCAATTCAAGACAATAACCTTGCTAACACCAACAGCATCAGAGATAATCATCAAAAAGACTCCAGTGCTCTGGTACATCCCAACCGTAACATCGATGCTAATGAGTTAAACGATCTAAATGATTTTAGTGACTCAACAATTTCCACTGACTCCGACATCGATGCCGATTTCACTAATAACCTTAGCACTAAAATAGATAATATTAAAGATAACATTAATTCCGATAAAGATATCGATAGCCACAATATCTCGATCAATCTCAACCAAGATATTGTTAATAACTCACCAAATGTACTACAATCCTCAGAATTATCAGAACTATCTATTGAAAAATTCAAACTGCACTTCACTATCAGCGTAGATCAATTAAAAAAAAGATACAAGTCATCTGCTACCTTAATCAAACCAATCAATATCATAACGGGCATTGAAAATCTATCCATCAATTACCAAATTGCGCTACTAGATATTTTAAAAAAAAAAAAATTGTTAATTAATAATATTTACTACTTTAAAACTGATATCTTTATCACTATACTAATTCTTGATAATAAAATTCAAAATCCAAACCAAAATAATAACTTCAAATTATATAAACCCTTAGAAGATCAATTTTTCTTCAAGCAACCAAATTATCCAAAACTTTTATCTTCAAAATTCAATTTACCCGAAAATGTTGACTTTCAAGTGTATAATCAAATTCCAAAAAAAGTTCAAAATAATATTCCAAATGGATTTCAAACCTCAAAACAAAAGCCAAAATTATCAGCAAACGTAAAACAAATCCTTTCTTTTAGATCTCAAATACCTAGCATTGAAATGATCTCAGAGATTAAACGCTATATCTTTGATATAATCATATTTACAAGAAATCATAGGGTTGTTAATGGTGGTATTCCAACAAGAGTTATAGCTCAATTTGAAACAATGGTCAAATCGCTATGTATTTACTATAACTATTCATTTGTTATCCCCTCAATAGTTAAACTAGCTGCCAGAAAATTACTACCTTTAAAGATCCACCTTTTATCTGATATAAACCACGAGCCTACTCTTCAATATGGTTCGGATTCTATCTTACTTCAATCAATGCTTGAAAAATGGGATGTTGATAAAGTAATCCAAGATGTACTAAGAAATGTTCAAACACCAATATGATCATTTCCTTTTCTTTCCTCTTATTTCCTTTTCTTTCCTTTCCTTTTATTTCCTTTCCTACCCTATTGTTCTATATTCCCTATACCATTAACCTATTTTTATATATTTCTATCACGCTCAATCTTTTACATATTCACATTCACTCTATATTCCTGTTCTATAGTACATAATCCTCTTTTCTTCACCTCCGGAACAAACTTGATCCCGGTTTGTTTTCAATCCCGCTTTTTTTTGTCTTTTTACCTCATCCTCCAAGGGCCACCAGGTTGGCTACAGCTACATCATAATGCACGAGTGCATAATAACCACAAACATGAAAAGTTCCAGATTTAGCTTCAATTGAAAACCAATTTCAAAAAGTAATCAGTTCAATTGTTCTTTTTTATATCATAATTTTTGTTGTCTTTTTTTCTTTCTTTCTTTCTTTCTTTTTAATATTAAATTAAAATCGATTTACAAAATGGCTGAAAAGGAAGTATGTCTCCTCTTCTTCCCTTTTTTTCTTCCAATTATCCACCTATTTATTCACCAGTTTTACTAACAATAACCAATTAGATCACAGTCGCTATCGTTGATTTATCACCTTCAATGATCGACCATAACAATTCAAGAAAAATTAGTGATCTTGAATACGGTTTAATTTATCTTAACCACTTGGTATCTACTAAAATACTTAGAGCAAGAAAGACTGATTTTGTCTCCTTAATAGCTTGTCATACTCTTGAAACCAAAATCCCACAAACATTTTCAAATTTTACATCAATGCAAAATTTGTCAATCTTATTCGGTCCAAAACAACCTTTTTATAATGATCTAAAAACTCTCAATGCCTTAAAAGCAAACCAAAATTTGTATAATGACAATGAAGGTGGTATCCTAATGGCCATCCTATTGGCGGTTGAAACGATTAAGGACTTTGTTGTTAAAAAGAAATTCAAAAAAAATATCATTATCATAACAAACGGGGACGAAGAGCTATTAATGAATAATCAATATAAATCTGGTTTAATTGATTTAATTGCTGAACAAAATATCAATCTAGTTCTAATGGGTATTGATTTCAAAATCAATGATAAAAACAAATCAATCGTTAATAACGATTTGAGGAGAAATGCAATAGCCCAATGGAAAGATTTATTTCAAAATATCCCTTTTTCTTTGTTTTTATATTACGAAGACGTTATCCATAATTTAAACCATACTTTCATTCCCAAAACTGTTAAACCAATAAGATTATTCACCTCTAAATTAAGATTAGGCGGTGATGTCTTTCAAAAAACTGAACTTAATTTTGATAATTCAATTGATCCATATTCAATCGAAATCGAAATTGATGGTTATAGTGCTACAAAAAAAATAGTGAATAAAAATACTGGCTCATTCTACCTCAAGGACACTTTATTAAGTGAATCATATCAAACAATCGAAAACTCTGAGCATGCCTTGCCAATAAAACGATTTGCAGAATACGAAATTGAAGAAACTGATATTAATACCAATAACACCGTTCAAAGAAAAATCAACGAAGATGAAATAATTAAATGTTATCAGTATGCTACAAGCAATGTTCCATTTTCAAAAGATTTAGAAGCTGCTGCAATTTATCCAACTCAACCTGCTCTAGATATTAGAGGAATAATCAATAAAAACTCTTTTCCATTATGGTATCTTCAAGAGGAAAACACTTTTATTTTTCCAAAAAAGGATTATGGATTAAAAGAATCTTTATCATTTGCTTGTATTGTAAGAGCATTAATCGACTTAAAATCATGTGCTATTGCTAGGTTTGTTCAAAAAAAGAATTCAGAAGTTCAAATGGTTGTTTTAATCCCTGTTATCATTGCAGACGTAGAAAATGATTTAAATAAATTTATCAAAAACAACAATCTTAAAAGAACATTAGATGAAAGAGAAAATAATTTAAACAATAAAAAAGGTGAGATTTATGCTCTTGTTTTAAGTAGATTGCCATTCAAGGAAGATGAAAAATTGGCACAATTCACAAAATTATCAGAGATAAGAACAATGAGTGGTAAAGTAATTACCGAAAATCATGAACTATTACCTACGCCCGAAATGAATGAAACAATGGAAAAATACATTATTTCAATGGATATGGATAATGATGAAGCTATTCCAGAAAATAATAACAATCTTAGTTATGATGATAATCATGATTACACAAGTAATCAAAAAAGTCATAATATTGATGACAATTGTGTTTTCAAAACAAAAATTATAAATAAAAACAAAAATATTCTTCCAAACACCAACATCTCAAATGAAAATCCAACTGGAAGAGAAACCGATATGGAAAAAAATACGTTATTTCGATCGGCACCACATATTTACCACCAAGATCTATCGTTGAGAACAATCGGTATTGAAGCTAGCAAAAGAGGTCAAAGTATTCTGGAATATATCAACGAAAATGTCAAGGATAACAATGGAATAGATATTGTTCCTGAAATCAATCCAGATTTACTCAAAAACAGTCATATCAAGAAAGAGTTGTTATTGAGCTCTGAAAAACATCTAAAAAAGTTAATTAACCTATTTGAGATCACATATATTGATGATGCTAAATATAAAATAAAAGCTGATCCTGATGAAGTAGAGGATGATGAATATGATGGCGATCTATCTCTAGATAGTATCTTGCGTTAATATTGTGATCGGTTGTTTTTTTGGGCTAATCTGTAAATTTCGGAAGTTGATTTTAGTCCCAAATTACCCTGAAAAGGCAAATTTCCGAACAAAGTTCCTTGTTATTCAAGATAAAGCACTCTTTCAAGAGGGAGGTATAAAAAGAAATGCACTTGACCAAATTCCTTTTGGTATTTAGAAGAACATCAGTTTTGGTTTTATAATGAACAGAGAGATCAGAATATTTTTATTAGATTTCAACGCAGAGTGTTGCTCTCGGTGGAAACACTATCTTCAGAAGATAAAGCAGGACAACCTGGAATTAAACTGGCTTGGCAGAAGGGTTTCGATTGAGACATTCTGTGGAACCTTGAGCAACTTCGGAAAAACAAATCAAAAATCAATAGGCAGTCAAGTGGGATTAACAGCAATTGTTTCTCCAGGAAACTCTCTGGGGTTTTTGCGTGGTGGTTTTGATTTAGCTATAGCTGAGTTTTTTGTTGAAGATAAGAAAGATTTCCTATTAACTGAAAGCAGGCTTCAAAACCAAATAGGCTTGAATGCAAATGGATACGTTCCCGTTGGTTGTGCCAGACTAGTTAAATTTGACGAAAAACACGATATATCCTTTGCAAATTCAAAAGCATGGAAACTACTAAGATCAAATCATATTTTGCATATACCAACAATGGCAGTTCCAGAGTCATTAATTAGTTTTCTTTCAACTGATTCTATTTCCAGATTAGTTTTTGACTGTACTTGGCAGATTCTAACAACAATAAACTCATATAATATGCATCACTTTAATGATGAATACCTTGAGACTATTGTTATTTCTGGCTTAGGTACTGGATGGGGTAAAGTTCCTTATGATATTTGTGCAAGATCAATGATTACAGCGATAATCATATTTACAACTGCTGGGTTGTCTCCCCATGAGAAGTCACTCAAATGTTTAAGATTTATAAACAAAATAAAGTAGATTTATAGTTGAAAATTGGATTATTCCTTTTTTCAAATTCTGTTATCTGTTGTTTTCAGTGTTTTGTGGTGATAGTTTTGATGTTTAAATCTTTTGGATTTGGATTTGATTTTTTTTTGATTTTTTGAAGTATTTTGGAATAATCATATTATTTTTTTTAAAAATGAACAAACGGTTTTTGCTTTTCAGATTAAATCTAAAATTGACGAGAAAGTGAGACCAAATTTGCGGGTGTCGGACTTTAAGTTTTTTTTTCATAATTTGAATTTTTTTTCTTTTCAGCTGGAAAATTTTTTTACTATGAAGGTAGTTTTAATATATAAATTATATTCAAGAAGTAATATTATATTATTTATTTACTGATATAGTGAATTGAAATATATATTATTGAGTAGGCTATACAGTATAATATAAAAATAGGAACATAATGGGCAAAAAAGAAAACAAAGCTAAAAATTCAGCGAGCAGAAAAAACTCTTTGAAAAATAAGAGTAAAGATGGAAAACCAATAGTCTCCGATGATAAGAAAGTGACAAAGGTTGTGAGTAAAACCAATGATAAGAGTAAGAAAGTGAAAGAAAGTAAAGCAGAAGACAAACCAGAGAGTAAAAAGAAGAGTGAGAAAAAAGTAACTGAGGAGAAGGTGGTTGAAAAGAAAGTGATTGAGAAGAAGAAAGCTAAGGAAAGTAAACGAGAAAATCAAAAATCAGCAAATAAAAAACCAACAGAAAAGAAAGCAGTTGAAAAGAAAGTAGTCGAAAAGAAAGTAGTCGAAAAGAAAGCAGTTGAAAAGAAATCAATTGAGAAGAAAGAAATTGGAAAAAAAACAATTGAGGATAACAAAGCCGAACAAAATGATAAAAAAAGTGATAAAAAAAGTGATCAAGTAAAGAGTAAAGATGAGAAACCAACAAGTAAAGGAACAAGGAAAAGACGAGGACGTAGAAGATCAAAACTGGCCAATAAACCAGAAGAAAAAATAGTTGTTGAAGAACCACCTGAAAGGAATGAGAAAGTGGAGGAGATTAAGAAAAGTTTGGTAAAAGATAGTATATTAAAAAAAGCAATTGAAGAACTAATCAAGTTTTATGAGAGAGAAAATAAAGCAAAACAAGACAAATCCAAGGGTGATAAGAAAAGTTTATTTGAGGAAGACAAAGGAATTGAAAATAAATTATTCTCATTAGATATTCAATTGAAGAAAAGTTTAAGTAAGAATAAGAATTTCAATAAGAAATTAATTGCAATTCCAAACAGTATTTATAATGTTAAAGATGAAAAGGACTTTAAGATTTGTTTGATCATTAAGGATAAAGTGATTGAAAAAGAAGAAGAATTGGAAGAAATTGAAAAAAGTGAGATACCTAAATTGAAAAAAATATTGCCATTTGCAGAATTGATTAAATTTAAATCATATGAACAAAAGAGAATTTTTTTGAATGAATATGATTTATTTTTGAGCGATGAAGATCTAGTTAAGAGTTTACCTAAAATATTAGGGAAAGAATTTTTCTCAAAGAGTAGTATCAAGATACCAGTTGGTGTTAGGATTAACAGTTCAAAAAATGCGCAAAGTAATAAAAAGTTTTCTGCTGAGACAATTAAGAATCAAGTGAACAAAGTTTTGAATAGTACATTTTTCATCAAATCGAGTGGAAATGTACTCCATATCCAGGTGGGAAATTTTGAGAAATTGAGTAAAGAGGAGCTTTTCAGCAATTTGAAGACAATAGTTGAATATTTCAGTAATGACGATTACGAGAGCAATATTAGAGAAATGGATTTGAAATTGACCAAATCGGTATCATTACCCATTTACATTTCAAACGAGTTATACGTTGGCGAAGAAGATATTCAAGAAGAAAAGAAAGACGAGAGCAAAGAGGTAATAGAAGACATAGAGGTTGACGAAGAGTTCTACACAGCTAATGAGTTGCCCAGTGGTCTTAAATTGACTCAATTTGAAAAGGGCTTGCTTGAACTTGGACAGTTTGAGACAACCCCAAGCTTCTTGGAAAAAAAAATAAAAAAACTCAACAAAGTTGAAGCAAAGAAGGCTGCTGAAACCAAGAAGAATCAGAAAAAGAGAAAGCGCGAGGAAAGCAAAGATTCCGAAAACGACAAGGTTATAGAGAAGACTCTCAAGGCTGTCAAGACTGAAAAAGCTGTCAAATCTAAAATAGCTGAAAAGGTTACAGTAGCTGAAAAGGTCGAGAAAACTGAGGCAGCTGCAAAAACAGACACCAAGACCCAAGATGCCAGCACTGGAGAACAAACAGTTGCCAAAACCAGAAAACCCTGGCAAAGAAGAAAGAGGTCCAAGGTTGCCCAACACACTAGCTAGTGCATAGAATGTAGTTCTTATTTACATAACCTCAATTCCAGCTCATATCGATATTTCAACACCTTCTAATAATACCTGCCTCCCGCACCACTGGTCCACGGCCGAGACCCAGCCATTATGCACTACATGGTGGGTTTCTGTGCCCAGCCGCGTTCTGCAGCAGAAACTGTACAGCCAGCCACGTGGACGTCTGTTTTCGACTGTTTTCTGGTGCTTGTTCGCTTTTGGGCGCTTATCATCCAACAGAAGGTGTGCAACTCAATTGAAGAGTATATAACTGCTGTCTTTTCTTCCTCTTTCTTTTGTCCTCATCGTCTCCATCATCCATCATGTCTGCTGTAACTGCTCACTCTGTCACCCCTTATCTCGATCAAAAGCCTGGTACCTCAGGCTTGAGAAAGAAGGTCACTGTCTTCCAACAGGAAAACTACACCGAAACCTTCATCCAAGCTATTTTATCCTCAATTCCTGAAGGTGCCAAAGATGCTGTCCTAGTCGTTGGTGGCGATGGTCGTTACTATAATGACCACGTCATGCAACTCATTGCCAACATTGCTGCTGGTAATGGTGTCAAAAAATTGATTTTTGGTCTTGACGGAATCTTATCAACTCCTGCCACCTCAAATATAATCAGAACTTTTAAAAAGGAAAAGGTCACTGGTGGTATTATTCTAACTGCCTCCCACAACCCAGGTGGCCCCAAGAACGATTTGGGTATCAAGTACAACTTGGCTAATGGTGGTCCAGCTCCAGAATCTGTTACAAACAAAATGTTTGAATTCTCCAAAAGTGCTCATCAATATTTCACAGCCGAAGTACCAGAAATAGACTTGTCTAAAATTGGTGTTCAAAAATATGACAATATAGAGGTTGAAATAGTCGACTCCACAAAGGACTATGTTGAAATGCTCAAATCAATCTTTGACTTTGACTTAATCAAATCATTCATCCAAAAGAGATCTCCACAAGGCTTTAAACTTCTTTTTGACGCTTTAAACGGTGTTACTGGTCCTTACGGTAAAGCTATTTTCATTGATGAATTGGGCTTGCCATTATCCTCAATTCAAAACTGTACTCCTCTACCTGACTTTGGTGGTTTACACCCAGATCCAAATTTAACTTATGCCAAAACTTTAGTTGACAGAGTCGACGCTGAAAACATCGCTTTTGGTGCTGCTTCTGATGGTGATGGTGATAGAAATATGATCTATGGTGCTAACACTTTTGTTTCTCCTGGTGACTCTGTAGCTATCATTGCAGAATACGCTGATTCTATTCCCTACTTTAAAAAATCTGGCGTCTATGGTTTAGCAAGATCAATGCCAACTTCCGGTGCTTTGGATCTTGTTGCAAAAGCTAAAGGTCTTGAATGCTACGAGGTTCCAACTGGTTGGAAATTCTTTTGTGCATTATTTGATGCTAAAAAATTATCAATTTGTGGTGAAGAATCCTTTGGAACTGGCTCTGACCATATTAGAGAAAAGGATGGCCTTTGGGCAATTGTAGCCTGGTTAAACGTTTTGGCTGCTTATGATGCTCAACATCCAGAATTAGAATCTGCTGCTACCATTAAAATTGTTCAAGATGATTTCTGGAACAAATATGGTCGTACTTTCTTCACTCGTTTTGACTACGAAAATTATGATTCCGCACTTGCTAACAAATTGGTTGATAAACTAAACAAAGACATCGATGATCCCTCATTTATTGGCTCAACCATCTTCAACTCTGCCGATAAATTTAATTCGACCACTGTTGTCGATGCTGGTGACTTCAGTTATACTGATTTAGATGGCTCAGTATCAGACCATCAAGGTTTATATGTTAAATTATCAAATGGTTCAAGATTTATTGTCAGATTATCTGGTACTGGCTCCTCTGGTGCAACCATTAGATTATATATCGAACGTCACAGTGATGACCCAGAAACTTATAAATTGTCTGCAACAACTTATTTGAAAGATGATATCAACTCAATCACCGGTTATTTAGGTTTCAAGGAAATCTTAGGAACTGATAAGCCACATGTTATTACTTGAGCTATTTATACTCAAATTTTAATTACAAAAATCAATATATATTATATACCGTCCATTTCATTATAAATTTATAAAATTTTCGTTTTAATAAAATTAATGGGTTTCTTTAGTTATCTTTAGTTATCTTTAGTTATTTTTAATCATTTCAAATAATTTATTGGATTTCTGTAATCGTCTTTCGGAAAATGTTGATTTTTTAGAAACAAACGGATTCTCATTATTCAAATTATTATCTAATGAATCAAGTCTTTTTCTTTCATTTTCAGTAGACTCTTTAAAACTGCTCTTATTATCGATTCTTTCATTCTCTTCAAACATGCATCTGCCTTGCCTACCTTGCTTCCATTTATCAATCCAATAAATAGCACACGCATTCTCATCAAAATGTTGAATTATTCCCTTCAATTTAGCTTTTTTGCTCATTTTGTTATTGACTTTATTTATCCTTTTGGCAATTGCATATAGTAAAGTCATTATCTTATTTGTTGGTTCAGGATAAAACTCAGCATATAATGAACCCGTAGGATCTTGTTTGTTCAAAAGATATAATAAATAATCGGCTTGAATAACAGGCGATATTTGATTAATCCCAACACACCCAATTAGCGCCAATGATATCATTGTATTGGAGTCCTTAACTCTAGGCAATGATACACCTGGAGTATCATACAAAAGTATATCAGGATTTTTCGTTATTCTGGTGATTTCACTAGTATTTTTGGTTACACCAGGCTGACCTCCAGTTTTAGCCACCTTTTTTCTTGTATTCAACCCAATAGATCGTAAACCATTAAGAAGTGTACTTTTCCCAACATTGGGCATACCAACTATCATTATTCTATAACCTAGTGGTTGTGGTGGATAAATATCTTTAAATTTGTTTTTCAAAAATTCAACCAAATATTCTATTTCATTTCGTTTTTTGAAATCTAGTATCATATACTGTTCATTTTTATGCCATCTATCTAATGTTTCTTTCTTCAAACTACTCAAGTCACTTTTTGAGTATAGAATAATTTTTTCTTTATTAACTAACGCTTTTTCAAATAAGAGGTTTCTAGAACTTATAGGTGCTCTCGCATCTCTGGTCTCCAATATTAAATCAATCTGGGGACTTAATGCTGCCATTTTTTTCATTGCTTTTAAATGAAAGCCTTTGAAATCTGCTAGATTAAAATTATAATCAGGAAAGTATTCTCTTGGGATAAATTGCCTTTTCGTGGCTGCTTTAGTAGCAGCTTTGACTACAGCACCACTCATTATGCTTTATAGAATTATGTTATCTCACCAATAGATTAATCGAAAAGAGTTTGATATTATAAATGCAGTCTCAAGATTGATGTTCATCAACAGAAAACCCAGAAACTGATCTCGAAAAAAACAACTGATTTAGATTTACGGAGCAAGACCCGAAAAAGAAAAGGATTACCGAAGAATCAGCAATTACTATTTTCATTAACATTTTTGATGGTTTTCAATCAAAAAAAAAGCAAGTCTTTTAATTTTTTTATTTATTGTAATTTTTGACTAAGTTAATTTAAAATAGTATTACTTTTTACTAAGAAATCACTGAGATTAGACAATTAAATCACAATTAAAACATATTTTAGGCTTTCCTAATTCGGAAACCAAACCTTACTGGATTCAATATTAGAATAACTCTGAGAACTTATTAAAGAAAATAAAAAGCAAAAATTTGATAAGCAAAAGTCATTTATTTTTAATTGAGAATTAAAGGACTTTTAACAAAGTTCAATAGAAAGATAATTGTTTCAAAACTTGGTAAAAGTAAAATCGGCCTGTTTTTTTTTTCGGGTTCTTGCAATGGTTCAACATTTTTGGCCCAACAATAAACGACTAATGAAATCCAATAAATATATGTAATTAACTACAATCCAATAAAGATATTTTTATTTCAGTTATTGCTTTTTTAACATAAAGCACAACAATCAGAGAGATTATTGGGCTAAAGAATCTATTCAAACAATGACCCTTTGAAAGTGGAACTAATGGCTACTTTACTGATGTTCTCTTACATTTTCCTTCACAATTTGGAACATATAGGCAAGTCCCAGACTGCTGGTCCTGAGATGTCTGATTATATCTGAAAATTCTTCTGTGTATTGAACCTTTTTTAAAAGCTTCAATCAACAATTAAAATGCCTTTGGTAATATTTACTGGCTTGCCTTCAAGTGGGAAAACCACAATAGCTCAAAAATTGATTAGCCTTTTAAATGAGAAGATTTCTAGTCTTCCCCCTGGTGCGCCAGGTGCCAACTACAAAGTGATTTATCATTCGGATAAGACCCTTGGAATAACTCAAGAAGACTATAGAGAATCGCTTACAGAGAAAGCTTCTAGAAACTTGCAAATGTCTATGGTTAAGAGAGATATCAGCTCAACAAATATTGTGATTTTAGATTCTCCTGCATATATCAAGGGTTTTCGTTACCAATTATTTTGCGAAGCCAAACAGACCCAGACAACTCATTGCGTGATTTATATCATGGCTCCTATCAAAGTGTGTCTAGAATACAATTCAAAAAGAGATGATGCTGAAAAATGGGACAAAGAATTAATAAACCAATTAGCAATGAGATATGAGGAACCTGATGGCCACAATAGATGGGATTCACCATTGATTCCAATAGCATTCGATGATAAAGATTTACCGATTGACGAGATATGGTCTTCATTGGTATTAAAGAGGAAGCTAAAAGCGAATTCGGCTACTATTATAAAAACACCCACATCTACTAATTATTTGCAAGTTCTTGATAAAAAAACTCAAGAAGTCATTTCAAAAATCATCCAATTTCAAAAATTGCAGTCGATTGGTGGAGATGTTTTAATTGAGAAAAGCAGTTCTGGTTATGCAAAGGACGACTTATATGTTGAATTACCTGGTAGAACAGTGTCAGTCGCTCAATTGCAGAGAATCAGAAGAACTTTTGTTTCATTGAATAGAGTCAGGTCTATTGATTTTGACCGAATAGTCCCTTTGTTTGTTGAATACATTAATAAAAATTTGTCAGAAGACTAGAATTATAGTTTATCTATATATGTTTTATAGAAAACCTCCTAAACTATTTTTATTTGGTATATTTACAAAACTCATAACCTTTTTGTTACCAAAAATCAATGGCATCTCTTATTTCACTACATTGTTTTTCAGGATCAGCAACATTAAGTAATTTTTTCAAACCGTTTATAATTTTTTCCTGCTCTTCAGATTTAAAGTGACTCAAAAAATCGTTTCTAAAATAGTATGGCATAACTTTTGTCAACAAATTTCTATTGACGGCAAGATTATCCTTTAAATAAAGCAAATTTAAAAAATAACTCCAAGGCTTTTTATCATATTTAAACCCTCGAGTAGTGCGAAACGCTAAATTTCTTTCCAACATATCTTTTGGCACAGCACCTCTACTGGACCACAAAGCCCATAAATCCATCCAATCATCAGCACAAACCATATAACTCAATAAAATAGAGTAAGCTTTATTCTTCACTTCCAAAGAAATATTTTTGTTGGTGAAAAAGTAGCCTGTTAGCATAATAAGCTGTTCAACAGGGAATAAAAAAAGGTCGTTTCCAAGAGAATTTTTTGGTTTTAAAACATGAACCGCAGGAGAAAATTCTCGAGATACTTCAAGCAAAACTTGTTCAGGTTTTATAAAATGAGAAGAATTAAGAGGAGCAGCAACTTTCAAAATTGAAAAATATAAATCCTCATTGATTTCTAATGTTTGAGTTCTCAACACAAAACAATCTTTGAAAAAGGACATTATAAAAGAAATTCTCTTATTTAAAATTTTCTCAAGCTTAGAAGGTGATTTGGTATTCAATGAAACTTCTGGAGATTTTTCAACAGTATTTACAAACATTTTGATATCTTCTTGAGTGACCATATGGCCGCCAGACTGTTTCATATATAAATTTTCTTTTAGATGCTCTAAAGAAACCAATGATGGATCATTAAAATGAATTGTCTCTAAAAATTTATAATATATAATCCATTGATTGTTTGACGCATATAATGGAAATACTTCATCAAAAGCAGCTACAAAATACTTATCAATTATATCATTATACTTTTTCACGTAGCAAAAATTGGCAAATAAAACAAATGTTGTTAAAATGTTATCAAGAGCTTCATTATCAAAAGCAAGGTCTGGATTTCGGTCAAAAGCCAATAGTGACGTTAAAAAATTACCAGAAAAAGGAAAACCTTTGAGTTTTTCAATTAAAAATTTGACACCTGTTTGTTCAAATTTTTCAAATCCTTCAACTCCTTCAACATTTTGAGCCATTGTTGAATACTTTCTGGTTCCCAAGCCAGAGTTTGGTTGAAAGTTGGTATGGTTTGTGAAATTGTTGAGTTTAAGTTCCAAATCCAAATGTGGAGTAGAAAGAGAATGAAAACGTCTAATACCAGAAAAAATATTGTCATTATCATCAAATTTATTTTGATCGTGACGAACATATTTGTAATGTTCTTCTTTTGGCGACCATAATAACTCCAAATTTAAATCATATCTTCTTTGCTCAGTTAGAAAGTTAATAAAGATGTTATCACACTTAGTGTCAATCATAATCCAACTGTTCGCTGTAGAAGAATCAGATACACCATAATATTTATCCACCGAAGAAACTCTCTTTTTTGCTTTTTTTTTTAATTTTTTTAATTTTGCTGATGAAGTTGCAGACTTATCTAAACCTTCAACGTAAGGGATTTCAGAGTAAGTATTTTTGATAAATTCAGCATGTAATTTTGCAGCTTTATAAGCATGTTTTTCCGATTTGCACGACCCAATGATCATATAATCAGCAAAACCCTTTGTAGCTGTTTGGTCGGTTGAATCCAAAAGTTTAAGATCCATAATTGTAACATCATATATACCCAATCGTTTTGTCAAATCGAGTAAGATTGGTTCAAGTGTTTTTGGAGCATCTTCAGGTATTTCGGGCATTTGAATGTCGCTGATTGGGACTTGTAGCTCAGAACTATCATCACGCAAATACCAGGGAGTTGACACATCATCGGTTTCTTCCTCCTCAAGACCGTATTCTTCCGATGTTATCGGATCAAACCCCTTTGATGAAACAGTTGAAGCAGCTGCCAAATTATAAAACAATAGAATACTATTTTTCTGAAAACCCAAATTCAAATTATCTATTGGTTTTGCAAGTTGAACAACTTCACCATCAGACTCGATTGGTATATTGTTGAGAGTATTCTCGCCATTATCAAGCCCAGTGCTCTGTTTTTGGTAAATAAATGAGTTGATATGAACTGCCCGAGAAAGCCAGGCGTTTCTTATGCCATACAATGGTATTATTGCTCGAGAACCCAATCTGCTTCTAATCATTTTGCTGGTGTTCCAAAGTTTTCTGAATAGAAAAACCCTTCTTTCAAAACGATGTTTCCCCACGGATTCGGCACGAAGATTAATTTCTCTCCACGGAGACCGGAAACCAGTGGTGTGGAGCACACGTTAAAAGATATTTTGGTGTTACTTTTTGAAGTTCTCTGAATCAAAGCTGTTAATTGACTGAATATTGAAAAGAACCCAGAAGATGAGCACCACTGCGACGTTGGATCCCATAACGACGATAAAGTATCAGATAAAAAACTGGGAGTATGCTTTCAAAAAAGAACACAACGCTCAACCGAGCAAAGAAGATGTCAAAAACGATCCCAACATAGCAAAGCTTTATAGAGAGTATAAAAGATTGAAATACTATAAAAGTACTAAAATAGTAGCAAACAATGAGAAAAAAACTATATCATATGTTCTGAGAGCAAACACTAAAAATGACCAGATTGAGCCTCAGAAACAGATAGTTGGCAGGTTGAAAACACCAGCAAGAAATGTGAAATATACTCCAGTAAACTCGCCCGAAAAGAATACCAATGCCACTCCAGCACCAGAATCCAATTTAATTCCAGCAGAAATTGGTCCAACTCCACAGTTAAATGGCAGGATTCTTGGATTATTTGAACTATCGTCTACATCACCATCGAAACCTTTGACAAATTCTAGTTTAGAATCCGGTCAATCTTCCAAACGAAAACTAAATTTTGATAGTTATGGAAATAGTGATGATGAAGAAGAAGTTGATGATCAAGATCAATGTATAAATACTGAAAACTTGTTGGGCGATAATATTAATAACATTAATAAGAAAATCAAAGTAGTTAGTTGCGATAACACTACCAACGTTAAAAAAGAAATTATGGACGTGCAATTAAAAGAAGTGTTTTTAAAGCCATTGCTAAAAACTCCATTAAAGAAAGTAACCCATTTTGTTGATTTGCCAAAAAACCTATCAATTGTTCCAAATACAGATACCTTTGAATTTTGTTCAACTTCTCAACTCATATTCCAATCTAATATTAGCCCTGTTAAGTTTGTTAATGAGACACCAGACTATTTGAAACATGCTAGAGTTATTGAAATAACAGATGACTTAAACATAGGGTCAACTCCAGACCTACCTTCTTTCTTTTCGAAAAAATTTAAAAGACCTTCGCAATTAGTATCAGAGTTATTGAAAATTAAAGAAGAAATTATTCAAAACAAAAATTTTGAAAAAATTAAAGATGAGATTGATTCCGAATTTAATAAATCTGAACTTGATAATAAAAATACAAGCGAGACCTCGGGATATAATGACACTCAAAATGGATCTACCAATATACTTGAATTACAAGATGCAGCTGATAGTAAGGGCATTTATTATAAGATGAGATATAAGAAAAAAGGTCAAAAAAGAACAACAAGGAGAAGCAAAATATTGCCCAATATTAATCCAAATCAACCTACCAATAGTAAGGATATAAGTAAAAAAATTGATGAGTTTATCGAGTTAGAAAATAATGAATTTGATGAAAATGTTAATCAAGAACATGAATCAGAAGAAGAATGGTCTTTATCTGACGATTCTGAACATGAAGAAGAATACAAATTCACAAAAGATGCCGATTCAAAAACCAAAAAAAAAGTTGAAGCTCACTCTCATCAAAATTATGTAAGGTTGAAAATTAAAAACAACAAAAAAGGAATTAATTTTAGAGGTGGCTATAACCGATTTCGAAGATAAATTAATATAATCAAATACAATTGAATGATTTCTTGTTTTTACCTTTAATCTTTTAAGAAACACAGCACTTTACTCTGCATACATTAGTTTTTAATTTTTGTTATGAACTTATGAATCTATGAAATTATAATCTAGATTTTTTTTATTATTTTACATTTATTATTGAGACCTATATACTTAATAGTTCCAACATTCCTTGTATTCTTTGAGCGTCTTTGGCCTTTTCCACTTCTTGAGTTACTTTATTTCTTATTGACATAAGCAATTCTTCCAATAAGGGACTCTTTTCAATAGTTGTACCATAAAGGTCTATTATAATACCAACATAATCACCCAATATACTGACATTTCTGTCATCGTCAATATTTTTATAACACCAAGTTAGCAAAGGTTCAAGAGATGCACTATCTCTTTTTGCTAAAGCAACTGCAATTTTCCCTCTTCTACGTATTTCTTCTAATATAGTTATTGTAAGCTCTTTACTCATTCCTGAAACAAAAGCTGAATCCAAAGCTTCCGGCCATTTAAAGGCATTGATGAGCTTTTCATATTGTTTTAATTTTGGAGCTTTATTTTTATCAGAAAATACTCGATGTTCGTATCCACCATCATATTCAGCACCTCTTATCATTTTCGCAAAAGCATTACTTTTTTTGCTTTTAGTAGCACCAATCGGAAAATCTAAATCATTTTTTTTCCTATTCAGAGATTTCTTTCCAGTTTTTTTTGTTCTTATTGATAAAAGACCTGAAGTTAAACCAGTAACAAAATGTTTATAATCAGGAGATACTCCGCAACTTAATACACCAGTACCAAATTTCCAACCAAACTTGACTTCCCATAAAGAAGAACTTGTATCGAATATTTTAACATGACCATCAAGAGAACCAGCTAATAAACCCTTTTCACCTGCATCGGCAAGACACGTAACAGTTTTTTGGAAATTTGAAATATTTCGAATTAATTTACCGGCAGCTATATCCCATACTTTTATAACAGGGCCACCAGCAGATACTAAAGTAGTTGGATTTAAAGATAATATGTCTTCAACAGGAGCGTCTTGGTTAAAAATTTGAACAGGTTTTGAGCCATCAAGTCTAGTATCAAAAATTCTAACATTTCCATCATAACAACCTGTTACTACTAAATTAGAGGATGAAGGTATAAAATCAGCAGATCTAACATAATCATTATGGTTTGTTAAAATATGAATAGGCTTTGAGTTATTAGTGGTATCATAAATTCTAACAATTTTATCATCAGAAGCAGTAAGAACATTACTTAAAATAGTTGGATGAAATTTCGTTACATGAGTTGGATAGGTTGAAGGGTTTATAGTGACTAACAAAGATCTTGGATTAAAAGCATCATATATTTGGACCAAGCCTGAAGCATCACCTGCGACGAGCAATTTACCATCACTTCTAATTTCACCACTATAGACAGTATCTTTAAATCTTGAGAAATTTTTAGTGACTTGTCTAGTTTTTGAAGAAAAAACTTGAATTCTTGTAGATGAAGTAACAGCGAAATCATGAGGAGATACTGGATTAAAACATATGTGATTGATAGCATTGTGTTCTTTTATAATTTGAGTATTCTATAAATTAAAAACCCACAAAAAAATTGAATTAAGAATTCTTTAATATTAGTATATTGAAAAGAATTTTGATTTGATAAAAAGAAGAGTAATAATAATAATAATAATAATAATAGAATAACATACACCATAACTTCTCCAATATCTTTGCTCAGGAGTAGTTTGAGCGGGTAGAGCAGGGTTTTTGACTATGTCAATTCTTTGAATATTAGAAGACATTTGGCTGAGTAGTAATTATGAATATGGTACAATTTTTTTTTTATTAAGATAATTTAAATTTGAATTATGTTTTAGATATATTTTTTTATGATGTTAAATTAAACTTCAAATTTTTCAATATTTGGAAGAAAAAAAATAGTGAGCACGGATATCCATGGAGACGGATTTAAAGAAGTACCGTATTTGTGGATTTTGGAATCTGATTTGATTTGATTTGATTTGAGGTTGAGAGCAATTGTGAGAAGACATAATTGTGGAAGTATAATAGAATTGATTTGTGGTTTGTTAAAATGTCAGTTGTTATTGTCACAGGAGCCAGCAGAGGAATTGGAGAAGCTATTGTTAAGCATGTTTTAAGAGCATCAGAAGAGAATAAGGTCGTTGTTACATCCAGAACATTATCGAAGATGGTTGAAATTTATTCTGGTTTCAATCAGAATAATATTGAGTATGTCGGGGGAGATATTAGTGATGGGAAGACTATTGACGAGATAATTGAAAGGAGTGTTGATAAATTTGGGAGAATTGATTCGATAGTTGTTAACGCTGGGATATTAGAACCAGTTGATAAGATAAGCAATTATAAGAATGAGAAAAAAGAGTGGGAGAGATTATTTCAAGTTAATTTCTTTTCCGCTATTGAATTGGTCAGCAAGTCGATTGAATATTTAAGGAAGAGTCATGGAAGAATTATATTTACATCTTCGGGTGCTAGTGTTAAGAACACTGAAGGATGGGGAGCATATGGAGCATCGAAGGCAGCATTGAATCATTTATGTGGAACCATAAGCAATGAAGAAAAGGCAAATGGGATCAGGACTATATCAGTTGCGCCAGGAGTTGTTGATACGCAAATGCAAGATGATATTCGAGGTAGGCTTGGAGAAAAGGGAATGAGTTTAAAAGATTTAAAGATTTTCCAGGAATTGAAAAAGGATGGAAAATTATTAGATCCAAAGGTCCCTGGTAAGGTATTGGGTAATTTGGCTTTGATGGGTATCGAGGAAGAATTGAATGGAGTTTATCTTAGATATAATGATAAGAAATTAGCTAAATATAAGTAGATGATTAGATAATTAGAATAGAAAATATATAGAAGTATAATTATATTTATTATATAAAAGTTCCCAGGAAGAAAAAAAGAAAAAAACAAATTGAAATTAGAGAAAAGTAATTAAAGAAAAATCACAAAGTATGATATAAAGAAAACATAACACCAGATAAAAAAAAAACAAGAATTTTAATATACAATATATACTTCAAAAACAAATGAACAAAAACCAAAGCAAAATTTTATCAATTAATAAGTAAATTTTATATTGAAATTATCTAATTTTTTTATTCTTTTTTATTTGCAATTTTCTTTTTAATTTGCCCATTTATTTAATTTAAATTGATTTAAAGAACTTGTCTAAGCACAGCTTCATTTGGTAAATTAGTTGCTGAATCGTCTTGACCATTATGAAACTCTTGATGGGAGAAAGCGGAAAATGCATAACAAATTGAAGATATAAGCATCAAAATGGCTAAAGCTAATAAAGAGGTTGTTTGAACAATTAGCGATAGAAATTGAACCACAGCCATTAACAAGTAGAAACCAGCTCTGGGCCAGTTTTCGTTGAATTTTTTCATGATATTGACAAACTTATCAGTAAATGGGCAAATCTTCAACAAAAAGGGCAATTCAATAAATAGAATCAAAAAACCTTGAACAATAGCAAGTATGCTGAATATGATAACCAAGGAGAAATGGAAGATGTTGGCAACACCCAAAGCTAGACAGAGGAAGAAGGTGAGAATTCCAATCCATTTACCATAGATACCATAGTTGCGACTTCCCATGTCATTTTTGAACTTGTCGACGCCTACACTAAAGGAGGACTTTAGAATTTGCATTGAGAAGGCCATGGTCAGAGAAGAAGAGTTTGTGGATGCAATTGAAGAAACAAGAGAGGCCACCAGGATCAATTTATATATCGTCCACAGCTTTCACAAGTCTGCAAAGGAGCCACGAAGCACAGACACCCAACACCCAGCTCAGCCGCAGAAAAGCCATCGCGCGCACGTGCCCCGCAGGTTGTGCAGAGTTTCGTGCAGGCTCTCGTATGCGCTCTTTTGTGTACCCTTCGTGCTGCCTGTGCTGGATGAGCTGCCTGTGCTGTAGACAATGGACCGGAGCTACTACAGGTGGAACTACTCTAAGGACCTTCTTCTTTCCCGTTGCGTCTTGCAGAACATGCCAGAGGTGCTTGACGACTCCAGGAGACATGGCCAGCGCAACTGGCACTCGGTCTTGAAGGCCTTCAACAGCAAGCTCGACCAGCCTTACAAGCAGTACCGGAAGCTCAAAGAGCATTTCAGCAAGCTTTTGGTGGACCACCAGCAGCAAAAGGCCCTGGGTGAGCTTGTCGAAAACGAACTCATTGACACCTTAGACGCCATCCTCCTTCAGCGCTGTGAGAACGAGAGCCGGATCAAGAGAAGGAAGAAGGAGGAAAGAGACAAAAAATTGCAGGATCAAACCTTAAAGCTTATGAAACTACACTCTAGTTCTGAAAACGATCACTCGACTCCTGTCGCTGCTGCTGCTGCTATTACTACTACTGTTTCTTCTTCTTCTTCTTCATCTGTCATTGGTGATGGAGGCACAACCCCAGACCTTCCGCCAGTAGCAAATACTAATAGTGATCTCTCGGCTTTAACCATTTTTCAAAAGCTTTTATCCAAGCCCATTGAGGTTAGAATTAGCAATTCTCTGTCAAATGCAGCTCCACAAATTGAGAATTACAAAGATCTTGAGAAAAGATTGGATGCAATTGAACAAAACTTAAAATCTCTTAATTCAAGTTTGATTATTCAAATTGATTCAATTAAAAGTGAGATCAAAAGTGAAATTGAACACCAATTTGATATCTTAAGATCTCAATTAAAGAATGAAAAACAATAATGAATTGAAGCCGTCATTTTATTGCCAATTAATTTGTAATTTTGCCTTTTTTTTATTATATTTTTGTATATCTGTATAACTATAATGCTATGTTTATCTTATCTTCTCGCACAAAATAACTTGCACGATTATCTTGTACTGCATCTTACATTCGTATCATCTATCGTATTATCGTATTATCGTATTGAACAATTATCCCTTTAAATTGTATTTATTTTGTCACAAATATTATAAAATTACACATAATTAATTATAAAAAAAAAGAAAAAAAAAAGAAAAAAGAAAGAAGAAAGAAAAAAGAAAAAAAAATAGGAGATTGAATGGCTATGACAGCTAAATCAATGACTTAATGGCTTAGAATAATCAAACCGTTATAACAAATAAGATGAACATTATTATAACAATTACGCCTAGTTCAAACATTTGAAATAATATAGAACTTAGATTTAACCTCATTATAAATGAAACCAAATACTGTAAATTTCTAATAAGAGATTTAATCTTATACCCAAACCCATGGTTATTATTCTGAAATACCGTCAAATATTTATTTCTTTTATCTCTCCGAATTACTAACTCCGGCATCTCTTCAACGTCAATTGAAAATGAATTTATATCTTGTTCATCTTTAATAAAATTATTTTCATTGTTATTATGATTGTGATTATGATTATTATGAGAGTCATCTTTATTTAATATTTTAAGAAAATTGGCCAATCTTGTTGAATTGTCATTGTTATTATTACCGGTAGTACTACTATTATTGCCACTAGTGCCACTAGTGCTACTGCTATTATTATTGTTATTGTTCAAATTAGATAAATACTGATAATGAAATTTTCGATTTCTAAATAGATTTTTATTCCGATTCCAATTCCGGATCTTATTATTGTTAATTAAATAACAGACTATTATAGTTAGCCCGGATATTATACTCAATATAACATATGTTATGATATCAATGTATGGAGTAGGTAAATAGCAAATCTCTGTTTCATATTTTAAATAATTTTCGTCATTGTTATTTTTATTTTTATAAACAGTCAATAGTTGAACAGCGGGATATTTGATGCCCATTGTCATTGATATAGATTTAACTGTGATTTCTTTAACTTTTTTTTTATTATTATGGATATCGTGGTAAACTTCGCAGTAATCGTGATCATCACCACTGAATATCAAATCAGGTTTAATTTTATCAAGAATATCATTTGAGATATCGGAATCTAAAACTGTTTGGTATTGGTAGCCCTTTGTAAAGGGGAAAATATTGCTTTCTCTGTATTTGCCACAATAGTCATCTTGGTTTCTTATTAGAGGAACATGGGATAGAAGGATTCTAGGTAATAATTTTTCTTGGTTTGATAGGTTATCTAAAAATTTCTGTGGTTTTGAATAGATCTTTGGGTTTTCACTATTTGATAATGATAAAGAATCTAGGGGGATTATCAAGAAATTGAACAATTGTTTTGGAATCAAAGTTCCAAAATTTTCTTCGTATCTTTGCACAGAATCTAGTTTGACACCATTGCCGAAACCTATGTCATGATTTCCCGGAATCATTATAATTTTATTCGAATTTAAATTATTATAGTTTTTAAAAATGTTCTGAAATCTATTGAACTCATTGGAGTAATATTCAGAAGAAGAAGATCTTCCATTATCGAGATAGTCGCCCAAGAAGATTAAAGCCTGTGGTTTTAAATAATTCGATAACGATTTGAAATTTTTTTTCAAGTAATTGTCAGAGGTTATTTTTGAGAGAGTTAATAGAAAATTATTGTAATTGGGATAAGTATGATTATCTATTAATTGAGGATCGGCAATTAACATTATTTTATAATATTCCAGGTCATTGTTGTCATCATTAATATTGTGGTTATTGTTATTATTGTTATTATTGTCATTATTTTCGGATGGATATTTCTCTATTTGAGTTACCTGGTTAATATCTTCTAGCGGATTTATATCTTTATCCTTAGAATTTTCGTTATTATCAGTATTATTGGTATCACCTTGGTCCTGGTGTTCATGTTTCTTAATCAATTTGTTGACATGGCCTACATCGTGGTGATTCCAATTTGACCAATCACAACTCCTTGCAGCTTTATAGGGAAGATATCTTTCGTGATAATAAAAAGTGAAAAACCAAATTACTATCAATATAATTAAATGAAGTTTCAATCTCAACTTCATTTTTTATTATTTTGTTTTGTTTTTGATGCTAATCTTAAAGGCTTAAAGAAACACTATTGTTTGAAAGATAGTGGACGTAATATAAGAGAAAAGCCTGCAAGACAAGATAAAGAAGAAAGCATCATCCAGCATCCACAGCCAAACAAAGCGAGAGGAGACCGGAGGACAACCAACCGGTCGATAAACCAGCCGCTTCCCAACCAAAGTGCCACAGATATGCCACCGGCCACATACCGACCAGCTAATTAGCGTGCACGGGCTGCCCTACCACGCATCCGTTCGGCGTGGTCTTGTCCAGGCCGGAGCGGAGCACGCACGGGGACCAGCGGACGGTTGGTGCAGCAGGGACAACGCGTGGAAGGTGACTGTCCGCACACACCGACGTCTGTTGCTGAGGCTTCGGCGCACCCAGCTGCAGCGCGCTGATGCCGGTGGTTGCGAAAGCGTGTGAAGGCCATCCGCGGCCGCAGCTGGCCTGGACCGGAAGGCGCACATCCGGGGTTTTGCTGGGCGCGCGGTATATAACCAGGTGTCGCCATGGCTCACGAACCAGAACCATTGTGAGCGTCTCCACGAGAAGCAGAAGAAGCAGAAGCAGCAGCCGCCGCAGAAGCAGCAGAAGCACTACCGTTTTTCAAGCTTGTTCTTCAGTGTCCTTTCCCAGACCCCTTCCTTCAACTTTATTTCTTGCTCCCAAACCCAAAACACAATTGAAGATAACAAAGAGCAACAAAACAACCCCAAAACTGCCCTCCAACAGACCTAAATACTTTTCAATCATAAAGAAAATTTTGCTGAACCTCTCTCACCATGAACACCAACCCTGATGGTTCAATCAACTACCACAATCCCAACAGAGACGTCTCTCGCTACCGCAACATATTTGCTGAAATACCTTCAGCTTCCATACCGCAAGGGCCTCCTGTGTCCCAAGTGCCCCAAGTGTCCCAAATTCCTCATCTGGTTTCTCAACATGGCCCTCAGCCAATTCCTTTATCTGCTCAAGCACCAAACATGATTCCTATGTCAGTCAATGTGTCCCTTCTCAACCAGTCGACTCAGCAGAATCAGCCAAACCAGCACAATCAACAGACTCATCAAAGCCAGCACAACCAACAATCACAACTGTACTTGCTGTCACTATCTCTGACCTCTTTGGTTTCTCCCGCCTATAGCCAGTCCTTCAACTACTCACAGACTGAATTATTAAAACCAGATTCTAAGAAAGCTTGCACAAGATGCAGAAACAAAAAAATCAAGTGTTCTTCTGAGATTCCAGTTTGCACAAATTGCTCAAAACACGACGTGGATTGCGATATAATGGATTGCATATCTTACAATTTTGATACTGTTCGTTCCTTGCAATCAGAAATTGCAGGTTTGCAATCTTCTCTATCTGAATATCAAAAAAAATATAATCAATCTGAACAAAACTTATCTCAAACAAAATCTCAATTGAACTACACTAAATCTCAATTGGACTATACTAAATCTCAACTAGACTATACCAAATCAGAATTGGATAAAAAAGATAAAATAATACAATCTCTCCAATCAACTCAATCAACTCAATCAATTCAATCTAACAATCATAAGCATAATCACGATCATGATCATAACCAAACTCTTAGCCCAACTGTAATAACTAATGTTAACAGACCAAATAAGTCAACTCACAATATAGCTTCTATAGCTGGTATATTAAACACTTCTGAAGATGTCAATTTTAATCATAATCTTATTCATAAAAATAGTAACAATAATAATACTCATAGTACGCATAACAACAGCATTAGTAATCTTATAAACAACACAAACAACACAAAAAATACTTTAATCAATAATTCAATCACTCCATCCAGTCAACAATCATCTTATACCTATTCACAACCACTATCCAACCAACATTCTCAACAAAATTTGCAATCTCATTCTTACCAACAACCTCAACCTCAACCTCAATCTCAATCTCGATCTCAATTTCATTCTCAAAGCTCTTATGAACCATCAAATAGACCTATTCACTCTCAATTGAATCAAAATCAAAATAACCAAAACAACCAAAACAATATCTCTCTTCCTTCTTTATCTCAATCACAATCACAATCTCAGCCTATATCACTCATTCAATCTCAACCTCAAAATCAAAATCAACCATTAACTACATTCTACCAAAATAATCCTCAGAATTCAGGAAATAACTCAACCGCTAATCATTCAACATCAACAATTAATCAAAATAATTATAACAACCCACCTTTAACAGCTGAAACAACCATCATATCTACTCAATCAAACTCTATCGATAATGTTCCTTTACTTATCAATGACGATTCTCTAAATCTAATGCCATCTCCCAATACTCAAAACCAAATTCAATCTCAATCTCAATCTCAAATTCAAATTCAAAAAAATAATGAAACTATAAACAAAATCTCTTCTGAAGTCGGTAACCTATTATTTCAATGCAATGGTCAATGTAACTATGCTGGTAATACCGCTGGTGCAGTCTTTTTAAAAATTTTCTTCAATACAATTAATATCGATTACCTTAACGAAAATGATATAAAATTTGAAGATTCCCATTTAAACTTAAATACTAAAGAAAATTATACATATGCTTCAAATTATGCTCCCTTACCTGATAAAAGTTTATCGAAATATCTTTTGCTTCGTTATATCGAAAAAGTTCATATTTATTATCCCTTTTCCAATATATCAGAATTAAGAGACTATTTTGAAAAAATTTATCAAGATCCCAAAAAAATGTCCTCTTTTGAAAAATCTTATGTTTTCATGATTTTAGCAATTTCTTCTGAACTTAACCAATACGCAAAAGATTATAAAAAATTCTTAAACATGTTTAATCCGGAAGATTATTTTAATACCGCTCTAAAATTCTTCACTTCAAAAGACCATTATTTGAAAAAAGATGAAAACTTAATTAAAATGTTATTATTATTGTCAATATGGTATATTTATACAAATAATAATGATAATATTTGGTTAGTCACAAAATTAAACGTCGCATTAGGTGTTGAGCTCGGTATTCATCGTTATAGTAGAGACTGGAAATTGTCCACTCTCACTATAGAATCTAGAAATAGATTATGGTGGTGTATTTATTCCTTGGAAAGATTTGTTACAGTAAATTTAGGTAGAACCTTAGGAATTAAAAACCAATCTGTTGACTGTAATTCACCGACTGCAAAAGAATTTGATGAATTACTCAGTGTTGAACAGAGTATTGCTCCTATTTATAATAATATCAAAATCAATGCTGCAATTTTGATGTTTAATTTAAGGAAAATAGGTGGAGATATTATGGAAAGTGTCTATATTCCGAGACCAGAATCAAGACCATCCTTAGGAATTGAAATAATCACTAGAGTTTCCAATGATTTGAGAACCAAGCTAAGCAATTGGCTAATAAGTGTCGAGCAATGCATTCCAAAGGATAGCTTCACTTATTATGACTTGAAAGTTCAGTTTCACTTGTATTCTCTTCTCCTTAATAGACCATCAACATCTTTTCCAGCCCCAAATGAACAAATTACAAAGCTTTGTTGGGAAAATTGTCTGAGTGTTATTGATTGCTGGCTTTATCTAATTAACAACAATTGCTTACATAAGACATGGGGTTTATTGCATGATATAATAATGGTGGATTTTGTTTCATTATATTGTAGTTATAAGACAGTTCACGATTTTGCATTAACCAAAAAACTAATTGATGATTCATTCAAAGTTTTAGATCATTTTTTCCAAGATGACATCAAGGCAACCAGATTTAAAGTTATTATAACTAAATTAATAAACAACTACGACAAGATCAATGGGGATCTCACAGAATATTCCTCAATTCTTTCAATTGAGACTGATGATGAAGTTGATTGGCTAAAAGACGCCTTAGGTGGCGATTTTGGAAGCGATCTTGTGGATTGGTTAGATGATTGTTATGCTTTTAGTGCAATTAAAGCAGCATAGTTACATTGTCATGTATTTCTAAATTTCTTTAAGGGCTTACGATTTTAGGTATTTATATTCATTTTTATTTGTTTTTTAATCTTTTTCAATTTCTTTATGTTTATTAATATTTGTTAATTGTTAATTGTTAATTGTTTTTATTCATTTTCATTCGTTTTGGATTAAATTTTTCTTTTTTGTATTCTATTTTTCTTTACATTTTTTGCATAAATCATATTATATTATAACTAATTATCAATTTTAGCACATTATTTTTTTTATCAAATCAATATAATATAGGTAAACGTTTTTTTTTGCTGTCCATCGACATTTTCTTGAATTGATATTCTTTTTCTACGTCCGATGTATTAAAGAAACCTGTTCACGTGATCTCAAGAAAAATTTGAACAAAAATTTCTTCAAAGAACCCAATAAACTCGGCATAAAGAAGAAGAAAAGATTCATCTGAAGAGTTTTCCACAGTGATTGCTGTATTCTTGTTAATAGATATTGATATTTTGTTTTCATTATATCTGTTGTTATTTGCCTTGTCAATTTAATTGTAATAAATAATTATTAGTCATGTCGTGGTTGTGGGGTTCTGCTAATAGCGAAGAAAAGAAAATAGAGGAAGTGGCTCCTCCAGCACCTTCATTAAAGGATACACTTGGATTTGATCCTAACGAGCTTGCTGATTTATCTACAATTTTATCTGCTAAGGGCGCCTTTGATTCCGAGCGTTTACACCCATTGGCAGGATTGGATAAGGGAGTCGAGTATCTCGATTTAGAAGATGAAGCACTAACTTCAATGGAAGGAGCGCAAACAGGATTGATTCCATCAAGGGGATGGAGTGATGATTTATGTTATGGAACAGGAGCAGTATATTTGATAGGGTTAGGACTTGGAGGAGCCTATGGGTTTGGAGAAGGTATAAAAAATATTCCAGCAAATGCCCCAGGAAAATTGAGATTGAATACAATATTAAATCATGTTACCAAAAGAGGGCCATTTTTAGGAAATAGTGCTGGTGTTTTGGCGGTGACTTATAATGTGATTAACTCGATAATTGATGCTGTTAGAGGGAAACACGATGATTATAATTCTATTGCCTCTGGGGCCATTGCTGGTGCTATTTTCAAGAGCAGTAAAGGATTTAAGCCAATGGGCATTTCCTCGATTTTGATGGCGTCCGCTGCTGGAGTTTGGTGTGGTATTAAACGTGTTATTGCTTAGATTGGTTGAATTAAGTTTACCAAAAAACCTAAAAAAAAGATACCAGAAAACATCTCAAAAAACAAAGATAAAGAAAATCAAAATCAAAATCAAAATCAAAAAAAGCACTTAACCGAGAAATTAATAACAAGATTATCAACTGATTAAAATATGAATAAGAAGACCAAAAGGAAAAACAAATCTTGTTCTAAAATAAATTTTGATTGTTTCTATTGATGACTTTTTTCATTTATGAGAGATAGAAAGTGTTCTATTTTGTATTTTTCCTTCTAATTTTTTTTCCATGGAACTTTTCATTTTTTCACTTTTCATTTTTTTCTACTTTTTAAAGGTTTTAAACTTTTTACAGTTTTAACTATAAATTTTATTTTTAGGTTTATACTTTCTTTTACTTTTACTTTTACTTTTACTTTTACTTTTTATGAATTTTTTTTACTATTTTTCAATTTTTATTTGATTTTATTTTATTTTCTTTAATTTTCTTTAATTTTAAAATTAATTTGTTTACTCTTTTATTTTTATTGTCTTGTTGCCAATAACAGAAAAGTATTTTTACCCATGTACATAGATATTTATTTACACTTACTAAATATAAAAATATAAAAATATAAAAATATAAAAATATAAAAATATAAAAATATAAAAATATAAAAATATAAAAATATAAAAATATAAAAATATAAAAATATAAAAATATAAAGATATAAAGATATAAAAATATAAGAATATAAGATAGTAAGATAATAGACAATTCCGATTAGAAACACGTAGATGTATAGTATAGTTTTATATAAGTGGTTAGTTGGAGACTACTGATTTCCAGTCATTGAAAGAAGAAAATAATTGGAAATTATTAGACGGAGATCGATTTGGTGGAGTTTATTTTTAATTTTTTCTCCAATTTTGCCTTTGAAGAATCGGATTGCAATTTTCTTTTATTTTGGGAATTGTTATTGTTGTTTTTATTATTATTATTATTTTTGTTGTTGTTGGTGATGGCGGTATTAATTTCTAATTCGGATACAAGTTTGAGTAGATCGTGATGTGTTTTTGCTCTTGCAATTTGAGAATAAAGTGGATGTTTTCCTGGAATTATTTTCAAGAGACAATATTTAGAGTTGCCCAACCAGTTATCAAAGGTAGAAGAAAGGTGAACAAATTCTTTTATGACGGATTGCCAGTTGGAGGGAGAGTCGTTGAATACTGAGGGATTTGATTCAGCAGCTTCAGCTATCATGGCGCCGACATCTGAGCCATATTTTGTTTGGAGAGCTAGGTAATCATTTTTGCTTTGGATTTGACCATTGATTATGCATGAAACATTGTTCTGTCTACATTGCTGAATGATTTCATCCAAGTAGTCTCTGATGGGAAATTCTCTGTTTCTCATTGTTTGGGTTCTGCAATGGATGGTTAGGTTTGATATACCAGACTGCAACAATTTTGAGACTAGATTGAGGGTGTCCTGTTTGTTTTCCAAAAGTCTTATTTTGACAGAAATAGGTTTGTTATATGGCTTGCCAATTTGGTCGACAAGGCTTGAAAGAATCAGAAAAAGAAGATCTGGAGTTTTTAATAGTGCAGCACCCATTCCAGCATGAATAGAAAAGTGTTTTGGACAGCCTGCGTTGATATCTATGCCATCAACATCGTTTATGATCAATTTAGCAGCTTTCACAGCCAATTCAGGGTTTGCAGTGCCCATTTGAAATATCAACTTTTGAGATTCTAGTTTAGGACAAGTTCTAAAGACCAAATTGGTCACACCAGGTATTTTAGTATTTCCAGATGTAGAGAGAAAATCTATTGTTCCAAGTTTTGTGTTTTCAATTCTCTTACATGAAATAAGTTTTCTGTCGATGATTTCAGGTCCCCATACTAGATCAGCACCATACTTGAGAGCGAGGAGTCGAGTGGGAAGCTCACCTATTCTGACCATGGGAGCCAACACGAAAGCGCCTTTGTAATTGACCATGACGAGATGAGACGAAAAGTAGAAAAGCCAGAAGCAGTGGTTGTAGAGGTACGAAAGATGGAAGATATTTGTAATCTTTAGAATAAAAAAAAAATAAAAAAATAAAAAAAAACTAGTGTTGTCGATCAAAAACAAATTCCAGAGAGTGAACAATCTGTTATCGCTTCTCAAAGTTAAAGCGAAGTTTTTTTTCTTCTGTTGTTTTGGGCAGAGATTACCAAATCTGCGGGCGAGTTACCTTGGCCATGTGACCCTGCGCCTGCCCAAAGCGGCAGCAGCAATGGGAGGAGGTTGGTCCTGGTAATAGTGTTTGCTCCTGAAAGCAGGACACTGTAAGCAATGTTCGGAACAATTGCAGCTCGCTGGATGCAAAAGGCACCAGCGCACACCAAGATTATTTTTCGCCGCGAGCAGCTGGGATCTGCCGCAAACCGCCCACTGTCCACACACAAGGTCCCAGCACAAGTTCTCCCATTTCTCAGAGTTCCACGTCTGCTCTAACACCTGTTCTATTGAGAGGCTCAGAAAAATTCGTCCACAAGCACAGCGTCGACAGAGCCCACCGCGAGCAATGAAGAGCCACCAGTGGGTTTTGGCGACAGCGCATTTGCACTGCAGCGAAGCACGCCAATTCTTATGCACAGGAGGATGAGTGCATAAGCGCCCACTGTGCTTCCTGCACTACACCGCGACATTTCGCATGTGTGGTGTACTCATTGTGCAGCACTTGCAATACGCTTCCAATTCCAGGGAAAGCAAAAACCTGGGTCGGGAGAATACGAGCTGGATAATAGCACCAATATATAAAGAAGCTTCGACGCTCTTTCTTTTCTGCTTTCGTTCACCTCAAGCCTCTCCGATTTCAACAAGCTCACTCAACGTCTCTTTTTCTGCTAACTTCATCTGCCTGAATTTCACACATTGTTTCTTCCTTTTGTTACTATCTCTACTATTTCATTGACATCCACCAACTCCCACTCCCTCACTCACTCACTTACTCACTTACTCACTTACTCACTTACTCACTCGCCCACCTCTTCTTACTCTCGCCTACTCAAGATGCTTACCAATATCAAAAACAAATTGTCGTCCAAGAACCATAAAAATGCAAAGCCCAATAGCAAGTCCAGCTCCAAGAACATAAAACAGCTTCAAATATCCTCTCCTTACGACTTCTCTGTCTTGACTTCACACTACTCTTACAATGATGTTAATAACACTTTAACTGTTATACCCTCTACTCCTACCACTGAGCATTTCAAATACTCAACCCTATTGTTGAGCTCCCACAGGATAAAATTTCAATCTCAGTTGAGTTCGCCTTATAAATACTCTGAGCAAGACTACGATAATGAAATTGATTTTGATCTAATCAACACTCCCATCTCCCAATCGACTAAATCAACTACATCAACGAAAACAGCTACAAATTCAATCTCAAGCTATTCAACAAACGCTTCAACTATAACCAACGGTTGCAGCTATCATTACAACTATAACAGTATAAATAACTGTAATAACTACAACCCTTACAACAATCATCAATATAATTATAACTATAGCCATATAGCGGAAAGTCAAAAGTTTACTCTCCCCAATAACATTAATAACATTAATAGCATAAATAACATTAGTAACATAAATCTCAACTCAAATAACAACTCCATTACTTCTGCTACTAGCAATACTAAAATAATAATTGATAAACTTCAACCAAATATAAACATAAATCCAAATCCAAATTTAAATTTAAATTCAAATTCAAATCTAAGTGTAAATAATCTAAATGAAACTGACACAAACTCAATAGAAAGAATTAGAACTCAGGATATCCTGTATTCTAATTCAATCTATGATTTCTACAATGATGAATTGGAATATGATAACAAAACTATCAACACTTCCCTAACCAACGAAATAGATGATAATGACTGTGACTTCCATTATACCTATATCGACTCAAATCTTTCAAACAACAATCTGTATGATCGTATTCAAAGTCAATTATCCTTAGCTAATACTTATTACACCACTCAAAGAGTTGCTCTTTACAAACCAAAGGACTCTCCAAGATTGGTTCAACACGATTCTCCAAAGAATTTCATCGCTGTCTAATTTGTAATCTTATTCCTTTTATTCCCTTTCTTAATCGTTCTATTTTTCATGTCTTACGCCTTTCTTTTTTGCTTGTTTTACCCCTGTTGATATTTACTTAATTCTAATCACTAATTCATTCTGAACTTTCCTACTTATTACTATTACTATTACTACTCACTATTTATCATTGATTTTTTACTCTTTACTCTTTACTCTTTATTCGTTGTGTTCATCCCTGTTTCTATTCATCTTTGTTGTCTTTATTTTTTCATCTATTGCTTTCTTTTTCTTTCCTTTACCATCTTATTACTCTATTACCTCATTTTTTTTTTTTATTTTTATTTTTATCTTTTTTCCTCTATGTTTAGTTTTGGGATATCTCTATATAACTCTTGTACTATATTTTTAATTTAAATTCTAATTTTAATTAATTTAAAATTTGTATAAAAAATAGTAGCCTGTGGATTTATTATTAATTATAATAATAAATTATAATAAATTATAAACTATGCCAAACTGTATTACCTCCAAGTCACACTAATTCTTGTATTGCTTTTATTACTCTCTGCATATTGTTCTTCTCTACAATTTAATCCTTTTCTTTTTTTTTATCCTCTTTCACATTCATCATACTAAAACTTTATCTGAATAACTTTTAAATTACACTCAAAACCCATTTTTCGTTTTCTGAAATTTTTTTATTTAAAATTCAATTCACAAAATTCCGCAACCTAAACATTTTTATTTTAAACTGAATTCAACTGAATTGAAATAAATCACTTACATCTAAACTGAATAATTCCAAATTATCCAAAAAGTCATTTCGTACCAAATGATATCATTTTAAATTCACAACAAATAAATCAATCAATTACAAATCAAATTTTAAATGTTCCTATTCCTTCTTTATTCCCTTTTCTTTTTTGCTGTTTTCCTCATACTCTTTTTACTTCCAAATAAGGTTCATCACACTTCCTGAGAGCCTGAATAATACGTATTTCAATTACACATCATATTGTTCTTATATAATCCCTCCCACCATTATTACTTGCTCTTTATTTCAGCTACTGTGGACTGTGGTCAAATCAATTAGTTGAAATACCTGTGTTAAAATACTTCTGCTGGTATACCATTGAAACACTTCAACTAACAAATATCAAGTCAACTCCTAGTTTCATAGCTTAAGTATATCAATTTCAATTATCATGGAAAACCTAAGCTTGATTGGCAATTATAAAATTCATCTAATTCAAAATATCAGCGATATCACTGACAATGTCAATATTGTTAATAATATCATTGATGAATACTGGAATGAATTCGGGATTAAATTCATCAGCTTGAGCTTAATTAAAGATTCGATATTCATTTTCTTTTTAACAAATTTAGTTTTAAAATTGTTTGGAATTGTTTTACAATTATTAAATAACATTTACAGCCACGGGTTAAGAAACACAATTCATTTTCACTACAAAAAATTATCCAAAAAAATTTTCAAGACAATTTTTTTAATACCTTCGATTAAAAGGAGAATCGATTCAGAGATAAATGAATCGTTAGAGAAATTAGAAAACCAATTAGTTGTTAGTTCAAATGGCAATGAAAAATTCAGAGACTTTTTCAAAATTCCACACAAAAGTCTATCCGACGAAGAAATCTTTAATGAGTTAAATATTTATGAGAAATTTAAACATAGTGATTGGGAAAATGGAAAGGTTTCAGGCGCAGTTTACCATGGCGGCAAAGAGATTATAGGATTGCAATCCAGAGCATTCAAACAGTATTGCGTGGCAAATCAATTACACCCCAATGTATTCCCAGGGGTACGTAAAATGGAAAGCGAAATAGTTTCAATGGTTATTAATTTATTCAATGGATCAACAAAAGAAGAATACTGCGGTACTACAACCAGTGGAGGAACAGAATCATTGATCTTAGCATGCTACTCAGCAAAAAATTATGGGTATAAATATAAAAACATTTGTGCACCGGAGATTATTGCGCCAATAAGCATCCATGCAGGAATTGACAAGGCTTGCTCATATTTCAATATTAAATTACATAAAGTCGAGTTGGATCCAGTTAGTTATAAAGTTGATTTAAGAAGAGTTAAGAGGTTGATTAATAAGAATACGGTTTTAATTTGTGGGTCAGCGCCAAATTTTCCTCATGGTATTGTCGATGATATCAAGGGGTTGAGTGAGTTGGGTACCAAGTATGATGTACCAGTTCATGTTGATTGTTGTCTTGGATCATTTATTATATCGTATATGGAAAAATCAGGATTTAAAGATGAGATTCCAGTATTCGATTTTCGATTAAAGGGAGTCACATCGATTAGTTGTGATACACACAAATATGGGTTTGCACCCAAGGGCTCATCGATTATAATGTACAAGAATAAGAAGCTAAGAGAATGTCAATATTATGTTTCTACGGATTGGGTTGGAGGAATCTATGGATCACCAACTATCGCAGGCTCAAGACCCGGAGCGCTAATGGTTGGATGCTGGGTGACATTGTTGAAGTTTGGAGACGAAGGATATATCAAATCATGTCAAGAGATAATCAAAGCGTCTCGAAAATTGAAGAAAAGCATAGTTGAGGACGAAGATTTAAATAAGGACTTGGAGTTGATCGGGGATCCAATGTTGTCAGTCATTTCATTTAAGTCTCAGAGCATCAACGTGTACGAGCTTTCAGATATCTTGAACAAAAAGGGATGGGAATTGAGCAGTATTCAGAAGCCACCTGGACTACACATTGCTCTCACAGCACTTACAGTGCCAGTGATTGAAGAATTGGTGGAGGATATGAAAATGGGGATCCGAGAATTAAAGGCTCGACAGAGAGAAAATGGAGAGGCAAACAAGGGCGCCCAAAGTGACACAGCAGTATTGTATGGGATTGCAGGAAGCATCAAGACTCCAGGAATTGTTGATCGACTAGTGGTAGGCTTCATCGACACGCTTTACAAGCCAGCACAGGACGTATAGGCAGCACAAACAAGGTGGTCGAACAGCCGTCAACGAGCTGCAGAAAGGTGTAAAACGTTTACGAGTTTCGAGACACAGAGACCATGTCATGTTGAAAGGTCATGAGAAATCATGAGAGATATTAGAACTATTAGAGCTATCATAAGAGAGATATCCTAAGAGATACCCTAAGAGATACAGAGATCTTATGATACAACCAACAATAAAAGCATTTTCGTTTCTTGATATCTCCAAAGAACCCGAACCGATCACGCGTTTGGGTGCGTGCTGCACGTTCGCTACGGTGAACAATCTGCCGAACTGTGTTTGCAAAGCCGTTAAGTGCTGACGGGTAACCCAATCATGCACAAATAGCGGTTTTTGGGCAAATTTGGCTTTCGCGCCGAAATTCACAGCGAAACTCAAGCCAACAGTATGGGTCATCAGGGAAACACGCAGCAGAAGTTCGTATCCGTTGGTTGGAGCGGAGATAAACGCACGCGAGCAAATCAGGGAAGGAAGCGGTATCTAATCGCTATCAGTGGACGAGCGAGGACGAGCGAACCAAAGAGGATGGGAAAAGCAGATGGGAGAGGCCCGCAGTGCGGGAGAAGGCGATAGCCATAAACCCCAGCTCAGCTCAGCAGAAGAACAGAACAGAACAGAACAGATCAGATCAGATCAGTATAAAAAGAAATGGCCTGCCTTTCTTTCTTTTTCCCAAGAGCATTTAATGCTCTCTGTTCCAAAGCTCTACAAGTACCTTTGTTATTGCTTTTCTTAAATGTTAAACCTCCTCCTCAGATCTGCTGTTCATACCTCAACCGAGGATTGTTCCAGTGTGGGCAGAATCTCTTACTCATTTAGTGTCTTGTCCTTGACTTTTTGGTTGATTGCACAATTACCACAGCAGATTAAAAATTACAAGTTGAAAAGCGTTGATGCCATTTCGCCCTTCTTTCTTCTCAACTGGTTTTTAGGCGATTTCTTTAATTTCCTAGGCTGCATTCTAACTGATCAGCTACCCTTCCAGCTCTACATCAGTATTTACTACTTGTGCAACGACGTTATATTACTTTCCCAGTTCTTTTACTATGGTTATTACTTGGTTAAAAAGAAAAATAACAAAGCTGAAACTCGTTGTGATTTTATCTCAAACCATAATCAGCCTCTTGTTCTAACCGATGCTAATCAAGATAACAACCAGGATGATATTCAACAAATGAAAAACGAACTCAACCTTAACAAGAAATCCATTCCAATATATTCCAACAACAGCTGTTCTTACTTGACTACAACAACTATCTTAGCGTCCAGTTTGGCTTCAACCATTCCATCGTCTTCTGCCTTGCCTATCAACAAGCACTCCATCAGTTCTATCAATGATATGGTTGATATAGAGACGGTATGCAATATTGGAATAATCATTTCATGGCTCTGTACTGCATCTTATATTACATCAAGAATGCCTCAATTATACAAAAACTATCAAAGAAAATCAACCAACGGTTTGTCTCCTTTATTATTTGGGTCTGCTCTTATGGGTAATCTCACTTATACTCTTTCGATTTTAACTTCCTGCACTTTTCTAAGTAACCCAAACAACCAAAGATGGGATTTTTTCAAAAACGAATTGCCCTTCATACTAGGAAGTGGTGGAACTATTATTTTTGATATTATCTTCTTTTATCAAACCTGGTACTATAACAATAGCAAAAAGTTCAAAAACAACAATAGCGGTCAAAATAAACTTTACGATTATGAATCTGTTAATGAAACGACCCCGTTAAACACTCACCAGTCAGCTTCATTATTATAAATCAAACCACAATCCAGACCACTATTTAGTCCTAAATCATAAACTACAAACAAACTAATTCATTTATCCACCCTCGCATATACTTTTCATATACTTGCCATATATTTTTTTTATACTTTCTATTTTTTATTTTCTATTTTCATTGTCACTTTGTATTACTTTATTGTGCTTTTTATTATTTCTTTTTTCTTCTATTTTTCTGTTCCCATTTCTGTTCTTTTTGTCTTTTTCATCTCTTATTTTTGTATTGTATCTTGGTTCTTTTGGGTAGTCTTTTCAATCTAATTTAATGTTTGTTTTTTATCTTCATTTACACTTTCACGCTCTTCTACTCTCTTCTACACTCTTTCACGTTTCTTTTCTTATCTCCACGAATAAAATCCGCCTCTGCTTTTGGCCACTTTCAGCGATCTGCTTCCGTAGTAAGGATATATATTTACACACACCGGATATGCTCCGGACATACCACGGAACGGACATTCTATTTACACGGATTTTTGATGTAATTTCAATTTAATTTCATAAATTTATTCCATTTTAATCCATTTTTTGGAAATCTTTTATTCTTATCACCTTCTTATTTCACTGATTAACCAACTACCTCTAATCTCATAATGGACTTATTAAAAATCCTTGACGATGCTGAACCCATAAGCTCTTATCAAAATAATTACAAAAATCCTTATGATTTTGACAATTTCTTACTAGAAAGTGATTATGATTCAAACTCGGATTATATTGCTTATAACAATGTTAATAAATTTGAGAATTCCTCTAATTCCTCCAATTTCTCAAATTGCTTTTATTTCCCAGTACCAATAACCACTCTCCAAAGAGATTTAATGGAAATTCTTGTTTATTTACATAAAGACTCTTTAGTAAATTATTTTAACCTTAATTCAAAAAATACAAATAATAATAATAATAATAATAATAATAATAATAATAATAATAATAATAATAATAATAATAATAATAATAATAATAATAATAATAATAATAATAANATAATAATAATAATAATAATAATAATAATAATAATAATAATAATAATAATAATAATAATAATAATAATAATAATAATAATAATAATAATAATAACTACAATTTTATTAACAATTATGAAAATAACCATAATGATAATGACACTAATCACAATACTATTAATAATCTTAATGAAAATAATATTCAAAATCAAATTAAAAATAAAAATTTGATAAATAAAATTAACAATGGAAACTTAAATCAAACTAAAACCGGAAATAATACCAATAATATTGACCTTCACAACAGTAGCTCGTCAAAAATATCAACATCAAACTCTATATTGTCATTAAATTTAAACTCAAACTTAGACCTTTCAAATACTAATCGTGACGATTCTTATATCTTGAAAAGACACTTAAAATCTCAAAAGGCTAAAAAATCCTTTAATAATAAACAAAAAAATTTGAAAAATTTTTCTTTGACTTTACATCTAATTACTACTTTCCAGTTTAAAAATATTCAATCTTTAACAAATAAAAAAAATAAAAAAAATAAAAAGAATTCTTCAAAATCTTTTATATACGATTTCATAATATCTTTTGATAACTCTTTTGACGAAAATGATGATTATATTAATACCATTAGAAAGGATATTTATGTCCTAAATAAATCAGTTAAGTCAGATAAAGATAAACAATTAATACCAATAATTAAATTATTAACTGTTAATTCTCCCTACCATACTTATTTATATATTAAAAGAAATTTTCTAAAACACCAATTAAACTCGAAAAATCACTTAATTGATCTCAATGGGAATTTAAATCACAACTATCATAATAATGATAATAATTTTGATTTTGATTTGAAAATTCTAAATAAATCAATTCCTTTATTTCTAATTAACAGAAATAATTTGGGTTTTATTAATCCACAAATTAAAAACTTTTATGAATTTGATATGGATTTATTGAAAAATTGGTTTTTAAATAGCGGAAATTTATCTTCAAACCTTAATAACAACTTGAATAAAGATGAAATTAATATTTTATCAAATATTTTAAATAATTTTAAATCCTTTCCAAGAATTGAAAAAATTAAATTTAATAAGCAAGATTTAATTCAATCCTTAGAAAAAAATTATTTACTAAATTTATATTCTAAGTTCGATTTCCCAACTTTAAATGATAAATCATTATTAAATCATAATAAAGATGATGATGATATTAATAATGATAATAATAAAAAAAGACAAAAAAATCAAAATTATGTTTCAAAATATACAATAGATAATTACAGCAATTTATTATTGGATTCTTATTTTTTTGTATCATATAAAAAACAATTAACTAAAATGATTATAAAAAGGTTAGAAAATATTGATGACTCGATTATTGAAGGTAATGAATCTTTAAATCAAATTGATTTGGAAAATCATAAGGTTAGATTGGAAATGGATGAAATAAATGAAACTATTAAGAATAAATATGAGGAATATAAAGAGTTGGAAAACTATTTATTAACAAGTGATACAAAATTAGAAAGAATTGAGGATGAAAACAATAAACTAATTGCAGAAGAAAAATTTATTGAAGAAAAAATTGTTTTTTTCAAAGAAAAACTTGATTCATTTGAAAATGATAAAAAAATTGAAAAAAGTATACTTGATAGCCAAGAAACTCAAATAGATAATTTAACTAAAGCACTAAATGATTTAAATAAGGAAGTAGATAATTTAGATAACAAAAATGATAGCTTGAGGGAAAGTTATAGAATAACTTCAACAACTGCAGCCACAAAGACTAAAGAATTGGAAAAACTTAAAAATATCAATACTGAATTGAAAAAAATAGTTGATAATCAAGAGTATCTGAAACAATTAAAATGTTTAATATCTCAAGATGAAAAAACTAATAATAATGTAAATGTGGCTAAATTAGAAAAGAAAAAAGAATTCTTGGAGGGATATTTGGAAAATTTACAAAAAATATATCAGGAAAGATTGGAACAGATTAGTAAAAATGCTACAGGTTCAGCTCATTCATATAATAGAAAAAATAGTAGAGCTAGTACCCCATATGTATAATTAGTTTTTTTTGGTTTTTTTTTAATGATAGTCTGTATTTTAGTTTGCAATCACTTTTTTTTCACTACGAATAAAATAAATCTTTTTATATTCTTTCAAAATTTATTAAATTTCTCAACATAGAATGGATTTAAACTTGAATATAAATATTTTTTATTTATAAAAAAAAAAAAAATGGTTGTTTTTCCTTAGATAATGTGTTTTTATATTAAAGTAGAACACCAGAAGAGGTTTCCAATTGTTTAATAAGAGGATCAAAAACTGAAGGATGTAAATCCTTTTCAGTTAATTTTAACTGAGCATCAGTCCAAATTTGAGAAATATTTTTAATTTCAGAAGATTGGTCACCAACACCACATAAGCTGCCATTTTGTTTGTATTGACTTAATCTTGGTATATCTAATTCTTTGAATACGTTATCAACACATTCAAGCAAGATGTCACATAATTTTTCATTGTGACCTGGTGTTGGAGTAATTCTCAATCTTTCTTCACCAATAGCAACGGTTGGAAAATTAATTGCTTGGACATAAATTTTATATTTTTCTAATAATAAATCACTAGCCTTTTTGGCTAAAGCAGCATCACCAATTAAAACGGCAACGATATGAGAGGGATTTGGGATTATTGGGATATTTAGATCATTAAATTTTTGTTTCAAGTATCTAACATAACGTTGTTGGTCGATACGGTCTTTAATAGTTTGTCTTTGATAACTAATTGCAGCAGCAGCACCGGCCATAACAGAAGGAGGTAAAGAAGTGGTGAAAATAAAACCTGGAGCAAAAGATCTAAGCCAATCGATTAAATTTGCAGAAGCAGCGACATATCCACCAACAGTACCAAATGATTTACCTAAAGTACCAGTAATCATATCAATTCTATCCATAGTAGTTTTAAAATTTGGAGAAGCTAAACCGGTTTTCAAATGAGAGTCAAAATTTAAATGTTCAGCGACACCTGCACCATGGGGACCATACATACCAACAGCATGAACTTCATCTAAGAAAGTTAAAGCACCATACTTTTCAGCTAAATCGCAAATTTGGTTAATTGGAGCGATAGAACCACACATGGAATAAACAGATTCAAAAGCAATTAATTTTGGTTGATTTTTTGGGTACTGTTTTAATAAGGATTCAAGATGAGCTAAATCGTTGTGTCTAAAAATATGTTTTTTACAATTGGCATGACGAACACCAACAATCATTGAAGCATGATTTAATTGATCAGAAAAGATGACCAAGTTTGGCAATTTTTGGCCTAATAAAGATAAGACAGCATCATTAGCAACATAACAGGAGGAGAAAACTAAAGCAGCCTCTTTTTTGTGTAAAGCAGCAACTTCACTTTCTAATTTTATAGCATGTTGATTATGACCAGCAATGTTTCTTGTGCCACCTGCACCAGAACCATACTTGTCCAAAGTTTTATGCATAACATCAAGGACTTCTTCATTTCTTGTCATTGCTAAGTAATCGTTAGAGCACCAAACAGTTACTTTGTCATCTTGGGCTAAACGATGTGCCTTTGGAAATTCTTTGGCCAAACGGTTGATATTGTTGAAATAACGATAAGAATTGTCCTTTCTCTTTTTGAATAAGTCTGATTCAAACAAACCGTTGTAATCAAAACTGACATGTTCAGATGTTTTATCAACAACGGAGCTTAAAAGAGTTTGATCTAGTTCAAGGTTTTTAGCAGAATTGGCAAAAGAGGTTTCTTCGACTTTAATGCTTTGAGATTTAAGTTGAGATTCAGATTCAGATTGGAATTTAAATTGAACTTGTTCAGATTTAATTTCATCAGAATTGGTTTTTTTGGTTTGATGAGAAATGGTTTCGGTGGTTAAACCTCTTGATTGAGAAACTTGGTTGATTTGGTGACCCATAATTGGGCATTTTTGAGCAGCATTAAATAAATTTAACGATTTCAAAGTAGAGATGGATGAAGATTTAATAAAAGGACAAACCTTTAACGCAGTTGAAGTAATTTTTTCCATTTTGACAAATAATAAGACAATAATAGAACTTGAGAATTTTGCTTTTTTAGAATTTTTTTTTTTTTTTTTTTTTTCAGGTTTTATGGGACAAAAAAATTTTTTGTAGGTGGTTTTTTCTGTTTTTTCTGTTGCAGACTTGAAGAGTTTGAGAAGTTTTGAATATAAAGTAAATTAAGAATATTGGTAATCAGAAATTGCTGTGGGAAAAAGAAAACAAGACAAAAGAAAAGTGGATAAAGTCTATATATTTATATGAAAAGGGAAATGAGATAAATTATCCTCAGAGTGGTAGACCGGGCTGTGATTGGCTGATCCGAGCGAAACTCTAATAGAAGAGCCTCCATTGAAAAAAAACGTAAACAGACGAAATGTGACTTTTTTGGGAGTATTTGTCCGTATAAACCCCTCTATCGAAGCTTTGAAGGTTTGCACTAAGGGTCTGCTTATATATTTAGAATGATTGATTGGCTTTCAACCATCTGCAGAGGTTAGTTTGTAACTGTACTCATATACTAGTAGCAGCATATAGATGCCCGCTAAATGCGCTATGCATATTATCGTCCAATCCGCGACACGGCGGAGATATCTGCCGAGGGGGTCCGCGCTGCCCATCGGGGTTTCCTAAATAAGGAATCCGAGGGCGCTATTGCGCTGGGCGAGACCAAATGATTGTTCCGAGGGCGGCGGTCGAGCGCGCAGCGGCGGCAGCAGCGCGAGAGACGGATTGGACAGAAAAAACAGCAGCGGAGGCGTGAGGAAGATCGAGGATTTTCCGCCAGTGGCAAACATCGCTTCTTCTTTTCCTTCTTCTTGTTCTATAGAAGAGCCTTTCCTGGAAAACAGCAGCTTCAGCAATTCCAGCAGTTTCAACAGTTTCAACAGCATTTTTTGCAGAGGAACAACATCAGGAAAAATCCGAGCGATCACCATCTCATTGCTCAAACCTACTCTTCTCGCCCACTAATATCTGTCAACTTCAAGTTTATTGTCCATCCTTTGCTATTTCTTATTCTTGATTCTTGATTCTCGATTCTTGGTTCCTGATTACTGACAGCTCTGATAATCTCTTACAGTTCATTTTCGCCATTGATTTTAAATTTTCAAGCAAGCATCTTTATTCATAATTAGTCATTGATTGATAATAGGCACCATTTTCTTTTTGGGCTATTACTAATTTCAAAAATTACTCTCAAATACCATCTGATTTTGTCTCTATTTTGATTCATATTTTGCTATTTTGTTATATATTATCAATAAAATTAACTTTATATCATCTTTGACTATACTCACAACCATTAAAAATGTCACTAGTTCACGAAGAAATATCAAAACGAGTTTTAGATCAAATAACTCCCAAAAGCAATAAGCGCCAGGAAATTGACATCAACAAAGACGACAAAAATAGCAATGATTCCACTTCATCAAATAAAAAAATATCAAAACCAGGAAGAAAACCTGTAAATACTGAACCTAAAAACAAAAGAACTGCTCAAAATAGAGCTGCTCAAAGAGCCTTTAGAGAAAGAAAAGAAAAACGTATGAAAGAATTAGAAGAAAAGGTCGCTGAGTTAGAAAATGAAAAAAAGGCTTCAAACACTGAAGCTGAATTCCTAAGAATGCAAGTAGATATGCTAATGAATGAATTATCAAGGTATAGAGGAAAATCAGTAAAGGATTTACAATTCCAATTACTCCAAAACACCCCTTCTAATCCCACTTCTAATTCTATCAAAAACCAAACTGATATTTCCTTATCAAATGCTTCCCCAAATTCTACTCCAAACTCATCTATATCCAACCCCATAACTCCCTCAAATAATCTCTTGCCTTCAAAGCCTTTTACCTTTGAATTTCCATGGGATAGCAACAACAACAGCAGCACTAATACTGCAAATAGCAACATCATCACCACCAACAACAACAATTCTAATAATATCAATGCTAATAACAACCTCATCTCAAAAAATGCTCCTTTGTGGAACCAAAAATCTCGTCTATCCTTTGCAAATTCTGAACACAGCATCACTTCTTCTGCCCCAAACTCGGAGCCAACTAGATCCCTAAACTGCTCTTCCAACTCTTCTCCTTCCGAATACTCTCTCTCTTCCAATATCATCAACAACAATAACAACAATAACAACAACCACGCCAACAATAATCCCATACACAATTTCAATAGCTATAATAATTACAATGGCTTTAATATGAACCCCTCCAACACAAACATCTCCAATTCTCAATCAAACTCTCTTGTTAACCAAAACAATCTCAACATTCTTGACAATATTGACACAATTGATTCCATTGACACAATCAGTACAAATATAAACTCTGTTCCCGAAACTATAAATATCAACGATATTAACTCATTTGCTAATGAATTCGATTTCAATGATAAATTTGATGAAAAGGCTAACGATTTTTGCTCAAAATTATCCCTAGCTTGTGGAACAAAAGATTGTCCGGTTCCAAAAGCTAAATCGTCTTCTCAGTCAAACATCCTATTTACTTCACGTACTAATTCAACTTCCCAAAGCCCAATTGATATAACAAAGTCAATTTCAAATACAAATATTAACAACATCGGAAACATTGACAATAACAATCTCAATATTAATCTTAATAACGTCCCAGTTAATAGTACTCATAATACTAATATTAATACTAATGGCATTTTTAATAAAAACATTCTCAACAATGAAAATAACATCACTAAAGACATTTTTAATAGCAATTCCTCATTATCTTTCGACAATATCATCAACAACAATGATCCTTTTTCGTTTTTAAATCAAGCTTTTGATCCTTCAATCGCTTTTATATTTGATTCCTCTGACGCAAATAATGCTTCCAATAATAACTTTAAAGACAATAACAAAAACAACAACATTATCAGTAATAACAACAATTTCAATAATAACAACAATTTCAATAATAACAATAATAATAATAATAATAATAATAATAATAATAATAATAATAATAATAATAATAATAATAATAATAATAATAATAATAATAATAATAATAATANTAATAATAATAATAATAATAATAATAATAATAATAATAATAATAATAATAATAATAATAATAATAATAATAATAATAATAATAATAATAATAACAATAATAATAATAATAACGATATAGATGATTTGTTTTCGGGCATAAAGTTTGATAATACTTATAGAGATGTCCCTCAAGATTTTGATTTATTTGATAATGATCAATTGGATTCTAATTCAACGGATCCTCTTTCAAATTTAACAACCGAAGAATCTTTATTTGATACTTTTAATTATTTGAATAATGATAGCATTTTTAATAACCTAAACAATAATAATAATAATAATAATAATAATAATAATAATAATAATAATAATTTGAAAAATAGCAATAGCGACACTTCTACTCCTTCCATTACCACCACTACTAGCACTATTTCTAATAATAATCATAACAAAAAATCTTTTCAGCAGTCGCCAATCCCTATTTCAATTCCAGAAGTACCAGAATATGATAACGATGTTAACAATAATAACAATAATAACAATAATAACGATGATGACGATGATAACGATGTTGTGCCTTCGAATGACCATGATTTATTGAAATGCTCGGAAGTATGGGACAGAATTACTTCTCATCCAAAATATTCTGATTTAGATATCGATGGCTTATGTAATGAATTGAGATTAAAAGCAAAATGCTCCGAAAAAGGTGTTGTTGTTTCATCTAATGATTTGAATAATATTATGAATAGGGAAGCATCTCCAAGTTTGTAATCATAATAATAAATATTAAATAAAAAAAAAGAAACAAAATAACAACAAAAAAATTATTATAATTGATCTTTTTAATGAACTTATATAATTAAAACACTAAAAAGCTTTTACCGTTATTTGATTTTTTAACTTTTGAATGAGAAGGATAAAAAATGCGCGAATCATTAAAGCATTTATTTTCAATTCATTAATTCATTCACTCATTTGTTCGTTCATTGATCATTAGTTTGTTACTTATTAATTACTTCAATGTGCAATCCTTTTTGAAATGTAATTTTATCAGTATTATAAAAGAAAAAATCATACTATATTGCTGTTTTTTTTTAAACTATATCTTAGTTTTAAATTGAGGTTTATGCCATCTGGTTAAAATGGCAGATAGGAAATTTATATTTTTTATTAAACTTTATTAAACTTTATTTAACTTTATTTAACCGTTTTATTGTTGTTTTTTTTTGAAAAAAAGATTACACTCAAAGCCTAAGTTTAAGTTAATATTTATTTTTATTTTATTATTTTAATTTTTTTTCAATTAATCTTTTTTATTTTAGTGTAAAGAAATGGATTTTTTTTTCAATTACTTTAATTCTATTTTTGATGAGATAGTTATAATTATGGTTTTCTTAATTTTTTATTCAAATCCACTTTCATGTATGTTTACATAATTATAAAACTTTGAAATGTACATATTTTAGTTAATAAATATTTTAATTCATAAAAAAAGAAAAAAAAAAGATTAATTTTGAAAGAATTCTTTCTGATAAATTTATTTATTTAACTATTAATCTGATAGTTTTAATATTAAAATTGAGAAACTTGTTAAGATTTGTGAAAATAAATAAAACTAATTTCAATATTAAATTATAAATGTTGCTTTTAGAAAATTTATCAATTGTCTTTGTTGATTTGAATGTTAATGGAATATCAATGAAATTTTTGTCTATAGGCAATGAACCAGTTTTTTGAAGATATTTACAAAGAATAAGAATAATAATTGTTGCAATAAAAAAAGACTTGGAAACTGGCAAATAGATTTTGTAAATTTGATGACAAACCATAGTAAATATTTCCTTAATTTTAGGTATTATTATTTGAATTTTGGTTATAAAAGATTCATTTTCATGTGAACTGGAATTATCAAAATTATTATGAATTAAAGATCTATTGTTTATTCTATTGTTATTATTATTAGCAGTAATTGCATTATCATTTGAATTCTTATTTGGATTTTGACCAGGAGACAATAATGGAAATTTGAAATTAAAAAAGTTGAAGTTTGGGCTATTATCATTTAAACTTCTATATCTATTGGGCATATCATAATTACTTGGAATGGAATGAACATCTTTTTTAAGATTTTTAAAATATTCGTAATTTGGAAGATTTCGTATTGAAGTTGAAGTGCTCAATTGAGATGGGTGATGGTAATCGTGTTGTTGATAGTTTGTATAACATAGATTTTGAAAGGAGGATTTTGGTAATGTATTTTCATCAAAAGATGCTTGTAAAATAGTTGGTAAATTAATTTGAGATTGGGGCTGCTGTTTATTTATAGAAGATAGGGGATTATAATTGCTTTCAGATCCCAACATCGAAATTGAGTTATAAATAAAAGGGTCCTTAACAGACTGGGGGTTCTCGTAAATTTGAGAATTTGTAGGAGAAGGAGAGGGAATAATATCTTTAATTTGATCCCATAGAAATTCCAATTCAGATAATAATTCTCGAGCTTCCTGAGTCCCAGAAGCATAAGTTTTCATAGTCAAGATTAAGAAAGAAATATAACGTCTTTTTGCTTCAGTTCTTGAGATTCCTTCTTGGTCTTTCCAGGCATCCCATTTTCTTTTTGCAGCTTCATCATAGGGACTAGTTCCCACTGGTCTTACTGGCAACATTCGATCGATGTTTCCTTCAGTTGCTTGTTTATAAAGACCATATAATTTAGTTCTACTTTCAACTGGAGGTCTGGGTAGTGAGCCGTAACCAGATCTCGTAGAGAGAGCTTTTATAGTCTCTATTGCTTGATCAAACACTCTGTCTTTTTAATCGAGTTAGTAAAGTGTCATAATAGTGGCAATTTGAGTGGTTAATTTTATAGATTGTTTAATGTAAATCATACCTATTGAGTCAGACATGTTCTTAAGAATGGTATATAAATGAGAGTAGATTAATGGAAATTAAGGGAAAAAAACCCACTAAAATACAACAAAAACAAAAGCCTGATATAAAATACAGAATAAAATGGTACAGTAGGTATAGGAGACAATTTGTAACCAAGACAAATCGAGTTTTGAAGTATGTGATTATGAAAATAGTTGAATAAGAAGATAAAACATTATCAATTCAAAAGTATATATTAACAAATTTGGATAAGATTGTTGATCAAGATTAACCAGAGCCAAATCCCGCAGCAGAAGGGAGATAATGTGACAATGTGAGAAAACAGTATGGGAAAAAGAGGTGCGTGGAAAAAAACAATTAGAAATGGTCCTGTTTCCCAAGGGACTGTTCCTAATTCGGGTGAAGTTGGAATTTCCAAAATGTTCAATAGTAAGATAGAAGATTCATACAAAAAAATTAATAAAAACAGAAGATAAATAAATCAGAGACTTGAGCAAGATGGAAAGAAAATGGAAAAAAAAAATTGGGGTAGAGTGAAATAATTTCCAGCTGGGCAAAATAAGGAGAAGACCAATAAAAGTAAAAAAAACAGCAAATTGAGAAGCCGATAAAATAAAAAGTAGAAACTCAAAGTTGGAATAGACTAAAATGTTCACCAAGTGAAAGTATAAATGGACCGAAATATTTATCAAGCAAATATTAAGGTGAGTAAGTGGTGGTTTTATCTTGTTTGAGCCAAAATAGGGACCTAACATAGCTCAAGAATAATATCAAAATATAATTCTTGGTAAGGTTCCAGAGTGTTGTCAAACTATTATAATTATTTGAATAACTGTAACATATCTAGATATAAAAAAACAATGTTTAATTTCAAATTAATTAATTAATTAATTCATTAATTTTATAATTTATTAATTTTATAATTTCATAATTGTTTATATTTTTTATATTTTTAATTTTTTTTTGGGTCAATTTTTATAAATCTGTTTAATAGTTTAAATTTTATTTTTTAAATGTTTTACAAATGACCATGACATAAATATATTTGTGATTTCCATTAATTAAACAACCTATAAAAGATAATAAATATTACATTAATTTAGTTTATTTTTCAGGAACTAGAATAAGTCATTGTAATGTTAGTAAGTTTGAACATAATTTTCGAAAAAAATAAATAAAAAAATTATTTTTTTATTTATTTTAAATATAATACAGCTTTAATTAAAATAATACAGCTTTAATTTAAATAATACAGCTTTAATTTAAATAATACAGCTTTAATTTAAATAATTAACTTTAAAAGTACTTACTTTCAATATCACCACTGTTGATACCGTCGATGATATCGTGAGGGTTTTGACCATCGACACGACAACCGACAGATTGAGCAGTTCCCAAAATTTCCTTAGTAACAGATGTTAAATTTTTACCAAATGATTTTGAAGTCATTGTTCTTGCAATCTCAATAATTTGATCTAATGCAATGTTACCACTGTGTTTAATGTTCTTAACTTTCTTCCTGTCTCTTGGAGCTTCTTTTAAAGCGGTTATGACTAAAGATGAAGCAGATGGAACAACAGAACATTGTGCTTGACGGTTTTGAATTCTCAATTGAACAGTGACTTTAATACCTTTGAAATCTTTGGTGGCTTTAGCAATATCTTCACCAACTTTTTTTGGGGATAAACCTAATGGACCAATTTTAGGAGCTAAAGCAGATGAAGCACCAACTTCACCACCAACGGCTCTTAAATATAAGAATTTAACTTCATTTGGATCAAATTTTGGAGGCATTTTGGTGTTATTATTATATTATTACTGCTACTAAAAATTCTATTGAATATCGTTGGTAGTATTATTCAGCCAAAGAGAAACCAAATTCTAGCTTTAGAGATGGAGTCTGTTTTAGTGCTGATTGAAAATTCAGTGATATAAAACTTTACTAAGGGGCCCGCACGGAAGGGGAAGTTCTTGAGAAATTGTGTTGAAATAGGCAGAAAAAAAGGCTTCTTGCTTCATTGGGAAAGACGCGCTTTGTTATTAGCATCTGAGCCCTGACTCTGAGCCTTTAATTTATAATTCCTAAAAGTAGAAATAATGCACGTTTATATAATAAGGGCTGTATATAATTTTTGAAGCCCTATATCTTGTGCACGTGTGCTGATTTTCCAGGTGGTATTTTTCGTGGAGGTTTTCGGTGGCTCTCAGCGGAAGTCAGAGCTGAAGCTGGGTCAAAGAAGCTGCAATGCGAGCATTGAGTTTGTTTTTTTGCTTATGGAAGGAAACTGTTTATTTTACCGGAATCTCCAAGGCCTTTGGGTGCTGAAGTGGTTGCTCTATCCCGTAACCTGTCGGGTAACTACTAAAGGCTGAAGATTTCGCTGGAGCTGTGGGTTTTGACGAAAAGCGGGCTTATTAATTTTTGTTTTAAAGTGAGCGGCTTTCGCGGAGAAGTTTGGTTTTTCCAAGATCTGGGTTTGATTAAATGTAAGGAGAGGAATTTTCCACTTCATGTTCACATCTCCAAATCTACAGTTTAACCAACTAATAGCGACCAGCCCAGAGAGAAGAAACATCGCGAGTTAGTTTGATATTGAAATTACTTGTTATTGATTTCAGACGACGTTTGCTTTGCTTTTATAATTTATTTCTTCCCAGCTATCGACTCCAGACCTGTTCCCTCTTTTTGACCAGATTCAGTTTTCTGTTTAGATCCCTCGCTACATCTCCATATCTTTGCTAACCAATTAATCGATAAATAATTGAAAATACTATTCAAAACCTTTTGCAGATAGTATAACTGCATTTATTGTTAGAGTTATTATCTTTCCATTTTGGCTTTTACTTCATTTTACTTCATTTTAATCTGGATTACATTGCTATCAATTAAGTTTTTCCTTATTTGTCTTTGCTTCTCAGTTTTTTTCAATTATTTTAATTGTTTTTTTTAGTCTTTCTTTAAGATGCCTTTGACAACAAGTCTCAATAACAAAGATGACAAAAGCAGCAATAATGGCTATTCAAAACCTTCAAATATAACTCAGGAGGAAAAAGAAGCTATGTTTCAAGAGCTTTTCAAAAAATTCCAGGAATCTTATTGTGGTGATAATCCTGAACTATATAGCCCATTTCCAACTGATGTTGTAAACTTGCCTGTACTAACTGATAATGATATTAATGAAATCAGAGCCTTTCTTAAGAAACATGAAATGCTTGTTAAAGAAGGAAAAATCCCAATTCTTCTAACTGAACCTTCTCACGATGAAAATTTTCATTTCATTAATAACAATAACATTCATAATAATACTAATAAAAATAAAAATAAAATCAATAAGATCAATAAAATCAATACAAATAGCAGTACTAGTAATCTGAATTGCAAACTTAATCTTGCTGGAAATTCAAGCATAAATAACAGTAAAAGTATTATTAATGATAATAGCGTGCCTCTCCCTCTCCCTCTCCCTCTACCTAATGAAAATGGCTTGATCCAAAACAGTATTTCGATAACCAAAGAAACTATAAATCTTGATTTCACCAATTTCTCTGTTGATTATGATATCCTAAGTAGTACAATACAGGAAATGATGAATAGTGATCCAAATAATCCAAGAGATAAATTAATGGCTTCAATCAAAAGTAGAGTATATGAAGATTGGAATAAGGAGTATCCCAATCTAACGAGAGAAAGTGCTGCTAAACAAGAATTACTAAATAATTATCTTTTAAATAAATCAAAAACCAATACTGTTCGAAATAAAATCATTCAAGATCTGAATCAAAATTCAAGTAAATTCTCAAAAAATAACACAAAATCCAATGATAATGATAATTATATTCTACCAAATCCAATCTCGAATCACCCCAATAAATCCAATAGATCTCATAATGACAACAAAATCATTTCAGAAAATCTTAGTGCTACTACAACGAAACCCACTTCCACCGCTAAAAGTATTGTTTGTGATAAAGAAAATAAACATGGCAAAAATATTGATTTTAAGGAGGAAAATAACCAGTTTCAAAATACCACAGTTGAAACTTTTGAAGAATCAAAGACGTTTCAAAACCCCAAATATGGGCTTAATATTCAAACTACACCTGAAAAATCTTCCAGTAACGTTAATATAAATGTAAATATAAATGTCACGAATGGAAAACTGGAAATTAGCTCCCCTAATCGTGATTCTGATATTAATAATAACAACAAAGAAAATCGTGAAATCCAAGCACCAGATCTGACCATGAATCAAAATTCCAATCAAGATTTAAAGAATCCAAGTAAAGTAATAAAACTGGAAAATATTGCCGATACTAATGACAGTAGTGAGACTCCAATTGTAAAAAAGAAAAATAAGAAAAAATCTAAAAATTCAAATAATTCAAATAATTCAAATAATTCAAATAATTCAAATAAGAATATGAATACCGACGATTTCTATTATTGTTTGTTTTGTGAGTATGAAGCTACTTTTGGTTCAAAGCCTGTTAATTTTATTGGGTGGTATAATGCAAGAAGAAAATATCAGGAGGATTTGAAAAATAAGCGTAACCAAAGAAAGAAAAATAGAAATTCCAATGATGCTGGCTCTGATCCATTTCATCGTTGTGATTGCCATGAATGTCAAAAACAAAGGAGGGAACTTAGTTTATCTCAAAATTCTAGCATGACTCAAAATATGAATTCAAATATTAACCCCAATATGAACATGAACATGAACATGAATATGAATATGAACATGGGGATGAATCCCAATATGGCAATGAATCCTAATATGAACATGAGAATGAATATCAATACCAATGGGACAATAGACATGAACATGAATATGAATCCTAATATGGGAAATAGTTCAAATATGACGATAAATCCTAATATGGGTAATAATACTGACTCAAATGTGAATTCCAATGTGAATTAAAATATGAATGATTAAGAGGAATAAACATTTAATTTTTTTTTTTTCAATTAATTTTTACATTTATTACGATGCATTTAAAGATGTTTTTGATGTTTTTTAGTACTTATTTTCGTTTTTGTTTTCGTTTTCGTTTTCATTTTTGTGTTTTAATTTGTTTTAAGTTTTTTTTTTTTAAAGATTGATAATATTGATGAGGATTATAAAGAGGTTATTTACAGAGTAGAATAGGAAAAAAAAAGATTTTATTGATTAAATAATACAGTGATTGGTAATAATTGGTAATTCTAATCAATAATAATGATTAATTTTAATAGTATTCAATATTCTAAGATGTGATCTTTTTTTTTTTTCAATTTTAATTTTAAGTTTAAATTTAAATTTAAATCTAGAATTCTTTTTGGGAAATAAAAACAAAGCATGACATATCAAATTTCAGAGAAGCAATAATAGAGAGAAAATATAGAAGACCGCAAAAAAACCAGGTTGAAAAATAAAAGAGGACAGAAGAAATGAAGTGAAAGGAAAATAGAATTAAAAGGATTTGAAATGTTGTCATCATTAGTTCACAGATTGATCTGAGAAAAACCAAAAAAAAGAAAAAAAAAAAGAAAATATCACAGGACAGCATGTAAATAAAATAATAAATGATAAAATCAACTGAAACATAAACATAAACATAAACATAAATATAAACATAAACAAAACCAAAAACAAAAACAAAAACAAAAAAACGATATTGGAGTATTAAGAGAATTAAGAGAATTATAATGTTGCTTTTAGTGACAAAATTGAGAGGGGAGAATAGAAATCGAGAAAAATATAATATAAAAAAGTAATTAACAGGGATTGGTACATGTTGATTTGATGTTGATTTGATATTGAATATTATTTGATATTGAATATTATTTGATATTGAATATTATTTGAGTATCATTCGAATATTGTTTGACTTTTAATTGAAATTTAATCGAAGTTGATTAGATATTTTTCTTTGAGTCAGAATCATCTTCATCGCTTGTTGAGTTATAAAATTTGGTAGCGATTTGTTTAATCTTTTGGTAATGAGATTTTCTATTTTTATTTTTCAGCTTTCTATCATTCAAGAATTGTTTGTATTTGTTCAAGGTGATTTGTCTTTGTTTTTCTTTATAGTCGTCAAGACCTTCAAAAGTCGTTTTAAAGAATTGATCCCAGAAGATGAAAAAGGGTTGAGAATAGTTTGTCTTTATCCCGAAATGTTGGTGGTGAATGTCATGGTATAAGGCATTGTTGGGGAAAATGATTTGGAAAGGATCGTAAGGCAAGACGTAACCACAATGGTCATCAACGGTTTTCATTGTAGCAAAGGTGTATAAGAAGATACACTCTCTTGGGGTCAAAAAGGTTGATATAGCGGCAATACCAGTGCCTAGAGTATCGAGAAGAAAACCTTCAACGGGAGCATTATAGAGGGCGCCAAAGGCATAGGGGACATAAAGACGATGGTGACGGGAGTGGAAGTGTTTGTAAAGAAACTTGTTTAAATGCATTGCTCGGTGCCAGAAGAATTGCCATGTATCGACAATGGTGATTGCAACGAGGATTTTGAAGCCTGAGAGGAGGTAGTTGTAAACCAAGTAGATGAGCCAGGAAGGTAGAAGTGGAAGAGACCTTTTGATCCTCCACATTTGAAAGTCCTCGTAGCCTGTCATGGGCTTGGGGTCGTAGAGATAAAGACAATAGCCAAAGAAGGTTTGGATGATATGCTGACAGAAAACCTCGAAGAGCACTTCGTTGAAAGAGGCTTTGTTTCTGCTGACGACTTCCTCTGGAGGGTGTATTCTGTACTTCTCAGCTAGCTGGTATGTGTCGATGATGAGAAAGACGATGGACATGATCCAGTAGGCGGCAACAGGAGCAACAAGCGCAGTAATACCATCAGGAATGCCCTGGATCAAGTCAGGCTTGGGGGAGAGGCTCAAGGCTGGAGGAAGGTGGGAGGAGAGCAAGGTGCTGTTGGAATAGACGTCTTTGAGCTCGAACATGGCTAGGCTGGAGGAAAGCTAAGGTGAGGTGGAGGAAGGAGAGGATGAAGGTGAGGACCAGGGTATATATATGTTCGGGTGGAGGAGCCTTAGAGGAATATTTCACCCCAACGGAACCTGAGAACAAAAGCACAGAACACAACCACAACAGAGGAGCTTGTTCGTGCCGGTCCAGTGCGGCGGCGGCGGTGTGCTGCTGCGCGTGCTGCGTATGCTGCTCCTGTTGCGTCTGGTGCGTCACCGCTGCTGCCGCTGCTGCCGCTGCCGGAAACCACTCGGCTCGTGCGGCAGCAGCGGCAGCAGATGCTGGAGAAAGTCCCGCCTGCGCTCGTGCTGCTGCTTCCGCTGCAGTGGTTGTCTCCACCGCCGTGGTGTCCAGCCAGCGCTCTGGGCCCCGACGCGTCACGTCTGCCGGCCCATGCCACGGATTTGTTCTCTGTGTTTCCTTCAAGCGTCCGCTGATTCCAATTCGGCTCGGCTGGCTCTGCAATGGTTTGAACTAAAATATTCAATTACTCGCTATATACAGCTATCGATCTGCCCTAATTCTCGATTTCATTATATTCGCTTATCATACACTGGCTCTTTGCGTTTGCATCTTAGCCTTTCCACTTGCGGTTCCAGCTTTTTTAGCCACCTTGATTGCATTGGTTGCAGCCTTTTCCTTTTCAAATGCAACTCTGGCTATCCTTTGTCTTTTCAATCTGATTTGATACTTTTTCAACGCCATTTGAATTTTTTTCTTTTTGAGGTTGGTTGGGTTTATTCCCAACTTCCTTGCTTCCACCACTGCTTTACTACCAGCCCTGGCCTTGATTTGATTCAATTTTCTTCTTTCTGCTCTCGATGTGCCCTTTTTCACTGCAGTAGCAGCAACAACAGCAACTGGTTTCTTGAGTCTAGCAATTCTTCTTCTGAAAATTTCATATGCTTTAGTCTTTCCGTACTTTTCTATATTTTCTTTTCTCTGTTTTACTGCTTCCACCACTTTGTTTCTAGCCTCGATCATTTTCTTTTTGCCTAATTTAGACCTGTACTGTCTCGCAAATCGTAACAACATTGGAATCTGTTCTCTAGTTCCCACCCGTGGAAGCTCATGATGTCTGGATAACTTGCTGCTCCAATACTTTCCATCTCCTTTTCTCCAATAATCTTCCCAAAACACTGTCGTCCTATATTTAAGTGTTTCAATCACTGACGATAAATCGGCCACTGCTTCCTGTGTATACCCTGGTCGAAACTGTCCCGAAAACCAAATGTTCCCAAACTCGTTTCTCTTTCGAAGTGCTTCCGCTTCTTTTCTCTTAGTCACTTCTCTCATATGTCTTATCTCAACCAATGCTTCATATGCTGCCACTGCTCTTTCGTAGTTTTCAAAATTCGCAACTGCCATTATACGCCAAATGTCTCGACGCGTGCTGGGCCTCTTATTCTCCCAGTTGGGTCTTTGGAATAATCTTTTGATCTGGTAATCGCTGAATTTAGGTAACTGCGAATAAAGAACTTGTCCACTCTCGATGTTTCTAAAAAGAAATACTTGTGGAGCATACCCATTCTTCCTTAGCCATCCCGGCCTACGAAATCTCGTTGCCATCTTTCACAATCACAATCACAATCCAATCGAATAAAAGTATCAATACCACTACAAGTATTGATATAGGCTACCACGATTGATCCTCCACTTTTAATGAACAAATTAATTACTTGATAATTCATTTTTCACCAATTTCACGGTCACATGCACTATCTCAGTGTAATTATCAGCATCCTCTCCGTATTTCTCGTCACCAACTTTTTTTTTCCAATTATCAAAATTTATATTTCATTTAAACTATTATCGTTATTATCATTATTATTGTTATTATATAGTCATAACAACAATATCTTACTAATATTCAAAATGCTCACCGCCACCACTCCAACAATTAAAAAAAACTTGTCCTCCCGTTTATTTTCCTCAAATAATACTAAACTATTTCTAAGATCCATCTACACTGTTCCAACTTTAAGAGCTGATTTGAAAAATACAAACACAATACCTGGTTTATTTTCTCCAAATGGCTTCAAATTTTCCTGGAATAACAGAGCTCAGTTTTACATCAATAACTTGAACAAATTATCCGGATCCTCTTCCCAATCCATAGAAGACATTTTGCTCTACAACCACTCCACTCCCAAAAAAGAAAACATCTACAGAAATGCTTCCCTATTATACAATTTAAATTTCGCCATTAATTCTTTAAACTCAATAGTCCAATCACATCCCCTCACCCCAAATAAACAATACAATCCTTTCACCTCCCCTGATATCCCCCAGCTCTCTTCCCCTGATCAATTATTGGAAACCCCATCGATATCCATTGAAATATCTAATCCAATCCAAAATATGGATCTAAACGCTTGGATCAAAACCTCTTTTAATTCCATCCATGAATTCAAAACTTTACTACTCAACTCAGCTCACGCTATTAAAGGCGATGGTTTCACTTGGTTGGTAGCTCGTCAAGACAACTCTCAGGGCAAAATATTCGTTGATGATTTGTTTGTTTTAAACACTTATAACTCAGCTCAGCCAAACAATGTCCAGTCCGACTATCTTTCCCATTTGAAAAAAGTCTACTTGAAAATCCAAGAAGCACAGTTGGATCTTGAAAAGAATCAAAACAAATCCTTTAGCGAGCTTCAAAACCAAATTGAAAAACAAATTAAAAGACAAATTGAAAATCAAAATCGAAAAGAAGAAAATCAAAACCAAAATCAAAACCAAAATCAAAACCAAAATCAAAACCAAAACCAAAATCAAAACCAAAATCAAGGTCATAATAATTCTGATTTCAGTGAATCGCCTTTGTTTTCATCTATTGAAGAAGCTAAAGCCAAAGTGAGATCAGTTTCAAAAGTTTCCTATATTCCATTACTAGCTGTTGATGCCTCACCCAAGGCGTATTTATATGATTATGGTGTGTTTGGAAAAAAGGTTTATTTAGAAAGATTGTGGAATTGCATTGATTGGGATGTGGTAGCTAGTAGAATGCCAAAACATAGAATCGACTTTTAAAAAGTGAATGATTAGAATGAATACTTTTCCAATTTCCTTAACTTATATATATGTGTATATATATATGTATAATTTTTGTTTTATTATGTAAATAAATTTATTATAAACAAACAAAAGCAAAAAAAAAAGGCATCTATATATAACCGTTAATATCTAATACAAATTTAATGGCTTCATAAACATTGTCAACTATCATTGTAGGTTTGACTTTTAAATCAGGCAAGTCATCATCTTTAAATACACCTGTTCTAACTAAACAACTTTCCCAACCGTAATTGTTTGCTCCTTTTATATCCGATTCTGGGTTATCCCCAACCATGTAGATTTTATTAAAGGGCGAATTGACTGGAATTTCACCTATACTAGGTAGAATTTGTTTCAACGCTTGGCTATTTGAATTGAAATTTATTAAGTTTGGATTTTTTAATAAACTTTGGTACCAATCGATGAGAATATGATGAGCAAAATCGTACTGCGATTTGAAAGGTTTCCCGAATATCGTTGAATCTAGAGTCAATGAGTTATTTAGTTCTTGATATAATCGTTCAATTATAATTCTCAATTGACCTTGACCGAACCTTGGAAGATTGAAATCATTTGCCCATAGTAAATCATTATTGGAGAAAAAAATGGGAATTGAGGGAGTGTGATTATGTGAAACCTTGTGTAAATTTCGAATTGTCCCATATAAACCGTTATCAGAATTCAAATAATCAACGATAATCTGAATGTCTGTGCCCATATCTCTAGGATCGTTAAAAACCATGATAGCATCAATTGGCTTTTTGAAAACATTTGTAATCGATGGATCCAATGCCCACCGATTTAGCTGATCTGCAGAAAACCCATGGAATGGCCAAACAGACTGGTTGGATCTAATGATATCAGCAGGAATCAAGACATCTTCAAACCCATAGTCTCTGGCAACATGTCTGACCCTATCTTCAAGACCTCCAACAGCTAAGATCCTTCTGTATGTTTTGGTAAAGCCCTTGAAGGGTGTGTGTGACTGGATCAACTGGACTGGATTGATGTTGACGTCCAACAATGTCGACAAATAGGCAGTTCTTGCAGCCTCAGAATAACCTCCACCGTTAGTGAGCAATATCCAGGGGATCCTGTGGTGGTTCAACAACTGTAAAGCTGGTTTGGCAGCCTCAATACGTTTCCCACCTCTAATCAAAACACCATCGATATCAAAGACAAACCCTATTGGCCCTGCTGCGTGCAATTGGGCGTGGGCAAGGGAAGAGTCCCTTAGAAGAACAGGAGAAGAGGAGCAGAAACAGCGAAGTGACCTCTCAGGTCGACAACTCTTTGTGTATCTGCTGAACGAAGGAAGAAACATGCTCCAACTGCTCTGGTGTTTATTCTGCTAGAGCCTCGAATGAAATCCCCCAGATTAACTGAACCTCAACGGCGATTGGCCCACGGGAAAAACGACGCATAGCAAGTGTCGGCCAGAAGACGAGTGTGGAGGCAATGATCCAAGCTCCAGCTGATAGTGGCCTTATAAAGCTCTGCTTTTCAGGGGATGGGCTCTCCTCCTGTTTTCTCTGCTTTGGTTGCAGTTGCAATTGCTGGGAAAATACGACTTACTGCTGGCGATGATTGATTTCAATGTCCATGGAAAGACCTGTATTATAACAGGGGGCACAAGAGGCCTAGGCTACGCCTGCGCAGAGGTTCTCTTGACTAATGGCGCCAAAAAGATCTTTATAACGTCTAGAAACGAACAAGCTGTTCGAGCTGCTGTCCATGAATTGGAGAAGTTGGGCGATGTGTACAACAAAGATTGCGAGATCATTGGTATTCCATCAGACTTGAGCAAGCTGCAGAGTATCGACGAGCTCTACAACGTTATTACAGACACCTTTAAAGAAACACAGGTTGATGTTCTAATCGCAAATGCAGGTGCCACTTGGGGTGCACCATTGGGCGAACATCCCTCAGAGGCTATTGAAAAAGTCTTGAATTTGAATCTTAAGGGGGTCTTTTTGACTATTCAAAAGTTTTTGCCCTTATTAAAGAAAAAGCCTGAAGATGACCCATCAAGAATCTTAATTATGGGATCTATTGCAGGTATCGCTGTTAATCAATTTGCTAATACATATGGCTATTTGGCTTCAAAAGCTGGTGTTATTCATTTGGGGAAAAACTTAGCAATTGAATTGGCACCTAAATATAATATCAATGTCAATATGTTGGCCCCAGGATTTTTCCCAAGTAGAATGGCCAATGGATTATTAGAAGAAATTGGTGACACATACGTTCAACAAAATCCAAGAAAGAGACTTGGGAAAAAGGAAGATTTAGAAAGTGTTGTTTTATTTTTATGCTCAAAACAAAGTAATTACATCAATGGTGCAGTTATTCCAATTGATGGTGGCCATCACTTATTAGGCCCTGCGGCTTCTTATCCTTCGAAGTTATGATAATGGTTATTTTTTTTTTCTCATTTTTATAAATTCAATACTCAATTATGTTAACAATAAGCTAATATATATCTTACGAACAAATAAATTTACGATATCTCACTTTTTTTTTGATTTTCTTTGTGTTTTTTTTGACGAGATCTATAAACTTTCTTTAGATTTTTTTTATTCAAAAAGAAAAGGTTCCATTAAAAATAATCTAAATAAAACATTGTCAATGAATTTCATAAAAATATATTTAGAATATGAATAAAATCACTATATCAAAATTAGAGCTACTATATCCTCTAATTAAAAAATACAGGTAAAGCCATAAGAATTAAAATTTTAGATGAATAACATTTAATGGTCCCATGGATGTTTAAATCCCTATAATACACAAAAAGTTAGTATATATAAAATGCTTGAAATGCTTGAAATTCTTCAAAATTCCCGAAAGTTAAAAAATACATACAAACATAACTGCACCATCTTCTTTGAGTCTGTAAAAAATCCAGAACCAAAATGTAGCACCTAGTCCTTTGGATATCAAAGTAAAACTCAATGAATGTTTTGGAGCTTCGATTTTAGCATGACGCACATACTTGAACGCATGGTGAGAACCAGATCTTAGCACTCTTGTTGGTATCATTTTGGGCAGCTTTGATTTATCTCGTTACCTTGCTGATTTTGCTTCAAAAGTAACCACCTCCAAAAGTTCCAACACCCTCAATTAAACTTTCACCAATCGCTGAAGAGAGAATACTCAGCTGGTCACATGAATTTGCTGACTAAGATATGTGCTTTTGTTACATTATCCGGATTTATCTCCGTGTTTGTGATCCGCGCGCAATAACAACGGACCCACTCTGCTGGTTATATATGATTGCCTAAAACAGCAATATATAAACAAAATGCCTGTGTGCTCTTTATGAATGTGTATTTATGATCAAGCCTTTGGGTTGTTTCTTGGTTATCTTGCACCAATTTTTCTTTTCTAGTTTTCTTTAGAATATCAGAAACCTTTTATTTTCTTCTCAACTCTCCAGATAGATGCTAACTTAATAGAGTGTATGCTCAACCACTAACTCACCCCTTCGTTCTTCTTCAGCTTCTTTGCCTTTTTTTCTCTATTAAAAATCATTGCTATAAAATAATTTATTTCAGTTCAAGTTATTATACTATATTTTTGTGCATCTTTATTTCTTAGAAAATCAAACAAAAAATGAGCTATCCAGAACAATTCAATTCTTCTCCTTTAAAGCTAAATATTTTTAATACTCTTAGTCCTAATATTAGCACTTCCTCATTCTTTGACAATCCAATCTCATCTTCGTGTATTTCAAACAATAATATTCATTATAGCAATAAACACAAACCCGAAAATAAAAGTAAAAACAATTTGATCAATAAAAACTACTTCTCCAAACCAACTCATTCGTCTACAAATTTTAATATTGCAACTTCTGACTGGAACAAAAACTCTCTTGACTTTAAATTTTTGAATAATAGCTTAAAACTAGAAAAAGACAGTAAATCAAAAAGCACAACAAGCAAAACAAGTAATGATAAAAAAAGCAATAAAAACAATGATAGCACCAATCAAAGTGATAATAATACCAACACTCAAAGCACCAATTCTATAAATTCTTCTCCAACTCGTCGCTTAAAGAAAAGTTTAACTAATGACCGCTTTATACCCACGAGACATACTTCTGCTGGAAAGTTATTTGCTGAAGAAGTCACTCCTAAACCAACTGATAGCCCATTACAGTATATTGAGTGCCAAAATTCAAAAATATATCAATCATCTGTTGCTAAAGCCTGTGGAGTTGATACTCACCAAAGAATCTTACAATTTCAACCTCCTCCACCTGAAAGATCTGCTCCTATTAATTTATGTTCAAAATTTGCTACAACGTTAAATGATCAATTGAATTTTACAGTACCTTCAAAGGGAATAAAGCCTTCTGCTGCTATTGCAAGAATAAGAAAAACCACCAGAATACCTGAAAAAGTGTTGGACGCTCCTGGTTTAATTGATAATTACTATATCAATGTCTTATCTTGGTCAAAGACAAACTTATTAGCCATTGCCTTGCAAAAATCCGTCTATATTTGGAATGCTTCCTTAGGAATAGTGGGATCTTTAACCGAATGTGAAACAATAGTATCTTCTATAAGATGGTCTGAGGATGGGGACTATTTATCTATAGGAACTGAAGATGGGGATATTCAAGTGTGGGATATCGAAGCTTCGAAAAAATTACGAACAATGACCGGTCATGATACTAGAGTTGGTTCTCAATGTTGGAACTCTCATTTAATAACATCAGGATCAAGAAATGGAGCAATGTTTCACCACGATGTCAGAATTCCGGATCATATTGTATCTAGAATGAAAAGCCATACTGCGGAAGTTTGTGGAATTGAATGGAGACATGATGGACATCAATTGGCATCAGGTGGAAATGATAACATTGTTAATATTTGGGATGCTAGATCATCCATTCCTCAATTTACAAAAACAGTTCACAAATCTGCAGTAAAAGCATTAAGTTGGTCGCCCACACAAAGTAATTTACTAGCTACTGCTGGTGGTACAGCTGATAGACATATTCATTTTTGGAACACAGCTAGTGGAGCTAGGGTGAATTCCATTGACACTGGATGTCAAATATCGTCGTTAAATTGGGGTTATTCTGATGGTGTGGGAGTTGAAATTGTGGCTACTCATGCATTTCCAAACAGTAATATAAGTATTTATTCTTATCCAACATTGCAGAAAACTGGGGAAATATTGAATGCGCATGATGGCAGGATATTATGTTGTTCATTATCTCCAGATAATACAACAATTGCAACAGCTTCTGCTGATGAAACACTAAAGTTCTGGAAGATATTTGATTATCCCAAATTTAAATTTTCAAATGGTAAAAGTACACTTGCAGATGATAATAAAGATATCCGTAAAGTAATGACTCTTCGTTAAAACATGCATTTTATTTTTTTATATTTTTTTTATTTTTTATTTTTTACTGCTTTAATTCCAATGCTATGACAAAAGAATAAAAAAACAGATAGCAAAGCTTTTGTGCTTATAATAGAGCATTTAATTATACCATTTTCAAATTATTACTGCATTGACAAAACTCATTAGTTGAATTTTTTTTCCTTCATATATAATTAGATTAAATTTTTTTAATGACATTATATAGATATTGATTTTTATTTTTATTTTTATTTATTTTTATTTATTTTATTTTATTTTATTTTATTTTATTTTATTTTATAGCTTTATTCTTTTGTTATCATGATCATCATTTTCATTATTATCATTAACATTAGCATTTTTATTGAAACCAGTTAGTTTTTTTATATTTTCATAAGCTTCATCATAAGATAAGTTTGATAATTTCATATTTGATTCGAATTTTTTTTTTTGATCGTAGTATCGCGGATCGCGGAGAATTGATTTGATGTGTTTATCGAATTTTGATTCTGGGATGAGTTGGTTTGTAATTGGGCAAGAGATTAGATTTTCTGGTTTGTAGTCTGGTGATTTGTTATTTAGCGAGTTTGATTTGATGTTGTTGTAAATGGTGTTGTTGATGTATTGGCGGGATCTTTTTAGTCTCGTTTCACCAGCAGATCTGATTTTTATACCGACTGGAGGTCGCTGGGGAATGGAAGGAAGAGTATTTATAGGTTGAGGTTGAGGTTGAGGTTGAGGTTGAGAGGATGTGTTGTAATCAGGAGAAGCCTCTTGGATTAGTAGAGTGGCATTTTTTTGTTGAAGAGATCTGTATTCTAGCTGAGCTAGAGATAATGGCATTGGGAGGTCTAGTTTTTTGTCATGATCTGTGATGTTGATTGTTTCGACAATTGTAAAGTCTTGCCAGTCAATTGAAGCGTATTCCAATTTTTCTTTTTCAGATTTTTTCTTTTTTGCAATCAAGTCTTTTTTATTCTTGAAGGTGTATTCTGCTCGTTTGTAGGCGTTTGTTAGTAGGAAGTCCGTTAAATTGAAGGCAGGATTGATAGCGGACTTGATATTTGATAGTATGGATATGTTGGAGCTGGAAGTGTTTGTTTTTGTATTCAAGTCGAGAACTATTTTGTATTGGTTGACGAAGGAGGTGAAGAGAGGATTTAGAGAGTGATTTGAGTTGAGAAATTGGAATTGGGAGACAGAGTAGAGAGCGTTTTGTTTGGTGGGCTCGGATTGGGGTTTGTTTGGAAGATTGCCGATTTTGGAGTCAACCAAGTTGGGGTGTTCTGGTGCACTTTGATCAGAGGATGAGAGATTCTCAATGTGTGTTTTCAAGTTGTTGATGTAATTGTCACCATTTCTGGCACAAAATAAGGCAGTTAGCTTGATGACTTGCAAGTCGAAGAAGGAAATGGAGGGCATATCCACTGCGAAAAGTAACTCTTCTGGCGGCGATACAGGGGATTTGGTTGTGGAGACAGAGGAAGTTGCTGTTGGGGTTGGTGGAGTGTTGGAGACATTGGTGGAGTTGGTGGCAATGCAGCCATTTCTGTACTGCGAGAGAACCCATCTGTAGTAGGAGTTGAAGGGATCGTGCAGTCTCAAGAAGGAGAATTTGGAGACAGCTCTGTCGTCCTGATCTTTAGAAAGCCTAGCTTCAAAGGCAGAGCCATTTCTGTGAATATAGCCTGCAGTTCTGATGACCACCTCTCTGGCCTCTGGAGGAGGAAGAATAACACCCTCAGGAACAGCAGCGTAGTCGAAGCTGGAAACACCCATCGGTGGTGCTCTTCCTCCTCCTCCGGCGTCTATTTCCCTCCAAATGCTTCTTCTGATGCTCCTTCTGCTTCCACACGTGCACACATCCAACACCCCACATCCAACACCCCACATCCAGCACCCAGAAGCAGCGCCAGCAGCGCCAGCAGAGGACGCTCGCGCAGCAGAGAGAGAGTCTTCTGGTGCTGGGCTGTGGTGAGACTGTGCTGCATCCTCTGCAAAAATGGCGTTGAACAACGACAGTGCTCCAGGATCCCAGCCAGAAATAGCCTCCAGGTCCAGGGTGAGACAACTGCAGGCCCACGACGTGCTGTGCTTGCCCAAATTTTTGTTCGACGAAATACCCATCCTCAACGACCATAGCTTCACAGCCAGCTCAAGATCCTCCTTCCTTCTCAGCCAGGCTGAATCTCCCTATCCCTCCATGTCCAAAGCACGACCCTTTGCTGCTTCCCAGCCTCAGGCCAGTGCTGCTGCTTCAAACTCCAGGCCGAAGTCCAAGGTCAAGAGGAAGCACAAGAAAATCAAGAGCCTTCCCAGGAACCAGAACCACTTGCTGGTCAGCCTCGAACCCAGCATCAATTACAGACATGCCAGCTCCAATTCAAATGTCTCCAACTTCTCTGACAACTCCACCTACTCCACCACCTCCAGCCAGTCTGCCAACAAATTGAACTCAGCTCTGGCTTCTGCTTCCCCCCCCTACTCCCAAAACCAGCAGCAGAGAGCCTTTCTAATTACAAGCCCAAGCCCAAGGCAAACAAGAAGATACAGCTCTTCTCTCTTGAGCAATGCCAACAACCATCCTTGGGAACTACCCCATCCAAAATCAAACCCAAACCTTCTCAGTTCTACCCACAAATCTTCCACCTCTCTAACCCCTTCTCCAACCGAAATGCCTAACTACAACTTGGCCTTCAGTCCTCAAAATAACCAACTATCCATTCCTGTTTCAATCCAAAGATCTCATTCACCTCAGCCATCTCAGCTGTTCGCCCACTCGCTGCAATTTCAGCCAGAAATCTTGCCTCAAAACCTTCCATTATACCATCCCACTCAACAGCAATTATACCAACAACAACAACAATTGTATCAGCAGATGCAACAACAGCAATTTCTTCAACAGCATTTGTTTCAACAACAGCAGCAGTTACAACAGCAGCAACCGGCTCAAATACTGATGCCTATTCAAAAACAAAAACAGTTGAAAACCACTTTTCAACACCAACAATCTCCCAATTTTCAACCAACACAACCTCAAGAATTCCCACACCCTCCTCAATTCCTACCTGAAAATCCACAAAATCTCTCCATTGATATTCAACAATCCCAACCATTTTTAGATGATCTAAATCAATCTCAATCTCAATCCCAGTTACAATTTCAATTCCAACCTCAACTTAAAAATCAATCCTTTCCTATAAACAAAAACTCAAGACAATTTGAATCCAACACACAAAATGACCAAAAAATTACACCAATTCCAAACCCTCGCTTTTCCTTTCATAACCACTCTCTTTCCAACTCTTCTAACCAATCCAAAAGACTAACTCCCTCAATTACAACCTTCTCAATTGGTAGAACTGATACAATCAACACAAACGGCTCCATCAACAACGGCTCCATCAACAACGGCTCTCCAAGTCTTAATCTCTCCTTCCACACTGCAAACTCTTCGCTAAGTTCAGCTCTCCAAAGCCCAACTATCAGCACAACTTCTCCAAGACTTCCAACCTCTTCCCTACCAGAAACTATAAACTTCATAGACTCAAAATTCAAGCTAACCGACTCAAACCCGGCTTCCGACCAAATTCATCCCGATTCTAATGAAAATGGCGGTTTATCCATGGAAGGCATGGAAATTCTAGATATCGATGAATTTTCAAAAAATGATTCATCCTCAGACGACAATTACGCTCTCAATAACCAAACCCTTCAAAATAACAGTCTAATAAATTTTGAAAACAATAATATTAACGATAATAACAATAACAATAACAATAACAATAACAATAATAATAACAATAACAATAATAATAACAATAACAATAATAATAATAATAACAATAACAATAATGATGATAATAATATTAATAATAATAATAACGACAATACAGCTAAAACTCAAAAATTGACACAACTAATCGTTGACATCGACTCAAAAGATTATAACAACAAAATGCATCTCTCTCTAAGTCAAAACTCACAACAAGCCATCTCAAACAGACTAAGTAATGAACTGATTCGCTTACCGAAAGTTCAATCAAGAGAAAGCTTAATCAAAAAAAAAAGCACTTCCTCATTGTTCAACATTCAACTACCAGATAGTAAAATGAGCCTAAATAGCTATTCCAGCTCCAAATCAGCTACTACTAATCAAACTACAACCTCTTTTTCCACAAATGCTACTGATACATTAACTGTCTTTGCCCCTAGATCCAGAGCTGCTAGTAATGATGAAAGTCTTTTAAAATTCAACCCACATCTTCGATTACACACTCCTTCCAAATCTGTCTCTCCCTCTCCTTCACAAATGGATTTGTCCTCGGAAATCTCCAACAATGTCACTGATACATCTAAAAATGAAGAACATAACTTTTTGGATTCTCACCTAGACAGTTCTCAGATCGCCATGTCAATCTCAAAAATCAACTTTCAAAATAATTTCATAAATGATAATAGTGATGCCTTTAGTTTCTCAGGTGTAACTCCTTCCGCTCAAATAAGTGTTAATCCAATGGAATCTGCTATTCCATATAAATTGGAATCCTCTTCCTCAGATTCTAAAGAAATAACCAACCCAAACAATAACAATAGCAACAACAACAATAATAATAACATCAACAATAACAACAACAATAATAACAACAACAATAACAATAACAACAACAATAATAACAACAACAATAACAACAACAATAATAATGATGATAATGGTAATGATAACGATAATCAAGAAACAGGAAATTTAAATAATTCCACTCAAAGTCTTCAACCTAATAATTTGTCGATCCCACTGGTTCTGCTTTTCGAAACTTCTTTTTCATTTAAGAACTCTTTTAAAAAAGAAAGACCCGAATCTGACTTTACAGAAAAGTCAAATATCCTAGAAAAAAATGAAGACGACCAAAACTCAACTTTTTATACCTCATCAGATATAAAGAATTCTTCAAGGGAATCAAAGCCTTATATTAATATGAAACCTAACTTGCAAAGACATAGTGCTGTGCAGCAAAGAATTGTTTCATCTCAATTGCGACATTCAAGATCCGAATCTGCTGCTTTAATTACATGGGCTGTTAATGATCCACTGGAGTGGACTTTAGATCATATTATGATTTGGCTTGATTGTTATGGGTTTGATAATGAATTGAAAGATTTTTTTCGTAAAAACAACATCACAGGTGAATGTTTTCTATCTCTTAGCAGCTATAAAGCTATGAAAGATTTAAAAGAAAAATGGGTTCCTAATATAAATAACGACTCCCCTACTTTTCACGTAAAAGATTATACCATGTTTATTAACACTTTAAGAAAAACATTAGATCGAGGAAATTCTGCCATTAATTCTCCAAATGTTTTACCTTCAGGTTCCACTTTAAGTTTTACTGATACTTCGCAGAGTAAAACTCTTTCTACCATAGATTCTAATGATACCAATCAAGAAAAAAAGGTTAATAATTTATCAACAACTGTTGAATTCACTGAATATCCTAAAAAACTGAATATAAATGAGACAGACAATCCATCAGGCAGTGTAATTTCACGGGTGATTAATTTGCAAAAATCCAAGACTCTTGAAAACTCAAAATTATTTCAAAAGCCAAGACAAACAAAATATAAAAATAATACAAGACCTGCTTCCGCAATTGAAGCAACTAAGAATTGGAATCACATTCCCAGTCTGAATGTTCCCTCGCCTTCTTCACCTCATGCTCACTTTTTTAAAAGGTATAGTAGGGGAAATAATTTGGATATTTCCAAGGTTCCTCAAACTCCTAGCTCTTTTCAATTTCCTTTATCTGCTACATCTTCTTTAGATGAAAAAAAATCGAAAAATGAATCTATTGAACCCAAAAGAGGACTATTGCCAAAATTACTTAAAAAAGATAAAACAAGAACGTTCGAAGGTCCCTCAACTCGTCAAAATGTTGATGATTCACCCACAAGCCCGATTTCACTCAACACGCCATTTAAAATTAAAAAAGAAAAAGATTTTGAAACTCGTTTTGCTCACAGGCATCAAGAAAGTTCACTAGTTGGACACATATCTTTTACAGATAGCCAAATTGCTAAACCTAGAAAAGATAAATGTAAAAATTATATATTGGTCACAAAGGATAATGTTCATTTTGTGCCTGTTGGCGATATTAGTCTAGGTGCTTCGTTGATCGATTTTAAAAAAGCAATATCTAATGCATTGAATTTTCGTTCTGATGAAATTGAATATTTGACATTTCATATGACTGATTTTGGTTGTGAAAAAGGTGATCTGTTAAATGATAAAATACTTGAAGATTTAATTCAGTTTGAATATCTCTATTATAAAATAAAGTTATTTGTGGGTTACGATTCGATTCATTCCTCTGAAATATCAGCCACAAGTACAAGAAGCTCAGACAGTAATTCTTTTGAAATAACTGGTGATGATGATCGTATTTATCCAGCTACTCCAAGGTATTTGATTCAGTCTTCGAAAATAGACAATATAGACGAAGTGGCTATAAGATCTCCTAAATTGCAAACAATAGTTTCCAACAACAATACTAGCTTTGATTCTTCAAAAAATTTTATTGAGCCTGTGCAGAATTCTAGTGACACAACCCAAAGAAATAGAAATGAAAAAGGATCATTAAGTCTGAATATTGCAAACTTTGTCGATAGGCTGTTGCCTTTAAATAACTCGACAAAAAATTCAAAACTCAATTCAAATCATATGTCTTCAAATTTGGATACCTCTTTTAATGTTAACAAAGTTCTGAAGATAACTTATAATCCATTTTCTGTTATAAGAGATACTAAAAGAGAAATAGATTTTGATAAGAAGCGTGTTTCACCATATGAGATGACTGAAAAACCTTTCAACCCTTCAAATACACCAGCTAGCACATCAAATACACCAGTTAGCACATCAAATGTTATAATCCAAAAGCCAAAAAAATTAAACAAATCTTCATCTCTACTGTTCAAACCACAAATGCTATTGGACAAATCTCAACCACTTGTGGCTAAAAGACCACCCCCCCTCCTCCTTCATCTTCGATTAGAATGCCCCAAACCAGATTGTCTTTTCAAAAAAGTATTAGAAAAAAGCCACCTCCAATATCAATACCTAGACCAAGCAATCATATAGATATTCAAAATACTACACCTATTCCAGAGGATCATTCGGTAACCCAAAACAAATTATTATCCGACATCAAACATGAAAATAACATCAGTATTAAAGCAAGAGTGAGAACAAGAACAAATACAGGCACAAGGTGGCAACTTTCCAAAAATGATTCAATTAAAAGGGTTAATACGATTAGACGTAGTTCTACATTAAACCTGCCTAGTCATGCTTTTTCGAGATATTTTATTAATAAACCACCAGAAAACGTTGATACTTTTAAAGAAAACCCTATTTCCTTCAAAGATCCTATAGGCCCTGACGAAAGCAGTGATTCTGGATCTAGTGATAATTTTTGGGCCAAAGCTCCTACTACCGATTTAAAAACTTTTTCGAAAAACAACGAGGTTAAAGAAACAGATGAAAATGAAAATGAAGACAAAGAAAATGAAAATGAAAATGAAAATGAAAATGAAGATGAAGATGAAGATGAAGATGAAGATGAAGATGAAGAAAATGAAGATAATAGTGATTCCGACTCTAGTGAAAACTTTTGGGTTCAAAAACCAACTAAAACATTAGAAACATTGTCGGAAAATAAAATTGAAAAAAAAGAAGAAAAGGAAGAAGGAAAACCTCTGAAAGGGCAAAAGGAAAACGAAGAAAAAGTAGAATTAGAAGGAGAAGAAAATGATGGTGATGATGATCTTTCAGATTCAGATTTTTGGGCTATGGCACCAGATATTCCCAATGAACCAATCATAGATTCTGTGAATATGGAGAAATCAAACTCAACTTTATGTTTAAATTCCAATAACAATATGAACAATCAAACACCTGTTATTCCCACTGTTTCTGTAACTTTTCCTATGGGTAGCGAACAGGGAGAGAAAACTTTAACCCAAGGTAATTTTAAAGCACTTAGTGAATTTAAACCATCAGAAAAACCCAAAGTCGTTACAATGGAAAATTGGTCATTTAGACCATCAGCTGAAACAGTGTATAAAAATTTAGACATATTTTTTCCCAATACAAACCTTGATCAACCAATTATGAATGAGGTTTTTGCAGCTCCCGTTTCTCCTATATCTGAAGCAGCTGAAACATTACCATCGCCTTCTGAATCAATTTATGAAAAGGCACTCAAATCAAGTGGTAATAATACACCTAGAAAGACTGATAATTTAATGCCAAATTCTGCTGAAAATCTCTTTAATGGAATCAATCACAGCCATAGTAATAGTAATCATAACATTGATAATATGAGCAGTATTGTAAATAATAATGATAATGACCCTTTGAACATTAAGGAAATCAATGAAAAACAGCAGAAACTACCAGTTTCTTTGCAGGGGGAACCTGAATTAGGAGAGGATGATGTAATTAGATTCCCAGAATCACAAAAACTTCCAAAGAAACCTTTTCGTCGTGCTATAACCATTAAAACAATTGCATTGAGAAGAAGTTTATCACAGTCAAGCAATGCTAAGAATAATAAAGGTGTATTGTTGAGAAGAACTAGCACGAAACTATGGGGTACAAAGATTATTGAAGTTACCTCAAAAGACCTAAAGCCCGATTTCATTAGTAATTTGAGTGATAGTAAAGGTGTGGTCAAGAAATTTGCATGGATCAAAGGTGAATTATTAGGAAAAGGGGCCCATGGGGAAGTTTATCTTGCTTTAAATGTGACAACTGGAGAAATGATGGCCGTTAAACAGGTGGAGATTCCTCGTAATTTGGCAAAAAACGAAACCATTAAACTGAGTATTGATGCTTTGCATTCAGAAGTAGAAGCTATGAAAGATCTTGATCATTTGAATGTTGTTCAGTATCTTGGGTTTGAGCAGGTTGGAAACAGATATAGTTTATTTCTTGAATATGTTGCAGGGGGATCTGTTGGTAGTTGTATCAGAATGCATGGAAAATTTGATGAACAGATGATTAGATTTTTAACTAAGCAAGTATTAGATGGCTTATCTTATTTGCATTCGCTTGGTATTCTTCATAGAGATTTGAAAGCTGATAATTTGCTATTAGATTTAGATGGTGTTTGCAAAATATCCGATTTTGGAATATCCAAAAGAAGTGCAGATATTTATTCTAATGATACTGATATGTCAATGCAAGGAACAATATTTTGGATGGCACCAGAAGTTGTTGATAATGTTGTACATAACAAGAAAATGGGATATAGTGCAAAAATTGATATCTGGTCATTGGGATGTGTTGTTTTGGAGATGTTTGTTGGTAGAAGACCATGGTCTAATTCTGAAGCAGTAAGTGCTTTGTATAATTTGGGCAAAATGAGACAAGCGCCACCAATACCTGACACAACAAGAAAGGATATGTCTAGTCTGGGTTTAGATTTTTTGAATAAGTGTTTTCAAAGCGATCCAGAAAAGAGACCTATTGCTAAAATACTTTTAAAGCATTCATTTTGTGATGTTGCATCTGAATTTGATTTTAATAAAACCCAATTGGCTCAGATGATCAAAAATAACAATAGATCAAAAGGTGATAGTTTTAAGAAAAATCATTATAGATGAAGATCTAAATGAAGAAATAATACCCCATTTAAAAATTGCACTTCCTCTTTGTATTTTTTTTTTAAGTCTTTAGAAATACCGTGACAATTTTTTTATTTTTTTATGAAAGTATTTTACTTATTTTTATTATTTTCCTCACATTTTTTTTGTGTTATTTGTTTTAAATGATCAATAGGTTTTGCCACAAATATGACCATGGTCACTATCATAGATATAGTATAGATAATAACTTTTGCTATTCATTATTTGAATTATTTACGTATTAAATTTAATTATATTGTAGTTAAAAACCAATTAAAAAAGTACATATATAGATACGTAGGTATAATAATTTAAATAAAAACAGGCAAATTGCCAAAAGACTGAAAAATTATGACTGAAAAGAAAACCAAAGAAATAAACTCCACAATTTCAAAACAAAAATTGAATGAAAAACAAAAACAAAAACAAAAACAAAAACAAAAACAAAAACAAAATAAAGTAAATATAAATTTACAGAAAAATGATAAAGACAGTTAAAAATGAAAAAAAAAAAACCAAAATAAAAATCTATAGGGAAAAGATTCAAAATAATATAACAAACAGATTAAGACATACCAAATCAGTAAAAAAATTTTATGCATTTCGAATTCCAGTCATTGTGTTGACAACTTGATTAACTACCTCAATATGTGTACCAAAAACACCTTTGACACGATCCTTTCCAAGCATAATAATTCCTAAACGAGTTCTAAAAAATTCAAGAAATTGAAAAATGTATGACTGATGATAATCAGAATCTGTTACATTAAAGTAAAGATAAACAGATACAATCAAAACCAAAAGAGGTAACCAAAAAAATAACAACATTTTATCATTTCTAACACCAGTTCTTTGATTAAAGTAGTTTTTCAACTTTTCCTCAGATTCATCATCATTGATGCTTTCATTACTTTGAGATATCACTATTGGAGATAATTCATTACGAGTTATCTGAGCTGGAGCAGAAAGAGTTGTTATTTCCTTTCTCATGAATGTAAATTGTTTTTGGATTGTTGGGTCACCATTTGGATAGATTTCATCATACCTTGGAAGATCTCCAACAACAGAGTTATTAGAGGAATTCACATTGCTTTCATATCCTTGATCACTTTGTTGAGGTGAAAATGCATTTTTAACTTTTTTCCAGATTGATTTATGTTTAGCAGTATCTTTATTAGAAGAATTTGGCGAGTAGTTACTAACAGAGGAAAAACTATGATTGAAAGAAATTGGAGATTTAATTCTGCTTATTATTGTTTCTAAAGCTGGATCTGGAGTTAGTAAGCTTTCATTCTCATCAAGTTGTATATCGCTATTGTTACTTTCATAATCTTCATATGAATCGCTATCTTCATGAGAGGCATTAGTTTCTTCTTCTAGAGTATCTTCATCGTTCATCTTGTTCTTTGAATTATTATTGTCATCATTATTAATAATTTTAGATAAAAGTAATCTATACTCATCATCATCTTTACTAAAAAGAGAAGATAAAGAAGAGCACCTAGAAAAGGATCTTCTATTATAGGGTGTTTGAACTTCATAATCTTCTTTAAAGCATGGAGACTTTGATTTTGATACACTTTTACTTTTTTGTTTGGAGCTTTTTTCAAGTTCGGAAATAAAATCAAAAGTAGCATTATCTTTACTAACATCTTTAATTGATAAACCCATGGCAGTTTTAGTATTTAAAGAGGCTTTGCACTTGTATAACAATTTGATGATTTTTGTGTAACCCATCATACTAGCAAAATGCAAAGGTGTATAACCATTGCAATCTTTGCAATTTACTCTAGCACCACGATTGATCAAACTGACAACAACTTTAGCAAAACCTTTTATACATGCTAAATGTAGCATGGTCTGAGATTCTTTTGTGCACAATTGCCAGTTTGGAGATGATGGGGCGCTAGGTAAAGAACACATATCGATACAGCGCAAAATATCTTCCTCATCATTTGAAAATTGAGTAATAGAATGATTATTAGCTGCATCAGCATAATTATTATTATTTGAAGCTTTGAATGATGAGTTATCATTATTTGAACCAACAATTCTTCTAGCAATATTTCTTGCATCTTCCAACTTACCATTCATTTTCAAGCCAACAATTTGTAGAGCTAGTTCAATAAGTTGTTTATCGGTATCATCCAAGTAGGTAAATACTTGATGCAGCTGTTTTGGAGTAGTTTCATAAGAGGATTGTGACTGGTTAAAAAATTCATTATTTTCAAAAGTTACAAGAACCTGGCCAGGGCTTGCAGATGGAGGTAAAAAAGTCAAAATGGTAGTATCGGACCAACAATGAGTACCCAAAGCTTTTACATTTCCAAATCGAACTTCCAAGCCATTTCTAAAATTGCAACCTAATAAAGTAATTTCAATGCCTCCTCTTAAAGGACCTTCAGCAGGAATAACTTTTTGAATTGTTGGATATCTGTTTGGGGAGATTTGTGGGGAGGTAACGGAGCCAAAATTAAAAGAAGAATTTTTTGGAATAAAAGAAGTATTTAAATTTAGGATGGCGCTTTGATCGGTGATAGGAGATCTATTATAAATCGAAGGACTACTTTGATTATTTATGTTATCAGATAAATTGAAAGAATTTCTTGAGGATATAGAACAAAAGTCTGAGGAACGAGCATTAGGAGCAATGTTTAGATTGTAGTTATTGTTGAAGCTGAGAGTATTGTTATTGTTATTGTTATTATTTTTATTATTTTTAGCGCTACCGTTATTGCTAACGGTATTAGTTGCAGTAGTATTACTACTGCAGTAGTAGTAATCTGTGAATGGAGAAGCTAGTCTTTTTCTTTTAAAAGCTCTTGAATCAGTTGTATGAGGCTCTGAAGAAGAATCCTCAAAGGACGCAGGGGATAGTAATAATGGAGAGTGTAAATCGTTTCTCTTGAAGGATTTAGTATTGGGATTGGCATTAATATTATTGATGTTCAAGTTGATGTTGTTTGTATTGATAAGGTCATTGTTCATAAGATTATTGTTGATATCATTGATAATGTTATTTATGTTATTTATGTCATTTTCGGGAAGATTATCTATATTTTTTTGATCGATTGGGAGAGAATTATCATCTTTAAGATTTGTATTAATGGATACGGTTGGGTATAAAGGAGTCAAAGTATGTTTTGACAGGGAGTTTTGGATGATGTCGTTGGGTAGAATGGGCATTTTAATCGAGTTATTTTTTTGGATAATTAGAGTTGATTTTACGATTTGATTGTTGTTGTTGTTGTTGTTGTTGTTGTTGTTGTTGTTGTTGTTGTTGCTGTTAGTGTTTGTATTTGTGTTTATATTTGTGTTATTGTTGCTGTTGCTGTTGCTAGTGTTTGTGTTGTTGACATTATTTAGATTGATATTTGAGGAAGAGGAGTTTTGGATTGTTTTTTTTCTATCCATTATCATTATTGAGTCAGAAAAGTTTTTAGCAACAATTTGACCTTTATAGTTTTTAAGAATAAACAATAGTTTGAAGCCATTTGAGTCTTGATGGTGTCTACAGTAGCAAACGATTCTAGCAGACAAATCTATTGATTTTGAGTTTGCAGTGATAGGAGAGTGGGAGTGAGATTGGGATTGGGATTGGGATTGTAAATGAGGAAAATGGGAATTAAAGGTTGATAGTTGTTTGCAGTTGAAGATGATTGCCTTTTTGTGAGCAGTATCCATCCAGGTTAGACCATCTTCGCTGATACCATTTTTTCTTCGTGAAGCTCTTTTAAGTTCTCTTTTGATGCATCTTGAGCAAATGTAACAAGATTTAAATAGGTTTGTTTTAGTGAGGGTGTTTAGGTTTGTATTGTCAGTGTTGTTTTTGTTTGTATTGATTGAGATGAGATCATTTTTTGTATCGGCGGTTAATTCATTGTTGTTGTTGTTGTTGTTGTTGTTGCTGTTATTATTGTTGTTAATTGATTGAGAAATTACAAAACAATCAAGGAATAGGATTTTTGATTTGATGCTGATTGGTAAATTAAAGACGTTGTCATCTAAACAAAATTTCTTTTTAGCGATGAGATCGTTTGGGAGATACAAAAGGAATTCAGATGGTTTAGGGGAAATTGAAAGAGTTACTTTGATTTGAGTCTCAACCCTTGAGAATTTGGGCAAGCCCAGGATTTGCAAGTTGTAGTTGTAGGATGGGAGAGATTGATTTGGATCCCAATTGAAGGATTCTTTGGGCAAATAGGTTGAATTGTAGATGTTGTTGATGCGAGGATTGTTGGGTGGTGTGTTTACGGATGTTTTTTTGGCGGTGTTTGTGTTAGCGCTAATGGTGGTATCAGTGTTGGTGTTGTTGGTGTTGAGGCTATTAATGTTATTGTCATTAAGGATAATGTTATTACCGCCGAATTTTAAAGAAGATAGAATAAGTTTAGCAGCTTCGTGATCTTCGAAATCTTTTGAACGAGAAGAGATAGATAGAGGAGGATTGTTGTTATTATTACTAGTGGTTGCGGTGATGGCGGTAGTAGTGGTATTGGTGTTGAAACTGTTGTTTGAGTTATTTAGTGAGTAGGTATTTTTTGCAGAAGAGTATTCTGGAGAAGAAGGAGAAGAGGAAAAGGGAGAGGAAGAGGAAGAGGGGGAGATGTGGTTCAAGTTGTTGCTGTCGATGTGAAGCGTGGAGCGGTTGTCGTTGATGGGGTTGTTGGTGTAGTTGCTGGTGTTGGCGTCGTTGGCGTCGTTGGCGTCAATGTCGATGTTGTTGATGTTGTTGATGGCGATGCTGTTGAGATCGATGTCTGGGGCCATGAGAGTGTTGTTGAAGGCAGAGAGATTGAGGGTGTTGATGTCGAGATTCAAGTCCATGGTGAAGCTGGAGAGGAGGTTGTCGTTGAGCACCGAGGTGAGAAGAGCCTCGTTCTGCTTGTGCAGCTCGAGATCGTAGTCGGTGGTGGTGGTGCCTGTGGTGCCTGTGGTGCAGCGGCGGGAGGAGGGGCCCTTCAGGGCAGGAGAGCAGGCGCTAGAGTCGATGAAGTCGTCAAGGAAATCGTTGTCGTCGGCAGACGCAGCAAAGTCGAACATGATGGCGGCGGCAGAGGAAGCAGAGGAAGCAGAGGGAGCTGGGTCCAGCTGGCGCTTTTGTGCACCCGCGGGGCACGTGCTGGCTGGGCTTGCGAGTCTTCAGAGTCGCAAGCCTTGTTCTGGAGCTCTTTTGTGGCCACGCAATGTTGTTTGGACAGGTTGGGTATGTGTTTTGTGTGCTTCTCGTGCTTCTTGTGCTGCGCGTGCTTCTTCAAGACCCGTACTAACCCCCCCTAGCTTGTTTATCTTGGCCTTGTTGGTCAACGCCGTCAATTTGTTTTTGCAGGTCTTCTTCACCATCATGTTCAGCGACTTGGAGTGCGACTACATCAACCCCATCGAGCTCTGCAACAAGATCAATCCCTACGTGCTTCCCGAGGCCACGCTCCACTTGGTGCTCACTGCCTTGATGCTCCTCAATGGCCACTGGTTCACCTTTGCCTTGAACCTCCCCCTCACGGCCTACAACATCAACAAGCTCTTTGTCGTCAAAAACCACCTTCTCGATGCCACAGAAATCTTCCGCACCCTCTCCAAACACAAGCGCGAGAGCTTGCTCAAGTTGGGCTTCCATCTCTTGATGTTCTTCTACTACCTCTACCGAATGATCCTCTCCTTCATTGAGTTGTGAGCTGTGCTGAGAGCTGCGTCTGCCGTTTTTCCTTTCCTACGGCTGCTAATGCACGTGTAACCCCTCTGTTTTTGCCTCGTCTGTCTCTCCACCGCCCGTCGCCGCCCCCAGCGCCCCGTGCAAACGCAACCCGGCTCTCTCGCAGTCACATGGCCTCCTTCCCTATACACATTTCTGTTCTCGTTTGCTACTGATCTCTTCGTCCTCCATCCAGCTCACATAAATGGTAGAAACAACTGCTGCTTCTCAACATGATTGATAGTGTTAATGAGAATACTGGCAACCACTCCTCCAACACTCCCATTAACCCCAGCTCCTCCAATACCAATGATAACGCCAATGATAATACCAGCGACAACACCTCCTCTCACAACATCGATCCCACTCTGAATGAAGATACAAACATCATTCCTCACATAACCCAAAACATCTTCCCTTACTCTTCAATCCTATCCAACCTCTCCATCCAGTCCTACAACAGCCTCTTCCAGCTCATCAAATCTCTTTCGCTCTCCAACAACACCTCCAGCCTATCCTTCGGCTCTACCACCAACATTGAAAACAAAAAAAAGTTCCTCGCTCTTCTCATCCATCTCAAAAGACTCTTCATCAAATCCTACGTGCTAAACAAATGGCTAGAAATATCTCTATCCTCAATCAAACTCATAGACCTACTTAATTGGCTACGTTCTCTCAACTGCAACTTCGACTTTCTTCTCTCCAACCTAAAACAAATCAAATTGAACCTCAACAATGCAAAACTACCCATGGAAGATCTAATCACTTCCTTCATCACCCTATCAATCAACAACAACAACATCAACATCCTCAACATAAATGCCCTAATCAACAACAACCTACGCTTGAACAACCTATCTCTACTAAACACAAACAACCTATTTAACTATCCTCTACTATCAAACTCATTCATTCACTCCTACTTATCAAACATATCCTCCCTCTTGAATCTAAAACTATCCTCCTTATTCAACACAACCACCACAACCACAAACAATCTCTCTTCTATACCTTCTATAAACTCAATAAATTCCCCATCTTTTATATCCTCAATCCACATAAACACCTCTCTAACAAAATCTCTTATTTTGAAAAACTATAAAATCGAAAATGCGAAACTCTACATTTCAATAAAAAATCACTTTAATCTAATTCTCACCTTAAAGGACAACCACAACGTTAACTATTTCGACAACAACAACAACAACAAAGATAAAAACAAAAATAAATCCACTTCCAAAAACCCTTTTTCTCAACCTCTAGATCAATATTCCTTTTATCTCTTATCCTTCTCCTTCAATTTTGCCCTAAACAACTCAGGCAATATAATCAACTACAACTCTCTTAATTTACCTCAAAGAGACTCTCTCTCCTTGAAAAACTTCATCAATGATAAAATCCTATCCCCAAAACCTCCACCCACAATCCTAAACAAAATTCCTTCAAACAACAACAGCTCCAACATTCATCCTCTAATCTCCCTATTTGACTTCTCTCACTCCTTCACTTCAAACTATAAACTATCTCTAATAAATAACCAACTCATCAACCTATCCAAAAATAAACTAACTTGGGGCTCAAACATCACCTCTATCTACTTTCTAAACCAAAACAAAATCATTCTAAACTACTGGATATCAAAATCTTCCCACTTCCCCATTTTCAATTCTTCTTCAAAATTTATCTCAAAAAACATCTCAATCAATAATAATACCATTTCTAATAACACCATTCCCATTAACACTAACAATACAATCAACTCAACCAATAACTCTAACAACAATCCCAATTCCAATCCTAATTCCAATTCCAATTCCAATTCCAATTCCAATCCTAACTCTATCTCCAATCCCAACCCCAATCCTAACCCCAACACATCCTACTTTAATACTTTGGAAATTTTTATCGATAGCAACTCTTCCAAAAAAAACTTGAAAAAAAACTTCATCTCTTTCAAATGGTACAAAGATGGTCTTCTATTCACTGACCATGATTTTGACCAATTTTTCAAATCTCTATACTCTTACGATAATGACAATAATAAAACAATCAAATCAATCAACAATAACGATAATAACGATACTAAAAATATCAACATTAACCTCAATATTCCTTCTAATCAAAATATAACCTCTAATAACACCACTCATGATCCTACTGCTAACAATACAGATAGTATCGACAATACCAATAATAACCTCAACAACAAACCTAACAATCTTAACAATCTTCAGAAAAACAACTTGAACTTTAATATATCCACCCTCTTAACCTTCGTACTCGATAAACACGCTCAATTACTCCTCCACGATGTTTATAAAATCTTGGACTCAAAACTTGAATCCTTTCTATCCTTTTTCAATTCAACCTTCTCTTCTGATACAAAAAATATAATCCCATTTAGAAATAAAAAAAATTTCAACTCAAACCTAAACCTAATCAAAAAAAAAAAAATCTTAGATTACTTGCCTGAAAATAATCAACTAATCTTCCATCTAAATGACCAAAAATCTTTAATCTTATCAATCGACTATTTAACCGGCAAACTATTCTTCATTAACCCCTCTCCTTTGATAATCTATATCTGCTCTCAATTCAAATTCGATAACTTTATTCTTGGAAACACTGACTTTTCAAATAATAAATTTTCAAATACCCATTCTTTTAAAAACTTATTCTCAAGTATTAACAATAATGATTTTACCAATTTCAATTATAAAATCCTATCCTATTATGGTGAAAGCACCATGATTGCTGCTCAACTATTAGCTCTAAGACTAGAATTATTAAAAGCTGAAACTTTTAAAATTTTTAATTTAACAAATTGGCTAAACTCCTCTCTCATAAACTTGAATATAAATGAATTGTCAAAATTAAATTTATTTTCAAATGAAATTAAAAAAATAAACACAAATAATTCCTTATTTCATTTACAGTTTTTCAGATTAAACCACTGGCCACAAAATTGGATTTTAACTGTTGCAGTATTTAATATTGACACTATACACACAAACAATAAAGTATTCTGGATCTCAAATATTAAATCAATTGGCAAAATATGGCATTTAAATTATTTCGATAAAATTAATATAAACAACTTTTCAAATTTTTTAAATGTTTCAAATCCCTCTAATTTTTCTAATATGGAATTTGATAGAGGGATTAAATTGGACTATAATATAAGCTTAAAACTAATAAAAGAATCAACAACTAAAATAATTAATTATATGGTCATTCAAGAACTTAATAATAAAAACATTGGCTGGAAAGAAGCCGCAGGAAAATCACTAAATCGAATTAAACAGTGCTGGGATTTATTCAATCATAATAATCAAAATAATCATAATAATCAAAATCTTGATACTTTTAACAATATTCATGACCAGTATTTTCTTTTCATTAAAACTGATTCTTTAATTTTAACTAATAATTCTGCTCCAATTTTAATCTTTAGTATTCAATTTTTTAATAAAAGTCTAATCGTTAGATTATTTGGTCAACTAAAATTTCAATTAAAGGGTTTTAAAAAAGAAATCATAAAAAATAACTGTAAAATATCATTTGATGAAAAAGGAAGAATTTATAAAGCAGAATCTATTATTGATTTTAATACAAATGATCCGGATAATTTTAAAGAAAAAAATAAAAATGATTTCTACTTTTTGAAAAATATAATAATTACATTAAAATCTTTATCAAGAATAATATCCTTAGCAAACATTTTTCAAAATTTATCAATTGAAATTGATTCAATTGATCTAGATAAAATTGTTATAAAATACTCAAAACATTTTAAAGCAATATTTAAAATTTGTAAAATCAATTCCAATTCATCAAATATCAAACCTTTAAGTAAAGTTACTAAAAAAAACCTCGGTGCTATTAATGTCAAAAGCAACATTAAAATTGAAAACTCTCAAAAAATTAATAATGAAACCGAATTAAATAAACTGAATGAACATGATGAACTAAATAAATTCAATAAAACAAATAACAATTACTTTATTAAAGTTGAATTATCAGAAGATAACCCTCATATTTTAGCACTGGCTGCATTAAATAATGTTTTAAATGAATCAATTAATTATAGGGCTGGTAGTAAAGATTTGGGCGAAAAATATAAGATAAGTGTACCATATTTTTTAAAAGCATTAAAAAAAAGTTCAGTATTGGTTACATCGTTATTTTTTATCAGAAAAAAATATAACTTACTTTTCAAAGAACAGAAAGAAATTAACATCAATGATAGTTTTTTAAATTATCCAGTTAGATTTACAATTATGTGCCATGATCTTTTAGAGTATGCTATCTTATATGATATCTATAAAGACACTAATAATTTGGGGTCAACAACTAATTTAAAGACATTTGCCGGTAGTAAATCATATTTTACTTTTAGAATTCTTATTAATGCTGAATCCAACGGATTTTATTCTATTAAGAATGATCCCAAATTAATATTAGAGTCAAGTGATTTTTGTGGTAATAAAAATCCAACCAAAAAACAAATAGAGTTAAAGGAAAAAATTAAAAAACATAATGAAAATTTTACTAGCCTAATTACTTCCGAAATTAAAAGTAAAGCATTGGGGTATAAAACGTATTGTTACGGTATTCAGGATCCAATTGAAAAGTGTAGTATAATAATTTGTGGTGAGAGAATTTTAGGTGATATTCTTGAAGCAGTTCATAAAGAAATCATCACTAATTTTGAAAAATAAAAATAATCTAAACAAAAAAAACAAAATTAAGTTATCTGCCTTTCTTCTAGCATTATTTTGTTTATTGCGCTTGATTAATTTTTCAATTTTACATTTGATTTTAATTTTTTATAGTTTTTTTATTTTGTTTCAATATTTTTGGTTTTCTTTTAAAATGTTTCTCTTATTTTTTTTCATTAGTTTAGTTGTTTTTTTTATATTTATTTTTTTAATTATCATCTTGATAATAATTTGTATATTTAGGATATAGTATAATTGCATATTTAATAATCACCATATTTTTAGTTATATAAATAAAAACAATCATAATTTGGCAAGTTTATCAAGATCATCATATTCGGCAACACATTCTAATTCAACTAAAATTTGATTATTTGGAAAGCCAACCACAACACAACTTCTTGCTGGTTGAGTAGTAAAATATTGAGCATAAACTTTGTTAACAGCAGCAGCACCTTTAGGATTTGCAACAAATAATAAAACCTTTAAAACCTTTGATAAATTAGAACCGGCTGCAATAAGAGTTTTTTCTAAGCTTTTAATAGCCAAATGCTAAAAAACACAAATTAAAATAATTAGTAAGTATGGTCTTCCACTTTTGTCTTATAATGATATTAAAAATCTAGATATTTTCATACAGTTTGCTCTGTAACATCAGGTGGAAATTCATTATTGTCGTCAGCACCAACATGACCAGAGGCAAAAACATGGCCATTGGATTTGTAAGCTGGAGATAACAAAGCATTGGATGATGTAGCACCAACTTCTTCCCAAGTGATTTTTTGAACAGCCATTTCTAATCACAGTATTATTAATATGGTTTTATTCTAGCTGTGAGAAAAAGTGGAGGAAGGTTTCAAGGTATTTATATCGATAGATTCGAATATGTCGACGGGTGAAAATGGCCGAGAGAGCGAAAACGACGCCCAATTGGCTGATGGGGGCATTCTAAGAGCCATTCCAGCAAATAAAACTAATCTGCTTCGAGTTGTTTGAAACTGATTTTTCTCTTTTCTAATACATTTTGTGATACAACGAGAGATACACTAAAATAGACAAAAATAGACAAAGAGAAAGATGAGAAGGAAAAGGCGATGAGCTCCATTTGAAAACCAGAGATGTGTGATTATGCAACTACACGCTTTATTAGCTAAACAGAGTGAGATTAGCTAATTTATTGATAATCAGCATCACTAAGGTAAGCACGCGAGTGTTTAGCTAACAAAATTGGCTTAAATAATATTCTTTTATCAAGGATGGAATTTTATTGAAATTTTGTTGGAACTTTCGCGAGATTTTAGTAAAATTTTAGTGAAATTCTGGTGAAAATTCTGTTAAAATGTGAGTCACAGCAGAAAAAAAATTTTATTGATTTGATAGTTGAGTAATTGAATACCCACCAAGCCCGATTCTAGCGATTATGGGCACTTTTGGCAGCTGTTCGTGTTTTGCCCATGGGAAGGACTTAGAGTGATTCAAAAATTTTACACAAAATAATGCCAACTTAATTGTATAAAGATCAAGAAATTTATCCCACTATCTCTTTTTTTTTATTCTCCATTCTTTACGATTTTTACATATTGTTCTTTTCTATATTGAAGTCTTTATCCTCTGGCTTTTTCGTATCTAAGCTTTTAAATTACAAACACACAAATGTCTCAACGAATAATCTTACATTTGAGAGCAGAAACCAAACCATTGGAAGCTCGAGCTGCTTTAACTCCTTCCACTGTTGAGAAGTTGCTTCAAGCAGGCTTCAAAATATACGTGGAAAAATCATCTCAATCTACCTTTGACATCAAAGAATACGAAAAAGCAGGTGCAATCATAGTTCCAGAAGGTTCGTGGAAAAATGCACCAAGAGAAAGAATTATAATCGGATTGAAAGAACTTCCTGAACAAACATTCCCCTTGATCCACACCCACATCCAGTTTGCTCATTGTTATAAAAATCAAGCAGGCTGGCAAGATGTGCTTCAAAGATTTCCTGATGGCCATGGTTTGCTATATGATTTGGAATTTTTGGAAAACGATCAAGGAAGAAGAGTAGCAGCTTTTGGCTTCTACGCAGGTGTTGCAGGTGCTGCTTTAGGTGTCAAAGACTGGGCTTTCAAACAAACACACTCTGATTCTGAAGATTTGCCTGGTGTCACTCCTTATCCTAATGAAACCGAGTTAATCAATGACGTTAAAGAAGACTTGAGAAAAATAGCAAATAACAATAAACCAACTGTTTTGATAATTGGTGCCCTAGGCCGATGTGGTTCGGGTGCAATTAAATTTTTACAAGACGTTGGAATTCCAGATGAAAATATTAAAAGATGGGATTTAGAAGAGACTAAACCAGGTGGTCCATTTAAAGAAATTGCAGATTCTGACATTTTTATTAATTGTATTTATTTGTCACAGCCAATTCCACCATTCATCAATTACGATTTGCTAAACTCTGAAACAAGAAAATTAAGAACAATTGTTGATGTATCTGCCGACACTACAAACCCACACAATCCAATTCCTGTTTATACAGTTGCAACTGTTTTCAATAAGCCAACTGTTGTTGTTGAGACCAACAAAGGACCAAAAGTATCTGTGATTTCAATTGACCATTTGCCTAGTTTGTTACCAAGAGAAGCAAGTGAATTTTTTGCTCATGATTTATTACCAAGTTTACTAGAATTGCCCAGCAGAAAGAGTTCAAATGTTTGGACAAAAGCTGAAAAATTGTTCAACTCCAAAGTAGCTGAATTACGTAGACAACATAAATTATGATTTATCATGGTAACATACACAACAGCAATTACAAAGAAAAATAAAAATGAAATAAAAATAAAAATAAAAGGGAAAATTGTATTATATTTTTTTTAAATAACCAAGTTTTATTATTTTTATTTTTTTTTGTTTTTTTTTTGTTTTTTTGTTTTTTTTAGGATTGTTTATCTAAATTTGTATTAAATATAATAAAAGATGTCTGTATTGTATTATTAGCATGATTAACTTTCTCAACGCAAAATCGTAAAACAACACTTCAAGTTCGTAATTTCAAATTTCAGGTTGGAAATACAATATCTTGTTAGGGTGGTTAGGTTTATTATAAGCAAACCCAAAAGGTGAAGTGAAGCAAAAAAAAATAAAAAAGGTCTAAACAACTTCATTTAGTATATACTTGACTCTTGTGTATTATTAAAAATAGTGTTACTAATTCCCGTTTTTTATTTCTTTTAAAAAGTCGATCTTAAAATTGAATGTAAGAAAAATGTATAATTTTCGATTTTGATTTCCAAAAGGAATTGTATTTCTATTTGAATTGTAATAATTGTAATTTTAAGATATTCTAAGATATCCTAAAATGCAACAATATTAGAATTGTTTGTGACAAAGATTTTGAATTATAATTATGAAAAGTTTATAATTGAAATCTACCAAATAAAACGATTAAAACTCGACCAACTGTCGCAAGCTGCTTGTTGAATGAATAAAACGTTTTTTGTGCTGCTTTTTTAGGAATTTAGATAGAAAGAAGCAGTTGGTGGCTAAATATGTGTATGTTGTTGTGCTATTTGCAGATTTAGCTTGTGCTGGTGGTAGTGATTAGCTTTTAGAAAAGAGATTGTGCAGATAGAGAAACAAATTTAAAGGGCATAGAAGAAGGTGACTGTTTCTTTTTAAGGACATACAATTGTAAACAGTTCTACGAAGAAGATTTGTATTTAAGCTACGAAGGGGATTTGCTTTGTGTTTAAGCTTTTGTGTAGAAAGAGGAGCTGATATTTAATAAAGGTGTTACGAATCTTGCAATTGTTTGGGGTGTTATTGCAGACAGATAAAAATAGTGTAGATGTGGATTATCCTTAGGAAATGGAGATAATGTGGTTATCTTTGAAAATAAGGGATTCAAATAGTTAGACATTTTGATCGTTATTCAAGCCCAAGGTATTGAGAAATTAATAACCTCATTTTAGATTTTGAAAGTATCATGATTTTACATCCATCTAAATGGTTATTAGTGGTTATATAGTGGATTTGAATTAATAAACAGTTATCGTGTTGCATAGTGGTTTCTTTCGTGAAAAGAAGAGTTTGTCTGTATTTCATTGTATTTCATTGTATTTCGTTGTGTTTTGTTGTGTTTTGTTGTTTCCACATTCGCGTTAACATTTGTTTCTAGAATCAAAGAAAGCAGAAAGTGGATGAGTTTCAACGGTTGGCATCTTTTTCAGATAAACTCTCACCACCTTTTGCATGAATTGAAGCAACTGTTTTCTTCTGAAAACGAATTATAATTCTACTTTGGGTCTTTTGGCCATTTTTATCTTTATTGGTTTTGGTAAAGGTTTGCAAATTTTGTATTCTTTTCACAATATTTTGCCCAAAAATGATGACATAATAAAAGTAAATAATTTTTATTTTAAATTTCCAAATATCTTAAAAAAAACCAAACTCTATACAGACTGTGAATTCGTTTATATTCGACCAACCTAAATTAGCTGAATCTAATCTGATTAACTGTTCTCAGGCAGAAAATACTCTTCAAACATTGGCCAGGGTGGATTAGAACTCAAAAGTCTCGCTGCTAGAAATCTTACTTTCTGGCAGATAGTTTAGTTTGTTTCTATTAATTGTCATCATCAATCCACGAAAAAAGGGATAGCTTTGTGAGGTCTTTATAAACTAATTCAATATGCATATATGCTAACACAGCGAAAGCAGATAATTTATTTTCTGATTCTGGTTCCTTATAACATATATATATATCCCATTCTCTTTACAATGCAGCGCTACCATCGAGTTATCACATATACCCAACCTGCAATTGATTTCTTGAAGAACCAAGTCCACACACCCACTTGGTACAATGTCACATTTAACTGTTGAAGGTGAGAGATCATATCACAGAACGTTGATCCAGGACGCTTTATACCAGTACAGAAACGACGTGATCCAGTATAGGTCCTTTGAGGACATTGCAATTGAGTTGGAAGAGTTGGTGTTTGTGCACGAGCAGAAAAGAATCACAGACTTCTATTTATTAAAATGCCACGAGATTGTTTTCTTCGTTGAGAATTACATCTCAACGCTCCTCCCCAACTTGTTAAAGCGAGTGATGAAAGATGAGTTCCAGTTGGCAGACTTGGTCAACAAAAGCAAAGAGATAGTGCTCTTTGAGGAGTTGAAGAGAGACCGGACCATGAGCTTCCAGAAAAACAGCAAAAGCAACAAAAACAGCAAAAACAGCAACCAGCGCCAATATGGCTTCAGAACCTACAACAACGACTACGTCGACAACCCCCAGGCCAACATCGACTTCGGCTCGCACTTTCTCAACACCAACAAGCTCTCGTCAGCGCTTCTTTCCAACTGCTCCCAGAGACTCTTGAGCTGCAGTTACTTGAACGCCACCCAGCAGCTCATCATCAACACCAACTATCTCGCCTCGATGGTCCTCAAGCCCGGCACGCGCCTCGACTGCCTCTTCTGCTGTGGCAAAAAATGCTGCTCCAACTATTGCACTCGCCCCAATCGTCGCTCCCGCACCGCCTCCACCAGCCCCAGCGTCGACCTCTGGTGCTCGTGCCTGAAGTGTGGCGAGACCTGGACCGCGAGGTACGCGAGGGACGAGGCCTGTTTCTCGCTCTGATTGGCTCCTGTCCTGTGCTTACATATACTATACTTTCCCCATTATAATATACAATCTTCTACTTTTGCTACGCATCAAAGACGATGGAGACACAATGTACATTAATGACGATATGAGTGATGATAGTTCAGACAAAAAACAGTAGATACTAAAACAATAAAGTTTGGTGAGAATAAAAGATGCAAAACGAAAGTAAAAAAATTCTGAAAAAAAATGAGATGAGAAAAAGTAAAATAAAATAAAGTAAAATAAAATAAAAATAAAATAAAAATAAAATAAACAAATAAACAAATAAACTCCATAAAACAGATTAAGAAAGATGAAATGCAATAAAAATTATTCATAACTTTAAACGGTGGATTTTCCTCAAGTGTGCTTTCAAATTATCGTTTCTATTGAATCTTTTATTACACCCAGGCTGATCACAGTGAAATGGCTTTTCTGAAGAGTGGGAACGTAAATGTCTCTTGACATGTTCTGGTCGATGGAATCTGGCTTTGCATAAAGGACATTCATGATTTTTTTTATTTTTGTCTGCTGGATTTTTGGCTTTCCGGCCTCGTTTCGATTTGGGCGGTTGTGAAGAATCGCTACTGGGAGCAGCAGCAGCAGTTCTAATATCTGATGGTTTTAAAATTGGAACTTTGAATTCTCCATCATTTTCATTATTGGGAAGACTTTGAGATCTCGTGTCTGAATTGTTTGCCGTTCCCGAATCTTCAGCGTTCACACAATTGTTGCTATCACTGTTGGAATTGGTTATTGATGATATACCTATCAAGCTCTGAGATCTTGTTAATGAATGGGTGTTATCATTTCTAGAAACATTTTGATTCACCTGGTTATTCACTTGGTTATTCATTTGATTCCGGGCTTGAACCTGGCTTTGGCTTTGCTGTATAAGATTGATATCACCAAAATATAATGGATCAATTGGTTGGAAGTCCATAAAATTTGCATTCATCGGATGTAATAACTGCTGATTGATAACATTACCCTCAGAATTCATATTTCGAAAATTTTTATTATCAATATCAGTAGCATCTAAATGAAAATTATTAGGGTTATGATACATAGACATTATTGAAGAATTATTTGGAAGCAACAAATCACTGTTTGACGGATCGCATAATAGAGGAATCTCATGGATTAAGTTTCCATTGGAGTCATTTGCTTTGGAGAAGCCTGGATTTGAAATGACTTTTGAAGCCATTTTGAAAGTTAAATCCGCAGCATCTAAAAAAGCTTGGGAATTGTCTTGTTTTCTTGGATCATTGAACAGGTTATTAATAATGATATTATTAACAAAGGGACTATTATGCGGAATCAAATTAATGTTGTTTTGAATATTATTAAGTTCAATAGAGGTGCCATTAAAATCAGAACTAATTTTTTCTGCAATTGAGGAAGAATAAACCTCAGTTGAATTTGAATTTTGAGATATAATCTCAGTTATTGTATCATTACTATTATTTTTATTGATTAAAAGGTTATTATTATTATTATTATTATTATTATTATTATTATTATTATTATTATTATTATTATTATTATTATTATTATTATTATTGTTGTTGTTGTTGTTGTTGTTGTTGTTGTTGTTGTTATTATTATTATTATTATTATTATTATTATTACTATTGTTATTGTTGGAGTGAAGATTATTGATATCAGAGAATTTTGTAATATTCTTGTTAGTATTTTTATTAGTTAAAAAAGATGCAAGTGATAAATCTGAATCCAATTCCGACCTTAAAGGTGTAGTTAATGGAGTTAAATTTGGAGATGTCGATTTGATCGGGGATAAAAAAGAAGGTGTATAAAAGGGATTTATTCCCTGAGTTGGAGATTTATAAATAGAAGTTGGAGTTAAGGTGTTGATGTCAATGTTCCTAATTTTATTACTGATGATGTTATTGGCGTTGATCAAATTATTATCTATTGAAGCAGTTGCCGATAAAATGGCTTGGTTGCCGTTTAAATCCAATGATAATTTTGATCTTTGTCTTGTTGTGTTACTTCTTGGTCTACTTAGAGGTCTGAAAATTTTTGAAGGAGAAGTTGAATTTAAAGACAAAGGAGTAGAAAGAGGAGTATAGTTATGGTGACTGATTGAGGATCTCCTATTGATTGATTTTAAAGGAGTCACTTGGTAGTAGTTTGTGGAAGGGGATACAGAGATATTACTTAAGGAATTATTTGAGATTGAGGCCGATAAAGTTGGCATTGAATCCAAAGAAGATATTGAGTTTGAAGAGAAGGAGGATATTTTTTGAACTTTATTTGGTTGATAGTTACTTTCAAAGTGATTTTCATAAGCGTTTTCGTTTATTTCCATTGGAGGAAAAAGCTGGTTTATGTTGTTGATGTTGTTTATATTTATATTTGAAGAGGGTCTCTTTGAGGTTAGTATTGAGTTTACGTTGTTGTTTGAAAAAGAGTGGGGGATTAGTTGAGGGATCATTTGGTAGTGGTTGTTGTTGCTGTTGTTGTTGTTGTTGTTTAGAATATTGTTATGAAAGTTGTTTGAGTAGATTGGTAAAATATCGGATCGTATTATGTTTGAAGATTTTTGATCGATAGGATCGTTTTGGGTTATATTTTTGTTATCATTGTTATTTTTATCTTTATTGTTATTATTACTGTTATTATTATTGTTATTATTGTTATTATTGTTATTATTGTTATTATTGTTATTATTGTTATTATTGTTATTATTATCATTATTATCATTGTTATTATTAATGTTATTATTAATGTTATTATTAACGTTATTATTATTTTTATTGATATTATTATTTGTAAATAAGTTTTGTGGTTTTACATTTTTTTGTAGAGATAGGTTTGATATATTATTGTTGATAGTATTTATATTTATATTTATATTTTCTTTATTTGAGGAAGAAGATATTTTTGATTCGAAATTGGACAAAGTTATGGGAGAGCTCATGATGAGGTGGATATAGAAATGATGGGTGAATATTTAAGTGAATAAGTGAGTAAGTGAGTAGATTAGGAGAAGAAATAGAGAGAGAAACTATGCCACATTTAATAAAAAAAGAAGAGTTGAATATGATATAATGAAGGGATTTTAATTATGGAATAACAGAAGATGAGATTAAATTAAAGTATAAATTTTGATAAATTTTGATGATTTGGTTTGATTTCGATTAATTTGATTTGATGAGATAATGATTTGAGACAATAGGAAAGAAATAAAAAGAATATGAGGATGATCTGATGATGATGGATGATTGGGATATATAAATAAATGGAAAAACAAAAAAAAATAAAGAGATATAAAAATAGGAAGATATGGATTAAATATTATTAAATATGAGATCGATTGAAGAATTAGAGTAATAATAAAAAAGTGGAAAAAACAAGAGAAAAACAAGAAAAAAACACACACAATAGATTGAAATAGATTGATAAATTTAACTAAAAAATTTCTTATTTCCTTATTTGAGAAAGTGGAAATTGAGATCAGATGTTTAAAAAAGAGAGAGTGAAATAGAAGGTGAAATAGAAAGTTAACTTTTTTTTTGTTTTTTACTTTCAAGTTATTGAGCAGATTTGGAGAGTAGTAAACTGGGATATACTTTAATAGGATAATAGGATAGTGGGATAGTAGGATAATAGGTTGATAGGTTAATGAATTACTAGATTAATAGGTTAATAGGTTGGGAGATTAATAGAGGAATAAAATAAATCTTTCAAAATGAAACCGTTAGACGCGGATTGAGAAATAACCAAATAAAGCAGCAAGAAAAAACAACAGAGCTGGATTGAAGAGGAAAAGGATGGAAAAAGTAGCAAAGAGGAAATAATGAGTTGATTGATCGAAGGAACAGGGAAGCAAGGAATTGAACAGGCCAATTGGCGATAGATGAAGAAAGCCAGTGAGCTAATAAGGGAAAATTGGGAGATTTATATAAGATATTGTGGTAGCAATGTGGGAGTGATGGCAGCGGCAGAGGAATTGATGGTTTTCTGATGGTTTTCCAGATGGGAAGGGAGTTGAATTGGAGATGAATAAGAGAGGAAGCGAGATAAAAGCAATGATTGCAAGAGATGGTTAGTTTAGTGATCCAGTGTAGTATAATATGATTAATAACTGGTGCTAGTGGTAAAAATAAAGTAAAATATATTGAAATGAAACAAAAGCAGAAAAAATAAAATAAAATAAAATAAAATAAAATAAAATAAAATAAAATAAAGTAAAATAAAGTAAAATAAAAATAAAATAAGTAAATAAATAAGAAAATAAAATAAATAAATGAGATAAAATGCTAGGAACTGGAAATAGGAAGATTATATGATTATATAGAAACTGGCTCAGCGCTTAACAAACCCAGATTTGCACTGTTTTTCGCAGCTTTCCTCTTCCTCTTCCTTCTCCAGACCCAAACAGATTCTGGGCCTTGAAACGCTCACGCCGGCTTCAACCACAAGAGACGGAGTTGCGCGTCTCTTGTCCATCCCCTCCACGCTAATGGTTCTGGTGGTGCTGCTGCTGTTGGGGCCAGTGCTGTGGAAAGGAGCTGGTGCTTTTGTATCCTGTGCTCCTGTGGGCCTCCTGGCGAAGGGGTCTTTCTTTGCTGGACCTGACTCTGGCGGCGGTTGCAAGTTGCTAGTCCATGGCATTTGGCTGGTGGCAACAGCTGCACCGTAGGTTACTGGTGCTAACTTCTGGTTCCAGGTCGAGGTGTGTTGGAATATGAGCTGTGTTTTTGTTCAGCTACCTCCATCCAACACTATCCAACACTATCCACAGACATCCACAGACATCCAAAGATGTCCAAACATATCCAACAATCTTCAACAATTGATCGTCTGATTCATCCAACAGCAAATATCTGGATCAATTCACTCAACAGAAAAATGCAAATCAACCCATTATTCTCAAACTGATTGGGCAAATGCTTCTCGATTATGTTTTGGCTTCACATCATTTCATATTAATGCTGTTAGTGTCCATTTATCTCACGTAAAATACCACTAATCATTTCATGTTATTATATTTATTTATATCTCATTATATTCTAAGGTAGATATTGTATAGAATTAATAACATCTTAATAATACATTATTATTTGGTTCTTTTCTTATTTGATTCTTTCATTATTTTATTTATTTTTTATTTATTATAATGATTTTTCATTCCATTAAAGTTTTGAAAATCGAACATCCAAGCCCATCCTGCAATTACTTAATAAATAAATGATCACTGATTACCACTAATTACTGGAAATTGGTAGTGATGGTTCTAATGAATTGAGTAATTTATTTTATTATTTAATCTTATATTAAATTTTACAAGGATTCGATTCGGTATATATACCACTAGATATTATTAGGAATAGCCCTGATGGCATTTATGCTGAGAAAATAAGATTTGCTTAACAACAAATCAAAAATCTTATTCCAGTTTAATTCTATTAATCAATCTTATCATCGGTTATTTTAATCCATTTATTTATTAATCTAATTAATTTCGAACCATGTCATGGTTTATTTTTTCATCTGATTGGATTACTTAATTAATTGGGTTATTATTATTTTATTATTATTTTATAATTATTTCATTTTATTATTATTATTTCGTTCTAGATATAATAATAATTTCACTAATTTCACTACTTGAAATTTAAAAATAGATATAAATAATAATAATAATAATAATATTATTATTATTATTATTATTATTATTATTTCTACTACTACTATAATTCAATCATGATATAAACAAATGACAAATTAAAGAAGTGACGAAATTAAAACATCAGTATATTACTTACTAGTCAATGACAAATGTAAACAGGGAATAAAAAGAATAAAAATAAAAGAATAAAAGGAATAAAGGGATTAAAAAGAACAAATAAAATACAACCTTCTATCAACTCTTCAGCGCCCAAAGTACTTTATCTCAAAGGGTCGAATTGCATTGAATCCCACAAAGGCAAAGCTGGCTCCCAACTCAAACCCAATGTCTCCTCCATAATCCCCAATCTGCTGCGCAATCTTCCCCATATACCACGTCTGGTTCATTCCCAACACCACCCCGGCGATTCCACAGCAGAATCCAAAGGCTCCTGCAATTCCAACAGGCGTCTTTTCCTTATCCAAGTAGTCGTCGGCATTATACCCTTTGAACCCTCTTCGGTAGATAAAGTGCTCAGACAACCCCATGCTGATATAAATAGCCAAATAGTACCCAATAATATTCATGAAATTCTCCATCACATCTTCAAACTCATAGTATGCAGGAATACAAATCGCCAATGTAACAAAATTGCCAAACAACGACCAAACAATTCTAGGAACTCTCTGAAACTTTGAGTAAAGAGCCTGGGCACACATTGCAATCGAATACATGTTGGGAATATTGTTCGAAATCGTTGATAACGCCAACATCACACAGCAAAATTGCCCAAATCCATGGAGCGAATCTTCAACCAAAATACCATACACTAATCCTCCAACAGAATACTCATTGTACAACTCGCTCCATCTTTCACTGGTAAATGTCCCAGTACCACAAGCTGCTCCCAATATCAACGTGAAAATCAATGGCATGCTCAATCCACAAAGAACCCCAAAGAAAATCCTGTAGGGATTGGTCTTTGGTGACATATACGTTGTATAATCTGCTGCATATGTCGTCCATCCAGCTGCAAATCCAAAAACTGTACCACCAAATGAAAGCACATTGCCTGCCCCTGTTCTACCTGTTGAATACTCCCCAGCATCAAAGTTCCCCGAAATTTTCATTCTTGCAATTATAATCAAAAAAATAATCGCATTGGGGATCCATGCAAACATCTCATAGTAATGCACAACATTATACCCGAAAAATGTCACGATAATCGTGCAAATCACCAAAATCAAACACCCAGCCCATGGTGGTAAGGCTTTATCATTAACTATATGCAACAACTGTGCTGATGCCATTATATTAACTGCTCCCCATCCAACACAAGCAACGCAATTGATAAGTGCAAAAATTCTCATTCCAGCATCTCCAACCAAAAACCTTGACAAAATTATCTGTCTCAATCCAAATTTAGACCCAAACACCGAAAAGAACGCCACTGGAGTGGCCCCAATCAACGTGAAAAAGATAATAACCAACACACACTGGTAAAATCCCAATCCAAACACTGTTATTCCCAACGCTCCTAGCGAAAAGGTGGCGATAACCAAATTGGCGGCCAACCACATCGATGCTGCATTCCAAATCGATGTTTGTGTTCGTTCTTCTTCTTTCACTCTTTCAATGCCTCGGATTTCAATCTTTAATGTCTTGGCTATTTTATCAAAATAACTCAATTCTTTATTCTCAATCCCTTGTTCCATTCCTTGTTCATTTCCATTTTCCAACATATCGTCAAGGGACTTTTCTGATGTGAATTTTTCCTTTCCCATTTTTAATCAAAAACCCAAAAAATTTATCAACTTTTATTTAAATTATTCAAATTATTCAAATTATTCAAATAATGATTCGAATAATGATTCAAATAATGATTGAGATAATAATTAAAATAATCAAAATTTTCTTATTCCCTCTCTCTAAATACGAACGCTGAAAAAGAAATTAAAAAAATTAAAAAAATGGGAATAAAACAATTTTATATTGTTTTATTACCAATACCTCACAAACTTAATATCAGTCCAATAAAACTTAATACCAACTTATCAATCCATTTTCATCCTTGGTATTCTCAATAGTTATGTATACAAAAATTCACCTGAAGAAACATTCTTGGTTGTCTTAGCTCTCCCAACTATTTTTGGCTTATTTGATTTAAATAATCCTCTGAAAAGCAAATTTATTGACAATATTAAAGACAAAAATTGCATGTTAAAGTGTAAACGTGAAACAAAGCACTTACGGTTTAATCAAAACCAAAATCAAAACCAAAATCAAAACCAAAATCAAAATCGAAAACCTGATTCTCTTTTTTAAAATCTTCCACTTCTTTAAACCTTACTCGTCCCTCTTCATTACAATCTCTCCAATGTTTGCATTCACCTCTGTCCCAAAACACCCATCACTTTGCTTGTAACGCCACACTCCTTTTTAAGCCCTTTCCTACTATCTCGTTTTCCCAAAACTATTATATTCCAACCCAGCCCTTTCCAACCGCCAAAACCTTCGGCTCACATGCACTGCTTGACTGAAAACGGCCGTTTTTTTTCTGCCCTCGTAATTCAGATCGCACAAACCACATAACACATCCTATACAAACATTCACTTTCACCTGTGATACCAGGATCCTGTTTACAGAGAAATTCAATATTCGAGGGCAGTTTGCCCTCGACTTTCGGATAAATAGACTTTAAGGTGTTAAACAAATTCTTGAAAAGGCTTCATTTGTTTTAAGTTTGCTCTAATTTCCACTAATTTTCCAATAAAAAGCTGCTCAATAAATCATTTTATTCACTTTGGGGTCTCTTCAATCATCTCACGTTCATATAACCGGCTTTCATTCGCCAGCTCTGAAAATGGCCCAAATTGCTCACTGACAGCAGTTCTCACATCGCATATTGCTTATCCTCCAATGGCAACATTAGTACCATTCGAATATAATGCCATCTGAATATCCACTTCGAACAGGAATTTGTCTATCTTTAAATATCATCGGTTTGATTATCAGTTATCATCCAGTACTTATTATTCAGACTGCCTCTATTGTTTATAACCACTTGATACACTTGATAAACTTGATATTCAACTCACAAAGACTTTCCAAATGCTCCAATTTATCAAAATCAAACATTCACCTAACCTGCTTCTTTAAACTCTGGCTTTAATTGTGTTGTGTCCTTTATTCACAATTTATCCTAAACTTACTTTTATTCCACAACTGCCATAGATAGATAGCTAAACTTGAAATTTATAACAAAAAATAAAAAATAAGCTCCCTAGGCCCTAGGCCCTAGCCTTGTGCTATCTAATTAAAAGAGATAACAAAAAATTATTTTTATTATTCATTTTGTGATAATCTGATAAAAAAATAATGCAATCAAGTGTCTAGTATAATAAAAATTAAAACAAAATAAAGTGACATAAAATAAAATAAACCAGATATAATTAGAACTATTAGAAAAAAGTTAATTTAATCTCAATTAAATCTTGTAAACAACATACAATAAAAATGAACAAAATTGAACAAAATTGAACAAAACTGATAAACGAATTTTAAATATTATTCATAAAGTTCTTTCTCAATTCAATTCGCTCATGTCCATGTTTTTTCAATAATCTATCCATATCTATACAATTTATTGTGTTATCATTCCCATTATTAATAGTATTATTAATAGTATTAATAGAGTTATTTATTTCATATTCTTCAACCCTTCGAAGCCTTTCATCATCTTCTCTTGTCCAAATTCCAGAAACATTTTCTGGTGGATTAATTCCTGTAACTAAAACATATTTGATATATTTAGGGATTAAACTCAAATCACCACAACAGTTTGTTAGGATTTCTGTACCAAATTCTCTTTCAACTCCTAATTCATTATACAATGCTTCCAACAATTCATCTGCTCCTTGCGTCGTGTAATCTCTTGAAACAATTTCATTAACTTTATTCAATACCTTTGAAAATGGCATGTCAAAAAATGATGCTAAAAAGAATTTACCTAATGATGACAAATTTACTGAATTTGCTGTATCATCAATTGCGGTATTAATAAGAGCGATTTGAGATGAAATTTTATGATTATTATGATTATTATCCTTATTATGATTATTATCCTTATTTTCACTATTTTCATTACTACTATGCTTATTACCATTCTCTTTACCATTCTCTTTAATGATAATCTTATTAATCATCACATTATTAGGTTTTTCGTAATTACTCAAAATAGTCAAGGCAGTTTTTCGAAAATTTTCATTTGCATACTGATTTTTATTATTACTAGTATTATTATTATTATTATTATTATTATTATTATTATTATTATTATTATTATTATTATTATTATTATTATTATCAAAACTGAAAAGAGAATCAATTTGTAAATTTAATTCAACACCATCAAATTTTTTGGTTTTTAATTTCAACAGGTTATTTTTCAATTGATTATTATTATCATTATTATCATTATTATCAATTTTTTCATTTTCTTTTGGAACATTTTTTTTTTGTTTTTTATTTGGTTTAAAATCATTCATATCTTTTAATAATAATTGAGTATCAATTACAGTATTTTGGTAATTATTTCCATAAAGTAATAGATTAACAGAATTATTCGATTTTTCGATTGGTGATTTTTGATTTTGATTTTGATTTTGATTTTGATTATTATTATTATTATTATTATTATTATTATTATTATTATTATTATCTTTAATGGCATTTTTATTTTTTCGATTTTTTTTAATGCTTCGATGAGCCTTACCTGTATAATCCTTCATAGGTTCAGGAACTAATTTGTTTTGAATTTGTTGTTCATAATAATTGATATAATTTTTAATTCCAAATTCCATTGCAAACTTTCTGTATCTATCTCTCCACGCACATTTTGTATGATGAGGATAATCATTTTGTAGTAGTTCAAAGAATTTATTCGGCAAGATAAATTTACAGAAACGAACAGTGGAGTTTTTCAAATCAGTTAAATTTATTGAATGTTCCAACATTTTTTTATAAACTTGTTTACATAAAATATAGTCATCTTCTGCTGTAAATCTTGTTTTCAAAGTTCCGGGCATAATTTTCGTTTTAATTAGTTGATTATTTTCATCAAAATATAAATCGCCATCTTTGTTGGTTTTATAAACATAGTTCAATTTATTTGACAAGCAGCTTCGAAATCTGTATCGCACTGAATTACCAGTATGTCTGCCCAATTTTATCGCAATTTCGTGAAATAGTTTATGAGTAGATCTCTTGTGAGGATTTTTGCGAACTTCTTCGAGTATGAATTCATCTTCTGTTTTCGTGAAACCATTTTTGTTCATTGTAGTGGGTATCGTTGAGACATTGAAGTTATAGTAATCTCTGTCTGAGATTTTCTTTAAGGACTCAAAAGTTGTGACCTTTATGGGATTGTTTTTTTTGGATCGATCAATGGAATCGAAAGCTGGGTTCAAAATGCCCTGGTGATAGCCAGATAAAAAAGACGTTTCATTATTATGATCGCCACCATGGCTGTAATTGTAATTGGAATTGAAAACAGTCTTGCCATCGAGATAATCCACCTGTGTGAAATTCTTATTCTGGTCGATGAACCGAATATTCTGAGACTTGTTCTGAGCTGTATTGGTGGTGGAAGCAGGGTTTTTGTAGGAAAGAATATCCAACAATTTTTTCTGGTTGACAGAATCGTAGACAAAAGAAGGATCATAGGAGTAAGGAATGTTGTAAGCAGAGAGAAATATGGAATTGGAGCCCATAGAAGCTGCCACTTTCCCACCATTGGCTTCAATCAAGTCCACTAAACTGCTTCTGTTGGTGATGCTCTCGCAGAGGTAAAAGGAAATGGACAGGCCACTTCTGGGGTTGGAGAACAAAAGGAGCCTGTTTTCGCAAGCCACTGGCTCCAGAACGACGTCTGCTGCGTTGCTTTTGTTGCTTTTGCTGCTTCTGCTGCTTCTGTTCTCTGTGGTGGAGGGAGGCAGGGCCATAGTGGAGCACTTCTTCATGGTTGGAGAAGAGGTTTGTTCTGCGGCAAAAATGAGCGTTCTTCTCTTCCTCTGCTTCTTCTTCTTCTCTTTCTCCTTCTCCATGTCCTAACAAGAGCATGGCCTCGACATTTCTCCTTCTCAAGAACAAGACTGTCGCCAGGGACAAATACCAGCTGTTGTTCGAGCAGTATTTTTGCCCTCGCAGTGTGGGCTTCTTGCCCTTGATCCAACATGTCTACATTGCCAATGACTGTCTCTGGAGCTATCTCCTCTGCGACGACTTTCTTGCTGGTGCTCTTGCTATTGTGATAACCAGCCAGAGAGCTGTGGAGGCTATCCATGAAGCGATTGCAACTCACTCCTTGTCCTACGACAGCAGGCTAGAGACTGTGTTCAACAAGACAGTCTATGCTGTGGGGCCTGCGACAGCTGAGTTGCTTCATACCTGTGGCTTTAAGAACATTAAAGGAGGATATGATGCTGGAAACAGCGACGTTTTGTCTGACATTGTCATTGATAACGAGTCCCTCAGGAGCGATTACAAAGAGAAGAATGTCGTCTTCTTTACTGGAGAAAAGAGAAAGGATATATTGCCTAAAAAGCTTCGGAAGTTTGGCTTCAATTTGATTGAATATGTCGTTTACAAGACCATACCAATTTCCCCAGAAAACACTTCGAGAGAATTCAACCACTATGTTGATTGCAATATCAACCATTCTCATCCAAACACAGACCATTGGTTCATCTTCTTTTCACCCCAGGGTGTTTCAGAAATATTGGACTACTTGAAAAATAACCAAAATAAAAACTTCAAAATTGCTTCCATTGGCCCAACAACTCAAATGTTTTTACTTCAAAATGGGATACTGCCTCATGTCATTGCTCCAAAACCTGAACCTGTTTCTCTTTGTCAGTCAATACAAGAATACATTCGTAACCAGTGAATCTGTTTTGCAAACTTGAAAATTACATATATTTTTATAGAACACAATAAAAATAAAATCAAAAATCAAAAATCAAAAATCAAAAATCAAAAATCAAGACAAAAAACAAAAAATAATAATCAGCTTGATAAAATAATTCAAAATGCAAATGTAACCCGATCCAAGTCTGGTACAATCAAAAGCGTCTGAGAGCTGTTTTTATAGTCAATTTCCATAGTAAATGAATCATTTAAATGATTATTAATAGCTTTGATTTCAATTTCAGGCAATAACAATTGTCCAATCTTTAATGGAATTAAAACTATATCAACATCCGGGCTTAAAAACTCAATTTGCTCTTTATTCTTCTTATCAATCTCAAACAGAAAACTTCTTTTCCCACTGATTAACCAAGCATCCTGATTTGTTTGAATATCTATTGAAAACTCTTCGATTTTCAGATCCTCATTAGGATCGATAAATAATACTCTTTTCTTATTTTTTTTATTACCTCCTACAACCTCTCCAGCCGGTAAGCTCTTATTTTCATTGAAATCAGTTGTTTCCTCTCCTCTCCAATTTATAAGAGTTTTAATCTTTAATTTTGTACTAATAGCTTGCCCAACTATATATTGCGGGTTTTCCTCGAATTCAAACTCAACAATATGAATCACTTGAATTAATGGAATTGGAACTGCTATATTCAAATTTTTGGAAACACTTAGAAATAATTCATCAAGTTTCTTATTTTTTATTTCAATTTCATCACTTATATTGTTATGATTTGAATTATTCAATGAAAATCCTTTCACTTCCAATTTTAAATAATTTAACGCTTTTCCATTATTGATTTCTTCCAAAAATGAATAAAGACTCTCTTGAATTCTCTTTTGGCATTTATAATCAATATTAATCAAAAATTCATTGACTATTTTATAATTAATCGGCAAAATGTTAATTTCATTCATTAAACCATATCTATTAAAATCAACAAATATGACTCTCCTTAAAAATTTTTTTAAAATTAAAATATGATCAATAAATGATTCTTTAGTCCTGAAATGTATATCTTTTTCTTCTTCAAAACCATTTCTAAATAAATAATAACTTATAAAAATATACCACAAAATTTCAAATGATTCATCGCTAAGTGATCTATATTGAACATTAAGGTTTATAGAATCTTTTTTCTTAACTATATATTTGTCTGATCTTGGCTCAATCTTAAAAAAGTGACAGACTGGCTGGTTTCCAAATGCAATTAATGGTTTGGGTTTTATTGCTGATGAAACTTTATAATTATTATTGGATCTTAATCTCGATCCCATCACTCTGATAGGCACATTAATATCTGATGTGCCAATAGAAAATTTTGAAAACAATTTTGATGATTTAAATGAATCTTGAACAGATACAGAAACGCATAGAGCAGTATTAATATCCTCATAATCAACCAAAGAATATCGAACTTTATTGTCATTTTCTTTAACAAAATACGTTATCTTTGTTTTCAATTTAATCAAATTCTTATTAATTGTTGGAGCCATTAATGGGACTTGTTCATTTAATTTATAAGGTACTATGATTTCAACCGTTGAATTTGGTGATATCTCATTAAATTTAAATTTAGCATTGTTTTCATCTGTATGATCACAAGTAATAGAAAGTTTTGTAGGTTTTTTCTTTTTCAAAAATCTAGATGAATTATAATTCTTATAATATGCTATTTGAGAAGATTCAGATGCTTCTAGTTGCCTAGAATATGTAAAAGCAGATAAATTATCCTCAATTATTTCAAATCCTTCAGTTCCTGACCAAAATTCAAGGTATCCATTGAAAATATCAAAAGACCCATTATTTAATTTTATTGAAATCATTTTCTGAGATAAATTTAAAGACAACGGATTATTTAAATCAAGTGTTAGATTTCTAAAAAATGGATATAATACAAACTGATTTACTTGATAGCTTGATTGATTACTACCATCAATTAAATATTCTCGGTGATCTTCATCAAGAAAATCCTTTGTAAATTTCAATTTTCCCATTTTCAAAACTAAAGAGTTCAAAATAAATTTTCCAGTTATCAAATCTTTACAGCCTAACGTAATAACATTTGTTCCCTTTTTGAAGACTATTGATTCATCTGGAGAACTGGGATTAAAAACAAAAGAAATTACCTCAGAATCATCATCAATACTTTTTAATGTCAACTTAATTTCATCAAACTTGAAGGCTTCTTCCTTTTCATCAAGATGAAGCAATAAATTTTTAAGCAGTAATTCAATATCATAAGTATTCAATTTTTTACTTGAAATAAATTTGGAAATTTTAAACACAAATAGATTACTCAAATCGTATTCAACTGAAATTTTATCCTTTAAATTTAGTATTTTTATTAAAACATCATTGATTTCTTTTGAATTGATCAAAAATTTGTTAATATTTTCAAGATCATTATCAAAAAAATTGGAGCTTTCATTATTCTTTTCAGTTAGATTCTCTTGTTTAAAATCAATATCCTCAAAACTATCAGAGTTTTTTTGTATTTTAAGATCGGACAAAGAAATCGAGTTAAACTTATTTGAAGAACTCAATATAGTTGACAATAAATCTAAATATGAAGTGAGTAAAGTCGTTTTACTTTCTTGAACTGTAATATACAAACTGTTATAATTTCCACTTTCCTTATTTGTTTTAGATAAAGTGATTTCATCCTCTTCAATTGTATTTTCCAAACAACAAATATACACTTTTAATAAATAAAACCCAATATATTTCCAGCCTTGTTCGTTATAAAATGTTGGGCAGTTTTGCAAGACTAACAAAGAATCCCTATAATTTTTGTTTTGAAAATTTATCATTGCTATATCAATAGATAAAATATCCACATTTCTAGGTTTGTCTGCTATATTAAAATGATTAATCGCAGATTCAGTTAGCTCCACAAAGTATTCCTGGAATGTTTTTTGGTTAGTTAGCGCTTTTTTTAAAGGGGAGTAATCAAATTCATAAACTGAATCATTTTCTCCTTTGAATAAATAGTTTACAGTATTGATATGAGTTAATTTATCTGTAAAATAATAATTGAGTTTATAATTATATCTTTTTCCCAAAACTATTAAAAAAAATCTTTTAGTTATGAACAAATTACCTAAAGCATCATTGATTTCCCTGTTTTGCAAAAAGTGGTTAATTGAATTTGGATCAAACATTGTTCTGGTTAATTTACCAGGTGTAAAATAAAACTCTTGAATTAATAACATATAGCTATCCACTATTGAATAAGACCATTCAGCAATTTTGATAATATTTTTTTTTGAAATTTTATTATCAATTAAAGCACCACACATATCAACTATGAAAGTTTCTAGTCTTTTAAGTAATTGATATAAATGAATGGAAATAATGGCAGGAGAATATGCACTTGACTCCAAATAAGACAAAATTAGTGAATTAATTAAAATCGATTGATTCCAAAAAATATAAACTTTCAGTTGAAAATAACTTGATGCATTATCAAGGATACTAAGTCGAATTTTTTTGAATAAATCAAAATAGGTATTTATTTGCAATTTTTTTGATAGAGCATTATTTGAAGGAATGCTTGAAAAGATATCTAAAAAGTTATTAGATAAATCTATTAAAAACTGGTTTTGATCATTTTCAAAAAAATTGAAATAAAAGCAATTTTTTGAAATAGAAATATCATTGAAACCAACTTTTTCAATAAAAGTTGGATTTTTATCTTCATTTGAGTTTAAAAATTTTTCAAAAAAGAATTGAAATATTTTTTCTAGATTATCGTAATAAAGAAGAGAGTCCTCGTAGAATGTCAAATGATTAAATAAAATACCCAAATTTTCATTTAATAATAAATAAAGGCCAATGTTAATATTAGAATGATAGTTTTTGAAAAAAGATTCCACTATGGATGATGGCAGAATTGATGATTCATCGGTATTTGGTTTCTCAGGATAAGTATTTACTAGATCTAAAATAACAGATTTGTAAAAAGAAATTCTGTTATTAAAAGTGTTTAAAATACTATCTTTTATTTTAGTTAGAAAATTATTCCAATTGGAGTCATACTCAATTTTATTACTGTACTCTGCTTTTATTTTCAAAACCCTCACTGATAAATTATGCGCAGAAGTATTAGGACTATTGTAACTGTTAAAATCGAATTTTATCTTATCCAAAAGCGTCGTTTTAAATCTTGCTTCAACATCATCCTTAACACCTTCGGGAATATAATAGACCAATAACCAATCAGTTGGCAACTTTGATGTGTCTATTGACTGTTTGAACCATTCTTTAATAAAAGGTCTAACTTTTGTTCTATATTCATCAATACCATTAGCACACTGAAAAAACATGATTTTTAGGTAGGGGTCATTAACAGCATTGATCAAATCATTAAATAGTATAGATTGGGAATGACTGGAATTTAAATCAAAGGAATCTGAAGGAGGATTGATTTGATTGTTTACATTTAAGGCTGCTGATATTGAATTCGGAATTTCCTCAATTATATTAATTGGCAATATAGGAATTGATTTTAAGGGGGCATTTTCTAGTTTTAAATGAAGATTTGTCAAAGGCAATTTTGATTCAAGATCTTCTTTTAGCTTTGCATATAGATCAAATGGATCATAGTAAGCAACATTTACCAATGCTTTTCCTTTTGTTGGAGCTGAGTTATTGAAATTCATCTGATAGAATACAAAAGCTCTCGACGGCAAAAAAAGATGTTTGATCCTATTACGGGTTCTTTTTATATCAAGCTTTTTCTTTATAGCTATTTATGCTGCCACATCATAATTTTATGAAATGTTTTCATTATATTTATGGTTGGAAAGAGTGGGACCCACACGGGTGGTTTTCTCGGATTTCTGATAATTTGCGTTGAATATGAACTGCATATTATTGATATCATATTATGAAGTATTTAACAAATAAATGTAGATGGAGAGAGAAAAAAAATAATAATAAATATTGGGAGAGAAGAAAAAAAATAATAATAATAAAATAAAATATTAGAAAAACACATATACAAAATACACAACTTCCAAAATAAAACCCATATTAATTTTCTGATCTTCATTCATCATCTTGTATATAATATGCCTGATCTTTCAAATTTTCACTGTTATGATCAAAAGTTTCGGTCCCAGAAACAGTATTGTCGATTGCATTTTCATTTCTGTTTGAATTTTCGTTATTATATTGATGTTCATGATCGTTTGGAATTCCAAATTCATTGTCAGCATCTTCTCTTCTGATGTGTGGAGACCTATCTCTAATTTGGTGTTCTCCGGATTCTCCTCTAACAGGAGATCTTTCTCTTGTGTTGTAGGTAGAAGCATCAGGTCTTCTTCTTTCTTGGAAATTACCTCCACCTCTATGAGAGTTTCCACGAGAGCTGTAGCCGACATATGAAGAACCGTAACCGCCTCTTTGATAATAGCCACCTCTAGGGACATAACCACCTCTGCCATACTGCTGAACACCAGAGTATCCAGCTCTTTGCTGGTATGATCCACGAGGAGCGTAACCACCTCTTTGAACGTAGCCACCTCTTCCCATATTCATATTCATGTTGACACCCATACCATATCCACCTCTGGGCATGAATCCGCCCCTTTGATAACCACCTCCTCTAGCATTGAAAAACCCACCTCTTCCATATCCTCCTCTTGGAATGAAGTTACCTCTTGGAGCACCAGTGTAGGTTCCCCTTGAAGGATGTGGGAAAGACCTTGCCCATTGAACTTTTAACGCGCCTTCGATTTCCTTTTTATTTTCTTCTTCGGCAGCTGGGGAGCCATTGGGGAAATAGCTATCAGCTCTTGGACGATTTTCGTCGTCAAAGCCATATTCACCTGGTTGAGGGACATGTCTTTGCTCTTTTGGCAAGATAATAGGGTCTTCTGTAAAAGCTTTCAAAGCCTTTTCAGCGTCTTCGGTGTTTTTAAATTCAACAAAGGCATATGGAGGCCCATCAGGGGTTTTTGTTGGAGGAACAACTAAACGGATCAAAGGTCCATAACTAATAATAGGTGGTTGGTGATTAAGAGTTAATATAATGAGATTTTGAAAAAATGAAACGGTATAATTGATAGAAAAAGCAAAAAAAAAAAATTGATTTGAAATGATTTTGAATTTGAAAATTGATTTGAGAAATTTACTTTCTTTTTTTTTTTAATTGAAGTGGGTTTGGGAAGAGATGGAAGTGGACATGGTAGGGTGAAAAAAAAACAAAAAAAACAAGAAAAAAATTGAAATGGACATGAAAGTAAAAATGAAATAAAAATTAAAATAGACGTGAAAATGAAAGTGAAATGAAAGTGAAATGAAAATGAAAATTGAATATAATAATCTAATTGGATGAGCGATATTGGAATTTGATGACTTTGGAATGAATATTTGATAACAATAGATTGACTTTGAATTGGATTTAGCTTAGAATTGAGAATTTGAATAGGATTGAATGACTGACATTAGATAACATTTTGAGATTGATTGATTGATTAATTGAAAAATAGATCGATCGATCGATAAGAAATGCTTATAGCAGTAAATTGAATTAGTATTGTTAACAAGAAAATGTAGCAAGATCTTGATAAGAACTTGAATATTAATGATGCCTTTATAACAACTTGTGGATATTCTTGATTTGAAATAAATTTTTGTCAAGCCACATTAAATTGTGATTGAACAAAACAATAAGCAGCAGCAAAAAAAAAAGTAAAACTTGAATTTGATGGTATCAAAAAGGCGTTATAAAATCAGAGGAAGCAACAGGAGAAAACAAAAGACAAAAGATTAAGAGGTAAGTTCAATTCTGAAGCAACGTAACAGCAACCTGAAGCGTATCATATTAAAATCAAAAAAAACAGGACAAACCATGCAATAATTCCAATAGCATCTGCATCACAACCATATCCATCATAACCATCCCTAAATCAAACTAAGATAAAAATGACAATGTTGAAAACCAAAACTGGATCAAAGAAAATGGAAAAAAACCTCAACAAATTCAAAATAACCTGAAAATCAATGTTTATTAGAAAAAACAACACTTACCCTTCAAAAAAAGGAGCTAAATCAACAGATTCAACAGGCTTTCCGAAACCTGGTGGAAATAGTGATTAATGTCAGTAAAGCTGTTCAAAGATCCTCGCACTGGAGACAGCTCAAAAGAAGAAAAGAAAAAGCACAGCAACATACCAGTAACGTAAAGAGTGCTCTTCGACATGACGAGATATATGATGTTGCAGCAGGAGATAAGTGCCTACAAAAACAACTCTAGGCTAAAGCAGCAAAAGCAGCAGAAGCAGCAAAAGTTTTCCTCCAATTTTTCATCAAGGCACGTGTAGGTCACGTGCATTTCTGGAGGGGCACTCGGTGCATTTCCGGCAAGAGAAGCTCAGCGCTTATTCAACGAAGGTGAAGAAGACGATAATGGAGCACTCCTTCAACTCGTATTCTAGTGCTGGAGCCCATGGTGTGTTTGGTGCTGAAAATGTGCTGCTGGGGCAGGATGGCCAGAAGGGCAACTTGGATGCGTTTGTTGTCTGGATGAAAAAGGCCAAAAGAGAAGCTGAGCAGTTGCTAGTGGACCAGGCAGAGGAGGAGCAGACGTTTTACAGAGAGATTGAGCAGGAGCAACAGAAATTGCAACTGCTTGCTTTGGAGAAGGCCCCTCTGCCAGAGGACCAGTTTGATAGCGCCAACATTCTCAATGGCTCTTTTCTTGATCCTGATATTGCAGTTCAGCAGGAGGTTGTGATCACTGAAAAGCAGATCCAAAATCAACCACACAATGCCATTTTACTGGACAAAAGCTTAGTACAAGTTCCTCAAGAAAACCAATCAAATCTGCTACAAAAACACGATATTGCTTCTTTTACTGAGACTATAAGCGAACCACAAAATCTCACTTTCGCTAATGTACCTCACAACAATGCAATTACTATATTTGATAATGAAATCATTGATCTTAATTCACAATCCGACGAAGATTATGAGGAAAATGATAATGAAGAAGAGGAAGCTGACAATGAAGAGGAAGGTGATGAATATTATTCCGATGAAGACCAGCTGTATAACAAGATCAAAGAAATCGAGGAGTCCTCAATTCCATACAATCGAAATTTGGTGGCTCTTGACCATATAGTTAATGCAAACCATATTAATAGTTTAGAAGAAATACAAAATTTTAATAAAAGCGACCTGAACTCTCCTATTCCTGAAAATGCTGCCTTTCATGAAATTTCTGATGAGGATGAAAATGACGACCAAAAATATGAACAGGATTTTAATAGTATCACCAATCCCAATAATATCAATAACATCAACAAGATTGATCAAATTGATAACTTTCAAAAATTTGATAATTTCAATAATAACTACAATCAGCAGAACATATTTGATGATTCTAAACAGAATCTAGATAACTATGCTCAATATAATGATCCCGATCAATTGTTTTCTTACCCAAAAGTTCCAAACTCTTATTATCCTCAGTATCTGAGATTATTTAATAAAAATGATATGTCAAACTATGAAAGTTATCACATACCAGAAGATCAAGATCAAGATCAAAATTCAGATTATTATTATGATGATCAAGATGAAGATCAGGATCAGGATCAGGATCAAGTTGAGAATTACAATTCCCAAGTTAATTTTAATTACAATAAAAATATTCACACAGAAAATAATTATGTAACTCCAAATAACACCAAAAATAACAACCCAAACCCAAATCCAACCGATAAATCTGAGAATCTTCATTATCCCGACTATAATGATAATTTGAACTTCGATGGTGTCCAACTGAATGATAAGGACCATGAAAATCAATTCCTACCTGATCACCAAAATTTTGGTTCTAAAACTCTACCTGAAAACCATGATTATATAAACCTAGATTCAGATCAAGGATATGATGATACCATTACCAATAATAATAATAATGACCATAATGACCATAATGACCATAATGATGATAATGACGATGATAATAATATTTATGGCTATATATCAGGCTCTCATAGCAATTATAGAAAGGAACATAAACTTGAAGAAGGAGATGAAGAAAAAGAGGATGATGATAATGAAGAAGAAGAATATGAGGAAGAATATGAGGAAGAATACGAAGAAGAATATGAGGAGGAATATCCTTTCGAAGTTCAAAATGAAGAACTGGATGAAAATGATCTGAATTTTCGATATGAACATGATAAGACCACTAAATCATTAGAAAACAATAATTTTGAAAATGAAATTAAACAGGAAGAAAGCTTCTCTTCCACTAATAGCAAACATAATTACGAATATCAGAAAGTTGAAACAGATGCAGATAAAGAAATTTATAATTATAAAGAGGGCCATAAACATAGTCAAGCAAATGATGATAACGATAATAATGATGCCGATAGTGAATTTGAAAATCCTTATGATAAAAATGATGAGGGTGAATGTCAAAATGAAGATCAAAGCAATTTTGAAAGCAAAAAGTTTAAATCAAATACTGAAACGATAGACAGTAGTAATAATACCAATGAAAACGAAAATGAAAGTGAAAGTGAAAGCGAAAATTTGCTTTTAGAAGAACTGCTTGCAAATTCAAAAAACATTGATGAAAATAGTAAAAAATCACTGGGAGCCCTGAATCCTTTCATTGCTAATTCTCGGCCATTTGACTCGAATTCAGAAAATTCAGAAAATCAATTATATGGAGAGTCATTAAAAGCTTTTGATCAAAACATGATCATTGACAAATTAAATGTTAATGAGAAACAAGGAACTCTCCGGATTCAAAATTTACCAACGCCAACAATACAAACTTTTGATGAAGATATTAGTAACCTCGAGGAAGATCTGGAAGAATATAATAATCTTGAAGATTTGAATTATGCTTCAAATAAAGAGTTACAACATGATTTTGATCAGAATATGATTAACGCAGCGGAAGAGTTAGATGATAACATTAAAAACATTGAGAATAATTCTGAAGAAGATTTAAAAGTTGATATTGAAAAATATGAAAAATCTGATGTGATTTTGGATGATTTAGAAGAAGAAGCAGATAGTAACAAAAATATGGAAATAGAACAACTTACAGCTGAATCCGCAATTATGGAAGTTGAAAACTTATTAGTCTCAACAGACATTGAGGATATTGAAATGGCAGAAGAAGAAGAAAAAAAGGGAAAAAACAATTATTCTAGTATTACAGAACAGAAAACGATTCCTTCATTTGAAATCACCAATACTCAAAAAATAGGTGCCATAAATATTGAAAATATCAATGATAATGATTTTAAAGGAAACAGTGCGCAAGAGGAAACCGTGGACGAAGTACAAAAGAAAGATGTTTTAAACGAATTGCAAAACATTAATCAAGAGCTCTTTTCTAAAGAAGACATTAGAATAGATAAAGATAAAAGTGAGAACGATATTCTAAATAAACATGAAGACGAAAATAAAAATGAAAATGAAAATAAACATGAAAATGGCATTGAGAGTAAGGAAATATTGAGTATTGATCAAATGAAATATACTCATAGTGAAACTGAAAATGAAGAAACTGAAAAACATTTCCAGGCGAATAAAAATCAAAAAAATCATCAAATTGATAATACTATTGAACCCCAAAAGAAAATTTTTGATGAACAAAAACAAATAGAAGAAGATGAATTAATTAATGAGATAGATGAAGAAAAGTTAGGTTTAGAAGAAAATGTAGATAATGGTCAAAATAATTTCGTCAAAGAAATGGTTATGGAACATCAAGAAAATTCACAAAGTTTAGAAACTGAATCTTCAAAAAAATTGGTTTTAAATGAAAAATTAGAAAACCTGGAGTTGGAAATACTGAATGAACAACAAAATATTGAAAACCGAGATAAAAGTATTGATGAAAAGGGAAATAATAATAAAATTAATAAAAATGAAAATGAAAATGAAAATGAAAATGTTGAGAGGAAAACCTTTAAGAGAACTCAATCAGATGTTGAATTTGTGAATAATGAAAACCAGCTAAAGAAAGCAAAATTAGATAAAGATGATGATAATAAGCTAATTACTGATATAAAGCCTGACAACAAGATTCAAGGCAGTATAAACAATAAAGAAAAAGCAAATTCTGAAGAACCGGTTGCTGAAAGGATATTTGATATTTCATTATTTGAGTCTATTGAATCTACATTTGAAAATAATTCTCAAGACGGGAAAGACGAGTAAAACCCAAGCCTATGTAGTCTATGTTGGTTTTATTAAGATTATTATAAAAAAAGTAAAAATTATATATTTAAGAACTTCAGTTATTAAGACAGTTAGAATGAAAATTTGCCAAAAAATAAATGTAGAAAAGAGTAAAGTCAAAAAAGTTAAAAAAACCAAAAAAAGAACAAAAACGTAGTTGAAGAATATTGTCAGAAAAAAAATGTGTCTAAACCTATATACAAGAGACAGCCGAAAGGATTAAAAACAGAAAAAAATGGGAATAAAAAAACAATGAAAATGGTAAAAAATTTGGAATTTAACTTCTTTATGCAACATTGTTCATGAAATACTCAAAACATAAAAAGAATATAGTGCTGTTTAATACAGACCTTGTCACTGAAATGCTAAGGCCTCTATACATTCTTCTGGTTGGTAGTTGTAATTTTCTTCTTTTTAATGGCAACTTTTCTTGACCAGATTGGAATCTTAAAATATTGCTTACAATGTCTCTTTGCATAACAGACTTGACAGTGTCAAGAGGGAAGACTGTTATCCAGCTGAAAATACCCGATAAACCACCAGCTAAAGCAATAGCAATTTGATTAGTTGGGATCTTCAAATTAAAAAAGGAATCTGAATTGAAGTCAAAAGGATTTAAATAAATGTAGCCATTTTTATCAGAGAGTGCATTGATGGTCAATTTGAAAGTTTCATAAACACCAAAGTAAAATCCAGAACCTATTGCATCTCTTACAACATGGAATCGAAAACCAGAATATAGACCTAGGATCCCCTCAGATTTAATGATTTGTTTTGCAACTTGATAGGTTGATTTGGGCAAAATATTCTTCTTAAAATTATTTTTGCTGTCCAACAATATAGCGATTTGAGAAAACAATTTTGTAAATTCAAAAGGACAAGCAAAAATTGAAACCAAAGCACCAGATATCATACCAGCAGATACAGACACTGGGATATTATTGTAAGTTACATACAAAGCTCTCTGTTTGTCGGTTAAATCCTTGTTGTAGTATGAACTTTGTCCAATAAGGTTTTTCACTACCACAGATTCATAGATCAGAGATATTGTTGGTTTTAGCGTGGTGTATAAAGAGACACTCAAGGATTTAGAGCAAGAAGTAGACAATATTGGGGCAGTTATCCCACGATAAAAACCTTTAATTCCCTCATGCCTGAGAGTTTTTCTAAAACAATCAAATGAGTTTTTGAACGAAGGATGGGTCTGGATTCGAGTCTTTATAGTGTCTAATGGAAACCCAACAAACGTCGATATTATTGAGGCAGAATATGATAGAATAGTTGGTCTCCAGTACTGTAAATATGGTGGTAACGTTATGATAGCATTTTGAGAGACGATATCACTACCAGTAATAGCAGGAACAGAAAGATTTAGCTTTGACGAATTTGGAGGTGGATTAATTGAACTATCTGACATCTTGGGACAAACTTGAACTCAAACATACTAATCTCAGCTGGATGGAGGTGATTGTAAATAACAGGCGTTGTTCTATTGTTATTTCTACTAGCTCTACCCCTAATCCCCACTGTATCGCTATCTTCCACTCGATATATTGTATTTTCGCAGTCTGTGATTCATCAACTTCAACAGGAAAATCTTAATTTTTTGTCAGTTTGAAAAAAATATATTGATCGGAAGTGGTACTTCCGACCACCGGTGATAAGGCATCACTAACGAACACTGATCTAGAGTTTTCCACGCGGTTTGTTAACTCAATCTCAGCTTCCGTTTTTCGGCGCAAGTATTGGCGAACACTTACCCTGTCGGCCAGAAAAACCAGAGCGAACAGAACTGAAAGAATCTGCTGCTTTTGCTGTTTTTGGAGGAAAAGCAGCAACTGAACGACAGAGAGAAGATGAAACCAATAGTGCTAGTGCCTAAACACAAGTTAAGGATACTCGCCAAAGTTACAGCTGAGGCCTTCAACCAGACCTACAACCCTACGTGTGCCAGAACCGGCGCCAAATACTTGAGAAGAAACTTGAAAGGTCCTACCATTGCCAGTTACTATGGTCCAACAGATTTCCCATCTTTCAAGGAGTATAAGAAATTGTTTCCTGATGTTACTTTATACGATGATAAAGAAGACCATAGGTTGAAGAAAGTGGCTGCTTTGAAGAGAAGAGGTAAAGGTGCTCCTCCAAAGAAGAAAGCTGGTCCTGGCGGAGACAAAAAGAAGAAATAATTCTATTCTTGAATCTCCATAGCTTTGCTTGTACATAACCAGTGCCAGTTATTGATTAAAAAATAAACCAAAAACTATATATATTTCTATTTAATTACTGCAATAACAGTTAAATAATTCTTTTCTAAACAGCAAAATGCTTTTAATACAGATTTCATTTCCATCATTCTTTTTAAGCCGATCAACAAGTTGACTGTCAGAGTTTTCTTTATTTTTAGGGTTGTAATTATTATAAGTATTGTATATGAAGATTTCTTTAAAAAATTCTAAATTAAACGAATTTTTAATGCTGTTTTTAATTGATAAATAATAGTAGGAATTGAATATTATATCGTTCAATTTGAGGGATTCATTTAACAATTTCAAGTAGTTTTTTCTTTCACCCATTTTAAATTTAATTCCATTGGGGATTCTATTATTATCTTTAATTTTTAGCATGATTAAAAAAATTGGGAAAAAATTTAAATCAATTAACAAAATCTCAAAATTTAAACTAACAAAATCAATTAAAATGATTTTAAGAATTAAAAAACTCGAGAAAAATATTAAAATTGTAGGTAATAAAAAGATCAATATAATAAATATAAAGGTACCCAAAATTAGTTGATCGATTTCGAAATTTTCAAAATCAATTCTTTTTCTAAAGATGTTATATTTTTTCCCATAAAACAATCTAATTAAACTCTTTAAAATCGAAACCAATATTTTTAATATTTTGAAAAGTGAATTATAAATTATAAGAATATTAAAATTTATAAATTTATTTAAATCAATTAAAATTGATATGATTAAACTTAGCCCTAAAAAATATGATAATCTTATGAATATGAAATTTATTATAAAATTTTTTATAATGAAATCGTTAAAAATTGCAAAAAAATTTAAGATAAAAATTGAGTAAAATTCAATAATCCATAATATTAATTCACCAAAAAATTTTGATAAATTTTCGTTTAATTTTAAACCACCGGGATTATCCATTAGCCATAAAGTTAATTTCATTAGACTATTTTTCATTAAGAATAGTAAATTTACGAGAGATGAATGTAATAATGATTGAAAAGAATTCAAATTGATAAGATTTGAAACAGTCATACCAACTATGATATCATTAATGATTAACCATAAAGTATTGTATAATTTAATATAATTTGTATAATAATTGAAAGAATTTTTCAATTTAATTATATCATTGTTATTATTATTATTATTATTATTATTATTATTTTTCTTTTTATTGAGTAAATTCAAAATCGATGAAACATTATTATTAATATTGTTATTAGTAAATGAGTTTCTTAAATTATATAATTTAATAAATTCTATTGGTAAAAAATAAAATTGAGATAGCCTTAGGTTTAATTGATTTAAGAAAAAAGAATTTTTCAAAACCTTGGTATTGATTAAAAGATTTAATAGATTAATAATTGATAATAATATAAATTGAAATAGAGATACTAAATTAATCAATAAGAATTTAATTGAATAATTTAAATTTTTCAATATCAAAATTTTTTTAAAAAACTTAAAGTTTAATAAAACCAAATTCAATGAAAAATTTAAAAAATTAAATAGAAATTGATTTAAAATAAACAAAATATTATTGATCTTATAATTATTATAAATATTTATGTTATTATCGAAACTATAATTAGAATTTTTATTAATGAAATGATTCTTATTATTGACAATATTTAGTCTTAGGAAATAAAAGTAATTTAGTAATATTATAATTAAATTAAAAGCTCTTTCTTGTTTATTTAATGAAGAGGGCAGATTCTTTTTACCTTTATCTTTATCTTTATCATTATTAGAATTATTGTCTAGAAAATGAAGAGACAAATTTTTTAAAATGATTGTTTTTTCAGATTGATTAATACTGCTATCAAAACCGTCTGAATTATTAAATTGATTATAATTAATGTTATTGATAAGAATATTGATAAAAATGTTATTATTTAGGAACAAGTTTGATTGGATTCTGATTTGGTTAATTGAGTAAAATTGCATCTGTCTTGGATTTGGAGGATCAAAAATAATAAATTTGTAATTCAATTTGCTGTTAATGATCGGGTAGCTATGATAAGAAACTGAGGCATCATAGCTCAATTGAAGCAAATTCCGGTTATCATCTGGATCGCAGTTGATGGAAGCTATAACTCTTATATGTTTGTCGCTTTTGAAGCAAGAATTGGTGGCAAAATCAGCAGGAACAACAGAAACAGCAATAAAATCCAGCAGCGTAACTTGCAACCCAAGAACAACATACTTAACATTGTAAGACAAAAGAATATCAGAGGCCCAGTAGAAATGAATAAGAGACAGTTGGGGTCCAGACATGGTGCAGCACATCCATTGCCGGTGTAGTCGTTGGAAGCAGCAGCAGCAGAAGAACAGGAAGCAGAAGAAGATGCTGGAGAGGCAGAAACCCAGCAGGATCAGCTGATACAGTCGGAATGCACGTGATGATGTATAATTACGAAACGCGAATTCACGATGTTCTAGATGCCGAAAACGCCGTTATTTACGGTGTTTCGATTGCATGCACGTCTCGAACACATGCGAACATCCGAAGGAGAGTTCCACAGATACGGTCCAGCTCAAAGAAGTTGAATAGACCGCGTTTCCATCTCAAACCAACAAACCTTTTCTGGGAGGACTTCTGACTTGTTAAATACTCTTTGCTTTGCTTTGTCACTTTTCCACCTATTGCTATTTTTTGCTCAACCTCAACCTCCCATCCATTGAAAGACACAGCTTCCTTCAAAATGCCCTCTAACACTGACGATTTAGTTCCTGAAGATGCTCCAGGTTATTATGTGACCGAGAAGAAAACCTTGGAGGAGTACAACAAGTTGGATGCTGAAGACGAATCTTTGGTCAAGTGGAAGAAATCCCTAGGTTTAGACACCTCTGCTTTGTTACCTGTCAACCCCAATGATAATAGAAAGGTTGTGATTTTAGAGATGGCCTTGTTGGTTGATGGTAAAGAACCTGTTGTTGTTGACTTGAGTGACGAGAGTGTTTTGAAGACGTTATCCAAAAACCCTTTTAAGGTCGAAGAAAAGTCTATCTATAGGTTGAAAATCAAATTCAAGATACAACATGAAATCGTCACTGGTATCAAGTACTTGCAAGGCATAAGAAAAGCTGGTATTACCTTAGACAAGTTGGAAGAACCCTTAGGTTCTTATGCCCCCAACACTGTTAACAAACCATATTACGAAGTTACTCTTCCTGAAATGGAGGCTCCTTCCGGTATGTTGGCTAGAGGCACTTATGGTGCTGTATCCAAGTTTGTTGATGATGACAAGCAGGTTCATTTATTGCTCAATTGGGCTGTTGAAATTGTTAAGGTTGGTAGAGCTTAATTTGTCTGAAATTTGCTTTTTTTTACTTCATCCGTTAATTATCAACTATCAATTATCATTTGCTTATCACTTTATCTATCTGTCATCACTTCTCAGTTATCACTTACAGTTATTAGTTATCACTTTCAATTTCAGCCATAATATAACAGTTACTAATTCTCATTCACTTTTTGTCCATTTTCATGAAATTTTATTTTATTTTACTTTACTTTATTTTATTCTATTTTATTTTATTTTATTTTATCTCGTTTTTGATTATTTTTTGATCTTTTACCACTTTATTTTAATCACTTATTTTCATTTTTTGCCTTTTACCTTTTTTCTTCTATTTTTTTTTACTTTTAATTTTTTAACTTTATAATTAACATATCCAAAATTTCCACTCTATAAATAAGACTGAAATTAATTCAATACTAAACCTTTCTTTACTTGATCTGTCATTCCACTTGAACAGTTGATAATAAAATAATATAATTTATTCATAAATTTTATAAACATATATAAAAGAAAATAAAAATCAATTAAAAAGGAAAATAAAAGTATTAAAGTAAAAACAATAAAGTGCTGTGACATTAGTTAAATTTAATTTATCATCATAATCTTCAAGTATAAAAAAATAAAAAAATAGCCGGCATAAAATAAACAATTGTTTTTTATATTTATGAAAAACAATTTCAAAAGTGAAAAAAAATAATTTCAGTATAAACATGGTAAATACAAGGTAAATCATATCTTATATATAAATTGGTTTATCAAATAAACCAAGATTAGATTGTTTTTTTATATATTTTTTAGGTTTTTTAGTTTTTTTGTAGTTTTGCACAAGAATAGAGAAAAGTTAACGTGTTTTTTTTTGAAGGAATTCACAGGATTTATATTTATATGCTAACTTTAATATTCACAGTATGATAGCAGTTTTGAGAGACAGTTTGAATAGACAAGAAGACAGTTTTGTTAACAGAAAATGATCTGTCTTAAAATGCCCATGAAATAAGAGAAAAAAAAAAAGGTAAAAAAAAAAGGTTAAAGCATGAATTGAAAATTTAATCATTTAATCAATATCATCAACATTGGTGGTTTCGGATAAATGAATTAGTTTTTCAATAGAAGCTAAATGCTTACCATAAGTAGGTTTTGAAATTTTTTGTAAATATTGTTTGATTTTTTTAATTAAAATCTTCTTTTTAGGTCCTTCAGTAATATCAACTAATGTTTGAACAACGTAGTTAGCAAATTGGTCTTTCATCATCAATGCTAAAGAAGAATTATCATCAACTTCTTTGTTATCATCTTTTCCATTACCTTCAAGAACTTCATCAAGAATTCTGTATCTGTTTTTGATCGACCCATAAACAATTGATTTTTCAACAACATTTGAGGCAAATTTATGTTTGGAAAAAGTTACAACGTTTCCTAGAACCACTTCACACATAGAATCACGATCATTAGGTTCTCCATGTTGTAAAATATGTTGAATAACATAATTTCCGTATTGGTCTTGACTTAAAAAAAATGCATATTTAGAAATCTCATCCAAGATAATTTTTTGGTCTTTTCTTTCGCCGTATTCTAATAGTCTTTGAATAACTCTACATCCATAAGGGTTAGTTGATAGATGGTAAATGTGTTTTTGCAAAATCTCTAAAATAAAACGAACTTTATCAAAGGGAATTAATTCAATAGATTTTTGAATAACATGATTACCATTTTGGTCTTTAACACAAACCAAAATATGATCTTTTAGTTCATTAATAATAGAAATTCTTTGGTCAACATCAATTGCTTCAATAGCTTTTTGAACAACTCTGCAACCGTACATTTGTAGAGACAAATCATAGATATGACCTTGCATTAATTCAAACAAAACATTTTTTTGAACGTCTGAGCCGAATTCAAAAAACTTTTGAATGACATAATTTCCAAAAACATCAACCATTAATTCCATTCCGACACCTCTAATTTCATTAAAAAAAACCTCCTTTTCAGCTTCAGGAGAATCTTCCAATTGTTGTTGAATGAACCTCGAACCATGTTGATCTTTAGAAAACTCAATGCCATGATTGAAAATATCCTTTAAAGTGTATTCTTTATTTGATTTGTTAGCACGAAATTTTTCTAACAAGGGACTTCTATAAATATGAGAGCCATTAGGCTTTGAGGTTGAAGCTCCAGATCTATTTGGTGGAGGTGAAGATTTTGATTTGTTTGATTCACGTTTTGATTTACGTTTAGAAGAAGAACCGTTATTTGCAGGGTTTGGGGGAGATAAAGCTTTAGTGTTAACTGGCGAGGCTTGACCATGCAAGAGAGGAGAAGAAGCAGGCATTGGTGGAGTTAAAGGAGCATGAGTAGGTTGGGGAGCTAACATTGGACTTGAAACTTGACCAGGGGCAAAAGGCAATTGAGGCTGAAACATATAAGGGTTGAATGAAGGGAACATGTATGGAAAAGCACGAAAATCGGGAGATTGAAGAGGATTTTGAAGAGGATTTGGAAGAGGAGTTGAGGAAACATTTTTGGATTCATTTGGTTTAATTTTTTCATCTGATAAGGCGTCAAGCGAGTCTTTATTTTCATCAGATTTATTATCAGAATTCAGGTCTTTGGTTGAGATGGAAGGAAACTCTTGAGGAGGATACTCATGAGACATTGCAGGATGATATTGCATTGGCATCATTGGCATTGGATAATTACCATAAGGAAAGGCAAATGGGTTGAATAATTGAGGATAAATGTCAGAAGGTTCTTGTTGTTGAACTGGTTGATGCATATACATTGAGGTGAAAGTTTGAGCAGCAGCAGGGTTCCAGGTTTGGTGGAAAGTAGTTTCAGAAGAATTGTTGGTAGAAGCAGGCGTTGAAGTGGAAGCAGAAGTGGCAGTTTTAGCGGAGGAATTGTTATCATTTGAACTGGTTTCCAGTTGAGTTTCTTTGTTTGTTTGAGGTTGATTTTGAGAAATTTGCAAAGCTCTTTGATTAAGTTGTTGTTGGACTTGTTGTTGAACTTGTTGTTGAACTTGCTGTTGAACTTGCTGTTTGAACTGTTCGACTAATTGCAGTTGTTGCTGTTGCTGTTGTTGAGATAAGATTGAATCATTTTTATCAAAGATGATGGAATTTATATCTGGGCGACTTAGAGTATCAGGACTGAAAGAAATGGAATTACGGGCATTGGCGTTGTTGGAGACATTATTTGTACTATTGTTATTATTGTTGAAATTAGTAAGGTTTGAGTTACTTAAACTATTAGCAAGGTTAGTTTGAGAGACCAAGTTAGAGTGATCTAAAGTTGAAACTGAATGATTTGGAGAAGTGTAAAAATTGTCAATTCTTTCAGATAAAGATTGGCCTTTTAGATTTAAAGTGGGTTCATTGATTGAATTTGGAGAAGAAAGTAGAACCGGGTTGTTGTTGTCAAGAAAACTTGATCTTCTCGTTGAGATTCCACTTCTGTTATTATTTGCACCTAAAGATAATTTACCTAAATTTCCTAACAATTCAACTTCTTTAGTGGCTTCTGCAACAGAAGAAAATTTTTCCAAGAATTTTCCAGGGTTTGAGACAGTTGATGGAAAACCACCACTAATTGAAGCAGCACCGAACATTTTGGATTGATGCATTTTTGGATTATTGAACGAGCCTAGTGGAGCAGATATAGCAGATAAGGTGCCCTTTGTTAAACCAAAGGGGCCAGATCTAAAGATATCACTATCAGCGTCGCTACCATTAACACTTCCACCTGCAACCGAGTTTGACTTTGAGAATAACCCACTTGTAGAGCCAATATTTGTTGAGAGGTGAGCATTGCCGAAAGTATTAGTGTTGAGGCTAAGATTGTTAAGGCTATTGAAAGTATTGAGGTTGTTCAAGGTGTTGATGTTATTGAGGTTGTTTAAATTATTGAGACTGTTTGCGCTGTTTGAGTTGAGATTAGAATTATTGCTGTTGGATACATTCGCATTTAAACTAGAAACAACACTGGCAACATCGTTATCAATCAGATTTAAGACATTTTGGAACTGAGAAGAAGACGAAGAGGTAGGATTATTGGAGGTATTGGCAAAAGGAGATAAAGAGGTGTTTGAAGACCAGGGATTTTTGGATATGGAGGGCTGAGTATTCAACACAGAAGAATCATCTAAAAAAAAGGGCATTATGTTAGCTTTGCTTGTTGCAGAGAGCTTGGTGAAAGCAGAGAAAAACGAATAAAAGAAAAAACAGAAAAAAAAAGGGTTTTGCAAAAAAATTTATAGGAAACAGGCAAAAGAATAAAGCACTAAAGTACTGTAATATAGTTCAAATATAAAAAAAAGAAGTTCAAAAAAACGTAAATGAAAAAAAATATGCTTCTACAGTCAAAGCACAACAGCCCAAAGCGCCACATACCTATCATTTTCTGGTGAATGCTATTGCTGATATCCTGCTTATGTTTTTTATTGTTTCGCTGTGGTTTGAATATTCCTTAGATGGTTTCCATCAGTAGAACAGCCTCAGCACAAAGAGAAGGTTGTAGAGGAAGGTTGAGAAAAAATTTATTCCAAGCGCCGGCGCGCGGCCCGACAGTCGATCCACCGCAGTGGCTCTGCTGCGGTATGCAGCTGGGGTCTGCTGTTTATGCGCGATGTGCATTGAGACCGCAGCAGTGGGTGCTACCGGCAGCAGCAGCAGCAGCACCTGAATCAACAGACTCGCCAGGCCTCAGATATATGGGGCGAAGTTGAACTTCAGGAAGATCCTGGATCGTGCTCTCGATTCGTCGTCGTCGCCTCCGAGAGCGTAGTTGCCCAAGCTGTCAGGACGCTGCGTGCCTCTTTCCTTCTGCTCCTTCTTCACCCTTCTGGTGAGGGTTTCGATGCACTTGAATCTCTTGTTCCAGTTCGAAACATATGAGCTTTGAAGTTTCCAGATCGACGAAAAGTCGGTTGCCAAAAGACAGATGTTTCTCACATACATTGCAAGGTTCCGATGAGACACAATTTTGTAGCTGCATGCTGAAAACACCTCGGGGATGGTATCGTCCACTAGAAAGACCTGAACCCTGAACATCAAATCTCTTAATTTTCTGATTCTCTCAGCTTTTTTAGCCTTGCTTTGGGCCTTGACATCAATCTTAGTCCTAATCTCTGGAATCCTCTCACTTTCATAGTTGTTTCTAGTTTTAATTGCGGAACCAAAATCATTTTCAATTTTGGTTTCAGCTTCGGTTTCAGATTTTATTTCGCTTTCAATTTCAGCATCACCTTCATCATCACAATCACAGTTCACTTCTGATACATTGGCAGGAGAAATCACAACATTAACTGTATTAAAAGCCCCAAATTTATGATTGAAAGGATATCCAGATTCGTCAAAAAAGATATTAACAAACGTGTTTCCAATATGTTCTATTTTTCTATCACACGTAGGATCATCTTCATAATTAGGCATCATTGACGTTGTTTCAAATACTACTTGACTAATCTGATCTCTCCAAACATAAGCATATTTGCCATCACGATCGTTTTTTTTATCCAATCCAGCTGTAAAATGTTGTGTATCACCTTTTAATCTAATTAGATACCCAAGCCCTTTTAAAAATTCATAATAAGCCATCGATCCTCCTCTATTTAATAAAATCTCATTATCATCTCGTTGCCCAACTCCAATATAAATAATACCAAATTTAAAATAATCAACAACTAATATATTATCAATCACTGTTCTAATATGGTTCATGTATTTATCAGGAACTAAAATCGGATGAGATTCATCAAACATATGGTGTATGAGTTGTGTTAAATAGAAATTTGGATAAACCAAATTGGTTGGAACCCCATAAGATAACAACTGATTCCCATTTCCAGTTAAATTCTCAACAGATGAATATCCCATCATTGCCTTATCAATTTTCATTTCAAATCTCAAAATACCGCAAGAAGTTCTAATAAACATCACCGCTTCTCCTTCAGAACCTTTGCTGTGAATTGTAACAATACTTCCACCACAAATCCATGTTTGTGTTTGATAAAGTTTATCCTTCAAATATTCTTCCTCCCTAATAGTCACTGCTAAATCGAAATTTGCACATGCAAACCTTCTAATCAAATCAAGGCAAACATAACTTTGACTATCTTTCATATCAACAATATTAGCATCTTCAACTCTACTGAAAAGATTCTTTACAATATAAGGAACTACTTTTTGTCTCATTTCAATATTCATTTTCAAAAACCAGGTAATAATGACATCATAAGAAGTAGATATCAAATAGTCTGAAATTCTTTCATTATCAAGAGGATCCGGTTTGTCTCTAGTTAACGTTTTTTGTGTGATAACCAAATGTGGTGCCTCAACACTATTTCGTTTTTGTGATATTGTTGATGATCTCTTTATCGAAATATCGGTATTATGATCTTTAAATGCATCAATAAATGTAAAAGCAATAGCAAAAATTGACTGATAATCTATTACAGTGAAGTTCGAAGTCAAAGAAGGTAAGTGAACTAAGGATAATAAAAATTCTAAAATAAAAGGTGAATATTTCTTGTTTGAAATTAAGCTTTGCAATTTTGTGGTAATCGGTTTTAGTGTTTTTTTGACTGAATCTGGATATTCATAACAACATAATGTAATTACTTGAATACACTCTCTAACTCCATCAATATGAAGAGTACTTAATCCCTTAAATAATGAATAAACAATCGTGTTTTTATCATCAGCAGAAAGAACTTTTTCATATGGTAAAATAGATCCCAATAATTTAACATGAAAACAATGTAAAGCTTTTTTAACGTCCATATTTATTTTCAAAAGAAAAGTGTTGTTGAGTTGAATATTGTCACAAGCTAATTGACACAACTGTTTAATTTTAACATTTGAATATTCAAACAAAGCTAAATTTGACATTTGAAAATGAAGACAATACCAAACAAATATAACTATCTCCATTTCTTCGCATCTAGTCAAAACTTCAATATACAACCCTAATAGATAATCTGGATCAATATAATTATTTAATAAATCTGCATTATGTTCATCATTATTAATTCTAATTTCAGTTGAATAAATACCATATTCCAATTCAAAAAGCTCTGAAATCTCTTTATCTTCTTTTGCAACATCAAAATCTTTTAAAATAAACCCATTTTCAGGCAAATCATAATAGAGAAAATAAATTCTTTTCTCATTAGTTGCTCTTAGTTTTAAGAGGAAACATAAAATGATTTTTAAAGTATCGAGACTATCAGTATTGGTGCTGAACTCGGGTTTGGCTAGATTAAATAAACAATGATATGAAATCTTAAGTAAAAGCTGATAAATAATGGATGGCTTAAGAGTATCGTTATTAGCAGAAGATTTGATGAAAATTTTAATTAGAGCAATAACATAAGAAAGTAATTTTTCTGGAGGAGAATAGCAATCAGGGACATCAGAAAATAAATATTTTTCCGGTTTTAAGTCCTTAGTTTTGCCTCTGGAGTCTGTATAATGATTATTACTATTACTAGTAGAAGTAGAAGTAGAAAAATAATGATTGATACTATTAGAAAAATAAGAATAGTTATTATTGGAAGAAAAAGTAAAATTATAGGGGATTGCCAGACACAATTTAAGATAGGTTTTAAGATCTTTGGTGTAGAAAAAACCCATGATTTTTTTCAAAAAAAGCTCCTGAAATAACTCAAACTCAACATTGGAAAAGACATCACAAAGCAATTTGTCCAAGATAAAGCTTGCTTCGGAGTAAGTCTCACTATCCCCAGCCAACTTTTCAATCATGAAAAAATTGCAATTGGAATTTTTAGTTTTTGGCATCTCAAGAAGCTCATAACAAACATCTGTCATGCCAAAAAGATACTGGATTGCAAAAGCAACAATTTCACTAGCTAAAGAGAGATTTACCGCTTCTTCATAAGTATTATTAAAAAGTTTTAAAATTTTTTTTCTGAGAGAAACATCGACAAAAACCAACTCCTTAAAAATATTGTCAGAGCACTTTCTGTTTGCAATAAATTTATGTTTCAACAAATTGTGGCAATATATCTTTGATAGCGTTTGAAAGGCTGCTGGGTTTAAAGCTGAGGGATTTAAATAATCTTTATCTTCATAATAATCAACAATTAAGTGGTAAGTTGGGCTATCTAATAATTCAAGATTTTTAACTGCAAATTTAATAAAATTTCGATTGCCAAAATTTGATAATATATTTTGAGAATCGTGAAGAATTGAATTTAAAAGATACAATAATGTGCAGTTATCATCATCATAACGATTAAAATCAATTGCATCCATGATGTCAAAAATAGTGTAGTTTCCACTTTCTTTATTACCAAAATCCCAGTAATTATTTGAGTAAAACAAAAAATTTTGACTATTGTTTATGATATAAAGAATGAATTCCAAAATTTTTTTTGATACAATAAAAGAATTGTTATGTTTTACAGCAGAATAAAAAGAGTTAAAAAGACCCTCAAAGGTATAACGATAATTGTTTTTAAAATTTTCCAAATAGTAAGAAAGCAATTGTTTTAATAAATTTAGTGAGCCAGCAACAGTATTTTCATGATTAATCTTTTGAGAAAAGATTTCCATGTGTTGAGCATCATTTGGTTGGATGATGGCGAATCTTAGTGATAAATCCTCATAAAGATAAGTGTCATCAAAGTTTTCATTTTTATGTTCATTATTGTGGTCATTGTCATGAATACTATCACGATCATTATTATGTTCATTGTCATAATAATCGCTATAGTAATTATCTTCAGAATTATCAGTTTGATCAGCATTTTTTGATTCAATATCATTAGGTGTGAACAAAAAGTCGAAATTAAAGTTATTAGAGAAAGAAAAAGTGGATGAAGGATTGGAAGAAAGACTAGGATTGGAATTAAAATTAAAATTGTTGTTAAGTTTACTTTCGGTGATATTATTTGCATCAATGTTTTCATTAATTTTTTGATATTTTAACGTTTGGTTTAAATGTTTGCCAGAAATGATATAAAGTAAAATTTGGTTAATTTGCAAAAATGAGTTTTTATTTAAAGGTGTGTGAATATTATTAGTAAAAGATAGTAAGTTTCTAATAATGTCAGAAATTACAGGGTCATAGTTGATTCTTTCGACTTTAATCATTGAATAGCATGCTAAATAATTGATGAGGGTGATAAATAAAGAGTTTGGAAATTTTCTATTTAAAGACAACTGATTAATAATAGTTAAACAATTACGAAAAACGTTTCCATTTTCAGTTATTGAAGATAAATAAAGAATGTTTGATAAGAAAATTTCTAAATTTGATTTGTCGAAGTTACTATTAGGTAAGAGATTAATTAAATAATCCAAGAAATTGATTAAGGAATTTAAAAGTTTGGGAGATAATAGAATATCGTTTGTAAAAGATTTATTGATAAAAGTTGGTAAACTAATTGTATAATAAAGGTCAATGTTATAATTCTTTGAGGAGGAGGTTAAATCTCTTAAAATAAAGTTATTATCCTGTTTTATTGAATTAATTAAATCAATTTGAAAGCTCATTTTATTCAAGTCAATTGGTTTAGCATTTGTTGGAATAGAAGGAAGATTATTAGTGTTTGAGACAGAAGCAGAAGCAGAAGCAGAAGCAGCAGCAGAATTAAAATTAGAAGCAGAATTAGAAATATGATTAGAATTAGAAGCAGAAATGGCGTTAGCAGAAGAGGTAGAAGCATTATTAGTAGAAGTAGAAACATGTTTGGCATTATTAGAAGAAGAAAAAGCAGAGGAATTATCGATTAATAAAGTTAAAGCGTCAATGAACAAGTCAAAATTGGGGTCTAGAACTTTTTTGGATAAATTTGAAGAAAGATGTTTATTTAGTTCAATATTATTAATAACATTATTTTGTGGAATGGAGAGATTGAAGTAATAATTGATTAAGATGGATCTATAATAGATTAATTTTACAGTATTATTTGATGAGAGGTTGTCAGCTTTGATGCATTGGATTAGTAGATTTAAGATATCCTTTCTTAGAGAGGAAGATAAATCTCTTGATAGTAAATGAGAAGCATTTAACCAAATGTTGTTTATTTGCAGAGAATGGAATTTATTTTTTGATATGGAGTCAGTTAATTTGAGGATTGCATTTAATTTTTGGTTTGGTAAACCTGTTAGTAGAGTATTGAATTGGTCTATTAAATAAGCAGTTGGGTTTGAGTCTAAATTGGAAGCAGGGTTTGAATTTAGGTTTATATTGGAAGATAGAGGTGAATTGAGATCAGATTTAGTGATTAAAGACTGAGAAGAAGAGTTAATTATATTTGAAAAGGATCTTTGGTTTAGAACTTTTTTCCTGTAATGATGTTTTTTATTTGAAGAGAAGATTCTTGAAAAGGTTGTTGAGGTAGCAGAAGATTCATTTGATTGGTGGGATTGAATTGATTGGTTTGACTGATTAGATTGGTTTGACTGATTGGATTGGTCTGACTGATTGGATTGGTTTGAGAGATGAGAATTGTTTGAATTGTTTGTATTTGAAACATCCAAGCTAATTGTATTATTTGAGTTGACTATTTCTAAATTTTTATTGGAAATAGAAGAAGGAATTGCAGAAGAAGTAAGGGCAATTGAAGAAGTAGTGGGAGGAATTGAAGAAGAGGTTGAAAAGGATTTGGGTAAAAGTCTTCCAAAAAAGGAAGAGGAAGAGGAGGAGGAAGAAGAAGGAAATCTATTAGTAGAACTAGAAGGGTTAGCAGAATTGGGAGAGGTGGGAGAGGTAGTAGAATTGGTAGGTGTGGCTTTCGATGGAGAGGAATAGGTTGAGTTATAGCCAGAAGCAGAGGCATTAGCAGAAGCAGTGGTTGTTGTACCAGTTCTTGAACAAGCAATTGGGCTCGATACAGCAGTAAGAGGTAGAGTGGTTCTTGAGCCAGATTCTGAACCAGCTTTTAGTGTAAAGCCCAAAGAAGACTTTATGCCAGCTCTTGAGCTGTTTTTGAGTGTTATATTTGAACTTGAAGTAGATCTTGAGATAGTAGCGGTTTTGTTTGAGACAGAAGATGAATTATCGCTGATGCCAATGGATTCAGTCATATCATTTAAGTCGTTAATATCGTTATTATCGTTAAAGGTATTGATTAAAGTGGGTTTAGTGTCGTTTTTCTTGTTTTTTTTAGGTTTAATATGTCTATTATAATGAGAAGGGGGCATGGGAGGCATACTCAATAAATTATATATTTTTATTTTATTTTATTTTATTTTTAAATTTTTTTTTATTTTTTTTTATTTTTTTTTACTTGTCTAATAATAAGTTTGAAATGATATAATGGTTTAAGTTTTTTAAGTTGTAATTATTGGTTTTTTTTATTAGTGTTTTGTTATTAATCTTTTGACTGTTTTAATTTTAGTGATTTTAATTTTAATGATTTTATCAAATTTAAGAAAATTAATTGATTGGGTTTATTGAATATAATGACAAAACAAGCAAAAAAGGGAAATAATGAAAAATTTATAATAAAATGGGAATATGATATAATATACAAAATTAAATAAAGCAGGTGGTTATAATATAAATAGAAAGAAAAGAAGTTGCTAGATGAAAAAAAAAATGGAGAACAAAAATAGTAAACGCAAAATGCTGGAGAACTATGGAAAAGATAAAGAAGATAGAGAAGAGGAAGGAGATGGAAAAGCTGAAAAGCTGAAAAAACAAGCTACAAGGAGCAAGAGTCACCAGAGCTGTTTGCTTGATGTGTCTAGGTGTGGGCAACAGCCAGGAAAAGCCAGGCACCTAGTGTTTTTGCAGCACTGACATTGTTATTCCAGCCTCTCTGTTGCTGTTGCTGCTTCTGCTGTTGCTACTGCCTCTGCTGCTTCTGCTTCTCCACCGGCACTGTTCCACCGGCTCAGGCCTAGAACCTCTCTTCTTTGGCCTCAACTCGGGTGTAGCTTGAGAGCTCGCCCACTCCGGCTTGGAAATCCATCCAGGGCCTGAGCAAGCTCGCTGTGCACCGTAAAACACTGAACACATTGCACAGTGCCCCAGAAGCAGCAGCGTTCTCTGTAAACAGTGCTGTCTCTCGTGGAAATGCTTTTGAGGAAGAAGCAGCGTCGGAAACAGCTGCAGAAGAGCCCGAAATGGTGCTCGCATGTTCAAAGCGCGTAATGCATCATAATGCATATGCTATTTAGATTGCGTCTACATGCATGTATTTTATGCGTTGGTAACGCTCTTTGCACGTGAGTGTTACGCTATTGCTTACGTGATGAACACGTGCTTTGATTTTTGATTTTTTTAATTTTGGCCAATGGAAAAATCGAATTTGGTTTTGGGAAGGAAAAGCAGCTGGAGAAGCTGAAGCTGAAGGAGTTGGTGACACAGCAAACACAACACATTTTAAGATGCTTTCGATATCTGCTTCTAGAAGGAAGTTGTTTAGCTACAACAGAAGTGTCTGGGCTGGGGCTCTTCGTCCCTTGTCCTCTTCTACAGTGCTAGACACACAGGCCAAAGCTCCACCACCACCCAAGACAACTGATGATTTCTTGAAAGATGTCTTATCAAGAGTCCAAAAGACAGTTTCTTCTGATGACAAAAACAAAGACAATTCTGCTACTGGTGCCTACAACCGTTATTTCAATCAGGCCTCAAGTTCCAGAAATGGCTACAGAAATAACAATTTTTCAGGGAATAACAACAATAACAATAATTACAGAAACAACTTTAATAGAAATAACAATTATGATAGAAATAATAACTTTAACAGAGATAATAACTTTAACAGAGATAATAACTTTAACAGAGATAATAACTTTAACAGAGATAATAACTTTAACAGAGATAATAACTCTAACAGAAGTGACAATTTCAATAGAAATAACTTTAATAGAAACGATAACTCCAATCAAAATGATAACTTTAACAGAAATAACTTCAATAGAAATGATGATTCCAGAAATAACAATTTTAATAGAAACAATTACAACAACTCCAATAGAAACAATTTTTTCAATCAATCAAATCAGTCTTCATTCCAATCCCAATCCCAAACTCAAACTCAAGCTCAAGCTCAAGCTCAAACCCCAAAAGTTCAAAGTAAAACCGATAGACCACACGCTCAATCAAAAATTCTTCCTTCTTCTTTCAACCGACAAAAAAATTTCTTTAAAAGAGACAATAACCAGCAAAAGAACAGTGCATTCTTAGAAATCGATGCTAACGAATTGGCTGATATGATGGATGGTTCAACATCAGCATCAGCATCAGCATCGGCATCAGCATCAGCATCAGCATCAAACTCTGCTTTATCTCATTCTGCTAACGAAATTAAAACAAAATTACACACAAAATTAAACTTCTTTGCTGAATCTGTTTCAAGAAGAAGATTAGAGGCCCGAAATGGGAGAAGAGCACCTAGAAACAATCAAAATCCTTCTTCCTCAAATCAATTTTCAAACTCTCCTTCAAGTTTCCAAAGATTTAGATCAAATCAATTACAATCAAAATCAAATCCTAATTCACCTTCTTCTTCCACTTCTTCCCAAAGACCTTCTAGATTTGTAAGAACTTCTCCAAGATCAAGAAACTCTAGAAGATCAACCGACGTTCCTATCCCTAGATCTTCATATCAACCATCCGCCTACATTCCTTCTGATAGTGTATCCTCATTGTTAGCTTATTCACCAAATATAGGCTTCAATCAAGAATCAAGAATTCGTAAAGCTGTTTTCAAAATTATGGATCAAAATTTCCTCACAAAAGATGAACTCTTTGAAAGAGCCCAAAATCCTTATTTACCTCATTTAACGTCGGTTCAAATACCAAGCATCTCCCCACCTCCAAATCATTTATCTTATCAAATTGCAAATAAAAAGTCAAAATATTTCTTCACTGATAATACCTCAATTACTTCTCTAACTGATGATTTCTTTCGAAAAAATAAAGACAATTTAACCAATATTCAAGATCAATCAAGATTATTTGAAAAAATTGTTCAAGGTAACTATAAATCTGAGATAATATTAACTCCATTTCCAAATAATTTAGATGAAAAAATGAAAGTTAACTTCAATGTAGCAAAATCCTCTTTAAATCAAAATCCAACAATCGACTCAAAACTCAAAAAAATTGTTTTCCCTTCATTAGTTGGTTTAAAGGGTGTTTCTCAAATTAAAACTCTAGTTAATTCAAAATAAATAAATATTTATTTCTAATCACTGTAAATATAATAAATATTATTTTTGGTTCGAATGTTCAAGTTTTTTTTTTGTTCATCTAATTTACTCTATTATTTTTTATTTGTATTTATTAAAAAAAGTTAGATCTAAAATCAAAATAATTTAGCACCCTTTTAATATCTAATTTAAAAGTCAATTTATTTAATAATAATACTATAACAATATATATGTATAAATATAATAGAAAAAAAAACAATTGTAAAATAATTATTCTCAAACAAAATAGTATAGAAAAATTTAAAAATCATACAAGAAATTTAAAATACTGTTATAAATAGTAAAGAACAAAAAATAAATAATGAATAAAATTGAAATAAAATTCAATCCAATCGGATCGAATCAAGTCTGGTCCAAGAAAAAAAAAATATAACTGAAAAAATCAAAAATTACAAAAATCAAAAAGAATGGAATTTAACGAATAAATAAAACACGACACAACACAACACTGATGACTATTTTAAAAAAAAAAATTAATCTATAATATTTCAAAATTTTGGTAAAATTTAAATTTAAATAAAACCTTCTAATGCTCTTAAAGCATTACTTAATCTTCTAATTCCTTCATCATATCTATCAGGATCAGCGATCATATCTGCTGTTAATTTGGATAATGCATCAACGATTTTTTCTAATAATTTCTTTTCATTTAATGGTAGATCTAATCCTGAAAATTCTTTTCCAATCATTGTTCCCTCCGTAGCATCCAATAATCTGGCTAAGGTAGAATATGAAAATGGTCTAATTTTTTCTTTACTTTCTCTTTGATGCAACTTCTTTTTAACCTGCCTTTTGGCTGATTTGCCTTTTTTAGTTTTTTTGGGAGCTTTAAGATTTTTTTTCTCTTTTAAATCAACTACATCTAATATTTGAAGATCTGAATCATTTTCATCATTTGTTTGAGGTTTATTTTCATTATTAATATTAGCGATCATTTCTTCTTGTTCTTTCAATTGTTCATTAAGTGCATCAGTTAAATCTTGTAAACTTGAAGAATTTCGAAGTTCTGAGTCGCTTCCATCGTCTTTAATGGTAAGATTTTCCAATTTTTTTTCTGGACTTTCAGTTTTCACAATTGGAATAGGCAATGGCCTTGAATTTTTTCCTCGAGATGTAGAGGGTTTAGTTTTGGGGCTTGAAGTAGAAATTGGTTTTGTATTTGAAGTCAAATTTGCAAGCTCATCATCTTTTGGTTCAGTCTTGATGGGATTTTCAGTATCAGCAGTCTTATAAGAGGCCATTGAAGAAACAGTAGCATTGGATAAAGTTTTATGGTGGTCTGAGATATTCTTTAAACCCAAGTTATCGTCATTTGGAGAATCAATTTTTGTATCTGTAGGATTAGTCTTTTGGGGAACAGCAAAGGATATTTTTCTTTCGTTATTGTTTACATCTCTAAAAGTTTCAATTATACTGTCGGACTCAAATTCATGTTTTATGGGACTTGATTCGGGAGAGTAAAATTCAGCATTTGAAGATTTACGAGAGTTCTTTGAGAGAGGATAAGAATCGATTAGATTTCCAGTTGAAATTGAAGCCGATCTTGATTGGGATCTGGATTGGGATCTGGATTGAACTCTGGAAGATGAGTCGCCTTTTATGGTTGTGGCAGTACTTGTTCTTCTACTGTCATTGATATTATTTAAGCTAGATGAAGTGTTTAGTGGTTTATTTTTGATTTCTTTTGATGCTTTTAATTCACTAATAAAAGTAGATAAGTCCTGATCATTTGAGATACTAGTATTTAAAATTGAGTTCGGGTTTTTCAGTTGATTGTAAGAATCATCATTTTTCAATTTTTTCAAGATTGCGTCAGATAAATTATTATTGGCGGTTGGGATATTTGGTAAGGGTCTGCCTAAATTTTGAGAAGAGTTTCTGATTGTGGAAGAGGTTGTATTTGGGTTGATGTTATCGAAAGAAGAGGTGATTGAGTTTGTATCATTTTGAGAGCCTAGAATGAAGCTTTTTGGTCTTTTATCAGATCTTGGTGGAACTGGAGAATTTAGTTCAGTGATGTCTGTTCTATCAGGGAATCTTTGTTGAGGGTTTGAGTTGTTTCTCTTGTGAGTATAAGAGTTGACGAGTTTTGAAGTTGGAACTGAGTGAGTTGAATTGTTGTTTTGGTATTGAACACTGTTTAATCTTAGGGGAAAGTTTGGTTTAGTTTCTAAAGAGTATACAGATTCTACATCAGGTTCTTCAGGGATGCTATTGACTAGACTTTGTTGTCTTGAGTGGGAGGATCTTCTTTGTGTTGGGTTTATAAATTGGGTAGGAATGTTGTTGTTGTTGTTGTTGTTGTTGTTATTGTTGGCGGTGGTGTTATTGTTGTTTGAATTAGAGGTTGAGTATCTTAAATTTGATTGAACATGTGGGTTTGGAAAGGTAAAACTTGGAGTGATTGGAGATTCGTTATAGTTTTCTAGATCGTAGATGCTGCCTTTGAAAGATTTGATTGATTCAACTTGGTTGATATTTGAATTTACGGTTTTGATTGCTGGGTTTGATATGATGATGTTAGACATTTGGTCTTGAGAATCAGTATTTATTGATAGAGAGAGAGAAGCAGAGGCAGAAGAGGATATTTCATCGTCAAGAGTGTTTTCAACAGTTATTATATTTGAAGGCTTGTGGTTGAGGTCATTTTTATCGAGGGTACCAAAAGAAGAAGATTTATTGGTTGGAGGTTGATTATTTTGGTTATTGATGTTGTTATCTCTATTAATAATATTATTATTATTACTGTAATTGGTAGGGATATTAGGGTTGTTTTTGTCTAAGGCTGGTTGGAAGGAGGGTTTTAAAGGAGATTTTTTTTCAAAGTTGAAGGAATCAGAAGAAGGTCTTGAAGGAGAAGCAGAATTTTTTTCAATGTTTGAATCAGAGTGAGAACGAGAATGGGAAGTATTAATTAGCTTGGATACCCTTGGGTTTGATCTTAGAGACATTGTTCTATCGATTGTTGCTTGTCTGTTAGTGGAATTAGAGTGGTTTGTGATTGTATTTGTATTGTTATTGTTATTGTTATTGTTTATGTTATTGTTAATGATGTTACTAAGATAGGAATTATTCAAATCTTTGTTATAGAAATGTGTGTATTCAGCTAGGAGGCTATTGCCAGCAGGATGATACTTTATGGGGACACCTTCAACGATTTGGCCAGAATATTGGGATACGAAAGAGTGTCTTGAGCTGACGATGCTGTTTCTCTTTTTAAAGCTGTCGTTACCAACTGAGAGAGTTGGAGAGCCTATATTTTGACGTTGTCTTTGGATATCGTGAAAGAAAGAATGGTCAGTTTGGGGAGTTTGAGATGAAGGATCAGCTAATTTTGGGTCATCGCTGATTTTCTCGTTGATTTTGTCATTGGGTTTGTCGAGGACTAGATTGTTTATGTTTTTTGGGTTATAATTAGAATTGGAATTGAAATTAGGATTAGGACTTGTATTAGGATGTGTAATTTTATTGGAAAGTGTACCAGAAACTGCATTGGGAAGAGAATCAGCATTTTCCTGAGCAGTGGTCAGTTTAGTAGAGCTGTTTCGACTAATGGAGTTGGAGTCGTAGGAGTCTATCATCTCGCTTAGTTCAGAAAGCTGTTTGAACGAAGGGGTGAGTGTCTTGTAGGACAATGGCGTTGAACTGGAGGAGTTCTTCTTCAGGGTGATTTGGTGCTTGGGAGTCAAGGGGAGGACATTGGAGGAGGTGCTTTCACCAGAGGACGACTTTTTGATCTTTGTGGGAGTCAGCACAGGGGACGAGAAGGAGCCAGAGGAGGGAACTCTAGGGCCATCCGAGTTGGGCGAGAAGTATGGTCTGGAAACCAAGTCCATGGTGGGCAGTGCTGGATCAATTGTGTGATGGTGGTGGTGGTGGTGATGCTTGTTTAGTGAACAGAGCTGTTTCCAGAGAGCAGAGCTGAAGAGGCTTCAGCAAAAGAGTGCTCTGGGGAAGCGAGCTCTGTTCCAGCCCGTCGGCTCTGTTTACCTATTGCCCAAAGCAGCCAGGCAGACGACGCGAGGTGCTGCTGCTGCTGCTGCTGCTACCTTTGGCCTGCTGGCGCCACCCTGAAGGAGAGGATGTCATTTCGGCCTACATCAACGGTGTCCTGCTCGCTCACCTTCATCCCTCCCACACCCTCAATGGCAGCAATGGTCACATCGCCCATGATGTAGCGGGCGACGCTTTCCACCGTCCGGCCTCTGCGCACCAACACACAATCGCGAAAGACGCTGCTTCCGGAGGCGCCTGCAAACGTGTGTATGTTTCTCACGGTGTACACAGGCACCAACTCAAGCACCTCTGCTGCCGCCTTCAACACCTCCACCACCCCCGTCGACCCAAACCGGTACAACACCAAGTCCCGAATCTTCTCCACCTTCTCCAGCAATCGCTCGTCCATCGGCCTCAACTCCTCGTCCGCCGGCAAGTCTTCCTTCGTGTCGATGAACTCGGTTCCTTCCTCGTACCGGATGAACTTCTGCTTCACCAACTTCCTCAAAAGCACCTCTGTTATTGCCGACGTTAGCACTGCTTTGGTATGTGGATACCTCAAGATGATCTTCGAGATGTTCTTGTCGGCGTCGGGATGATCGATCTTGTTCAACGCCAAAACTGTGGGAAACTTCTCCTCCATAAACGCCTTCACCACCTCAGTTATCATTGCATCGTCCCAGCTCTCTAATGCTGGTAACTTGGAGATTCGCTTCAATGCCCTGGCCACCAAATTGGCATTCGAACTGTATCCTCCAAACTGCGTTTGCAACGTATCAACGATACTCGACTTGGTAGCTGTGTGTCTTCTCACAATCGACCCCCACCTCTTCTTCAAATTCCCTTCAATCCACTGCCGAATCTCGTCTTGTAGCCATTCAATGTCGTTCACTGGATCGTATCCTCTGGTATTCTTTCCCTCTGCGTCAGTAGTCCCACTCACATCCACAACATGAATCAACGCATCTGCCTGTCTCAAATCATCCAAAAACTTGTTTCCTAGCCCTCTGCCTTCATGTGCCCCAGGAACTAGCCCTGCAACGTCCAATAACATAATAGGTATGAATCGCTTCCCTTTTTTGCAAACCCCATAGTTGGGCTTGCAAAACTCTTCCTTTCCATATCTCGAACAGGCACAATCCACCTGTAAATACCCTGTGGCCTTGTTGGCATCTATAGTAGTAAATGGAAATGCTCCAACTTTAGCTCCAGCATCAGTTAAACCTTTGGATAAAGAAAAAAAAAAAAGATAATTAATTAATGTCAATATTCCTTCAAAAAAAACAAAGAAACAAAAAAACAAAGAAACAAAAAAACAAAGAAACAAAAAAACAAAGAAACAAAAAAACAAAAAAACAGACAACACGACACCTATTTTAAAACTTACTATTAAGTCTAAATTAAACAAAACTATGTCAGTATCACCATTTCACCTCCTTTAGTTTCTTGTACTTTAATGTACTAAAAATAAAAAAAGGTCACATACGTTGTAGATTTCCCACTTGATGGCTTTCCAACTATTCCAATTAATGGATCCCTAGGCATATTTCTATTGACTCTATTATTCACAAATTCTAAAAAAAGATTACTCTCTTATCTTTTTATAAAAACAAAAAAGGATTTAATCGCTGATTGAAAATCGCTGGCTGAAAACAGTTGGTGAAAAATCACTGAAAAATGATGTAAATAATCCGCTCTATTCTCTTCTTACCAAATTACGAAACTCAAATTACGCAAGTACTAATCTCAACCTCAATCAACTACATGGTACACCATAAAACCAAAAACCAGCCAAAAGGAAATAAATAAATGTGTAAATAAATTAATAAATAGATAAATAAATAAATTAATAAATGAATAAATGAATAAATGAAATGTAGATAAATATTAATTGATTATAGATTATTTACATATTCAAATGGATCTTGTCTAAAGACTGGTAACTCTTTCTTTGATAATTGAGATGTATCCTTATCTCCATCTTTGTAAAGCTCAAATTCCTTTCTATGCAACTCAATTGCATCCTTTGAAGTATCATAAGCTGATTTCAAAAGACTATTGTTGCATGCACCTTCAATTGTTAAGAACCCGTTTTCATCAAACCTCTGATCAACATTGGGTTTATCATTACATATTTCATCTGGAACCCATAAACTTATATCTTCTTGGTAATTGTGTTTAAAGATTCGAGTTTCTGTGATTGCTCTATCACTGTAAAATCGATTGAGAATAGTTTCAATTTTTCGTGGAATATAAGCCTGGGCGCCTTCGTAAATAGTTCTTCTTAATGGAAAAATATCAGTCAATAAGAACCATTGCCAATGCTTGCAATGAACTTCAACTTGTTTTTTCTTTTCATCTTCTGACATATCAGATGGGTAAAGATTATTTGGAGGATCATTGGGAGTGTTCCATAAAGCAGATACGTCGATGTAAATACCGGTTCTAGTATCGATAAATCTTGCATCAATAAAGTTTTTACCTAAACCATCATGAGGGTAAAATGGATCAGTTTGCAACCAAAAGAGAGCGTTACCATTTTTAGGATTTTCAACAATTAAGGAATTGTTATATAGTCTACCGATTTTATCTAGGTCTTGAATTGAAACTTGCACATCTACATCATTATCCCAAGGCAAATTTTGAGCATTAAACCACCAGCCAATGAGGTTGCCGTAATTGATCCAGGTTACTATACCGTAGTTTTCACAAAATTTGAACCAAGAACGAACTAGATGGTGAATAACATGAAGTCTTTCATCATGGGTGATAATTTGTTTTATAAAAGGGAAATTATAGTGATGCAATTCGGCGTCATTATCGATATGAATAAAGGGAAAAGTGAAATAAAACCTTTCTTGATCTTGAAAGTCTTTTGAGTATTGTAAGAAGGATCTGTAATTTTTTTCTTCAGTTGATAATTTTGTTTTTTGTGATTTTTGGTTTAGGTCGTTTAGTAGTTGATCTGGTTTGTAGGTGAAATCTTCGGTTGGAGCAGATACGTTTAATTTTAGAGACAAGTCGTTTGGTTTAAAGCCCTTTTTGAGGTAAATTTTGTCTAATTTTTGCATTAATTTGATGTTATCATTTCTTGATACGATGTTTTTTTTTTTGATATTGTTGTTATCTAGATCGTTGTAGTTTAGATTGTGGTTGTGTTTTGAGTATTTGGATTTCAAATGGTTTAGTTCGGAACCCTTTTTGTCAACGGGAATTTGGTAGAAATTGATGTCGCTTTCAAATAGAATTCTTTCAGGGATGCTAAAATAGTATTTTTTCCAAATGGCACTGCAAATTGCGATGGATTTGAGGTGTTCATCGACCTGCATTCTTAGTTCGTAGGTGAATTGGTTAACCCAAGAGTCTCTTTCATCGAATAGTTTGTCGTAGCAGAATTTTGTCAAGATTTCTTTTAATTTTAAATCGTCGTTGCCCAAACCATTAAGGATGTCGCGTTGTGCGTTGATGAAGATGTTAGCCTGGGATAAGTCTGACCAATCGCTCCAATCGAAGGGGATTGCTTGGGTTATTATGTGGTTATTGATGTTATTATTGATGTTATTGTTTGTGAGTGGATTTTTCTCTTGATCTTTTTCTTTTTCTTTTTCTTTTTCTTTATCTTTATCTTTATCTTTGAGCTTTTTATTGTTTTTCGAATTGATCATTTCTGTATTATCGTAAAGAGCGTATGAATCAATTAATTTGTGCAAGTATAGGTTGATTGGGACTCTGGGGTCAAAAAGCTCATTTACTTTATCTGATTTGGGGACAAATTTAGTGAATGTTAGTATGGTGAAAAAGAAACGATCCAAATGAGTGTATAGTCTTAATAGTTCTAGATTGTTTGTAAATTTGATAAAGTCGTCAAAGGGATTTGAAAAATTGGACATTAAAATAGTGGACAAAGCAAAGATTATGACAAATATTAGAATTATGGTTGTTATGCCATTGGTGCTATTGTTGGGGTTATTGTTGTGTAGTACGTTGTGATTGTTGTGGTTATAAAAATTTAGGTTGAGATTTTTGTAGGAGAAGTTGAATGGATAGCCATTGTTGAATGTATTAAAATTTCTTGAGAAGGGAGAGACGAGTTTTACTAGAAAACTTCTAAAATATATTAGTGGAATACTAAAGATCCTCATTATCTAATTGATCTAAAAAAGTAATTTAAGACAGAAAAAGTTAAGACCAAGTCTAGGAGGCTCTGTTGGAGATTAAATATCAGATATGAAAAAGTGTGTGTGAAATATAAGATAAGGTATCAGGAAAAAACAACGTTAGATCGTGGATGAAGATGTTGCGATGATTGTAACGAGAGCAGTTAGAGGGCTTTTGAGTATTTAAAAAGAAAATGGCCTGGGATAACACACAGTAAAAGAGACATAAATCGTAAAATACACTTGAAAGCAGAGACAGAGAAATAAAGAGAAGAAGTGAAATAATAGAAGAGAGAAAGTAGATATATTCAATACAGTTGATGGAAGATATAAATAGAGGAAGTTTGAAGATGAATTAGTTCCAGGTGTCTGAAAGAAGAAAAAAGTGCAAAGATATAAACAGAAAACCTGTAGCTTTTCCAACCTTCTGTTGCTCTCGGCTGGGGCCAGACACTGCACAAGCCAGGCCCGGCAGCCAATCTCAGGACAGTGCGGCGCGGAGACGGAGGGATTAGCCACGCTCCGCCGCAGCTCTCCAGTAGCCTTCCCCCGTGGTGTCCCGATTCCAGCAGTGGCTCAGGCTTGGTCTTATTGGCACTACTCACGCGTTTGTCCCGCTGAGACAGGTCCCCTACCAGCACCGCACCGCGGGTCTCGTAAAACCCCTACCACCTCGACCGTTTTTGCGGTGATATCTCCACATAGGTCCTTTAAACACCGCCAAAGCCACCAAGCTTTTTTTGCACGCGTGCCACTGCACAAACCAGCGTCAGTCTGCGCATATGACAACATTAAACACCAATGCACTGGTTTCGGCTTTACGCTGGTCTGAAAACTGTGGTCTGAAAACTCTACCTACTGTTGTCTTAAGGCCCATTTCCTGATTGAAGCAAGAATAAGAACCAACCGGGCGTATCTGGCTGGTTTGCACAAGACGCTACTGCTGCGCTCACACACTCAGTTTCCTATCAGAGCAAAACAAACAGGTTTGTGAGCAGGGAAAAGAAAGCTAATCAAGCCAGTTGTTCTTGTCCGATGCTTGTCAGCTGATCCATGAGCCATATTCTGCGCTCACCAATCCGCTAGCCGTTACCGTGAAACCCTGCGCTGCAGCAAATTGGGCCTGGACCAATGGCCTAGACTTGATTTGAAACCCTCATAGCAACCACTTTGTCACGCGCTACACACGTGTAGACACGAGACCGTTCTAGCGGCGCTGTGAATGCTCGCGGTGGGCCGGCATTTCGTCAGCAAATCGCAAACTGGCGCAGGCCGCCCGAGCTGCTGGATCGGGAGCTGCTATAAGAGCAGTACTTACTGGCTCTGCTGGACACTTATAAACCACTCCATCCCCAGCTTCCTGTGCTTTCAGAAACACTTCTTGTCTTTCCACTGATCATTGTTCAACGTTATCCACCACGTCTATCCACTCAAAATGTGTTGTCCCCCCCTTTGCTGCTCTGACTGCGTCCTTGTGATTGTGGGTCTATTTTTCCCTCCTCTACCAGTCATGATAAGAAGAGGTATTTGCTCTGTTGACACTTTGATCAACATTGCACTCTGTTGTCTAGGTATCATTCCTGGAATTCTCCATAGTTGGTATATCATCTCTCGCTACCCCCCTGATTACATCTATATTGACGAGGAACAGCAATTTTACTATCCTTCTCCAAACAGATCAAACCAAAACATCGCTTACCCTTCTCCTTTACTCATCGATGTCTCTCGCCAACAATCATCACCTCATAACTGCCAACATCACCAAAATCACCAACAGCAATTAGCCCAAAAAAACCAAAGCATTCAACCTTTGGTTTCCCACTCCACTCAAACTTACCAACCAAACCATTCTCAGTCCCAATCCCAATCTCAATCTCAAATCCAAATTCAAAATCAAAATCAATACCAAAATCAACCTCAACCTCAACCTCAAAATCAATCAAACTATGGCTCAACTTCAAATGACAACAACCCACAAGGTCCTCCTCCTGCCTATAACGAAGTTTTAAATGAATCTTCTGTTTACAAATAAAATTACTAATACATTATCACAAAGTATTACAAAGTATTACGAATTATAACATATACTCAAAACTTAAATTTTCACACAATTTAGCCTAACTTATCTTGATCTCATCTATTTTACTTTAATCTTATTTAATCTAGTTTTTATTTCTTATTTTTTCTTATTATTTCTTTTTTTCTTTCTTACTATCCTATTTATTTATTTACTTATTTATTTTACATTGTCTCTTTAATTTAATGGATTTTGGTTTTTTAATCTTATTTTTTCTTTTTTTTTTTTTCTTTTTCTTTTTCTTTTCTTTTTCTTTTTCTTTTTCTTTTTCTTTTTCTTTTTATTCTTTTCTAATTCCTCTTAACGCGATTCTAATAAAACTAAATTATAATAAAATCAAACTTATTATATATATAATGTATATTACTTTATTTATTCACAAGTCTTTATATTCACTATCATCATTCGCTATAAATCACTGTATATCGTATCTTTTATACCCAGCTTTCTTTCATACCATATGCGGATAATTAGTCTTGTAATTCTTCTTATTCGAAAGCTCCTTGATGGAATCACGTATCTTGATATATCCTCCATCAGAACCTGGAACTCCTCCTTTAACCAATATATATCCTCTCTCGGCATTCACTTCAACAACTTGACTGTTTCGAACCGTTCTCTGATTACCTCCCATACGCCCAGGCATCTTCTTCCCAGGCAAAACTCTACCGGGATCTTGACACTGTCCATATGATCCACCAGTACGATGTGCTTTGGAAACACCATGAGAGGCTCCTCCTCCTCCAAATCCAAATCTCTTCATAACACCTTGAAATCCCTTTCCTCTTGTAATTCCAATCAAATCAACAAAATCACCCTTTTTAAAATGATCTGCCTTCAATTCGCTTCCAACTGGCACTAATCCTTTTTCATTCAACACTTGAAACTCGCAGATTTTCATTTTAGGTGACACTCCTGCTTTACTGCAATGTCCCAACAACTGTCTAGTCACTTTTTTGACCTTTTGAATACCATACCCCAATTGAACTGCATAATATCCATCCACTTTAGCTGTCTTGTTGTGTAACACTTCAACTGCATTAATCTCTAATAACGTGCATCCTATTCTTTCTCCTGTCTCAGTGAAAAAGGGCACCATCCCCTTTTTCACTCCAATTAACCCTGGTCTTAATGGCAATAGTTTTCTTAATCTTGCCCTTTCGGCTGAATGTTCTGGCAATCTAACCTCGTTTCTTGGTGGTGTATTGTCTACTGCTCCAATAGCAGTTAATGACGCTCCATGACGAATAAACGTCGATATCACTGGCGCACTCTTGCTATTCAAAAGTAAAGGCCGCCAAATGCTTATATTCATCATCATATCAATCAGCAAAGAAAAAAAAAAGCGAATCAAAAAAGCCTCTGTTTATATACCTCTGATATCGCTTTTCAAAAGTCTCTTCCAATTATCTTGCAAAAAATCCTTCCAAGATCACGTGAAAAATGCTTTTTCTTCTCGAAAAAAAACACATCTCTTTGAGTAACGAAATTAAAAAATAACATTAATGATAAGTATTTATATACAATTATAAAGGAGTTTATGAGTATTTACGAATAGAAATTGATAAACAAAAGTTTGGCAAAAAAAAAAGCAACCATAAAAACAAATAGATAACAAATATCTGCTTTTCTCATTTGATTTTTTTATCTTTGAGTTTAATAGTCTCATCATCAATATAAATACCTTTACCTTTATATGGCTCTGGAGGACGAATTCGACGCAAATTGCCAGCAAACAATTTAACCTGTTGTTTATCAATACCCTCGATGATAACTGTAGTTGGAACTGGCGACGACACTTGTAATCCTGCAGGAACTGGTAATCCTTTCAAAACACAAAACCCAACTTTCAATCCAACAAACTTACTTCCATCTGGTCTATCTTCAATATGAGCCCTATAACCAGTACCCACCAATCTCAATATACACAAGTGTCCCTCTGTCACTCCAATAACATCGTTGTTTATTCTTGAACGAATTGTACCCCACATGGATTTTTGGATCTTTTTGGTAGGATCTTCAACCAGTACTGTCAATTTTTCGTTTTCTAGTTTCGTTTGAATATGATCTGGTATCACCAATCTTTGTGTTCCCTTAGGTCCTGTAACAAAAACTTCTCTTGAAAAATATACCCTGTCTCTTCCCTTTACTACACGCTTAGGATGCTTTAAATTTTGTATTTCAAATTGAACTTCTGGTGGAAGAATAATCGGTTGAGACCCAACATGAGATCTGGCAAAACCGGTCTGCGAGAAAAGTCTCTTGGAAAATCCCAAAGCAATGTTTCTACCACTACAAATATTAACAGGAAAAGCAGCAAAAAACATGTTCTAATCAAACTGGCTCGAGACTCTCAAACTGTGTCTCTTCCTTCACTTTTTTTTGTTCTCTTCAATCTTCCAAAGCTTCAATAAAGACGGCCGGGTAATCTTCAATCTTCAATTTTCAATTTTAAAGTTTTACTTTTCACTTTCAATTTTTTTTTGATCGTTTTTTTGATCGTTTTTTTTTGGTTTCAACAAATTCAATAAAATATATACATAATCAAGCTAAATCACTGTTTTTATCACACATACACTGCAAAGCAATAATTATTGAAAATGGTTAGAAAGCTCAAATATCATGAACAAAAACTTTTGAAAAGAACCGATTTTCTCTCCTGGAAGCAGGATAAGGGCCATCGTGACACTCAAGTTATGAGAACATATCACATACAAAACAGAGAAGACTATCATAAATATAACAAAATATGTGGTGATATAAGAAAATTGGCTCATCATCTTTCTTTATTGCCTTCTGATGATCTGGTGAGAATAAAACACGAACAGCTATTAATGGAAAAACTATATGCAATGGGGATAATAGCGACAAAATCAAAGATTTCTGATTTGGAGAATAAAATAACTGTTTCTGCAATGGCTAGAAGAAGAATTCCTGTTGTAATGACAAGATTAAAGATGGCTGAAAATTTGAAAGATGCAACAACTTTTATTGAGCAAGGTCATGTCAGAGTGGGTCCTAACGTTATAACTGATCCTGCTTATTTGGTGACAAGAACCATGGAAGACTATCTTACTTGGGTCAATACAAGTAAAATTCGTCGTAATTTACTTAACTTCAAAAACCAATTGGATGATTTTGAATTTTCATAAATTCACAAAGGGTTTTATTTTTTATTTCAAAATCAGTTTATTAATAAATTTTTTATTGGATTTATTTATTTAAGGTGCTATATAACATAAATCTACTTTTTAGTGAATTTTTTTGAAAAATCTAACAAAATAAAACAAAAAAAACAAAAAAAAACAGTAAAACAAAAAACAGTAAAATAAGAAATAGTAAAAGAGTAAAAGAGTAAAATTGAAAAAACAAAAAGAATCCTAGAATTAAAACAAGAAATGAATGAAAGGAAAAAATTATGATCTAGAAATACCACTACAAGTTAATTTTTAAAGAAAAACAACTAGTAATAAATGCCAACTTTTCTAAACAGCGATAAATAAAATTTCTTTCAGAAACATAAAAAAAAACACAAAATTCAAAAAATAAATGCATAATATATAATAAAGAAACAAATAATTTCAAGCAACTAAAAAAGATAAAAAGATAATTATTAATACCATCTAAAATTGGATATGGGATACTAAAACTGTAAATATAAAAAATAAAATAGAATAAAAAAGTTGGATTAATCAAAAATTAGAATTCATCAATTCATTCCTTAGATTTCTATCATTCATTTTTTTCTTTTTTGGATTTCCAGATGGTAAACTGCCAGGAATATTTGCAGCGACTTCATTTTCATTTATATTTGCCATTTTTTTCCCATTAGTAACTGTGCCAGCAGGTTTATACTTTTTTGAAGTACCAAACTCAGTGGTATTAAACATAACCACACTTGATCTGCTAACTTGGGAAGCTGATAAATTTCCACCATTTTCTTGACTAGCAGTACTTGTTGAAGTATTAATACTCGTACTGGAGACATTAGGAAAATGGCTAAGACTTGGTGATCCACTTCCAATTCTTGGGGATTTTTGAGACCATACATCAGAATGATCTATTGGAACAAAAGGTTTTAGAGCCAAATTATTTGGGTTTGGGGTTCCTTTTACCTTAACAACTGCCTGAAACTCTGTGAATGTCGAAGAGGCAGATTCTTTTAAATTAGACGCTGAGGGTAATTTTTTTAAAGGTTGTAAAGGTTTTAAAGGCTTAAGAATAGGTTTGGATGGCTTAGTAGAGGTGAAATTCTGTTGATGTGGTTGAGGACTAGTTTGATATGGATTTGCTACTGGAGGATAAGGGAGATACTGTGAAGATGGATTTGAGTTGATAGGTGGAGTGTAGGAATTATCAGTGGGTCTGCTATTATCTTGATTAGGTAAATATTGTTGTTCTGGCACTAATTGGTTTTGATATTGGTTTTTTGAGTAATTTTGTTGAGGTTGTGGGTTATATTGGTAATTGTTGGCATCTTGTAGTTGTTGTTGGTGGGATTGATCTTGTTGTTGATATTGATAAGAAGAATCATTATTTGTGTTATATGGAGGATAAGACTGTGGGATTTGATAGTTTTGATTGTTTATTTTGTTATTCATAACATTTGATTGGTGGATTTGAACATCAGATGGGATAGGGATTGGGTTTTGATCAAGGTTGTGGTCATTTGGATGGTTTTGGATTTTTATGGAATTTTGTCTATCGAAATAGATATTATAAACACTTTTAAGTCTTTTGAATTTTTCCTTTTCTTCTTCAGTTAGAGAAGGGTCGTTTAGGTTGATTTGGTTATATTTTTCAGGGTCATAGCCATCGGGAATATTGATTTTGACAGATTTTTTGATTTTAGGTTTTGAATCAGTTTCATTTTGGGGCTCATTTTGAGTTTCATTTTGAATTTCATTATTGTAATCGTCGTTTGGATAATTGGTAGTGGTCATAGAGTTAGAAGATAGATCTTCTTGAACGTTTCTGGGTGTTTCTAGTAAGATCTCTTCAAATGGGTTTGATTTATTATCGTGATTTAAAGTAAGCGAGTCGTTAATTTTGTGGCGAATAAAGTTATTATCATTATAATTTTGGAACTTGTTGTTATGAATTGAGATGGAATCTGTATCTGAAGATGAGTCAACAGCGGTGTTGGAGCTTTCAGTTGATAATTTACTTTGACTGTTTTTATTATGGGAGAGGTTTCTTTCGTTGTGGTTTAAATTGATTTTATTGTTTTTAATATCGCTACTTGAAACGGATTGTTTTAGAGTAGAAGGAGAATGAGATGAAGTTGATATTGAGTTTGCAAGGGAGACTGGATTTGAATTTCTTGAGGAAGGGTTTAGTAAGTTTGTTTGGGAGTTTAAAGGGCTAAGTGATTTGAAGTTGGAGAAGGAAGAGTTTCTGCTATTGGCATTAAAACCAGGACTCAAAGTTGGAGAGTTACCATAAGCAGAATAGTGAGTACCTAGAGCCTTAGCGTATTCGTCTAAGTAGACTCTCGAATCAGATAAACCAGATTCAGGTAATATGACAGTGTCATATTTGAAGGTATGAATGGAGGCATTATCGTTGAAGGATGTGTTTATGTTTAGCTTCCTTGGGTTGATATTTAATTCGTCAGACAGTGGGTTTGGATTTGGATTTGAATCTGAATTTGAATTTGGATTCAAATTCAAATTCAGATTCTTTTTATCGTTGTGGAGATTATTTATGGCATTGTTCATATTAATCTGCGAATTTCTTCTCAGATGAAGATTTGGGACAGAGGGATAATCTGGCAAATTTGTGACATCGTTGTTAGCAAAATCAGGGTCTTCAAGAAACTCTTTTTCTTCCTTCTTATTTTTCTGTAGATTTTTGATTAAAAAGAAACCCAAGAAGGCAAGAATAAGAAAAATGGGAATACCAACAGCCAAACCGACAGTCAAGCCCGTAGTATCAGAGGGAACTTCGCACTTTTGGGAATTATTATTCTTGTCAGAGCAAGAGTTGTCATCGTCATCATCATCGTCTTTGGCTCGTTTAATCAAGTGGTGTATTACAGCTGGATCGAGAAGACCATTGTAAAAATTTGAAAGTGGGAAATCAAAGTTTTTTCTGTGATGTAGAAGCTCCAATATACCACCAGGCATCTTGCAATATTGACTGTGTAGCAGACAGTGAAAAGAAATTCCAGGAACCTTAAGACAGATTGGAAGGACTGAAGAAGGTTGAGTATTGAGTATCGAATAAGAAAAGTATTTAACCAGTTTTTCTTGGAAAAAAGCAGAGGGCTGTCACAAAAAATGGCAAACAAAAAGATGGAAAGAAAAGTGACAGACAGAGCTGAGACAGAAGATGATAAGGGAATGGTAAGCACCAGAAAAGAGCCCAGCAGAAATCTGGCTGCAGCAGTTATAAGAAGCCTGGAAGAGGAAACCAGCCCTGAGCCAGAAGCAGCCAGCGCCCTCTGCTGCCTGTGGCGGTGCTGCTGCCTGTGGTGGTTCTGCTGCTGGAACCTCTGCAGGTTTAAAGTTGTCTTTCTCATTCTTCTGCTCGACCAGAATTTGGCTAGTAGAGGTATCGCGCTTATCAATCTGTTTCACCACATCGCTCCGTCACACATCACTTCCGATCTAGACCCTCGCTCTCCAGGTCCTCGTCCCTCCGCTCTTTTGTACCGCCGCCTATTGTGTTCTTTGTGGTCCGTCCCTCTTACCGTTTCTAATGAGCTGCTCCATTCGTTTCTATTTATAAACCGCTCCCTCGCGGACTTGCTTGATTTCCACCCATCTGCCGAGTGCCGCGCTGGTTCCGCTGCACTGCATACATACACGCAGAAATGCAGTGCGCTTGCTGCCAGATGCGGTTATGAACGCATGTCTCGGTGTTTGTGTTTGACGTTTCTATTGCCAAGTGTACACAGATCTGCACCGAACATGCCTGCCAAAACAACAATAGGACTATGTCATCTGCTCAAGGAACTCTTCAAATCCTTCTGGCTCCTTTTGCACTTTGCTCAAGATGTTTTCGCTCAATATCCGGATGAGCTCCAATAGCTCATTCCGGTCTTTCACCACAAGCTTGTCGAGCTCCAACATATTCAACACAACTTCCTTTGCATTGCTTAACTGGTCAAGCTGCTGGAATGTTTTATAGGCTTCAATCTCCCCTTCTATTGAGGAATAGCTTTTCTTGCTTACCACTATCAACTTGCAGCCCAACTCTCTTGCAATCTTAATCAATGCCTCGCTGTTCCTGTTTCTTTCAATAATAACATATTTTATATAATGAACCTGATCATTTTTCTTGATGAAAAAATCTTTGAAACTTTTGTTCCTTATCTTTGTGGCTTCTTTTTTAATATCTAGTTTCGAATTTTTCAAAAATAACGGATCAGAAACATTGACAACTTGTTCCTTTTCTGGTATAATAGACATTTTATTTTTATAATATGCTCTTTTATAAGTCAGCACAGGGTTTTTTTTATCAACTTTCAAAAACAATGATTTAGTTAATGGATCTACTTTAATTAGACTTTTCAATAATTCCTTGAAATTATACACATTGAATTTAACTCCAAAATCACTTATCAATAATCCAAATTCACATTTGTTATTGCTCTTATTAATTTCTTTGATGATTTTTTTATTAATTTCCCTAATTCCAAAAATCTCCCTTTGCAATCTATAGTGTATCTCTTTAATGAATAAATACTCACAAAATGGTCTGTTCATAGACATTACTTTTGTACAATACCTACCATCACCTTTTTTATAAAGTAGATCAAAGACTGCAAGTGGATTAACCTTACTTGTCCTTGAATAGATATTTCTAAAAATATCCTGCTTTAGTATATCTAAAACTCGAAATATTTGGACAACATTATTCTCATTCACATTTGTACTCACATCTTCATTCATTTTTATGGAAAATACTTTTTCTTCACTCTCTTTAATTGTTATCTCCAATAGTTCCATTATTTCCAATAACAATTTATAATCAATCTCCTTCCAATAATATTCGAAATTAACATCAAAATGTTTCAATAATGGGAAGTCATTAAACTGAATTTGATTCTCACAATATAATCTTTCTCCAACCTCCTTTAAAACTTGATTAAAGTATATTCCCATTGACCCAAAATTATTAAATACAATTGAATCCTCAATTAAAAATTGAAATACTATATCATTATTCTTAGTAGTAATGGTGGTACCAGTGGTACTAGCAGTGGTACTAGCAGTATTACTTGTATCACCATCATTATTATTTAATTTGCTATGACTATTATGATCAATACCCATCCTATTTCCCTTTACCTCATTTCTCGCCATCTCATTTCTCTTTACCCCTTCTTTTTCTTGTAAACTCCTTACTGTTTTTTGCCTAACACTTTCAACTCTCTGCTTAAGATTTTCAATGCTCTCCTTATTCATTTGAAGATATGAATTAACTTCTCGGTTAAACCTTCTGAGATGTATTATAGGATCAACTGGATAAAAATCCATCAAATCTCTTTCAAATCTTTTAAAATCATATTCAACGTTTTCATAAACTTGACTTTTGTAACGCTTCAATTCTCTTGGTCGCAAACATTCTCTTATATTCTCTTTTATTACTATCCCCAATAGTTTTGCTCCTGCTTTGAAAACCATCGCCTTTTATTTCCAGTTCATCTCTCCAATTTGCCCTCGTTTCTCCAATAAAAATTCAGAAATTCAAAATTTACTGCAATAAATATCCCCCTCCGAATGAATCGAACCCACTACAAATCCAATCTAACAAAAACATGATACCAATCTAAATCTCTATTTCACATTCAATATATAATATATCAAGAAAAAAAAAATCAATGAGGCAAAATCGCAATAAAAAAAATGAATTAATTAAAATTTAATAACTTGAATAAAAAAACGCAACAAAATAAAACAAAAAAAATAAAAAAAATAATAATTTTTAACATTACTACATATCAATAGCATCTTTGAAACTTAATACATTGTTTATTCTCATCCCGTTTATATCGGAATGAAAGTAATCCTCAATATCAATATCACCTAATGACAAAATAGCCTTGTTAACTTCTTCAACGTGCTGATTGTCTTCTGCACTGTCTAATTGAAAATTCATGTTATCATCTTCAATTTCTCCCTCAAAATCAATATCCATATCCACCGTAGAAACAACTTCATTTTTAATATCATTCTTTAATTTTAAATCAGCATCGTCTTTGGATGCTACTAAAATCAACTCCCTTGACCTTATACTTGGAATTAAATCAGGTATCAAACTCAATATCTTAGAAGGCAACATAATCCCCAACAAATTGTTCATTGTTGAAAATTTAATAGCTTCTTTAATAGACCTAGTTGCTGGATCTTCAAACACCTCTTCTTCGATTTGATTTCCATGTGCTGTCGTAAGCTTGAATTCCTTTTCAGTTGGATTATATCTAATCCCTCCCATATTAAACAACACCGGGAAATTTGGTTGTTTCCAATTAAATATTGTACAAACAGTTGGATTGTAGGACGAAAAAATAATAGATCTCGCCTTATTAGTAAATACATTTGTGGCTTCCTTTTCTCCTAATCTTACATGTTCAAATATTATAGTTAAAATAGAATCAATAAAGTTGTTCAAATTAACATCGTTGACTTTATTCACATAATTTTGTTGAAAACTTGGAATTGGTGAACTAATAGAGTATATTTTAACAAAATTTTTAATTTCAAAAATAGTTGGATAAATAATTTCAAGATTAAGTGAGATTTCATTAGATAATTTCTCAAGAATAAATTCCAATGGTAAATAACAATTTTCAATAATTTTTTGAATCTCTTTGATAACATATAATGAATTTGGTGTTTTTGAAAAATTAGATAATAATTTGCCAACTTCTTCAAGGTTATAATGATTTTTAGTAAGTTTCAATAAATCTGAATAATTTAAATTGATAAGATTGATTTCAATGCCATTTTCAGCAGAAATAGTATTTCTAGGACAGATAACAGGCCTTCCATCATTTAATAAACAAACGTTTAATTTTAAAAAATAGCCAGATAATGAAGATGCAGTAACAAATGACAAAAAAGATGTTGTCGTTAAACTCTTTGTCGTTGTAGAAAAATTACTTATTGTAGCACTAATGCTATTATTGTTATTTGCATTATTATCTGTTGTTTTCCAATAAGTATCATATTTAGTAATTTCTAAAGGCACGCCAGGGTATGGGTAAATTATTTGATACCTAAAATTAATTTCACCAATATTTTTCAATCTAGAATCAAATAACGGCAATATAATTTCACCTGTTCCATCTAAATTTATTGAACTATTGTTAGAATTGAGAAATAAGTTTGATAATGCGGTTGTTTTTGCTATCAATTTGGTTCCAAAAGTTGGAAATAATTCAAAATCAATAGAAAAATGTTCATCGATATCGTCGATTTGGAATAAAACAAATTTATCGTTATCACTTATTGGCCATAATAAATTTCTTGGGATTAAATCCGTTGCCTTTGAACTTAGAGTTATTCTACCTGGAATTAAACTTATATCAGGAACACTTAAATATGAATCAAAATTAAAATTACTGTTAAATAGTAAATCATATTGTCTTTTTTTGAAAAATTTAATTGAATCTTTATTTGGAGGAAAAATTAATTGCAAAAAGATTTTCTTTTCAAGGAAATTGTGACCATATTTACGCAAGGGAATAATTGGTGGGGGTAAAGATAAATCAGGAATTGAATCGAAATTTATAGGTAGTTGCATTAAGTTATCCTTTGGAGTTAAAAAATTTGATGTTGAGCTTGGTACTGAATTTGGTGACTTAACAAAATCATTTTTATTTTCGGCATTTTTTGTCATTTTAACATAATCTGCGATTGTTATTGGTTTATTTTTTGGGGTGGGTATATTTGAAGGGGAAGATGTTGTGTTTGGATTTATATTTATTGGAGGCGGCATATTTGAAGCATCTAACAAGACGTTAAAAACTTTAACATGGCCTTCCCAAGCAGCATAATAAAGGGGAGTATAACCATCATGATCTTTAAGTGAGATTGAAGCACCATTTTTGATCAATTTTTTTGCGGTTCTAGCATGTCCATAGCTGGCAGCATAGAAGATGGGAGTCCATTTATTAAAAGAGTCAAATTGATTTGGGAGTGAACCGGCCGAGGAAATTAATAAATCGACAATTTGATAGTGACCTTTAATAGCTAGGGTATGTAAAGGAAATAAACCTTGAACATTTTTTGAATGTTTAGAGATAATAGAGGAGTAATTTTCATCTAATAGCATTTTAATAATTTCGTAGTTGCCAAATTCACAAGCATAATTTAGAGCTAAATATTTCGGTATATCGATTTCGTCTTGAGGTTTTAGTTTTCCATCCACACTTTTAATTGAAGGCTGAGGTTTGTTTTGAGATTCTTGAGATTTTTCTTGAGATTTTTCTAGAGGTTTTTCTTGAAAGATTTCTTGATTATGTTTATTCAAGGAGAAATCTAGAATTAATTTCATGCAATTTAAATGGTTATTAGCTATTGTCAATAGTAGAGGAGTTAAAGAATTGTGATCAGTGATTGAACAATTTGGGTAATTTTGTAATAACGTTGGGATTAGATCGATTCTACCATATTGACAAGCATAATGTAGAGGAATTTTGCCATTACTATCAGTCATTTTTAGTAGATTTAAGAGAGAGCCGTTTTGAGACTTAGCTTTATTTAAGATTATATTTAGTAGGAATAATCTTGATTTATCAGGATTGAAATCCTTAAATTTTATGCAGCTTGATATTTGATGTAAGAAGTTTTTATTTGTGATTGTATCGATATAGTTGAAATTAAAGTCAATAAAATTTTGAAAGAAGTTATAAAATTCTTGCAAATATAAATCCAAGACAGAAGTTGAAATGGATAAGAAAAAGATTTTTGTTAAATTTTCAGGTTTATTATAGTTTGATAGTTTATTGAGCCAGTTTTTAAGATGAATTTGTTCGTTATTATTGGAAAGGGATATATTTACAAATTCTGAATATAATTCATCAGTTTCTCTATTATTATCATCGTTGCTAATGAAGTTGTTTTCATTGTTTTTATTGATGATGTTGTTGTTGTTGAATAGTAGTGTGTTATTGGATTGATTAGGTTGAGTTGTGAATAATAGGTTTTCACCATCAGAATAAGCTTCTAGTTCTAGTAGAGAGTTTGCTACCAAGTCACTGAGCTGATTGATTTCATCTCGATGAAAAACTGGTTGAACATTTATGGTGGTTGAGATATAGATTTCCTGTAGATGAGATTTTGATCTTTTATCCCATTTTTTCAAGATTTTTCTAAAGCCAGTTTCGTTTAGTTCAACAAATTGAGACAAACGATCTAAATCTCTATTAAATTTTTGAAAGTTTCTTACCAAGTTTTTAAAGGAGATTGATTTTGAGGTGTTATCAATTGGTAATGGGTCATTATTGTTTAATAAATTTGAGGTATTTTTGTTATTGTTAATAGTGTTATTGTTATCGTTATAGTTATCGTTATTATTTTTGTTGTTGTTGTTATTATTATTGCTATTGTTTGTTGATATATTGTTATTTAGTAATAAATTATTCTTTTCAGATAATAAGATATCCAATTTTAGTTTTAAATCAGCTTCTTTTTCGATATAAAAACTGTTAACTTTTTCCAATTCTCTTTCAATTCTGAAAAAGAAACTGGCGTTATTTTCTTGTAAGATTTTCCCAACTTCGTTATTATTGAAATCGATTTTACCATTTTTGTCTAAAAATTGAGTTTGGGTGAAATTGACAGTAGCTAGGGACTTGATTAGCTTTTTAAGAGCTTTATAATTCATAAAATAAGGAAGATATTCAGGTAATTCCAATTTCCTTGATTCCAAGTACTTTCCATATTTCATTTTGTAAAAAAATAAAGTGGTAAATTGGTAAAATTAGAAATTGTGATATGGTTCGATAGACTGGATATTAAATATTTAATATTAAATAATATAAATGAAGATTTGTGTAATGATAGGAGAAGACCAAATAGTGTGTTATAGGACAAACTAAGTTATGAATTGCAAGTTATGTTGAGATGAATAGCAGAGAATAATATAGGATTTTGATCTAAAATATATCAAACATACAAAGAAAACCGAAGCAGAAGGCAGCTGGAAGCAAATACCCGAGAGAGCAAAAGAAAAAAGGATATAAATGCAGCAAGTGGAAACAGCAAAGAGTCGATAGGCGGATTCTCCTGAGAAGAGTGTCAATTGGGTAACAGAGGCGATATGATGGAGGAGACTGAGAAGAAGCAACGCAGCAACAGGGAGGTAACACAGAGGAAACAGAAACACCAGAGGAGCACGTGGAGCAGCGCGCAGCAGGCGCAGAAGAAACCAGGGAGCAGGAGCTGGGGCAGGAGGCGGCGTACTGGAAACAGGCAGCAGTGTCGGCAGAGGCAGCACAGGAAGCACGTTTTTGGGCCCAAGAGAAGGAAAGAGAGTCTGCGGAAGCCGGCGGGACAACGCGTCTGGGCGCGTTGAAATTACAGAATATGCGGACAGAGAGCACACGTGTGCGCTACTGGCAAACTACGAGTGCTGATTGGCCAGTGGTCAACATGTGGCTTACGTTAGCGCCGGATTGAGAAGGAGCGCAGGGGCAGCAGAGGCAGCAGAGGCAGTTGGTGGTGTGGAAAAGCAGGATTCGCTAATTGGTTTTCTGGATGAGTCGAGCAGAGGAAGGAGGTGTGTGTGATTGGGCGTAGATTGGAAATAGAGTGTTTATTGCGTTCTATGATGGGACTATATAAGATCAATGGAGTGGAATTAGACGTGGTTGGTGATGTGGTGGATTAAACCTCTTTTGTTGAGCTGCTTGATGACCAAACCCGTCAAAATTGGTGCTATCAAGGTGCAAAGAACCACTGCCCAGATGACAATAACGTAAAGATCTGAGCCTGAACCGTCCTCACCAGTATTGCTGTTATTTTCAGCGTGGGAATTGAAGATTCCCTTTGATTCAGCTAAGGAAGAGATTAGGAAACCAATTTCGCCACGAGGGATCATTGCAAGACCAACTAGCAAGGCAGGGAGATTGCTATTATTTCTTCTTAAATGTCTCTTTGATTTTGAGCTAAATATGACAGAGACTCTTCTAATGACCCAAAAACCGCAAGCTAGTTTTGCCAATGTCATTAGTAGAAAGTATACCACACCTCTCCAAAGTAGACTTGGTGTGAATAATTGTCTGAGAGGAATCGAGAAACCGATACTAGCAAAGAAGAGTGGTTTTAGTATTCTATTTAGTGCTTGGTGGAAATATGCATGATAAATGGCAGCACCTGAGAATTCAGTTTCATCGATTTCGAGCTCATCATCACTGTCTTCGTCGTCTTCGTCGTCTTCATCTGTTTCATTGTTATTATCTGGAGTATTATTGTTGTCTTTATTATTTTCTTTTTGAATATTGTCATTATTTTGATCAGCTAGGGTGATAGTGCTGAAGTGCTTATTATCATCGAATTGGATCTGGACATTATCTCTGTTTATTGCGTAATTTATTTGATCATCATTGTCATTAGGAGTAGTGTTATTATTATTGTTATTATTGTTATTAATGGTGTTATCAATATTGGGAAGAATATTTTCAATTGGAACTCTGGTCTTATTTGTTAAAGATGTTATATTTGTGATGTTGGTTATACTTGTTTGATTTGTGATTTGTCTTTTAATTTCTGAAAAGTTTGAGTTTGAATTTGACCTTGACCTGAAAGAATTGATATCGATATGATGAGGCAATTCGTTATCCCACCAAGAGATGGCAGCACCACAAAGGTAAACAGCAGTTATTGGGCTTGTGCCAGCATAACTGAAGCCAGTTATCATTGCAATTAATAATAGTAAATGAACTGTTAAGTAATAATATTTTTGGTTAAATAAGAAATTTAGGAAAATGGCCAATTTCAATTTCTTTGAATTGTTGTTATTGTTGTTATTGTTGTTATTGTTATTATTGTTGTTATTGGTGATGGTCGTATTAATTTGAGAATTGTTTGATCTGAATTGATTTAGAAATAAAGTTAATGGTTTAACTATAAATCTACATGTTAGAATAGTTATAATTATAGAACCTAAGGAAACAAAAACAGGTCTAATAACTGAAATTGAATTGAATTTTCCATCACCAATATGGGAAATGATTTGAATCATAATTAAACCGACACTGTCATTTATCATTGCAGCAGTGGATAAGATGACGCCGGATTTTGAAAGACTTAAGTCTGAGTTATCTAGAATGGTGAAGACTGCACCAAGACTAGTTGAGGATAAAGCAGCACCAGCACTAAAAGAGGCGATTGGAGAAGCATTGGCAAAGGCCATTAAAGTGAAACTTAAAGCGAAAGGGAGTGAGATGCCAGTTAGGGCAACAATTAAAGAGATGGATAAATATTTTCTCAACAATTTAATACTTGTCAATAGGCCTCCATGGTAGACCATTAATAATAGACCTAGATAGCCCAAGTCTACAAAGATCTTTTCAGTTGATAAGCCTAGCCATTTTGTTAAAGGAGTGCCATAGATCATGCCTATGATTATCTGGATGACTAAACCACAAAAGATCTTTGCATCGACAATATGATTTAATATATTTAGTAGGATGAAAAAGGAAGATAGAATCAAGATCGTGACAATTCCTGGTTCGTGATAAGCCAAGTATTTTAGATTTTGGATGGTTTCAGAAACTGGGTCAGTTGAAGCCATAATGTATAAGATAAGATAAGATAAGATAAGGAAAAAAAAATATAATATAGTGGGATGGGATATAATATAGAGGAATTGAATATAATATAGTATAGGATCGGGGATACTGTAGAGGAATTAGTTCAATTGAGAATCATTAGTTGGATGCAGCCGATTGAGTTGATAGAGAAGAAATAAACAGCGGATTTGGGTCTATTTATATTGTTGGGAAAGACGAAGAAAAGGACGAGGAGGCAACTGGAAAAGGCGAGTGCGGATTGGCGAAAAGCAGAAGGAGAACCAGGCTAATTGATAACGGAAGATGGCAGACCAAGATCATTGAGAAACAAAACCAACAGAATCCAGAAAGCTGGAGAAAGTGGGTCTTTTCGGGCTCGATTTAGACCGCTGCTTATACACGTTCCGTGTAGCGCAGGTCTCATCTCTGCTATTGGGCTTGTTGTGCAGGCTACTGCGGCACGCTTACGCATTGAGACACACAAACATGGGCACTCAGTAAAATGAGTGATAAGGGTCTCTATGTTTGCTGTGGTGTTGTCTGTGGCTGCAAGAGCTGTCCTTCTACAATTGTCTTCAGAACGCTCACTGTTGAGCAATGTGGTGATCTTGCTAATCTCAATTCTTTTTTCGTTCTGACACATCGAGCGCATTGTTCCATCCAGCAGTGGAGCTGTGAGAGGGTCGAGAACAAACGCCAGAAGGCACACCCGCAGCAGCAGGATCCAAGCCAGGGATCAGTACCCCGCTGAACTCTTGGCTGGCCATCAGGTGGTGTCGAACAGGAACGTTGGGCACACAGCCAGTGCTGCTTGAAATTACCCACCACGAGCGCTGTCCCGCCGGGTGTCCGTGCTGTGATTGGCCAGAGTCAAGTCACGCTTACTAGACCAGGGCTCACACCCCGTTGCGAGCCCGCTGCTGAGTCAGCAATCCACTGCGGTGGAGCGTGCGCGTGCTATTTTTACGCTGGACAACGAGGACTGTGCTGGAGCTGGTGAAGATGATCTGGTTTATTCTGGTTAATCTGCTGTGTTCTGATCTGGTATATGCTGGTTAATCTGATTCCTTCTTCTGCCTGCAACAAACCAGACACCTTTTTCACCTCGGCATCCTTCCTCTGTGTGGTTATGGTTAGCATCTTGCTCCTCTACTAATCCTCCATCAACAACCCACCTGTTCTCTCAGTTTAAATTTAGATTCAAATCAAAAGTCCCTCTTTAAATTTCAGCATTCTCCAGCTTTTTCTCTGTTTTGAAAAGCTATTTCTCGCTGTCTCTTTGGATTCCAGCACAAAGCTTTTGATTTTGAGACTCTCCTATCCACCACCTAGAGTCTGTCGTTCTTTATTGAATATCTAGCATCCTTTATCATCTACCTGTTATTCATTATTCATTATCCAATATTTAATATCTCGTTCCTCCATCGAGCTATTTCCATACTCTCTCCCTTCTATTACTACTATATTTATCTCTATCTAAATCCAATCGATTTTAAATTTTCAAAATTCCACATTTTCATAACCCCAGAATTTCATATTATATTTTTCACCATCCAAAATGAACTCTCTTTTCAGGTATGTCTTATTTTTATTCTTATCCTTTCTTATTAAAAATTCCTTTATCTTGGCTTGGATTAATTTGCTTCGGTTTTTTCAATTGGTCAGTTCAATTCATTGTCCATCAACTTGACTCAATTTCATTTACATTACCATTCTATTATTCTACTCTATTATTCTATTATAATATCATACTATTATATCACTATATCATCATCTTATTTCACCCTTATTCTATCTAATCAGTTAACCGGTAATTTTTCATTTCTCTTGTTCATCCTGCTTCTATTAAAAAATATCTTAATTTCAAATTAATCTTAATTTTAAAATTTAAACTAAAAATAAATTCAAAGTCTATTAAAATGCTTCCATTTACGAAATTCTTAATTTACTAACTAAAGTTTTTGTCTTTTTATCTCCCTTAATTATTATTATTATTATTATTACTATTATTATTACTATTATTATTATTATTATTATTATTATTATAATATTCTATACTATTCTATAATATAATATAATATAATATAATACAATACAATACAATACAATACAATACAATACAATACAATACAATACAATATACTAAACTATACTGTCTATTATATTAAGTTATACTATACTATACGATACTATACCATATTATAATATAATATAATATAATATAATATATTATAATATATTATAATAAATTATAATTTTTTATTGGCTTTCACTTCTTCCTTGTTTTTGTTTGTTTTTTCCAGTTTTAAATCAAAAGTTTTCCCCGAAACTATACCAAAACTTAAATTATCTCTCATGCTCTTCCTAATAATCCTAATTCTATCAATCAAATACTTTCTATCAAATCTACACTTCGACTACATACCGAACTTGGACAACGTCCCAAACACTTTCTACTACGATTTAGCCAATTACCAAGGAAGCCCCGATGGTTGGCAAAGATACGAAAAGGTCCTATTCTGTGTCCCCCTCAGAGATGCTGAATCTCATCTACCCATGTTTTTTGGCCATATGAAAAACCTAACCTATCCTCACAACCTAATTGATCTAGCCTTCCTAGTCTCGGACTCAAAGGACGACACAATGGGCTCCCTAAGAAGTCACTTACAAGAAATCCAAAATGACCCAAATCCAAACCTACATTTCGGCGAAATCGAAATCTACGAAAAGGACTTTGGTCAAATCATTGGCCAGGGCTTTAGTGATCGTCATGGTTTTGCTGCCCAAGGTCCTCGTAGAAAGTTAATGGCTAGAGCAAGAAATTGGCTATGGACTGTAGCAATAAAACCATATCACTCCTGGGTATACTGGAGAGACGCTGACGTCGAAACTGTTCCTTCAACTATCATAGAAGACCTAATGCATCATGATAAAGATGTCATTGTCCCCAACGTTTGGAGACCTCTCCCGGATTGGTTGGGCAATCAACAGCCCTACGACTTAAACTCATGGCAAGAAAGTGATGGTGGCCTCCAATTAGCCAACACCCTAGATGAAGACGCTGTCATAGTAGAAGGTTATCTTGAATATGCCACCTGGAGACCTCACTTGGCCTACCTAAGAGACCCATATGGCGATCCAGAAGTCGAAATGCCCCTAGATGGTATTGGCGGTGTATCAATTCTATCAAAGGCAAAAGTCTTTAGAACTGGAACTCACTTTCCTGCCTTCTCCTTTGAAAAACATGCTGAAACTGAAGCCTTTGGTAAAATGTGCAAGCGAATGAGCTACTCCGTTGTTGGCTTGCCTCACTATGTTATTTGGCACATCTATGAGCCTTCAACTGACGATTTGAAACATATGGAATGGATGGCTCAAGAAGAAGCAAGACAAAAAGAAGAAGAAAAATTAAGAAAGATTTATCAAAAATCTTGGAACCAAGGCTTTGAAGACGTTCAGGATATTTGGAAAGAGGACAGAATTAATATCCTAAAAAATACTGATATGAGTAAACATCGTAAAATTGTTGTTGATTGGTCTGGTATCGATGAATTTGATCCAATTGAGGAAGAAGTCAAAATTGTTGATACAAATTCAAAACAAGACAAAGAAAAAGAAAAAGAAAAAGAAATGGAAATAGAAAAGGAAAAGGAAAAAGACAAAGACAAAGACAAAAAAGACGAAAAAGATAAAGGCAAAAAAGAAATCGATACTTCAGACTCTCAACAGTCTTCTGATAAAGATAAAAAATCAAAAAAAAATCAAGATCAGCTGAATAAACAACATGTAAATGACAATGATAAAGTTTTAGCAGACTTTGATTCTTAATACTAATCTTCATAATTATCAAATAATAAAATTAACAAAAAAAAAAGAACAAAATAGGCGAACAAAAAGCAGAAAAAATTGTATATTAGTTATTTTTATTTTTATTTTTATTTTTATTTTTATTTTTATTTTTATTTTACTCTTATTTTTATTTATCTATAAATTTATTTATTTACCTGTTTAAAAATTACAATTTTTCTTAGGATGGTTTAAATTTTTTAAAATTTTCTATATCAATAGAAAAAATTATATTTTTAAATTTTGATTATTACAATTAATATTTTTATTTTACTTTTTTATTTGTTTATCTTTTTAATTAACTTATTTATCTATCTATATATATCTATATATATATATTTGGCTTTATTTATAGATTGGCTTTTCCCATAATTTTTTTGAACTTACATTATTGTTTGCTTTAGTTGTTTACTATATTATTTTTTTACTCTCATCAGCTGCAAGTGGTTCCTGGCATCTAATCCTACAGTTTCTCTGCTAAACAGGTGTTGTCTCTTCAATAAATAACATTGCAATTGCAGATATTCTCTCCATCTGCCTCAAACACCCTTATCGTTCTTGTAGCAACAAAATCTCTGGTTTTTCTCTGTCCGGGAATCGAACAGCAAACCTTTTTCTCTCCCTCCGCTCTCTTTGGTGCTTTTTTTGCAAATGTGAAAAGGAAAACTGGAAATAGCTTCACCAGTTCCAAACACTAAAAGCACTCAGGGAAATGTCTCTTAAATGGACAAACTCAATAGCCAACACCAACGACATCGATCCTACGTTTTTTAATGACTACAAAACCACAGTAAAGACTTTGCCCTATGAAGACTTACTAACGTCCTACCAACCAAACGTGTCCTACCACTACAATCCTGATGCCAGTAATTACCATTATGGTGTTGGGCATCCAATGAAGCCATTTAGATTGAAATTAACTGACCATCTCATTATTTCTTATCAATTATACAAAAAAATGGATTGCTATCTTCCTAGACCTGCAACTAAAGAGGAGTTGCTAGAATTTCATGATGAGGATTTTATCAATTTTTTAGCCACGATAACACCAGAAAACTCCAACAAATATGCTCAGCTATTGAAAAAATTTAACATTGGTGATGATTGCCCAGTATTTGATGGAATATATGATTATTGTAAATTATACGCTGGCGGTTCATTGGATGCTACAAGAAAACTAATATCAGGCATGAGTGATATCGCTATAAACTGGTCTGGTGGTTTGCATCATGGCAAAAAAAGAGAGCCTTCAGGCTTTTGCTATGTTAATGATATTGTTCTTTCCATTTTAAATTTATTGCGGTACTATCCAAGAGTTCTTTACATTGATATTGATTTGCATCATGGTGATGGTGTGCAGGAAGCATTCTATACCACTGATCGCGTAATGACCTGCTCTTTTCATAAATATGATGGAATGGAGTTTTTCCCAGGCACTGGAAATTATGATGAAGTAGGTATTGGAAGAGGGAAACACTACGCTATAAACGTTCCTCTAAGAGATGGAATCGATGATGATACATATGTCAAATTATTTAAATCAATTATTGAACCTGTAATTTCCACTTTTCAGCCAAGTGTCATTGTTCAGCAATGTGGAGCTGACTCTCTAGGACATGACAGATTGGGTCGTTTTAATCTTAATATTAAAGGCCATGGTGAATGTGTGAAATTCGTTAAATCTTTTGGTTTGCCGATGCTAGTAGTGGGTGGTGGTGGTTATACTCCCAAAAACGTAAGCAGATTATGGTGTTATGAAACCAGTATAATGAATGATGTTCAACTAGATAATAAATTGCCCAATAACCTTCCATTTAGAGTTTTTTTCAATCCAGATTGCACTTTACATCCAAATTTAGATGGAAAATTTGAAAACAAAAACAACAAGAAATATCTCGATAGTATAAGAATTCAAATATTGGAAAACTTGCGCTTTCTCAATGGTGCTCCCAGCGTTAGAATGGATGAAATACCACCAGATTTAAGTAAACTAACTGAAGAAGAAGAAAAAGCTATCCATGATTTGAATGAAGAAATGGAAAATGAAGATGATCGTTATCTCAAAATGCAAAAAGACGACATTAGAATGGGAGAGCTAGAAGACTGATTATATTATATCTATACCTGCCATGCCATATTTGTTATTGTACTTTTATTGTACTTTTATTGTTATTGCAATTTTTTTTTATATTATTTTAATTTTTCATATTCGATTTAAATGGCTGAGTTTTAATGTATGTTGTATTTTTAGCGCTGATCTATTCAAATGTATCTGATCAACAAAAGTGATAATGATTGAAACTATCCACGAGTCTTTTCTGCTTATTGATTCGATAGGACTCGTAGCTTCAATTCTATTCAGTTCAAGTGATGATAAATATCGCCAGAATGAGATAAACCAGTTTTTGATTCATTCTAGCAAAAACATTGAGAATTACTCCAAACGAATCAACCATGCTGGAGAAAGGATATTAATTCAATTGATCTCCACCAATCCATTGAATTCAGAACTGTTTTCTCGTCTTCAATTGAGGTATGTATTGATATTTGCTCTTTTGATAATTCATAACTCGATGAGCTGCAGTCCTTCTAACATTGTCGATCGTTGGTATTCAATTTCCCATGCAATCTACAAATCAGAATACTCAAATCTAGCATTGAAACTGGTTTATCCGAGAGAAATATTAGCTTCCAATTGATTCCAAGTGCTTCATATTTCACTGATAATGATACTGCTCAGGTAAATAAGTTGGACATTAGGCTTAAAAACAAAAATTCGTTCTCAGATTCAATCAAGTCTGTTCATCAACTTGAAAACTCATTAAGTCGCTCAGAAACGATTAATGTCCATGAAGAAAAGTTGTCGCTTTTGGTGTCTTTGCTTCCCTTGCCCCAGGAGAGCAAAATTGGTGATTCAATAGAGGATATTATTGAAATCTGCAAAAAATACAACAGCATTCGAGAAATTGTTCACCATTTCAAACACAACTCCTAGTTTTTTAAAGTTTGTCTATATTTACTCTGGAAAGGAATTTGACTTCCATTAACGAAAGGATAAGTGCACCATATTCTTTTTATATCTTTTGCTGCTTTCAATACAATAATTGAATATATATTCAATTGTATCCTGCCTATTTTTTATTTTTATTGCTATTACTCTTGCTCCTAAATGGTTGTGGTCTTTCATTGATTTGTATTTTCTTTAATATTTGTGTGCTACTAATCCTCTCCTTTTGTCAACTTATCTTTTACAATACACTATATTTAAGGGACACTCTTTGCTAATAATATAATATTTGGTTTGTCTTTCATTTTAAAACAGCAAAAACAAAAGTATGTCTAAATTCAAATTACGTTTTTGGTTAGCCATAATCTATAATCTTGAAATTTTGCTATTTTGGCTTAAGCTGCAATAAAAGTTCTGTTCTTCTTGATTTGATACCTTTCAATTTTGCTACTACTTTTTTATTTTATTTTATTTTATTTTATTTTATTTTATTTTATTTTATTTTATTTTATTTTTTTATTTTTTTATTTTTTTATTTTTTTATTTTTTTATTTTTTTTTTGAATATTTAAAATTGAAATATAATATATAACTATATATATAAGTTTATTTAGCATATTATCTTTTTCTTACTTGTTTTTTGCTTTGTAGAATTAATTTATATATATTCTTTTTATTATTTTTTCAGTCAAAGCAGATCTCCATTTTGCACTACCAAATTCTAACACATCAACTTTTTTCCATTGTTTGGTTTTAATATATGTGAAAAATAAATTTGATAAATCCTTTAATAAAACTACAACCAAACAGCCTAGCAAATTTCTAACAAATGAAGATTCATCCGGTGTTTCAGAATACTTTGCTAAAAATGAATTTAGATTTGGTATAAAAGCCAATAAATTATCGGAAACAAATCTTCCAAAATAAGGCCATAAAAATGTTGTTCCCAATGTTAGAAATTTTGAATTGTACCTAAAGACGTTAGAATAATCGTTATTTGAAACACAGACCAATTCTCTTTTAAATCTTTGCCATCTTATCGATAATAAGGGATTGAACAAGAGAAACTTTATTTTCATCATTATTTTTCCATATATAATCGTTAAAAAGTTTGGGCGATTTCCAGAATTCTCAACCAGTTTTTGATATTTTTGTTTAATTTCTTCTTTAAAGTTTTTTTCAATCTCTTCTTTGTTAATTAAATATTGCGTTTCTTCTTCTCTTTCTCTTTCAACTTCCCGTATTGAATCAACTGAAATCCTATCAGCTATGAAACATGGTCTTACTGAATTGACCCATTTATAATATACTCTATTAAAAGTATATTTGAAAAAAATATTATATGCATATCTTAGTGGTGTGAAAAAAAATAAAAATCTTAATGGTGATTTTTCTTTGAAGGTTTGTTTAATTGATTTGAACCAATTTACATTTTTATTGACATTGATAAAGGGGTTCACATAGGAATTATATGGATAATATTGGGTATTATTAAGAAAAATAAAAGGAAAAAAATGAAGAAATACTTCCTGGGTGAGTGATGTTGGATATGCTCTAAGTGTTAGCATATATATTGGGATGGTGTTCACAAGATACACTTTACTAAAAGGAACTAAATTCTTATCAAGAGAATCAGCAAAATTCCTGTAAAATGGAGAAAAAGGAACATTAAATATTTTTAATTTTATGCTTTCAGGAACTAACCTATCTAAAGTAGAATACCCACTTATAGAAAGAATGAAAGTTACTCCTAAATAAATTCCACCCACTATCGAAGTTGTTGTAATGATTAAAGAAAAGTTTTTTATTAATTTTCGGATATGCTGAGTTAGGCTGGATTTTAAAGATACTAGTCGACTTGAAGGAATTGTAATAAAAATAGGATCTTTGCACTGAGGACATCTTATATCAACGATTGTTTGAGGTTTTTGAGTTGAGAGACTATCCAAACCAAGTATTCTTAAAAAAAAGGATCCCAAACTGAAATTCAAAGTGGTGGTTTGGTTATTTCCATTTGGCTGATCGCCCTGGATGATATCTTGAAGATTTGCTTCGATATTTATTTCAAATTCGTTTTCATTTTCTTCATCTTCCATATTTCCAGCATTATCGTTTCTATTGGCATTAGCATTATTATTTCTATTGTTGTCGTTGTTGTCAGGATCTTGTCTCAATTTTAGATCCATCTCGCTGAACCAGTCCAAAAGACATCTTCTATGAGCAACTAAAGAACAACCACAAGGATGAACCCAATCATGGGCATCGCTTCTGGTTCCCATAGGAGGTGGTTCATCACCACTACACAAACAGATCCAGCATCTTCTGTCGGTTTCAGATTCATTGTGGTGCGTTGAAACAGAGGGGGTAGATTCGAGAATTGAGCTTGAGTTGTTGTTTGAAGCAAAGGGAGATGGCATGATAACAAAACAAAACTATCGAGCTATAAATAATGCAATATTCCAAGGTATAAGAATGCAATTATATAAGGATGTATTATTCCTTAAAAGAGTAGAGCTTTGGAGAAAAAAGATGCATTTACACTCCAAAAATGGGACGTTTTGGAGAAATCAAGCCAAATGACGGTGTAAAACCCCGCACAATAGCAAAGAGCTACAAAAATACAATATCAAGGCTTTATTCAAATATATACTTTTTTATATAAAGCAAGGCAAAAGGAAACAAAGAAAAAAGAAGATTAACGACCAAACAAACCAAACAAACCACTGCGTTTAACAGGCTTGGATTCCTTTGCAACTGAAGCAGGAGAGGCAGGAGAGACAGGAGAAGCAACAGGTTGGGACTTTTTGGTGGCAAGCTTTGTTGGAAGACCAAACTGATCGAAATTGATTTCCTGTTTCTTGTTGTCTCTGATCATTGATTTTTCATTGTTGGTGATATAGTTAAAGGCAATATCAAACAAAACTGGTTTGACAGAAACAGGAACAACGTTATTTTCCAATGTTGCAATGTGGTTCAAGTGGTTTTGGGGATTTTCCCAGTCAAGGTTGAAATCAGTGACATTGTCAATAACTAAATTATTTGCCGAGGCAGCTTTAACGCTATTTTGAGCCTCAAATTCAACAGCAATGCTTATTTTCAAAACCAATTCATTGTATTTCTTAAGCAAGTCTTCAAAGTTGATTTTGGTCAATATATTTGCGGGAAACTCGATTAGTTTGTCCTTTGCCTTTAGTGAATTAAGAATTTGGATTGATTTATTTAGAATTACTAAACTTTCTTTATATTTATGAATTGAGTTGTAAAATAAAACAATGTAGTAGTTTTTGCTACCTTCAAAATATGATTGCAAAGCTTCTAGTGAATAAAATAATGATTCGTCCGAGTAGACACCTGGTAACTCTTGCAATTGTTTGACGGTATTTAAAATCAAGCAATAAACTCTTGTAATATCTTTAATTATTTTTAAATTTGCTTTCAATTGAGAGCCTGATAATAAAGAACCATTATTATTGGTGTTGTCAAACAATTTAGAATTAAACTCGTTGACAAGAGATAAGTCTCTTCTAATTCTTAAAAAATATAGATTATAATTGAGATACGTCAATAAAACTTGATTATTCTGGTATTCTTCAGAATTGATATCATCATCAGCATTTTTATTTGATCTGTTCAAATCTTGTTGATGAATCTCTAAACAGTCTTGCCAGTTGATCAAAACTTCGTCAAAAGAATCCGATACAGAATCATTAATTTTGCTAGAATTCTTGTTGATGTGATTTAATAATCTTGGAATTTCTTCATTATAAATATGAGCAGTATAGTCTCTCCAGGTAACATCAACAGTTAAATTTTCGTTTTCTTCATCTGCAGAGCTCATGACAAATGTTTGATCTATTTTATAAATCTTTGAAATAACTGGGTTAAATGATGATGATTTATCATCAAGGATCAATGAACAACTTTTTTTCGATGTTTTATTTAAATCGGGAGATGATACATTTGAAATTTGGAAAATAGATAATTTTAAATTAGGATCAACAATGGTATCAATAATTTCTTTATAAAGATGGTTAATGGAGCCAGTAGTATCCTTGCTATTAATACTCTTTTTGTTATTCAATTGATAGTTTTCAAGGAACTGTAAAGTGCATCTCGCAAATGAAAAAAATTTAACTGCTAATTTCCAGTTTTTCCTCTTTACAGCAAATATACCGTTAATTAAAGAATTATAAATATATATTTCAAAAGAAAAAAAGATATCTTCTTTGTATTTAGATTCAATTAATAAGGCGATCAATCTGTTTGAATATTTAAGCGTTTTTTTCAATTTAGATATGATAAAAGTTTCTTTTGGCTTGGACGAAACGACTTCCAAAATTGCATTAGCTTCTAGATAGTGCAAAAAGTCTCTTTCAGCCAAATAAAGATAAACTAGACCATATCTAGAATCGTTATTAAACTGCTCAGCTGTAATCTGTGAGGTTTTCTCCTTAGTTTTGTAGTTTCGGGTATCTTTGACAGCGAGGTTCAAACTTTTCTTGAGCTTAGCTATTCTCCTGTTGACCCTTACTCTGTAGGAATGGAAATCGTCCACAGATTGAAGAAACAACGCACTTCTGGCACCAAAGGTTAGCTCAAGAGGTGATTCCATCTTCCACAGCTTCGCTTTGTGAGGAAATGAATAAAAGGTGTCTTTTTGTGACTTTCGCAAACCTCTTTTCTTCCGGGACAATAATTGCACTTCGTGTAAATATCAGTACGAGTTCTAAAACAGCAATTTATTCGATGCGTAAGAAATGTGCATAATATTGCAGAGATACACAGCTCAACACTTTTACGTAATCAGTAAACTGTTTTAATAAATATCAATTGAGCTGATATTCAGTTCCAATTCGGACTTCTTCTGCTGATTATATTCAAGTAACACTACCATTTTATTGGGCTGCTGGCAATACTGGCTTTTGGATAATTGCAACCAGTTTCTGTTGGCTGGACTACTTCATAGGAATTACAAAATTATTTTTCTCGCTTACCTAAGCTTAACAAAACTTTAATGCTAGATGGTATTAAAGGACGAGTAGAAATATAAATTGGTTGCAATGAATATAGACAGGAACAGAAGCAAAAGCATTTAAAGTAGAATATAAATAAAAGCAACTTGAAATTTTAGATTTTTTGAGCCCGCAAGACATTTTTAGCTGTTGAAATAACCGATTCAGATATTGAACTTATGAGAACAAATATATACAAGAAAATCTCACTTATTCATGAAATAACTCTTTTCCAATAAATCTTTAGCTTGATTTATTTTTGTTGCTAAATATGGACTACCACCTCTATCCGGATGGTTTTTTATAATGCACTTTCGATGTTTGGCCTTTAGCATATTCTTATCCAATGAAAGAATTTCTGACCTTGAGATATCCAATATCAACAATGCTTCATTTTCTGTCATTCTTGAATCAAACCCACCAGAATAAGGAGGATTTTTGAACCTTTTTAGTAGATCCAGATCTATTTTCACATCTTTAAACATATCACTTCGATCAGCAAAGGAATTTTTCTGTTTTTTAGGATCATCAAACACTAGTTTTATGTTATTAAGTCTTGCTATATCTATTGGAGTCAATTTGGCATATCTTTCCATTGCTCTTATTGTTGCTTTGCCCTATACAAACCCATATTATTGTAATGGTTAATAAATGCATCAGGCAAAACCAAAGTTGCTTAAAATGAGAAGAAACAATCTTACATACAGTGATAGCAGCACAAGTTATCACTACACCTATAACTAGTGGCACCACCTTCTAACAGTTAGTTTAAAAACCTGCAAAAAAAAGAATATAACTAGTTTGTATCTGTCTTCACATACCATTATTTAAATATTTGAATATTTATCACAAAGAAATCCAGAGATTGCTAAATTGAAGTTAATTTAGAAAGAAACTAAATACATCGATATTGTGAACCAAATAATAAAACTATAAATGCCGATTTATAATTTTTAAAGTTCGAAAGAAAGTTTCAAAGGTCAATCCCACTTTCGGACTAATAATTATAAATAAGGAAATACTTAATATCACTATATAATATATAATTATAAGACCTTTAACAAAACGACTGCACAGGATCTTAAATGCTGAGTTTTTACCATGAAAAGTATTAAAAAAAGGGAGAATTAAAAGAAAAGAAACCAAGAAAAAAAAGAATTAGAAAAAAAACAAGAAAAAGAAATTAAACCACATCACAAAATTAAACCCAATAAATAAATCAACAGCACGAAATTCAAACTTATACTATTTCACCAGAACTCAATAGTCCTTGAGTCTCAACATTCTCACTACTAATATCTGGACTATGATACATTGATCTTAAATTTACTAACTGGTTGGCCAATGCATTTTGTAATCTTGCATTTTCCAATAATTGATCATATATCTTAATGTTCACCGGAAAATTTAAACCATTGTCTAAAAATGTATTATTATGAATAGACTTGTTTTTTATTGGAAAAACCCATTCAATCCAACTATTTCCCATAACTTGTTTAATATTCCTACTTTTGGATTCTAAATCAAATATATTTCCAAACTTTTTAGAACTTGGTTGGTTTGAATATTTATAATTCTTATCATTAACCTTATTCAAATTAATCCTGTATCTTTCTGATTCAAATGATTCAATTGTTGTTTGGTTTTTTGAACACTGGTAAATTGTAAAAAGATCAAACACAAACACCGATATGCAAAAAATCAAACTTATTATCATCAAAAACAATTGATTTAAATTGAAATATTTGCTTTTATAGTTTTCTTTAAAAAAGAAATCAAATAAAATATACCCACAAACAATAAAACAATAAAAAGTCAACAATACAATATACGATAATAATTGTATAAAATATTTGGAATTTTTGAAACCAATGCATGATGCAAACCAAGGACAATGATGGTCCATTTTTAATATGCATTTTTGACATGTTGAACAATGATGACATCTATCAGGTTTCCAAATCTTACAACGGTTGCAAAATCTGAAATTCCCAGAATTTTTCACAGTAAATGTATGCAACACCAAATATTTTGGAGGTTGAACAATAGTTCCATTCTCTAGACCATGACTTATTGATTCGTCTGTGAGGTCTGTAAGCGCCAAATCTGGAGCTTGTGATAACGGATCATAGATATTTTCAGAAGCTGTTGAATTATAACGAATTTTCAACTCAGGAAAATCCAAGGGTGACCCAGGACCAACACTAACAACCAAATAATAGCATAGCACACACATAGATCCAAAAAACAGGCCCATAAAAGATATCAAATAACGAAGAAATCCAGAAAAAAAAGTGAAAGGAATCTGATAACTAACAGTGTAAGTCGCCCATATTATTAAAGAATTGCAAAACACTTTGGGAAAAAGACTTGAAAAAGCAATGCAGAACTTTTCAACTTGCAAGCACACCCTCATTTTGCCAACACGATTGTATATCCACTTGCTTAGCTTTTCTGATAGCAGCAAAATCTACTTCATTAAAATTCTCACAATCAGTTGCTCGTCCTCAGATCGATTAACAAGTTCTGAATCCGGCAAAACATCAATAAAACACCGGAATCACGTGCATAAAATTATATTAGGTTCAAAATTGGAGCTCCGATTTGGTCGGAGCTTGCTGATTTTGGAGATTTAGAGAAAGAAAAGATATTAAATGATCTATAAAACTAAATAAAACAGGTAAAGGGTATTAAAAACGACTATAAATGGTATGAAAATTCAACAACAAAGAGTATAAGAAATCAAAATTAAAAATCATGAACTGTAAGTTCAAAACGAAGGTAAAATAATAAGGTTACAAAAATAATGTTCTATGCTTATGATTATTATCATAAAATTTTTTAAAAATAAATGTTAAAAACATGTTGGTATCAAATAAAACAACACCATCGAACATGGAAATGTTTTCCTCGTTTTCATATTGATGTTGCAATAATTCGTCTAATGTAATTTCCGCCACAGGAGAAGATAATGGTAAGAGGTTGCTTAATGCTTCAATGTTGAAAATTCCAACTTTATCGCAGCTAATGATAAAAGTTAATTTAATGTCGTTTTTGATGCTTTTCAATATTCCTTCTTCAAACAATCTTTTGGAGCTGATTTTATATGATCCAAATTTGGTTATTCTTCCTTGTTTTCTCAATTCTCGTTGGAAGAAAAAATTCTTGGTAAATGGTATAATTCTTTTATTAAATGATGGTTTTTTTTGCAATGTTGACATGGCCTTTTCAATATAGGCAGCAAAAGTTTGAGATAAATTTTTTAGATATTTTTCTTTTTCATATAATCCTTTCAAGGTTCTTTCAGCAATCACTATTTCTTTTTGTCTCTTTAATCTTTGTCCATGTTTCGTTTTAATGTCAATTGCAATGACATTTAACAATCTTTGAAACTTATCTTTTCTAGTGATTTCTTTCATTTCTTCTAGTTCTAATACTTTTTCCAATGTCATGCATTTTAAACTATGATATGTCATGGTCGTCAAATCTTGCCCTAATGAACTTTGGCTCAATGTGCTATATGAATTGCTGTTTCCGTGATCTTTTATTTCTTCTTGGATCAATTCCTTGAATTTTATTTCGTATTTTGGTTCAATTTTGGATAAAAGTAGGTTCATTAGGTCAGAAACGTTGTTTTGCACAATCATTAAATAAATAATACATCTTTTCACTTGAACAAATAATGTATTAGTTTTAACTTCATTGTTACTCCAGTTTCTTGTTGAGGGGTTCAAATTTAGTTTAAAAGTTCTAGATGTAATTAACTTTTTTAAATCCTTTGAAGATAATGATAATTTACTAATATTTTCAATATGTGTTCTTATAGGATCATCTTTGCTAGGTGCCAAAATATCTAGATTTATATCCAAAAATGTTTGCATAGAAATTACTTCATCAACATCAATTTCCAATGTTGGTCTTAAGTGAGATGTAAAATCATCATAGACGGTTACTCCATATAATGTTTCAACATCTTCAATATTAATAATTTTTTTGAATATTCTAAAAACCTTTTCTGAAGAACTGATAATAAAATCATTTAATGGATGCAAAAACACATCGTCATCCGAAAATGGCTCCATGAAAATCAACTGAGTCATTACTCTAATAACCTCATTCAAATTATTTTTCAACTTCAATAACTCATTTGAGGAAAATGTCACTAGTTCAACTTCGAATTTTTCGGGATTTTGAATAATTTGGTTAATGTAGTTATCTATCATTATAAAGCCAACTGCTGATACTTTGTCCTTTTCATTCAAAAGAGGAAATCTTTTACTTATGATTTGATATGTATTATAGCACAATGCCTTAATATGTTTTGGAAATCTATCAATATTGACATCAATAATACTAAGAATGTTTCCAGTAATTTCTCTTAAATTCTTCAAATTTTTAACAAATTGACTTCGAGTCTTTGGTTCTTGAATGGCATCTTCGACTGAAATGTTTAGTGGATCATCACAATTTCCAGTTTCCTTTTCCTTTCTAACACAATCTCTGTATATTATTAAAGGGTCACTTTCAAGAGATAAACCATTGACCTTGGATATTTTTGAAATTAAAGGTCCAAAAAAAGTTTTCAATAAAGTTTTTTGACGAATTGTATTGTTATAATTCATTAATAGCCTTTGCCATGTTTTATTTTCAGATTGAAAAAATTCAATAACGTCATTTATATGAGAAAATTCACTGTCTATAAGATCTGAAATCAATTTAACAAATAAAAACTCTTCTCTTGAATTATCATTTGTATCACCCGATTGTTGATCAAATTCTTTTGTTTTGTTTTCTTTATCAAACTGGAAGATTTTTGGAATATAAGATTCAGTTGTCTTCATTTTAGATTTTTGTTCAATTTCAAAAAATGAAAAAAGTCTACTCAAATAACAAGGTTGTGTTTGTAGTATATAAAATAAACTTTGATAAGCTTCAATTCTTTGTTTAGCAGCTTTGTTCAAAGAACTGACGTCTACTTTTAAAGTTGATTTATCCAAACTGAGACTATTTCTACTGCTAATACTTCCACCGAAGGTTTTTGAAGTAATTGAACCAGAGTTTAAAGATTTGCCTTTTAAGTTATTTCCATGATGCAAAATTTCATCCAATGTTATTTTATTTTTGAGTAACAATGCAATCTTTGAATCCAATTTTTCGTTGCTCATTTCAATTCTTTCATTTTCCCGGGATTTTTTTTTGATTTCTTCTTTTAATTTTTCCAATTTTACTTCTTCTTCGAAATCACTATTGGTATCGTTTAAAAGATGAGCAAACTTTCTAACCACTGCTAGAGGAGGGTTTTTCATTGATGTTAACAGCCTATAAGCGTTGCCCTGACATCTGCCCTTAATATAACTTTGAATTTTCATAATTTCGTTAATATGTTGATTATAGTAATTCATCATATCACGATAGCGTTTTCTGACAAGATATCCTCTTATACTGGCTTGAGCAGCAACAATGCCTATTTCATTTTCGTATAATTGATCAAATATTAGTTCAAACTGGAATCTAGAAAAAACTCCTCTAAAAGCTGATTGAACCAAAACAGTTGATCTTCTTGTTTTAAACATTTGAATTTTGATATATTTTATATTTCTTCTCACTAAATAACCTCTAACATTTGCTGCAAAATTATTATACAAGTTTTCGGAAGCATCTAGGTGATCTAGCAAATACGCCAAATTATTACGAACAAATCCTCCTCTTCCAATTGTTTGAAGCTCAGTAATTTCAGGAATGGCTTTAAATAAAGAAAATTTTATTTTCCTTATATTTTTTCTGAGTTTATTAGCTCTTATTTTGGATTGAAGTTCAATAATTGTCTTTTTTTCTTTTAAAATTTCTCTTTTATTAATGTTTAAATGATCTTGTAGCAATATTCTTCTTATAATTGATTGAGCAGAAATTGTCATTTTTGTTAAAAATTCGGAATCAAAAGTAATCTTGCTTTCATAGTATCTTTTCTGAGAAGACTTTGAACGAATACAGCTTTGAAGGTAAATAATTTCTTTAGAGGCTTTATTCAAAGCATATAATTTGCTATTGATTTCAGCTCTTGTTTTTTTTCCCTTAAAGATGGCATTTAAAAAATTTATACTTGCAATCTCAGATGCAAGTGCACTTTTTTGAGTATTAATACATTTTCTGATAAGAAAAGATCTAGCAAATGATTGGATTGATATAGTAGTTTGAGTTGTATTTGCCAATACAAATTCTTTTGAATTATATATTTTTCTAGACAGATTACCACGAATCAATGATTGCAATAACAAGACTGATTTCTCAGATTTATTCAATCCAAGAAAAATGGAATGATTTTTTTTTTTCAAAAGATTCTTTCTGATTATAGATTGTAAAATTGTGATATTGTTTTGATATGAATCACTTTTTAATACAATTTGAGAGTAATTGTTTGATTTTTTAAAAATAATTCTTCTAATTGCGGACTGTAACGAAATAATTTCTTTTGAAAAAGAATTAAGCATTAATTTTTGCAAAAATAATTGATAGCGAACAATTGAACCTCTACAAACAGCCTGAGTTTTTACGATTGATCTAATGTATGATTCTAGTTCATTTTCTGTTGGCTCGTTTAACTGTAAAAGGTAGGTTGTTTCATTGTAATATTCGTTATAAGTTTCATTAGCCCTGATTTCAAACTCTTCATCAAATTTGTCTTCTTTTTTAATTAATTTTTTTGGTGTTTCGTGTGGTATTTTAATTTCAAAAGGAATTATTTCTTTTGATTCAATCTCGGGTTCAAGTTTAACATTAATTAATGCATTTTCAATTTCAATTTCTGGTTCAATTTTAACAGTGGATTGTTTTTCTTTTATACTATCAGTTGGTATGATTTCTGGAATTTTTGAGATTTCTGGGATTTTAAGAATTTCTGGAATTTCTAGAGTTTCAGAAATTTCTGGAGATGTGTTTTCTTCTTTTATTTTATGAAAATCATGAATACTTTCAGAAGACTTTAGTTTAAGGTTATTAATTTTGTCACCTCCTTCTTTAACAGATTGAAAATTAGGCATGTTCAAGTCATCCAAGATTTTTTGAGAATTTTTAATTTCTTCATCAGTAAAATTTAACTTACCAACTAAATTCTGCATTTTGGGAGCTTTATCTTTTAATAAAAAGCTTAGAGCATGAATACAAAAGATGACCTTTGGAATATTTTTAGCTTCATAAAGATCAGTTAATTCAAAGCTAAATAAATCGGGCATATTAATGACAGATAAAAAATCAAAAAAATAATTAATATTTTCAGTGTGACGATATAATAATCTATTAAATTTTGATTTTGGAATGATTTTTGGGACTAGCTGAGGAGCAAAAATTTTTGTTAGTTTAGCTAATATTACACCATCTCTTAAGGCATCCTTTGCAATCTCATATTCTGAAGGCAAAGATTCACCAGTACATTGTTCAATCCATATTTTAGCTTCAGCGATTCTACAAAGATATTCATAACCTTGTAAGGATTCACGAGAGTTATCTACCCATGAAGTAGATAATAAAGATCTAGAGTCCTTTGAGTTTTGTCTCTGTAATCTTTTTCTTCCTTTTAAACCAACCACTTCATCAACATTATCAAGATCAATAACTTCGACATTAGAATCTAGTGCAGCCAATTTTGAATTTTTTGAATTTGTAGGTTTTGATTTTTTGATTTGCTGGTTTGATTTTTGTAGGTGATTGAATTTAGTTGGACTTTGAGTTGGATTTATTTGGATTCTCAAAGATGACTTTAATGATGGTTTTAGGGATGACTTTAATGGCGATTTTAAAGACGACTTTAAGGGCGATTTCAGAGGGCTTGAATTGATTTTTGAAGGATTTGAATCAGATAAGATGTTGATGCTAGAAGTATTGGGTGTTTTAGAATCATCCGAGAATAACATATTGGTTAATGCTTCTATGTTGTTATCCAAGATGCTTTGTCTTTTTTCTTTTTTTCTTGAATTGATGATAGAAAAGGAAATATCCGAATTTGATATTGTTTTCAAAGGTGGTCTGTTTTGTTGTTTTAAAGGAGAATTTGAGAGTGAGCCATTTGGATTTATTGATTTTGGATTTATTGATTTGGGGGAGTGATTTTCAAAAGTGTTTTCCTGGTTTTCATTATTTATGCAATCGAGATAGTTTGAAGCAAACTTGTTTCGTTTTGTAGGTGATAAAGATGGTGGTCGAGAGGACATTGTAAATAGTGATATGGAAAGTAAAGGATGCGATTTATTTTTTTTTTTGTATTTTATTTTATTTTATTTTATTTTATTTTATTTTAATTAATTTATTTTAATTAATTAACCATAACTAATCGTGTTGAAGAGAGGATATAATAAGGAAAAGTGATCTCAGACAGAAAGGGCCAAAAAAAAAAATGAAAAAAAAAAACAATAAATATTGGAAAGCAAGAGATCAAAAAAATAGCAAAAAAATCGAATTGCAATGTTTGTTTAGTAAAGATAACAGAGGTTGAGTTGTTTCAGCAAGAGATCGATCATGAAATTGCAATGTTCTGAGAAAACAAAAAGTAAACAGAGGGCCCGATTAGGAAAGAGGTGGATCAGTGTTTATATTTTGAATTTTCCGTTTTGAAAAGAGAGCGATTTTTAAGAGAGGAAAATGTGGATGGAAATTAGGGGATCGTTTTTAGATTAGAGACTATCACAACTACAAGGAAGATGTCAACAAAGGCAGACCCAAACGTGTTGTACAACGAATTCAACAGAAAGAGAGATGGTGAGTATGCTGTGAATGGTGTATTTTGAGAGTGGAGGAGAATGCAACTAACAGTGGTTATCAGGACAGAATTGCGAGAGAAGATAGGTAAATGTAAGAACAAGAATGATTTAATGAGGTTGAAAGAGCAGGTTGTATTGTTGGGCGATGGGATATATGAGAAAATAGCAGACTTGCCGGCGTATGATCAAAAGTATTATTCTGAGAACATTGTGGCATTATTGGAGAAGACAGAGGCACAGCGAGTAGTTGTTAGCAAAAACAGGTTCACCTTTAAGAGAAAGTTGGTTTCTAAAGACATTGGGTCATTGAGTGCGAAAACAGAAAACGATAAGGAGAGTAAGAGTAAGGGCAGGAGTGACGTTGGAAATGAATCTTTAGCAAAACCACTCTATGATAGAGTTGAGCATAAAAATATTAGATTATCTTATCCATCGGGACATGCGTTGATAAAAAATATAAAGGAAAGCATAATAACAACGATATCACCACCACCAGGATCTATTCATTTAGAGACATGCTGTGATTCAATAGTCTGGTTAGTTTCGTCGGGGCCTATTTTCATTCATAATCTCAGCAGGGTGAAGTTGATAGTCGACTGCCACCAGCTTCGTTTGCACAATGCCAAAGAGTGCGAGATCTACTTGAAAGTGGGATCCAAAAGAGCTATTATTGAGAACTGTGAAAAGTTGAAGATATATGCCATTTCAAGTGGCACAGATGGCCAGGAAGACGAAATCGAGATCGACGACTTCAACTGGCCCAGCAGACTCGAGGTGGACCCCAACTACAGCATGGGTCGTATCGACGCAGCAGAGTTTGGGAAACAGAACCAAGGACTCACAGATATTCCAGATAACGAGGATATCAAGGGAGCACAATATATAGCTGATGTGCAACGCTGGGAGTTCTAGGGCAGACAGTTGTAGAAGCTCGAAGGGATGTTTGAGGGGCATCTCCAGCACCGAGACGAAGCACACAGAAGGCAGAGGCAAAGCAGACACAGCTCGAGTGGTGCGATTGTAAGACAGAAGCAGCAGAACAGTAACAGAATAGTCCCACAGAAGCAGCAAGAAAATGGCCTCCTGGTACGGAAGTGGATGGTCTCAAAGGCTCATTAAGGTTGCAACTGTCTGGTTTCCAGTTCCACAGCTGAAGCTGGGAGGTTAGCTCTGTGCTGTTTCAGATCTTGTATATATACACCCTTTTGTCTGTTTCCTCCAGACCCACCAAGCAATTATCTTTCAGATCAATCTCAGATCAAGCATATATCAAGCATATATCAAGCATATATCAAGCATATATCAAGTACACAACAACCACACACCAAATCATGGAGTTCAAACCTGCTTCCAAACTTCAGAAGGCTGTCAGAAAGTATGTCACCTATCCTCTTTTTCTAGCAAAGTTGGGTGTCAATCTTGTGATCGATAGGCTTGCTGTTTATCTTTTGGAGCTCCTCAAAAAGGACCAGGTTCTAAAGCAAAACAAAGGCTTTCTCTACTTGAAAAAAATAGATCAACAGCTATTTCCCTCCTTATTTTTCCACTTCAAAGATCAAGCCTTGGGCGAATCCATCAACTACAATCCTGCCAACAATTCTCTTATCTGGGTCGATGGTTTCACTGGCGAAATCCACAGGCTCTTTTTGCCAGCCAACTCATCTGAAGTTGACGAATTCACCCAAGATCAATTGGACCAAATTGCTCAATCCCACGAACACTTCAATGTCGAAGAAAGGATAGGCTCTGTAGCCTTAACTGCCGATAACGATATCCTAATGGCTTGCTGCAATCATAGCATGGGCATTATAAATTTCAAAGACAAGTCCTACAAAAATGTTATCCCATTATTGACCAAAGAAGAGGCAAAATATCTAAGAATGAACGATGGTATCGTCGATCCTAATGGTAATTTCTGGGTTGGAACCATCGATATCGACTGGGGTATTCCTTCAATAGCAAATTCAAACAACTTCCTATTTTTCATCAATGCAAAGACATTAAAGGCCACAAAAGTCTTTGATAATATTACAATGTCAAATGGAATGGCTTTTTCTAAGGATCTAACCAAGTTTTTTCACACTGATACTCTAATCTTTAAAATATTCAAATACGACTATGATCAAGCAACAAACAAAATCTCAAACAAATCTCTCTTTATCGATATAAGTAAATACTATCCAGGGAAACTAGTTGCTCCCGATGGTATATGGATCTCTGAAGATGACGAACTATTTGTTGCAATCTGGGGTTCAAATGAGGTCGCAAGATTCAATAAGTTTGGTAAGTTGATAAAAACCTACCACAACGACCAAACTGCAAACGTCTCTTGCCCCATCTTAGGTGGCAAAAATGGTAATGAATTATACATTACAACTGTCGTTCCTCATCTTGATTTTGTTAATGACCCTGAACCAAATCCTTATGATGGTGCTCTTTACAGAATCAAATTGGAAGATTCAGTCAAAGGCCAAAAAAAATTCATATGGGGAGGTCCAGTTGATCCCAATGAATACCCAAATCAATCCTATTAAATGAAATCAAATAAAATAAGATAGCTTATTATTTATATTTATATATATATTTATATATATATTTTTTGTTATTTTTTTACTCTATTTTATCTTTATTTTATCTTAATCTTTATTTTGCTGGTTTTGATTTGATTTGATTTGATTTGATTTGATTTGTTTTGCTTTGTTTTGTTTTCTTCCTCTTTCCTGTTTATCTTTTGCTTAAATAGCTCTTGCTAATTTACAACCCATCTTCTCTTTCTCTTCCATTCATTCTCTTCTTCAATACACCTTTTGTTGCCTTTGAGTAAAAAAACAACAAAAAAACACACAAAAGCATTTCAATGCAGATCAAAATAAATTTCAGAATCCATCCACACGGATCTCAAAATTGACCTATAAAAAGAAAAGCAAATAACGACTTATTCCAGTAATCGACTCAAGAACCAGAATCGATATCCCTCAGCTGCCCCCAATTCACTGCTATTTATGTCATTTAGTTTCTTATCTTGTAAATAATTCTACTCTTCTGCGATGAATTCATTACTCTTCAAAAACTCAGGCTTTTTCAGGAAAAATCTTACTTCTTCCTCTCTAAAATCAGCAAATGATCTTCTATCATTAAACCAAAAAAGATGCTTTGCCAAATCGTTCTTTAAAAAGGAATCCAATTCAAATCCAAATCCAAATATCATCAAGTCAAGTGCTTTACCTGACTCCTTAGTCATACTTGGAGGAGTGGCCCTAGCCTCAACTTTGGCTTACTATCTTTACGATGCTAAATCATCCTTTCAAGAATATGTCACTTCCCCAGTTATTAGATTGGTAACCGATGGAGAAAATGGTCATAAATTTGGTATCTTTGCTCTAAAAAATGGTTTATGCCCCAGAATTGTCGATGATAACGATATCGATTTACTAAAAGTAAAAAACATATTTGGAGGTAGAACTTTATCAAATCCAATTGGTATGGCTGCTGGTTTTGACAAAAATGGTGAAGCAATTGATCCCTTATTTGACTTGGGTTTCAGTTATGTCGAAATTGGCTCAATTACTCCAGAACCTCAACCAGGAAATCCAACTCCAAGAGTCTTTAGATTACCTAGAGATGAGGCCATTATCAATAGATATGGTTTTAATTCCGATGGCCATTGGAGCGTTCTAACTAATCTTAGATTAAGATTGGAAAAATACTACTACCAGAAAAACTACCATTTGAGTTTAGAATCACCTTATTCAAATGCTTTCAGAGATGAAAAAATCTTAGCCATAAATTTAGGTAAGAATAAAAATGGCGATGAAATCGAAGATTATACACTAGGTGTTCAAAGATTTGGCGAATATTCAGATGTATTAGTTATCAATGTTTCTTCTCCAAATACTCCCGGCTTGAGAACTCTACAGTCAAATGAAAAATTAACCAACCTATTAAAGGCTGTTAAAAAAGAAAGAGATAACTTATCTGGAACCATAATCGATAAATACCATAAACCATCACTCTTGGTCAAAATAGCTCCAGATTTAAGTGAAATGGAGATAAAATCAATTGCAGAATCCGTAAAGGAGTCCAAAATCGATGGTATAATTGTTTCCAATACAACCATTCAAAGACCAATTAACTCAATGAGAACTGATGATGTAAAATTATTAAAAGAACAAGGTGGTTTATCTGGTAAACCAATTAAAGAATTGTCTTTAAAGGCATTGAGAACTTTGAGAAAATATACAAAAGATGATCCAAGCTTAATTTTAGTCGGTTGTGGTGGTATCAGCAGTGGTAAAGATGCCATTGAATTTGCTAAAGCTGGAGCATCATTTGTTGAAGTATTAACTTCATTTGCATATAGAGGACCAGGATTACCATATAAAATAAAAAGTGAAATTATCAACGAACTTAAAAAAGAAGGCAAAACTTGGATGGATATCATTGGTGAAGATGATAAATAAACTTCATTATCGGCCATCTTTATATACAAATAAACATCTACAGATAGTTATATAGATGCTGACCTCAAAAAAAAAAAAAAAAGCCCTGAAGAACTCAAATCAAAGCCCTCCCCAAACAAACAATAGAAAACTTCCCAAAGCTTATATTCTGTATTCATAATTTTGGTCTACAATAATTTTAATTTTTGTTTTAATTCTAATGAATATTGCATTTTTTATGTTTGAAATCGATCTAAATAAAAATTAATAATTTGCTAATCAATTGGTTGTAGTATATTATAATGTTATGCAATAAAAAAAAACAAAATAAAAATAGAAAAAGTTAATTGTTAATTGTTAATTGTTAATTTTAAATTGTTAGTTTTGAATTGAAACGCGATATTAATAAAATAGAAATATATTACAAAAAAATATATTGAATTAATTAAAATAAGAGAGCAAGCCAAATATGACAACCACAAATGCCAAGTCATTAACAATAAATCCAATCATTTCACAATATTGAGCTAACAATTTTAAATAATTTAGAATATATATAGGTATAAATGGTTGAGCATAAGAAATTCCTTTACCAATAATTGAATCAAAAATGTAGTCAAATTTGAAAAAATGGAAATTATAGAGCAAATAAAAAAATAATGAGGAAAAAAATTCAAAGATTAAGAAGAAATAATAAAATGTTGTTTTAGGATAATCTTCTATTCTGGCAATTTTATCTAATGATGAATAAGTCTCATGTTGAGAAAAACTGTAAATGACAGCAATCAATAAAATAATAAATTTGAATAAGGTGAATTTTGCCTTAAATTGGTGAGTTAAATACTTGTTGTATTTTAATACTTCCTGGCCATGACCAGGTGGAAAATTATTATTATTATTAGTGTTTCCTTGATTAAAATTTTGACGGTTGAAATTGCTTAAAATTCCTTCAAATTCATCATTTCCGAACATTTCCTTGACAAAATCATTCATTGAAGGATTAAAGGTACCATCTTGGTCATTACCATTTGAAAACTGACTTTTGTTTATAGAATCAACAAAAATTTTTGACAATTTATCAATTTCCAAATCAGTAACGTCAATACTGCTTCCATTAAAGTTCAAAGTGTCGATATCCTGATCTTGTGGATCCAGATCGTGTTCATGATCGTGTTCATGATCATCATATTCTTCAAGATTTGGAGGTTCATTTAACATCATTGAGATTCTGCTCATTTTAGTTCTCCTGTTGAAAGCATTGGAATTGTCAGAAAAGGATTTAAAACTAGAAGATTGATCGATCGACAACTCATCAATTTTGTCTTCATTGATTGCTGAATTTGCTAGGGATGAAGACTTGAGATTTGACCGTTTTTCGTTCTCGTTTTCATTTGTAATATTGGAAGTGTCATTATCACTTTTAGTATTGGAAGCATTGGCATTAGAATTAGCAATGTTATTAGCATTGTCCTTGATCTGGGCTTCTTGGAGATGAGAATTAGCTACAGGTTTAGTAGCAGTTGGCTGGAAAGAGGAGTTTGAGTTTGTAATTTTCTGGAGACGGGAAGAGCCCTGATTCTTCAATTTAGCAGCACGTCTCTCTCTCAATAACTTGCGCTTTTCTGCCTCGCTCAAAGTAGACATTTTCTGAAGATGGTTATTATAATTGAATATGTTGGAGCTGTAGATAGAGAAAAAAATTGGAAAGAGCTTCACAACAGCAAATCCGCGAAACGGAGAAAGTGCGGATGCTGCAATCCGCGGACGGACTCTTTCGCCACGTATCTAGGAGCTGATTGAGAAGATCATCAGCAGAAGCAGCAGAAGCAACAGCAGTGGGCAATTCGCAGGATATCATTCAGTAGTTGAGATGGAGGCATATGGGGACTCAGACGAGCTTTACACGATTCGCCAAAAGTTTTTTTCGGGTCAATTCAAGTTGGTCGCAGAGACATCGTTGAAATCGTTTTCAGGCAGCGTTGCAGCAAGAGCTGAAGAGTATATTTTAAGATCCAGGATATCATTGGGAGATGTTTCTGGGGTGTTGAATTACATTCAGGCAGAAGAACAAAATGGCAGAGCCTTGCCAGCTGGATTGGAGGCTATTAGATTGTATGCATTATATGTAAGGAATCCATCAAAGAACGATATTCATCTAAAGTTTGAAGAATTTATCTCAAGGCACACAAACGATGAGACCACGCTAGTATTGGGGTCAATTTATTTGGTTAAGCAATATGGGAACTATGAAGATGCATTAACGTTGTTGAGTAAAGGTGAAAATTCCTTGGAATGTATTTCAGTTATTGTTCAAATTCAATTATTGAGAAATCGATTAGATTTAGCTATAAAAGAGTTGAAAAACTCTAGACAAATATCTCAGGATTCTATAATTTATAATTTGAGCGAGAGCTGGGCCAATTCTGTATCTGGGAGTGATGACAAATTACAATCGAGTTTTTATTTTTGGGAAGAGATTTCGCAATCTAATACGAGTGTTAAATCATTAGTTAGTTTGTTGATTATTAATTTGCAAATGAAACATTTTCCTGAATCTAAAGAAATCATCGATCAAATAGAGTTGTTGAATGGTGATGATTTAAATTTCTTAGCGAATGAGATTACATATTATGTTATTAATGGAGATAATAAGAAAGTTGAAGAGTTAATACAAAGATTGAACCAATTATCCAAGGGACAACACCCATATATCATTGATTATAAAGAAAAGGATGCAATGTTTGATGAAATTGTACAAAAATATAGTATATAAATTTGATCGATGTATACGTTGAGAGTATATTGAGATTGTTAACTATTAATGGAAATTTATATTTACTATCACTTTTTCTTTTTATTTTTTTTTTATTATATTATCAGAATTTAAATATAAAATAAATAAATGGAAAAAAGAAGAAAAAGAAGAAAAGTCGTAAATTTAAAAGGGGATCAATTGAAGATGTAAATATAATATTGAACGGTTAAGTTGCCTTGTTGATCTCTGACAAAGCGACCTTTACCAATGAAATTTTGATTTGATACCCATTTTTCGTCAGCACAGGAACCATCTAATAAAAAATAAGGCGAGTTACTGAGATATCCATCGGTGTATTCCATTGTGGAAGAAGCCTTTGAAAAGACATCAGCGATTGCTTTGTTGATTTGAACCACACCGGAATATTTCATTTCAATGCCACCGCCATTTTTCTTTGATTTCAATAAGATTCTGCAGTCAAGGTTACTGACTGGAGGATTGGAGATGCCATTAATCGAAGTGATGTGATCAGTGCCGGCAATAATGTCACAATCAAAGGGAAGATCATTATCAAGAGATTTTGTGTAGCCGCCTTTGATGTTGACATATGTCAAGGAAGTAGTGTCATTGGAATAAACTACAGAAGGTTCATCGACAATGATGTTGATAAAGATAACGGGTTTGAGAGTTGGAATAGGTGGAGCAGACATTTTGGTGTGGAAGACGATGGGATAAAGCGGAATTGAGTTGTTTAAGAAAAAGAAAAAGAAGAGATGTAGATATGAATAAAAGTGGGTGGATCGGAGATTATATATATGAAATGGAATGAAAGGAAGGAAGGCGGCATGGATCAATCAGAGTCGGGGGTTGAATAGTGTTTGATGAGGAAGTTCGGAGTTCGCTTGGGGTATAAATTTACAGAATATAGAAGCAAATGAATTCCAATAGCATTGAATTAGAGAGAAACAGGTGAAAGAGAGTCAAGAAAGATGGAAGGAAGTTGAATAAAATAGAATAGAATAGAATAGAATATAAAATTGAAAAATATTTATTTATGAGATATAATATGAATTTATTGAGAATTTATTTGTAGGAATTATTTAGGAAGACTTGCTTTCAATTAGATCTTTAAATTCTTCTTTTGCATATCGAGTACCACAATAACCACATGGTACGGCAGCTACATTATCTAGGTTGATATAAACTCTGGGGTGACCTTGGTGAGGACCTTTATTTCCATTACAAACAGCTATGTTTTTGGAGATGTATTGGATTGGATGTTTTTGGATTAGTTCCATAGCAGAATAAGGTTGTGGTTGTTTTGACAAGTCTTTTTGAATAAATCTGAGGGAGGAAAATATTTGATTTTTTGGTTTTTGAGATTGAGACCAAGGAGCGATTCTGTTGGGAGCTTGTTGAAAGGCGTTATTTATATCAGGAGTACCAACATCTTTTACAGTAGGCAAAGCAGGAGAAGAAGAGGGTTTGGAGGATTCGGAAGAATATAGACGTATGAAAGTAGATCTTTTGATGGATTGTCTAAGAATTGGTAGGGACATGGTTTAGAGTTGAGGGAAGGTTTTGTTTTTCTTTGCTTTATTTTATTTATTTTATTTTATTTTATTGTGATGTTGGTCAATACGATTGTGATTGAGAGTATGAAAGTGAAATTGAAAGTGATGTCCAAACAGGAGAATTCGATTGGTTCGCTTTGAGATTTTGAAGCAAGAAAAACGTGATCTGAGCCCTAATTGAGCGATAGAGGAAGAGAGCCCTAGTGTGATTGTGATAGGGAGATCCATTGGGATGGATTTTTGAGTTGGATATTATAACTTGATAGATGAAAGTAGAATGAGATGGGGTCGCGATGGGGTCGCGATGGGATTGTGATGACGTTGTGGACAAGAGAAAAAGCAAAAAACAAGATACGAATATGAAATTGATTAGCTAAATCAATTAGCTAGAAAGAGCAAATTGAAAGAGCAAATGTAAAGATAAAAGGTGTCTGTTGAGATGTAGTGTCATGTGCTTCGGGAGCAAGTGAGGATTTGAAGAGGAAGATACAAAGGGCGTGGGTATATATATCTATATATACAAGATCAGTGGATAGATACAGGTACAGGTACATTTAAGAGACCAGAGGGTTATACTATAGAATAGAGAGGATAGAGAATTGTAATTGAGCGAAGATGTCTTTGTATATGACTTTTGTAAGTGAAATTGAAGAATTGGAAAGACGTGGTGAAGAATAAAAGGGGAACATAGTACTAACAGAGAGTGTGGTTTTGGTTGACAGATATTTTTATCGTTGATTATTGAAATGAGCATTATAACAATATTGGTTATTCCGTTTCCAATAATCATCAGGAAACAGTTTATTACAGTGGCAGATTATGTCTCGAGTTCGTTAGAGTTTCGAGTATCGATCAAGTGTTTTGGGGGATTAATTTTGTTGTTGTTTTTGGACGCATTGAATAGGTCATCATCGATCAACCTCCACCCGGAAAGCACTGGCCTTGGAAACAGTGGGAATGGCGATGGCAGTCAAGATAACGTGGGAACAAATGTGTTGATTACACCAGAGTTGATCGCTACGAAGTTTTATAACCAAAGAAATTTCTATCTTTCTGGAGCTATATTATTTCTATTATTAGCTATTCCAACGGTTTTGAACATATTGAAGAAGATCGTTAAATATGAAACAATCGTGCAAACAGAGATATTGGGAAAGAAGCCCAGCGAGTTAATCAGTTTAGAAAAGAAATTGGACAAGAAATCAATTGATTATGAAACATTGGTAAAACAAGTCAAAAGCCTAGAAAAAGCCTATAATGAAAAAGCCGACACTTTGAATAAAGTTGAGATGAAAGAATTTGAAAAGGAATCCAAAAAGACCAGTTGAGTTGGTGGATGTGAAAAAGAATAGTCAAAAAAGAGTGGTAAGATGATAAACAATAAGTAATATACGTAATATAAGTAATATAAGTAATATACGTAATATAAGTAGTATACGTAATACACGTAGTATACGTAATATGAATGTGATTATGGCTAATACAGTGAATTTTTTAGTTAATTTTTGATGTTTTAATACAAATTGAATTTGAATGCGTTTGGATTATGCTCATATATCGGTATTAATCCTGACTCCAGCACAGCAGAGAACAGAAACGTCCCTGTTTTGCAAGCATGCACGTGCCACAGCCTAAGCCAACGAAGCCTGAACCCTAAAACGCACAAAACATTCCGCTACAGCAGGGGAGGAAGGTGAGAGTAAGAAGCTCAATGGGCTCGATTCAGGTTGAGGGCAACGACAAGAGAGCTGATGGGTGAGATAATAGCAAATGAGGAAATGAGCAGTGGGCGAATGAATGAACAGTAAATGAGCAGTATACAAACAGCAAATAAACAGCAAATAAACAGAAAAACAGCAAAGAGCTGGAAATGAGCAAAGCTGCTCGACGATTGCTTGCCGGAAACGCAGCTCTCGGTCCTCGTACACAAAAGACGTCTCAAGAATGATTCCCGTTTTGGGCTGCCCAACAGTTGTTCGCTATTAATAGAACAGACAGAAAGCATAGGAATGGAGCTTCTTCCGCCACGGCAGCCCATCTCGGCCCTGCCGCCGCTTCTCGTTCCGCTGCTGCTGCTGCTGCTGCTGCTGCTGCTGCTGCCTGCTTTTACTCATCCTATGCCTCTGCTGCTGCTCGGGCCTGGTCTGCTGCTGCCGCTTCGTATCTTGCGGTCGCTGCTCTCTGTCGTCTGCACACCGTTCATCGTCCGTGACGGCATTTCGCTGTGCCTGCTTTCGCTTGTCTCTCCCGCCACTAGCAGGTATTTTCTGGGCAATATGCCAGTCTAGCCGGTCAACGCTGGGCAGTTGTCTCGTCAGCGCGGGCTGCAGCACGGAAAGGGCGCGCGTGACGAAGAGCGTCGAAGACGGGTGCGGACGACACTGCGGCCGTGCCGTGCTTTGCTCCAGTCCAAGCGCTCTTTGATCCTGCTGGAATTTGTCACTATGCTTTAGATTTATGATTTGTGATTAATGGCTCTTACAAAGATATAAATATAAATAAAATGCTCCTTCCCTTGCTTTTTTTTTTCTTCTTCTAATTTCATCTTCCCAAAAGTCGTAAAAAACCCTTGGTTTTACTCTCTCTCTCAATTCTTTCTTGTCTACTGCCCTGCTGTCGTTGTTTTGAACTTTACTCATCTTCCTGGTTCAACAAATCTCACTGGTCCACTGCTTGTCGTTGAACTCTTCTTTCTACCATTTTTATTCTTTTATACTATATTCCACTGTTTGTCGTTTGGTTCTTTGGCCTTTTGCTTTTAATTAGTACAACCACATTTTATATTTTATATTTTATATTTTAATTTATCATGCCCGGTTTTTCAAAGATCTTTGGTAGAGGCAGATCAAAATCAAAGTCAAAACTAGACTTGATAGCTGCGTCTAATGAAAAAAATGATAAATCTGATAAAAACACTGCTCAAAAACAAAAAAATCCACAGATTCCCACCACTTCTCAACAAAATATCTCCGATAATCAAATCCCAAATCAAAATGCAAATCCAATCTCAAACCACTCAGCTTCGCCCTCTTTAAACTCTACAAACGTACTAAACGATCCCATCAACAACCCTTCGCCTCAACTTCAATTCCAACCTGGTTCTGCTTCTCTTCCTGATTCTCCTACCCAGTCTTCACCACAACCTGCCCAACAACAAAAACTTCACCCCCAACAATCAATTCCCACTTCCTTCATGAGAGCCAGATCTACCTCAAGAGCCTCCTACTCAAATAGTCCCGACGAATATCTCAACAATAATTCCTCTCAAACAAACCTAAATAACAACTCGTCCACCAAATTATCCCATTCAAAACATCGCTCGATTACAAGCCAAAAAAGTCTCTCAAATAACCAAAATAACCAAAATACTCAAAATCCACAAACTCCCTCAAGAAGACGATTATCCTCTCCTTGGGACTTACCTGACTCAACTCCTGAAGAATTGATCCCAATTCTAACTCTAATCAATTCCCAACAAGCAAGAGTTTACATTGAAGGTTTTTTTTCTCTACTCATTAAAAATTCAAATTTCATTTCTTCAGTAGCAAATACACCTCAAAATAATAACAGCATCACCAACACTAATAATAACAACAACAGTAACAACAGTAACAACAGTAACAACAACAACGAGTTCATAAATGGCTACGGCTCCTTATCTGGTAACGAATTGTCAATCTGGAAATCTGACGAAATTGACTTTAAACCCATCTACATCAACGTAGCAGACGCAAATTTTATAAATGACTTCAACAACCTAACCATAACCATCTTCAGTCCCTCTTTAAATAACTACATTCTAAAATTCACTTCCCTAGATCTTCTAAAAAAATGGTTCTCAGCTTTGATCTTGTCCAACTTTGAATACAACTGCCTTCATGAAGCCTACACTGGCGCTCTATTATCTGCAAAGGCAATCCTTCTCTCCGACGTCAAAACTCTACTATCAGAAACAAGATACTCCATAGCTGAATGGGCAAACATAAGGTTGAACTTCATAACTTCAAAATGGTTCAAAGTCTATATTGTTGTCGCTCCTTCAAATAACAGCGACAGCAAATCCGGCTCTCTATCAATCTATTCCTCGAATAAAACAATAAAGAAAAATCTACTAATCTCAATTAAAAAGGCAAACTCTTGTTTTGCTGTCTACCCACAGGGCCCTGAAGTTATTGATCATAGCTCTTTAATGAAACTCGACGGCGAAATCACCATCCATAACTGGAAATTCTTCAACAACCCTTCAAATTCAATTTCCTCATCCTCCTCAAATTTAAACTTGGCCTCAATTTCAAATCAAAACTTATCCTCTCCCTCAAATAACACCAATATAAGATCAAGATCCTCCTCCTTGAATTCCTTTGTCAAAAGAAAAAACTCAAACTCCTCTTTAAACAGTCACCTATCTGCTTCGAATCGTAACGAAAGCTTTGAAAGTCTAAACATAACCTCAACCTCCAACACAACATCCCTCAACACCTCTCTATATATCATTCCTGAAAATCATCCTTCCGTCAAAAGTTTTGAAACAATGATCAGGTTCATGATTCCAGTATTCGACGCCTTTAATTTATATGGAAGACCCAAAAAATTAGTGTCCGATAAATCAAATCTAAATTCCCTACTATTTGCCTTGCCTGTCCTACCAAGAACAAAATATCTAAACTACAACGACTGTCTTAAATTAATTGACTTGAAAATTGATAATAAACCGGCCTTAAGAGATTTAAGCAACAGCAATCCCAATCAAAACCAAAACCAATCAAATAAATCTCACCAAAGGAAAAACTCAAAAAAAATCAAATTTGGCTTAACCTCAAAACAAAAATCAAAACAAGACCAAATTGATACAAATTCAATCCCAGTTGTGCCTGAATATACAAATAAAACCCTACTCAAAGATTGGTCAAACAGAGATTGGATTCGGTTTTTAAAAACTGAAATCAAATATAAATTATTAAATGGCTACCAAGGTGCTGGTGATTTAATACTCGATTTAGAAACTGCTGTCAATCTAGCTCAAGGCTCTGATTATTCCATCAATGGTTATTCTGGTCAACCTGATTCTTCAAATTTAAGAAGAAATCTAAGTATTAGCAGAAACTCTGTCAGAAATTCAATTGTTGCCAATCCTTTCAGCAATAGAACTTCTTTCGTTAATACCGAAAATCAAAATTCTGATAATAAAAGCACAAACAATGTGGCTTTTAACTCATCACCTCAACAATTACCATTAGATTCTAATTACACTGCTAATAATAATGAATCGAGTAATGATGATTACAAAATTGATAATGCTTTGAGCAATAATTCTTATTCCAATCAACCTTTCAATATACAAGAATTTGCTGCCAGCAATGTGCCTCAAATTAATAACTTTATGAGCTCAAATATAAATGATTTGGGAGCCAATCAACCACGCACAGTTAATCCAGCTCAAACTTGAGTTTATTCTAAAAATATACTTGATCTAAAATTAGTATTTTTTTTGTAAATTTTTTATTTTCAACTTTCAAATTTTAATTTTATCTTCTGAGCTGACTTTTCAAAGCTAAATTTAATTTTGCATTTTTCAATAGATTATCCACAATTAATTATCCAATTCCATCATTTTTATTTTCCCTCTTGATTTATACTTTTATTTCCCCTTTCCCTTTCCAGTACAATAATATTTCTGTTTTATTTATTTCCTTATTTTTCAATTTTTCAATTTTTCAATTTTTTTATCTATTTTGGTTTTTATAGATGTCATGTTTAAAACAAAAAGTTTGTTATTAAAACAATAAAGTTAAAAATAATTTACGTTGTGAACATGTTCTAAGTAAAATGTAGTATTCTTGGTGGATTGCCCTTATCTATATTGTATAAAAATGGAACCAATATAATCAATAAAAATAAATAAGCAAAATAAAAAAAAATAAAAACTCAAACAAAAGTGAACAAATAGAAAAAACTTAAACCAAAATAAAACAGACAAAAGAAAGAATAAATGAAACAAAAAAAAAGTAAATCAAAATATAAGAATAAAAGATAATTAATTTTACTTTAATAATAAAATTTAGATTATTCAATTTTTTCAAATTGACCAAACTGCTCAACTCCATGATTGATTTCATTATTTATATTAAGTTTATCTTCAAGCTCTTGAGTTTTTTGCACAATTGATGTCTCTTTAACTTCTTTTTCAGTGGTAGGTATAAGTTTTGATATTATTTCTGGATTTTGTTTCAAAAATTGGACATGATCGACCATTGTTTCACATATTTTATCAAGATTTTGATTTTGATAATATTTCAATGAAGTTCCAGTCAATCTTTTATTTACTGGGGAAAAACCGGTATAATTTTTACATAACAAACCATTAAATATTTGCCAGACTTGTAATTCGAAATCGTAGCCTAGGGATTCGGTCATGCCAATATATAATCTTCTATGTGATCCATCATCTTTAGTTAGTTCTTGTTTCTCTAATAATAATTCTGGAATTAATTTTGGGTAAGATAAATGCATGAATAAAACGTCTGGAATAGATATAGAATCGTTATTGGGGAATTCGTTGTTATTTTGGAACAAAACCTGATATGTCAAACCGTTTTCAAAATTTTGATAATCAATTATTGGATCATATTGGCCTAGAGCCTTTGCATTAAATTTTTCATTTTCGTCGTGATAACCGATCCATTTGAATTTCTTTTGGAGCTGATAGTAAGGTAGATTTAAAGTAAAAGCGGAAGCTATAAAGGTTTCTTTGTCACCTTCGCCAGCAGAGCCCTGAGTAAATAGAGGATAATAATAAGTTGGGCCAAAGACGTTATAATATAGAGATAACAATAGAGTTTTGACGTGTTTCTTTTTATTGACTAGTAACATGCCAGATTCCGAAGTTGGATTGGGCAAAGTGTTATTTAAATCATGAAAGTTTGCGTCCTTTAGAGTATCGATTTGATTTAACTCCTTATCAGGAAATTTTGTTTTGTAATAATTTAAGTTTCTTATTATTTTTTTTTCAAATGAGATACCAGCGATATCGTACCAATTAGGATTAGTTGTTCTTGCCCAATAATCAGGCCAAATTACTAGACCTGTTTTCAAAAAAGGCTTTGAAATGAACAAAGAATCAACTTTTTTAGTTGGAAAATTATCGGCATCGATGAATAAAATGTTTTCGAAATCTGATATTAAGAGAGCCAAGTTTTTATATTGATAACCCTTGAGTGGAATGTCATTCATTGTGAAAATTGAGATATCAAGTTTTTTGTATAATAGATTGCAATGAGCATTCAAAGTTGGCAAAACGGTTTCGCAAAAGTCTTGATCATAATCCTCTTCGGTTGCAATAAAGACCTCAACTGGAGTAGTTGAGTTGGTTAGTCTCAATTGGGTTATACTTAGAAGAGCTAGCCAGCTGTATTTTCCACCACCAACATAGACAATACCATTTTGAATTTTGTTGTTAGTATTATCATCATGACGAGAAGAGGTCTTTTTTTCTTTATCAAGTGGTCCGAAAACTGAGTTGGTAGATGATTTGGCAAAGTCCAAGTACTGCTGGTGGTTTTGTTTTAGATTGAGCAATTGGTTGTAGTCAATCTGAAGCAAGTTGGATAGGTAATCGTAGGAAAATACAAAATCATCAGTGTCAAACAACTCTTTTGATTTTTGGTTGTTGATGTAGGTATCCAATGGAGGGCAGGTAGGTTTCGCCTGTACAATTTGATCCAAGACCCAGTTGAAGACGCCTGTGTCGTCGTTGAGAATGTTTTTGTAACTAACCTCACGAGTGTTGTCCCTGTACAACTCAGAGAGAAACTTGTCCCTGTATTCGTAGTAGCTGAAGAGAGTGGAGGTGGAGTCGCTGGGGTCCTGTGGGACCCTGCTCAGGAACAAGGAAAAGCAGCAGTAGACAAACACAAGAGTGAGAAACACCTTGAGGAACCTTCTTTTAGAAAGCGGAGGCATGATGGAGCATCTGGAGAAGAGGAAGAGGAAGCAAAAGCAGCAGAGGAAGAAGAAGGTGGAGATGGTGAAGAAGAAGAAGAAGAAGAAGAAGAAGAAGAGAAAAGAAGAGAAGAGGTGATGAGATGCAAGTGCTGGTGAGACCACGCGTATGGCTCTTGAAGTGAACAGCTCAGAGCACAGAACCAGCTCTTCTTCTGCTTCTGCTTCTTCTTCTTCTTCTGCTTCACCATCTCCACCTTCTTCATCTCCATCAGGTTGCTCTGCTTTATCTTCACTCCTTCTGTCATGTCTGCTGCTTTATTGTCCTCACCCTCCTCTATCCAGGACAGAACCTTGGAGTTCCAACAGTGCGTCAACAACTTCAACAGAATCAACAAGCAACAGAACCATCCCCAGACCATTGCCTCCAACAAGAACTACAATAAGTCTGAGTTCTCTTCCAGAGCCTCTCAAATAGCTAAGGACATAGCTCACACCACTGATCTTCTCGCCAAACTCGCTTTGATCGCAAAGAAGAAATCCTTCTTTGATGATCGACCCATCGAAATCGCTGAATTGACCTACGTTATCAAACAAGATATCTTCAAAATTGAGAAATCCTTGAAGAGCTTGCAACAGTTTATAAATAGTAGCAATAATCTATCCAACGAGACCATAAACAGAAACAACCCTCCGCTGTCTCAAATTTCTCTATATTCAAAAAATGTTTTAAACTTGTTGAATTCAAAATTCAAAAATGTTAGTGGAGAATTTAAATCAGTTTTGGAAGTCAGACAACAAAACGAAATTTCCTCCAAAAATAAGAAAAATCAATTTTTGGGCCATATTAATAACCAAAATCTTTTAGGTCCAAATAATAATAATAATAATAATAATCAACCTCAAATACAGAACCAAAATCAAAATCAAAATCAAATCCAGAAAAATGGTATAATACAGAACCAATCAAACAACAATAAACCTTCAATTGCTTCCTTACAGCTTGGTCAAAGTCTTATATCTGAAAATCCCTTCTTATCTTCAACCTTACAAGATCAAGAAAATTACAGTAATTCTCATAATAATGATGACTTCTTGACTATAAACGATCAATCTCAAACTTTGACTTTGCTTGAAGAACAAAATTCCCAATATCTACAAGAAAGAAACAGAGCAGTTGAAACCATAGAATCAACCATAAACGAAGTTGGTAATTTATTTCAACAATTAGCTACAATGGTTCAAGAACAAGGTGAATCAATTCAAAGAATCGATCAAAATGTCGACGATATATCTTTGAATATCCAAGGTGCTCACAGAGAACTACTTAAATACTATACTAGCATTTCAAATAACAAATGGTTAGTTTTTAAAATCTTTGCAATATTAATTGTTTTCTTCTTGCTATGGGTCTTAGTGTCCTAATTATTCAAACCTCGTATTTTTCATTCTCTTCATTTGTTTTTTATTTTTTTTCATCTTTATTTCCTTTACCGATGTGCTTTTTCTGTTTTATATCACCTATATATATTTATTTCTTATTTTCAATTCCTTAAAGCTTTTTAACTTTTTATATAAAAAGTCTAATTTAGTAATATATTTTATATATTTCATTTTTATTTTTTAATAACACATTAATAAATGAAGATAAGGACTATAATAATTCTAAATTCTACAATCTACAATCTATAATTTATAATTATAGTTATAATTAAAAGAAAAATGAATAATTTTATTAATTGCACATTATAATATAGAAAAAATCTTAAAAATTACATAAAATTTTGACATAATTAATGAAGTAACACAATCCATTCAATGTTATAATATAATTGAATCAGAAAAATAAAGTGAAATGAAATAATAGAAACAAGAAAAAGTAAATGGAAATTTTATAAGTAAATGATTCAAATCAAATCAAGCTATCAATATAGTATAATACAATAGGAAAAAAATCAAAAAAACCCAAGAAAAACAGCATAAAAAACAGAAGCAAACCGATATTCTTTTTTGTTCTAAATTTGTGAATTGTGCACTTTGTTACTTCATTAAATTAATCAGAATTTTCATCAAAACAATACATTCTAACAACACCTGCTTCATCACCACTTGCCAATCTACTATCACTTAAATCCACACATGTAACACTTTGAGTATGTCCAGTTAATGTATGCATGCATTTACCAGATTGTAGATCCCAGACTTTAACCAATCGATCATGAGCTCCACTAACGATTCTAAATGTATCAGCAGCGATTGACCAGACTCCTTCAAGATGACCAAATTGGGTTCTAACACATTTTCCCTTTCCGTTGTTAGCTTTAAAATCCCACAATTTAATTGTATTATCTAAAGAAGAAGTTAGCATATGGCTTGGAAGTTTATCAAGAAATTCTTTGGGGATAACCGTATCAACAATATCATTATTTTCGCTTTCATCACTGCTTTCGCTCATATCATTATCAACAATACTATTGTTAATATTATCAATTTGCAATCTGTTCCTATTATTGAAAGTGCTGTCGACTGAAAATTGAGAAGAAGATTTTGAGTCATCGTCTTCACCCTCACTGTCTGGTTTGTCCTCGGTGATATTATCTTTGATGGTTAAGGGTATAACAGTTTGAACTTGACCGATATGGCCACGTAAGCCACCTTGGAATACTTTTATACAGTTATTTGTCTTTAAATCCCAAATTCTTATGGTTGTATCATCGCTACAACTGAAGATTGTATTTGAAGCAGGATGGATCTTAACACAGTTGACAAAATCAGTATGACCTCTTAGTGTATGGCAGATTCTTGTTTCAACATGCCAGACTTTTATAGTGCAATCTGCGGAACCACTGACAATAATTTTATTTTTATAGGAATCTATGGATAAGATTGAGTCAGTATGACCTCTATAAGTTGAGATGCAAGTACCCAAATGATAATTCCAAACTTTTATGGTTGAATCTAGAGAGCCAGTGATTAGTTTTGAATCGTCGAATTTTAGACACCTAACACCTTTATTGTGACCAATTAGAGTTCTGATTAATTTGCCAGATTTAATATCCCAAATTTTGACTGTTGAGTCATAAGAGCCAGTGATTAAAATTTTGTGGTTTAATTGCAAAGATAGAATACCATCTTGATGGCCTCTGAATTCTTTTATTTTGAAGATACCCTTTCTCCAGTTTCTTTCGACTTTAAATCTTTCAGAGTAGACAGTTTTCCAAGGTCTTGTCTTTCTGATTAGTTTTATCTTTTTAGGTTGCTTTTGCAAGAGATTGGAGGAAGAAGACAAATCATGCAATAAAGTGGAGTTTTCAAGAGATCTTTTTTTGGAGAAAGAAGCAATTGTGGCTGCTGTGGCGGATTGAGAGGAGTCTGAGCCTGAAGACAAAGAGTCGTTGTTGAGTTCAGTGATCTTTGGAGAGTTTTGGGATGAAAGAGGATTTTTTTGGAGCTGTTGGTTGTTTGAGACATATTGCACTTGGTCATATTGTCTTGCTCTTTTCATATGCATTAAAGGCAAACCCCATCCACAGTTGGGGCATTTTCTATCGATGTGCTGTTTACACATATGGTGCCAAACTTGGTCGTCATCAGCTAATCTTTTCCAGTTTTTGGAGACTTGAGCAGCGTTGCAAAGAGAAGCGCAGTCGAGATAGGATAGAATTTTCAAGGAGATTTGGACTGGTAAGGTTGAAATAAAGTCGATTTTGATTAGATTTGAAATTTCTTCGCTGATGTAACTCAATTGATAGAAGCAGCACATTGAAAGAATTCCTTGTAAAATTAGATTTTTCTGCTTAGATGGAGCAGCAGAAAAGATTGACCAAATGTGAGAAATGTTTTGTTTGTCATTGTGATCCAAAGATTCCAAATTTTTCTGAATTTCAATTAGTTTAGCTTGATCAGCTTGTTTGTTGCAATTGATTTCAGGGTTGTGTCTGTAGCAATATTTGTGATAATTGTCAAAAGAGTTACTAGGCGGTTGACTTTTTGGTCTAAGAGCAGTGAGACTGTTGAGAGCAGGAGTCTTGTTGATCTTTTTATTGTTGGTATTGATGATGGTTTCAGAAGCATTTTGATCGATATAGGCGGTAGCTGTAGTCGTAGAAATGGAATCTGTAATAAGTTTGTCCTTCTCATGGTTATGAATAATCTGGGAGGTAAGGTCTTCTTTGGAGTTGGCAGCAGGAATATGCTTTGTTAGAAATGGAGTTATTATTGAAGAATCGGTTGGCTTTAATTTCGACTTTGATTTTGATTTTGACTTTAGTTTCGATTTTGATTTTGGTCTGATCTTTGAAGTTGAGTTTGAGCTGGAGCTTGAGTCGTTGGAATCGTTGGAATCGTTAGCAGCTGAGAGCTCACTGGAAAAGTCACTGGCTCTGATGATGTCCATCAAATTGAGCTGTTTCTCATAATGGGGCTTCTGGAGGGTGTTATGAAGATCAGTCTGAAGGGAGGGAGAGCCAAGAGCCTCCTGGTCAGCAGAAAGAGCGTTGTGCTTGTGGTTGTCGTCAAAGGGTCCTAAGTCCATGGTGATGAGAGCGAAGAGAAGCACTGAAAAGAGGCAGACGCAGCAGAAGAAGCAGACGCAGCTGGGGATGGCCGCAGAAATATCCAATATATATAATGGACGATAGCCAGGTGCTTTCGCGTGCCGATCGCGCAATCCGTGGCTGCTCCACACCGGTGGTCTCTTCACGCCACAGCATCTCATACCCGCCCAGCTGTGGCGTAATGGCTGCTGCGTGATTATGCGACCCATAGTGGTGGTTGTGGTGGGTGTGAGGAAGGCGAAAAGAACACCGTACAAATAAGGAGAAAGAATCACAATTAAACGATAAGGCAAAATCGACAGAAGAAGGAACTTGGAGAACTTGCAGAACGTGAAGAACTGGGGAAAACTATATGGAAATTTTATAAAACAATTGTAAAAGAGCTTGTCTTCTGAGTGGACTATTAAACTCAGGTGGTACTGAAGGAAAACGAATTTGAGTGGATAAAAGTGAATGAAAACGAATTGAACAATGAAGTAAAACTGAACTTAAAAACAATAGCGAAAGAAAAAAATAGTAACCAAAGAGCTTGGATATTTGAAAAAACATATTAAAGCGAAGGGTAAAAAATGCCAAAGATATCTTTCAAAGATAAAATAAACGAAAAAATAAGAGAACCTTAAAGGAAACTTTAAGGAAATTTAAAGAATATTCAAAGAAAACTTAAAGGACAATTTCAATATCAAATTCATCTGACGAATCTTCATTGTAATTAATGTCGGAAAATCTTCTTTTTTTTGAATTAGTATTACTATTGTTATTAATTTTATGATTAATGGGGTTAATGGGATTAATGTTGATGAAGTTTTTGGGAGTTGGTGGATAAATAATCGATTCACAAGAGCTTACTGAAGAGTCCTTGGAATGATACGAAGATGATGACGACAATGGTAATGGACTTGGTGTTAATAAAAAAGGGTAATCTGTTTGATTATTAATTAAATTGAGTGAATACGAATTGCTGTAATCATAGATATTGCTAATATCATCATTATTGTCGTAATTATAGCTGGAGTCATAGGAATAGTCGTCAATGGCTGTTCTTGTATTGATTTTTAATCCACATTTTGGTTTATTAGTATTTTCTTCTTTTTTATTACCATTATCAGTATTTAGATTATTGTTATCATTATTGTTATTATTATTGTTATTATTATTGTTATTATTATTGTTATTATTATTGTTATTATTATTGTTATTGATATTATTATCATTTAAAAGAAACGATGGTAATAAATTATCATAGTTTAAATTATTGATACCAGTAGGAATACTACTGTCTTGAAAATTATTGTATTCTTCAACCATATTGATAAGTGTCTTATTTATTGTTTTTATTGTTATTATTATTACTATTGGGAATAGTAGTTGTAGTAGTATTTGTATATTATATCTCTTTGATCAATATTTAGTTGACGAAAACCTCATCTTTTATTAACTTTTTGGGCTGATTGCAATATCTAACCTATTCCAAATTAAAATCCTGCTGCTAGCTCGTTTTTGATATCTCAAAGTCTTGCTTGAATTTATCTATATTCCAAGTTTTTTTCTATATTTTACTGTTTGATAAATTTTCTTAATGCGAGAAAAAGAAAATTCAAAAAAGGAAAGATTAAAGCTAAATTTTTCTACTTGTTTTTTATTTTTTTCTTATTTTTGTTTATTTTTTCAACTTTTTTCAACTTTTTTCCAAATTTTTTGTTTAGTTCACCTGTTTTTTACTTATTGATTTTGCTTCAAGCAAATTTAAATTTAAAACGAACCTGCAAAATGATTTATCACTTTTTTCTCTGCTGTTTTGAGACTGTTAGATAGTATGCAATAAATATTCCGATTAGTATTACAGTCTTTCAATCCTGCAATCCTATTATCTTTTCCTTTTTTACTCTCTAATGCAACTCTATTATCTCGCTGCCTGATAAATTGCTTTTCTGTTGTTTACAAATAGTTGGGAATAAGGATAAATCAAAGAGTTTTTCAATCATTCACTTGCACTGATATCGGTGTTTAAACTAATTTGGCCTATGCACATCTGTTCAAAAAATACAAAAAAAAGGACAGTGTAGCATAAAACATCTAGATTACCTACACCTATGGCTCCGATCAAATTCATCTACACTGTATATACATTTATTTGGACTATGGAAGCACTCCAAACACAGGTCCTGCTGCCATAAAGGGTCCAGCTGCTTCCTCCAGACAATGCTCTGCTCCATCGTTTCGTTTGAGCCTAAAACCTCCACATCCAAAGACCGTAATTGCGTTCTAGACCAAATTTCCTGGGCTCTAATCCGGGGTATTCTCCAGCTCCAAAACTGTAAGAAATACTGGAGAAACACCCAAAGCCTGCTCACCTTCTTTTTTTCCAGCTCCTCCTTTTTGCTTCTTTACTGTGCCCTCTCTCGTCCTTCACCACGCAATGGCTTTTACTGGATGAGAAATTGCCCTGTTCAACACTCTCCAACGCAACACTTGCAATATCTCGAAATCTCGCTGGTCCAAGTGGAATACCACCATACCATCTGGTAACAACACATAACACGTTATATATCTTACAGTTCTCTACCACTTTCGATATCTTGTACCCAGAGCCTGATTCACCACAGTCAAAGTAGCCTTGCCTAATATCCCTGAACTTATTGCTGGCTTCATCAAATTTTCCTGTTCTCCACGCAAACATCGTCGGATGTGTAGATTGAGCTATTTTTGGATTCTCATTTTTCAAATCACTTAGCAAGTGTGTAATTTCATTTTCGTCTTTTAATTTTACCGAAAATCCTTGGAACTTAGACTTTTTATCAGTTAAAATGTTCGAAAATGACCAAATTCTTTTTCCCTCACTAAATTTGTTCCTAGTAGTCAGGGAAAAATGAATAAGTCGTTTTATTATCATTGTGGTTTGTTTTATTTTTATCCCATATGAATGTCTGAACAAAAAATCCACAAAATATATTATATGTTATGTATTATACTATATCATACATCACTTTTACTTCCTTCTGATAATAACCTCTTCCTAATTTTATTCCTCTCTCTTCTCTCTCTTTCTTTGAAAACGGAAATGACAGCGTTCTCCAATTCAAAAGCCAGCACCATGGATGTCTGCCAATGACCTGGTTTTTCTGCTTACTGGCTTATTTATCAACCAATAGTGGTTCGTTCACGCCCCCATTATTGTCAAAAGTATGATAGTTCTGGTTAATGGTAAAAGAGTCAGTCTCTGAAAGACGAAATGGCTCCTCAAGTGAAGAAAACTGCAAAAGTGAGCAAGACTCGTCACAAGAGTCCTATAGTAAGCAAAGAATAGCTCAACGAAGTACTGAAAAAATTGGGCCCAAACGCCACCATCAAAGAAAACACCAAAACCCTCCTACACGGACACCCTCCAGAAGCTAAAACAATAAATATAATTGACGACAATGCTGGTACAATCAGTAACAACAATGATGATACAATGATGAACAACAGTGCTGATACAATCGAAATATGTTGTGAAGCTGCCGGATGTCTACATTTGACGCCTGTCGGTCCCTCGGTATCTGTTACCGGTCTGCTCCTGTGACGCTCTGTGATCTAACCCAGCTCCTTATAAAACGGGCTGGCGATCTCTTCTACGTTCTTCTTTCCTATATACTTCTTTACCTTAATATATTATCATGGATTCGCTACAACAGTTTTCATTTTGGGCAAATCTATTTTTTTCTCCTAACCTCATTTTGGGTTCTAGCTTTGATGAGCAATTGTAGTTCAAATGACCCCCTGCACTATTAGGGCTATTTTTTTTAGCTAATCAGAATAGCAAATAAGACAATTATCTAACAGATTACATGCATATCAATGCACTTACATGCACATTACTTGAATTGCGCAGATTGTATATATCTCTAAAAACGAAAACCTCAATATATATTTGAGGTACTTTGCTCTGTTTTTTTCGAGCAATAAATATTCTTGATATTACTTACATCCTAAAAAACTTATTTAAATCAAAATTTTAAATGGTTGCCAACGACAGACAAAATCTATTGGACGGATTGCCACCTCACATCCTTGACGCCATTTTCACCAAACTCTGTTGGCCAAACATTGTTATTTGTCTCCTCGACCAATCCACTAGTTAAAACAACTTCTTTGCAACTTATCTTTAAAAACATCAAACTAAAGTCTCACCTTCCTGGTCGTTATCTTCGTATTATAAATGACCAAATCACTCCCAATCATATCCTAACATTGTCACTGGCAGATGCTGCAGTGTTTAATGAATATTTCAATAGGTATTCCAGAAATATATATCTTAATATGATGCTTTCAAACCCAAACTTAATAGACCAATATCAAAATATGTTTTCAGTGTTAGGTCTGATCAAAAAATTGTCAATTTTCCTTCGATCAAACTTATATTCTGAGGTTCTCGCAACGCCTTCTAAATTCAATACGGTTTCAGATTTGAAAACATTTATATCATTAATCAAAAATGTGATGCTTTCACAAAGAAAATCACTAGAAACAATAGAATTTAATTATGATAACATCAAACAGTCCAGCAATGCCATATGTCCTGCATTGCATTATCAAACCAACACACCTGATTATCCTGAAGAATATAAAATTGAACTTCAGTTGTTATTTGCAGATGAATATGTCAACAATAATTCGTTCAAGTTTACTACACTAGAATTGAAAGGAGTGTGCTTTTCTAAAATGAATTCCGGTGTGCTAAAACTGATGGATTTAAAACATCTCAAATTGGCAAACAGCAGCTGTCCCAGTTTGAAGAATATCCAATTCTCTGACACAATCGAGTATTTGGATTTATCACACAATGGAATTGCAACTATAAAAAATGTGAAATTCCCTACAAACTTGGTTACTTTGAAGTTGTGTTTCAATAAAATAAAATCGTTCCAAAATTTCAACCAGTGTGACAAATTGGTCCAAATAATGCTAAATAACAACTCCATTATGAAGATTAATAATGTTTCCAAGTTTAAAGATATAAAGCAGCTTTATTTAAAAATCAATTCTATCAAATCAATCGCAAATCTAAATGCATTATCGAATTTGGAGGAATTATATCTTTCACATAATTTGGTCAGCAACATTGCAGAACTTAGAGGATTACCAAATTTAAAAATCTTAGATATATCTAATAATCCTATTGATAATTTTAATAACGCATTTGCAGATATTCCCAAATTGGAAAAATTAAATATGTGTGAAAGTATGATTAGGAGTATTGGAAAACCTGCTTCCAAATTGCTAAACTTAAAGAGCATTACGTTGTGCCATAACTTTATATCAAAAATTGGAAATTTTAACCAAATGATTAATCTCAGAAATATAGATTTAGGAAGTAATAGGATTGAAAAAATCGAGCAACTAGACAACTTAGCCCAACTTTCATTTTTAGGTCTTTGTGAAAACAAAATAAAGATTGTTGAAAACATTGAGAGTTTAGGCAATTTACGCCATATCAATTTATCAGACAACAACATATCTGAGTTTAAGCTCACAAAAAAAGGCAAATTTTTGGAAAAATTAGCTATATTGGGTCTACGTAATAATAAAATAACAGAAATAAACAATTTAAAGTGTTTAAAGAATTTGAAGCATTTGGATCTATCAATAAACCAAATTAAAACATTAATACTATTGAAAGAATTGAATAGTTGTGCCATTATGAGGTTAGAGGGCAATGAAATAGAAAAAATTGAACAAGACAAACCAAATTATTTTGCAATCAATTGGATTTTCAATGATTGCATTTTCAATGATTGCATTTTCAATGATTGCATTTTCAATGATTGCATTTTCAATGCAATGTTTAAAAAGCAGCCCAGTTTAGTGCCTGAAGACAAACATGATATGATGTTGGATTTAAGATCAAACCGTTTAAAAAGCACTCAAGGGCTATCACAATGGAGCAATATTACTCACCTGAAGTTGCCTGATACAATTATACAAATTAGTTCAGATGTTATAACATTGCCAAACACTAAAGAAATCAAATACGAGCTGCCAGCTTCGAATTCCTTATTTAGATTGAATCAGTTAAGAGCTCAAGCTCCAAATTTAAAAATTGATTTCTATAGAGAAGCACTATGGTACATACCAGTTAAATAGCTAAATAGTTGAAATGTTAGTAATTATGGTTTCTTCAACGAAAGTTCGATCCATTAAAACCTGGAAGAAAGCCAATCTCAAAGTGCCAAATCATGCAATTGGTACTCTTGTTAGATCCTGATAGACCACTTTATGATAAGAAACATTTCTGATTTCTCGTTTTGTGATTCTTGTTGGTTTGATTGCAGTTGTATCAGTTGCTGTATCCATCGTAACTTGAACATTTAAATCCTGATCCCATTCTACCAATACCCTGATAATGAACCATTATCCAGGTTTTCAGGCCAGCACTTCGCAAATCGTAACCGTGATTTTCCTTTGTTTTTTTTAGGGAACACACGTTTGGATTTAAGCATGGCCAGTGGAGGTCCGGATGTATAAGGTGTAGAAATTCAAAGAAAGTTGCATTTACAAGAACGCGTTTTGTTTTTCCGCTCATTGGAGCGGCAAAGGATGGGATCCGTTGTTGAAAAACAAAAGATGGTGTAAAAGCCGTTCATCTCCACTGGTTCCTTTTATCTGAATCAACTCATTTTAATTTCAAAATGCAAGCAGTAAATGCTTCCTATGCTCACTTGAAATCTCTAATTGAAAACAACATCGTCAATGACCTTCCCTTGGACAGAGAAATTGAATCAGAGATTAGTAAAAATATTCTCATTCTAAATAATCTATTGATCAATTCTTATCAAAGTAACTCAATTACTGCTTTGCTTGTTAACCAGTTCCAACTCAAATATAATCTAGAAATATTAAACACTGTTTTCATCCTTTTTAATTCAAGTGATTTCATCAAATCTTCAACAAGATTCTTGAATCTAATTAACGGTTTACAAAAAATCGAAAACTTTAATAACAATATCCCATTATACAATATTTTAACCAATTCATTAAACACTATAATTAATTTGTTTTTGTTTAATCCAATTTTAGATTTAAGAAAATCAAAAGTTTTATCCTCAATTTTCTCAATTCAAGCAACCTATATTAGCGCCAATAATAACAATAATAACAACCTCAATAATGTCTTGAATCAATTCAAATGTTTACAGTTTATTGACACAGAATCGATTCTAAGCTATCAAACTCAAATTTTCGACCACTTAAATAACAACCACACCGAAAATGAACAAGACTTTTTGAGAATTTTATTCAAAAATCAAAATGTCAAAATCCAATTTCAAAGAAACTTATTCCAGTCCTTTTTTGAGTACAACGTATCTCTACTTCCAGAATATTATTCCAAAATCGGGCTTCAACATCTTTTATCATTTTTTGGATTCAACGAAAAGAACAAAAAAATCTTCAATGAAAAATTCAATATCAACATAGACTTTGATATCGTTCTTTTCATATCCAAAATGATCAATGATGGTCGTCTTCAAGGCAAGATTGACCAACCAAGAGATCTTTTACTGTTTGAGCAAGATTTGGATACCAACAGAGACTACGGCACTTTCATTCTCGACTGGCAAAAAAACAAAATTGGCCTGTTTTTTATTAATCTTGAAGACATAATTGCAAAAATTGAAGCCAGCTACGAGATAACTGCTGTTTCTGCTTCAAATCCTGCTCCAAATCCTGCTCCACCTTCAACGGCTTTGTAAAATAAATTAGGCGCCTGTGGCGCGTGAATACCACGTGAGCATTTATAAAATATTTCTCGTTTTTTTTTGATGTTTATGTTCCCATTTTTTTAGCAATAGCAGTTTTTTTGATTTAAATTTAATGGTTTGATATTTATTCAAAGTATTTTCTTTTGTATTTTATATCTAGATTCTTTAAATCTTATATTTTGTTTTATTTAATTTTATTTCACTTCTTTGGTTTTTTATATTTTTCTACTTTTTTTAAAGATATTTGGCATTCATTTCTTTCATCTTTACAAAATATTAAAATATCAAAATATCAAAATATTAAGAAGTAAACTACACCTACACCTAAATCACAATGGACGACATTTCATTATCTGACAGTGAATTACCATTACCAAAACAAAATAAAGATAAAGTATACAGCTTATCAATCGATGAGGTAGATGATAATCCCGATGAATTAATAGATTTAAGAGGTCAGGGAAGATATTTTGGTAATTCCGAGGATTCTGCTAATCTTATAATATGCTCGGTTTGCCATGAGCCTGGTCATATGAGAGCAAGTTGTAAATCGGTTATTTGCCATTCATGTGGAATGCTTAATGATCATTACACTCAACATTGCTTAAAAACTTCGGTTTGCACCAACTGTGGTGAAAAAGGCCATTTTAGAAACAAATGTACAAAACAACAAAGAAGAATTTATTGCAATAAATGCGATTCAAGACACCATAATAGTGATAGATGCCCTTTAATCTGGAGAAGTTATATTGTAACAAATAAACACAATGAAAAGGTCTTGCCAATGGTTTTAAACATTTATTGCTACAATTGCGCTAAAAAGGGCCATTATGGTGATGACTGTGATTTAAAGAGAAATTCAAAGGTTCCAAACACTGATGGAAGCGCTTTTTCGGGTGATAATTTACCGGGGGTTTTAAGAGATAAATATTGGACTGCTTTGAAGAAAAGAAACTATGATGATTATAATTATCATGATGATTATAATACCAATGACTATAACAACTTTGACTATGCTGACGATTTTTTCAATAATTTTCAATCTCTACCAACCCCCATCTCTCCAGCATATCTGTCAAATAAAAGGACTAAATTTGATAAATCTAATCTTCCCACAAAACCTTTATCGTCTAGAATTAAACAAAATATTAATAATAATAATAATAGTAATAACATTGAAATTGATTATGGATCTAATGATTTTGCTCAAACAGTTTCACAAAACTCAAAAAATAAAAACAAAAATAAAAACAAAAAAGCTAAGAAAAATGAAACTCAAAATAAATCTAAAAAAATTGAAGTTAGCATAAGGACGCAAGCTAATAGAAGACTAAGAACTCCATCAAATAACAATAATAATAATAATAGTAATTACAAAATGCCAACGTCTTCAACTTTTAATTTTCAACCAAAAAACAACCCTTATATGGCTCCTACAATGTATGATTCTTATCAGAATCCTCCAAATTCCTTTAATGGTGGATATCAACAACAATACTCGAATAATAATTCAAATTTCAACCAAAGCTATAACTCAAATCAGAACATGAACTATAATTCAAATTACAACTCGAATTACAACTCGAATTACAACTCTGGCTACAATTCTAATCCTAATATTAATTCCAATACCAGATACAACAATCAAAACTCGTATAGCCAGACAAATAAGAAAACAGGGTTTTTGCCTCCACCAGGTCCCAGAAATTTGAACCCAAAAAGAAATAACTATAACCAAGGTATGAAACCTTCAAGAAGTGGCAGATTATAACAGATAAATAACACAAGTGATAAACTTTTTTTCATTTCATTTCAAATTTTAATTTTGCATTAACCATTTGACGAACTGTGAGATATCTTAATCATCTGATTGATTCAAGGTTTCTTATTACTTAATTGAATTAAGTCCATTTATATATTGCTTTTTGTCTCATTTTGTTGCAAAGCTGTATCAATATGATCTGAAGCTAATGCATCGTCAGAACTAAAACTTCTTTGGAAACCTTTCGCCCAAATAAGACAATTTCACTACTAATCATAACGATTATTATTAGTATTGAACCTTTGCACTTTCTGCTTATGAGTTGTCTTCATTTAGGATAAAAGTTGTTTTTAACAGCAAATTATGGAAAAATACTTTTTTTTGAAAATTATAACTAATGTTAATATAAATACAAAGCAATATATTTTGAAAATATACTCCTAATTGATTTTGATTTTTTAATCTGGCTACCGGTCTGGTATCTGTAGTACTTCCCTTGATGCAAATTTATCGCTCGTCATTTTGGAACAACATTTTGTAAATTGTTATTTGTTTTAAAAAATACCAAAAAGTTAATCCTTTTTCTTCAATCTATGGTTGCCAATCTGAAAAATAGTTCAATTGTTTCATTAGTAGTTTGGTTATGCTTTCAAAAGAAAATAGTTTTCCCTTTCAAACATCGGCGCTTTTAAGTTTTAAATCAGGGTTTTTAAATTCCCTTTTCGATATTTATTCTAAATCTGTAGTTTCAATCGCCCGTAAACACCAACTTCTACATTTCATGCTCGAGTACCCAACTTGTTTTCAGCATCTTCTTCTCTTGTCTTGAGTTTGATTCAAACGTAGTCATTGAAGTCGGATGCAGGATGTTTACTTCCTGCATCCATTCAGAGCAGGCATGCCGGGTAACTTTTCCGACTGGAGCTCGTCAGATAAAGTTGGAGCTTCAAAGTGGCAACTGAAAGTTCTCTTCACCAACACTGAATCACTACAGTTAACCACCACAAGAGCGAATTGAAGCGTTGTCTGTGGAATTGTTGTTTTGTTTGTTCTTTTTTGCATTTTTTTCTTATAATATTAAGTGTATCTTGTCATGGCATTAACGTCTGCTGCTCCATATTTGGCTTTGCTACAGGAGGATGATCCAACCTTAAAATCTTACTCATTGACTTCACTAAATGGCATTGTTGATCAATTATGGCCTGAGATTTCCAACAACTTGGCTGAAATCGAGGAACTATACGAAGATGAGTCCTTCAAAGATAGAGAACTAGCTGCTTTGATAGCCTCCAAAGTTTACTACAATTTGGATGTATATGACTTGGCTGTCAAATATGCCTTGGTCGCTGGTGGCAAGTTTGATATTACTGAAAAGTCAGAATTTGCTGAAACTATAATCTCCAAGGCTGTTGAAACCTACATTAAATTATCTCAAAAGGCTTTCACTTATCCTGAGAAATCGATTTCAATCGATAAAAATTTAATTAAAATTGTCGAAAAGATGACTGAAAATTGTTGTGCTAAAAATGAATGGAAGTTGGCCTTGGGTATTGCTCTAGAAAGTTATAGATACGATGTTATAGAGTCAATTATTTCTAAACAATTTGACGCTGCAAATGAGGAAGCAGCTTTATCCTTAATCAATTACGTTGTCTCCACATGTTCAAGCACAATCATTGACAATAAACTCTTTAGATTTCATGTTTTACGAAACATATTACATTATGCCTTGAACAAAGATATTAACGATTACGTTTTATTTTCAAAACTCATTATCCAACTAAATGATTATCAATTGGCTATCAACATCATCTACTCTTTACTACTTAAAAAGGAAAAAAGCAAAAATTTGGTTGCTTATCAAATTGCTTTTGATTTAGTTCAATCAGCTTCTCAACAGTTACTAGATGGCGCAATTGAATCTATAAACGAGCATCCAGATCAAGAATTTCAAAAAATTAAAAAAATTTTAACCGGTGTTCCAACTTGTGATTTCAATATTACCTTTTTGTATAAAAATGACCATACTGACAATAAAATTTTGGATAAATCAAAGGCAGTTTTAGATGGAAAAAGTTCAATCTATCACAATGCTTTAACGTTTCAAAACGCATTCATGCATTGTGGTACAACTAACGATCAGTTTATTAGAAATAATTTGGATTGGTTGGCAAAAGCAAGAAATTGGTCAAAATTTTCTGCTGCTGCTGCTTTAGGAGTTATTCACAAAGGTAATCTATCTCAGGGTAAAACCATATTAGAGCCTTATTTACCAGAAAAAGGCGGTTCTGCTTACTCTCAAGGTGGTTCTCTTTATGGTTTAGGTCTTGTCTTTGCAGGCCATGGTCGAGAAATTCTTAATTATATTAGAAAACATATTGTTTCTGGTGCAAACTCAAACGAAGAAGATGTTGTTTCTCATGGTGCATGTTTAGGTGTCGGTGTTGCTGGCATGGCTAGTAGTAATCTCATTACTTATGATAGATTGAAAAATGTTTTATTTTCAGAATCCGCTACATCTGGTGAAGCTGCTGCTATATCAATGGGTTTAGTGATGTTAGGATCTGGAGATCCCGAATCTTTGACTGAAATGCTTGAATATGCTGAACAAACACAACATGAAAACATTGTTAGAGGGTTGGCTATGGGAATTGCTCTTTTGAACTACGGAAGAGAAATAGAAGCAGATAAAATAATAGATACATTACTTGATCATCAAAACTATCATTTACGTTATGGTGGTGCTTTTACAATTGCATTAGCATATTGTGGAACTGGCTCAAATAGTGCTGTCAAAAAACTTTTACATGTTGCTGTTTCCGATTCTAGTGATGACGTTAGAAGAGCTTCCGTCATTGCTTTGGGCTTTGTTTTATTAAGAGAATATACCACAGTACCAACAATTGTTGAATTGTTATCCGAATCTCACAATCCTCATGTCCGTTACGGTACTGCAATGGCTTTAGGCATTTCATGTGCTGGAAGGGGTTATGCTCCAGCTATTGAGGTTTTAGAACCTTTATCAAAGGATCCTGTGGATTTTGTTCGTCAAGGTGCTTTAATTGCAATGTCTATGATTTTAATTCAACAAAATGAAAAAACTTTCCCTAAAGTTAAAGAAATTAAAGAACTTTTTTCAACTTATTTATCAAATAAACAAATGAGTATTGTTAGATTTGGTTCTGCCATTGCTCATGGTATTATTGATGCTGGTGGTCAAAATGTTACTATCCAATTGGAAAATAATCAAACTGGAACTTTGAATATGAAAGCAATTGTTGGTTTAGCTGTATTTGTTCAATATTGGTACTGGTTCCCGCTAACTCATTTCCTTTCTTTATCATTTCAACCAACTTCAATTATTGGCGTTAGAGAAGATTTGAAAATACCCAAGTTTGAAATAAACTGTCACACAAAACAGGAGATCTTTGATTATCCTCCAGCTTTCCAAGAGAAAACTGGAAAAGTTTTAGAAAAAGTTGAAAAAGCAGTTCTTTCAACCACTGTAAAAGCTAATGTTAGAGCAAAATTAAATAAAGCCAAAAAGGAAAGAGAAGGTGACAAAAAAGAAAAAGATATTGAATTGAAAGAAAAAGAAACTGCCAAAAAGGAAATTTTGGTTGAAAAAATGGATATAGATGATGAAAAAGTAAAACTACCAACCAAAGATGGAACAGAACAACTAGAAACAGATATAACATCATCTGAAGATGAACAAATAACCACAGTTCGTTTTACTAAGGATGCTTATAAAATTCAAAATATGACAAGGGTGTTACCTCAACAGTTGAAATATATTTCATTTGACAAAGAAGGTAGATTTGTTCCAATTAGAAAGTTTAGAGGAAATGATGGTGTTGTTATTTTGGTCGATAAACAACCAGGTGAAAAATGCCAATTTAACAGAACCGTGAGACAAATTTATGACACTGAAGCCCCAATTCCTGAACCTTTTATATTGTCTAAAGAAGATATGTTGGTTGAATCAGATTGAACGTAAAATTTGACTATAAATAAACGTAAATTCTATATATGTATAGGTTTTTATCACAATAGAACAAAATTTTAATTGTATGACCTGTCATTGAAAAAAAGCCAGTAATTATAATGTTCTGTAATATAAAATCATTGTTACATTTTTTCTCCACTGCCTATAGTTAGCAATTCTTTCACAATTATAGTCGAATTTAATTTGAATGATATTATACCAAATTTATTAGAGCCTTTGAAATAGAAAACTGGTTTGAAATTCTCCAACAATAAAATTCGATCTACTATGATGTTAAAACAAACATATGAAATTTGTTACAAATTGAAAATAAAAATTACCTATAATATTACATTAACCAAAAATAACCCACGCTATTAAACTTTTTCAAAATAAATTTACTTAAATCTTGAAAATGCAGGAGCAAATAGGTCAGTTTCTTCTTCAACATTCTTCGATTCCAATTTCTTTTGACGCAATTCTTTTTCTCTTTTCAAGTTTCTTTCCAAACGAACTCTACGTTGATCAATAACATTATTATTCTTTTTACGCAAGTGACGACGCACAGCTGAGATTCTTCCTCTTGACTCTTTCTTAGCTTCTGGTTGGCCTTCTTTTTTAGCTGTTTCGCCAGTTAGTTTAGCCAAATAGTCCTTTTTAAGTTTTATGGTATCTCTAGCCTTCTTACCAACAAGACCAAGACTGAAAGGATCGTAAGCAATTAAATCTGGAGATAGTTTATTCAACAAAGAAGTTACTTCTTTATCTTTACGCTGTTCTGATGTTTCATATGGATTAGCTTCCAATGCATCAAAGTTGGCTTCACCAGAGCCAGGTATGATCAAGGAGGATATACCATCATTATGACCCACTCCAAGAATATCTTCGAATGGAACATATCTAACTGTTTGAATTTGAGAGCCAGGAATTAAATGATTCATATATGGAGATTTTTGACGAGTTTTGAGTATGTCCTTCCAGACAGTTACATGAGGACCCCATCCTATACTCAAGAGGCCAGTGTCTGATATATCTAAAGAATTTGCAGGAGTTGGAGTGTAGTATGATTCCATTTCTTTCAAGTTGGATAGCTTCCTTATATCCCATATTTTCAAACTTTTATCGGCACCAGAGCATGCCATATATCTACCATCTCTAGATACAGCAAGAGATCTTACAGGACCTCGACAGACTTGAAGTTTTGCAACTGGAGTTGAAGAATTGGGAATCCATAAAGTGACCTGACCATTAGCATGCCCAAGATTTATTACAGCATTCCAGGGGTTTTGTCTCATCGAAACTGTTGGTCCTAATTTTGTTCTAAATTCTGAAACCATTTCACCAGTGGAAACGTCGTGGTATTTGAGAAATCCGGTATTACCAGCAGATACCAAAAGAAAGTGGTAAGGCAAGAAATCTAAACTGGTTGCTTCTATATGCTGGCTTAATCTGTGCAATTCAACACCTTCTTTATTATACACAAAAGTATACTTCTTTTGAGCTACTGCAAAATATTGTTCATTATGAAAGTATTTCACTGCATTTACGGTCTCATTTAGATGTAACTCACAATCTAGAGTCCCCTGTCGCCAGTCCATAGAGGCTACATGTCCTTTCTTTCCACCAATCAACAATTTTCTACCATTGGTTGTATAATCCAAAGTATATGGCCCAAATTCATTTAGTTTCAAGGCGAAGGCTTTATTTGCAGTTCCAACATCGACGTTTTCTTTGATCTCCTTTTGAGTGAAATTGTATGTTTTTTCTAGACCTTCTGCTTCAAGATAACCAGCTTCTTCTGTTAGAAGTAATCTTTGCTCTTTGGCAATAATCTCTTCATCCTTTAATCTTTTGTAATGTTTTTTACTGTGAACATTTTTATTGAATTCTTTTTTCTTCTCTTTCTTTACTCCCGAAAAAGGTGTTTCGGAAGCATATCTGATCACAGTGGAGTCCTTTATGATTTTTTGCTTTGCAACCATTATCGTACAACTAAATGATCTGAAATATAATTTCAGAAGCCAAAGTTTTGAGATTAAATTTTTCAATTCAACTAAAAAAAAAATAATGAACCCATTGCGGTGGTCTCTCTAAAAAAGGAAACTTCAAAAAATATAAAAGCTTTTTTTGATTTTTCGATGGTTGAAGAATTACACAAAAAGAGGAGCATAGAGCTTTGATTTTGCTCAGTTCAGTGAATTCAAGATGAGTATTGTTTTTATTTCTTCTGTTAATTGAGCTACACTGCTGTTTTCTACGGCTCTATATTATACAGCTCAGCAATGGCAATATCACAAAGCCCACGAAAAAGGTTTCTTCGTCGAAGATCCACTCCTCATTCCCAAGGAAGTGTTTCCAATAAATCTATTCAAATTTTGTCTGCAAGTTTGGATAACAACGACAAAAATAACCACTTAAAAACTGATAGTGATAGTGGTGATCATTTTATATCAGAGAAAAAGATCTCGGTAATTGACAATAACTTGGATAGTGAAAACTTTGATATAAAAAATGCAGAACTTCATTTGGTTAAAAGTTTAGATTCAAACAGTTCAAAAAGAAAAAAACTATTTGAAGTCAGAAATGAGAACGTTGAGAATGTTGAACTAGTTCGAACAAAATCTGAGAGTTCTTATCACAAAGAGTCCATAATTGCTGATGAAGACTTGAACATGCTTCTTAATTATTTCAATTTAGAAAGAAGAACTCAAGAAAAGGATTTCATACCAAATAATAATCAAACTGATCAAGAAAATGTTAATCCAAAGGAAAAGAGAAAACATTTTATTGATAAAGTTGTTGATGAAAGTAATTGTGCACCAAAAAAAGTTTCAAAAGTAATTGAAGAAGAACCACTAAAAGAAATTATTAATAATGGTCCTGAAAAAATTAACGCTTCTGAAAAATTGATAAAAAACGATGAAAATCTCAAAATAGCTAACACTAATAATCTAAAAATAACACAATTAAGACTCAGAGATAGAATTTCTTATTTTTTTGGCTTTAAAAAAACTGAAAATAAAAAGACTGTGGGTCCTATTCTTACTGGCACTGAAAAAGACAACGAAGAAGACTCAATAGATGATTCAGATAAAGAATCAAATTTTTCTTTTAAAAATTCTTCACTTAGACATAATAAAACCAAACAAGCTGGAAACTTTGCTAATTTACCTGCGTTGTTTGAGAATAATGAAGAAAAATTGCATAAAGAAGCTCACTTGTTTAAGTATATCAAATTTCCTTCCTCAAAATTAGTTTTGTTGGATAATGCCAATAGAGATTCATTTATAACTCAATCACTAATAATTAAAAACAACTTGAATGGAGTATATTGTTTAGGTTTTCCTTGGGTTGTTTGGAATGATTAGTAAGTCATACTTCAAACTCACCCTTAAACTCTTTTTTTAGCTCATTATATTTTAGAAACTTTACTGACTGTTGATAACTATATTTATCCAGCTTGTGTGAAGACTGTGGATCAAGACCAACGACGTCTGCGACAACAACATTCATTAATGTTAACAGTTCGCTGAAGACTAAAAGAAAATTGCATGCAGAGGAAACGATAGAAACAAAAAAGGTATGAATATCTCACTTGAAATTAATCTTACTGATAATCAATTTCTAACAATTTGTACAGGATTTAGATTTTTTCATTCAAAAGCAAAAAAAATTAGTCAATCATAAAAAATTTCATTTGCACATTTTTAGAACTCATATTAAACCAAGAAGAACAGAACCAAGGTTAAATGGCTCTGGTACAATAATTTTTCAAATTAATGACGGACTTGAATTTTCATTTTGGAAAAAAATTCTACAAATAATTTTAGAAGACAAGTTATTTGGCCCTTTGACAGCACAAAATCAAGAATCTATATGTGGAATATCATGGAAAAATAAAAAATTGTATTCTATATGTTCGTTATGGCTTTATCCAAATGGTCAATATAGTAATGAAAAAGTAATAAAACTTTGTGAAGATATTAAAGACCTACTTCCAGATGATTTAAAACCCTTTATTGATTCTGCAAGATACGTTCATAACAATACACTTGAAATTGATGTGTTGTACAATGAATGCTAATTTGGGTTAGTATTTTTTTCATTTTTATCGATTATAAAAATTGAAGATTTCAATAGATAATATTTATTGCTTAAAGAAAGATATGATAGCTTTTTGAAACATGTAAGAATATAGACTTTAAAAAAACTGTTCTGGGATACTGATTGTTAATTTTAAAAAAAAATTAATATTTTCAACTCCATTTATCATCATTTTTTTCTATTTGTTCTTTGATGAACTTTTCTTCTTGCTGTAATATTTTTTCATATTCCAGAATTTCAGACGAATCTGTAGAGTCCTTTCTGACGGATTGTTGTTGATTTCTTAGTTTATTCCATGAAGACTCCTCTTGGGTAGGACTGTTATTAGATTTTCTAATTCTTTCCCAAGAAGTTAAACTGTTATCTTCTGAATCACCAGCATTTGATAGTCTGTCTTCGCTGATAGACAACCCAAGTTTTGCAATATCAGACTGATCAATATGTTTATATTTTTCGTTTAGTGCTTCTTTCGAAAAAACTTTGTGAGGTTCATCGAAACTTTTGGTGTTTCTCTTTAATCCTAACATATCATCATTGTTGAGAAACGTACTTTTCCGAAAATTTTTATCATAAAGACGTCTGGGATCTTTGATAACAGAACTTGGATCCTCTATTGTACGTTCGTAGTATTTTTTCCAACCAAAAGCACCATATGGGGGTAAATGCTTTATAATTTTATGAATCTTTGCATCTTCAGGATAATTCTGGAGCTCAAGTCTCCTGCAATATCTTGCTCCATAGTTTCCACTGAACATCATGTTAAAAAGTCCAATCAAAATACCCACTTTCAAATTAGCACCTTTGGCGCTTCCAGTTCTAAAGTACTTGAGAGCAAATGGCGATGAGAAACCACCTATAAACCCAGCCCAACCAAAGCCAACAGTATAGCTTGCAACTTTTGCATAGACTCTTGCCAAAGTAACCCTTTCATCAACTGTTAGTGTTTTCTCAATATCGTAGAATGCAATGGCCTTTCTAAGGGCTTCTTGAGCAACATCGTTTGAACCAATTGAGTCAGATTGCAGGATTCTTTGGCCAACTTCAACCATTGTAGAATCAGATTTGAGAAATTTGTTAATCGAAGTATTTAAGAGTATTGAATAATAACGAATTGTGTATAATCTTTTAAAGAATAGGGCATTTAAGGAGTCAAAGACCTTTATTGAAAGGCAATGGTAGATCCGGGGTTTATTTGTGGAGACATCAGGTCAAACTAGGCATTTGATGCTGAACATGTTCATTCAATCTGATAATTCCGAGGCGACATAGACACTACCAACGACGTTAACAGCACCAACAGCATTGAAAACAGCCAAAAAATGAACAGCACAAGCAATACCAACAGCAGATCTGGTAATTCAAGACGTTTTTCAGAAACAAATCACTTCTTGGTATCTCATTTCAGCACTGGCTCTTCGTCAAAAGTGGATAGAAACACTCGAAAAGACAGCAATTCGGCCCAGAGCAACAACTTCTTGCTCGTTAACAACTACAAAACAAGAGAGCAAGTCGAAAAGGAGAAACAGATTGTAACAATTCTAAATAACGACGACTTGGTTATACTTTTCTCGCTTCAAAAAGAAGAGGTGAAATTGCCTCCAGATAGAGAGTTTGATACCAAACCAGACCAATATGTGTCGATAATCTCCAACAACTACGAAAAGGAGTATCCCATGAGCACAACACAGGCTCGATACAATCTCATAAAGAAAATGATGAGAAAGGATTGAGCCATTGAAGGTTCACTGTTCTCTGGTTGCGAGTATTTATGCCTAAGCTTGGTTGGTACTAGAAATTAAAATTATAACTTTTGGGTATATAATTGACATTTGTTGCTGAAATTGCCTACAAAGTATAAAGGCGAAATAGATAAATTTTAATTTTGTTCCTTTGAATTCTGAGACTGGTTTGTGCAAAGCAGTTTTGAGCAGCCAACAAATGATAAACCTCAATCAGCCTCAAGTAATAAGAAAAACATTGTCAAATGTATTTTCTTCCTTCACTAGTCAATCTGACAAGGAATTCTACTAAAATGTGCTCAAAGACTTGGCTCTCTAAAGATTGATCAACTGTTGAACAATTTTTAAAATCACAAATCTTAAAAAAATGACTGGGTCCATTTTTAAAAATGACTGATATATTTCTTGTCAGTTTAATAGTTTCCAAAATTATGATGGAATTGTCCTCTACCACGATAACCTCGAATTGATTTTCTAGATCTTTTTTGTGCTTCTTTTCTGTCAAATTGTTCACATTGGTATTTATAGTATTCAATTGAACCATCCCAAACTTCAATGTCTTTTTCATATTGGGTTTTCATTTTTTCAATTTTTTTTTCAAACAACTCTTCAATACATTTCATTTCTTGTTCATTTTTCAATTTTATTCTTTTTGTCTCATTTTGAATTTGTTCTTCGTTATCTTCTCCATTTAGATCGATAGTATTATCGTATCCCTCTTTAAAAGCATTGTCAAAAATGATTTTATTTTCTTTATCATGAGATTCTTTAATAATTTTGAGTTCTTTTTCTCCATTTTCTTTTGTTTCTGAGATAACCTTTTCAATATTTTTTAAATCCTCTTCATTTTTAAATTTTCGAAATATCAATCCTTTAGTTCTATTCTTTTTGGCGGTAGCTAATTCATTCATTTCAGTTATACCATGATTCAATTGTTTTATATTTTTGTTTAAGTTTTGGTTAGTTTTTATTTGCTTTTTCAATTTTGAGTCTTCATTTAGTATTTCTTTAAGTTTTTTAAACGCTTTTAGGTTATTTTGATTTTGGTTATCAGTTGTTTCATTGTCAATATTAGCTAAATAATTATTAAAATTTTTATTTAAATTTATTGAAAATTTTATAAAGCGCTGTTTTATTGTGGTGAAATCATAATATTTTTTCAAATTATTTATATATTTTTTAGAGTTATTATTTTTGTCGTTATCATTCTCATTGTTATCATTCTCATTATTGTTAGCGTTATTATTCTCGTTATTGTTATTGTTATTGTTATACTTATTATCATTATCTAATAATAATAATAGTTTTTTATTTAACAAAACATCACTTTCTATTATATCTTCATATCCATCTCTATCTTTATCTTGGTTCTGAAGTTTAACTTTAATTTCCATTGATTTTTGGTTCAAATCTTTATTATCTTCATTTTGAAGTAAATTTTTGTAAAATTTAAATATTAAATTCAAAACATATTTGAGTTCATTTTGCTGAAGATCAATTGATGAATCATCGTAAATTATTGATATAATCGTTAGAAAAAAGAGAAAAATTGTTAAATTTTTTTTAAATTTTTTATTAAAATTTAATGAAAAATTAGAAACAATATCCAAGAATATTTTTAAATATAAATTTATATTGTTTTCTCGCATCAATCTTGATATGATTAACAAATGAGTTATATTAATATAATTTCTTTTCAAACTGATCAATCTTAATTCGTCAATTTCAAAATCTGTCAATTTTTCCTTGTTAATAATTTTTTTATCAACTTTGCCATCTTGATTTATTTGTTGAGCTTTATCCAAATATACTTTGTAAATATTTGTTTTATTGTCGTTTTCATCAATGTTTGAGGGCTTTCTGTCGTCAATGTCATTTTCATCCTGATTGTTCCTTCTGTTGACCTCATAGCTTGAGCCATTGTCTTTCAGATTCCCAATGATATAAAATGAATCCAAATCATTCTTGCTCAAAAAAACGCTGCTTGGTTTTAGAGATATTATAAAAGAAGTAAAGCCCACATAGTGCCATAGGAAATGTGTTTTCTCTTTTGCCTCTAGCTCTAAGTCATGAAGCGAGTAGTAGTTGTCCTTTTTCTCTGTAGCTTTGTCTTCACTGGGGACTGTGTAGCATTGAGGTTGCAGTAGAAGATTCGATAAGTAATGAGCACTTCTGAGGGTTGAGTCCAAGTTGTCGTCGATAAAAAAATGGTAGCTGGAGCTGGAGGACTGTAGCTTGATGAGGGAGAGGGTCTTCAACAACCCAGCTGTTGGAGCACAGTTGTTCTGCTGCAAGAGATGAAGAGAAAGAAGGTCAGAAAGAAGATCAGTGCTATTCATTGCAAGAGCCATGGAAGAACAGGAGCTGTGAGCAAGAAGAGAAGAAGTAGACCATGAAGAAAGAGAAGGACAGTCGCCACAAGTGCCAACACTCAAAGGTCTCTGAAGACGTCTTCCAGTGCTTTCAGTGCTACTTTTGGTGACGCTTTCAGTACTGCTGTTAGTGAATGTGTTTATTATTTTGGGCTATAATACTGTGTGAGTGCTGTTTACTGTTGAGCAGATAAAAGAAACTGGAAACAAAACTCAACTCAAACGAACTAGCTCTAATTATAATAGTAATTATGAAGAGAAAAAAACAAAAATGAACAAAAATAAACAAAAATGACAGATAGAAACAAATAAAAACAGATTAAAACAGATAAAAAAACTGGAAACCACCAGAACACCATCGTTACAATGAGCAAAGACAAGGTGTTGATTGTATCAATATTAATCATAAAACAAATTTAAAAAGTGTATAAAAAAACTAAAATGTCAAATCCTATATAAGTTCTAATAATGGTCTTGAAAACAAACTATAAAATAAACAGAGAAGGTGTAAGTTGAAATAAAATAAAATAAAATAAAATAAAATAAAATAAAATTAAAAATTAAAAAAGCAAAAGTAAAATTAAAGTAAAAAAAATAAATAAAAATATCCCAATTTCGTACAGTTGATATATTATATTGTACTATTGATTAAAATGAATATGTAATAGTGAAAATGATTGGATTTAAGGAAGAAAAAAAGATCTTTCATTTTGATTGTGATTGTGATTTTTAATTCTTTTTTTAATAGTCTGATTGATTAAAAAAATGAATTTCAAATATTCAATCAATCATAATGCATTGATAAAATGAAGGGAAAAACAATAAAAAACCATTATTAGATAGAATTTATAAAATATATTATATTCTTTTTTTTTTTTGATATTATACTTTCATCATACGCCTAGTGTTTTTTTTTTTTAATATATATTTCGCTGCTAACATCATAATTTTTTTTAGAATCGTGAAATGTTGTTGGAATTTTATATTTTTAATTTCGTCACCTTTTTAAATTAGATAACTCATATATAATTTTGATCCATATCATATGCATCATCCAAATCCATATGGTTAATGTACATTTGATCCAATTGATGTTCATCTTCCTCAGCGTAATCAAGATCATCATCAATAACGTCCTCCTCCGGTGGTAAGTTTGGATTACCTGGTATTAATGATCTAGAAACATTGTAGAGACTTTTTCTTTTGTTGGTGACACTTCCATAATTATCATCCAATGTGCTTTCGCCAACATAGGTAAAACCGTTAAAATTAGCCTGTGTATTTGGCGACAATGGAGTATTTGGTCCATAAAATCCTCTGGTAATAGCTGAACCGGTAGTTTGTGTAAATTCAGGATCAAAATTGGAGACATCGGTTTCGTTTCTTAAAGGAGGTTTATATGGTGGAGGAATCTTCTTTTGAACTAGCAAGTTCCAATCAATGTCACTGAAAAATGGTTGAGCTTTTAGTTCGGCGACATCACCATTAGAGCCTAATCTGTTAACTGGATTTCTGTTTAATAAACCCTTAACAAATTGTCTACCTTCAGGTGATAATGCACCCCTTGGAAATCGAACTCTACCATATGCAATGTTTTTATACATTTGTTGATTTGTTTCAGCATAAAACGGAGACCAACCACAAATCATTTCAAAAATCAAAACACCAAGAGACCAGAAATCAACCATTTTAGTATAACCAGATTCATCTAACAAAATTTCAGGAGCGAGATATTCAGTTGTGCCACAAAATGTTTTGGCTCTATGATCTTGAATAATATTCAATTTGGATAACCCAAAATCACACAAAGCGATATGGCCATTAGCATCTAGTAGGATGTTTTCAGGTTTTAAATCACGATAAATAACACCTTCGTTGTGTAGAATTTCCAAAGCACATAACAATTCAGCAACGTAAAATTTTGTTCTTTCTTCAGTGAATTTTTTCTCCTTTTGTAAAAGATAAAATAGTTCACCACCTGCCATATAATCAGTGACAAAATAAAGGTTATCGGGAGTTTGGAAAGCAAATTTTAGATTGATGATAAAGGGACCCTTTGAAGCCTTGACTAGGATATCTCTTTCACTTAAGGTATGAGCAATTTCTTTCTTTTTGGCAATGTAATTTTTGGACAAAGTTTTCATGGCGTAAACTCTATTGTTGTCCTTTTTCAAGGCTAAATAAACCTGGCCAAAGGTTCCTTTACCCAACATTTTTAAGATTTGGAAATCTTCAGGCCCGTATTTTCTCTTTTTATTGTGAGTGGTATAAATGTATTTGATTTGAACTTTACCAGTGACATGATCATCGTTGTTTCTTGGTTTAAGGGTGTACCAGTTGCTTGCTTCTGTTAGGACAGCCAAGTTGAGGTGGATGTTGAAGTAACCCAAGAAACGATCATTATCGACAGAGTCATAGACTGAGATTTCGATTTGAGTGTTTGGGTTTGAGATGTCGAAGATGGCTTCATGTTTCCATTTTGGGTTTGAGGGATCTCTGTAATAGTCGTTGGTTAGATATTGATTTGAGGATTGTCTTGTGTAGATGGGCCTGTTGTGATTAAAGTTGTTGTTTAGTGGGATATTGATTTTGTTGTTAAAGTTGTTGAAGTTGTTGTTAAAGGTGTTGAAGTTGTTGCTAAAGTTGCTGTTGAAGTTGCTATTGAAATTGTCATAGTAGTTATCTAAATTGTTGCTGTTGTTGTTGGTGGTGTTGTTTATGTTAGTGATGTTGTTATCTCTGTTATTGTTTGTTGTGATTGATTCTGAGTTTTCTACTTTACAAATAACATAGGTCTTTGAGCTTCTATGAACGTATAGATTTGAAGCCTGGATTATTTTGACGGTTAGGGTGCCGTACTGAGAGGGAGATTGTTTTTGAACTTCATTTAAAGAAGGGGGAGAGGAGCTTGGGGAAGTTGAAAGAGAAGATGTGGTTGTGATTGTTGTTGTGTTTGAGTCGTTTGTGTTTTGGCTACTGTTGTTGGGGCCTGTATTTGTATCGGAGGAGGAAGAGCGAGTGGTGGAAGTGGCGTCAGAGCCTCTGGAAATGTTGAAAGAGGAGGAGTTGTTGAGATTATTGAGGGTGTTTAGGGTGTTGATAGTGTTGATATTAGATAGTTTATGTTTGTTGTTTTGATGTTGCTGTTGCTGTTGTTGTACTGATAGAGTTAGATTACTGATTGGTTGGTTTTGGTGGATGTATTGAGATTGCTTTTGAACAGATAAAGTGAGGTTACTGAGTTTTGGTTGATTTTGTTGTTGTTGTTGCGAGTCATTTTGAGAGTATTCAATAGAATTTTGTTGTTGTTGTTGTTGTTGTTGTTGAGATGAGAAATGTTGAGAAAAAGATTGGGAGGATTGGACTTGAGATTGAACAGAGGTTGTTGTGCCGAAAGCAAAGGAGCTGTCACTCAAAGCAGTTGTTGGAGCACAAGAGGTTAAAACAGTTTTTGGGAAGGGTAGATTAGATTGGGGTTGATTTTGGGATTGATTGATTGATTGGAAATTTGATTGGGGTTGGGTTTGGGGTTGGGGTTGAGAGGAAGATTGAGAAATGGATCGAAACTGTTGTTGTTGATTTGATGAGGCTGAGGTTGATGATGAATTAGAGTTTTTATTGGTATATCCACCACCAAAACCAAAGAAATTGAGAGGCATTATTGATTAGTATTAGTATTAGTGGTAAGTGGTAAGTGATGAGTAGCGATGAATAGCAATGGCTAGTGTTGATTAGGATTAGGATTAGGATTAATGTATGTCTTGATGTTAATAAATTTAAGTGTTCAGGTTATAAGACAAAAACCAGGATAAGGTGTGAGTAGAATCCAAAACAATAACCTTAGAAAAAATGAATATAGAAAGATAAAGATAAAGGAGCAAAAATTCAAAAAAAAGGGTTGAACGAATTATATATGTAAAAAAAACAAGTTAAAAAAAGAAGGAAAAAGAATCCCTAAAAAAAAAGGGTTTGTGTGGTAAAGAAGCTGATTAATGGTTGGAATGCAACCGAGCAGATAATGTGATAAAGATGATGATTTGGTAGAGATATAGATCAGTTATTTGGTCGAAAATGAGGTTGAAGTTGGTGGTTTTGGCTGGACGTATTTTGTTTTTTTATATATTGGTTGTCGCCTGTTTCAATGAGGATGGATGGGAATTGAGCGAGGATTTTAATTGTATCAATGCTGTTGGAGTCTAAGATGGATATGAGCGTCAATAGGACGATGAGAAGAAGAGAAACAGAATGGAGAAACAAAAGGCAGACAGTGCTGGTGGTTCTGTTGGTGAGATGATCAATTAGGAAAGGAAATTAGTGAACAGAACAAGATCTTCAAGAGCCAGAAAAAAAAACAGGGAAAAGACCAATGAAGAAGACAGCTGAAGAGAAAAAAAATCTATTGCAGTTAACAGGAGCACAGCCAGAAGCAGTATCGATAACACCAGAGAGGGAGCAGAGCCTGAAGAAGAAGGGGCAAAAGGGCAGGGGAAGCAGCAGAAGCAGAAGAAGCAGAAGCAGCACAACAGAAGAGACGAAAAACGACAGCTTCTCAGGGATAAAAAGACAAAAAAAACAGTCAAAAAGAAGGAAAAAAGCAACGGCGCGCTCCGGCACAGCTCCGAACGGCGCCCGCTGCCGGCCTCCCATTGGCCAGCGCCGCGCCGGCCCTAACTATGGAGACAGCGGACACGTGCAAGAGCACGTGTTTTCTGGTGGAAAATGGTGCTGGAGAAGGAGAAGGAGAAGGAGAGGCAGAAGAAGAGACAGAAGCAGCACAGGAAGCATGGACAAAGTGCTAGGAAAGCGACACAGGTCGTTCTCTCCACCCAGGGGAAGGATGCCCATCAAGCATGCTGTGCACAGCACCCACGCTCCCACCAACACTCCCAAGTGGTCTCTCAACAAAGACAACTCCATGATGGAGTTCATTGGTATGCCCACAGAGATACTATACGCCTTGACTCCTGAGCAGCTCGAGGCCTACCAGATTTTGTTCAGAATCGAAGAGATATCTCAGAAGCTACGCAAGACCAACGAGTTTCTCAAGCCTCCTCCCACCAGAGAGGTATCTCCTCCTCCCAAGTACGATGCCTCCGGCAAGAGAATCAACACCAGAGAGTACAGGTACAGAAAGAGATTGGAGAACGAACGATACTTCCTTGTAGACATTGCCATCAACTCCATACCTGGCTTCAAGCCACCCATCGACTTCAAAAAGAAATCAAAGATCATCAAAAAACTATTCATTCCCAAAAACCACTATGATATAAACTTCATTGGTCTTTTGCTAGGCCCCAGAGGTAACACCTTGAAGAAAAACGAAGAACTATCCGGCGCTAGAATTGCAATAAGAGGCAAAGGTTCTGTCAAAGAAGGCAAAAACAGATCAACCATCAACGAAAAGCAAAACAACTTGGATGAGGACCTACATGTTCTAATAACCGGCGACAATAACGACACTGTCGACAAAGCTATTTCCCTATGCCAAAATATCATAAATAAAGCCATTTCCACTCCAGAGGGCCAGAATGACTTTAAAAAAGGCCAATTGAGAGAGTTGGCTGCTTTAAATGGTACTCTAAGAGAACCAGAAAACAGACCTTGTGCTATGTGTGGTGAAACTGGCCATAAAAGATATGAATGTCCAAATTCTAAAAACTTTGTCAACTCAATCTTCTGCTCAATTTGTAAAAGAAAAGGTCATCTTGAAAGAGATTGTAAATTTAAATTTCAGCAAAATAATTACCAAAATAATGAAAACTATAATAACAACTACGATAATAACTACAATATCACTCACACTAATAATCACTATAATAATAGTAATAACAACAACAACAACATACTTGACGTCGATAAAGAATTTGAGCAAATGATGAAAGATATTAACGGTGAAATATCTGCAAACAATAACAACAATAACAACAATAACAACAATAACAACAATAACAACAACAATGACCAAATTAACCAATTCAATAATGATTTTGAACAGCATCAAAACTGGAAAAGAAGAGATGTAGACTACAACAACGCTACTATTCCTAATAATCATTGGAGACATCACAACTACAACAACAACTACAACAATACCAACTCATTTAGAAACAACAATTTTAGAAATAACCTCAATAACATTTCTCAAAAACATTCCAATCAAACAAACATTATTCATTCACTTCCTGGAATTCCTATCGCACCTCTAAACTCTTTTGATAATATCTCTCCTCCTCCTCCTCCTCCTCCAGCAGATGATATTTCCATAAACTTTGCAAACTCATCTCTCCCACCTCCATCTCCTCCTCCACCACCACCTCCACAGATATCACTAGAGTCGGACTTTAACATTCTATCTTCCTCTCAACTAATACCAAACGACCCAGCCCCTCCTCCTCCACCTTCATTGGGACTTGATTCCATACCGCCTCCACCATCTCCACCATCTCCACCACCCTCGCCACCGCCCCCATCGCCGCCTCCTCCCCCAGATGTCTAATCCTACTTAACTCCTGTTATATATCCTTTGCAACTCGACACAAAATCACAGCAAACTCGAATACCAACATCAGTCTCAATGCTATTATCGAACTAATTACTACAAATGGAAGTACATGCATCATGACGCAAAACCCACATGAACCTGTGTCTCTAGCCACAAGAATGTGTGACTTGTGACTGGGTGAAGATTGTGGCTGGTTGGGTCACATCACGTTTTATATCAACATTAAATGCTTCCATTTCTTTTCCTTCACCAGAATCACCTTCTTTTATATATTTCACCATTTCCATTGTTTTCTCAATTATGCTTTCCTTTTCTCTTCATACCCCCTTCTCAAATCTTTGAATTTCAAAAAATTATTGGCTAACTGGCTCAAGAAAAATATTTTTCGGATTTGTTATTTTCCCTTTCTACCCAATTCGAAAATGTCCACAACTTCCGTCGAATCCTCTTTACCAAACCTAAAGGTATCTTCTGCTGCTAAGTTTGATCTTCCCTTTGGTGTCCCCTCTGATCCAAATCTAATCTACAAGACCATCTATACAACCGCCCACTCTTTGATTTCTCAAACAAACTACGCTCTTTCTGACAATATTTTCACTTTTGAAAATTTAGGTCCTTCATCAAATACCAATATCGACTCTTCCTTACATCTTTGGAGCGTTTTTGCTAGAAAAAATGCAAATGATAATATCCCAACTGTTACTCAACTTGAAACAAGACCTGGTGCTTTATCTACTGTTTTAGGGTTTTTATCTGACGACTCTTCATCTCCCATTCCAATTTTTGCTTCTGGTGCAACTTTACCTCAAATCCAATCAACTTTATTCAACCTTTATATTAACTCAAACACCCAAAACATTATCGGTCTGTTGCCATTTTCATTCAACATTAACACCTTAGACTACGATTTTGATTCAAACCGTTTTACCTCAAATTATGTTACTCCCTTAAATGTTGCTAAAAATTTAAACTTCAATGTTGTCACTCCATTATCACACTCTGTAGAATTACAACATTTATCCTTACTCTCCTTGGCTTTGGCTAAACATGAACCGTCGGTTTTTCTTTATGACGGTCTTTCATCCTTCAGAGAAAGTATTTCTTTTGATGACATTTTAAATCCACTTCAACTCTCCAACGTTTTTAAAAGGTTAACATACTCCTTAAATTCTCGTTTATTCGAATCTTCCAAAAACAAATTCTTCTTTGCTTTAGATTCCTTAAACGAAATTTTAAGCACAAATTACAAACCCTTTGAATATTACGGTCATAAAAACCCTTCAAAGGTTTTTGTCACTTATGGAACTTCAGAATCAGAATCATTCAAACCAGTTATTACCACTTTATCATCCATTTTTAATTTGCCAATTAGTTTAATTTCCGTCAGAATTCCATTACCTTTCAAATCCGATGATTTTGTCTCATTAATTCCAAAATCTACAAAATCAATTGTTCTTCTCAATCAAATCTTGCCTGATCAATCATCCCAAAGTATTTTAAAATCAAATATTTCAATTGCGCTATTCTATCATGGCTCAGCCTTAAAAGTCAATGAAGTTATCAATCACAATTACTCTCCAGATTTCACCTGGTCAGTGAAAACTGCTCAAAATATTGTTCATGGCTATTTTTCGAATCCCGAAGTCTTTGCAGTTCTACCTTATTTATCAAGAAACAATGACTATAAATTATCCGGTAAATATCTTTTCTATTATCCAGATAATGCTTCTATTATCGACGTCCCCTCAAGGCTTGCTCATACGTTCTCTCTTGACAAATCCTCTGTTTTTTTCAAATCAAAGTTGGATAATATTACTCATTTTGGTATTTTAGAGTTCCAGTTATCTATCAATTCAAATGTTAATGGCGAGGTTGATAATGCTGATTTGGCAATTGTTGAAAATCTCGAGTTTTTTAGTCACTCTTATAATATTCTATCCAATATAAAAAGTGGTGGAACTATATTAATTTCTTCTACTTGTGAAAAGTCCAATGATTTTGACGCTTATTTGAATGAAATTTTATCTCCTTCTTTTAAAAAAACTGTTGTTGAAAGAGACATTGAAATTGTTAAGATCGATGTCAATGCAGTAGGTGAAATCTTAGAAACTCATGGAAGAACTAAATCTATTATTCATCAAGTTGCCTTTTTGAAATACGCTAATCCTGAAATAACTGTCGATGAGATTGTTAGAAATTTATGGCAGTCCTTTGGGTCTGATGTTGAATTGTTGGCTTCTGTTTTATCTTCAGTTGTTCTGAGAATTTTTCAATTTGGACTTAAAAAATTTAAAATTCCAGTTCAACAATGGAGAGAACTTAAAAGTTTAGATTCTGATATAAATGTTTTATCTTTACCATATTCAATCAGACAAACTTCGTTTGTCCGAAGTCCAAGAGAAAGTGTTATTTTAGATAACGGGCCATTATTTACACCTCCAGTTTCTGTTCCCAAACTACTATCATTCAAGGAGTCCTATGATGTTAAGCTAGACTTGAGACCTGACTTACAAACAACTAAAAACTTTATTGTTAAAGTCAGAGAAAATAAGAGATTAACTCCACTGAATTATTCAAGAAACATTTTTCATATTGATTTTGATATCACTGGTACTGGTTTGAAGTATGAAATTGGTGAATCTTTAGGTATCCATGGTAAAAACAATGAAAATGATGTCAATGAGTTTTTACAAATATTTGGAATTGATCCAGATCAATTAGTGGATATTCCATCAAAAAGTGATCCAGCACAAATTGAAGTTAGAACTGCTTTCCAAGTATTTTCAGAAAATATTGACATAGCTGGCAAACCTCCAAAAAGATTCTATGAGTCGTTGGCTATTTTTGCTGCAGATGAGCAAGAAAAGAAGAAATTGGAATTCCTTGCTTCAGCAGGCGGTGCTACCGAATTGAAGAAAATCCAAGAAGAAGATTATTACACATATACTGATGTTTTTGAAAAATTCAAATCTGCCAGGCCAGCTCTTACAGACTTGGTCAAAATTATTGAGCCCTTAAAGAGAAGAGAATATTCTATCGCTTCTTCTCAAAAGATGCATCCAAACTCAGTGCATTTATTAATTGTTGTTGTTGATTGGGTTGATAAGAGAGGTCGTAAGAGATTTGGACAATGTTCTAAGTATATATCTGATTTAAAAGTTGGTTCTGAATTGGTTGTGTCTGTTAAGCCATCAGTTATGAAATTACCACCATTGACTACTCAACCTATTGTTATGTCTGGTCTTGGTACTGGTTTGGCTCCATTTAAGGCCTTTGTTGAAGAGAAATTATGGCAAAAATCACAAGGCTATGAAATTGGCGAAATTTACTTGTATCTTGGTTCTAGACATCGAAAAGAAGAATATCTTTATGGTGAATTATGGGAAGCTTGCAAAGACGCTGGTATTATTACTCATATTGGTGCAGCATTTTCTAGAGATCAACCTAATAAGATTTATATTCAGGATAGAATTAGGGAATCTATTGAAGATTTGAAAACTGCAATTGTCACTAAGAATGGTTCATTCTACTTATGTGGTCCTACATGGCCAGTTCCTGATATCACTGCAGCTTTGGAGGACATTGTTTCTCTTGCGGCTAGAGAGAATAACAAAACTGTTGATCCTGTGGAAGCTGTTGAAGAGATGAAAGAAGCTGGTCGTTATGTTCTTGAAGTTTACTAGTTGTTCTATCAGATAGTTTTACATATTTAAATACTAAAATAATTTAAATTGTTTTTTTACTTGCATAAATAATATTCATTTCGCAGCATACAAAGGCTATCTATTAAATATATTAAGTATCTATTTTGTAGTTGAAGGTAAGTTATCTTTGATAAAATTTAAAACAAGAGAAATTTCGTCTTCATTACAACTATGACCCAAATTGTTAAATTTATAGAATTTATAGTTGGTCAAGCCGATTTCTTTTTTGAAAAAGTCTTTAGTCATTGCTCCAAACTCATAATTGATAACTTCATCTAGCAAGCCATGACATTGCAAAACTGGAGTATCAACATTTGGCAAGTTTTTGACACCATCAAAGCTAGCAATTTTTTCCTTCAAAGTCGAAACGATTCTTGCAAACCCAGATAGACCAATAACCCCAGCAAGTTTTTCATCAACCAATACTGAAGAAGCAAGGGATAAAGCAGCACCTTGAGAGAACCCACCAATGATAACTCTATCAGTTGGTATGTCGCTATTGTTTAGTTCCTTGATATGCTCTCTGATAGTGTCAATACTTTTAAGAAAACCCTCCTTGTCATCGCCCAGATTGATATTTTTGTTGTTGCCCAATTCATAAATATCAAACCAAGATGGACATCGCATGCCGCCATTCTTTGTATTTATTGTTAGTAACAGCTTCCAGCAGCTAGAAGTTAAAGCATGATGGTGAAATGGCTTGAGTACATACGACAGTAACTGGTTGAGATGGAGCATTAGGAAAGATGAACTTGATATGATCGAACTCCTTGGAGGCTCTTGCATAATCAGACAAAAACGACCAACCGGCTCCAGAATCACCTAGCCCATGCAAAAAGATGACAGCAGCAGTGGCAGGCTTGCTCTTGGAGGAAATTCTAACAGCTGAGAGACTCATTTCAGATGAAAAGTGCTACTTTGGATGGTGATGTTGTGTTTGATGTTTACTCATTGCAAAAGAAAGCCAAATCTAAAACTCGGCTGTTTTCCAACCGACTTTGGATCCAGGCCGAGGGGACCCTTTTTGCTTTTTTTCGGTCTCATACAGTGTAACTATTTAGTTATTATAATATTGGTTCCTATAGATAATAATATATAAAGGGGCTGCAGAAAACCAGAATTGAGATATAGAATATGATATAAATATATATAAATATATATAAAAATGTGAATTAAAAGTAAACAGATCTAGAATTTCCTCTATTGATTCCATAGTATAAGATAGTAAAAATAAAAAATTGATAAATATGAATTGGTGCGAATATTAGTATATCAAACTTTTGAGTAAATTGAAATTGAAAATAAAATAAAAACAAATAAGAAAATGAAATTGATAAGAATAAAAATTGGGATATTTGAATTTTAAATAAGATGGAAATTGAAGAAAATGATTGGGAATATTAATTAGAACTTGGTGAAATCATTTAATTTTTAGCCTTCTTTTTAAAAAGAGAGGGCATTTTGAATTGTTTGACTCTAAAAAAGTAGTAGCAGAAAACCATTGCAAATAGATTGAAAAAGATGTAAATGCAGAAGAACCCAAGATTTCTCCATCTTTGGCTCCATTTAATGTTGAAAGTTGCCATAAATGCATCACCAGTCAGGAAGCTACAATAACCACATTGGGTTGTATCATCAGGATTAGAAATATAACCTCCAGCAGATTGAATGAAATCATTAGAGAACTCAGCACATGTTTGACCCTCTGGTGGGTTAAAATATGTTAAATCAGATGCATTGCATTTTACTTCAAAGTTATGCAATAAAACAGAAACTAATGATTGAACAAAATAAGTATAAGGTGAGACTTTATACATAAATGTCCAAAATCCAGGCATCAATGATTGTTGTTGTAAAACACCACAAAAGTTCAACATAAAAGAAAACAAAAGACTGGTTATAATTGAAGCTGAAGGTAAATCCGGAGCCATATAAATGACCCATAAACCAAATGAAATATAATAAAATTGAAAAACAGTGCACAAAATAAAGTAGTAATATCCTGCAAAAGGAGCAGTGTTATCCATCTTTAATGGAAAGTAGAAACAGCAGAAAAATAATGTAAATGCAACAATGCAATAAGGAATTTCGGTGATAAATTGAGAAAATAATAAGGTAGACCAATGATAAGTATTGCTGGCACTTTCTCTAGCTTCAAATAATTCACGAGAAGCAATGGCTCTTTCTTGAATTTGATTAATCAATGGAGCAGAAATAGTTAAAGACATGAAAACAGCAAAAAGACAATTTTGTAAACCCGAAAGGTTGGGTCTTATGTTATAAAAAGTCCAACCGATAAACAAACCACCCAAGATCAAGAGGAAAAATTTGGATTTAAGATAAATTGGATCACGATAAAATTGAGTAAAAGTTCTTCTTAAAACATATTTGAATTGAGTAAAGTAAGGAGTAGCAAATTTATTTCTCAATTCTGGATCAGATTCATTAATAGGTTTAGACAAGCCATCTTGGATCAAAAATTCAATATATTTATTAGTTTGAATACATTCAGGAGATTTCATCCATTTTTGATGCCAGTCTTCATCAACTGAAGCTGTAGCACCTGCACCAATGGCTTCCAAGACATATTCAGCGGGATTCTCTTTAATACCGCAAGTTCTTGCTCCATTACCTTCAAAGTAATCTAAAATAGTTCTTGAACTTTTACCAATATCACCGAAATAAACTGTTTGACCACCTTTTCTAAGCAATAATAAACGATCAAATTGTTCAAATAAAGTTGCAGAAGGTTGATGGATTGTACAAAGAATACTTTGACCAGCATGTGCTAATTGCCTCATAAGCTTGACAATAGCCCAAGATGATTGAGAGTCTAAACCAGAAGTGGGTTCATCAAGGAAAAGCAATAAGGATGGTTTTGCAACTAATTCAACACCAATAGATAACTTTTTTCTTTGTTCAACGTTTAAACCAGAACCAGGATCACCAACAACTGCATCTGCATAAGATCTCATGCTCAATAAATCAATCACTGTTTCAACATAGCTTAATTTTTCCTCTTCAGGAACTGATTGAGGTCTTCTTAATCTTGCGGCAAATTGTAGTGATTCTCTGACAGTTAATTCTGATATATGCAAATCTTGTTGTTGCACATAACCGGTGGAACGTTGAAAAGAAGAATCCAATGGTCTTCCATTAGCAAGCATGTCACCAGTGATGACACCAAAGGAAACACGTTGAGAAAGAACATTTAATAGAGTTGTCTTACCAGCACCGGATTCACCCATAAGAGCAGTGAGAGTACCAGGTTTAATATAACCTTGAACATTATCCAATAATTTAATGGTGTTTCCATCTTTGGTTGGAATAACATAGTCAACGTTCTTCCACATAAAAATGTCTTTACCACGAAGGTTTTCAAAGTTTTCTGCATTATTTTTTTCATCTTCTTCGAGTTTGTTGACAGTACCTGAAGATCCAGATTCAATGTCGCTAGCTTTCTTTTTTTCGTCATTTACAAGAGAAACGTCGGCACCTTTTTTGAATAATAGTCTGTCACCACCAGCATTCACAGGTTTTAATATTTCAAGACCAATAGCGGATAATAAAATAAAAAAAATCCAAAAGCCCACCAAAATACCGAAATTTCTCCAAAGATGGGAATAAGAATAATCATAAGATGACTCGATATAATCATCACCTAAAACAAAAGCTTGACCTGCAATAGCACCTGCAGCAGCACAGACCTGATTTTCAGAAGAGACGTTTTCGTAACCGGGGCCAGAAGGAACTGTGTTGGCGCAATTCATATGAAGTCCATGAAACTCGTTTGATATCAACGATTCAAAACCGTAGGTGACAGGATTTATGTAAGATATCCATTTTAGAGCCCAGTGCATGTCGTGCATTTTGATAACGAAACCAGTGTAGACAATAACAGCCAACATACCAACACCAGAAAAGGAATTTGCAGCAGCAATGGTGGGAGAGAAAGCAGCAATAGACTGGAACAAACAGGTCATGATTGAGGAAGTCATGAATAAAAATAATACAAAAACAAAGAATTTTCCAGCTTCCCTGTCAAAGTTTACCATAAAGTAGACGACAATTGAGAAAGAAAACAAGGATAATAATTTGGTTGGTATATCAGTTAAAACGGAAGCGATTGCTTCGGCAGCTGGATGGTATAGAGTATAACCCTTTTGTTTTAAGATGATTGGTCTATTGTCGAAAGAATTGGAAACTTCAGCAAGACCCAAGAAAGTGAAATGTAAAACACAGAAGAAAAGAGTACCACCCTTTGAATAAGCCGAGATGGTACTGTTTTGCAAGTTATAGAATAAGGAACCAACAATTAGGGATTGGATAACATTTGCAACAACTTGAGTGATGGTGTAAGCCGAATCCCCAATGACTCTTTGAAAGCCTCTCATGGTGCATAATTTAAATTGTTCGAGGATGGTAATTGTATATTTTGAGTTTTTTCTTTTAGATTTTTTCTTTGATTGTTCAGTTGATAATTCGAATAACTGTTTAGTTGCTTCTTCGTTATGTTCAGCGTCATATTCGGCTATTTCAGCCATTAATTGTTGATATTCATCAGATTTTAGCCAGTAATCTTCAAATTCAAGAGCATTTCTTGGGACTTTATGTTCCATACCAGGTTGAGGGATTCTACCAATTGGGTCAGTTATGGCGGTTAAGAACTCAGGAGTTGATTGTCTGTTTGGACATTGGAAGCCCATTTTTTCGAAATAGTGTTTAGCATTTTGAACAGGACCAAAGTAGATTTGACGACCCTCATAGAGGACAGTTACTTTATCGAAGGTTTCATAAATGTTTTCACCAGCTTGGTAGATGGTGACTAGAGCAGCAGATTTAAGAAGGTTTGTCGATACTCTGATGGCCTGAGCGTATTCCAAAGCAGTGGAGGAGTCAAGACCTCTGGTTGCATTGTCCCAACAGTAGATGCAAGCTCTGGAAGCCAAAGCTTCAGCAATGGAAACTCTTTTTCTTTGACCACCAGAGACACCTCTAACATAGTCGTTACCAACTTTGGTGTTTTTGACGTGATTGAGACCAAAGACAGTTGTTAAGATGTCTCTTAGAGCAGTAATGTATTGGTCTCTTGTTGAATTGTTTGGTCTAATTTCAGGAATTTTACAGGAAATTGCAAATTTTAGAGTTTGATCAACAGTTAAATGAGGAAAGTGGACATCTAGTTCAGGATTATAAACGACATCAGCCTTAAAGTCCTTCATCATAATGTCGTGGGGAATGCCATCGAAGCTGATATCACCGGTGGAAGAAACGTACTGGTTAGTTTCACCAGCAATTGATTTGAGAAAAGTTGAGCAGCCTGCACCAGGTCTGCCTAGAACCAAACACATTTCACCAGCTTTGACAAGACCATTGACGTTTGATATTATGTCTCTGATGCTGGGGTGTCTGACGGATTTGATTTTTTTGTGGATTGTGAAGGGAGCAGTTAAGAGGTCGAGAGCAGTTTCAGCACTGGAGGTCAAAGCGTCAATACCAGTTGTGGTAACATTTTTGAAGCGTACACCTGCCTGTCTTAAATGAATACCATCTTTATCAGAGATTCTAACGACGGTTCTTAATATGGTTTGCAAGTCAAAGTCATCTGGGTCGATTGTTAGTGGGCCATCTCTAACAGTTCTGGTGGATAGGGTTCTTGCTAGAGATTCCAAACGATCAAGAACACCACCTTGTTGATGGGCGTTTTGGGAGGTGACAATTCGAACTAAATCGCCATAGTCTTCGGTGGAAGCGATTTGGTAAGAAGCATTTGTTATTATTCTGTCGAGGTTGTTGGCGTTATCTTTCAGCGGGTCGCCGTAGAAGGACTCGACAGTTGAATCTGTATCAGAATGACTGGGATTCATTCTTGAGGACAACGAGAAACTAAGGGAATAACGAGATGAGAGAAGCAGATGGCAAATAAAATTCAGTTCAGCTCAGTTTAATTATATCTGCTTATTTATCCACTTATCTAACCAGCTAGCAGTAAACAAACAACAGCACGAAAAAACTTTACAGTAAAAGAGAGAACCAAAAAAACTACAAAAAAGTGAAATTTATTTTACATTATATATGACAGATGAAACGAGGAAACAAGTATCTCTTCAGAAGCAAAGTTCGAGATTGCAGCATGAAAAAGGTATGTAGAATCAACGAGACTTTTGAAAGACATTGGCTGTTGAAAGTGGATTACTAACACCATCACTTAGCTCTCACCAACAAGCTGTGGAAAAGTGCACAAGTGGAAAAGCGTAAAAGCGTAATAGCAAAAGTATATCATTGTGAAAATATTCCGGCTCAAATAGTTCAAATCAGGCCCAACATCCACTTTTTTCACCAGCTTGTGGCTGCCTGATTCAACGCGTTCCAGGCGGGTCTGCGCGGCTATCTGCACTCACATCCGGGCCGATAGCCGATTTGTAACCGACCGATAACCGCACTGCCTGTTTAGGAAAACTCCGGTCCACAACCTCAATATTAAAAATTCAAATTTTCAATTAATCAGCGGCCCTCGGTACCGGATGCTGGCGCGCTTCCGCCAGCTCACAGATTTCTCACTTCGGCTCATCTCCAGATCCGAAACGCTCGAATCCACTGATTTCCGTCGAGAGTCGAACCAGTAACACATATGCGGGTCTCTGCTTATCACAGCCTACTCCACGTGCTTCAACGCGCATACACGTATCACGTGCTCACAATTCTGCTGTGAATCACGTGCTTCTTACTTTGGAATTTTTGGTATGGACCAGGAAAATGATTCTCGACAGAGCCCAGAACAATTCGAGTCTCTTTTAATGTCAGTTTTTTGGCTGGTGCTGTTGAGTGTGTGCTGCATTTTTGCTGCAATTCTGCTGTGTTTCTTTTGTATTTCTACTGGATTCTTGCTCCCAGCATGTCTTTTGTTTCAACCTTGCCCTCGTCCAGCGGCTACACCAACAGTGCTGCCTCCAACGAGCCCAACCACAACAACGACCATGACCATAACAGCGTTAATGCTTTCGTCAACAACGACGATAAACCTCCTCAAATTGTTTCAATTGATGCCTTGGACGACGATATCATAGTCCAGAACACCACTGCTGCTGCTGCTGATGCTGCTTCTGCCACCTTTCCAAGCCCTCCACACTCTGCTCTTGCTACCACTTCTGCCAACTCTACAAAGTTCAACGCTGATGGGACCTACATCATTCCTATCAGCGATTCAGAAACAGCATCTGATACTGAAGACGACATTGATGAAGATGTCATTTTTGTCGACGAAGTCATTCTATCTGATCCCAAACACACCCACCCACTATCTGCTCAGGCTCCTGCTCTTGCCCAACCACTTCACAATAGCTTTGATCAAAACCCCTTCTCTAAACTAAATCAAACGCCCAATTTTACTCTTCTGGGCTACACAAACAACACATCTATCCATCCTAATAACTCATCCTCCATTTCCCAGAATCATCCAAATCAAACTCAATTCCAACCTTTTGATCACAATCATAATCAAATGTTACTGCAATATCAAAATGGTTCTTCTTCCTTATCCAACTACCAATCATCTTATAATGATTATAGTAACCCTACCAACCCTATAATTCTAGAAAATCAACCAAATACCTCAAATCAAAATCTATCTACACAATATCCAACTCCAGTGAATAATAATAATAATAATAATAATAATAATAACAATAACAATAACAATAACAATAACAATAACAATAACAATAACAATAACAATAATAACAACTTCAATATATCAAAAAGATTATACTCATTAACTTCACAACCTGATTTTGATTCATTCAAAAAACAAAAAAGCCTCCTTCAACTAGCCCCTCTACAAAAATCATCACCCCCAAACAATAATATAGATATAATCGATCTAACCAACGATGATAGCGATAACAACGACGATAATGATAACGATAACAATAATGCCCTCTCTACCGATTTCATTTACATCCCTTCAAATAACATCTCATTCAATAACAACGTTAATAACAGATTTAGCTTTAACAATGAAATTGATAACATTAATCAAAATATAACAAACAGATTCAACATCAACAATATGATCAATAATAATAATAATAATAATAATAATAATAATAATAACAACCCAAATACCAATAACATTAACCAAACAATACCTATCACACCCTTTCATCCACTACAATCACAAATCTCCCAAATTTCTCAAAATTCTCACAACATCAAGCAATTGTCCGATAAGAAAGCAAACATAATTCATTGTATTTCAATGCTAGATCAAAATAAAATTGGTCTTCAACAACTGCTTGACTCTCTAAGACTAAAAACAAGAGATTTGAGAACTAAACTACTACCCATAAATTCTTCACTAGTTTCCCTAGAAAACGAATACCAAAAATCTATAAAATCTTCCCAAGATAATCTACCAATCCCTCCCACCCCTATAACTAATCTTTCTGCTAAGATTTCCTTAAAAAAATCAGAATCTCAAAATATTTCTAACCAAATTAAAGCAATCGAGTCTCAGATTACCGACTACCACTCTAAAATCGATACACTAAACAACCACATCAAAGAATACACCTTTAGAAAAATAGAAATCGATAGAAAACTAAATTTTTTTCAATCCTTCAAATATAATGCCGACAACACATTTATTAATAATTTTAATACCTATAGCCAAACAAATAATTCAAATTATATAAACAGCTTTACTAATATCTCAAATTTTAGCAATACGGCTGATGAAGATACTGATATTCAAAAGCTAATTGACAATATTCGTCCTGATGAAGACATCAATGACGGGGTTTTAACTCCAAAAGAATTAAACATCACTCTACTAAAACATCAAAGATTAGGTCTTTCTTGGTTAACAAGAATGGAAAAAGAATCTGCAAACAAAGGTGGTTTCTTGGCTGACGATATGGGTTTGGGAAAAACTATCCAAATTATGGCTTTAATATTCAACAATCCTCCTGAATCTACCGCTACAACCTCTAAAACAAGTTTAATTGTTGGCCCGGTTGCTTTGTTAAAACAATGGGAGGCTGAATTTGCTTTAAAAACAAAACCTCAACATCAATTAAATGTCTTTGTATTTCATTCCGGTGATAAATTGAAATCATTTCGTCAAACTAAAAAATATGATATAATTTTAGTAAGTTATGGAACTTTGGCTTCCGAGTTTAAAAAACACTTTAGCGATGTATTAAGGCAGTCCAGAGTTTCCAAAAAAGCTCATGTTTTGCCCACTCCAGGTACCGGAGGAGAAGATTATAAATCTCCTTTTTATTCAAAAGATGCTATCTTTTATAGAATTGTTCTCGATGAAGCACACCTAATCAAAAATAAACTAACACAAAGCTCAAAAGCTTGTGCTGTTTTACGTGCAGAATACAGATGGTGTTTGACTGGTACTCCAATGCAAAATACAGTAGAGGATTTATATTCTCCCATCAGATTTTTAAAGATTAAACCATACTGCGAAGAAAAAAATTTCAGAGATAAAATTGCTATACCTTTAAAGAATATAAATAAAAATGGTCCTATGGCTACACAAATCTTTGAAAAACAAAACGCCATGAAAAGAGTTCAAGCCTTATTAAAAGCAATTTTACTAAGAAGAACAAAGGATTCCAAAATTGATGGCCAGCCAATTCTTAAATTACCTCCCAAAATTATTATCAAAGAAACCATAAAAATGGAAGCTGATGAGTTGGATTTTTATAATGATATTTCCTCTTTATCTGCTCGACATGCAAAAAGAATTCTTGATCATAAAATTACCGGCTATGATAATATCTTAACATTATTATTAAGACTTCGCCAGGCTTGTTGTCACGAAATACTTGTTGAAATTGGTGACAGATTATCTCAATTGAAAAGTGAAGATGTTTCAAATGAAAGTGATGGAAATGCTGCCTTTATTCTTAGAAATATGGGAAGGGCTGTAAAGAGATTAACACAAAACGTAGTTGATAAAATAAAAAATATGGTCGAAGAAGGTTTGACTTGTTCGGTTTGTTATGATGAAATCTTGACTTCAAATGCAATTTTTCTTTCTCCTTGTGGCCACACTTGTTGTAAGGATTGTTGTGATGAGTATTTTCGACAACATGGAGAAGTCTCTGATTCAACTGAATTAATTTCTGCAAAATGTCCAGATTGTCAATCACTTTGCAGAAAACAGGATTGTTTTAATTATCCTGCCTTTTTGAAATATTCAGAGTCACAAAGAAGAAACCAATCGATTCAAGTTACCGAGCTGGAAAGTGAAGCTAAGGAATTATTTCTTAAATATGTTAATTTAAGTAATTCAGTTCAAATGAAAGTATTTTCAGATGTTTTCAAAGAAAGATCAGGATATATAATTCTATCAGCTAAAATGAAAAAGTGTCTTGAAGTTATCAAAAATATTGAATTAAAACATCCAGACGAAAAAATCTTAGTTTTTTCACAATTTACTTTATTTTTTGAGTTATTGACAAAAGTATTAATGGAAAATGATATTGAATTTTTAAGATATGATGGTTCAATGAGTATGAACACTCGTGATGATACTGTTCGAAGATTTTACACAGATTCTAGTAAAAAATTAATGCTAATTTCCCTTAAGGCAGGTAATGTTGGGTTGACTTTAACGTGTGCTTCCCATGTAATTATAATGGAACCCTTCTGGAACCCTTATGTTGAAGAACAGGCAATGGATAGAGTCCACAGAATTGGGCAAATGAAAACAGTGTATGTCCACCAAATTTTAGTTGAAAATACCGTTGAGGATAGAATTATTCAATTACAAGAGAAGAAAAGATCCTTAGTTAATAGTGCTCTAAATGAAAGTGGAATGAAGAATATTTCAAAATTGGGTAGAAATGAATTAAGATTTCTTTTTGGTTTATCAAATGGATTGGCGTGAAAACATAAAACAAATTTAAATGATTTTATTTTTTTTCATTTTCTTAAATTGTTTTGTTTTTCAGCTTATTTAAATTTTTTGACTGATCATTTTATGTAAGATGATATTGTAATAGGTGAATAGGTTATACAGAGCTATTTTCTTCCTATTTTTTGGTTATATCATACTTATATATTCTGCTATATTCTATTGGTTTTTTTCTCTGGTGAATTAATTTTTACGGCAACTATTACATTATATTATAAAGATAAACTGGGTTTTTAGTGAATATATTTTGTTTTGTTTTGTTTTCTTTCTATTGTTATATGCTCGTCAGTTATAATCAGCATAGCCTTTTTTATTTTTTGATTTCTGATTTTTCTAATATTTTCACTATTTTATTTATTAACTCGAAAATTAAAGTGCTTGAAGATAAAAAAAAATAAAAAATGCCAAAAGAAAAAATTAAAATGAAATAAAGAATGGAAAGAAAGAATTAAATTACCCAGTATACATAAAAATATTCAATAATTGAAACTAGAAATTTACAATAAAATTTTTATGGAACTCCATAGTTTACTACTATGATACCAATATGATAAAGAAAAAAAATAGGAGACATTAAACACGATGGTTAAAGCTTTGAAAGATTCGAATGACAAAATAAAACTAATTCCAACAAGCGTAAACAAACTTCTTCATATTCACTTTATTTTTCATTTGAGCAATAATCCAAGGGTGTTTCTGTAGCATTTGTCTGGGACTTGCTCTTTTAGTTGCATCTCTTTCTAAGCAATCATTAATAAACTTTCTAAATCTAGGAGACCATTTAATATTTTTATCAGGTTCATCCTTCAATTCGGGAGAAAATTCTAATATAGCAGACAATAGTTCGAAGGTAGTCAATGATGTCGTGGAATTGGTGTTTTTGCCATCGTTGTCTTCTAGTAGGTTAGAACTGAAGTAAGGAAATCTTCCTTGAGCAACTTCTAACAATGTGAGACCAAGGGACCAAACATCACTAGTAACAGTGTAAGCGTTACCCCTAATTCTTTCTGGAGCCATATAATAAGAAGTACCAGTAAATGTTGTAGCTAAAGAATTCACAACTTCACCTGAAACACCAAAATCACATAATTTAATTTCACCCAACTCATTCAATAAAATATTTTGGGGCTTGATGTCTCTGTGAATGATTTTGTGCTGATGCAAATATGATAAACCTCTTAAAACACTTTCAGCTACTTTACCAATGACTTTTTCACCAATTCTACCGTTCATTTTTTTGACTCTTTTATAAACAGCATCAAGAGATTTTCCTGCCATAAATTCCATTGCAATAAAGATAACACCATCATCTTCATTCATGAAGGTTCCATAATATTTTACGATATTTGGAGATTTACAGACTTTATTATATTGTAATTCTCTCCAAATCTGTTTTTGAACATCAGGGTTTGGATTAGCAGTTATTGTTTTCAAAGCAAATACTGAGTTATGGACATTGTGTTTTAATTTACATTTTGATACACTGCCTCCAGCACCTTCACCAAGAACGTTTAATTCGACAATTTCTTTATTTTTCGATAATATTTTCCAATCTTGTTCTTCTAATTGTTCTAAATCTTTTGAGAATAATTTTTTTATTTCCAATTCAGTTGAGGCTGAAGTCAAAGTCCTAGCATTTGGGTCATCATAATTGGAGGTTATGTTTTGTTGAGAAGAAGAAATATCATTGCCAGACTCTTTTATAATATCAGTTGCAGTGTTCAATGATGCATTGGAAGAATTTGTAACTATTTTTGATATTACATGTTTTTTTGGCTGATTATTATTGTTATTATTAAGTTTGTAATAAGGCATTGCTTGATTATGATTGTAATTACAATTATTGTAAATATTTAAATTATTCATATTTGTATTTAAATCTTCGATTTCTTTGAATTGGCCTCCAGCACTAATATTAAGAGTGCTCTTTTCGCTTATAGTTGTAGTTGGGGTTGGAGAATAAGAGTTGTTAACACTTGAAGTTGTCATTGAATTCACGGTTGAATTTGAAACTGAACTGGACGACAAATAATTATAGGTTGAATTTGAATTGCAATCGAAGTCTTCGTAACTTGAGCTACCTGTTTGTTTAAGCATACCTTCGTGGATATTGTAGCCATTATTATTATTATTAATATTATTATTAGTATTATTATTATTGTAGTTATTATTGGAAGTATTGCTATAGTTATTGAAGTTTTTGTAATTGCTATAATCATTTGTGGAAGCCAATGAAGGTTGGGCAGTATTGAAAGACGCAGATTTGGTAAGGCCAATATTCTGATTAGAAGTGGCTATAAAAGTTGATGTGGTAGTAGATGAAGAGTTAAATGTGGTTTTTATTGGAGGTATTATTTTTTTTTTATTTTTTATGGAATTATTATTAATGGAGCTAGTGCCATTGTTGAGAAAACCAAAGTTATTCTGGTTCTGAGACTGATTTAGATTCAAGTTCAAATTTAGATTTGGTTGAGATTGAGGTTGGCTGTGAAAGTTGGTGTCCAATCGTAGGTTGGGAGACTTTGAGTGGTTGGGCCTAGGGGACACATTCCTGCTTTGAATGAAGGGGTTGTAGGTGTTTAAATTGGACATGGCTGCTGGTGGAAGAAGATGGCACTACTAACAACAGAACAAAAGCTGATTATATTTCTCTTGGAAAAGACCAAAAAATGCTCCACTTCAAAAACAGTCTGAGTCTGCCTCCTCCGCGCCGTGGACGTGGTAACAGTCCACCATTGTGGGTATGCAGCTGGGTGTGTGTATATGCAGAGGGTGAGTTAATGCGCATGCTACGGTTAATGTCCAGCTCTGTTTCAGGAATTCGATCATGTTGGAGAGGAAGTATATGGCTAGGACTGGGGATTCAGCAGCTCAAGTGTCCTTTTTTCTTCTGAGGACCTTGTCAGCTTCCCATACAGTCCTGTCGATGACAGCACCAACAGCAAGAACTCCTCCAACGGCCGAGCAAACACTCAACAAGAAGGAGCCCCAGCTTTTGGCGTACTGTTCTCTATTGATTATTTTGAGTGGAGAAATGTCAAAGTGGAAGAACAACCCTGGGATACCACCTTTGGCGTGCAAAGTGTGAGGGTGATCTTCATCCTTTCCACCCTTCAAGGGCCTGTCGTGGAAAGTGGAGGAAAATTGGTTAGTCTCCAACACCGTGCTATTTAGGAACTCATATCTTGTCGAAACAACTTTCAAGTAGTGGGAATATAGATGATACCTTTCATTTTTCAATGATTTGAAACCGTCTAATGGATGGGACGAGACTTGAATGGTTTTCAACCGATTCAATGAGGCCTTAATTGAACTTTCTGGATCTTCACCAAACGAAAAATGGTTGATTACATGATTGAAGGAAAACCGTTTTGTTTTGTCAAAAAGAGACAAATCATGAATATGTTTCATTGGAGCAGAATGAGATGCACCGGGAGCAAAATGCAAATTACCTGCTATTCTGTTAATACTTGCTTTACCATAGATTCTGCAACCTTCGTTTAATCTTTCATTGATTCTAGTTACGTAGCCTTCTCTTTCACACTGTTCTATTTCTGAACCATCAAAAAATGCCCATCCATTTGCTGCATAGGCTTCCTTAACTTGTTTACAAGTTTGACAACATACTTTTTCTTCCTCGTTTTCAACTTTTTCGTTATTGGATTGATCTTTTGCCCCAAAACATGGACCACAGTAATCATGATCTAAATTGTATTTGTTTAAATACTCAGGAGAGAATTGTTCCAAAAGTTGGTCATCATCAAAACTACCCTGGTTTTGGTTTTGGTTTGGCTTGACTTCAGTTGACGAATCATCATATGACTCTCCAGATCCAATTTGCAAGTCTTCTGAAGCAATATTTTTTCCATTTAAATCCAATCTTATCTTCTTGAACCCATATTGAGCAACGTCTAGTTGTAGTTCACCACTAACGTCCATTATATCCAAAGTCAATAAATCACAAGGTAGATTTGGAAAAGTTATATCAACATTAATATCCAATCTCTTTGCACGATCTCTATCGACAACTAATTCGGGTCTTATGACAATTGTTCTAAATTCATTCCAATCATTGATTATCAAACAAACCACAAGGATAAAGCAAACCAACGTTACAATTCCACCAGAAGTAGTTCTAATTCTGGCATCTTCCACTGTCTTTGCAAAGGCATCAAAGTTGACCAATTTATTCCTCGATGTTATCATTTTGAATCTCTCGGTTGAAAAGAAGAAAACGCTATGTTGCAGGTTAAACCACTCGAAAAAGAAGGAATACAGGATCTGAAATAAGATATTAAATCAAATGAAAAAATGGAAAACAAAATGCTAGAAAAATTTCTGAAATATTGAAAGCTAATGGAAAACTCAGAAAACTTGAGTGACCTATAGAAATAATACAAGTGTTGTTCTTACTTGGAAAAGTTCCAACCCACTAAGGTGGTATCTGAATCAAATATAATACCTGCATCACACCACAGAGGATCACAGTAGAGCACGTGCCTTGCATCACGCGTATATCACGTTTTGATTATTTCTGTTTCAGGATGAAATCGGAAAGTCCGCGAGTGCGCCAGAAAAAACGCAACATGTCACGCGACGTAGCGGCATTATCGTGCGTACTTCTGCAGACCCGCGTGGGTGGTTTTGTGATGCTGGATGATGAAAATCGCTGGGGCATCAGAAGCTTTTTCAGCATTTTCAGCACTTTCAGCAGCACTTTCAGCAGCACTTTCAGCAGCATTTCGATATATATCCTCATAGCCATCTTTACACACATTTTCAGAAGGGTGCTTCCAGTTCCATGCTTCTTCTCTGCCTGTTTCGTTAGTTCAATATATCAGCATCATCTTTGGTGTTTATTTTCTGCTTTTCAATTCACTATCATTGATTCAATTTTTGGCTTATCAACCTATTTCTCATCTGATTGCTCAATTTAACTCAACACATTCCAATTCTTTCAATTCAATTCTTATTGTTTTTACCTATCCTGCTTTGTTGGTTTCTTTTGCTTTTGTTTCAATTCTTTCATCTATTAATTTACCAGTTCTATCTCTACAACAATGTTTTTCATTCCTGTTAGAAGATTTACTTTGAAAAAGCTGCTTTTTTTAATCGCTTTGCTATTTATCTTAATATTTTTAATAACAAAATCAAATAGCCTCATATCGTTCAACTTGTCTAAAGTTCTACTAAAGAACCATAATCCCTACTTGGTCAATTACTATGCTATACATAATCACGATAACCAATATTTTCTGAATTATGATTATAACAATCATAACAACTTTAATAATAAGCTTGTTAGTCTAAGTGATCTTAATAACAATAATAATAACAACAATATTGATCAGCTCAATAACGACTCAACTATACCCAAAAATTATATAATCGATCTTTTATCGAAAAAATTTTTACCTGCTGATTACATTTTAAATTCAAATCACTCTAATCTTGATCAAATTAACAAATTGGTTAAATTAATCAATAAAAACAATATTAATCAATATTTAAATAACTTGCTACTAAATAGAAATGAATTCGATCCAAGGTTAGCTCCTCTTCTAACCTTATCTTATTTCAAAAATCATATTAAAAATAATCTCAATAACAACAACAACAATCATAATAATAATATCAATTTTATAAAAGATTTTAAAGTTCCTTTTAGTTGGAGCTCCTGGGTTGATTTAAATGCAAAATTAAATGTATATAAAACCAAAAGAAACCTATTCTCAAAAAAAATACTTGAATTAACTTCTTGTGAAGATTTTAAATCAAGATATGAATTAAAAAATTATATACCTCCCTTTCCTTGTGAAAATGTAAATATTAATAATTACAACAATTCAATAAATCATGTCAATAATAAAAATAATAATAATATAAAATTTCCCTTTGCCATAACCAACTTTTTTAATGCAAAAATTCACCCTGATGCGAGAGTCATATTTGGTGCTTCTTATCTATTATACTCAGCCCCAATACCAAAACGATTATTCTTCATAAACGCGATCAATAATTCTCTTTCACTAATCTTGCCAACAGATCCAAATTTAAATGATAATGATATAACTTTTTTATCGGAATTCTATATAAACAATGAATTTAAGTATAATATCTTTGATAAAAATAACCAAAATAACAATCATATTGAATGGTATCAATTGATTTTCAACGGTTTAAACTCTCAAAATGAATTGGCTCAATTATCCCACCTATTACTAAATAATAATTATTTATCTATTTCAAATGAATCTACTAATTATCTTGATACTACACGATTAATTAATCAACCACTTCTTACATCAAATAATAGTCACTCATTTTTATCGAAAAGGAAAGACTCTCTTAATCTAAATAAAAAAAGCTTCTTATGGAACACGAGTAACTACTTGAACAACTTGAACAAAAAAATTATTAATAGATATAACTTATCAAATTCAGTAAATGACATTTTTGAAAATATCAAAAAACTAAATAACAGTAAAGATATTTTGGACACTGATTTAGACATTAACTTGAAAAAAACTATCGATCATTCTATTTCAATTAAAAAAAATTTTCCAAAGTTTTTTCATGAAGCAAGTGTTGTAGATAGAGCAGCTGGCGCTCATTATGATTGGAGATTTTTTAATGGATTAGATATTCCTCCAGAAAATCATGGTGCAATTTTGCATCGTTTAACAAGAGCCTGGTTACGATTTTCAGAGAGTGCTGGCTTGAAAACCTGGATAATGCATGGCTCATTACTAGGGTATTGGTGGAATGGTATGAATATGCCATGGGATCAAGATTTAGATGTTCAAGTCACAATGGATTCATTGGTTCACTTGGCTAGAAATTATAATCAAACTTTAGTCATTGATTATTCATTATCTAACACCGAATTATCAATGGGTTTAGGTAGTTATCTAATCGATGTCGGTTCAAGTTTTATTCAAAGAACTAAAGGTAATTCAAGAAATTTGATTGATGCAAGATTTATTGATACAGCAACTGGTTTGTATGTTGATATAACTGCAATTGCTAAATCTCACAAGGGAAATTTATTTATCAAGGAAACTGACGAAAAAAAAACTAAAAAAGTTAACGAGTTAAAACAGGCTTTAGATCCAGAGTACATTACAAAGCACACCATTGAAACAATTAACCAAGACGATTATAACAATCAATTATATGAAATCAATGATAAATTGTATAACAGTAATGAATTATATAACTGTCGAAATAATCATTTTTATTCTTTGGATGATATCAGTCCATTAAAACCAATATATTTTGAGGGAGTCAAGGGATACATTCCAGCAAATTTCAAGAAAATCTTAGAAAGAGAATATAATAAATCTCTACTGAAATATAGATATTGGGGTCATGTTTTTAGAAGAAGTTTAAGGTTGTGGATTCCATTAAAGGAGTGTAGTAACAGGAAAAACGATCAAACATGTCTTAGAGACTCAATTAAAAGTGAAATAACGTTTATACAAACTAAAAATTTCACTATTTTTCACAAAAAACAAATGAACCAAATAATAAATAACAATACAGTACCAGAAATCAATTATGATTATAACCCAGAGCATGAATTTATTGTATTCAAGGACGATCCATGGATAGTGAAAAGGACTAACAAGCTAATAAGCACCATCGTTGATGAATTCAATTTCATTACAGGCTTATAATTTACAGCTGGATTAATTGATAAGTTGAGCATCTGAAAATTCGCTTCTCTTTTCTACTCGCTTATTTGGATTTAGGTTTGAGATAAAAATGGTTTTCATTTTTTGTTGAAAAGTCAGCATTTCAGTAAAGTTACATGAATTGAAATTTAAAGATATATAATGATAGTAAAAATATAAATTACAAATTATGAAAAAATGCAAATGAGAAAACAACCGAAAATATAAAAAATTCAAGAATAATATTGGTTTATTTTAATTTAAAAAGTTTAATTTTTTAAGCTACTAAACATGGACTCAAATTGAAAGGAATAATAACAAGTTTGCAGTTTTTGTTTGAACATAGGTTTTAAATATTTAAATACCCTATTACTTGTTTCATCTGGTTTATTGTGCTTTTTTTTAAGTTTATAATTTTATTAAAAAAGCTTGAATGAATTTTATTTTCAATCACCGACATTTTGTTTTTGAATCAATAGCATATCTGTGTATTTATCTTCAAAATGTCTCCTAATTTCAGATAATAGGGTGTTGATTTTACTTTTTTCTGAAAATATTAAAACTTTTTCATTTACACCACCTTTCCAAAGTTCAATCTAAATAATCCACAGAACGATATAATATAGAAAATAGACTAGCCATTGATCCCAAATCTTCCAATACTATTCTTAACTTATTGTATTTAAGATTTGTATTAAATGAAATGTCATTAAATGATGTATTATTTAAACTAATAATGGTGTTCTAAATAAAAAAAAATACATTTTCCTAAATTTTTTTGTAAAACCTGCCTTTTTTGGAAATTTGCGGGATCTCTTTCCATCAGTAATGAATAAAAACTTTTCATTCAAGATCAAAAAGCTCTCATAGTAAAATATACCATTTGTTGGTACCAATTGCATGATTTGGCACTTTGAGATTGGCTTTCTTCCAGGTTTTAATGGATCGAACTTTCGTTGAAGAAACCATAATTACTAACATTTCAACTATTTAGCTATTTAACTGGTATGTACCATAGTGCTTCTCTATAGAAATCAATTTTTAAATTTGGAGCTTGAGCTCTTAACTGATTCAATCTAAATAAGGAATTCGAAGCTGGCAGCTCGTATTTGATTTCTTTAGTGTTTGGCAATGTTATAACATCTGAACTAATTTGTATAATTGTATCAGGCAACTTCAGGTGAGTAATATTGCTCCATTGTGATAGCCCTTGAGTGCTTTTTAAACGGTTTGATCTTAAATCCAACATCATATCATGTTTGTCTTCAGGCACTAAACTGGGCTGCTTTTTAAACATTGCATTGAAAATGCAATCATTGAAAATGCAATCATTGAAAATGCAATCATTGAAAATGCAATCATTGAAAATCCAATTGATTGCAAAATAATTTGGTTTGTCTTGTTCAATTTTTTCTATTTCATTGCCCTCTAACCTCATAATGGCACAACTATTCAATTCTTTCAATAGTATTAATGTTTTAATTTGGTTTATTGATAGATCCAAATGCTTCAAATTCTTTAAACACTTTAAATTGTTTATTTCTGTTATTTTATTATTACGTAGACCCAATATAGCTAATTTTTCCAAAAATTTGCCTTTTTTTGTGAGCTTAAACTCAGATATGTTGTTGTCTGATAAATTGATATGGCGTAAATTGCCTAAACTCTCAATGTTTTCAACAATCTTTATTTTGTTTTCACAAAGACCTAAAAATGAAAGTTGGGCTAAGTTGTCTAGTTGCTCGATTTTTTCAATCCTATTACTTCCTAAATCTATATTTCTGAGATTAATCATTTGGTTAAAATTTCCAATTTTTGATATAAAGTTATGGCACAACGTAATGCTCTTTAAGTTTAGCAATTTGGAAGCAGGTTTTCCAATACTCCTAATCATACTTTCACACATATTTAATTTTTCCAATTTGGGAATATCTGCAAATGCGTTATTAAAATTATCAATAGGATTATTAGATATATCTAAGATTTTTAAATTTGGTAATCCTCTAAGTTCTGCAATGTTGCTGACCAAATTATGTGAAAGATATAATTCCTCCAAATTCGATAATGCATTTAGATTTGCGATTGATTTGATAGAATTGATTTTTAAATAAAGCTGCTTTATATCTTTAAACTTGGAAACATTATTAATCTTCATAATGGAGTTGTTATTTAGCATTATTTGGACCAATTTGTCACACTGGTTGAAATTTTGGAACGATTTTATTTTATTGAAACACAACTTCAAAGTAACCAAGTTTGTAGGGAATTTCACATTTTTTATAGTTGCAATTCCATTGTGTGATAAATCCAAATACTCGATTGTGTCAGAGAATTGGATATTCTTCAAACTGGGACAGCTGCTGTTTGCCAATTTGAGATGTTTTAAATCCATCAGTTTTAGCACACCGGAATTCATTTTAGAAAAGCACACTCCTTTCAATTCTAGTGTAGTAAACTTGAACGAATTATTGTTGACATATTCATCTGCAAATAACAACTGAAGTTCAATTTTATATTCTTCAGGATAATCAGGTGTGTTGGTTTGATAATGCAATGCAGGACATATGGCATTGCTGGACTGTTTGATGTTATCATAATTAAATTCTATTGTTTCTAGTGATTTTCTTTGTGAAAGCATCACATTTTTGATTAATGATATAAATGTTTTCAAATCTGAAACCGTATTGAATTTAGAAGGCGTTGCGAGAACCTCAGAATATAAGTTTGATCGAAGGAAAATTGACAATTTTTTGATCAGACCTAACACTGAAAACATATTTTGATATTGGTCTATTAAGTTTGGGTTTGAAAGCATCATATTAAGATATATATTTCTGGAATACCTATTGAAATATTCATTAAACACTGCAGCATCTGCCAGTGACAATGTTAGGATATGATTGGGAGTGATTTGGTCATTTATAATACGAAGATAACGACCAGGAAGGTGAGACTTTAGTTTGATGTTTTTAAAGATAAGTTGCAAAGAAGTTGTTTTAACTAGTGGATTGGTCGAGGAGACAAATAACAATGTTTGGCCAACAGAGTTTGGTGAAAATGGCGTCAAGGATGTGAGGTGGCAATCCGTCCAATAGATTTTGTCTGTCGTTGGCAACCATTTAAAATTTTGATTTAAATAAGTTTTTTAGGATGTAAGTAATATCAAGAATATTTATTGCTCGAAAAAAACAGAGCAAAGTACCTCAAATATATATTGAGGTTTTCGTTTTTAGAGATATATACAATCTGCGCAATTCAAGTAATGTGCATGTAAGTGCATTGATATGCATGTAAAAAACAAACTAATTGTTTTTTTTCTCTTTCATAGCAGCTTTGTGTATTCTATTGCTTTCTTGCTTCTTCAAACCACAGTCTCCTTCTCGATGGCCTTAGAATTGATAAGCTATCTGATCAACTAACCACTTTCATTGATTAGATATGGGATTGTGACATGCAAAAAATTTAGTCAGCATTTCAATGTTCACTGCTTCGTTAGTTAGATTATGTACTTTGGGTAGATTTACAATTTTAATTGCAAAAATTTTTGAAACCTCATTATTACTTTCAGTTGATTTAATCTCCGAAGTTTTGACTAATACATTAAACTTAGATGTGAGGGTATTAACTTTTAAGCTATTACAATTTAATTTGTGTAATTTCAAATAGTTTTGATGATAAATTTTTTGATGGACTTTAAAATAAAAATAACCGATCTGAATTACTTTTAACGCCAACGATGGTTTTTGGAATTTTAATCAAACAACTCAATCTCCATGAAAATGACAGGGCTTGAATGAAATGGAGATCAAAAAACCCAAATGACACAAAACCAAAAACCACTTATATATAAGCTATTATCGCTTGCTTCCTTCTTTCATCTTACTAGTATTGTAAATCAAAGTAATCATATCCATTCTACTTATTTAGAAATTCGTTTTTAATTTTAATCTTCAAGAAAAGCAGTCTGGAACTAATCAAAAAAAGGATGAATGCTACAGATCAAGGAACCAGTAACGCTGAGCGATATGCACTATCAGGATTGGTTTTAGCAGCAATCAGCTTTACAACTGTAATCTCGGCTGGTATCTCGAATGCAAAAGAAGAGGCCTCTACATCTACAACGTACTTTATAGCAAAATGATATCACTTCCTTTTTTTGCAGAAAGCATCCCTGCTGTTCCCATTTTATTGTTATTAGCCATCTTCTCAATTATTTCGATTTTTCTCTCAATTTTCAAAGGTTGGCGTAAAACAGAGGAAAAAACCATTACAATGGATATGATATTTAATAAACCAACAATCCCGCCAGCTTCTCTTTTAGACACCCTTAAAGCTAAACTAAAAAATCCTTTTTTAAAAGAAATTATATCTCATCCAGTTCTCCCAATTGTCAATTCATCTTCGAGAGATAACCCAACTCATGAAATTCCAGAAATGTCAACACAAGAGTTTAATGAAAGATTATTCAAAATTTTTCTCACATAGTTATCAATAAAACCCAATTTTTCCCAAGAGTTATCTCTTAGAAAATCACTTATAAAATTTTCTTATTATTTTGAAAAATGCCCTATGTCATTGCTAATAGATTATGGTTTTCGAACATATGTGTAATTATATAGTCAAGCCTAATGTAATTGAAATTCTAAAGTCCAAAAAATTTGTGATGACAACAAAAAAGGAAAAAATCAAAATTGGTTATTTCTTTGCCAAAAACAAACATCTTTTAGTTGAAAATTTGGCTGCTGTAGATGTTGAACTATTTTCAATGGTTAATAATAAAATCGTGTATAATAGCCAAGCAACAAACCAAATCAACGATATTCACAATAATGAAGTCAATAATATTGAAAATGCGGTAGGTACCACAGATTTGTCGGTTTTAAAAGAAGAACTCCCTAAAGTCGAAATGATCAAGAATAATTTTAAACCATTTTTGAGTTCAGATCACCAGTCAAATTTTTTAGGTTATGTCGAAATATTTTATTCCTCTCAAAGTTTACAAAATCTTATCATAGATTTTCATAAAGAAAACCCAATTTTTCAATTGCAAAATATTTTGGAAGAATATTTTGACATCTATGAAAACATCACTGAAAACTATTTCCGATTTTCTCCGGAAGAACGGTATCTTGTATATAAGATATTAGGAGGATTCGGATGGATCGAATTTTTTTATCTATATTTGCCTATTGAAAAATTATTAGAAATAAACTCTGTGATGACTTTAGCCGAATTCAAAAAAGCCATAAACCAGTTGTTCAAGCATATTTCAGAATATGAAATTCAGAAAATAATGAAAATGAACGTTTCTTTTAAAGGCAATTTTTTTTTGTTTTGTACCAACAGGACATCTCGACACAGTTGCTCTTGCTTTAGAAAAAAGTTAAATTTTTTTATGAAAAGTCGCTAATGGTAAGTTCCCATAAAAATGCTCTTGCCTTTTTGAAATATATAGCTTTGATACCAACTAATTTTTAATGGAAATTGCCTTAAGAGTTTTCTTTTGAAGCAGTTTTACGGTACTTAAATTAATATTAGTATTGCAGGTAAAGGATTTATAAACAAAAATGTAAAAATACAACTTACCAGCAATATTGTGGTTGCATTCTTGCAAATTTGCAAAATACTACAAACAGTTAAACCTTTGTTGGTGGACTTGCAAACAGACCTGTATTTTGCAAACAAACCGTTTCTCACGTGCCCGGTTTACATTTTGTTTTATCAAGTCACGGTATATGGTTGGAATACATTTTGTCTGTAGCCTTAGAATTTCTCTTTCAACATGCATCCACCTGCAGACACTTTCAAGACGATAACGGCAAGAACCACAGCTCTGGTGCAGTATATAAGCAGCACGCTCCTTCCAGTTGATCACTTCTTTATCAACTCTATAATTCTGCTTGAGATCTCATCACAATGTCGACCAATTCTGCTTCTACCTCAAACACACCCAACGATTTTGATTTTATCAAAGCTCTTGAGTTATTTAGACTTACAGGTGCTGCTGCTTATGAGTCTTTTAAAAAAGGCAACACTCAAAGCATCGAACAGACTTTGCTTTCTCTCGCTAACGCCAATCTGCCCCCCGCCACTGAAAAGCCTTATGTCAAACAAAACAAAAAGGTGGTCAGCAAATTATCACAGAGAAAGAATTTGTTCAAGCCAATGAAAGATCGTCATTATTCTCAAAGCAAAACTTTTCCTAACATAATAAGCAAGGATAATGACTATTCCGACGATGATGGTGATGAAGATAACTTTTCAGAAATTCCAACTCCTTCGATGCCTTCTTCCCCAGAATTATATTCCTCATCTAACCCTGTCAACTCTTCTTCTTTTTCATTGAATAACATTTCTAAGTTTTTTCCAATTGTCTATGATGAAAATTATTTTGAATCGTACTCTAATTCCTATATCAGCTTTACCAGCGAAAATCCAACCACTTATCATGTCGTTAAATATTTTGGTTCTTTATTAGAGTCTCATGGGTTTAAATATTTATCTGAGAAATCTAATTGGGGTCAGCTACAATCAGGTTTTTATTATACAACTAGAAATGGCACCTCATTCTCTGCTTTTTCAATTGGTAAAGGTTGGAAGCCAGAAAATGGGGTTGGTTTAGTCGGTTGCCACATTGATGAATTAACTGCAAAATTAAAGCCAAATTCAATTAAACCAAGTGTTGAAGGCTATGAATTATTGGGTGTTTCTCCCTATGCTGGCGCTTTATCTTGGTTATGGTGGGACAGAGATCTACATATCGGTGGTAATGTCTTGGTTAAATCAAATAATAAAGATTCTAAACTTGGGTTTTCAATTGAATCCAAATTGATCAAGTCTCCTCTACCAATCGCCCATATTCCAAGCTTAGCCCCTCATTTTGGTGCTCCCTCCCAGGGTCCTTTTAATTTGGAAACTCAGGCTGTTCCAGTGATTGGTTACTCTTCTGGAGATGATGAACCTGCTACCCTAGAGGAAAAAAGTGCGCCATTATATGGTCGTCATTCCTTGAATTTATTAAGATATATTGCAAAATTGGCTCAAGTTGAGGTTAAAGATATTGTTCAATTAGATTTAGAACTTTATGACGGTCAAAAAGGTACTTTAGGTGGCTTAAATAAGGAATTTTTATTCTGTCCAAGAATCGACGACCGAATTTGTGGTTTTGCTGCAATTCATGGATTAATTGAATATGTAAATAAATCCAAGAGTATTCCCGCAGAGGGCTCTTTTTCTATGGTGACATTATATGACAACGAGGAAGTTGGTTCATTGTCAAGACAAGGTGCTAAAGGTGGATTAAGCGAGTCTGTAATCTCAAGAGTTATCGATTCATTTATTGGGCCAGAAAACAATTATCCCAGTTCTACTTCTGCTTTAAGGTTAACTTACGCCAATTCAATAATATTATCTGCTGATGTTAATCATATGCTTAACCCCAATTTTAATAATGTATATTTGGATAAACATAAAGCATTACCAAACACAGGTGTTTGTTTGTCATTAGATTCCAATGGGCACATGGCTACGGATGTTACTGGTGTTGTAATAATCGAACAAGTTGCTAAATTAAATGATGACAAAATTCAATATTTCATGATCAGAAATGATTCAAGATCGGGAGGCACAATTGGGCCATCAATTTCTTCACAAACCGGGGCAAGAACCATTGATTTAGGTATTCCTGAAATTAGTATGCATAGTATTAGACCAGCAACTGGGTCTAAAGATGTTGGTCTTGGTGTTAAATTCTTTGGTGGATTTTTTACTTATTGGAGAGAAGTCACCGATGCCATTGGTGATTTATAGGTCTTCTAAAATATTAGTAAAAATTTAGAAAATATAAAAAAAACCGAAAAACAATCTTGTTTTATTTATTTTTTTATTTATTTTTTTATTTATTTTTTTTATTTATTTTTTTATTTTATTTTATTTATATATATTCCAAAAGTTAACTATAGATTCTAATATTTTAATTTTAATTTTAATTTTTAGGTTTTGTTTTTCTAATCTCTCTTTTTTTGAATTGAATTTAAATCTCTCAATTTTTTGTTTATTTGTTTTCTCATTTGTTCCGTTCGATAATTTTGAATTTAAGTAAAAGTTAGAATAAAAGTTTTGTTTAAGCTGTGTTAGAGATCTATGTTATTGTAGATATCAAGAGCAGATAGCAAAGAATGTTTAGGTCATTAATACAAAAGGGGTTAAATGTTAAAAACTCCAAGAATTGTTATAACTATTTTTTAAAAAGCCAAATTGTACCAAAGTGTCAATATTCAATTAATTCGTCAGTTCGTATTCCTAAAGCTGGGAAAGCTGGAGCATCATCCAAGGCATTGAGAAGAACACCATTTCCCAATAACAACCACAATGGCAGTAATAACAATGTGGTTATTGAGTTAAGTGAGAATAAGAAAACAAATGAAGCTGATATAAGTAAAAGTAATAATGTTACCAATGTATCGTACTATAAGAATAATCCGAATCTTCCATTGAGTCAAATTTTTGTTTGTACATCAATAACAGTTAGTGAATCATTTGATTTGCCCAAGGTTATTAATATTTTGCATGAAAAGGGATATAAGGATGCCTCGTTTTTGATTCAGGGAGAAGTTGTTCATATCCGATTTCCCAATTATGTCAATTCCTCTAGTAGTGATATCAGTTCAAGTGGAGTTTCTGATACAGAAAATGAAACATCAGGTTTGAAATCCGATATCATGATATTACTAAATGGAACAGTTGTTGCCTGGGGTCTTCATGAGAGTTTTTTAATTAAAGAATTTTTGCCATTGATTAAAGAAGGATTTATAAATGAGTATGAAGAATATGAAAGCGAAGAAATGGATTACATTGAGCTAAATGAGGCCAAAGAAAAGGAAAAGAGTTACAATGATAATCATGCCCATGCCCACACTCATAAAAATAACTATGATAGTACGTTGGATGGAGATTTATTGATCATTAGAACATTGAATTCCAACCAAAGGTTGTTGGACAAAGCAGCATTTTCCGCTGGATTGGCTAGATCTACAAGACTTGCAATTCTCGAAAACATGTTGGAAAAATTGATTGGAGAGTCAAGAACCAATACATTGTTGTTGTCAAAGGGTTTATTGAAATTCAAGGCTGACTTAGCAAAGAACAAGGAGATTTTGCAAGTTGTTGGGAGAATGTTGGTTGTTCGAGGAAAGTTGAATTTATATTCTGAGTTGGTTGAGATACCAGACTTATATTGGTCAGAACCAAGTTTGGAAAATTTGTATAAGCAAATTAGCCGAAACTTGGATGTGAGTCCCAGAATCAACATTCTCAACCAGAAATTGGACTATGCCATTGACGAGCAAAGGGTTTTGCTCAGCTCACTCAACGAAGAAAAGGGATCGAGGTTGGAGTGGATTATCATCTACTTGATCATGTTCGAGGTGTGTTTGGAGCTCTTCCACTTCTACGAGCGAACAGTGGAGGAGCGTAAGTTGTCGGTGAAGTTTTCAGCAAAGGACACCCAAGAATAGAAACCGGCTCTATAGAACGTGTATATGTGATTCGTGTAAGTAGTAATGTCTTATTTCCCCTGAGAAGCACAGGAAGCACAGGAAGCACCAAAAGCAGAAACACGAACAGCGCAGGAAGGAAGGCCGCACGGGTTTCCGGTCCCGTGCGTGATCCGCCCACAAAAGCGAGAAATTTCGCAGTGGTGTTTCTGCTGCTTCTGCTGCTTCTGCTTCCACGACTCTGCTGTACAGAATGCTATTGGGAAGAAGAGTGGCACCGCAGGTGCTTTCCAGGGCTGGGAGGACCCAGCTCAGGTCGTTTGTATCGCAGAAAGAGGTACGTTTGTTCTGTTTCTGCTGCTGTTTACTCAAGGACTACAATACTGACATTACCTCCATCTTTTAGCCATATGAAACTGTCACTTTGTCTAATGGAGCTCGAATTATCACAAATCCCTTGCCCAGTCATTTTTCATGTTTGGGTGTATATATCAATGCTGGCTCAAGGTATGAGCCCGAAGCACTTGTTGGCACATCCCACTTGATTGACAGATTGGCCTTTAAAACCACTGCCTTCAGTTCTGACATGGATATCAAGTCTGCTTTGGAATCCTTGGGAGGGAACTATATGTGTGCATCGTCCAGGGAATCGCTCATGTACCAAGGGTCTGTCTTTAACGAAGGAGTAGAAGAAATGTTTAAACATTTTGCCGATACCATAACCTCACCTCTTTTGCTCGATGAAGAGATTGAGGAGCAAGTCAATATCGCATACTACGAAATTAGTGAAATCAACAAGAAACCTGAAGTTATCTTGCCAGAAATTTTCCATTCGACTGCTTTTAGTAATAAGACCTTGGGTTCTCCATTATTATGCCCAGTTGAAAACTTGCCTAATATTAACCATAATTTGCTTTACAACTACAGAAGCCTATTTTTCAAGCCTGAAAATACTGTGTTTTCCTTCATCGGTGTTGACACTGATAATGCATTGAAACTAGTTGAAAAATACTATAGTAACAACTTGGAAAACAAAGGAAACTTTGAGTCTTCTAACATGGGCTTGCAAGTGAATAAGGATTATGCTCATTATACTGGTGGCGAAACCTCGTTGCCCTCAATTCCAAATCCTGCCAGTCCCCAGAAATTCTCGTATCTCCACATTGGTTTTGAAGGGCTTTCGATCGACGACCCAGATATCTATGCTGCTGCCATTTTACAAACTTTGCTAGGTGGTGGTGGTTCCTTCTCTGCTGGTGGCCCAGGAAAGGGGATGTACTCGAGATTGTACACACAGGTGCTCAACCAGTATGGCTACATTGACAATTGCGTAGCATTCAACCATTCGTACATTGATTCCGGTTTGTTTGGTATTTCTGCGTCGTGTTTGGAGAATGCTGAACCGTACTTGGTGGAAATAGTGTGTCGTGAATTGGCTCACACCTTTGAAGATGGCAAACAAGGTCTAAAGCCTAAGGAGTTCCAAAGAGCCAAAAACCAGTTGAAGTCCTCGTTACTCATGAATTTGGAAAGCAAAATGGTGGAGCTTGAGGATATTGGAAGACAGGTGCAAATACTCGGCAAGAAAACACCACTCTTCGACATCATTGGCAAAATCGAAGCTGTGTCGTTGCAGGACGTCAAGAACGTAGCCAAAAGAATCCTCACAGGCAATGCTCAAAACAAGGGCAATGGCACTGGAAGACCAACCATTGTTCTCCAAGGCAACAGAGAGGCCTTTGATGATGTGGAAGGCACCTGCAAACGCTACGGGTTGGGACGCTTCACACCCAGCGAAAGCACCAAAGAACCAAAGAAGAAGTGGTTTTTCTGAGTGAATAGCAGCCTCTTGTACATAGCTATCGACGTAGACAGAGACAAGGACAGCACTGTCTGCTCTTTTCCCTCTCTTCCTCTCTTCCCTCTAATCCACCATGATCCATTCCACTCATCGCTGATTCCGTCCGCTCCAAAACAAAAACATAAATAAACATCGCTGTGATACCAAAAGACTCCATCTTTGGTCTGATTCCTGAGAACCAAACGAATGCAATCTCTGCTCACCAACTGGATCTGGTAACTTTAGTTCTGTCTGTTCTTTGCTCGCTATCCCTTCGTTCTCTGCTTTGTTATCCACAGGTTGCTCTGCTTTTTCTTTGTTTACTCCTATAACTGCTGCCCAACATTTGTATCATATCACTTCCACATTCTCCATCTCCATCTCCATCTCCATCTCTATTTCTATCTCTATCTCATCTCCAATCATACATTCACTGACTCGTTATTTCCCTGTTTTTTTAGTCTTTTTTTCATGAACCAATCCTATAATGACTACCAATAATGAAGACATAGAATTCGATTCCCACCAATGGGTCTGGCTACCTGATCCTAAATTGACTTTTGTCAAAGGTTTCGTCACTGAAAAATTGGAAAATGACAAAATCAAAGTGAGGTGTAGCGACGATGCTGACAGAATTGTCGACTCTTCCATCACTCAGAAGGTAAATCCTCCAAAATTTAATAAAGCTGATGACATGGCTGAATTAACCTACTTGAATGAACCATCGGTCCTCAACAATCTTGACAAGAGATATAAAGACGACTTGATTTACACCTACTCTGGTTTGTTCTTGGTAGCCATCAATCCCTATCTAAATATTCCAATCTATGGTCCTGACTACATAAATATCTACAACAATGGTCACTCTGATTCCACTACTAAAGATGTCAAGGCCAAACCTCATATTTTCGCTATAACTGACTTGACTTATAGATACATGCTACAGAAAAAACAAAATCAATCTATTCTAGTCACTGGTGAATCTGGTGCCGGTAAAACTGAAAATACTAAAAAAATCATCCAATACTTAGCCTCAATAACGCTGACCAACAATAACAATCCTCTAAAGCAAAACCCTTCAAATTTATCAATCTCAAGTTCTTTTCCCACTTCAAATCAGTTCACTACTTTTGAAGAACAAATCATCCAGGCAAATCCAATACTAGAATCCTTCGGTAATGCTCAAACTGTCAGAAACAACAATTCTTCAAGATTTGGTAAATTCATCAGAATCGAGTTCGCCGATGATGGTAAAATATCCGGTGCCAACATTGATTGGTATCTTCTAGAAAAATCAAGAGTCATAAACCAATCGCCTCAAGAACGTAACTACCATATTTTTTATCAACTATTGCTAGGTCTTTCCAAAATCGAAAAGGAAAAATTGTTCTTAAACATCGATATAAGATCTTTTAATTACTTGAAAAAAGGAAACTACACAATCCCCAATGTAGATGATAAGAAAGAATTCAAAAACTTGCTTTATGCTTTCCAAGTCATGGGTTTTGATAAAAATGATTATTGGGAAATTTTTAAAACAATCGCTATCATTCTACTTATTGGCAACATTGACTTTATTTCTCAAAAATCTGAACAGGCTAATTTTTCAAAAGATTCTCCAATTGACAATATTGCCAATTTATTAGGTATCAGTTCATCCGATTTTACAACCGCCATTTTGAGACCAAAAGTTAAAGCAGGCAGAGAATTTGTAACTCAGTCAAGAAATGCCTCTCAAGCCAAGTTCTCTCTTGATGCTTTATCAAAAAGCTTATATGAAAGAACCTTCAAATTTATCGTTGATCAAATCAATGATAAGTTGGATCATTCTCTAAACTCTTCCAACTTTATCGGCGTACTAGATATTGCTGGTTTTGAAATTTTCAAAAAAAACTCCTTTGAACAATTATGTATCAACTATACAAATGAAAAACTTCAACAATTTTTCAATCATCATATGTTTGTTTTGGAACAAAATGAATATATAAAGGAAAACATTAACTGGAGATTTATTGATTATGGCCATGATTTACAAGGAACAATCGATTTAATCGAATCCGCTCAAAATCCGATTGGTATTTTCTCAATTCTTGATGAAGAATGTATTGTTCCAAAAGCTTCTGATCTGTCTTTCATTCAAAAATTAAATAAAGTTTTAGATCATAAATCTGATAAATTCACGAAAGGAAAATTTTCTGACGGTTTTATTTTAAAACATTACGCCGCAAATGTCGAATATTCAACAGAAGGTTGGTTGGACAAAAATAGAGACCCATTAAATGAAAACGTTGTTGAATTGATGACAAATTCAGCTAATAACCATATGGTTTCTCTATTCAACAATGACATTTCATCCAATTCCACTAAAAATTCTCTGACAAAAAAGGGTATGTTTAGAACGGTTGCTCAACGTCATAAAGAACAATTGAATAACTTGATGAATCAATTATCCGATACATATCCTCATTTTGTTCGTTGTATAATTCCAAATAATAAAAAGAGAGCTCACGATTTTGATAAAAAACTAATTCTTGAACAGTTAAGATGTAATGGTGTCTTGGAAGGTATTAGAATCGCAAGAGCTGGTTATCCCAACAGAATCTTCTTTAAAGAGTTTTTCCAAAGATATGAAATTCTTTCAAAAAAACTGTATTTATTATCAAGTGATATGAAAAAAAACTGTGAATTGATTTTATCTGCAATTCACCTAGATTCTGCCTTATATAATGTTGGTTTGACAAAGGTTTTTTTTAAAGCAGGCGTTTTAGCAGATTTAGAATCCAAAAGAGAGGATAAAATCAAATATATTTTCACGGATTTTCAGGCAGTTGCAAGAGGATGCATTAAAAGAAGATTAATAAAATACAGAATTGAAAAAATTCAAGCATCTCAAGTCTTAATGAAAAATTTATTAGTATATAATGAATTGAAGAAAAACCCATGGTATGATTTACTTATCAAACTAAAACCATTATTGTCCTCTTCAAAGCAACAACAAGAAAAGCAATTGTATAATGAGCAAATTAAAAATTTAAAAAACCAACTTACAAAAATAGAAAAAGAAAAAACTACAACTCGAAAAAGTTTCCAAGAGCTTCAAAAAGAATATGCAAAAATTGAGGATGTTTTGGCAACGGAAAGAGACTTATCCACCTCAAAGGAAAATTTACTACAAAAAACAAAAAAGAAAGAAATTGAACTCACCACTGAACTAGAAGAAAAGACAAAAGAACTCAATAAGCTTCGAACCAGCTATGAATCGTATTCCAAAAATAAAAATACCCTAGAGTCTAAAGTTGAAAACTGGAAAAAAGAAGTGACAGATCAAAAAAAAACAATAGCTGTCTTAGAAAAGGATAAAAATAAAATGAAAATGAAACAAAATGCAATGGAAAAGGAACTCAGAAATTTAAAAGATAATACTACAACAAGCACAAGAAATTTTGCTATTATAAAAGATGAGGTTGCTGAATTGAAAGCAAAGATTAGACAAAAGGATAGTCTGATTAGAGATTTAGAATTTCAACTTAGAAACGCAAATAAAGATCTTGAAAAAAAATTTGCATCACCTTCTAGAGAACTTGAAAAAGCGAACCAAAAAATTTCACAATTAATGGAAGAAAATAGTTTTCTTACCAACAAAATAAAGAGCATTGATCAACCCGTCATAGAACTAGATTCTTTGAAAAAACAAGTTGCTGAATTGAACTTAACTATTGAAAAATTGGAAACCGAAAAGAATGATTTAGATAATAATTATAAATCGGCAGATAAAAATATCGAGGCATTGAAATTGCAATACAAAAATCTTGAACGAGAAGCGACAGAAGCAAAAAATTTGTTAAAGGTGAAAATTGCAGATGATATTAAATTTGAGCGTGGAAGGCAGAAACATAATTCAGAGTTGATGGAGTTAAAACATAAAATAAAAGAGGCAGAGTCTTGCCTTAAAACAGAAAAAGAAAACACAGCTGATTTGACTTCCAAATTAAATTCTATAACCAGAGAATACGACTCATTGGCTCAAGAGAAGAAAGAGTTTGATAGAAAAATCACTGAACTAAATGCTAAATTTGATCTTCGTGCAAAAACATATTCTAATGATGATTATGAGCAATTAAAAGCAGCCCAGAAAAAATTAATTGATGAATTTGCCTCTGTTAAACTTCAATTAAATGAACAAAGTGCTTTGGTGAGAAAAGGATCTTTGGAAAATTCGAAAATGACCGATGAAATGAAGGTTCTTAAAACCAGACTTGCCTCAGAAGCATTTGACAATCAAAAACTTACTGCACAATTAGAAAAAATCAAGCTTTCAGGCGGTAATATAGACTCTTCTATTTTGAATAATCAATCAAGTGATACTGATTATGCTAAAATTCAAACATTATTAAGAGAAAATAGAGATCTTAAACAAAGTCTTGAATTAGAAAAAAAGGCAAGTAAAAGAGCAGAATTAGAACTTCAAAAACAAGCCACTAGTTTAAATTCTGAAATAGCATCCAGGGGATTGTCTATGTTGAACAATCAAATTTCATTGCCACAAGTACCAGTAGATTCTGCTTATAAAGTCAAATATGAAAATTCCGAAGCTAGGGTTAAATTGTTAGAAAGACAAATGAAAGAGGTTTCTGGTCGCAGATTGCCCCCTCTTCCTCTAAAAGATAATCAAAACATCATAAATCAACAAGAAAGTTCAAATTCGGAATTAATAAAAGTTTATCAGGATGTCTCTAAACAACTACGAACTACTAGAGAGGAGCTAGCCAAATCAAAACAAGAAATTTCCAGGTTGAAAAAATCTGCAGAAGCTCCGGCAAATAAATATTTCAATGAGAAAAAGAGTAAGACAGAAACAACTACATTTTTATTGAAAGAAGAATTAATCACAACTCAATTAAAGTTAGAAGCTTCTCAAAATAAAGTTGAGGATTTAGAGAAATCTATTAAATTGTTCAAAAGTCGTTCAGAAGATTATTTTTCCAAGTTGGAGGAGGCAGAAACTATTGTAAAGGCATGCCATAGATCTGAAAAATACGCAAGGGACGAGTTAAAAGAGGCCCAAGAAATGTTAACTGCGTTGAAAAGTAATACAAAAGATGTTGACGCTGTAAAAGCCAAGTTGCATATTAAAATATATAAATTAGAAGCTGAAGTTGGAAATAAGCAAGCTGAGATTGAAAAGCTATTGAATAATCAAACAACACTAACAAATGAATTAGAAAGGTATAGATATCTGTATATTACGGGAAATAAATATAACAACCGTGATAAGCAACTTGAAGATTTAAATCAGAAATTGGCTCAATCTTTAGTCACCGAAACAACACTTCAAAAAGAAATCAAAAGGCTTCAATTACAGTTAGATAATTCCTTGGGTGAAAAACAAATTTTAGATGATCAACTAAATAAATGGGAAAGTGACAAGGTTTATTACGAAAATTTGATTCAACAGTTAGAAGCCACTGGAAACATTCATAATCAGAGTTCTCAAGATAAAAAGGCTAAATTGGAAGCAGCAATATCACAATTTAGTGCTTTAAATACATCTTTAGAAGAGTTGATGAAAGAAAGAGATACATTACAAAGTGATAAAAAAAATCTTGAACTCAGAATTTCGGAAATATCATCTCAATTTCAATCGTATTTAACTGAAAATCAAAATATGGGAGATGCTAATTCCGGTTTGGTATTACTTCTTGAAAAGCAAAAACGAGAAATTAATGAATCTAAAAAAGAAATACTCGAATTACGTTCTTCATCATCTATGAATAAAGAAAAACTCAATAAAGAAAAACAAAATGTTCAAATGGTCTTACAAGAAAACATTGCGTTGGAAAAATATATCAAACAATTGCAATCCAGAGTAAAAAATTTGCAAAGAGACTCAATTTCTTCAAATGATACATTTTGGCGAAACAGAATGGAAGAATTGGAAAAAAAAATGGGAGAAATAAATGAAATTAAGTTTGAATCCAGTAAAAGCTCAAGAGCTCTAGAAACAACAATTAAGGATCTTCAAACTCAATTAGAGCTAGAAAGTCATTCATTGCAGAAAGTGAGAGAAGAAAAGAAAACAAATGAAGAAAAAATTTCAAGACTAATTCAGAAGTTAGAAGAGTTGCAAAAAAGAGATGAAAAGTCTCAATTGTTACTCAAGAGGGCTGAAAGAGAAATTAACTCTAAAAAGGAAAATTCTTTAAGACTAGAGAAAGAATTACTTGATTGGAAAGCAAAATTTGAATTAGTTCTGCAAAAAAAATCAAAAGCTGGAAGAGCCTTTAGCTCGTTATACCGATCTTCTTCAAGATCAAATTCATCTCTTAATACCAATAACAATTAATTTTTTTTAATTTCCACATTTTATTTATTTTTTTAATTGCTGTTTTAATTTAATTTACATTTTTATAGTTATTCTTGATATATCCATTCATTAACATAATTGATTATTTACCATTGTTATTACTCTTATAATTTAAACGTTTCAGATATTTTTATTAATGTTTTTAATCCATTTCTTTTTATAGTTAGTTTTTCATTTCATTTTTGAAATAATTAATGTTACAAAAATTTAAAAACAACTGAAACTTCACTCTTTAGAACCAATATTAAATTTCATTCTGGTTTCAGTCATTTCGTGAACATATTGACCAAAATGTTCCAAACTTTCCATTTTAAAACTATTCAAAGATAGTTCGCTGGACTTTCGATTAATTTTGCCAAACATTTCACCTGTAACCAAATCCAATTTACCATCAAACTTTTCAGGAATTAGTCTTTCAAAAACTTTTTTGAGTTGCGGTTCTACAATATTGCGAAATAGCAGCTGGTAACCTAGAACATATAATCCTAGTCTTGCTCTCGATAGTGCAACAGTCACTCTTCTTATGTCTCTGATGTAACCCAACTTTTTTGTACGACACAAAGATAACAAGATATAATCATTTTCTTGTCCTTGATAATTATCAACAGTGCTCACAATTGGCCATCCAAAATCAAAATCTTTACTATTGATATCTGATCCTTTTTTATTAGTACCACATCTAGTTTTTAAAATCTCTTCAACCAAATACTTTTGACCACTATACATTACTAGTATTGTAATCTTTTGGTTTGGGTAATTTAATAGTCTCATATAGCAATATAAAGCAACAGCAAATTCAGCTTCTCCTAAATTTTGAATAAGATTTGGTGAAGGCTCTGTTTCTCCTTGATTATGGTACTTAGAAACGTTAATAAATTGACAAACATTATTAAAACCTGGATTAGAAAGTATAAATTCTGTACTATTTTCGATATGTTCAAGGTTAAGTATGCCGTTAGAAAATCCTGATTCAGAATAGATGTGATTATATAAGTAAACAATTTCACTTCTTGCACGACCTTGATAATTCAATTTAAAGTATGGGAGACCCAATTTAATAAATCTTTCAAACAATGATTGATCTGCCTTTGAAAATTGTTTTAAAGAGGGATTTTGAATTATAGGCCTATTCTGATTATGGTCACCAATAAATATCACCCTTTTTAATGAGTTGTCAGATTTTCTAGAATTGGCTAACAATAATGGTATTACTGTATTAATTTCAGTAAGTTGTGCAGCTTCTTCAATTAAAACGTTATCAAAACTTAAACCCATTTCTTTTAAATCATCATTTCTCATTGAAACATAGGTCGATGTCATTGCAACAACTTTAGCATGTTTCAAAAGTATATAATTAGTTTTTGCTTTTAAATTTGTCAATACCTCAAAAGGTCTAAATGATTCCAATTTATCAAAAATTGAAACAATTGATTCATAGTGTCTTGTTAGGATAGTAAAAGAATCATTATACTTTTCGCTTTCTAGTTTGTTTTTATCAATCAGCCTATCCAATTTTGAAAAAAAATCAAAAAAAGGATAAAACCTTATAAGATATTTGCTTGATTTTTCTTCGTTTTTAATTTTTATTAAAAATTCTTTCCATATTTCTTGAATATATGAATTGTAAAAAAATATTGCAGTTTCACATGAGTTTCCATGAGCACCAACAATGTTCAAACTTTCTGCAAGTGTATCAACTTTTTTTAATAAAACAGGAATTTGGTTAATTGAATGTTCAACTCTTCCAAAGGAACAAAATGATGACTGATTCTGAATTCCATCTTCTGAAACTGATATAGATAAGCCCTGCTCTCCATATCCAAGTCTTAGTAAAAACTGTTCATCAATAGTTCCAAGTTGAGCAAGTTTGGTAAATAAATGGTTTAATGCATGGTTGCTATGTGTTATAACCAAAGTTTTTTGATGTGGAAAATTATTAAATACATTTGATATTATTTGAGTAGCCACATCAGTTTTACCAGTTCCAGGTGGTCCCAATATTATTGTTAAGCCAGGCAAACTTCCAGATATAATTGATTTCATTTGGTTTTCTGTAAATTTTATCAAAGGTTTATGATTATTATCTGAAAAATTCGGTAACTTTTTCTGATCATAGAGATAAATTGATATGGTTTTCTTAATTTGATTAGTTTTTTCAAGCAAAAAAGGAGGTGTAAATGTTTCATGTATAATTTCGCCAACGTTATTTGAAATTCTTTTACGCTTTTTCAAAATTTTAGGATATTTTTTATTATTTATTGTTAAATTATAATCAGGAAAACATTCAAATAAATGATTTAAATCAATAAAATTATTTTTCATGTCAAGGATCCAATTATCGTTGTTGTTATGAATTTGTGTATCAAATCCCAAAAAATTCCCTAAAAGCAAAGAAGGTAAGTTTAATTCTGTTTGATTTACTAATAATTTCATATTGGACAAAATTTGATAAAAATTGTTTTCTCTTTTTTTTCTTCTAACAATTAGATTGATATTAGAAAGCATAGAATCAAATTTTTGTTTATCATTGCCAAAATTTGAAATTTCATGATACACTTTTGCATCAATATCAATATAAAAACGTCGTAACTTGAGTTTATAATTTGATAAATCATTGTTCGGAATCTTCTCACTTAATGTATTATTTTTTTCTGCAGAGTGAATTTTTGTAGAATAACCGTCAACAATTTCAGTGATTTTACCAGAAGTAATTTGACGGATTCCTAAAGATTCTAAAAAATTATTTGAATTTTTTTTCTCTGTGAGAGAAACTAAAAAGATTATATCATTTCTTGATAGTTCGTCCCATTCATTAATTATGTTGTCAGATAATTTATTTAAATTTAATTGAACCTCTAAGTTCACTACATCAGGATAGGGTGTTTTTATTGAACCGTTAAAAGTTGTGGATACAATGGATGGTTTGTTTGTAATTTTTAAGGCCATTTTGCTAAAACCTTGTAATTTCAATTCTTCATTATTTATATCAGATCTATAAATTTTATGGTTTAATCTTTTTATTATCAACTCGATATCGTTCAGTATTTGGTAGAAAAATTCATCTCTTTGAAGAAAAAAACTTCTAAATAAAAAGTCATTCATTGATAAGTACTGTAATCCAAGTTTGTACAATGGCTTCGAAAAACATAGTATTGATCTATTTTTCATCTGATGATCCAGTTGATATAAATTATAATTTTCAAGAATTGAAGATTGATCGGGCAATAAAGATACTTTGTAAAAATCATTTAAATATGTCAAAGGATTGTAATAGTTGAAATATATAAATTGAATAAACAATTCTTTTGTTAGTTGAATATTAAGTGAAGTAGAATAGTTCAAGTTTAGATCAATTTCTTTTAATATTAATTTTAAATCTTGTGAGTCTAATGAAGATAATGTTGATATAAAAAAAGATTTATTAGTCAAATATGTTAAAGAAGCCTTTGATAACTCAATAATTTGAGTTTTATTTGTTTTATTTTGAAACAATTTGTAAATAATTTTTTGAAAAGATTCCAAACTATTATAGTAGTTAGTTTGAACTGATTCAGTTGATGTTATGATTCCAGTAAAGTCGTCAATTGGGTTGTAAATATAATACAATAAGATATCAAACATTTTCAAGAGATCTGAATTTTTAAGGTTCTTGTCAATTATATATAAATTAATAAAAGCTAATAAGTTGATATCTTTAACTAGAGAATTTGTAAATGCACGAGTTGATAATTGAGATAAAATATCAATTAAAAATTGAAAGACCATCAAAGAATAATCGATCACTATTTGGTTTTTAATTGAAATATCATTAGAGTTATTAGAATTATTTGCTGAGATTATGAAAATGTAATCTAAAAGAAAATGATATAACCAGTTCAGTCTGAAAATAAAATCTGACTTTTTAATTTTATTATGTTTGGTTTTATCTTGGTCATTTTGAGCATTAAATTTTTTCTCAAATTTATTATACATTTTCTTTATATGAGGATAGTTATTGAAAATAACTTGTTTTCTATTTGCTGACAAATTTGACCAAATCAGAATATTAAAAATTGGAGATAATTGTGATTTGATGAAACGATAATCTAAATTGTTAAGCAATAAGTTTATAAATGCTAATAGATAGGTTTTTTGGATTACTAGTCTATCAGTATAAGAGTCTGATAATAAAAGTGACAAAACCCTTTCAAACAAGGATATAAATGCTCTTTTATCAGAGTTAATGTATTGATCGTTATCGTCATTGAAGTTGGTATGTTCATTCATTCTTAAAGAGGACCATATAGAAGCAGTATAATCAGTATTCGTTGATTTAGCTAGAAGTAATAAAGAAACCGAAATAATATGGTCATTTGTGGAAAATTCATCAAATATAACCCATAGATAGCTTTCTAAATAGTTTAAAGATTCCAATTGAGTTAATAAATTGTAGTTAATATTACTATCAGTATTGATAGTGTTCTGGGGATTCTTCAAAAGATGATTTAGAATTAAGGATATAATCGAATCATCACGCTTCGTTTTGTATAGTTTTTTTTTGTTTTTATCATCAAATAACCAATTCTTTTTCGCTATCTCAAATATATCAATTTCATCGTTAATAATTTCAGTCATTGTAAGTTCATTTAGTTGTAAAAAAGAGCGATAAAGAAGATCAAAAAACTGATCTGGTTTGAGATTTTAGTTAAGAAATGTAAAAAAGTTTAAATGAATACACGTGATTGAAATGAAATATGGAAAATTTTTTTTGATTGATGAAAAAAGGTTTGAAAATTGGAGTTTTAAATTACTGTTTTTGAGTAAAGTCAATTAAAGTCAATTGAAAAGAGTATAGAAATGTCATTTAGAGGTGGTAGCCGAGGTGGCCGTGGAGGCAGAGGAGGACGAGGTGGATTCAATCGTCAACCTCAAGGGCCTCCAGATGCAATATTACCCATGGGCAGTTTTTTGCATCCATGTGAGGGAGACATTGTTTGTCGTTCAATTAACTCCAAGATTCCATATTTCAATGCGCCAATATTTTTGGAGAACAAGACACAGGTTGGTAAAGTTGACGAAATATTGGGACCAGTGAACGAGGTGTATTTCACGATCAAACCATCGGAGGGAGTGAAAGCAGAGTCGTTTAAGGATGGAGACAAGTTCTACATTGGAGACGACAAGTTGTTGCCAGTTGAAAGATTTTTGCCCCAGCCCAAGGTGGCAGGTTTCAAGGTGAAGAAGCCCAAGAACAAAGGCGCTGGCGGCAGAGGTGGCTCTCGTGGCGGGCGAGGAGGATTTGGCAGTAGAGGCGGTTTTGCTTCCAGAGGTGGTTTTGCTTCCAGAGGCGGCGGTGGTCGTGGAGGAAGAGGCGGCTTTGGTGGTCGTGGCGGTGGTCGTGGTGGCAGCCGTGGCGGTTTTGGAGGCCGAGGAGGAAGAGGAGGCAGAGACAGATTCTGAGCCTAGGCAAAGGGATTTGCTTTTTCTTTTGGATAATAGATATAAATACGTTCTTTTGTACAATACAAGGTGTTTTTTTCTTTTACATGTTAGATCGTGTTTGCAGACCATGGGGGGTTGTGGTGTGATATATTTAGTTGTGTAGATGAGAATAAGATGAGAATAAGGTGAGAATAAGATGAGAGTGAAAGGAAAGGAAAGAAAAGAAAAGAAAAGAAAAGAAAAGGGAAAAATACATTGTTGTATTAGAATTTATAGATTGAAATAAAGTAAATTGAAACTCAATTGAATTAAACAAAAGTCCAGATTTCATTACCATTGTCACGCATGAACCCAGCCAAGTTTTCGACATTATTTGACCAAGAGTCTAATTTATCTCTCATACTTTCAACCTGATCGATATTCATGATTCTTGGTTGGACCCAGGTTACGGTGATTGTATTGTTGACTTGATCGATGAAACCCTTCAAGAGATTTAGACTTAATGCTCTCATGACTAAGTGTTCAACATCGTTTATTGGCAATCTTGTTGTTTTTGAAATTTCGTTAAAGGTGAGGACTCTTTGACCATTGGGCTTTTGAAAGATGAGTTCAATTAAAGCCATTAGGCAAATTTTTTGTTTGAGAAAGAATTCGTTTTGCAATAGTAAGGGAGATTTTTCAAAGATCGAAGACAAGACTGATTCGAATTTATTCAAGTCACCAGAGTTTAGGATGAATAAAAAGTCTCTTAACCAAGAATATTTGTCATTTTTCAACGAGTTTAGGATATCGTGTAATAACAATTCACCAAAATTATAGATTTTGTCGCCTAGCAAAGCCGCAATACTTAAATCGTAGGCGATTAATTGCTTATCGACTTCAGACAACTCATTCAACAAATCGCTATCGAGACAAGCCAAGTATAATAAAGAGTTTTTGTAAAAGTCGTTATAATCATTTTTCAATTTGTAATATTGGGCGTTGGTTGAATAAAAGGAGGCGTTAATGACGTTATTAATTGAAGATAGTAAATCGATTTCAAGTGCCATTTTATCCAAGATTTCTCTAGATTTTTCTAGTTCGTTCAAGAATAATTGAATTCTTGAGATCTCTATTTGCAAGAAAATAAAGGCGTCGATTTTATCGTCGATTTTATTAAAGCAATCATTTAAATTAAAAGCGATTTTTTTGTTTTTGTTATAATTGTGGTAATCTTCAGGCAAATTTGCTTCCAATTTGTCCTTTATGTTTTGCAAGAAAAAGAGTTTTTCCTCATTTGATTCAATTTCACTGGAAGCTGTTAAAGCAAATTGAACAAACTTCAATTGATTTATGTTTTGGTAAAATTTAAGAATAAACTGGTGAAATAGTCTGACCCTAATGGGTTTGGATAGCTCATTGTGAAAGAATTCATCGACAGATTTAGTCAATTGATGCCATAACTTTCTCTCGTAATAGTCTTCAAAAGTATAGAAAAAGGGAATTAGATCTTCGTTGGACTCTATTCTCAAAGTTGCAAGCACAGTGGAAGCATCCTCGTTCTCTTGGTCAGCCATGGTGGGATATCGCGATCAATGAACAGTAATTGGTTGCAATTTCGAGTATCTCAATCAACAGTTGGTGGTTCAGGCTTCAGAGCTGATGGTGGCAATTGATATTTCACAGAAAAGAAAACACACGCGTACAAATCAACATGCACACGCAGTTGTCACGCACACAGTCGTCAAGCACACGCACTCATCACGCACTCACCATCTTCATGGACCTACTGCACATGCACGTCACACCACGCAAGCAACAATAAAACGCCACTATAATGGTACTGCCACACTGAGCGCGCCAAGTTGTTCCGGCGCTGGAGCCGAGCCGCGTCGTGCCGGCGCAGTTTTGTGAGGAACGGCGATCGCACCGCAGGCTTTTCGCGGGCCTTGTGGAAGATTACTAGCAGCTCTGGAGCTGTATAGGTTCCATTGCTATCCAATTGCTTACTCTCGCTTGGCTCAATCTGTATCTTATTTATATTTTCTTCTGTTTCTTGTTCTTCTTCTGCTTTTTGGCCATATCCAGACATTCTCTTCTTGTACCCTATTCCTCTTTCCACTTCTCAATATTCCTTCCTCACTAAATGTTTCTCCCAATTGTCTAATCTTCTGTTATTCTCTATCTCTGTTTACAATTTCTTTTCTCTAGATGACTATGAACACCCCAGCAATCAACATCATATCTCCCCCAAACTCTTCCAACGACAACCTCAAATCTTCTAATCCAAACAACACTGGCTCCAGCTTCTTCTTCCTAGGCACTAATCCCAGAAAGACCATTTTCAGCATTTTTTCAAACAACGATTCAACCAACAATAACACTACCAATAGTAGCAGCAATAGCAGCAATACTAATCTCCCCACTAATTCTAATAATAACTCTAATAACAACCTAATTCTCAGCCAAAATCTTGACCCAAATACTGATAATCGCAATTCTATCGACAGATCTCTAAGTGATATTAAGATCTCAAGATCCAGATCCAGATCAAGGTCAAGATCCAGATCAAAACTAAGAGCTGACTCTCTGTCTATTTTCGGCAAAAATATCTTTACCCCAAATAACAATACCAGAAATCCAGCATCCTCGGACTCTGAAGATGATAATTTTTCCATCGTCGACAACAACAATACTACAAACAGAAAAACTACTATAAAGACAAATAGTCATAGGAGCATTGCAGCCAAAAACTTGACGAAAAAATTGATCAAAAACATCAATAACAAAAATGATATTGATGATGAATTTGCTAATGATAAAAATCGCGATCAGTCTCTTGACGATTCGTTATCTGATTATTTGAGCAACAACGAAATCGCTGATCATCCAGTAACAACTTCAAAATCAAATTCAAATCATAATCCCTTGGAAAAACATATCTCAAATATATTAGATTTAAACAAATTCGATCAATCAAATTCTTCAAATCTAAAAAACATCGACATCAATACCAATAACAACTATAACAATTATCACAATAACAATAATAACAACAACAACAACAACAACAACAACTTTAATATTAATCCAAATATACATGCAGGTTTTGACACTGAAAACTATCACACTACCAATTATCATACTGGTAATTATCCTACTTATAACAGCACTTTGCCTCTCTCATATGATTTTTTTCCCGATGAATATTTCTATGACAACAAAATTGATCTTGTTCAGTTATTTGTTCAACCAAAATACTTGAGATTACTATCAAAATCAAAAGAAAAGTCAAATTTTTGTAATCGCTTATTTTTAGCCCAAGAACTAAATTTAACCCAAGACCAAAACACCTCAGATCTCAATAACTCAAACATCATCAATAACACTATAACTCCTCATACTGAATTGACCTTGATCAACAAATTCAAATCAAATGACACAAGCGACGTTAAATCAAATAAATCGATTCGCTCCACTATATCAAACACAATAAACAGCCAGGCAAATTCAAATAAAAGAGGCGCAATATGGGCCTTGAAATTCAGTGTTGATGGCAAATACTTAGCTGCTGCTGGTCAAGATTGTGTAATAAGAGTCTGGAAAGTCATATCCTCGCCTCTTGATCGTCTTGAATACCAGCACAACGTTAATAAATCAACAATCAATAATGACATCAATAATATCCCAAATAACTTAAATAACTTAAACAACCCTAACGGTATAAACAATATCACCAACAATGATAACATCAACAACAACATCAATACCATTAATAATGCCAATATCAATAACAACATCAACTTAGCCACTCCTCCTTCAGTATCAGATCAAAGCGATCATGATCCAAACAACCAATCTTCGAAGAAAAACTCTTCAAAGCCTGTATATGCTCCAGTTTTCCATGATGATCCAATAAGAATCTTTAAGGGGCATTCTCTGGACATACTTTCATTAGCCTGGAGCAAAAACAACTTTCTATTATCAGCCTCGAAAGATGGAACTGTTCGTTTATGGCATATTGATAGGCATACTTGTTTAGGCGTATTTAATCATCCTGAATGCGTAACTTCAGTTTGTTTTTTTCCCACTGATGACAGGTTTTTCTTAAGTGGCTCTTTAGATAACGGTCTACGTTTTTGGTCAATATTAGACAATGAAGTAAGTTATCAACAAACTTTAACGAGCTTAATCACCGCTATTTGTTTTTCTCCTAATGGTAAATTGACTTTTGCTGGAACCTTTAATGGAATTTGCTTTTGTTTTGAAACTATCGATTTAAATTTAAAATATCAATTTGAGGTTCGAAATAATTATGGAAAAAATTCCCGTGGCTCTAAAATATCCGGTATTCAAACCTTTGATGTCCCAATTGATTCAAGTTCAAACTTGAATCAGAATTTAAATTTAAATTTAAATTTAAATGTAAACTTAAATCCTATCAATGAAAATAAATCATTAAATGCATCTCCTTCCTATTTATCATCCACCTTGAATGAAACAACTGATACAAGAATTGTAATAACAACTAACGATTCAAGAATCAGAATATACTCACATTTAACTAGAGGCTTGGTGACTAAATTCAAAGGCTTACAAAATGAATCTTCTCAAGTGGTTGCAACTGTTTCTGATGATAACGAGTACCTTATTTGTGGCTCGGAAAATAATTGCATCTACATGTGGAGAATAAACGATCAAGAAGTTTTAAAAAAATATGAAAAAAAATCAAAAAAAAGCTTACTCTATAATTCAATGCTGAAAAAGAAAAACATTGATTATAAAGACGAAATACCTAAGAACCTTAAAAATGGAAATTATTTCGAATTTCATGCACATCGATATCAAGTCAGTTGTGCAACATTTGCCCCAAGGGTCACCAAGAAATTTTTGTCTTTATCTAATGATCCAATTTATGATTTATACTCTACTTATGAAGATCTCCAAAAAAATGCAACCACTCAAAATTCAGAAAATTATGATAATAGCAGCTCTTTTGGATCGCCTGTAAAAACCTTTACGAATGACTCACGGGCTAATACTACAAGTATTAATAGCAATAATAATGATTACGGTTGCTCCAAGAAGAAGAAAAATAAAAAAATAATGAGTTTTGAAAACTATGATCCAGTTGATGATCCAGTTATTGTTAGCGCGGATAAAAATGGAATTATCCGAATATTTAGACAAGATTCAGGGTATCATATAAGAAAACTTATATTGGAACATTTATTAAAAACCAAAAAAAATGAGGAGCCTTTTCAAGATAAAAAAAGAAAATTGACTGTTACAAGTTTAGTGAAGCCATCAAAATCAAAACCTTTTATTAACATTAAAGGAAGATCCAGTTCTCCTTCAATCGAAAAAAGGATAGCCCTGAAATCGTTGATCTCTGAGTTGCCAAATTCTTTAGGATCTGGACAATCTAAGCCGCCCAATAGGCATTATCCTGAAATTAATGTTGACAATCAAATGAGCTTAAAACCCTTTGTTAATAAAGACGTCCTCCTGGTTCCTGTTGAATACAATGCCGACAATGCATTGAGCAATGTTATTTCTGAAGAGTCCTTAAATGGACTTCAACCTCCAAAGCTAAATAAGTCTGGTTCTTTTTATTCACTACATAACCGATCAACCGGAAGTCTATTTTCGAGAGGCCGAAACAGAAAGGGAAGTGAAAATGATAAAAAAATTTGCGAAATATGTAGTGGAGTCAAGTTTTATCGCAAAAATATTGACAATAGAGACACATCAATTTGTGCTGACTGTGGAAATCAGTCTTGAGTTTATTATTTGTTAACGGTTTTTGTTTTGTTCTTAAAGAAATTTTCTGTTTTGATTATAGTTTTTATTGTTATGATTTTGTGATTACTTTTACGCACACTGAAAATTGGCGAGGTTTGCAGAATGTGCTGTAACTGATCTGTAAATGACAGTGTGTTTTGGGATTAATGATAAAAAAAATGTGTTTCTTTTATTGGCTTTTGTAATCTAGTTTTTAGTTTTTAGTTTTTAGTTTAGTTTCTTTTTAGTTTTAGTTATCGATCTTTCTCTGCTCAAACCAAACTCAATTCCTTCAGCAAAAGATGGAATTCAAAAATTTCATTAATGTGGCTCAACAGCCAGTATAAAGAATATATTTATGTGTGTAAATTTCAGAAAACAAAGAATCTCCCGGTGGCCAAGCTGGTTAAGGCGCGAGACTGTAATGTTTCACTTTGGAGCCCAAAGTAATCTTGAGATCGGGTGTTCGACTCACCCCCGGGAGATCTTTTTGCTTTTTTGCTTTGCTTGAAACCAACAGTATGGGTGTTGCAGGGCGGCCGGTGATTGGCGGAAGTGTCTATTTGGGTTTGCCATGTTGAGAGTTGTGAAGAAATCAAACAATCTTGTTGATGGAAGTTGGTAATTTATCTTCAGTTGAACCACCGATAGACCACCTGGCTGCCGGATTATGACTTCTATTGATTGATTACGTTTCTTACTCTCTAGCTGTTAGAAAAGTTGTATATCATGAACATATAACAGATGTCGTTAGATCTTGGAAAATCTCAAACAAACTTTTATAAGATTCATCAGTTGGTTTCTTTTAAATACGTAATTCTTGCTTCCAAAAATGATGTTTCAATAGCAAACACTGGCCAGGACAATGCCCCAAGGATTTTCACAAGACCGGTTTCGTTGATTGAAGTCGAGTCCTATTTTAGAGACAAGCATCCCAATATCTTAGCAACCATCTTTGATAAAAAGCTATGGATTTTTAATTTGAACAGCAAGGAGGATCCTCCTTTGCCAATGAAGGGATATGACTTGGAAGTTGTTGCTTCTGGGATAGTCAACACCTGTGATTTCTTCGATAAAAATGACAGTCAAAATCGAAACAGTAACAGCAATAATAATAATAATAATAATAATAATAATAATAATAATAATAATAATAATAATAATAATAATAATAACAATAACAATAACAATGGCATTACTCATTCTCTACAACATAAACTCGATCCCTATAAAAATAGTCTTTTATTAAAGCTATTTCAGACAAACTTATTAAGATCAATTAAAAAATTAATTTTAAATCATTTAACGTTAAACAATCTAATCTTGCCCTTTGGATCTTGCTCAATACTAAATAATAATATCAAATTAACTCACAATTTTATCTCAGATCAAACTTTTTTAACTTCATCTTTAAATCAAAATGAATTATTATTCATTGATGTTTCATTGATCTCAAATAGCGACTTATTATTGTCAGTCTCAACAAAATCTATAAACTTGATTCATTTGCCCTTATTCTTTGACTCATTTGATGAAGATAGTATAAACGAAATTTTTAGCAATAATAACACCGATGATTCTAATAATGACCCCAATAACGAAAAGACCTTTGAAAATAATAAAAAAATACCCAATGATGAAAATACAAACTATCTTGCTCAATTTAATAATTCAAATTCCACTGTATATTTAGTGCCCGCTGGAATTAGAGCAAGTTTTGAAAGCGATAATCTATTAAACTCTTTGGAAAATCATTCAAACTTGACCATTTATTCAAATTCAAATTTTATTATGACTTTAAACTTTCTAATGGCTTTATCGAAAAGGGATTTCATAATGTATGATTCAAACAATAAAAGCTACCATGACATTATCGAAAAAAATTCAAATACTGAATTTTGCTCTCACCAAATGAACCAACTTAATAATTTAAAAAAAATTAAATGGATTAAATTACTACCAAATTTATTTCATTTGACAGGTTTTTCCTCAAATATTTCAAATTATTTAAATTCAATCATCCACCATAAATTTATTATTTGGCCTATTCAATTATGCTTTATTCAAATTGGAAACATTTTCAAGTCAGTTAAAGATTCAAATTTTGATACAATTGATAATATATCACAAGAAGGATTTAATTCAATCAATTATTTAGATAATGATTTAAATGACCTATTTCAAATGGATTTATTCCAAAACAATTTAGATTTATTTCAAAATAATTCATTCCAGAATGACTCCCTACAAATAATGCAAGATTTTTTCAAATTAGATTATTTACTAAATGAATATAGAATCAATAATTATTCATTAAATAATCAATTTGCAAGTTTATCCTATAATAATACCAATAATATAATTAATCCTACTTATAATAACTTTAGCGGTTATACTCTCAATAGTAACAATAACAACAATAACAGCAACAATAACAATAACAATAACAACAATAATACTTTTAATAGAAATTATAGTATTGTACAATCAACTAGTCCGATGAATTCAACAGGCTATCAAATTTCACTTTCAAACTCAAATACACCAATACCGAATTTATTTTCAACAACACCCATTTCCAATGTTCATTCTGTAACACCTAATAATCAAATACCGACACCCACCAACATCGCTCAATATCAAAATAATCAGTCAGGTGAAAATACTAATATTGAATCTAATAGAGATTTATTTGGAGAAGTTCAGGAAATCACAGATAATGATTTCAATTTTTTTGATGACAATGCCGGTATCAGCATTTCCAATAATTCAAACAATGATAATAATTTCAATATTGAATCTGCCTATGCTGATAATCACAATAATAGTGACAATAAAATCAACTTCAATCATGGATCTAAAGAGGATATAGATCCAAAAGAAATACTGCAGTTTGGAAAACACAACATAGATATCCCAATGATTAATGAAAATCTTAATAATTTGGATAATATGCAAAATGGTTTGCAAATAGATAGTTTTGATGACAACATTGAAGATATGTCTGTTGGTGATAAAAATCAAAATAATGAAAATGAAAATGAAAATAATAATGAAAATGAGTTTTATTCTAGCAATAATCATAATTACCCTCATCAAGTTACTTCAAATAATAACAGCAACAATATTAAAAATGACAATAATATCGATAATGATAATCAAAATAGTGGGGGTTACTTACATCAGACAGATAACAACGATGCTCTTTATCTTGCTGAAAATGAAATTATTAACAATGATGATAATAATTTGGAAAATAAAAATAATGTTATCAATATTGATAATTACCAGATGGTTGATATTCCAAAAGATGAAATTACCATTCAGTCTCCTGATTTCATTGACCTGGCTATTCCAGACTATTCTGATCCTGGTGCCCCAGCTCCTTTTTTTTCTCCATCAATTGCTTCTTTTTCCAATTCTTTAAAAAATATTGCTCCTACAGTTACTCGTTCTTTACTTAAAACCACACCTTCGAAAAATCCTGATTCATATAGCAAATTTAATTTAAAAAACGATAGTCCTTCTTTCGTTCCTCCCAATAAAAAATTAAAAAGCAATTATTCTCCATTAAAATTCAACCGATTATTTACTGAAAAAATTGATAATAAATATGATAAAGGCGGAAAATTTTATTTTAACAAATCAACTCCTCCATCATTACAAGGTTTGGGAAATGAACCATTTGGATTAAAAATGTTTTCCAGCTTGAACTCAGACAACAAAAGATTTTTTAATGATTCCCCAAAAATTGAGGCTAAAGCAAATGACGAAGACTTAGTATCTGATTCAGATTCCTCAATTTCTTCATCATCATCTGAGGATAGTCTTATTTCCATTGACGATGGACCAGTGAAAAATGACATCTTTCTTTCAACAGTCATAAATGATTCTCCAGAAGAAAATTTAATTACAAATTCCATTTCCGATAATTTTCAACAAACAAGCATATCTAGTGAATCTGCTTCTGAAGGTTTAAAAATTCATACTGAAAGCTCAAATTCAAAAAGCGTTATCAATAAATTTCATGATTCCTCTAGTATAAACATTTTTCTAACAAAATACGCACCAATACATCTAATCCCTGATATATTTTTTTTAAACAATCCATCACTAACATCAAATGATGTAAGGCACATACTTCAAATATTTACAAGATTAATTGCGTTTGATGATTCATTATTAATAAATAACGAATATATACATAGTAACTACAGATTTCCCTCTTACCCTTTTAAACATATTCCTTCTAATAATATTTTGAAAGGAAACATTAATTTTAACATTCCTGAGTATTGTATAAATGCTACCTACAATAATTACGTTTTTAGTAATAACATCAAAAGCTTAAAAGAATACGACAAAAATACAAACTCTTTGTTGGCAATGCTTGATGATAATAATATTGTTAATAAGAATAAAGTTATCAAGCAAAAACTAAATGAAAATAAATCTTCTGAGCTTATCGATAAAAATTTAAAAACTAAAAACAAGATTCAAAAAGTAATTGATTCTAGTGATAAACATTCGTTGAACTCTTATGATGAATTAAGTAAGTCAATTAATGATAAATTTAATTGCATTAATAACAAACTTGAGAATTTTTTTAGTAGCCCTAATGATGAATTTAATGAAAAAAATAACGAAGAATTTAATGAAAAATTTAAAAGTTTGATAAACATATTTGATTATTTTGATTCTAAAACTGAAACAGAACATAAATATAATGAGGTTCAAAGTGGCACAATTCAAGAAAATTCTGAAAACTTTCTGATTAAAGAAGAGTTCTATGTTAAAAATCGAAAGGATCCGGTTAATGAAATAATGAATGGAAGTCATTCAAACGAGCATTATATAAATAATTTAAATATGAACTCTGACCATGATCATGAAAGTGAAGTTGAAAGTTATGGTTTAGAAAGTGATGAAGAAATGGAAAGTGAAAACGATCATAAAGACATTGAAAAGAAAATTTTTAATATTGATCAAAGTGAAAAAGGAGAAAAAACATACTGTCAACATAGTTTTAGTTCTAAATTTGAAGAAAGCCTAAGAAAATTGTTTCCTTTTGTTAAAGTGATAAATTTATTGGAATTAGTAGATGTGGATTTATCAAACATTGATGGTATTAAGTTTCGAAGGTTGAAAGGTTCTGGCATTATCAACGATTACAGTTTTAGTTCTCAACTAATTTCAAAAAATGAAAAGCTATTTGAAGATCATATTTTTAAAATCAAACAAGCTCAGATCAAGACACGAAAACTAAATCAGGAAATCAAATTAAATTTTAATGCAATAAATTTTTGGAAGGTTCTTGGATTAAAACCTTTGCACGGTCCCAAAAATTTCAAAATTTTATTTTTAGTAGATGGATCCAATGAAAGTTTTTTTGAGACAGCTAGAAAATTTTTAAGTGACATTATCGAAAACTATAAAAACTGTGGGCTAGGAAATATTGAAAAGGTAAATTGTAGTAAATTGATTTTAAATCTTAAATATCAAGTTACTAGAAAAAATATGGCCGGAAAAAACGAGGTCTTCAATGCTGACAATATAGAAGAAAGGAGAAGTTCTGCTGGAATTTCCAAAGAAGAACAAAGCGTTAATGACTTAGGCTTTCTTGATGATGGGATTTTTAATGTGGGTTGTTTTAATGATAATTTTGATATTTATTATCAAACTATTCAAAAAAAAATGAGTGTATTAGCAAAAGCATTGGATCTAAACGAAAGGCAAAAGCTCAAGAAATTTGAAAATCTTTTAGTTGAGCAATCAGAGGGTGTAAATCATTCGATTTTGGATAATAGACCTATATTAGTTCTTTTTGCAACAAAGTTTAATGATATGGTGTCGATTCTTCAAATATCAAAACTATTTTATGAATTTCAACAATTATTAAAAATACCAAACAAGGATTTTGAAAACTTAAATTCAATCAAAAGAAGTCAAAATCAAGAAATTAATTCAAACAATTCAATCATTGAATCATTTTTGAAAGTCATACCAGTTGAATTTTTCAATTCTTCCAAGCTACCTCCTTCCCATGAAACATTCAACAAGTTTTCTTTAAATCTATACAATAGTTGTCCTAATACTTCCAAAGATTATGTTTGCATGGCAAAAACGTTGCCAGAAAAAATTGAGTTTCAATTCAGCTCATCTCCTTCTGCTGATCTAATATTATCTGAAGGTTTATATTTGCATCTTGCATATCAAAGATCTATTGATAAAAACTGGTGTGTTGCCTGTTGGACAGATCAATGGGGAAATATGAAAAACTTGAAGTCTTGGTATTGTCCCTCGTTCATTATCAATAGGGAGTCTTTCAACAATCAACAATTTGAAAATTCCGTTGGTAGAAAAAACTCATTTGAAGAAGTCAGCAATGAAATGTGGGCTACCAGTATAAAGATGATGTCTAGTTTTAATGGAAAAACGTATTTAATTTTAACAAGAACTAATAGTATGATCCCTGATGACGAATTATACCAGTGGAAAAGATTGTCGATATCAAATAACAAAATTCCTCTTATTGTGTTGTCTGTTAAATCGAATTCTAAGTTTGTACTTGATTTACCTGAAAGTTCGTTTCCTTTTGATAATATATTTAAAGAATGCAACAATTTGATGCGTCACGGACTTAATACAAATTGTCAAAGAGAAGAGCATGAGAGTGAACTGGTAGATATTGATAAAATTAAATTCAATCAAAAAAATCAATATAACATTGTTAATATAAGGGAAGAGGTTTACGGTATAATTTTGAAAAATTCTATTCCATTATTTAATGAAGTGAGTCGACTACCATTGAAAACTGGATTTCTAGCAAAACCCTTAAAAGATTCTGATAAAAAATTGATGATATTTGAAGTTAATTTATTAAGTTGCCCATCTAATTTGATTTCCACAAATTTATTAAAAACATTATTGATTCAGTTAAGAAATCTAAGTTTATACTCCAGCATTGCTGGAGTTTACAATGATGGTGGTAAAAGTATTGTACCATGGCATATTATTGCAGTTGAAAAAGTGATCAATACATTAATTCATATTAGAGTAAAGCAACCAACACTAAAAGAAAAATGAAAAAATATCCTGAATGCCTTCACTAATATATCTTGGGTTTGTTAAATCCGAACCGGTTTCGTCCTTAGCGTTATTAATTCTCTCTGATTCCCCATCTTGAGCGGATCTGATTAAGATTTCTTTTTTATCACTTAAAAGTTTTGTAAAGTTATCGAAATCAGATTCTTTTTTAAGTTTATAGTTGAATTGCATACTGAACCATAGATCAAAAATCCACCATATCAAATAGTTAATCTTTTCAATGGATTGTTTGTAAAAAGGATCAAAATCTGTATCATCATAGCTATTATTATTGATGATTTTCATGAAAAATAATTCTTGAGTGATAAAGTCTATTGATTGAATATCATCCAATTTGAAGTATAGATCAACTAATGAGTCAAACTTTCTTCTATTCCAGGTGAATTTGTTTGTTAGTTTAAATAGAGTTAATTCAGCAGCATCGATTAAAAAGTGTAATTCATGGTTGATGCTATCAAGATGAAAATCATTATCAGTCTTTGAACGTTCATCATCAAATAGATCTTGTGGAAGTCTTAAAAATTCAGACAATTCAGACAAAGTCAAATTATAAAAATGATTTGCAATTTCATTTAGTAATTTTTTTTGTGAATAATTGGTATTATTAAGGTAAAGTGAGAATTTATAGAGAATATATAAGAATTTTTTTCTGATTATGATTGAATCGGTTGAATAGTTTTTGGGTTTATTATTGATTTTATTATCTTGATCTGAGATTGGTTTTTCATAAAAAATGACAACATTATTTGAATAATTTAAATCATTTGGGTAAATTGGATTGATATTAATAAGATTTTGAAGTTTTTTATTAAGTTTAGTATTGTAATTTATAAATACTCGTAAAACGGAAGCTTCAAACCAGAAAGACGATTCCAATTGATTTAATAAGTGGTATATTAATGATTCTTTTAGAGACGATTGAAAAAGTTTGTCATTAAATTTGTTGTTGTAAGTTTTTTTAAAGGGTAATATGTAGTTGATGTTTAAATCCAAGTCGATTAGGTTTAAGATAAATAAACAGATTTGTTTATAATTGGTATAATTTATATGATGAATAGTTTGAGGAGAGTTTGAAGTAAAAAATAGCCAATCAAATAATTTCCAAGTGTCGTCCTGTAGTATTAGATGCAAGTGAGTACGACCCATTAATTGCAGATTGGGTTGGTGGTGTCTATGAAGATTTTTCTTTTTTCTTGATTGATTTTTGTTGGATATTTTGGCAAAATTAAGGACATCATCCTCAACAGAGTTGATGAGAGTATTGTTCATTTTTTGTTTTTCGTTTTTCTTTAAGGGTGATTCATCTAAATTGAAGGAGGATTTAATTGGAGTTGATTGAAGTTTCATATCGAATTTTTTTGCTTCTTCTAAAAAGTTCATATGTTCTAAAAACTCATTGTCAATGTCATCGTTTGTTTTGTAGTTAAGGATATCGAAATCGTGAGCAGAATTGGTATTTAAATCAGCATCATAGTTAATATAAATATCCATGTTATCATTTTTTTTGTTCTTATTGGCATTGGTATTGGTATTTATAGTAGTAGTAGTAGTAGTAGCTGAATAGTCGTCAAAGAAATCTGTGTAATTAACATTTCGTCTTCTTTTTTTAAAATGGGTGTCTTTATTTGGTTTAATGAAAGACATTAGACCTAGCAATTGAGACTTGATTTCTCTTTTGTGCTCTTTTGGAATGTATATTTTGTTTAATTCGCCCATGTAAAAATGGTCATCATTATTAATTTCAGTGTCTGTTTTACATTTATTTCCATTGTTTCCATTGTTTCTATTGTTTCCATTGTTTCCATTGTTTTCACCGTCCTCATCATCTTTATTCTCCTCATTGATCAGTAACTTTTCGAGAATTCGGATATTCTTTTCGTATTGCTTCTTTAACTGTTTCTTTTTAGGGTTTTTGGTGACGCCGAAGTTGTAGAAGTTGTACAAGACATTGATGGCTCTGCTGTGAATTGGCTTGTTGGTAAAATAGCTCTCATCACTGTAGTAACTGGGCAAGTTTCGCTTGAGAACAGCATAGTTGCTGAAAAGGAAAAATGTGGATAAAGTGAGCAAGGTCTGGAAGATCTGGAGCGAGGGTATTGCATCGAGCTCAGGCAAGCTGTTGAAGAAGGAGGACTCCAAGTAGGTGAGCAACAAGTCATACTGCTGGACGTCGACCAACCTGTTCATGTGGGTCCTGTGGGCCTTGTATGCCCTCTCTGCCATGGCTGGTGGTGAGTGTTTTCCACCTCCAAAGAAGCTCATGCCCCAAAAATACCATCGCAATAAAACCATCGCCAAAAAAGCACCCCCAGCAGGACTCGAACTCAACAACGCAGTTACACGTTTGCCCGCATCATCCAGCACAGTGGTGCCGCGCCGCAGCGGTGGTTTGCCACTTTGTGAGTTTCCCGATGTGGCACGGCCCGGCGAAAGAGACGGTTGCTGAGGAGGCTCCATCGTCACGACCAAAGAGTGCTGGAGCTTCCTCAGAGTCGAGCTGTTTTTTTGCTGCTTCATCTTCCCAGGGTCTGCTGCTGCGTTGTTCCTCGTTGTTCCTCCTTCTCCTGCTTCTCGCACTGTTTGCCTGGCTTTGATCTGCTTCCACGTCTCTCTCCATTCTTCTATCCCATCCCAAGTGTCCTGTTTTAACCGCTATTTTAATTTGTGATTCACAACATACCTCAGGGGATAATAACTAATCCAATCATACACCATCCATTTCCAATTTCTTGTCTTCCCATCCACATAAATGAGAAACCCTAACGTTTTTCTTGTCCAGAACAACAGAGCAGCTTTGTCAGTTACGCCCAACGCCTACGACAGAAGAGCTTTGGATGCCACCAACGATAAATCTTTGGTTCACAGTTTGAATAATCTAACTTATTTGGTCAGTGCCTCTCCCAAGGCTAGAGAAACCCTAGCTAACGATGGTGGAATTGAAAGATTGATCGACATCCTCTCAAACTGCTATATCAACCAATTTGACAATTTTAATGATAACTCAAACTACTTTGATCTATTCCATCTCAACCATAATAACCTAGTTTACTCAAACTCAAACTATTTCAATTTGTCCCAATTTGACAGCGACTTTAATAAATTTAAAAACGATTTTAACAACTTTCTATCCGGCTTTATTAATGCTAATATAAACATAGACCCAATCAAAATCAATCCTCAAAGAGACTCTAACCATAACCATAACGACAACGACAACGACATCGACATCGACATCGACATTGATATAGATAACGATAACGATAACTACCCTTCTGAAAAAAATCAGAAAATTCAATCTGACCATACCGATATAGATATAGATATTGATATAGATAAGGACACAGCCGACACTGATACTGATACTGATTATGTTTTAAACCCTGACAACACTTTCAATCCAGATGTTGTCTCTGATGAAACCATCTTTAACCCATCGAATATTAAACTCTCAAAAAAAATCTTGAAACCAAGGACCTGTACTAGAAACATGAGTATAAACATTTCCATCAAAGATATATCAATCAACCTTTCCTCTTTCTATAAATTCTTAATAAAATATCAATACAACCTTATCCAACTATTGAAAAAAAAAATTGTCGAAAGAAAAGTCTTAATCGGCTGGAAATGGACTCTTTCAATACAAGTACTAGTATTATGTGGTACAAGAGGAAACGAAAAAATCAGGAAAAAAATCGTCAACTCAGGAATAATACCAATACTAACAACAATCTTAGATAACCATCTTTTTTACTGCTACAGCATTAAAAAAAGCTCTCAAATTCCAAAATCTTATTTCCCAATAAATAACAATGATCAGCCCAACCACCCCTTTCAATTCACCAACGCTCTTCCCAATCGTCCCAATAATATTCCAATCAATAATAATAACAATAACAATAACAATAACAATAATAATGTAAGAACTTTTCTAAACCCCTCAAGAAATATTGACCTCAACAGAAGAAGAGAAGAGCTACTCGAAGGCGTTCGAAATGCTTCTGCAATAACTACAAGCAACGCTATCAACAATGCAAATCAGAATATCCAATCAAATTTGTCTCACAATCAGTTTCCCGATTATAATCTAAATCATCCAAATCAATCTACATTAAGTCCAGATCAAATTCAATATCTTAGAAATTTACTAAATCCAACCAATTCTCGTATTCAAATCCAAAATGCAATCAATCAACACCAATCTCTACAAAATGTTAGAAATCAGCAATCTCGACATAATCCAATTCAAAATCAAAATCAAAATCAAAATCAAAATCAAAATCAAAATCAAAATCAAAATCAAAATCAAAATCAAAATCAAAATCAAAATCAAAATCAAANTCAAAATCAAAATCAAAATCAAAATCAAAATCAAAATCAAAATCAAAATCAAAATCAAAATCAAAATCAAAATCAAAATCAAAATCAAAATCAAAACCCCAATCAAATTTTGTCAATTACACAAGCCACAAATTTAATATATGATTTTACAAGAATGTTAAACTCAATTGATAGAACAAGATCTTTAATTAACTCGGTATCAACTATCAACAACAATAACAATAACATTCTCAATAGCTTAAACACAAATAACACAACTAACGCAACTACCCCAAATAACTCAAATAACTCAAATCCTGCCAATCCCAATAACCGCTCATTAGATCAAATTGAGTCTCTAAATGCAATAGCTGAAAATATCCAAAACATGAACAACATTGTCAACAATATTCATTCCACTTTGAACTCTTACCCAAACACCTCTCAGCCCGAACTAAATTCAAATCCCAACCATATCCAAAACCACAACTCTACTTCTGAAAATATAAATAACTCCCTAAGACAACTCGATCGATTACGAAACCAGGTATTAGCCGATTCCTCAAATCTACAAAACTCTGAAGAACATCAACCTTTATCTCATGCAGCTACTCAGACATCATCCGGCAGCACCTTACCTTTACCTGCAGACGCACTTTCCGAAACTATTTCCAGCTCAACATCCGAATCAAACCAAAATTTAAGTGTAAATGCTTTAAATCACCAAATCGATACAAATTTGTCCATCAGCAATAACGAAAATGACTTGCCTTCTGCAAACTTAACCGGAAATGCTTCTCTCGAAAATTCAATTAGTAGCACCATTAATAGCATCAATAATAGCGTGGAAAATTTAGCATTTGAAAGACGTGAAAACATTCCTCAGAATGAAACCTCACCTAGAATTTCTTCTAATGATTCAGAAATTACAAATGATCAAATCACAACTTCTGAAAATCCTTCAAACATTTTAACTGTAAAGTCATCTAACAATGATTTAATTTTTTTGCTCAACAATTTAGGTGAAATCAATATATGTTGTGAGAAGAAACCTAGAGATAAAGTTTACTGTTCTTTATTAATTCATAAATTGCACGTTGTCAACAACATTCTACAAGAGATTTTTAATCGCCATTCTCAACAAAGTGAACAAAACGGCAATGAGTCAAATATTCAGGAAAATCAAAATCTAGATCAAACCAATAGATCAAATAACGAGACCCTAGAAAATCCTCGTCATTCTTCAGGCTCGGAAGAAAATGCACCTATACAACCATTGATGCTTGATTTCCGTGGGAATATTGCATTTTCATATTTTTCTTCTGATCAAAATACTTATGTTAATGATCAAAGTAGCATTCACAATAATTCAGATAGCAATGCTACTCTTACAAATTTAAGCAATGAACACAATCCTTATAGCAATGAAAGCAGAAACAACGTTGCCAATATTAGTGGTAATATCGCTGGCTCCAACATTCCTAACAATAATAATGTTAGTAGTTTGAATAATAGTAATAGTAATAGTAATAGTAATAGTAATAACAATAACAATAACAATAACAATAACAATAATACAAATGAAGAATTCGAAGCACAGCTTCAAAATCCTGAGCTAAACAACTATATTGATCAATTTCTTGAAGATATAGTAAATGCCATCAATATAAAGTTTGGCACTAATTTTTCAGTTTCATCTTCTGCTGAAGGTGAGGCTGTAGAATCTGAAGAACTGAGCTCGTCATTTTCTGATAGAACCTTCAATTTGGATAATTTTTTCTTTGATCGTCATATAAATTATAATATTTCAGATATTTCGGATATAGACGATGAAGATTATGATGATGAAGAAGACGAAGACGATGATGATGATGACGATGATGATGATGATGTTGATAATACTAATACTGATGCATTTGATATTGATGTTGATTTTAATGATAAAACTTTTTCTAATATTGATAATTTTGACAATTTTAATTCTTCTAACTTCAATGCTACCGCTGAACTAGGAGCTCAATTACCTGGATCTAGAACTTCTAATTTTCATTTTCAAAGGCCTGATACTAGAACTGCTACTGCTGAAGTTGTTTTGAATTTTGACAATAACAATTTATCTTGCCCAAGAGAATTTTATCGAGGAAAAATTATTCCAAAGGATGATGATCTTGTTTGGACATTACAATTGCTAGCTTTTATTTCAAAATATACTGACCTAAAGGACTATTTACAATTCAGTTACATTCTTCCTAAATTATCATTAAGAAATTATCCAAATGGTAAAAACATGTATAATATCAATTTGGGGGATTTACAAGACCAGATATTGCAACAAAAAGCATTATTTCCAATGTACCCCTCCATCTATAATGTTGCTGGAACATCTTCACGAAATAGTTTACTGAATCAAGAAAAGATTAAAATAGACAAATATTTCAAAAATAGTTGGGGTGGGCATGATTACACTGAAAGTAGCTTATTGGTAAAAAATGCTGATCGTATTGTCAACTATAAACTTAATGATTGTGTGGAATGTGATGATGACTATCACGAAGCATATGAAGGAGATAATGATCATACGGAAGGTTTTGATGATGATTATATTCAATTAGTTGATCCTGATGTAGATGCAGAGCTTCGGAATTATAAAACTTATTGTGAAAAAAATCAAGAAAAAAATGAATCAGATATTATCGAGTATTTTTATTTAGTCTCAAAATTTGAAGAGATCAATAAAATTAAAGAATCGAAAATAAAATTGTTCAAAGGAAAGAATATTTTAACAGAAACTGATAATTTTGAACTTAATGATGCCATTGATAACTTTAGTGATGATGATTTTATGATAACTGAGGATAATGCTAATATTGACCATGAATTAATTAAATACCAATTGCAGCCCAAACAACTAACAAAAGAAGAAATCAATCAACGAATAAATTTTGAATCAAATGATTTAAAATCAAAATATAATGACATTGAAAATGTTATAGAAAATCTTCACAATTTCGATCCCAGTGATCAGCAAAAGAATTCCAAGAGCGATTTTTTGTTTGCTTATAGCATCCAAAAATCTTCATTACTTGATAAAATCAAAGAAAAATTTTTCAACATAACCAAATCTAATCAACAAGTTAATTTGAAATGGAAGAAGTTGAGTTACTTTAAAACCAAAAAGGCTTTAATGGAGCGAAAATGGGACTATAACAAATATAAATTTGATGATGGTGATTATAGTTATTTGGTTAGAAATGGACAGGATGAAAGTTTTAGAAGAAAATATCTTCATTTACCATTTAATTATACTAGAGCACCCTTAATAACCTCTGCTGTTAAAAACTATCATGCTGAATCAGTTCCTTCAATAAATCATTTGAATCTTTATTTGGACATGAAAAATTTCAACAGAAATGCACCATTGAGCAATGAGATTAATCAAAAGTCGGTTGTTTTTTCTAAGCATGATTTGGATTATTCTCTTTTACCGCTAGATTTTTTAAATATTTTCCCTCTCGTTGAAAAGTACACTAATAAATCCATGTACTTGAGCGATTTACATTATTGGGCAGATGTTATTATGAGAAATTCGTGTCGTAAAGATGAAAGACGAGGTGGAGTTAGACAGTGTGCATATGTTCATTGTGGTAAATGGGAAGCACAGCCCAAAGACTTTGCAAAATGCAAAAGATGCAGAAGAACCAAATACTGTTCCAAAAAGTGTCAGCAAGACGCGTGGCAGCACCATCGACACTGGTGTATTCCATCAACATCCAGTTCTTCTAGTCGTTCGGGGGCATCTGCTGGCAGTTCGTCTGCTCTCCCCTCTCACTCAACGGGAACAACTACCCCAAATACATCAAGAGACTCGACAGCTGCGCCCAACACTGCTGGTCCATTTTCGGGTGGAATTCTGATCTCTGGCACCAGACAGCAGCCACAGCAACAGAGAAACACCACCAATGATCGCAACAACATGCCAAATAGTGAAAGCGGATTGCAAGGACCAAATTCACGAGGGTTTCCCAGAACAAACCAAAGAGCAGAATCAGCGCAGGACAGAAGCAATCACCAACCCTTCAGCTCGTTGATCATAAACTCAGCACCCGCATCGAGAAGCAACCCCACGTCTTTGATAGATGTCAACGTCATTAACAATATCAACACTATTGAGGCGATCAACAACAGCAGGAATCTGGGAAATCTCCTTGCGCGTCGAAATTCGACCTCGAGCCAACATCCTCTTGTTCGCACCAGCACAGTGGCAGGAAGTGTTTCCACAGGCCTGCCAGCCGAGGACGCTGCTGGTGTGCAGCAGAGTCCCAGCACAGGGCACTAGCTGCTGCTTCTCCGGCTTCTCCGGCTTCTCGTTCTATACAGCACCGTACATCGCAATACACGTTCGACATCTCCGCCGGTGCCGCAGCTCCGGCCCGGGTGGGACTTTTCCCGTGCAAAGGTAAACGTAGCTCCATCGCCAGCATAAAATATCGATTTCTATTAGTTCAACCTCACTCCTCAGATTCTAGCCAACATGATCCAAATAAAAATAATAGCTGTGTTGGTGCTTGCACTCTTTTTTGTTGTCTTTTCTGATGCCTCAGCATTAACGTTTGTCTTGGGCGCCCAGGAGAAGTCGTGCTACTATGTTTTGACAGAAGAGCCAGAGGTGTATGTTGGCTACTACTTTGCAGTTCAGTCTGGTGGTTCTTTTGATGTCGACTACACAATCATGGGTCCTGATGGCAAAGTGGTCATCAGCAAGGAAAAACAGAGACAGGGTGATTGGATATTCAAAGCTGATCTTCCAGGGGAGTACGAGTTTTGTTTTGCTAATGAAATGTCGACTTTTGCTGAGAAAGTTGTTGATTTTGAAATCAAGCTTGAAAATGATTTCAAAGCACATTTGCCAGAATCTCCTAATCAGCCTGCTAGTGTTGAGGGCATGGTTTCTTCAGTTGAAAACATTGATTCCAAATTGAATAACTTGATTCGTACTTTACAATACTACAAAACAAGAAATAACAGAAACCAATCTACAGTTAGATCAACTGAATCAAGAATATTCTGGTTCAGTATATTGGAAGTGTTGTTAATGTGTGGTATGGCAGGTTTGCAGGTAGCAGTGGTTCATTTATTTTTCAATGGTTCAAGGAAGCAATTGGTTTAATTTTCAAATATTTTTTTTTCTGAAATAAGAGGAGAAAAAAAAAAATTGCCTATCAGCATGCTATAATTATAGAATCTACTTAATTTTTTAATTCTTTATTTTATTCATCCATTGGTTGTTCATTATTTTTATTATTATATAATTATCTAATAAATTTTTTAAATTTTTTAAATTTTTTTAAATTTCTTAATTATTTTAATTCCCAAATTGATTTGTCAATTAGTTAATTAATTTTTGAATAATTCACATCCGGGACAAATGTGCATTGTATCATGAATTAAGACATCGCAATCAATACAAAATTCCTTTTTACAATCTTTACATTGATACCTTGAACTCCGTAAAGTTTTAAATTTTTTTAATAAACTTTTATCTAATCCTTTAATTTCATATTCATTCATTGATTTATTATTAAATAAAGCATGTTTTTGGATATTATTGATTTGGTTTATATCCTGTTGACTTAAATCATTGATTCTATTCATTGGAAATCCTGTTTTACAACCAAAACATCTCCTAGTTTTATAATTTAAACTTAAAGGCACTTCAACAAAATTTTTTAATGGAAAAAGATGATGATAAGATCTCGCTAAATGGATTGATGATATTAACATTAAATTACAACAAGGGCAAATATTCGGTAATGAACAAATCTTTGAATGGCAATTGGGACAAATAAATCCACCAAATGTTAAGCTGGAATGACAAGAGCAAAAAGATGGTAAACTTTCAGAGATTCTTTTGGGAAATCCCATTTTAATCAACGAATAAGAAGCAGAATTCTCATCATTCTTAAAACTCAAATCAGTCAAATTCGAATCAGTTTTCACTATAGGCAATGGTGTGACACTGTTCATCAATAATTCTTTGAAATGACTTTCATTTAATATGATACTATAAGTGGTTTTATCATTATAATTTGTCATCATACAAATCTTTTCACAAATAGCGACTTGAGCAGATAAACCAATAATCCTCACCCTTATTTTTTCTTTAACTAAGGAAGATATGGTTTTATCTATATCACCAGGATCCAAGGTTAGCAATGAACCAAAGATTATTAAAACCTCTCGTGTGCAGTGATTGGTTATATGTAATAAAAACCCTCTGGACATTTCCAATGCATTTTGCAATGAAGCATCACCTCTTGGTTCACCGTCAGTTTTTTTCAAATTTTTCAATGCTAATATATGATCTGAGGCATTGCCACTCAATTCAGAGACCAAAGTAGATACACCATCTCTCATCATCAAAACTCCCAATTGAGATATAGGATTTTGATCAAAGAATTCCTTTATGAAATCAATTGAGTATTGAATTGTCAAGGAAAATCTGTTGGGCCTTAAATCCTTTTCCGACATTGAATTGGAACCATCGATGATCAAAATCAAGGTACGTATAATCCCCCTTTGAAAATATTTGGCATCTTTGATTATTCTCTTTTTCCGGTCCTCAACAATGTTAGAAACCACACCAGCTAAGGAGCTATCGTCTTCTTGAAGGATGTCCCAGGGCTTTTTGAACTCAGCTTCCCATGCGTATCCACCATTTGTGCCTTGCATCAGAGGGTCAATTCTGGTTTTTTTTTCCTTTTTCTTCAATGCCTTGGACAGCTTCCTCTTCCTGGAAGCCCTCAAGTTTATGTTTTCGTCGTCGTACTCATCTTCGTTGTCATAAAAATCGCTCTTCAAAATTTCCTCGTCGTTTTTCAACAACTCAGCCTGGCCAGTTTTCACAGAGCTCCTGGTGATGATCCTGTGAGACAAAGCACTCTCTGTGGACTGGGTGCTGTGCTGCTGACTCTTAAGCTCCTCATCCAGTTCCACTGACTCAACATCAGACTCTTTGGAGGCCATTTTTGCACCAACTCTTCTTCCTCCACCTCTGCTCTGTTTTAAAAAAGCTGCTTTTGGCCCTGTGCCGCGCCCGGCCGAGCGCCGGCTTTCGGCTCTGATTTTTCACGTCAAAAATCAGTCAAAAATCAGTCAAAAATCAGTCAAAATGCTGAAATTAGTCATTGAGGCCTTTGGATCAGTTGGTATATAATTGCTGCTTCCTCCTCTGAGTGCTTTGGTTCTTGTTCAACCTCTGTCCTGGCTCACAATGCTATTCAGCGAATCAACTTTGCTAGTCACTTCGAGGCTCTGCTTCAAGTCCACTCTTGCAAGCAGGTCTCTCAGACCCTCCCACAATCTTTCAGCCAGATTTCAATCAACAACAAGACCCAGGTATCCAGACCTACAACCAAATGACTTGTTGCCTGATGGAACTCCAGACTATGTCAGACTAATTCTAACATCAAGGGTCTACGACGTTATCGACGAATCTCCCATAACAAATGCAGTTTCTTTATCGGCCAAGACAAACGCCAAAGTGGTCTTGAAGAGAGAGGACCTTCTTCCTGTTTTCTCTTTCAAGTTGAGAGGTGCTTACAACATGATTGCAAATTTGCCAGCTGAGAAGAGATCAAAGGGGGTCATTGCTTGTTCTGCTGGGAATCATGCTCAAGGTGTTGCATTTTCCAGTAAACACCTCAAAATCCCCTCTATTATTGTTATGCCTACTGCGACTCCCTCCATCAAATATGAAAATGTCAGTAGGTTGGGTTCCCAAGTGGTTCTCTTTGGCGACGACTTTGATGGTGCTAAATCTGAATGCACAAGATTAACCAAAGAAAGAAACTTGACCAATATTCCTCCTTTTGATCATCCATTGGTCATTGCTGGCCAAGGCACTATTGCCATGGAATTGTTGAGACAAATAAAGTCTGGTGCTCTTTCTGCTGTTTTTTGTGCAGTTGGAGGTGGTGGTCTAGCCGCCGGTATTTCTTCTTATTTAAAGAGAATTGCTCCTCATGTCAAAATTATCGGTGTAGAGACCTTTGATGCTGATGCATTATATCAATCCAAAAAGGCTGATAAAAAGGTTTTACTCAGCTCCGTTGGCTCATTTGCTGATGGTACAGCTGTTAAAGAAATTGGTGATGAAACCTTTCGTGTTTGTTTAGACAACATCGATGAAGTCGTTCGTGTTAATACTGATGAAATTTGTGCCGCCATTAAGGATGTCTTTGAAGACACTAGATCTGTTGTTGAACCTTCGGGTGCAATGACTGTTGCTGGTTTGAAGCGTTACATTGCTGAACACCCTGAAATCGACCATTCTACCAAGACTTATGTTCCAATTTTATCTGGTGCAAATATGAATTTCGATAGACTAAGATTTGTTAGTGAAAGAGCTGTGCTAGGTGAAGGTAAAGAAGTCTTTATGCTTGTCACCATTCCAGATATTCCAGGTTCATTTCAAAAGTTACAGTCTGTTATTCACCCAAGATCTGTTACCGAATTTTCTTACCGTTATAACGATAGATCAGCATCTAATGCGACTCCAGATAAACCAAGTGACGCATGCATTTATACCTCATTCAGTGTTAACAATAGAGGAAAGGAAGTTGCTGAAGTTTTGGAAGGATTGGATAAGATTGGATTTTCTGCAATCGATATATCTGATAACGAAATTGCTAAATCCCATGGAAGATATTTAGTTGGAGGAACTGCTCATATTGAAGATGAAAGATTATTAAGTTTTGAGTTTCCTGAAAAACCAGGCGCATTAACTAAATTTTTAGAAAATTTAAAAGGTCAATTTAATTTAACATTATTTCATTATAGAAACCATGGTTCAGATATGGCCCAAATTTTAACTGGTATAGTTATTCCTAAAAAAGACGATGCCAAATTTCAACAATTTTTGGATACACTTAATTATAAATATACAGATGTTACAGACAATATTATTGCTCAAAAGTTTTTAAGAGCTTAAATTAATCAATCCATCTATTATTTATTATTTATGTATTTATGTATTTATGTATTTATGTATTTATGTATTTATGTATTTATGTACTATAATTCAAGTAAACTTTATATAGAATCTGCATAGACTCTCTCTTTCTTTTTTTAATACATTAATTTGAATAAATTTTAAAAAATACTTTTATTTTGACAGAAATAAATATACAAACGTAATTGTGATAATATCAAAAACAAATAGTTATAATTAAAATAAAAAAATAAAAAATAAAAAAAAGGAAAACTGGAAACTGGAAACTGGAAATAAACACAAAAAAAAAAAAAAAAATGAAAAAACTCTTCAATTTTTAAAAAATTTGTAGACAATAAAGATATATATATATATACAAATATATATATATATATACTTGAATAATTGGTTACCATATTTGTTCTGAAATACTAATTGAAAAATGGAAAAAATATAAAAAAAAGAAAATGTCTAGAATTATGGTATCATTTTTATGGAGGGAAATAATAATTTCAGTGAAAAAGAGAAAACGAATCAAAAAATTGAAAGGTAAAACTAAAAGTAAAAGATTGATTGATAAAAAAAAAATATTACTAATAAAATTATTGTTAATAAAATTATTGTTAATAAAATTATTGTAATACAATATTTATATGGTTGAACTAAATGTCTATTAAATTTTGAGTTGAGTTTGGATTTTGTTGTGGTGGTTGTTGTTGCGGTTGAGAATTACCAAAACCAAAGCCAGTATATGATGGTACAATATTAGTTGGCATTCCAGGATATTGATTAGCAAAAAAAGGATTTGAGTTGGTATTTGATTCCTGTTTATAACCAGTACCCGAACTATTTATAAATCGGGTTGTTTTAGTGTGTTGGGCAGGTATTCTTGTTTCACCTTCGTTACCAAAGGTGTCAATTCCGGTTCCCGAGGCTAAAAGAGAATTTAATTCTGCGTGTTTTAAGTTGAATTTTTGTTGACCAGTAAGAGTTTGTGTTAGAGGTTGTTGAGGTTGTTGAGGTTGTTGAGGTAATTGAGCTTGAGGTTGTTGATTTTGAAATTGTTGCAAACGTTGTTGTTCATATTGTAAATCAGCTAAAGACTGTGGTTGAGTTTCCTGTCGTTGCTGTTGCTGTTGTTGTTGCTGTTGATTTATTAGAGCAAAAGGATTATGAGTATTTGTATCATTTTGGACAGTGTTTTGTGATAGTAAAAATTGTTGCTGTAGTTGTTGTTGCTGTAGTTGTTGCTGTAGTTGTTGTTGCTGTTGTTGAAGTAGTTGCTGTTGTTGTTGTTGTTGGAGTAGTTGCTGTTGTTGCTGATTGAAGAAGTTTACATCATTTGATGAGTAGGCATTTTGCAAGTAACCTGTTTGCATTGGATTTTGTTGGCCGTATACGATTGGATTTCCAAACATATCAAGTTCAAGATATTGCTGCTGTTGCTGAGGGATATAACCTAGTTGGTAAGTAGTTTGAGGGTTAATAAAGAGATTGCTTTGCTGATTGTTATTTTCCTCATCATCTAGGTCTAATAAGTTTTGTTGTTTTTGTTCTTTCAATTGTTTAAGTTCTTGTTCTTCTTTTGACAATCTGAGAGCCTCTTCTAGATCTTCATCGTTTACAGATTTATTTCTTCTTTTTAGTTCATCTTCTTCAGCAGTTAATCTACTTTGTTCAATGGCTCTTTGCAAGTCAGCATCAACGTCGGTTGGGTAATTTATTCTGTTGTTTCTGTTGTTACTATCGCTGTTGTAGTCCAAGTTGAACAAGTCTCTTTGTGGACTGTTTTGGGAACGTTCTCTTCTTTCAAGTTTCAATCTATCGTTATCCTTGAGGAGAGACACCAATTCTTTAGCTTTTGTTCTGATGATGCCACCTTGATCGTAACCTGTATCGTCAGTATAAGTAAACTCTCTTAGAGTTTTGATGATATATAGATTTTCCCTTGACCATAGTACCACATTTTCAGAACCATAACGAACCAAATAGTCTAATAAAGTTAAGGCCTTGGCTACGTGTCTCCAGTTTTTGCCCTTATCGTTTAGTCTCCTATCAATCATATCCATTAGTTCGTGAAACTCAGAGCCATAAGAGCGTTGTGATATGTCCTGCATTTCAGTTGTACTGGGACCATTGAGCTCATTTGTAGTGGCATTTCTGACCATAACCTGAGCAGAGGTGTAGCCATTAACTTTGTTTTTGACGGAACGAACAAATTTGCTAGGCATTTCAAAAGAGATGAGGTGGGACGAAGGAGGTCGAGAAGATAAATAGAAGAAGTAAAGCAGAGGAAGAAAGAGAGGTGAGATGCGATGGGTATAAATACAAAAAAGCTGGTGAATAAAACAAACTTACCTCTGAAGCAACGATAAAGCGAGAATTGAAAAACGTATAGGGGAAATAATCAGCTTGTGTCTGGTCACGTGATAAGCTTAGTAAGCCGCAGTGGCGGAGGGCGCGGAAAAGGAGGCTGCAAAACAACGTGGATTCTGCAGAGTTTGGTGTGGATATGGATTGGTGGATGAGGCTGCGCAGATCGGGCGACTAGTGGTAAGAGATAGATAGAAAAATAAACAAAAAAGTGGTTACGCAGAGGACGCAGTGTTTAATAGCTGGACCCTCTATTTGGAGACCAATAAATTGGTGAACTCAAGGATGTCGATTTCGCCGTCGTTGTCAGCGTCAGCTTCTCTCATCATCTCGTCAATTTCGGCATCAGTTAATTTTTCTCCAATCGAAGTCAAAACATGTCTCAACTCAGCGGCAGAAATCTTTCCATCTCCATTTTTGTCAAACACCTTGAAGGCCTCAAGGATCTCAGCCTCAGAATCAGATTCTTTCAATTTCCTGGCCATCATAGCAAGAAACTCAGCAAAATCAATGAAACCGTCGTTGTTGGCGTCTATTTGGTTGATCAAGTCCTTCAATTCGCTTTCAGAAGGGTTTTGGCCCAAGGATCGCATGACAGTAGCTAGTTCCTTGGTGGTTATTTTGCCATCATTGTCCTTGTCAAACAATGAAAATGCTTCTTTGAATTCGGTGATTTGTTCGTCTGTGAGTTTGTCAGCCTGCAGAAATACAATTGTTAGTAAGAGATGCAGCAGGAGAAGCAACGAAATAGGCCAGCGCTAGCCATCAGCACATACCATGGTCGTGAGTGTGAAGAGGAACGAATGCAAAATGGTCCAGGCCACACGAGGGTATTTATACCAGCGAAAGAACCACGCTTGGGGCTCCATGCCCACAGCCCTCTTTCAACGCAGACCCCTCTCCGCTTACCTAACGGGGTCTGTGCCGTGTTTGTTTACACGCGTGTTTCCTAATCGGGCAGCCGTTGGAAACTCAATTTGGGGCCAGAGTCTTTCGCTGTTTTCGCTGCTGTTTCTGCTGCTTCTGCTGTTTCTGCTGTTTCTGCTGGCTTTCCTCACACCCTTTTCCATACCTTCTGCTGCTATTTTTTCCTTCTTTTGCTCTTCCTCTCGTTCCACAAACCTTTTCTCTTCTGCACTGTATTTATTGGCTATTTTATTTTTTTTGCAAATTTCAAATTAAGAGTATAATTCATCTAATTATTACAACATAACTATAAATATTAATTTCTTACTTCTCAAATTACTCAGGACTGTGAATATACAAAATATGGCTTCAAAGATATCCTCATCGCTATATCCCAAGATAGACTTGTCTACTAAAAATTCTGAAAAGAATACGAATCCTTTAGCTAGAACCACTTCAAGGACAACATCTCTCTCCAGGACAAGAACAAGAGAAAGAGAAAGAGCAAAATCCTTCTCAAAAACAATATCCACCACCAACAACTATCCCTACGACTACGACATTAATCATGGCTATAACTATGACATAACTAATGACAACGATAATAATAACGATAATATCAATACTATCAATACCATCAATATGAATAACACAAAAAATCTTCATCTAAGATTGGACAACGAAAAAAAACTAATGGATAATCTAGGCTATTCCAATACCTTATCTAAATCGGTTCTTGACGAACTAAATTCACGAGCTGAAATCATTTCTTCTAGCCTACCTACAACCTTGAACCCAATTTCTTCTTCTATTTTAAATATCAAAAAAAATCCAATTTCCAATAATTTCGATAAAAACCATTCCTCTAATTTTGACAAAATGGATTCAATCCTAAATCACTATTCTGCCAATAACTTCAAGTATAAAAATAACCATTCAAATTTATCTCTAAACTCTTCAAATTTAAAACTAAAATCAAAATTAAAATTAAAAGAAAAATTGAAAAATAACAATTACAGACAACCTTCTGCCAATTATTCCTCAATAAAAAGATCAATTTACGAAAATGGTATTCCAATTTATAACAATAACAACAACAATGATGATAATATTCAAACCAACCTATTTGCATCCTCTCATAAACCCAAAACACCACAAAGTCAACAATCAAAAAGATTATCAATATCACAACTAAGCAGTGCTTCAAAAAGAAGAAGAACTTTGGTTGGAACTAAAGAATCTGACAATGAAAATATTAGAAGACTTAATAGATCCCTAAATAGAAATCTAGTAAACTTAAAAAATTTAGAAAATAAGTCACAATCTTCTTTATCCTCCTATTTATCTTATTCTTCTACTCATTCAATCTCCACTTTATCTCCTCCACCAGAACAAAACTCTTCCAAAATTATTAAATCTTTAAAACTTCAATCAAAAAACAAAATATTGATCCCAAAATCTAGAAAAAATATAAATATTAATGAAATCGATGATTATGAACAATCTTTAATTGAAAAATTTAGTCAGCTATCTTCTCCCTCAAGAGATCCCAATGATACTCAAATTAATGCGAATGAAATTAATTATAACACTAACAATATTAACAACAATTCAAATGGATCCAATAAAAAAATCACTCGCACTAATAATGAAATCAACATTATTAACAAAGAATTGATCAATAAAATCAACAATAGCATCTCACTTAATATAAACAACACCAGAAATTCAACAAATGCACCTTCTTCTCCTAGAAGGCTTGATTTATTATCAAAATCAACCTTGTTATCAAACAACTCAAAACCATCCTCCTATTCTTCAAGATCTTTCTCCAATTCTTCTTCCAATTCTTCTAATTCTTTTAGTTCAAATTTTTCTTCTTCAAATAATAGCTCAGTTTCAAATTATTCCTCAAATAAAAATCCTTCGATTTTTTCATCAACAAGAACAACATCAAATACTTCAACCTTTACTGTTTCTTCAATAAATAAAAATTTCAATTCTTCTACTACTACTACTACTACTAATAATAATAATAATAATAATAATAATAATAATAATAATAATAATAATAATAATAATAATAATAATAATAATAATAATAATAATAATAATAATANTAATAATAATAATAATAATAATAATAATAATAATAATAATAATAATAATAATAATAATAATAATAATAATAATAATAATAATAATAATAATAATAAATCAAATATTCCAAGTCCTCGTAAAATAAATAATGATACACTATTTTCTTTTCAAAGATCAACTTTATCCTCTTTGAGTAAGTCTAAGATTCCACGAGCAACAAGTTCAATATCCGTTAAATGTTCTCAGGAAAAAAACCAAAATAAAATTATTGATCAAAATCACAATATAAATATAGATAAATCTCAATTTCAATCTCAAAAACAAAATACTTCCATTTATCGTTCTCAATTATCTAATTTAATGGAAAAATCAAACTTCAATTCTGCAATTAAATCCAACTTAAATCCAAATCAAAAACAAATACCGATTTCATTATCCAGAAGGCCATCAACATCAAACTCAAAACCTACTAATATATCTTCAAATGGCTCATATCTAAGATTTCGTCAACTCAATTCCTCTTCTTCCACATCTTCAACTTCAAATGTTACTGTCAATAGAACATCAGACTCTAATACTAAAAGATCAATGAAAATAACGGAAAATGGAAAAAATTTAAAAAGACCTTCAGTTAGAAAATGAGTTTATAATATAAATAAGCTGAGTTTCTCAATTTTTCTTTTTTTTTTGTTTTGTTTTGTTTTAATTCATATATCGGGTTATTTTGATTATTTTTCAAATGTTTTTTTAGATAATTAAAGAACTGTTTTTATTTCTTATTTATGTTTTTTTTTCAAAGTGATATTTCTCTTCTGTTTCAATAGATTTCGGAATTGGCTGGTAATAACTTGGAAAATGGGGATTTTAAAAATTGATTTTTTATTATATTATATTATATTATATTATATTATATTATATTATATTTTATTTTATTTTATTTTATTTTATTTTATTTTATTTTATTTTATTTTATAATAAATATTTATTTCAATGACTGTTTGCATTTTATCATACATTTTCACTTTCAGTTCGTTTTTTGTTTTTTTTACTTCTTATAATGTTATTTAGTTAAAAACAATTTTATTTCACTTAATTTTAGACTATTTTATCTAGCATTTTCTTTTTCTTTTATAAAAAAATTCCTTCAATACATCATATCATTCTTATAATTCTTCTCTATTTTGCGATTTAACTATTTTAACCAATTCAGTCTTGAATACCAAAGTTGCATTTGGTGGAATAACATTTCCAGCACCACGCTCACCATAAGCAAGATGCGAAGGAATAGTTAATTTTCTCTTTTCGCCAACACACATTCCAATAAGACCTTGATCCCATCCTTTAATGACATTTCCAGCGCCTAATGTGAATTCAATTGGAGTACCCCTGGAATATGAACTATCAAATGGGTCGCCTCCGGCACTTAATGTTCCAATATAATGAACTTGAATAACATCGCCAGGCTTTGATTTCTCAGTACATTTTTCCTCAGCAATTTTATGGGTGATACCTATGTTCGATAGATTTGAATTTATTAGTAAAGTCGCTCGACATCAGATTTGAGACTCAATTGAAACCTTACCGATTCTCAATTGCCCCTCAGCAACAACACAGAATAACAACGAGGATAGAGAGATTAAAACTTTTGAAAACAACATCTTTGGCTTCTTTGTAAAATCTTCAAGTAAAACAGCTTCAAGAGAGGTGTTTTGCTCTTTCTCTCTCTCTTTCTCTTTCTCTTTTCTCTGACGTTGCTCAGCGAAGACCAAAGTCTGGGTTTGACATCCACACTGGTGGACTTTTGAAAAATCAGCACCATACAGATGGCGTCTACAGTGTTATGCAGTGCTCTACAGCTGTGCAAATAGGGCTAATCTATACTGCCCTTGAATGTTTCATGTGACTGTGCGTTTCGGTGCAAATCGCTGATATACGGGACTGATTTAAAGATCCACCTACCAAAAAACTCATGCACAAAATGGAAACCGCTCCAAAAGCGAAATGCTGGAAAAAAATCCGCGGTCCGGACGGACACATCCGGCCCATTTGCTCTGAAGAATATTATTCAGTTGCAATATTCAATCCATAGTATCTAGATACTTCAGATTTTTATTTGTAGACTGTCACTATAACAAGCCTATAAGGAAAAAATCAATAGCATAACATAAGGTAAGCATAAGATATGATATTTGTCTTGTTGATGCAAAGAAAATAAAAAGCTTTTAATTATTTCACATTGGTTTATCCAGGTATTGAAATTGTCTAGTTTAAAATTTTTGTCCAGAACTACATATTTATCAATGATCTATCAATTTTTGATTCCTAACTAGGTTCCAGGAAAAATATTGAATATATTTAATTAAATCCAATTAAAACAGATCATAAATTATCTTTAGTTTGGTCAAAATCGCAATTACTGTCTTGTGTTATTATACTTATATTAAAAAGAAAACTCTAAAACTGAAAATTAGAAAATTAGAAAATTGAGAAAGAAAGCAGACTATCTAAGATAATATAGCGTTTAAAATATTATGATACCAAAATTCTAAATTACTAGGTTTTGATTTAAAACAATTATTTTTCTATATTTCAAAATTTGAGGTGTTCTATTTTTTTATTTATTTTAAATTTTAAGGAAAATATTGAACAATTGAATCATTGTTTTTAAAAATATATTAATTAAAATACCATTGATGATAAATAAAAAGTGCTTATTTTTATTTTCAATTAAACGCATTCCATTATTAAATCATTAAAGTGCAAATTAAAACTAACAAAATTTTTTATAGATCAAAATGGGTATTAGTCGTGATTCTCGTCATAAAAGATCAGCCACTGGTGCTAAACGTGCTCAATTCAGAAAGAAGAGAAAGTTCGAATTAGGTCGTCAACCTGCCAACACCAAAATTGGTGCCAAACGTATCCACTCTGTTAGAACTAGAGGTGGTAACCAAAAATTTAGAGCTTTGAGACTTGAAACCGGAAATTACTCATGGGGTTCTGAAGGTGTTTCAAGGAAAACAAGAATTGTTGGTGTTGTTTATCACCCATCAAACAATGAATTGGTTAGAACTAATACTTTAACCAAGGCTGCTATTGTCCAAATTGATGCCACTCCATTCAGACAATGGTTTGAAAGTCACTACGGTCAAAATTTAGGTAAAAAAGTTAAAGGTGCTGTTACCGAAGAAATCAAAAAATCAAGCAAAGTTCAACGTAAATTAGCTTCAAGAGCTTCCAACTCCAAAATTGAACCTGCTTTAAATAACCAATTTGGTGCTGGTCGTCTTTATGCTTGTGTTTCTTCCAGACCAGGTCAATCTGGTAGATGTGATGGTTACATCTTAGAAGGTGAAGAATTAGCTTTCTACTTAAGAAGATTAAATACAAAAAAATAAGCCTCTTATAAATTATAGTGTTTTTAATTAATCAAGCATTGTATGTTTATATTTTAAAATTTTGTATTTTCATTTAAATGGGGAAAGTGTGTAATCTAATTTGAAATTTTCTTTTCGATTTTAAAATAAAAAAAAACTACGGAATATCCATTTATCGTAATAATTAAATAAATTTGTAAAAAAATTATCAAATAAACAGAAAAAATTAAATTTAAATATATAAGTAGACAAAGTTGACAGGGAAAAATTAACCACCAACCAAAGAGAAAACTTGATAACAAAACTGGAAAATCACAAACGTTCTTAAATAATAAACCAAAAATAAATAAATAAATAAATAAATAAATAAATAAATAAATAAATAAATAAATAAATAAATAAATAAATAAATAAATAAATAAATAAATAACAAAAAATATTAAACCATTAAAACAACTTCATGAAACATAAAAACATAAAAAGTAATTGAACAAAAAACTAAAAATCTAAAATACAAAAAAAAAAGCTAAACAGGGAAGCAAAAACTAAATGTACAACATTTTAAGTAAAAATTAAAAAAAAAAAGCAGATAGATCAGAAAAAACATAAAAAAACAGTTAACAAACAGATCAGCAAATTAACAAATTGAGAAAAAGTCTATCTAGTGAGGTCATTGTACATTAACATCAATATTAAGGATTCTAGTTTGACGTTTTTCAAGCTTTGAAGCTATTCCAAATTGATCCACATTTAAAGAATTGTCAAAATTTTGGGGTAAATTTCCTTGTTTTTCCAATTCAATTGCCAACAACCCATCGTTTTCACATAAAGGCTTACCATCTAGCACAAAATAATCTTTGATGATATATTGGCCACATTTGATGCATTTTAGACATTCGGAGTGGAACCTCTCTCTGTTGTTATTTTCCAAACAAGTGCCCTCAATACCTTTGTTACATATCTTGCAAATAGACCCATTAAGATAGTGAAAGTCGTATTGACAATAAGGACAATCATCAATCACATAACAATTAGAGCCCTTTTTGAACAAGACCTGACATCTATAACAGGCAAAGCATTTGCGATGCCAACGACCAGACATTTGATGATCTTTTGACCAAATTGATTTACCAATAATCTCTTCACCACATTTTCTGCAAGGACCTTCGCCTGAAGGATATTTGATTTCAGGAGAGATATCCTGTAGTTTAGTTCTCTTTAATTCTTCAGCTAATTCCCTAACAGCTTTTTTAATTGATGATTCTTCTTCTACTGTTGGAAAATCTTCACTATTGAACGGTTTAGCTTCAGATGAAAAATTGGTTTTAAAGTCTTGAGACTTATTACTAATGATTCTTTCCAAATCTAAAGGTTTCTCTGGAGAAGAAAGGTAACCACTTTCCTTGTGTCTAAGATTCTCCTTGATAGCTTCATTAAGAATGGGACTAAAATCTTGAGGTGCTTTCTCTGGTGTTGTATCTTTTATGTTATTAATTTTAGCCAAATCAGCAAATTTTTTCTCGATTCTAACACTAATTGATTTATCTTTTCTCATAGAAGATGAATTTTTTTGGAACCCGAGATTTTGAGTGGGTTTATCTTTTGAGAAAGATTTTTCCAAATGTAATGGAACTGTTTGTTCAGAAGTATTTAGACTCTCTGGATTTGAAAAATTAGCAAAATTGTTTGGAACATCAAACTGATCATCAGTTTGGAAATTATCAATAGAGTTACTATTTCTATGAGTTAAAGTTCTTTCTAAAGATATAAACAAATCATTATTAATATTATTGATATTGTTCAAATTATTATTAATATTATTGATATTGTTCAAATTATTATTAATATTATTGATATTGTTCAAATTATTAAAGTCATTAAAATCATTATTGTTATTAAAGTTGTTATTGCCTAAATTATTATCAAAATTATTACTATTGAAACTATTATTATAACCATTATGATTGCGGTTTTGAGTAAAATCCAGATTAAAATCCTCGCTAGTTATAGCAATATCTTTTTTCAATTCATTTAAAGCATCTATCATATTTTGGTTTTTTATATCATCATTATCAATGGGTTGGTTCTTTGTATCATAATTGTCGATGGGTTGGTTGTTTAAAATTTCTTGATCTGAGCTTTCGTTTGAATAAACAGATGAAGCAATTGATGAAGCCACTGAGTGTGTTCTGTTATGAGTAATAACATTGAAAGATGTGTTTTGTGGGATTGGAATCGAAGAGAGTGTATTTTCTTGTGGTTTATTAACAATTTTTTGATTGTTTTGATTCTCTCTTTTGCTGTATTCGTCTTGTTCATTTTCCTCGCTTTCATTTTCTTCGATTATTTTTTCATTGAAAGCTGGAGCGAAAAACTTACCCTCAAGGTTGGGCACAAAAGGCGTGGAGTCTCTTTTTGAAGTTGATTCAGTTTCAGTGGGAGAGGAATTAGTAGTTGGAATAACACCCATGGAGAATCTGTCGAGTTTGTTGGCCAATTTGCCTATTAATTTTTTGTTTTGTTTACTGGCTAGTGATTCATAAATGACAGTTTTTGATTGAGAATCAAATTGTGATTGAGATGGCGATGGCGATGGGGTTGAAGATTGGGAAGAGCTGTTGGCGTTTATTTCAGAGATTAAGTGGTCTTGAGAGTTTGGGTTATTGTTTTTTTTATTGCTATAAAGAGATTCTTTGTCAATAATTTCTTGAACCGATTTTGGATCAAAGATCTCAATCTTTGGGATTGAAAAATTTAAACCAGAGGGAGTTGGAACTTGGGAGATTGGTTGGTCGAAATGGGAATATCCCTTTGGAGTTTGATCAGAGCTTGCAAAGGAGACATTTTCAGAATCAGCACTTTTAATTGTTGATAAAGAGGGTTCATAATCGTTATTGTTTATATCGGAACTTTTTTGACTTTTTTGACTTTTTTGGCTTTTGATGGGTTTTTGATTACCATGATCACTATGATCATTATAGTGATTTGAAGATTGAAACAGGTTGTTGTTTGTGATTTTTGAGAATTTTCCTGAGAGGATATTAGTTGATCTTGGAGTAGAACTGGCGGAAGTTGTGGTGGAAGTGCTATCAGTTAAGATTGGAGAGAAGATTGAACTTGAGCTTGTAGTTGAAGATTCAGTATCACGACGCTTAAACAGATGATCGAAATTTGAATTTTGGGGAGATTGAAATGACTCATGAGATTGTTGATTAGGATGAGATGGAGGGTGGTTTGGAAAAAAAATCTGGTTATTTTGGTGTAATATTTTCATGGAAGAAATTTGGTTAGCTAGATTGATATCTACGGTCAATGGGGGTTTATTGTTTGAAAATAAAGTTGAGTTGTATTTTGAGGAGGTTGAGGATGCTGGGGAGTTGTAGATGGAAGAAGAAGAGGACATTGTTGAGTCTCTATTATTATTGTTGATGTTGTTATAAAACAAAGGTTTTTCATTTGGAATTGAGATTGAAGTTGGTTTTTTTTTTGTAGGAGTGGATATGATTGGATCATGTTTTGATTTGTTTGAACGAGTTGATTGATTTGATTGATTTGATTGATTTGATTGATTTGATTGATTTGATTGATTTGATTGATTTGATTGATTTGATTGATTTGAGGATAGAGAGATTGGTAAAGTTAAAGATCTTTGAGTATTTGATAATTGTTTGAAATTGTTATTGTTATTGTTATTGTTATTGTTACTATCAGGTAAACTTGATACGGAAGAGAATTTAAGAATTTTATCGATTGTATCATTTTGGTATTGAGATGGAGATTGGGGTTGGTATTGATTAGCTAGAGGTAAAGATGAAGAGGATTTCAAAGCAAAACGATTTGATAATTTCGTTGAGAATTTAGAAAAGGAGGAGGAGTTTTGTTTTTGATTGAAAAAGAATTTAGAAGGAGAGGAGGATTTGTTTTTATTTTTTCTATTTTTATGGATACTGTCGTTATTTTTTGTGATTTGAGTCGCTTTAAGAATCTCAAAGCCAGCTCTTTCATAAACGCCTTTATATGTGATAGATGGATCTAGAGGAGGAAAATTGTTGTTGATTCTGTTTAGAGATACCATTGGGGATTTTTTGTTTGAGTAGATGGAGGCAGATTCTAGGGTATTTGAAGAAGTTGGAGAAGTTGATTCGTTTGAGGTATTTATGTTTATGTCATCAGTATTTATGTTTATATTATTTAATTGCATTGTTAGGGTTTAGAGAATGATAGTGATTAGTAGAGAGAATAGTTGAAGGATAGTGAAGATAAAAGAGAGAAAGATAACAGAAGTAATAAATGAATGAATAAGATAAATAAATAAGTAAATAAACAGGTAATTAATAAGATATATTGATATGTGGAAGGGTTGATAGAAAGATAAAAGATCGCTAGTGAATGAGGGAGGACTAAATGAAGAGGATTTAAGGTGATATGATAATAAGGCAACTAGAGGATAATAAGGCAACTAGAGGATAAATAAAGGTGACTAGAGGTAAAATCGTGTAAAAATGGGAAATGAGAATAGAAAGTGGAAAGTAGGAAAAGGAAGGAGTATTGAAGAGAAAGAACTGACAAGTAGATATTAGATATTAGGTATTAGATATTAGATATTAGGTATTAAATAAGTGGGAAACTTTAAAATGGAAATAGTAACTTAAAGAGAGAATTTGTGTTGATACAAAAAGAAGTGAACATAAAAATAAATATAAATACAAGTACAAGTATAAGTATTAATATAAGCGTTGATGAGAGAATTTATTGTAATAATAGAATAAGAATAAGAATAAGAATAAGAATAAGAATAAGAATAAGAATAAAAGCAAGAACAAGAACAGGAACAAGAATAAAGATGGAAATGAAAAGAGCGATAGATGAGATTTTTTTAGTGAAGAAATTCACTCAGGTTGCCAGTTGTAGGCAGGTTATTATAAAAGGCAATTAAAGAGGAGGAAAATAGTAGCCAGCACATAACTGGAAATAGAATTGAGATGAGATTGAAATTAAAGGAAAGAGTAAGGCAGTACAGTCATTAACAGAAAATAGAATTAGGAAATATAGGATGATTTGTAGAGGAGAGATCAAAGATTAATACCGAAGATGTAGTCAAAAAGATTTGTTGAAAAATAATGGAGGAACCGGTATTATTGATGGCGTTGATCTGAAATGAAAATCTGCACAAGCCGAGCCCGACGCGTCACTTATGCGTAAAAGTGCATATACGCGGGATGAGGATTTCTGGGCAGGGTACTATCTGATGGTAGCGATTATTACAGGTGAATAGCAGTGATTGGATCTTGGTAACAGCAACTGGTGGGAAAGCCCAGCAGCGGCAGTGGTAGGAAAATGCCCGACGGCAGGCGAATCAGAGGATGGGCATGCGAGGGGAGGGCTGGAGAGAGCGACCGTTGCGTGTCAGACGCGGTTTGAGAAACAAGCTTTGGAGGCAGCAGACAGATGCGTAAGACACGCATAAACCATCGCAGCGGTGTCAAAGCGGCGGGCACCAGAACAGCACTCGAAGAAGTAGGAGGAAGAGAAGAAAGAAAAGACATGTATTAGGGCAGAGAAGATTACAACTCTCTCATTCGTTTGAAGTACTCGTCGTTTTCTGTGTCAGAAGAGTCTTCGTCCACAATGTCCTCGCCGTTGGCGTAGTTGTTGAGATTATTCAAGTAGAAGCCACGAGGCTTGTCTTTTGTCTTTAGTTTTTTTTGGTTTGTGGATGAAATTTCGTCACTTTGACCGATTCGCTCATTCTGGTCCTTTTGGATCAAAGAAAGATCGGGATAGATGCCTGTATTTTGGATCAAAAACTGGACCATGTTTTCAACGGATCTTGAGCCCTTGAAGGAAGCCATGTGAGAACCATCAGAGGAATAAAGACGTAGTAGAGGAAAGCCGATTAGCTTGAGCTGTTTTCTGATTCTTTTGTTATGCAAGCCATTGATCTGAACAAAATTTAGTTTGGAGTCCTTGTAGATGTGGGCCAAATGGTGGAAATTGGGAGCTAGTTGTTGGCAGTGGGTGCATGAGGGGGAGTAGAAGTTGACAAAGGAGTACGTTCCTTTCTGAAATACAACGTCCTCGAAGTTGGAGTCGTCGGCCTCAAAGACACCGCTTTGCAAGACCTGAGCGGTGGCACAGAAGAGGAAAAAGGAGAGCACAGCGAGCACTCGGGCACAAATAGGAAGCAACATCTTGGGCTGGAGAAGAAAGAGAGGAAGAGAGCACGCCATCATATCACCCAGCTCCAGCACGGACAGCAGAGGGTGCGTGCTCGGATCTCGGAGATCCCTCTCTCAGTGGCGCATGCATCACAACACATGTGAGTGCATGAACCCATGGCACTGGCTCCTGGCACCACGCCATTGCGATGGGTCTTCTGGGGCCGAGCCAGCGCGGCCGCCGTAACCGCATACGCGCCGGGGCACGAGGCCGGAGCATTCCAGGCCCAACTTGCGCTTTCCCAACCTTTTAAGCTTTCTCCAACCTTGTTCAACCATGTATCATTATAAAACACTCGCTTTTCTCCCTCTTCCATCTCTCTTTGCTTTCTTATATATACCTCCCATCTCTGTCTTTTATTTCGTTTCTTGTACTTTATTGCTTTCTCTGTTTTGCGTTTTCCAATCATTTTGCCAATTACTCCGCCAGCTGTTCTCCCAATCACTTTTCCTGATTCAATTTCCCTCTATACTATATCCCACAATGATTTCCTTTCCAAAATTCAGATATTCTACCTCCAGTGACACATCTTCTGACAGCTCCAACTCTATAAATAAAATGAAAAAGAAAACCTCAAAGAAATACATATACATCCAATTACTAAATGAGTCTGAGATCTACTACTCCAAGAAGCCAAAACTATGCATTCCATCCTACAAAATCCAAAAAAATGATCCCAATTTCTATTTGGAATACAACTATCCTTCGCCAAACTACTTGCAGAAATATTTCAGCAAACTAGGCTTTTACTTTGATATAGATTTGATAAAAAGCCCTCTCGATTTCGGCTACTACAAAGTTTACAACCAGTTTTACTTGGACTCATTCTCAAACTCTTCTTCTAACTCTTTGAAATCTATAGTCTACAAGAAAAATCTAAAAAAACTAACCTCTTCCAGAATCAATAACACCCATAGCCATAATTACACTCTAAAATTCGGGTGCAAATGTGGTGAATGTGGCCAATTTATTGAAATCATATTGAATCATGATCTATTCGACTATGATTTTATTGAAAACAATGACAGCTTCATTCCTTACATTTCATATTTTCGTCACTTCATTCAGAATCATATATAATTTTCTCCTAATCAATTTTATCTACCCATTTATACCATACCATATCATACCATATCATATCATATATCATACTATATCTTAACTTTTCATTCCATTTATCTTATATTAATATCTATCTACCTATCTAATGATTCTCACGATTCTTATTCTACTTACCATCCTATCCTACCCTCCTTTTACTTTCTTTTTCCTCTCGTGTGTATTATACAAATTCTACATTTCCCTAATTACTCTATTAATCTTAATCTCAATCTTAATCTCAATTTTTTCTTTTGTTGATCAAATTAAAAATTTTACATTAAGATTAACAATTGTGTGTGTGTGTTTATTCATTTTATTATTTTATTTAATTTAATCTAATTTTATTTTATTTTATTTTATTTTATTTAGCTAATAAATAACTTACAACTTTCTAAGACATTAGTCCATTTTTGATCTTCCTCTTCTCGTTATTCTTTTATCTGTTTAATTTTTAATTTTTAATTTTTAGTCTTTAATCTTTAATCTTTTTAATCTTTTTTTTATCTCTTTTTAATCTTTTTTTCTCTCGTTTTTTTTTCTCTTTCTTTTCAATCTCTTTAGTTACTTTTCCTCCTAAAAAAAGTAATTCCTCATCTTCTTTTGACTCTGAAGTTCCATTATTTCCATACCTCTTACTTCTAAGAAAGGAGTAATCAATCTAGTTTTTTATTATTATTAATTACATTTTCACAATATTACATCCTCATAATATTACTCTATAATATCTATATAATATAATATAATATAATATAATATCTATACTACTAATTCCCCCATTCATTCCCACTCTCATTCAAATCCTCTCCCTTTCACTTATCAATCTTTATCTCTCTTATCCCACTTATCTCTCACTAATCCTTCAAATTACTCATTCCCATTCCCATTCTATGTATTCTCTTCAGAGTATTTCTCCCGTTTAACTCGTCTTCTAATTCCACTTATTCTCTTTCTTCTCCATAAAATCTTATTTCCTTAAATGACTAATTCTCTTTCAAGTAATTACACGAGTTATCCATTAATTTAGTCTTTCTAATTAAAAATTAGTTGCAAAAATAAAAACTAACAAAAAAAAACAAAAAAACATTAAGAATTATTTTCTTTTTCCACTTGTTCCATCTAACAAAACAATACTCTTCAACCTTTTTTTTTTTACTCAGATCCATAATCACATCATATTCATAAGATTATTCATCTTATTCATCTTATTCATTTTATGAATATAATGAATATTAATTGATATTAATATCAATACCAATAAATATCAATAAATATAACAAGCTGTTTAAATCTAAATTAAACTTTGAGACATTTTTCCTCTTTAACTCTGTTCTTTTTTCTATTTTTATTAGTAAAAAAAAATTCAATTTAAACCAAACTAAATCATTTCAAATCAAACAATTTTAAATTTCAAATAATTCGAATTCAATTCAATTCAATTCAAACCATTTGAAAAGACTTGAATTAATCTCTTTAATCTTTTAATAATCTTTTAATAATTTTAAATCAAATCTTTTTCATTTTTCACCTGTTACCCTACCCTACCCTACCCTTCTTTTGGTTTGTTTTTCTTTCTTATACAAAATCGAATGTTTTTACTCCCCATCTCAATCTACTACAATATAATATAATAATATACTATAATAATTTATATTATATCTGGTTTTCACAATCTCTTTGTTATTTGTTATTTGTCATTGGTCTTGATCTTTATGCTGATATCCATCCCATCTCAGAATAAACACAATAAAGATGGAGACCATTCTACCCATTTTAATCACTTCCAATCATCCTCTGTAGACAATAAGCGATAAATAATATTCCATCAATGAAGTAATAACGTATCATCACTCTACAAAACATCTGCAAATATCCATCCAGCATTGATCAGGCATTGACCAAGCATCAATGGAGCACTAATGGAGCATTAATGGAGCACCAATGGAGTAGTAATAGAGCATCAATCAAGTGTCAATGGAATAGCAAGGCTTGTTTATTCCTATTCCTATTCACACTCTCATTCTTATTCTCCTTTACCTTAACTTATCTTGTCTACTCCATCGCTCGATTTGCCCTTCCAACGTTGTATCTCATCTAAAAGCATTATTTTATCTTCACTCCAGCTTTTATTTCCATCCTCATTTATTTTCTTTCGTCTTAAATTCTGGTCGTGGTTTGCTAATTGCCTATGGCTGTTTTTCATTGTCATTTCAGATCTCATTTTCTGCAATGAAACAAATTCCCTAGCTTTGCTCACCAATTTTCTACAATATGGTCTTTCAAGCATTGCCACTCCAGCGTCTAATTTACAACTGAAATAAAATGGAAACACATTTACCAAAACCATCCAGAATTCATCATACACACCTTCGTTCAAGAAAAACATTACTGGCATGCGTCACTACGAAATAGCTCTGGAATAGCTCTAAGATACTCTAAAATACCCAAAGATATGCTAATCTGCTTCTGAAATTTCTCTTTGCTCTGTGCTAATCGCCAAAGAGCCTGTTTCCACATCTTCAAGATCTTAGCGAGACATCCACTACAAGAAATCCATCCAAACTCCCTCCAGCAAATAGTTGCAAAGCTGCTGAATTGCTCAATCGCCTGCTCTCTCCAAGCACAAATTAAAAATTGTCACTGGTGAAGTCGTCATTTTTTTTCACTGCAAAATAAGCTTACAAATCCAAACCATGCCTACTGTCTCTAATTACGTTTTCTATGTTCTCTTCTCATGCTACAGATACACATCTATATATAAACCACACTGAGGAACGATAAGGAACTACGGGTGCTCTTAATTAGATATTGTCTCCCTCAAAAACAATGTCAGACACTGAATCAACAAGGTTGTTGAAGAAATCTTCCTTTGAGGAAGAAACCACCATCGAAACTCCATTGATTGCAACCTCTGGCAAAACCTCTCTAGTTCCCTTGGAGGAATCTCCCCATGGCAGACATCTCGGCCTTTACTCCACCATAATATTGTTTATCTCAAGAATGGTGGGCTCTGGTATCTTTGCAACACCTGGGTTGGTCTTTAAAGAAATGCAAGGCTCAACCATCTTGTTTCTAATTACCTGGGTCGTTGGTGGCATCGTAACTTATAGTGGATTAGCAGTTTATCTTGAATTAGGATCACTAATTCCCAGAAGTGGTGGAACAAAAATTTTTTTAGAATTCATATTTCCTAATCCTAAATTCTTTTGGAGTATTATCTTTGGAACCTTTTCAATTTTTTTCAATTTCTGTTCAACAAATTCTATTATATTTGCAGAATATTTACGATTTTCACTAGATTATCCCAACGATGAATACCAGACCAAGAAACTTGCAATTTTATTGATCATATCAGGCTTTTTTGTTCACAGCTATTCTAAAAAATTTGGAATTTACTGTCAAAATATTGTTGGAAGTTTAAAGTTATTGACTTTAATATTAATGATTTTGATCAACTTGTACATTTTATTAATCCCATCGTCAATCAGTCATATAGAGAAACTACCCTTACGGGAGGTTTTCAAATTCAACAAGAATGAAATTTTAAAGATAAACGATATACCACTACCAGTTATAGTATCAGCATTACTAAAGACAATATACTCCTTCAGTGGATGGATAAGCGCACACAATGTTCAAAATGAGATTAAAAATCCTATCAAGACACTAAAATATGGAGCCAATATATCATATTTAAGCATATTTGTATTGTATATTATAATGAACTTGACATATCTAATTATAATACCACACAAAGATATACTCAACAGTGGAGAATTGATTGGGGCCATACTATTCAAGATAATCTTTGGCAAGAATATTGGTCAAAGATTATTATCACTTATAATATCATTATCAGCAGCTAGTAATGTTTTAGTGGTAATATTTGCCGATTCTAGGTTGAATCAAGAAATTGCTAGAGAAGGGTTTTTATTTGGACACAAATTAATATCAAGAAACTATCGTCCATTTAATACACCAATACTTGCTATATTGTTACATTGCACTATATCTATAATGGTTATATTAATACCTAGTAAAGGGGAGATATACAACTTTATTGTTTCTATGCAAATTTATCCCAATCAGATATTCAATGTTGTAATTTGTCTTGGAATTATTAAGATACGGAACAAATTCAAGAAAATCAAGGCGCCTATTAGGATAATGACTTTTTTAATATATTTGTGTTTGGTAAGTTCATTAGGAATAATAGTCAGTCCTTTGATTGAGATTTTGATCAATAAGAATGGTAATGGTGATGATAATGGTGAATATGGGTATATAATTGGTGGGTTATTAGTTATAACAATAGGGATAATTTATTGGGCGATTTTTGTTAAGCTTTTACCGTATATTGGTAAATATAAAATAGTTCGAAAACGAATAGTATTGGAAGATGGATTGGAGATTAAAGTGTGGAATAAAAAGCACTTATAAAAGACAAGTGATTAACGGTTGTTTTTTTTTTCTTTCTTTCTTTCTATTTTAGTGGGTTTATTTTTTTAAATTTTTTTATCAATTTTTTGGTTGCAATGAGAATAAGATTTTAGTTTAATTTTGGATAGTTTTGAATATGAAATTTAAACGAATATATAAAATAAATATATAATTATATAATTATATAATTATATATATAAATGGGATTGTGGATTGTTTGTTTTTTGATAATGAAATATTCGTTGCTGATCAAAAGTTATTATTAGGATAATGAAAGGAAGAACAAACAAATGTAATTACAAAGAATAAAGACGGTAGTATAGGTGAATAAGAGTTTATAAGTCAAATATTACTACATTAGCATATCGATATTTCATTTCATTTTATAATATTTTATACTATTTCATATTGTTTTATGATTGTTGTTTTAGTGATTTTTGATATTATTTAACAAAATAGTAAATTAATGGAAATTTTTACAGATGAAATTTGCTTGCAAGTTGGATAAGTTTAACCTTTAGCATGTTAGAAATTAGAAATAATAAATCAGAAAAAGGTTGATCAAAATGTTTATACATGAATTAGAGAAAAAAAAAATAGACGAAAGTTGGTAAGTTTCTAATAGCAGTATAAGAGTTGTACAACAGTGGTGTAACAGTGGTGTATTGCTTTCTGATGTATAGCCGTTACAGTTAGAGGTTTATGATGTTAGTGATTTGGCTAAAATGACAGTGGATAATAGCAGGATTCTTGCATTTGATTGGCCTTATTTTTTTTCGCAGAATTGAATAGCAGTGAATGCATTCAACTGTTGAAGCTGGGCAGAACTGTTCGTTCTGCTTTGGGTTCAACAATGGGATAGAAAAAGAAAGCTGCGAAAACACAGTTGGAACAGTTATGAACATCTCAAAAACGTCGATCTGTCGATCTGTTGATCTTGGTATTGTAAAAGCTGTGAGCACAAACCCAAAACGCAGCAGAACGAGCACCATATCATGTTCATTATCATGTTCATAGCAATAGTCGTGCTTCAGGACACTTGGGGCTATTTCCAGCAGCGAGATTTCTACCCACAGGCTTTTGCTACAGACGTTCAGTTGCTGAAGTAAGAAACTAAATTGGTGAGTGTGCTTTGGGTAATTTTGTATGGAACTGGAACTGGAATTGCCTGGAACTAGCTCTAGCGCATTAGTAAGCACCTCCCAAATAGCCCCTCGTCGCCAGCAATCTCTAGCTGCTGCCTCTGCTGCCCCTGCTGCCTCTGCTGCTATTGCTCTGAATGCCCTCGGGTCTCTGCTCCTGTCAGGTGCAAAACAACCCACGGCTGCGGGTGCGGCCAAGTACGGCATTTATTGCAGCTGTGTACAGTTACACGTGCAGCGGGGTCTTACCCAGCTGCGTGGGTTGTTCTGGTTGTTCTTTCCTTTTCTTTTGGGGTGTTCTAGAAAGCAGCATGAGGCATATTGGCTGCTATCTCCACCGCAGAAACAATAGAGATCTGCAGCTCATGTGTACGCTGTAATGCGTTGGTGTGCGTGTATTTACTCGACTTGCAAGATATTTCTATTTCAGCTGTTGTTGCGTACGCACGGGTAAATAGCTTCGTGAAACCTACACGCGCTTCTAAATGTCCTGTGCGCACAGGGCAGAACGAGGACACATTCTTTGAGAGCGACTGCTCCCAAAAAGGCCTGGAGGAAATCAGTGATATAACCTCGATTTGTTCAAAGATTGGCATAGAGCAACGATTTGCAAATACTTTTTTTTGCTTCTTTCCACTTCACTCTTAATTGGCTCTTCTTTATCCACTGGCTTCTTTTCAGCCCAATCCCATCCTCTCTATATGATCTTCCAATTGTCATTTGCTTTGGGGAATTTGCATTTACATTTACGTTTTACAACCACCAATTTACAATTTAAAATTTATTCTTTACAATTTACTCTTTACTCTTTACTCTTTATTATTTATCATTAGCCATTTGGTTCTCTTTCTATAAATACTCCATTTCCATTTAGCAACCATTAGCAGATTGGCAGAAAGAAACATCAACCACTTGAAAAGATTTTCATGCAGAATTAGCCACTTTAGTCCAATTTAAAATTTACAGAATTTTAAATTGCAGAATTCAATGTATTAAAATTTAAATTTTATACCCAGATTCTCTTCTTTCAAAGCTTCATTTCATTTCACTGGATTTCATTTTTATTTCATGTTTTATTATTATATCATTATATTTTTCTATTTACTTTTTTTTTTTAATCCTTCTTCCATCTCACTTTCTCTATTATATAAAGCTTATTTGTTCGTTTTTTGCTCTTTTTATAAAATTTCACTCATTTCATAAGTTTTGCTCAAAGTACATCAAATTTATAATCAAAAAAAAGTATATACATATACATATATATATATATGAATATATGAATATTAATGTTATCTTCTTTATAATCTTCCTCATATCCTATCTATAAAAAAATAATTACATTAAAATAGAAAAAAACAACTTTTTGTACACCAATCACATTCATCACTAAAAATGAATCCTTTGGATGATACCTCTTTCTATCTGTTGAATCCTCTTTTTTGTGATATTTATAAAAACTTCTACGATGCAATTTTGAAATTATCAATTCTTTCAAATAATTTTAATAGTTATTTATCTGAAAAATCATCTTACTTCAACCAGTCAAATAACAATAATTCTCTTTGTTCGGATTTATTGGATTTATCTCAAATTTTAAATGTAGATATTGACATAAATTTTATCTTAAATGTCAATAATAATCTTTCAACCAACGAAATCGATACCAATAATGATATTGATAACAATAACGATAACGATAATGATATTGATAATGACAATCATATTGATGAAAATGACAATCATATTGATGAAAATGACAATGAAAATGAAAATGACAATGACAATGACAATGACAATGACAATAACAATAACAATAACTACAATAATGACATTAAATGTTATATCGATGCAAATAAAATCTTATACAACACTTTATCAACAAAAATTGAAATAGAATCCCCAAGATTTCTTCATCTCACAAATAACAATGATAATGAAAGCAAAATTCTTATCTTACAATTCGAAAAAATAGTGTCTGACTTATCAAACTCTTTAAACATTTTAAATGACTTAAAATTAAAAATTGATAAAAATTTAAATGATTTTATTATCAAAGATAACAACTCAAATACAAATACCACTGCAAATGCAAATGCAAATGCAAATTTTTCTAATAACATTTCTAATAACATCGAAATCTTTCATAACCAAACTAATAACAAAATATTTAATCAAAATATCAACCACTTATACTACAGCCTCCCTTTCAAAAATTATTTAGAATTTAATATCATTTATTTGCCCTTGAAATTATTTAAATCCCAAATCCTAGATTATTTTCTATATATAAGAGATAACATTTCAACCAATCATGAGTCATGGAAAATTGTCAATTTTAGATTATTATATCTAACAGTTTATAAAATTATCCTATTTTTTGAATACTCTTCAAATCTAATTAAAAAAATAACCCTTCAATCAAAATCAGATAATATAAATATCGATGTCATAAATAACATAAACAACATCAAAAATATCAACAATATTGGCAATACTAGATTCATAAAATTCCCAGACTTTAATTCTTTGATTAAACAATATATCATCGAATCCGAAATCCTTAAAACAAATTTGCTTCAAATTGAAACTATTTCAAATAATATTACCCAGAGACCTCCTTATAATTTAATGAACAATATTTATAGCCTGTGTCTAGCTGAAAGGAAAAAGAATTTATACAATAATAATGATAGTAACAACAATAACATCATTACAAAAATAGATTCAAATTTTAATATCAACAATCCTCTGATCAATACTCATAACTCAAATATTATAAAACAAAATGTCACCAATTATACTGATGATAAATACTATAATAACTTTTTTGGTGATTTTGTATCACAGTTCTACCAATTACAGCCAATTTTTGAGTTCATTATAAATATATTATTTAACTATCAAGTAAGATATCTTGAAAGAATTAAAAAAATTCTACTAAATTCCGGCCTATCTTTCGATAATAACGACAACATTATCTTAAATGAAAACGAAAATATCAATGAATTAAATAATGCTGATATTCAAAATTTATCAATAATTTTTTGCACAATATCTGGAAATTTTAAAAATTCTATCGCAATCTTAAGAGAAAACATGGTAAAAATTGAAGATTCTTATTATTATTCGGATTACCAAACAACAAATTACCAAAAATTCATGACTTTAAAAATCATCCCATTAGCTCTTCTAAGATCCTGGATTATCTTTGATAACTCATATAGATATATAATTTCAGTCTCTGATACTTTTGAAAAAATCTCAAATTCGTCTCCAGTTGATTGTAATAAACCAGTTTTATTACCTGCTTTAAACATTAATTATGATCTCCCTACTTTTGACAATTCTGATCAAATACCAATCTCTCAGTCAACTTTGCCATCAAATATATCAATTATTAATAATTTAGCAAAACTAATTCATGAGTTTTTTTATTCTTTGAATTTTATCACTCCTGGTGTAAGACATAAATTAAGTGAATTGTCATATGGAAAACTCGAATTTTTACATTGTTTATCATCTTTGTCACATAATATAAATGAAAAGAGAAACATTCCTAAAATTAAAGCATCCTTAGATGAAGTAAAAACAGATATAATAAGGGATTTCGATGATTTAGTAACCCTAATTGAAACTGAAGATAACATATCTGAACTATCCAACTTTTTAATTCTATATCCTAAATAGTAAAAATAATTATTAAAATTATTGGTAATTATTAAAATTATTAGTAATTATTAGTTTTGATAGTGCCAACTGCTGTTACAGTTTTTATGCAAATTTCATTACCTAAATTTCATGTTTTTTCTTTCTTTTTTTTTTTTGTTTTGTATTTTTATTGCTATTCTTAATAAGCAAATTTGATTTACATGTGTTGATAAACGCAAAATTTCTATTTAATTCTTTTGGTTATTCTTATTATTTTTTTATTTTCTTCATTCAAAAATTAGCTATTATGAGTATCTTAATAACTAATTTACCTTTTGTTTTTCATTTCTTTTTTCATTTCTATTTTTTTGCTTTATTTATTTTTTGCTCTCAAATTCCAAATAAGCAATCATGTTTATTTTCAAACTTTTTATTTAGATACTATTATTAATTATCCTTCTTATATTTTATAAACAAACTTTTATGATTTATCTTAATTAACTTTTTTTTCAACAATAGAATAAAAGACACTTCCATATTTGGCTAGCCATTCTGGTTCAACAACAGTGACAGTAGACATATACTCTTTTGATGTCAATACTAATTCATGATAAATCACAAAATTAGGCAAATCACCCAAGCCAAATAGTGCTGAAGTCGGATGTAAATACAACTCCAAGTTTGTTCTTAAATTAGTGTATTTACCAAAACTTTTAACTTTGCAAGCTTGATTAAAAAACCCTGAACAAATGCATTCTTTGACAATTTCCCAGTCTAATCCACATGAATGAATTTTTAGATTATTGGATTTCATAATATACTCTAATTGTTCTTTTATGTCTCTTGCTCTTCTTAAAGATTTCGAGTGCAAAAATTTTTTTGAGCACCATTGATTTGAATACTTGTTATACTTCCACTGATGGTAAACGTTTAATAAAGTCAAATGATCCGATTCAGGGATAAAAAATTTTTCTCGAATTAAATCTGACTCTTTCTCTGTTTCTTTTGGTCTGTAAAACACGTTTGGGACAGAAAGCATGGAGACAATTATTACCATTTCCTCAGAACAGCCAAATTCAGATGATAGTAATAAAATTTTAGATAAGGATGGTTCCATTGGGAACTTTGCCATTTGAGAGCCCAACTGAGTTAAATTCCCAAAATCATCTAATGCTTCAAGTGACCATAAATCGTACAAGGCAGAATTGATTGTTTCTTCAGGTGGAGGGTCCATGAAGGGAAATTTCAACAAGTCGCTGACGCCTAAGGATTTTAACAATAAAATTGTATTTGAAAGATTTGTTCTCTGAATCTCGGGGATTGTTTCTGTATACATTTCAACTTTTGAAGCTGATTCAGTATACAAGCGATAAGCAACACCAGGTTCAGTTCTACCAGCTCTACCACTTCTTTGATTTGCATTTGCAAGAGATATAGGGGCGATTTGTAGAGTATCCATACCCATCTTAGGGTTGTAAACTTTTATTTTGCAAAAGCCAGTGTCAACGACGTATTTGATACCATCAACAGTTAAAGAGGTTTCGGCGATATTTGTTGCAATGACACATTTTCTTATGTTGTTTTCTGATTTATTGAATATTTTTGCTTGTAAATCAGCGGGTAATTGGGAATATATGGGCAAGATATCTAATGGAGGGGGATCATCTAATTCCATTAACTTTTCTTTTAGAACGTCGCATGTAGTCTCTATATCTTCCTGACCAGTCATAAATACTAGAATATCACCAGGACCAGAGCCTAAATGAATGGTTAATATTTGTTTTATGGCCATTTCAACATAATCGACAGAAGCAGATTTGGCGTAAAGGACGTCAACAGGAAAGGTACGACCAGGAATTGTAAATTGAGGGCAGTTGCCAAAGAATTTGGAAAATTTTTCAGCATTCATTGTAGCTGAGGTAACAATTAATTTTAGGTCTCTTCTTCTTTTTAAGATTTGTTTGAACAAGCCCATTAATATATCAGTGTTTAATGCTCTTTCATGAGCTTCATCCATTATAATGCAAGAGTAATTGTCTAGATCTGGGTCTAATAGTGATTCTCTTAATAATATACCATCAGTCATGTATTTAATTTTTGTCAAATTGGAAGTGCAATCTTCAAAACGAATAGCAAAACCAACTTCATTTCCTAAAGTGACATTCATTTCTTCAGATACTCTTTTTGCTACAGACATTGCAGCGACTCTACGTGGTTGAGTACAGCCTATGATGCCTCTGGATGTGTAGCCGTAATCATTTAAGAATTGTGTTAGTTGAGTAGTTTTACCGGAGCCAGTTTCACCTACTATGACGACTATTTGGTTATCATTTATGACTTGTAGAAGCTTATCCTTTACGGTGAAGATTGGTAATGAAAGTCTTTGAGATAGGATTTTTTGATGGTGATTAGGAGAAGAAAATTTTGTTAGAGAGGATAGAAATTTATTATTGTTATTAATGTGCAATTGAGAATGAGAATGAGAGAGATTTGTGCTGTTTCTATTGTTTTCGTGATCTTGGATTCCAAGAACATTGCCTATATTTGTTCCAATGATTGTTGCATTGTCTTTATTTTGTCTTTGTTTTTCTCTCAAGGTTCTTCTTTCATTTACTAGGTAACTGCCTTTTTTACAAAAGATAGCTAGATCAGATACAGGGTCTTTGAAAATAGAGATATTGAAATTGAATTGGTTGAAGGATGTATTTAAATGAGTTGATTTGAGAAAGGCCGGAAGGTTGATATGGACTTTCAAGTCAATGAGAGTATCATCATTATCATCGAGATCATCAAAATTATTATTGATTGGAATTGATTTTTTGGGTGATGAGTATATACCACTATTAACGATTCTTGAGGTTTCCCAGAGGTTTTGTTCTTTGAATTTTTTATTTTTCAGGATATTTTTCGTCTGATTTATTTGATTCGCTTTAGATTTGTGGGAATTGATTCTTCGTTTCACGAGAGATTGTGGATTTATATTAGAATTCAGATAAAACTCAGTGTTGGCAGATGGATCAGCATCGTACCATTGACGATCAAACTGAATTGAATCATCGTTAGAGTCGTAGGAATCATTCATAGGATATATATTATCAGAAGCATCTCTGTTAGTTTCCAAATTTTTGAAAATATAGTTTGATTGGTTTTTGTTGCCCAGAGAACTGTTCTTATTTCGTAGATAAGCATACTTGTTCTGCAATTTCTGCTTCAATTCGTTGCACTTTTGTTGGTTGGCATCAGAAACAACAGCCGGTGGGAGTGAATCAGATCTGGCATCGTCTTTGCTTGTCAGCAGCAGCAGCAGCTTGTCGATGTTATTTGTTGTTGAAACAGAGAGGTTTTCGTCGTTGAACAAGTCCAATCTGATCCTCTTGGAGCCCCTCCTGCGCTGATCTGCCCTGCGCAGAAACAACTTCTTTGGCTTCCTGAACACAATCTTGGTGTGCTGGTTTTCAGACATGATCTCTGAAGGCGTTGAATCTTCTGCTGCTGCTCCTGCTCCTGCTTCTTCTGCTTACTGAACAGTAAAGAGTGCCCTTCCGCATTAGCACAAATATGCACGTAATAGATTACAGCGTGCCCTTTCAACTGAGATTCCGGGTAACCGCTGGCTCAACTGACTAAGAGCTTACCAATCTGCTGACAGAGCGCTGACTACTGCGGCTGAGTCAGAGATGAGCAATCCTGAGTAGTAAGCACTGATTAATCCTGCTGAGTCAGCTCTGAGTCAGACCCACGTGCACACACTCTTCCGCGCAGGTCCGCTCTGGCGGTTTAAATGCAAATCCAACGCCAAAACTAGTGCTTTTGTGTTTGGACCTGTTGTTTATTTCCTTCCAACGAGAAGCATCTTCTGCTGCCAGAGCCTCCCGACACTCCTCTGCCTCTGCTGCCTCTGCCGCCGCTGCTTCCCAGATCCTGTTTTCTATGCTCTGCTTCCTCTCCACTGTGCACTTTTAAGAGACGCTTGATATTCCACTGGCTTCTGTTTGCTTGCAACTTTATTTACTTGCTCTGCGATATTGGTTATTATCTGTTTTCTAACCGTAGCAAGACCAGTTTAGACAATAGAGTTTATTATGAGTTATGACTTCCGATGATTCTCACACAACCACTCACACAATTGATCCAGCTGCCTTCCACCATCTCTTCAACACACTCAACACTTCTGCTCCAACCAACACCTCCTCTGATCCTCCAAATGATACTACGACTCACATCTCCAATATCTTCAACCTCAGCAACCTCAATTACAGCTGCATAACGATAACTGACCACTTGCCTCCCGACCTCATCAGATCTCTATGGTTGATCCAAAATCTAAATTTGTCCTTTGAAAAAAGACAGTCTTTGTTGAACGATAAGCTCATCGAGTTCAAGTCTCTCATTGAATTCGAATCAAATTTGAATTTGTCCATCTTTAACCGAAACAGAAACAAACTCACCACCTCCTCTTCCTCCTCCTCCGGCAACAACACTAATAATAATATCCACATTTTTCATAAAAAGACAAAACTAATATGGGAAATTAAATCTTTAATAAATAATCTAAAACTCATAAACTACGAATCGCAAAAGGAATCAATTAAATTTAAATCTCTACTAACCTTTTCTTCAAACTACTTAAATAACTCAATCTATACTTTAATCAATCATTATTACTCAATCTTAAAACTATCTATATCTAAAAATTTATCTAATAAAAACTTGTCATCTAAAAATAAAAATCAACTTAAAAACACAAAAACCAATAAAATCATTAAAATCATCAACAACTTTAGTATCACTAACAAAAACAATTTTAAAAATAATTACACAAACGACTTATTATTCAATGATTATATAATTAATTCCAACACAAATGGCAATGATACCATTAATGACGACAACAACAATAAAGAAAAAACTCTCAATTTCAATTCTCACGATACGTTTTTCAAAGATTTACTCAAATCTTCAAATCAAAACTTATTCTCCTTTATTAATGACTTTAAGAATTTCAACATTCATCTGAACAACAATTTACTCAAAAAAAATGAAATCCTAAAAAAAACCTCTAAATCTCAAAAATTGCCAAAACTAAAAATTAAAATTCCTCCTCTGTCCTCCATTAACGACTCTCTTATAAATACTCCCACATCCATTCCAAACTCCCCTTCTATAAATATCACCAACCAATCTCAAGAATCCCCTAAATTGCCCACTATAACATCTCTTATATCAAATGATAAACAGCGACCAAGATTAACATTCAAATTACCAATTCCCAAATCTCTTTCCTCCCCTCTAAATTTCCCATCAAACAATATCATTAATAACAATAATGATGACAATATCGAAAATGATCTCATTTTTCAGAATCAAAACCAAACTTCACTTTTAAACGATAACTCCTCATCTCAAAGATCTCGAAGACCTCAAAGAAGTCTGAAAAAACAATATAACAAACAATTTATAGTACCGAGAATAGCTTCAAGATTAAGAAGTAATACGCTTCTCGATGACTCTAATATACAAGGTTTAACTAGATTAAGAAAAGAAAGAACAAAAAAACAATCAAATAATCATGACCATGATTATGATCATAATCATAATCATAATCACAATCTCAATCACAATCACAACTATATTCACTTTTCATTTTCTGAATCCCCACTTCTAAACGAATTCCCCGATAAAATTATAAATCAAGATCAACCTGTTAATAAAGAAAAAAATGACATTTATAATTCAAATGAAAAGGAAAAAAGCCCTCTTCCAACTCAAGAAATTGACCAGAAAACATTCAATATAATTGAAAATGAAAATGAAAAGCAAACTAATGGATATTTAAATACAAATCAAATAAACAATCAAACAAATAATCAAACAAATAATCAAATGAATGAACACCCAATTCAAAATAACATCTCTCAGGAAAATATACAAAATGAAACAATTCCAAAAAATTTGAATGCTAATCAAAAAGAAAAACCAAAAAGAAGAAAACAACACAGAAATAGTTTTCTTAACACTAATAACATAATACCTTTAAATGACTTCAATAACAGAAGAGCTTTTAGGTCTTCTTCGGTATTTACTCCAGTTGATAATAGAAATATTAGAAATGGAGTTAAAAAAAATGAAAATTTCCTCAAGTTTGACAAAAGAAAAAAATATACTGAACATGAATTAGTAAACGAAAAACAAATGGGAATGGGAATAGAAATGGAAATAGAAATAGATACTTTGGGAAGTAAAAAAGTTAAAAAAGAAAAATTAGAAAATAGTTTTAACCAGAAAGACGAATTTATTAGAAGACGATCCCAAAGAGTCTTTCTTTTGGATAAAATCAAAGAAGACCAGTTAAAAGAGAAGGAAATCAACACTAAAAATACAAATTCTAATAAAGAAAAACAAGAAAAAAAAGAAAATACCACCTTTAAAAATTCAAAAAATTCAAAAAAAACAAAAAAAAGCACAAAAGAACACAAAAATATAGACGTAAAAGAAGAGAGATATTGCTATTGCAACGATATTTCTTATGGTCCAATGATTGGATGTGACAATGATTCATGCAAATATGGATGGTTTCATTATCCATGTATTAATATGCTTCGAGCACCATCAGCTTTAAAAAAATGGTATTGTCCTACTTGCAAAGAGGAAATGGATAAAAAGGAAGAACAGAAAAAAAACAAAAAACAAATAATAAATAATAGTAAGATTGGAAAAAACTGGAAAAAGAAACCGGGGAACTTTCAGAGAGTGGTTAGAAACATAAAAAAACCACACACCGGCTGGGTGCATAAAAAGGTAACAAAAGTATTCAATTACACATTAAATGGGTTTAGAGTTGCTAAAGAAGACAAATCTATTTCGAACAATGTGGTAGGAAAAAAGAAACCAGGCCCCAGAAAACGTAGATCTTTGAGAGGATATGGAAGACTCTTAAAAGAATTGGAGCCTTACAACGTAGCCGGTGCTAAAGATGTGACACCAATTGAAGTTCAAAACGAAGTTGCAGAGAAACTTCACGAGGCTGAAGAGCTATTACAGCAGGATGTTGTTAATGAGGTCCTAGGCGAGTCTGCAGATAGCGAAATGTCTATTATGAAACCCAGGAAAGCCAGAAAGAAAAGGATTTTAAAAGAACTCGAAGCTTTTAATGCTGATGGAGAACAGGAAGCCAATGCATTTGGACTATCTCCTACATTTCCTATCAGAGAGCTCAGAAACCACAAATCAAAAGAGATGCTGGAGTTTCCTGACGAAACCAGTTTAATCAACACTTCAATTGGCGATGGAAATTATTCATTGAAACCAGTAAATGAAAAACATGGCAAACACAATAAGGAGGAAATTCCATTGAACATGGGAAAAAGAAAAAGAGAAGATGAGAATAGTTTATTTACAAGCAAGCGACGTCAATTGCGTTCTTCGTTTGTTCCAAGATCTTAGATATGGAAACATAATTAGTTTTTTTTTATTTTTTAGGGATTTGATTCAATTTTTGTTAGCTTGTTTAATTTTTGTACAATAGGAATGCCATTTTATAGAGCTGCGGATGAAATAAATCGATATGGGATGCTGGTGCTGGGTGATTCAGTGCACATTGTCAACAGCCGAGGATGTTTCTTTCCTGGTGTTTGTGCTACTTCTTTCGCCTCTTTCTCTTCTTCTTCTGCTGTTTGTGCTGCTTCTGCTCCCGGTGGCGTTACCCGGCCACAAAGTCCACATCCTTCTTATCGCGCCATTTCAGCACCAGAAGAAACCTCCATCGAAGAACAATGCCCAAAAAGACCAGAGAAAGCAGAGAAACAACAGCTTCTGCTGCCAAATCCACTCCAACAGCTGCCCCAGACTCCTCTGCCTCCCTCAGAAGGAAACCCAGATCCAAAGCCCCCACTGGCGTTGCGAAACACAAAGCTGCAAATGCCATTTTGGAGCATCCAACCAAAAAGAAATTCTCTTTAATCAACATTTGGATTGCTGGTGCTTGTTTGAAGATACTTCTTTTCACTGCCTACTATTCCACTGATTTTGATGTTCATCGCAATTGGCTAGCAATAACCCACAATCTACCCTTGAAAGACTGGTATTTGGAGCACACGTCGCAGTGGACTTTGGACTATCCCCCATTTTTTGCATATTTTGAATGGGCTTTATCTCAGTTTGTTCCCCAAATTGTTAAAGACGATGGTTGTTTGTCAATTGTGGAAGTTGGCAACTTTTCTGTTCCAACTGTTTATTTTCAAAGGTCGACTGTAATCGTCTCTGAAATCTTGTTGTTTTTAAGTCTACAATGGTACATTAAATCATCAGAATTGAAGGAAAAACAGAAAAGCTTTGTTGTGGCAAGTTCCATAGTTCTATCACCAGGTTTCTTGATGATAGACCATATTCATTTTCAATATAATGGCCTTTTATTTGGTCTACTAATTTGCTCCATTGTATCTGCAAAAAATCAAAAATTCTTGCAATGTGGTTTCTTCTTCGCTGTTTCTTTGTGTTTTAAACACATTTTCTTATATTTAGCTCCAGCTTTTTTCATTTTTCTACTTCGTTCATGTTTAAATATTGAAAATACTAAAAATTTGAAAGGTTTGAAAAAAAGAAAATGTTCTAATCTTGAATTATTGTTCAAACTAATAAACTGGAAAAGGCTCTTTGGCTTAGCTATAATTGTAATCTCTGTTTTCACAGTTTCTTTTGGTCCTTTTGTCTATTATGGTGTTACAAACAACTTATTTAGAAGATTATTTCCATTTTCAAGAGGTCTTACTCATGCCTATTGGGCACCAAACATCTGGGCAATTTACTCATTTATCGACAGGCTCTTAATCCAATTATGTTTAAATGTTCCAATTGCTCCAAAAATACTAAATAAACTAGGCTTTGCTGAATCTACCACATCGGCTCAATCAATCAAGTCTTTAATGCTAAACTCTTCATCAACTAAGGGTTTAGTACAAGATATAGAATTTGTCATATTGCCAAATGTCCCTCCAAGCTTAACCTTTTTCTTAACTATCTTCTACCAATTTTTTTCTTTCATTCCATTGTTTATAAAACCAACTTTCAACAGATTCATTGGTTGCTTAACATTGTGTGGCTATTCTTCCTTTTTATTCGGCTGGCATGTTCATGAAAAAGCAGTATTACTCATTATCATCCCCTACTCTTTTTTGGTCATTAAAGACAAAAGACTACTATTAACATTTGATCTACTAATATTTGCAGGCTATGTCTCATTGTTCCCTCTACTAATTAAATCCAATGAATGGGTCATAAAAGTACTTTATACTTATGTTTGGTTACTAATTTTTTATAAATCTTTCGATGAGATTTGTTCTTCAAGCTCCTCATTGATGACAAGAAGGGTCTTTTATTTAGATCGACTGATATTGATGTACATAATCGGTTTTATCCCCTTGGTTTTGATCTGCTCATTTCTAGACATCTTTGCAATTAAGATACCCATTATTAAAAAACTAGAATTTTTAAGATTGATGGCTTACAGCGTCTATTGTTCAGTTGGAATTGTCAGCAGTTGGTGTGCTTTGAATTGGTTGTACTTCCTTGATGAAAGTTTATGGAACTAAATAGCATTCCCAATAGATTTTTAAATAGCAATTCCCCCATTATATCTATACATGTATACCATAATCACCCAATCCAAATGCACACTCATTTTCGAGGAATACGAACAAAAGGTGAAGGCAAGGGATGCTTATTGGGATCATCATAATCATCTTCAGTGTAATTCACAAGACTCGCTAGAAGTACTGTCAGTAGAAGATTCACCAAAAAAAAAAAGCTCTAAAAACAAAACAAAACAAAACATACTTGTAGCCAACGACACCAACCTGGTGATGTCCACCCAGTTGTTTAACACATGTTCAACAGCTATCAAAACAATCTCCTGTTAGTAAATACAAGTTCCCCCAACCACAACAGCCCTTCTTCAGATACTTGCCTTCTGTTCCCTTTCCAATGTCCTCAAGCTGTCTCTCGATGGTCGACACTTTTGTCTCTAGTCGAGTTGCAACAGCTGCCATTTCACTGAACACTCTCTCTTCGAGCTCCTTCTCCTGAATAAGCTCATCGATTGAAACCCCATTTGAACTGTTCATTGTGTTCTGTTTCACTACTTCACTTCTTCTCTTCTTCTCCTTTTCCCTCTCTTTTGGTCTGGAAAAAAAGCGCCCAAAACGGAAATCGTAAACAAAACGAACATAAACACAAAACAGAACAATATTCTTCTTCTTCTTCAAACCAAAGGCAAAGTCAAATTGCTGCCAGAACTCCATCTTATTTTTCTTCATTTTTGTATCACAGGCTGGAGCGAGTCCTTTTCTGTTTATTGTTCCTTTCTATCTCTTTTTTGCCTTCTGTTCTTGCTAATGCCATGCTGCTATTATGGCCAACTTTTCGCCTAGTCACAACGATAATAGCATAAGCAGTAATAGTGATAACCATCAACATATAACTCTTGCTCGAAATAATAAAGAATTGGCCAAAAGAAACTCGTTGATGATGGCAAGGATAACAAATCTTGAAAACAAAATATCCGAATTGATTGCTGAGAATATGGAATTGAGAAAAAATATGATTGAAAAGGAATCTGAAAAGAAAAATTGGCTTGACGATAAATTGTCTACAATCGAAGAAGGTGTAAATGAAAAATTCATTGAAATCTTTAAAATATTCCAAAATATAAGGTCTATAGAAGGCTTGCCATCTTTGAATTTGTCGGCTTTCAATAACCTAAATGCTTTAAATCTAATAAATGCTTTTAGTCCATCCAATATTAGCGTCACCGAAAGAAAGAGAAAATCTTCAAGAAGAAAATCCATATATATACCAAGGAATACAGACAATGATTCAGATTTTGATCACACTATTGAAAAGATAAACGATACCACCTTTAAATCTCAAATTGACAAAAAAATTGAGAAAGAAGACATTGAAGATCAGAAAATTAATTCATCTCAATCTCAATCTCAAAATGAAAATGAAAATAAAAATAATAATCATTCTCAAATTTTACTCACAGATAATGACAACCAGGATAAAAATGAACGTTCACTTAAAACTCAATCCTCTATTTTATCTGTATCATTTAAAGAAGATACAATTACTAATAGTGAAATTAATCAAGACACTAAATCAAATAATGATGTGATTACAGTTGATAATACGTCTCATTTCAACTATACAACAAACATCAACAACTCAACGTTAACTAATATAATAACAATAAGCGATGATGAGGATGAATTTTCAAATGATAATGATAAGACAAATATCAATCATAATATAATAAATACCAATGATAGTTATCATAATAACGAAAATTTGAAAAAAAGTACCGAAATCAAAAACTTAGAAATAAATTCGATTATTGATAATGATAGTGATAATGATAGTGATGATGATAGTGATGATGATATCAATATTAATAACAATATTAATAACAATATATTAAAAACTAGAAATATAGTCGATTCACCAGTGAAAAATCAGTATTTTGATAACTTGCTTCTGAGTAAATATAAAAGCTCTGGGTTCCCTAAATTTTCTGTTTACGAAGAGAAATCAAGCCCGGATTCATCTACCTCTACTTTGGAAATTGTAGAAAATACTACAATTGGTATAAGTAATGATATTAAATACTGTAAGCCTGATAATAAAGAAAATAGAATGTTGTTCGGTTTAGATATAGAAGCAAATTCTACTTCAATTTCCGTTTCTAAAGAAATAGAAGAGAAAAAAAGTCAAAAAAGTCAAAATTCAAAAATCAATAATTCTTTTATTGACAAAAAAGGTATAAAACAATTGTCGATTAATAAACAAGAAAAAAAACCTGAAACTGATTTTAATAAAAATCCAGAAATTAATAATAATCAAAAATCAAAATCAAAATTAAATGCGGATTCAAAATCAAAATCAAAATCAAAAATCAAAATAAAATTTTCAAATCAAGACAATGATATCCTTATTAAAGATCAGAAAAAAAGCATGAGAGCAAAACAAAATCCTCCTTTAATAAGTTTGAATAATAATTCTCAAAGCAAACGAAATAAACAGTTCCAAGAAACCACTGATTTTTCTAGTCGGAGGAGAACTAGAGGAAAATCTATAAACTATACATTGCCTTCATTAAGAGCAAAAATGAGAAGACCCGATCCTCTCGAGAAAGACAATGGAAAAATTCAAGTGAAAAGAGAGAAAACCTCTAGAAAAAACTCAGAAGTAATAACACTAGTAGAGGATAGTGGTTTTCAAGAGGGAATAATATCGACTAGTTTACCCAAAAAAAGAAAAGCATTAACTGATCTTTCAAAAAATAAAAATGTTTCAAGGACAGAAATCAAAAAATCGAGCTCGATGGATATATTTGATTATACGGATGATGCTGAAAGATTAGCATTCCCAAGTAAAAAAATCAGGACAGTGTCAACAACTGGGCCAGAAATAAAAAGTAAAAAAAAAACAAGACGAAGCACTTTAATAATATAATTAATTTCTTTTCGGCTTTTCTAATAATGCAATCCATTTTATTCAATTCTCTTATATTATTTATTTAATTAATTTTCAGAGTATGTATTCTTTAATCTATAATATTCTCAATGATTTTCAAAAAAAATTCAGTTTGAAAAGTACTAAATATTTCATGCACAAACCCATAATAAACAATTTTTAAACACTCATGTTCATTGAAATTTTTGGGTAAGGGTTATAATCGACTATTTCAAAATCTTCAAACTTGAAATCATCAATATCATTCACTTTTCTTTTTATTATAAGTTTAGGAAAGGTTCTGGGCACTCTTTTCAATTGTTCGCGAATTGCATCAATATGGTCATTATAAACATGAGCATCACCCATTGTATGTGTAAAAGTTCCACAGTCCATATCACACACCATTGCTATTAATTTTGTTAATAAAGTGTATGACGCAATATTAAAAGGCACACCAAGTCCCATATCGCAAGATCTTTGGTAGAGTAGACAGTTCAATTTGGGTTTAGAACCCCCAGGAGGAAAATTAACATAAAATTGGCTGAAAACATGGCATGGTGGTAAAGCCATCTTTGGAAAATCTGGTGGATTCCAAGCAGACATTATAATTCTTCTATCATAAGGATTGTTTTTCAATTTCCATATCACATCAGCCAACTGGTCAACACCTTTACCACTGTAATCTGCGTCGCAATCGGTATATTCAGCACCAAAATGTCTCCATTGAAACCCATAAACAGGCCCAAGGTCCCCTTCTCTATTATTTTTAAGACCAATTTTATCAAGATACTCACGAGAACCATTTCCTTCCCAAATTTTTACTCCTTTTTCGGATAACTTTTTACCATCAGTGCATCCATTGATGAACCATAATAGTTCATGAATTATTCCTTTTAAAAACACTCTTTTTGTTGTTAATAGCGGGAAGTTGTCATTTGACAACTCAAAACGAAGCTGTAGAGGTGCAAACAATGATTTTGTTCCGGTTCCAGTTCTATCTGGTCTGATTTCGCCATTTTCAATAATATCCCGACAAAGATCAAGATAGGCTTGCTCTTCTCTATTACTTGGTTGAACGTCTTCTGCAGTCATCTTCAATTTTCTGGCTACAATAGTCTACAGCATTTTAGCTCTTGGATTGAATCAAAAACGCCAAATCCTTTTACATTGAAACAAAACGCGTAATTTTTATTTTTTTTGACGTGCATTAAAGCCAACGCGTGTTTACGCGTAATACTGCACTAACGCATATTACCAGCTCTGTGGTACTGAACTGAATCAGGTTTGGAGCAAAAAAGCTGAAGTGTTTAAAAAGTGGTAACGAAATTGCTGCTTCAGCAAGACCTTCTGTGTTATGCTGTGATAACAGTGAAACCGATGAGATGCCTGATTTAACTTCTCTTTTTTTCAATTGCATTAGGATATTTGACGAGGAAAATTTGAAAGAGCCTCTGGCGCTTAAAACAACTAGAGAAAACTCCATTTCTATTGAAAAGAGAAATTCCTATTTCATCATCAATGACGATTTTAACAAAGAGTGCACAGATTTGTCAAATAAATTGACTGATTTGACTTCATTAATAAGAGAATTGAGACCAAGCTACTTGCTATCCTCTAGATACCATGATAATGATTTCTTATCGTCTTATGGTGGAAACAACGACGAGAGCGACAGTGAAAATGACAGCCAAAATGAAGAAAAAGATATGACAGAAGCCCAGAAGGATGAATTTGATTCTGAATGCTTTATGATGATAAGGAATTACACATTTTTGCTAGCTCAAATTGAAAAATATGAAAAGATGAGGGCTGAAAAAAGAATCATTTCAATAAAGAAAACTAAAAAAATAGCAACCTCAAGCCAGTTACAAACGATTAACCTTGACCAGGAAAATTCTATATTTTCCAAACTAAAGTCAACAGTGGGTAATATAAGCAGTGTTGTAAATTCTGTTTCCAATAAAGATTCATTGGAATTGTTTACTGATGACATTTCAAAACATCGTTCCAAGATTTTATTATATCTAAAGGAAGAATTGGAATATTTATCCAGTACATTTCAGGAAATGCAAATGATAAGATTGAATAGAAAAAAGGACATAAGAATGAACGATCTAAGTAATATCACAATAAGTAACGCTTCAAACATACCTATTGACTCAAAAATTAAAGACAATAATAACAATAATAACTTTGATATACAAAACGATGCAAACACTGTTTCATTAGAGGAAGAATATGAAAAGAAAAAATTAATTAATGAAAATTACAAAACTTATGAAATGGCAATGCAAAAATTAACTTTACAACAAAAAAATGATCTTGCAAAGCAAAGCTCTTTTTTGTTGAAAAATAAGTCAGAAGAGCTCAGTAAAATTAAAAATTTGGAAAAATCTTTGATTAATATAGTGAACATATCAAAAGAAATATCGGTCAATCTAACTACTCAGTCTGAACAAATTGAAAACTTGATTGAAGTTCAAGAATTAAACGAATTAGATGTTTTGAAGGGAAATAAAAATTTGGCAAGTAGCAAGAAAAAAAGTAGAAGAAGTGCTAAAATTATCATTTGGACTTCCATCTTTTTAGGATGTTTTATTATAGTCTACGATTTTGTTATTTGGTGATAAATCAAAACAATTAGAAAGATTGTACAGAAACTACATAAATATCTTTTATTTAATAATTTATTTACGAAAAATTATTTTATGCTTTATAATATAGTCAATTTCAATTTAAATACATAAAAAGCCAGTAGTTTTTTAAAATAAGAACTTTTCAACTAAACCAACGCCAATAATATATCCATTTTGTATCAATACTAATCTTCCTAATTTATGGTTATCAGCAAACTTCATTAAAGATAATTCTCTATCTCCTTCCACTTTAACGGTAACCACTGCATTTTGGCCAGAAACTAAATGAAGAGAATTCTTTTTCTTTTGAGCTCCAGATATTTCTTTGATCTTTTCAATAGAAGCAGGAACTGAGGCTGATCCCCTAAATAACATAAATGGGGCACCAACTAATAAAGGCTTATTCTCAAGATTATATAATTTCAATTTCATTTTAAATTTTTTAACAGCAGAAACAGCCAAAGGTTTATTTTTCTGAACTCTGTTAATGCCTTTTTTGTCAATCTTAGTAATTAAATCACCGAACTTGATAATATCGGTTAGTGTTTGACTGCATAAAATCACTTTCAACTCCTTATGTTTAATCAGTAAAGTAATATTGTTATCGTTTTTAATAACAAACTCTTTTTCTTCAACTTTACTTGATCCATCTGGCTGAACAACCCAAGACTTGATTGAATTTACTCTTAAACAAAAGTTAGAAGGTTGAACTAATACACTTTCACCAATTTGAATACATCCGCTCATTACTTTACCAGTTAAGTTAATGTCATCGCCATGTTTGCTTGTATCGATATCGTTAATAGCGAAAGCAAATGCCTCCTTAGTTAAATCTAAAGAAACAAAACGATTGTTCAAAACTACAGCCTCATTTTCTAATGCTTCAACTAATGTAGGTTCTTTTTTGGGATACCACTTGAACAATGACCTGTTTGTAGATTTTTTAAAAACATTATCACCATTTAAACCACTTACAGGGATAAAAGTAATGTTTTGTTTTTCATAACCTGCTTTGTCAATGAAAAATTCAAGTAATTGATCCTTGATATCATTAAATCTGTGTTGATCAAAATCAATGGTGTCTAGTTTATTAATTGCCACAATTAACCTGGTAATTCCAAGATTTCTAGCTAAAACAGTATGATCTCTAGTTTGACCATCAAAAGTGAAACCACTTTCAAAAGCACCAGTTGAAGCATCAATCATTAAAACGGCGACATCTGCTTGTGAAGTACCATTAATCATATTTGGAATAAAATCTTTATGACCTGGAGCATCGATCATGATAAAATTAGTGTCCGCGGTTTGAAAATTTGAGGTCCCATAGTCAATGGTAACACCTCTTTTTCTTTCATCTGTATTTTGATCCATTATCCAGGCTAAGGCAAATGAGCCTTTACCAATAGCACTGCTCTCTTTTGTTAATCTATAAAGTAACTTTTGATCAACATATCCCATATCATATAATAGTCTTCCCATTAAAGTTGATTTTCCAGCATCAATATGACCGATAACAGCAAAGGTTAAAGTTTTCTTTAAATTTTCCAGTTTAATTATTTGAGATAAATCAAGCTTTTTGTAAGGTTTTGTTGTTTTAAATGATGTTTTAAGGTTAGTTGTAGGAGAAGTTATTACTGAATTTTTAAATCCCTTAATAACAATTTTTTCAGTTTGATTTTCAATTTGTTTTCCAATTTGATTTTCTTCGGAATTTGAAGATAATTGATTTTGATTTTGATTTTGAGAGGGGAAAATTGATTGCTTGTTCAAAGTGGTTGTCTTATTGGCTGTCTTTAAATTGGAGATTTTTGATACTTTTTGTGATTTTGCTTTTGAGTTTTTTTTATTTTCTAAAAATGAGATTTTGTTAGTATAATTTGGAATTGAGGATAAATCAATTGAGTTTAAATAGTTTGAATATTTAGTAAGAATTAAATTGAGATCCGGGTTTGATGTATGATTTTTGTTTTGAATTTGTTTCAAATTAAAAATTGAATTAACAGAGGTTTTTTTTAACAAATTTGAATAGCCATGTTTATTAATTTCGGTATTATCTTTATTATTATCTTTACTATTATCTTTACTATTATCTTTATTGTGATTTATGTTATAAAGAAGACTATTTGCATTATCGATTTTATTGAAATTTTGATTAAAATCAATATTTAAATTGAATACAACTTGAGGTTCGGAGCTTTGAAGATAGGAATTAAAATCTTTTAGATTCTTTAAATTATCAGGTTGTTTAAAGTTTTTAGTTATTTTATTATTTTTAATTATTTCGTGCTTTTTAATTGGAGAATCGTTTAATTCTTTCTGGTTTAGTTCAGTTTGCAATTTTTCATTGTTGGTTTTTTGAATAATACTTGGTGTTATAGTTGGTTTAGCAGCTGGTATTAAACTGTTTTTGTTTTTGTTTCTTGCTTGTCGCAAGGAGGCGAGCTTGGATATAGTTTTTTTAGGAGCAGGTTGATTAGACAGTATGTTGTTTTTGAGTGGACTAGTTTTTATTTGAGGGAAATCATTTGAATTATCATTAGTAGTATTGGTATTAGTATTAGCGTCTTTTAGAAAAGAAAGATTATCCAATATAGATATTGAATTCAAAGATTTTGTTGGTCTTCTTCTAGGAGTAAGAGGTGTGAGAGACCTAGTATTGAGTGGTTTGCGTATCGTGGGTCTATTTATTGCAGGTTTGATCATCGTTGTGTTATTAGTTAAGTCGATTTGTGGTGTTGCAGATGGTTGTTCTTCTGAAGATCTGTTTAAGGTATTTCTCATTAGATTATTCAAAGATCTATTCAATGAACTCTTCTTTCTTAGTTTAGATAATGAAGATAATTTTGAAGTGGTTGCTATTTTTATTGTTAGCAAACTTGTTAATAGTATTTTAAGAATAAAATGGTAGATTTAGAACGCGATTTCAACAATGAAAGAAAACAAAAGTTCAATTGATATTGAGGAATCTGTGTTCATATAAAAACAAACAGATGGATTTTATCGAATATGAGCAGGATTTTCTTTGCTGTTGGTGGTGATCCAATTTTGGACAAATTAAACAAACAATAAAAGTGGAAAAAAGATGAACATATACTTACTGCTTTGGGGGTCGATGGTAATCTGTCTGAATTTTGCTATGAGTTCGTCAGCAGCCTTGATAACATCTAGGTTGTGGAAGTAGAGGGACTCTTCGATGTCCTGGTCATTGTAGCCTTTGCAGTTTGTGAGCTTTCTCTTGACGAGAGGAACAAGCGACAAGAGCCTTACTTCTTCTTCCTCAGTGAGGTTGTTGGGGTCGTAGTAATCACCATCGTCTGAGTAGGTGTAGTCGCTCTCGTAGTCGTAGTTGATCTTCTTCACCATATCTGGGTTGTGTGTGGTTGTGTTGAATCGCAGCTAAAGAAGGAGAAGAAGAAGCAGAAGAAGAAGCAGAAGCAGAAGCAGAAGAGGCAAAATATTGATTACATAACCCAAAACCACTGCTTTGGTTCGACTTTTTTCTTCTCCTTCTTCTGCTTCTTCTTCTGCTTCTTCTCTGTGTTGTATTCTCTTTGCTGTGTTCTTTTTGCCTGTGCTATATTGTGTTATATCCCTCTGCTGTCTCATATCTTCAACATGTCCAAGTTCTTCTCCATCGACGAGCTCATTGCCTCAGACCAGTCTCTTTCCAGTGACGACTTCTACTCCTCCAGCACCTGTCTCTACAAGTCTATATCGATGGTGAAGCTCTTTCCTATCCCTCCTCCTGAGAACAATGAGTACAAGATTGCTCTGTGGAGCTTGGGGAACCCTCTATGGCAGGGCTTTGTCACCATCAACGAGGTGGAGGTCATGATCAACCCCAACAAGTACGATCAATGCCAACCATTGTTGAGTCCCAACCAGCTCTACAAGATGATGTTCAAATTCGAGAAAAATGGCTTTGTTTTCACTGAGTGCAGTTACATTTCTCAATTGGATTTCACATCAGTCAATCTCATAAACACAAGATTCAACAGGTTCTACGTGATAGTGTCCGAAGTAAAGAAGAAAAGAGTTGCTTTGGGTTTGAAATTTGACAATAGAGACGATCTCAATGAGTTCAATTCTGTGGTGTTGCAGTTCAAGAGAAGATTAAAGGCCTTTTCGGATGATTTAACTATAGATCCTATAATAGTAGAGCCTGATAGCAAAAAAGCAGAAAATGAGAATCCAGCCTCAGATCAAGATTCTTCTCCTGTTTCTTCTCCAAAAACTGATACAGATATGGATATGGAATATGATCAAAATAATCAAAATGCAGACCAAAATAAAGATAACAGTTATCTGCGTGGTTATGATCCGATAAATACTGATAAAACCAAGACCAATACTACAAATCACAACGATGACGACGATGACGACGACGACGACGACGATGATGATGATGATGATGATGATTTTGGTGATTTTGTGTCTGGTTTTGATAAAATCAAAATATCTTCCCAACATTTCCTTAAATAGTCCTGGATCTTCTTTTGGATTATCATTCATTACTGTTATTTATTACTCTGTTTATTCAATTACAATTTCTTTATAGAAGCTATCAATATAGATAAATAAAATAAACCATAAAATTAATTTTCCCAAGGAAAAAGCTACTTTATCACCAAACCTATTTCTTTTGCACAAATTACTCTTGACTGGCTATTGTTGCTTGGACTTTTTCATCAAAACTGCCATATTCAACACTTTCTGTAGTATCAACTGTATAGATAGGAGTGAAAACACTCTCTTCCTCCACAACCTTGTCTTCAAGTGCAATGCTACGAGTTATAAACTCTTCACCACCACTGCTCTCGCTCTTTGTATTACCTCCCTTAGGAACATCATATAACCCCAAAAATCCATCAGTAGCTTCTGCATTCCCACTATCGTAAAACACCACAACAGCTGCAGCAATAGCAAAGAAAAAAATAAAAAAATGCCCCATAAGATAAAGAGGATTGGGAATGCTGCCATCAGGAACATTGAAGTTATGAGGATGCTGATATGACCGGTGCTGGTGTTGTAAATTGTTTAAATCCAAACTTCTTAACACATCAACAGGAATTCTTATTTCCTTTGCATTCTCGCTGGTTTGTTCCTGGGTTTTTTCAGTTTCTTTTGTAATATCTTCCTTCGAAGGCTCAGAAGCAGGTCCTCCAATCTCTTTCTTGTTCTCTGTTTCACTCATTGTATAATGTCTGATATAATATAATATAATATAATATAGTACCTCTTTCTAGTTAATAAAAAGATAATGGAAAAGAACGAAAATTCAAATCAAAAGCGAGATTTGAGCTGTTTTAAATAAACTTTCTCCAGTTCCTCTTTTACCCCATTTTCCAAAAAAAATTGATGGAAGTCTGGAAGAAAATCAAAAAGGGAAGTTTGAAATTCAACGTTATTTTTGAACCTACAAATCCAGTCAATTTTAGTACCAGTTTATATTAACTTTTTTTTTAACGTGAAAAATATATATCAAAATAAACAAAAGAAAATTATAAAAACTAATTATTAAATAATCTGCATCTTATTCACTTTTTCTTTTATTTGCTTTCAGATACTCTAATATTATTCTGCTCACTTTCGTCCTTCCCCAAATTGTACCTCTCGTAAAAAGTCTCCCACATTTCAATACATTGTTTCTGGTTTTCTACCAAGCTTTCCAAATACATTTCGACAGAGTTTCGGAAATCCTCGATCTTTTCAACTTCAAACCTTTCCATCTCTTTCTTAATTGTACTTGAAATATCTTCAAACTTTATCTTCAAACTAGCCTTTTTATTTTCAACAATTGACAACTCATTTTTAAGATTATTGATCTTATCAATTTGATTTCGATGGCTCTTATAAAATTTATCTAATGTTAATTGTTTTTTATTGACTTCACTTTCAACATTTCCAACTAGTTGTAAAATTTTCACTCTTTGTTGGAATGCTTGTTTAATTGATCCAATTAATCGAACATACTCATCCAATACACTTCCTAAAGTCAACATGTCTTGCAAACAATTTCTTTCCAAAAGCTCTTTAATTCTTAACTCAATCTTTGAAAATTCTAAAATCAACTCGCTAGTTTTTTTATTAATTTCCAAATCCGATAAAATTGATAAAGTTATTGAAAACTCTTCTGTAACAGATGTCAACTCTTTCTTTTGTTGAATGACATTTTCTAATACTTTATAAAAGCATTTTAGATTATTATCCAAAGTCTCAATGTAAATCTTGATATCCTTAAAATATTCATCGGGTTCAACAATCTTTGGTTGGTTACTAAATGCCTTTTCAAGAGCTCCACCTAATCCGAATGCACCCATAAATCCACTACTTTTACTTGAGCTATTCCCATTTGTATTATTACTGTTACTACTTGAAGAATTGGAATCTATTGAATAGCTAACATCATCTGTCGCAGAAGATGCACCTGAGCCAGTCGCTCTTTCTCTTTCTTTTGAATCTTGACTAAATTTTTCACTTTGTAAAAACATTATAAAATCTTCATCATTTTGCAAAATGGAATTAAGAGAAATTTTTATTAACATTTTTTCCAATGATGATCTTCTATTTTCAACAAAATTTTCATTGAATCTACCCATTGCCTGTTTGGATGGTGGAGGAGGAATTATCATTCCTGGATGATTTGATTGTAATTGATGATAAACCCATCTAAAATCTCTATATCTCCTTGAAACAATGGTTTCATTATTCTGAAAATTCTTATTTTTATTTTTATTTAAATTATCAATAAAATTTTTAGAATCAGTTTTAGTTTTAACAGAATAAACGATGTGAGCATTAGTCAAATCTCCAACTTTTACTGGATCACCAACCAATATGTCATATTTATTCAAGGGAATTTCAGGTTTTTTATTCTTATCGAGATTAAGATTATTTAGGTCATCACTTTCATCACTTAGTGATGGGTTAGCCGAATTTATATCCAAATTTTTGAAATATGCTCCAATTTTAGAATTTATTGTGGTTATAGATGCCAAAGAATCAGGAACATCATGAGAATAACCCAAAATATCAGATGTTCTTGAGCTTATATCAAATAACGGAGCATCAATAGATTTTATCAAGAGTTGAGCAGGAGATTGATGTTTAATTATAGAATGAGTAACCTTTGGAGGTTCAGTATTAGCTAATCTCGCACTTAAAGGATCTGAATCTCTTCTTTTTATGCTATTACTATTACTATTGATATTGATATTGTTATCATTATTGTTATCATCACCGCTATCAATATAACTGTTAGCATGATTTTCATTGTTGTTTGATTCTACAAGTCCATCCAAGTTGGAAATGCTTTGACGACGATGACGACGAGGTCTTTTAGCCTTGTACATTTTAATCGGGGTATTAGTTGATTTTGACTGATTTACTAGTTCATTGTTGTCAAGTTTATCAATTACGTTACCATCAATTACTTGCTCGTTGGAATCATTAAATAAAGCATCATTTTTGTTTATTCTGGATGGTTGAAATTGAGGGTTGTTAGGTATCAAAGTGTCATTATTGCGAATATCATCAGTTAGTGAAAAAAATAAATCTTTTTTGTCATTTTCTTGATTATTATTCTCGTTTTCATTGAAATGACTACTGTTGTTATTGATGTTATCATTTGATACTGTGGAAGAATCAAGTAGTGGTACCTCCGATAAGTGAGTTTCAGACAACCTTTTGCCTAATGAAGTTGTGTCATTGAGATTGTCGTTACTAACATAAAGGTTTCCTCTATGATCATGATCAGAAAGAGGTTTATCGCTATGAATAATAGAATCGTGAGGACTTTTTTGTGAATCGACAGTGGACTGAGTATCAATCTGTTTCTTGGTGTCCATCTGAGAAAAAGGATTATCAGTTGGATCTACTGGATGATCATAGGGAGACGCAAAGGAATCATCGTCAAATATATTGGTGGATTCCCAATGGGAGGAGGTGAGATCTTCCATGTTCTGATAATTGATGCAAAATACAGAAGAAGCTAACAAGAAAGAAGAAGAAGAAGCAGAGAATGCAAAAGCAAAAGACTAAGATTCATTGATCAATTGATCCCAACATCTCTCTCCTTTTGAAATTCTTCCTTCATCAGAAGCGAAAACACTGCAATACAAGTTCCAACCAACACGTGATCTGATTGTGACCGAAATTGTGGTACAAATGGATTGTGTTTGTTTATGTGGAAAAGTTTGTGTGTATGTGTTTTGATGCAGAGCTGCATAAGCGCCACTATTGTGAAATGTTTTTACAGAAAAAACTTTCTAGCGTATAAAAAGAGAATAAATTAAAACAAATGGAGCATGGTTGATTTTGCTGATCAGCTTTCGATAAGGAGAGCTTGATAATTGACCACATCTGTGTTTCCCGATGCCTTTTGTGCAGCAGATATGATTGCCTTGACCATGCTGTTGAAATCTAGATCTTGCACAAGTTTGCCAAGTTCTTCATTTTCAACCAGTAGTTCTTTTTGCAAAACAGTTAGTTCTGGCTGCGAGAGATTTGAAGAGTATCTTTGAATGACCTGCTCTGTTGTCATATTTTGCATCAAATCATTAACATTTGGTAGAGGGATCAAATTGTCTTTGGTGAACAAGCCGTCCTTGAAACCAATGAATAGTGTAATGTATAAAACTGTTTTTTCAATTTCTCTTTTCATCAAATTCTCTGATGTGTTATTATTTTGAGTTATTTGTCTCCAATCATTGGATAAGATCGCTCTTTTCCAAATCAATTTAAAATTATTTTGTTTATCAGCATTAGTAGAGGAATTATTCAACTTTAAAGCCTTTGAAAAATTTAGCTTCATTCTATTAGATAAGATATCGACTAGAGTCAAACAATCGATTAATTCATTCGCATTTAATTTTTTCTGTTTTAAAATTCTAAAAATAGAAGACTTTAATAATTTGGTTAGTATAACGTAATTTTTCTTGTGCAAATTTGTTAATAGTTCTTTGGTTAACATATCAGTTTGAATTGAGTAATCCTTTTCATTTTCATTTTCATTTTCATTCTGTTTGATATTAGTTTCATTAGCATTTTGAATTTCTTGCAACTCAATATTGTTATTAGCATCTACAAATGTGATTAACTCTTTATAAAATTCTTGTTGAGTATTGATAAATTGCAAATTTTCTTCAATATTTAAAAATGAGTCATTTAATTCATTATTTCCTTCGGGTATTAAGCCTTGTTCAGTTGCAGCTAGCAATCCTAATTTTGAAATTGAAAATTGCAACTTTTTGTTACTGATTAAATCATCCGTATTATTTGCAACATTGAATAATGTTTTTGAAGCATTTAAATAATCTTCATCTAGAATATCTCTTATCCAAGATATTCTTCCAAGGTTGTTATTTTGCAAGTATTCTTTCAAGTAGATATTGTGTTCGGGAAAATCAATTAATAGTGATTGCAATTTATCAGTATAAACATAATAACTATATAGTGTTTTAGCAAATTCGTAGCCGAATTTTTTAAAGTAATAGTCATATTTCTGTTTAAGTTGATCTGAATTATTTGCCTTATCTCTTTCATCTTCTAGGATTTCAACTAGGGATTTTAAGTCTCTAAATTCTTCGGATAATTTTAATGCAATATCTTTAGCGCCGACTAGCACCAATGATTTGATCCATATACCGATGTTTCTTTCGTATTGGGATTGGTAAATTTCGATTTTTTCTTGAATTATTTTAGTCAATGGCTGTGAATTTAACCAAGACAATACTAGTGAGTATGAGAATAGGAGAACTTCACATAGTGATATTAAGTTGTTTGATATTTCTTTAAATTCGTTAATATTGTTAGTATCGTTAGTAAGATCATTAATGTTGATTATTGAGAATTCTTCGATATTTGTGTGAGTGACATTTTTGATGATGTCGAAATAAGCATGAAATAGTTGATTGATTGTTAATGAGATGTCATTTTGATACAACAAGGGTGTAAATTCTGAGGAGATGTCTTTGTTTAAGTTGAATAGGCTATATTTTATTTCAATTTCTGTGGCAATGATTCCTTCTTTGATGGCGCTGATGGCAATAAGAACAGCGGCTTTGATATAGTTTAAATTTTTTGAAGCAATTAAACGAGATATAATGGTGGTTAAAAGAGGTATGATTTTTTTGATATTAAAACAGAAGAATTGTTTTGACAAGGCGAATGTGTCTTCATTAGTTTGGATTGAGTTTTTGGACAAGATGTGATTGAAAGAGTCAATAAAGATGGAAGATAAATTGTTGTCTTTAGAAGTGAGGGCTTGTTCAAAAAAGGGCCATAAATTGAAAGCGGCAGATATTATTTGGATATCGGAGACTAGGGATAGCTTTGATTGGACGTTTATGTCGTCTAGAAAGTAGATGGAAACGTATTTGGCAAGAGATAGTAGTTTTGAGTGTCTTAGTTGGAGATGGTCAGTGATTGAAGTTAGATGAGGAGGTAGATAGATTGAAGAGGAGTTTAGGAGAGATTTTGAGACAGATAGAATTGCTTGTTGGATTTGGGAAGAATTGATTGATAGGCCATTTGGGACGTTGAATAGGATTGGGTTTTGTTTGTTGAAGCCGTAAAAGACAGCTTGTTCGATGTGGGAAATTAGAAAGGATAAGATGTTGAATTTTTCTTGATTTGGAATTGAATCTGGGTCTGAGTTGTTGAGAAGAGAATCTGGGGAGGTGTGTTGAGAGGAATTTTCGCTTGTGAAAAGTTTGTCATCAAATCTTTCAATTCTTAAGATTCCAGAGTCCTTTGAGATGATTAAGACGGATGGATTTTGAATAGGATGGTTATTTTTGCATTTTTGATCTTCATAACTGGAGCCGATGATTTGTATATTTGATTTGAAGAAGATGACGTCTTCCCATTTTCTTTTGTTTTTTAGGTTGTGGTTTAGTTCTGAGATGATGTCTGTTAGTACAATGGCGTTATCAAAGACGATAAAGGCGGTTGATTGAGGGGAGGGGATGTATAAGGAGGGAGTGTTGATGTAAGGAGTGTTGAAGCAACGTATCCTGAAAGCTGAGAAAACGCTGAATTCCTTTTCTTCTAGTTTGATTGTGAATAGGATGTAAGTTAGTTTGTTGTTTTCGGAAGTGTCATTATGTTTTAGAGCGGATAGGATTAAGAAGACGTCGAAGTTTTTGTTTTTTATGGGGCAGGAGTCTAGGATTTGAAGGTGAATGTTTAGATATAGATCTTTGATGTAGTTGAGGAGGATGGAGTAGATTGAGGAGCTGAATATTTTGAAAGATTGGTTGTTTCTCGAGCAATTCCAGATTGATAGGTTGCCGTTGGTGGATAGGAAGGATAGTTTGATTGAGCCATGGCCTAGGGACTTGATGGAATTTATGGATATGATGGAGTTTTGTTTTGAGTGGAAGAGGTTGTAGTTGTAGTAAAAGAAGTTTAGGTTTGAGTTGATTAGGTCGTAGCAGGATAGCTGTGGTTTTCCGGAAGAGTCCTTCAAGGATAGGAGGGAGATTCTGTTGAAGTTTGTTGCAATTACTATTCCAATGGGTTCGATGTTTTTTGCAAGGGAGACATATTCGTTTTTGTTTAGATTTAGGTTGATTGAGATATCATGGTTGTTTGAAAGTAGCTGTAGTTCGTTTGCGGAGGTGATCGAGGTGTAGTAGTTGATGAAACCGGAGGATGGGTTGATGAGTAGTAAGCCTGGATCAACACTTTCAGCGGGAGGAGCAATTAGCAAAGCAATTGGTAAGTGTTTTTTGTCGTCGTTGTTGTCGTTGTTGTTGTGGCTGTTTTGAATTGGTAGGATTATTGTGTATGGATCTGATTCAACAGAGGTGTAGTTCCATATGTAGACATTTTTAAAGGAGGATAGAGTAGCGAATTTTGTGGATTGATCAAAAGAGGCGGCTAGATTTGAATTGAGATTTTTGTTTTGTAAAATGGATGGGATGGCGTTTAATCTAGATACAGAGTAATTTGAGTTTTTTGTCAATTGAGTGGAGTTTGATAGTAGATTGTTTTCATCGGGTAAAGAATTTGAGAGTAGTTTTGTTTTGATTGCAGTTGAATTTTGAGAAGTTGAAGATCTTTGAGTTGACGAAGAAGCCTTGTTTATTGAAAACATTATTAAGTATAATTAAATATAATGAATGGATGAACGAATAGCTGTTAGAATATTGAATATTGAATATTGTAATAATATTCGTATTCAATTAGCTAGTTATTAATAACGATATTGAATATTGATGTTTTGATATTTGAAAAATCTTTCAAATATTTACCCGGCTTCACTCCACATCAGCCTTTTGATTACAAAAACGAAAATATCTATGGCTAGTTATTTGATCGTGATATTTGCGTGATATTGGCGTGATTTCGGTTTTGTTTTTCCCTTGAGATGTTTCCAAGAGGATGGATTTAGAAGGGTGCAGAAAACTGCCAGAGAATGGCCACGAAGATGGGTCTGGTAGAACACAGATGAAACAGGAAACTTAATGGAGCAGATAAATGGAAGCAGTCGCTTAACAGCTAATAAAAGAGACGAAACAAGAGGGAAGGTGAAATGAAGTGAGCAGAAATACAACGAGGGTGGTATGAACGATTGCTGCGAGCAAAGAAAGAGAAGAGAAGAGAAGAGAGGAGAGGTGTGGGTATTGTTGAAGAAAAAAACAAGAGAACAAGAAGAGAAGCGATCAAGTTGGCTGCTCAGACAAAGATTCGTATGAACACCAGGGAAAAGAAAGGATTTTCGGTTGATGGAGGTGAGCGCGACGAGAGAACGGAAGTGTACCAAAGGCAAGGGGGGAGGCAAAAGCAAACGAGTGGACAGAATGAAGTGGCAATGGGCAGCCGAGCACTTTGGAAGGGAATGGAAGGTGAAAACGGCACGAAAAACAGCAACGCGCAGACGCGAATAGAGTGTTGGCAACCGGTTTGAGACTCAGACCCGCCGTTGGGAGCGTTGACAGTGCGCGGTTGAGACCAGGCCGGTGGAAAGCCGAGCGGAAGGTGCAGCTTCTGTTTCGTTGTGTGTGTGTGCGGAGGGAAAGACGCGCAACACAAACACGCTTTTGCTCGGGCTGGCAGCAGCAGCAGCAGTGAAGGAAAGATGGGAAGCAGCGGCAGCAGCGGCAGCAGCGTGGCGTTTGGAGTCTGCGCGTCGAGGTGCGCGGTGCAAGCAGGAGCCTGGGGGAGAAACGACCACTGCAAAGCTGGCGCTGGCACACCCAGGGTTTGGAGCGGGTTCAGCGCTTAGCAGAAGGGACGAGGCCTGAAGAGGAGCGAAGAGGCCTGAGGAAAAGGAAGAGGAATTGACATATAAGCTACTCGAATCCTCTTTTTCCTTAACTCTTTTATATTTCAGAGCTCTTCCTGCTTTGTGTTTTCATCATCTTCTTTTGTTATACTTCTGTGTTTGCACTGCTTCCCAACAGCTGCTATCTTCCTTCTTCCTACTCTTCCTGCTCTTCATTTGCTTTCCTCATCCGTCTCCCACCAAACGCTCTAAAGCTCCAACCACTCCATTGCAACGTTCTGTTTCACCATCTCCTGCCTTTAAACTTTGATAGTTACAAGAAGTGATCAATTGGAACATTCCTCTGTCAGCTTTTGGCTCCAAGTTTATTCCAAATCTTCCTTTGACTCTCTCTCCATCCAATATCTATCTGAACTAAAATAAACTAAAATACTCTAAAATATATTAATTTAAAAATAAAAACGACTTTATTTTATCTGCTATCCCCAAACAACCTAGCCACCGAACCACCACCTACTTTACTCTCTTATATCTGATATTTGATCGTCGTTACCCATCATTATCCAAATATCGATCCCTTTTTTGTTTTATTCTCTTTGGCTCCCTATTACATCTCATTAATCAGTCCCAACTTATCTCGTTTCAATCCTTTCTCTTTCAATTCAATTCAACCTAATTTCATTTTTTGGTTTCTCAGTTTCATTTATTTTTTTTCTTCTTCCTTACTATCATTATCATCATTATCATCATCATTTCTATTTAATATAATTATTAATATCAATATCAATAATATATTCCTATTTCTATTTCCATCTCTGTTACAATTATTTGGTTCTTTAATCTTTAATCTTTAATCTTTGATCTAATACCATAATCATAATCGTTATCATAATCATAATCATATCATAATCACAATATTATCCTAACACCTTTTTATTTATTTTTTTAAATATTCTTACCAAATAACCAAAAAAATCTCTCGATAATCTCTTTATTCTTTAACTATTTACCTCAAATATTATCACATCATTCATCCTGTTATTATCTCACTACTCTCACTGCTCTATCACTTTATCACTTTATTTGATTAAATAAAAATCATTTATAATCTCTCTCTCTGTTACCCCATCTCATAATGAACTCAAGAAAAGCTACTAAAGACAAAATGAACATATCAAATCTAACCAATAAAGACGACAAACCCTCTAGTTTTTCCAGATCCCTAAAACAAATTCTTAACCCTTCCTCTCCAAAATTAATTTCAACAAAATTATTCTCAAAAGAAATTACAAGACACAATAGACTGTCCTCTCCTATAAAAAATTCCTTCAACTCTAACGACATCGATAATTCAAACAAACAAAACATCTCTAGATTTAACAGACTATCTCTACCTTCAACTCCTTCTCCCCCTCCTCCTCCTCCCCAAACTCCCTCCATTCCTTCCGCTAATCTCAAAGCTCAATTTGCTTCTCCTGACATTTCCTCCTCTTTTTTCTCCGTCCCTGCTTCGCCTGGCTTCATCTCCGGTTCAAAGAGAACAATATCTGGCTCCATCAAACTAAACAACGTCCCACAAACTCCACACCAATTCCCTCTCAACATTAACTCGGAAAACGAATTTGAAAACGAAAACGACGAACAATACGAAAATGCTCTAGACAACCTAGGCCTTTTAAAATCCCCCAAACAAGACTACGGCTCTTCTCAAGATATACTAAATTCTCCAGAAAAATTACAAGAAATCACCTCAATCCTAAAACACAACCTATCATCTGTCTACCTAAAACTTCAAAACAACAATGAAAACCAAAAATGGAAAATATCAAAACACCAGTCCCTACCAACTAACTTTCTGCAAAATAACAATTTCCAAAGTATCAATCTTTCAAATCAAAATAACACCACTACTATCACCAGCAACAGCAACAGCAACAGCAACAAGTCAAAACACAAACTAAATAGACACTCATACATTGACAAAACAAAACTCCTGAACCAGCGAAATATCTCCCCAATCGACGACAATGATCGTCCTTCAAGATCAAACCTACTCGCCGAATCTCCTTTAAGATCAACAAACTCTTCAAGGCACTCTTCCAGCTCAAGACGCTCAAATCTTAGCAGCAACCCTCATCGCCACGCCATATACGTCCCACAATCCGTAGAATTCAACTTGGCCTCTTTAGCAAACTCTCCCAGGCAATTCCAAAGCATAAACAACACTTCCAGTGATCTCATATACAACCATGCCGACGAATCCCATATCTTGTCCGCCGATGATGCCTTCTTAGCTGTCATCTCTAGATCCAAATTCGACAACAAAACTATCTTCAATACCAATACCAATACCAATATCAATACTAACACAATCACAGACAAGAACTCAAACACAATCACCGTTAACAATCATGACAACACTAACAATAACAATCCAAATAACGACAACATAATAGTCGAATCCCCAGACCAAGAAATAACACTTGAAAACACAAAGTCCACCTCAAATTCTCCACATAACAACACCATCCCTGCATACATCCTACCAAAAAAAGAAAACGATTTAGAAGAATCTTCTGCTGAAAAACAGGCAATCGAATCTCTTATGGCAATTTCAAATTCCCACAACTTAAACAACTTTCACAAAAGATCTCCTCCAAGAGGCTCCACTATCCACAGCTTATTGAACAGTGACCTGGATATTCCATCTAATAAATAACTTATCACATAACGATAATGAATAATGAATCTGCTCAATAAAGTTATTCAAAATTCCTCTTTAATCTAAATTCTAATTCTAATTCTAATTCTAATTCTAATTCTAATTTTACTGTTTTCATCTTAACGAGATTTTTTTTCCTTTTCTTTTTCTTTTTCTTTTTCTTCTGGGGGTTGATTTGTGGGTGTTTTTGTAAATATAATTGTGATTTGTGATGGTGCAATTGTTTCCAATTCAATGCTGATCTTTTCTCCTATTGTTTTCCGATTATTCACGCTCCTTTAATGTAAAACGTCATACCATTGTTGGTTTTTTTTAATCTTTTGTTTACTGTTAATTTTTTTCGTCTTGTTTTGTTTTTTATTTTCAATATTTACTTCTTTCACTAAAACTAGAGTTTTTTTCTAATTTTTCTTATTGTCTATGCCTTTTCTTTCTTTTCTTTCTCTTCTTCTTGTCTTCCTTTACTAATTGTACATTTCGAAACACAAATTTCTGTCTTGTTTCTGTAACTTTCATCTTTGTGATCAACATCAACTCGCTGCATCTCGTCGTCGATGTCCAAATCCACCCAAACTGCTTCCGTTTTGTGCTCTCAAACCTTATCCTCAATCTCTAATCAGCCTGTTTTGACTCATCTGCCACTTCTTTTTGACTCATTTGCTGCTTCTTTTTGCCTGTGGCTCGCCTTTCCACTGTTTTCCTTGGTCTGATATCGACTTATATATCGAGTAATGTCTCCACTGCAAAATGCAATTCAGCACTGAAAAATAGGCTTCTCAAACCAAAATGTCGCTTGCCAACACAGCCATAGCCGATTCAAAAATACATGCACAGGGCTACTCCCAACAGGACGCTGAAGACCCTCCTCCAGATGGTGGTTATGGCTGGGTCTGTGCGATATGCTCCATGTTTCTTCTCTTCTCAACATGGGGAGCCAACTCCTCCTATGGTGTAGTGCTTGAATACTATATCAAAAGTCACTACTACGCAAATGAAGCTACTCAATACGACTATGCCTTGATCGTCAGCATGGTCGGCTTTCTAGGCCAGTTTTTGGCACCAGTAGCCTTGATATGCACCGAAATGTTTGGTATCAGGAAAACAATCTTTTTCGGAGTCTTGGTCCAGACTCTTGGCTATATTCTAGCAAGCTTTTGCAATCACATTTGGCAATTGTATATCTGCCAGGGACTATTGCTCGGTATAGCCTTTGCCTTTATTTTTATTCCTCCAACGATGACTTTATCAAGTTGGTTTTTGCACAAAAGAGGTATGGCCACTGGAATCTCCTCTGCAGGCGCTGGTTTAGGAGGTATAGTTTTCTCGCTATCAATAGACTCAATCATAAAGGCAAGCGGTGATCATAAATGGGCTCTAAGATATCTTGGTTTATCGACATGTGTCATTTCTGTAATATGTGCACTGTTAATCCGATTCAGAAAACCCAAAGACATACCCAAATTCACCTTCAATGAATTGAACCAAAAAACAATAAAAATGTTCAACTGGAAAAAAATTAATCTACCAACAGTGTATATTGCTCTATGGTTTTCAACAATTATTATCGGTTACACTTTGCTTCTATTCACTCTTTCCTCTTATGCAACTTCCATTGGTCTAACAAGTTCTCAAGGTTCTATTTTGACTGCGATTTTAAATGCATCACAAACAGTTGGCAGACCATGCATGGGTCTATTAGCAGATTTCTTGGGAAGAATAAATACTTGCCTTTTACTAACAATTTCTAATTCTCTTATGATATTTGCTTTTTGGACAAATGCATCAAATTTCACTTCATTAATCATCTTTTCTTTAATTATTGGTCTAACAATAGGTATTGGAAGTGCTTTATCTCCAGCACTTTGCACTGATAATGTGGAAGCTGATCTTCAAAATTCCTCTTATTCTTTTATAAATATACTTGTTGGTATTAATAGTTTATTTCCAGCAGTTGTTGCCTTAAAATTAAAGGATCCCGATTTGTCTAACCCTTTTTTTAATACTCAGATATTTTGTGGTTGCACTTTTGCTGTAGGAGCAATATTCTTGATTATTTTTAGAGAATGGAAACTAAGAAAAATCATCACCATTAGATATGATTCTTTATTAAACAACAATTGCAATAAAAATGAAAAAAATAATTCTAGCAAAAAAATATTACTAGTCACTGACCAAGAAGAATTAGGAAAATGTGAAAGAATACTAAAACAAAATTTGGTATGTTATATCGTTAGAATTTTCCATCCTTTAAAAACTTAACTTTGATTGACCATTGTAGAGATTTCAATAAAAAAAATTAAAAATTACCGAAATAAAATAAATAGCTGAAAATTATTCATGTTTTTTTAGTTTTTGTTTTCCAATTTCACTATAAGTAGGAAATAAATTTTTGTATAAATTATCCTTATTTTTTGTAAAACCCGGAGGAATTATTGGTTTATTAATAACAATAGTTTTGTATTTGATTTTTCCAGCTAGTCCAAACTTTCCTGTCCATGTGGGCGTTCCAATTCTCGCTCTTCTTGCTAATCTTTTGGAATCTCTTAATGCAGAAATTGCCTGCTTGGCAAATTTAGTTGATTCCTCTTCAATTTTTATTTTTTCCTCTGTTTTACTAACATTAATTATTTCGTCATGTTTTAAAGATACTTCAACCCCAGAATTTTTTAATAAGCTGCTCAATAAACGATCTTCATCTTTCGATTTTTCCTCTTCTTCTTCAGTACTATCCTTTTTAAACATTTCTAATTTTGATACACCCGAAATTTGAGCTACCTGAGACATTGGTTCACTTTTAGTTTCATCGTTTTCTTCTTTGTTTTCCTGGTCATATAACCTATCAATCCCATTATTTTCATCCTCATCATATGTAAACAAATCACTTAATTCATTCATTTTGAAAAATCTTTTTTGGTTTGCATCTTTTAATATCTTATTAGATAAAAATTGTTTATAGATTTGTCTCTGATAAATCTTTTCTTCAATCGTTTTCGATGTCATCAACCTGTATATATTCACGTCATTTTTTTGACCTAATCTCCATGCTCTTTCTCTGGCCTGCGTATCTGTACTGGGATTCCAATCAGGATCATAAATGATAATTCTATCCGCCCCAGTCAAATTTACGCCTAAACCGCCAACTCTTGTAGTTAATAGAAAAACTGAATAAGATTTATCATTATTAAATGTATCAACTAGTGGTTGACGATTATTTATTGGAGTTAAACCATCCATTCGAAGATATTTGAATCCCTCTTTTTTTACGATTTGATTTTCTAAAATATCAAGCATTTGTCTTGTTTGACAAAATAGCAAGGCCTTATGATTTTGACTATTCCATAATTGTAATAAAGACTTTACCACTTGCATCTTTCCAGAGACATTGGCGCTTCCATAATTTTTGACATTTTCTCTTTGTGGTTTTGTTAATAATAAATCAGGATGGTTACAAATTTTTCTTAGAACATCGATGGCAGCAAATGTTTTTCGTTTTATCAAATCATTATTATTCACAACTTTAAAAATTTCCTTTGAGTTTAAATATTGAGTATATTTATCGTATTGATATTGTGTAAGTTTGCAAAATAATACCATTTCATTTTTCTTTGGTAAGTCCTTAGCAACATCAGACTTGAGTCTTCGTAATAAATATGGTGAAATAAGATTTTTGAGTGCAATAGCACATTTGATAGATGTTTGGACCTGCATATTTGTGGAGTTCGCATAACCTCCTAATTTAATCGGAGTTACAAATTCTTGTTCAAATACAGGCAAAGTACCTAATTTTCCAGGTAAAATAAAATCAAATAAAGACCAAAGCTCAACTAAATTATTTTGGATTGGAGTACCAGATAAAATAATTCTATTGTAAGTTCTAACTTTTTTACAAGTAATGGAAATATCAGCATTGGGATTTCTAATTTTGTGCCCTTCATCTAAAACACAATAACCCCATTTACGTGATAGCAAATCAGAATGAATTCTTAAACCAACATAAGTTGTTATGACAACATGTCCTCTTTTAAATATTTGATTAATAACATCTTTCATATTTTCTTGCTTTTTTAAAGCCAATAATTCCTTTTTAAGTTTTGTATCTTTTTCTTCAACCATTTCTAATAAATTTTCCAAGTCTTTCAATTTACTAGAAGAGGATTTCTTATTCGAATTGTTTAAAGCTGAACCCGAAAAATGAAGCATAATAACTCTAAATGGAGGCCACCATTTATGCAACTCATTAACCCATTGTTTCATAACAGTTGCAGGGCAGACTATTAATACAGGCTTTGTTAAAAGATTTGAATAATGTAAAGAAGATAAAAAGGCGATAATCTGGATTGTTTTTCCCAAACCCATTTCATCTCCAATAATACCACCAGATTTTTGATTGTATAACTCCCAAAGCCATTGAACACAAGTTTTCTGATAATCAAATAATGAAGAGTAAATAAAACCTGGAACGTTAAATTTTTCGTTTAGTATTGCATCGGGAGAAGACGCTGAAGGTTTAATAAATTGAGAAATATTATTATTAAAGGACTGAAAATCATAATCATCAATTGGTTGGTCTCTGGAGTTAAACCAAGTCTGTAATCGTTTTTTATAAAATATATCATCGCCATCATCAATATTACGAATTTGATCTTCAGTTAAATCTTGTGACCTTTCAGGTTTTTTTGACCTTTTAAAATTCTTTTTTCTAGATGAGGCTTTACGTTTAGAACCAACAAAAACCGAATCTTCTTCGTCATGCTCGTCACTTTCAAGTTCTTCTTCAGAATCTTTAGCGCCGAGTGAATCAGTCTCGAATTCAAACTCATTTTCTAAATATTCATTACCATCATCGGTATCGTCATCTTTTTCGCTTTTTTCTTTGGTTTCCTGTGTTTCCTCTAAATGTGATTTCAAATTATGCCCTATTGCCAATGTAAAGCCAGAGGTTGTTCCAAAGGCAGTTTTCTTTCCGGTTCTAATCAAGAAATCATTTTCAGATTCACCAGGTAATCTATTTTTTGAATAATCAACTTCTTGAACATCCAATTTCTTGTTTTGTGACTTGGATTTTAATTCAATTCTGCTTTTGATCTGGTTTAGTTCATTACTAGCTTCGTTATGGTTAAGTTTTTCTCTGGCCAAATCTTTTTTGAGTATTTCCTTCTGGGATATTCTTGTTCTGGAATTTGCTAGCCTGTCCTCTATTGTGTTAATCTTTGCGTTGATCCTGCTCAATTTCAAAATAGTCTTATCGAGTATTTTGTTATCGATTTCCAATTCTCTCTGCATTACAGCTTCATTAGCCTTGCTGTTCAAGCTGTTCTCCAACGTCTGTTGGGAGACCAAAGTCACGCCCAAGGACCCCAAACCCTCAGTAGCAGCTAGATCGTCACCGGTACCACTCATCCTGCTACCATCACTCTGCTAAGTGACTTCTGGACCAGACATGTCTGCATCTTCTTCTTCACCAGCAACTGAGGCAGATGAGATGGAGCAAAATCGCATAGAACCACGGCTGCGGTCCCTGAGCATCACACATGCATTTGCAGATAAACACGTCAACAAACGTCTGAAAACATCTGTCAGCAGATACTCACCTTATATGCTAAGTGCACCCTGGAAACGGCGTGAGTGTCCCCTAGAATAGAAATGACCTGTAGCTGAGACTCAGGGCGCGTGTTTTTTTGCTAAACAGCATTGTGCTTTAGTATTTTTTGTTTGTGTTTTTCCGCTTTGGGACAACAATTGACATTATGTATTGATTTACCATCTTTTATACTGTTTACTTATATTTGTTTATACTGACTGTAGTTGTTTTCAATTGACTTGAGTGGAAATATTTTTGGCATCATTTTTTCTTATCACCTTGTTTATGCTTTGCTATTCCTTATTTTTTGTTATTTTATCTTTTTTTGTTCTTCTGTCTGCCTTTTATAATTTTTCTTTATTCTTTTTGTTTCTCAATTGTTTGTATTAATGTCCAGCTCTAGTATCAGTTTAGAGAGTACTCCAACTCCAGCTCTCAAGCTTAAGACTTTTCCAAACGACCTTGGTTTCGATGATAAACCAGATAATAATTTCAATTCAAAGGGTCTGGATGATATTTGCCTTGAAAATGTCGACGATATTAACAATAGCTATTTTATGCAAAATGGGACTAGTAATCTTGATCATGAAATGCAAAATGAAAATTCTGTCAGAAAACTTCCTCTGATTCAAGATCTTAATTCATCGCCTTGTTCTTTTAATACAAGTATGAATAACATGAAAATAGTATCTTCTTCAACTTCTTCAACTTCTTCAAAATCTTCAAAGTCTTCAATTCAAAAAAAGAAAACATTGAAAACTAGTAACAGTCATAACGCTTTAAAATCTGTCAATAAAAAACTATGTAGAAAAAGTATGGTCAATGATAAACAAATGTCAAGGATTTCCAGCCAGCTAGATTCTGCTTTACAACAGCTTTATTCTGCTTATGATGAAATTGGTTACTTGAATGAAGAAAAATTCGAAAAAGAAAAGGATTTATATGATCAATTATCTAAGACAATATTAAAAAATGTTCAATTGTTCAACGATCAGAAAAATTTGTTAAAGAATAATTGCTTTATTTTACAACAAAACATCTTTAAAATTATTAAAATTCTATCGAAGCTGGGTTTGAATTTAAAACCTAGAAATTTCACTGATAGCATCAATAATCCAAATGAGAATCCAAATAATAATCCAAAGAATAATCCAAATAACAATTCAAATAATGATTCAAATAATAATTTTGACTCAACTCAAAACAAAAATCAATTACAATCAAACTCACAATCTCAAGATCAAGCCCAACCTCAAACCCAAACCCAATACCATAACCAATCTAATACCACAACCTCAAGTTCAACTTCTTCTAATAATCTTTTAAATACACTTAAATCTCCCTTTCAAAATGAAATAATATCTATCGACGACATTCTATCTGATATAAGTGAAGTCAACAGTATTCTTCAAATAATTCCTAATTATAATTCCTTGAAAACCTTTATATTAAATGAAATTTCTTCTCCTTATCTTAGCACAGAAAAAAAATTAATTTTTTCCTTAAAACTATTATCAAAAGAATATTTTACAAGAATTTTATCCTTTCTTAACAAATCATTAATCTTACATCAATCATCTCATGAAATCGATTACTATCTATCTTCTTCAAATGGCTCAAATTTCGATTCAGATACAATCCAATTCATCCAAAAATTGCCAAATTTAAATGAATGCAAAAATTGTATATATGAATTGGAAAAAATTAATATTGATAATGATGATTTGATATTAAAAATTTCAGTAAATTTGTTAAATTCAAATAATTTTAACAACTTATCTGATTGGATCTTTGAAAAAATCGACAATGAAATCGATTTAATTAATTCTGTCAAACTAGAAAAAATTAGAGAAATTAATTACTTATCAAATGAAATACTAAAATACTGGGAAATTTTATATGATTTTAGCTCCTTCTCTCCTCAAAGAGATATAAGAGCAAAAAATATTTCTCAAAAATTTAAATATAATAGAATCGGTGAATTTAATGGTGAATTAGATAAAAGAATTATTTTGTGCGCTAAAAATCCAAACAATTCTTTTTCGATGCTTGGTTTAAACCACAGTTCAATTAAATATTTGAAAAATATTCTTAAAAAATTAATCATCGAAAAATCCAATGCAGAAATAAAATTAAATGATTATCTTGCTTCATGTGAAAAATTATGGAAACAAGTATTCGAAGATGAAAATTATATTAAAACCTTTAAATCAAACTACCTTTATTTAAATAATTCAAATGATAAATCCCAATTCAAATTAACAACTACCACACTTAAAGCATTTAACGAAGAACAAGAAAGATTAATCTTGAAAAAAAAAAATTTAATAAAAGACTTGATTTTAAATTTCAGAAGTAAAATAATCAAAATCTGGGATCAACTACATTACACTAAGGAGGAAAGATTGGAGCAATTTAGTTTAATTGATAATACAACTGAGTATAATGATAAAACTCTAGACTTGTATGAAGCCCAATATGAAAAATTAAACAAAACTCTAGGGTATTTTAAACCAATTCTCGACTTAATTCAAAATTTAACCAAAATAATTGAAGATAAAAAAGCTTTAGAAGAATCACAACAAAACTCTTCCCGATTATTAAAGAGAAATTACTCTAAAATTTTACTCGAAGAAGAGAAAATGAGAAGAAATATTAATAAAAACTTGCCCAAAGTAATTTATGAATTAAAATCTAGACTAATTGATTATAAGAATCAAAACCATCAAAAAGACTTTTTATTCGATGGCATCAATTACTTAAATAAAGTTTTGGAAATTGAAGATGGTCTAAAAATTAAATCTGTTGTTAAATCAAATTTTTCTAAGAAAAACATTAGCACTAGCATAAACCAACTCAAACCAGTGATATCTCAACCTTCTTCAACAAGAAAAGTTCCAAACTCATCAGGTAGAAGACCAAAAAATATTGCTATATTTAACTCGTCAACGATCAAATTATCATCGATAAGAAATAACAAGACAAGATTGGTGCACTCTAATAAAAGAAACAGTAACGTCAAAAATGCATCACCATTAAGAAACACCGTGAAAAACTTTTCTGCAAACATTTCACCAATTAAAGTTCAAAATGACAGTTCAAAAAGAAATTCCAAAATACAAACAATACAAACAATACAAACAATAAAGGCTAGTTCACCAATCTCAACACCAAGAAAAGCTTTAAGTGTCTTGCAGCATAACACTTATGATTGTAATAAAGCATTGTTTTCAAGTCCAGATAAATTGAATAAAACTCCAACGAGTTTGAAAACCATAGACATTTTTGTTGATAAACCAAAAGTTACTCCAACAAGTCAAAGATTTTATTCTCGGTCAGCTGAAAATGATAATGATAATAAAGAAAACTTTGAGCCAGATGACATATATTTCAATAATCAAATTTCAGATTCAAACTCAAGTTCAAAATCCAAAAGCAAAGACAGGAGGTTGTCTGCCATTGATATGATAAATGAATCAATTATAGAAGATGAGCAAAGTTTTATTACCTGGCAGAATAATAAACTAGATCATTTAAATAAAAAAACAACTTCGAATTCTGGTGACGGCAATATATTATGCAATTAAGTAATCTAATAATTAATTGGCTATTTTATTTTTAAGAAAAGTTTTAGATTTTTTTTTAAGTTCTTTCATGTTATTTTTAAAATATTTTTGTATCATAAGATTTAAAAGAAAAAAAAATATAATTCAAAAGTTTTATGTTTTTTCAATATCATGTCTTTCATTTTAATTTTTTTTTAACTTTATTTCATATCACTGTTTTAACAAATTCATACTTATTATATATTTTGTTCATAATTATTTTTTATTTAAACTTTATATTCTTTTTCTTTCATTTCTCACTTTCCAGTTTTTATTTTTCATGTTTCATTGTTCATGTCTAATTACAAGATATAAAAATATTAATTTTTAATGAATAGAGATACCCAAATTTTTAATAAATGAAATATTATTAAAAAGCTAAATATAATAATGAATCCTATAAAACATAACTAAAGGAAAAGAAAATCAAAGAACACAGATAAAATGGAAAACAAAGCTATTTAAAAAAGGAAAAAGAAAAATTGCAATAAAATCATCATGAATGCGCAAACAATGTATTAATAAAAACAAAAAAAAACAAAAAAAAATAAAAACAAAAAAAAATAAAAACAAAAAAAAAATAAAAAAACAAAAAAAACTACCATTTTTTAGCAACCATTCCAGAAGGAGGATCAACAGGGAAGGATTTTTTTGAAACTTCTTCCCAGTTAGTTGAAAGAGCAGTACCACCACTTTCAACATAACTTTTCATCATTGCCCTTCTTGTTTCGTCAGATGCATCTTTGAAAATAGTCTTGAAAAAACTCATTTCATCTTCTTGGTCTTTTTCATCAACACCAATATCTATATTTGCCCAATCGGTTTTGGATTTTGAGGAACTTGGGTATTTCATTGCCTGAGGAATGTTATGAATCGAGTCTTTGGAAGAACCATCCTTATCGGTGTGTTCAGTTTGATCATCTTCGCTGTCTACTTGTTCTAATGTAGACCATTTTGAATCATCAACGGCAGTTAAAAATAATTCCAATTTTGAGCCGAAAAGTTTGTAGGAAGATTCTTTAGGAATAATTTTCTTTGAAAGATCAATTGAGTAATAAAATTGTTTTTCTGATTTAGAATCTTTAAAAGAAAACTCTACACAAGATTCAGAAAAGGTGACTTCTAAAGTTTCCTTTGGAATAAATTTAATAAAAACTGAAGCATCAATTAAAGTTCCATTTTGGAAAAAATCAGTTCTAAAAGTTTTTGGATAAGTTATTTCTCTAGAAATAGGAGCTTTAATAGGTTTAGAGACTTTTGGAGGCGCAGAAATAACTTGAATGTTTTGTTTTCTTGCGGGAGCTGGTTTTAAAGTTGAAGCTTCAGAATCAGTAATTGGTTCAATTTTGGGGATATTGTTTTTTGGAGTGTTGTTTTTGTCATTCGAGCTAAAAATTGAAGAATCTTCAGAAGCAACGTTTGAAATGTTAGAAGTAGATGAAACAGCAGGAGCATTTGGGCTTTGTGGATTTGATGGATTTAATTCTTTAGAGATAGAAGCCTCAGAAACAGAAGCATTAGAAGCTTCACTGACTTTATAAGATTTGGGAACAGGAAGAAGGATCTTGTGATTTAAATAATCCAACTTGGTCAGATCTTCATTTAAATCTAACAGCTCGAAGTCAATATCTAATTGGACTAATTTGTTGGAAGATTTCTTGATCCAAATACCCAAAGTTGCTTGGTCTGGATAGTCGTAAGATTGTGCAAAAGTAAAATACTTGAGAGAGTTTAAATATTGATTTGAGAGGAAAAAGAGAACTCCTAATTTGAAATATGACTGGGCAATCAATTTTCTTTGAGACCTTTTTTTGGCAATTTCAAGAGACTTGAAAGCATAGTTCAAGGCTACCTGAAATTTTCGTAATCTTTGGTAACTCAAAGAGATTTCGATGATTGCATTGTAGTGAGATGGTGATTCTTGGAGCATTGGATAAAGAACGTCAATGGCTTCAGCGAACTGGCTTGTTTGGTTCAAATGAGCAGCAGTTTTCAAGGAAGACATGGTGGGTGATAACAGAAATCAATTGAAGCAGCAGATATGAATGTAAGATTGGGGAAACGTAGCAGCAAGAACTGGATGATGAAGGTAAAGGAGAAGAAGAAGGAGAGGAAGAAGGAGAAGAAATAGGTGCTTATATACAGTTCCTGCTGAGAAAAGCAAGACTACCTTCGTCCCACGCCACTGGTTTTCACAAAAAATTTGCTGAAATTTTTTTGTGAAACGCAAAACTTTTTTCATTGGGGTTTGAGAATCTTGTGTAAGGACTGTTTTTTTAGATCAGATTTGAGCAGAGAAGTTGTTTTTGTTGAGCAATGGACGAGAAGAATCAGAAGAATCAGAATGAAACTGCTGTGGTTGGGAACACAACGGGAGAGGTGCACCCTCCATCAGAAACACAAGGTCAGTCAGAGCCAGAAATACCATCAATTAATTCGTTGGTTCTAGATGCTGGGCCATTGATCACACAGAACATTGGCTCATTCAAACAGTATGCTCAAAACATTTTCACCACTCCAGCGGTTTTCAATGAAGTAAAGGATGAAAATGCAAGAAGGAACTTGGAATTGCACAAAGATTTGATTAAAATTAGACAGCCTAAACCAGAATTTGTCAAAAAAGTCTTAAACTTTTCCAAATTAACAGGGGATTACAACGTTTTGAGTATCAACGATATTCATATCATTGCACTAACATATGAATTGGAAGTCGAATTGAATAAAGGGGACTGGAGATTAAGACAGTATCCTGGAGAGGTGAAAAATAGACCTGTCAAGAAAAGTGTGGATAGTAAAAAGAAAGATGATATTGAAGACAATAAAAACCAACAAAACAATGACATCAATAAAAATGAAATTGAGAATAAAAAAGATATAAATGAAAGTGAAATTGAGAATAAAAAAGATATAAAAGAAAATGAAAGTATAAAAAAAGAAAATAAAAATCAAACTAAGTTTGATATCAATGATGAAAAGAAAGATGAAAAGAAAGATGGTAAGAAAAATGAAGAGAAAGAAGGTATAAAATTGACTGATTCAGTGGAAAAAACCAAACGTAGACGAGGTGGCAGAAAACACAGAGAAAAAGAAGCTATGTTAAAAGACGGATTTCAAATTCAGTTTCAAAAATCTTCAAAAAATAGTCAAAAAATTGGTAATTTCAAAAAGAATAACATCAAAAAATCTCAAAAAGTTGAAAGCACTCTCGAAATAAATTCTGGAGTGAATTCCAGTCAAGATCAAGCTAAAAAACTGAAAACCACTCAGGATGAAATTCCTACGAAAACTATAGCTGATATTAAAATCAATGATCGGTCAAGTGAGAAAGATAAAGATCAAGAAAACAAAAAAGATACTACTACCGAGGATGAACATGATAGTGATGATGAAGGTGAGTGGATTACATCCGAATCCATTCAACAAGAAATTATAAAAGAACAAGAAGGCGAAATACTTTTTAGGAATAGAAATAAAAAAGTAATTGCAAAAAAAGTCGCTGTAAAAGCTGCATTAGCATCGGGAGATTTTGCAGTTCAAAATGTCGCATTACAAATCAATTTGAATTTAATGAATTCTATGAATGGGTTAAAGATAAATAGAGTTAGAAATTATATGTTGAGATGTCATGGTTGTTTTTACTTAATACCTTATAATCAAGAAAAAAAGGTTAATCATAAACTACAATTCTGTCCCAGATGTGGTGGTGCAACAATATTAAGATGTTTAGTATCGGTTGATTCCTCTACTGGAAAGGTAACACCTCTTTTGAAAAAAAATTTTGAATGGCATAAAAGAGGTAATAAATATTCAATGTCTTCTCCCTTATCCAAAAACCATCTCAAGAAATATGGAAAAAGTGGGTTTCAGCATAACAAGGTGAATAGAAAGTATGAAGTACCTTTATTGAGAGAAGATCAAAAAGAGTATCAACAAGCGATAAAGGACGAGGACTGGTCAAAAAGACAAAATATCAAAATGCTTGAGCAATGGATTGGAGGATCAGACATAAATCCATTTGCAATTGATAACAGCTTGCGATACCACGACCAGCACAGTGGGGGTGTCAGAGTTAATAGAGGCAGATACGCAAATGCCTCCAGAAGAAGAAAATAGCCCATCTGCAAAGCAAAATAAATGTATAGATTAGTGTGTAATATTATAATCCATTGGAGTAACAAACGCATTTGATATAAGCTGCATGTCTATGCATGTTATTTTATGTTAATGCTTGTTCAGGTTTAGTGCCGCATGATTTCATTGTCACATGAATTACATGTGATTTATTTCCTCTTTGGGAATTTCTGATATAATCGTCCCAGAGTGTAAATCTGGAGGTTTCTATCTGAAAGCGACCATCCATCAGTATCTTTATTCATGATTGCTCTACGCAATGTCTTCAGATACGTCTATAGTCATTGGCTGCTTGTTGGAAACTTCGATTAACGATCTTGCTAAAGACAAGCCAACGTTTTTCAAGGCCAGGCTTCACTTTAAACTTTCATCGATCATTAAAAGCTACTCGAAATTCCTCAAAATCAATCAGAAGTTTTTAACTTTTTATCACAATGGCAAAGAACTCAATAAAAACAAAACAATGTCTTTTTACAACTTTCAAAACAATACTACTCTTCATGTGAAGCTATTGGATTCATTGACTAGCATCAAGTTTATTATTAATACCAATGAGATTGATACCATAAATAGTACTCAATTGATACGGGAATTTTCTTTTTACAATAATTCATTGACTAAATTTAGTGATATAATTCACGATTTTATGAGTGATATATCTTTTCAAAAAGTTTATCAGCTAAACTCTTCTGCTTATCAATTTTCTCACAAATCCAAAGATATTTTTCAAGTTATTGAACGTAATCAATATGACAGTTCTCTAAGGGCTTTTGGTTTAAATGAGAATCCAACAATATATATTAAAACAGAAAAGAATTTGATCTTACAATTATTAGCTTCATTAAATAAAATACCCTTGTCTAAACTTTATAAAACATTAGATATTCCATTTGATCCACATAATCTAAGCCAGAAAAAAAACACTAATAATAACAGTAATGATAATAACAATAAAAATCACAATAAGGAAAATACTGAGCTTATAAATCAAAAAAATAAAGAAATTGAAAAATTATCTAAAGAAAGGGATAAATTAAATTTAAAAGTTGACGATTTAAATTTAAAATTATCACTCGACGAAAAAACTGTTTCTCAAAATATTGAAATTGCTGAAAATTTTGAAAATTTTAAATCTCTTTTGGATTCTCAAATTGATGAACATAATTTAAATATTGATGAGAAATATGTTTCTGCTTTAAACTATTTTAATCCAGGTGATAGCGCAAAGCTGGATTTGTTAACTTTAAGAAAATTAAAGTCGATATTATTTTATTACCAAAATATTTTAAAAACTAAGTCAACTGAAATAGAAAGGCTTTCAACAGATGTTGAATTTTACAACAAAAAGCTTGAATTTAAAGAAAAAAAAGTAACCAGTTTGAATGAAAGTTTGAAAAAATTAGAAAAAATTAAACAAGAGTCAATAAAAAATGATTTGTCAGTGAAAGACTATCAGAAATTTTTAATCTTATTGACTGAAATGATTGATAAAACTTTGAAATCAATTAAATCAAGCCCAAAACTTTTATTAATTTTTAATGAATATGATTTTAATTCAATTTTAAGTGAAAACACCTCCAAACTATCATTGCAAACACGTAAAAATACTCAAAAAATTAAATCAAACGATGAACAATTAGAAGTTTGTTTTACAAATTTATTTATAATTTTAGATTTTTATGATAAAATTGTATCTGACTCCACAAATAAGTTGATAATTTCTAATGAAGCAAATATTCAACTTGAAAATCGATTAAAGACATCTATATCAGAAAATAATAAATTGCAAACTGAGATTCAAACACTTACAAATTTTAAAAAACACAGTACAGAACAACAAGAAAAACAAAAAAATGAATTGGAAGAATTAAAATCAAAATTAAAAAATTTAAGTGCTAAAAATATTGAACTTGGTAAAGAAAACAATAATCGAAAAACCGAACTTTTAAATTTACAAAATGTCAGTTCAATTAAAGATAGCTTATTGAATAATGTTTTGACAAAATTTGATACTAAAATTCCTGATGATAAATCTTTAATGGATAAAAGTTTATTTCAAAAAATAGAAAAAGAGATTTTTGAGAAAATTAATTTGCAATTCGAGAAAGTTGTTGACAGATACAGTTCCAAACTCTCTTTGTTAGAAAAAGAAAATACAAGCTCAAAGGATAAGTATGATAAACTTAGTAAAGAGTATGATTCTAATCTTGAATTATATGAACAGATAATGAAACAGAACGAGTCTTTAAATGAAAAGATTAATATTTTAGAAAAAGAAAAAATTGAAAGAGAACGTTTATCTTCATCAAATATAGTTGAAGATAATAAACAAGATATGGAGAGACTAAAAGAGTTGTCTGAATGGTTTCATAAAGGTGGAATTTTGTTTGATGAATTAAATCATAATGATACTTCCACACAGCAATTATCAATACCTATAAAGAACTCTACAAGTGAACCATTAGAAGAACCAAAATCCAAAAGACAGAAAATTGGTAATGGCTTGAATAATAGTGGTAATTTGTTGGATACTAATAGTACCATGATTGAAGGCAATCCAACAAATCCTTATCTTAATATAACAGTTAAATTTGTTTCAAGAAATGATCAAGCAGAAATTCCAACGTCCACATTTAAGATTAGATATAAAACCAAATTAGTTAAATTAATGAAAGCTTTTAAGACACGTATAGAAAAATCTGTAGATTATAAAGCAGCTAATATAAGCGTGAAGAATTTGAAGTTTGAAATTAATAATGTTAGAAACTTAGATTATAATTTATCAATTGATTCTTTTGGATTAAAGGACGGGTGTGAAATATTATCAATGGATTCATAAACAGAGAGAAGGATAAATGATTATATTTTTTGTTTTTTTGCTTGATATTATTATTTTATTGTTATTTTGTTATAATATATATATTCTGCGAGTTTAATTTACATAACCTCGCTGAGGTTTACGGGCATTTCTTCAATTTCAGTGGAATAATAGTTTTCTATATCATGAAGAGATTTAATTTCATCGTCAGTTACAAAATTGATTGCAACACCTTTTCTTCCAAATCTTCCAGATCTACCAATTCTATGAATATAGCTATCTCTATCATAAGGTAAATCATAGTTTATGACTAAAGATACTTGTTGAACATCTATGCCTCTTGCCCAAACATCGGTTGAAATTAGGACTCTTGAATGACCCAATCTAAACTCATTCATTATGTGATCTCTTTCATCCTGCTTCATATCTCCATGCATTGATACGACGGTAAAATTTGATTTTTTCATTTGATCAGCAAGCCAATCGACTTTTTTTTTAGAGTTGCAAAATATAATAGCCTGAGTTATTGTTAATGAATCGTATAAATCGCATAAAGTATCGAATTTCCAATCTTCTTTTTCAACAGAAATATAATACTGTTTAATTCCTTCGAGAGTAATTTCATCCCTTTTGACTAAGATTCTGACAGGATCAGACATGAATTTTGAAGTCATTTCAAGAACATCATGGGGTAAAGTAGCACTTAAAACCACCACTTGAGTTCCTGGAGGTAAAAAGCGGTAAATATCATAAATTTGTTCTTTAAAACCCTTTGATAATAGTTCATCAGCTTCATCAAGGATCAAAATTTTAATATGCCTTGTATTTAAATTTCTTCTTTTGATCATATCAGCGACTCTGCCAGGAGTTCCACTTACCACATGTTGACCCTTTTGTAATTGTTTTATATCAGAGCCTAAACTTGTTCCACCAATGCAAGCATGGACATTGCAGTTCATGCAATTGCCCAAAGATTTGATGACATTTTGAATTTGAACAGCTAACTCTCTTGTTGGAGACAAGACTAAAGCCTGGGGGTCTTTTAGTTTTGTTTCTATTACTTCTAATATACCAATTGTGAAAGTGGCAGTTTTACCAGTACCAGATTGGGCCTGTGCAATAGTGTCTCTGCCAGATATAATTTGTAAGATGGCTCTTGATTGGATTGCAGAGGGTGCTTCGAAGCCATATCCATATATACCTCTTAGCAAGTCATCTTTAAGGTTCATCTCTTCAACTGTTGTGGAAATAATAAAGAGTTAGTTCATAGAAGCATTTCGAGAACTAATTGGAAATTAAAAATGAAAATAAAATTATTACTGATTTTTTTAAACTTACATGTCGAGACTCTATTTAAAACAGAGGTTAGTATGTCAATTAACAAAACAAAACAAAACAAAGGAAAAACAAAAGGAAAAAATAAGCTGTTTGACAACATCTGAGTACTTACACCGAGACATTTTTGGTGGTTGTGAATTCTAACTGATTATCAGCATCTTTGTCAAAATCCATTGTTAAACTTTGATAAGAAAGAAGATGATGCAGTGATGTAAAATTTTATGCTTATTGTTGAAAAATAAATTCTGACTAACAGTTGAGTCAGCAGATTCACGTGACTGTTGTGGTAAGAAAAAATTGGCAGCACTCAAATGTATCCCGGACCGGAGAGCAAATAAAGTTGAGAAATAAAAAGTGCGTACACACAGAGTTTTTGCAAACGCGCATATGTTTCAGCGTGTATGCATGTGCTCCAGCTGTTTGTGCGCGTGTATATGTTTTATTGCGTTATGCGTTAGGCATTGAGCCTGCAGCGTTGTGAGCATTGTCATCTCACCGGATCGGATGAGATGCGCGCAGTGAAACACCTCTGAATTTGCGAAAAGCAGATTCCACTTAACAGAGAGCCAGACAGAAGTATCCACTCAGGATGGTTTGGCAAGCGTGGAAGTGTCTGAAAAGCGTGAAAAGCAGAAGAAGCACGGGAAGCACCAAAGAAAAGAGAATGATGGCTGCATTTCCCAGGAGATTGTTGGCACTAGTGATGGAGACGAATCTGCGTCACAGAGCCCCAGAGAGCAACACAGAGTTGGTTTGAGGCTTCTGTCAACAGTTTGAGAATACCAAACCCACAATGTTTGTTGAACAAACTTAATGTATGTTTAATGTTGCCGTATCTGAGCGGCGAGAACAGTGGTGATAATTCAACGTGGAACCTCCAAGGAATTTGTTTTATTTTGTCTTTGAAAGGATAGTTTTGTTGAAAGATATTATTCAATGTTATCCCTTTGGTCTCAATTCTGGTGTTGTCGTTGGTGTTGCTGTTATTTTTTTGGTGTGGTGATCACACAGGAAAGATAACCGTCATTAGAGGCTAATTGTGTCGTCAGCTTACTGACTTTATTGAACCTGTTTGAATTATTAATAGGTGCTTTAAAATTAGCTGATTATCGGAGCATTACAACCAAAAATTCGAGAATCATTGCAAAATAATTGATGCAAAAGAATAACATCTATGCTAAGCAACAGGTGAACAAATACGAAAACAAGAAGAGATCATTTTGATAAAAATGTTGATCAAATGGTTTAGAATTTATTTAAAACAATTAAAATATGTTGATAAAGAAAACCTTCAAAAGCTAATAACTTTTTTTTTATTTCTTCTCTTGAATTTATTTTTCAATTCAGTTTTAAATAATAAAAATTTTTTAATAAACAGGTTTCTCTTTATTTTCTTTCTTTTTTCTCTAAGTTTTTTTTTGTCCTGTATTTGAAAGTTTTCAAACAAAAAATAAAAAATAAAAACTAAAATGAAAAAAGTTTTTTCTCTCTGAATTACAAACCCAATTCTAAAACCCAATTTTAAAGACCAATACATATCTTTATCTTTTGAGATGATACTAATCTCTAATTGTAGCGAATTAGTGGAATAATCACATACTAAAAGCTGCTAGAGAAATGCTAAAGAAAAATCAAAATTTGCAGCACAATAGATAGAGTAAATCGTACACATTTAATTAATAAATAAAAAAAACAAGAGAAAAATAACTCATTTTCCCAGTTCCTTTTTCCATATTTAACGTTAATTTTAAGTATTGTTAAATACTGTGAGTTAGTGGTATTTCATTGAATTTCATATTGATATTATTTCTTTTTTAACCTATTTCATACTAAATCCATTATATGTTTGAAAATTGTAATATTAAAAAAGGAAAAAAAAATTATACAATATTATTTCAGACACCAATAATATTATTTTAAAAAGGAAAAATTATTGTTCGTTTTCGATTAAAATATAATTATATTGTATTAATGAAATATTAGTGAAATGTTGATGAAATTTTGATGAAATCAATGAAAATTCACTAAAATTTTTAGTAATGAAAATATTATTTTCATCAAACAGATTTGGTTATAATAATCTTATTATTATCAAAGTAACAGAATTTGAAAAAACACAACCTTTATCATTCTTCAAAACTTTTAGCAAAAAAATGATCTTTCACATTTCCCCAATCATTGATTTGCATGAAAACCTTTTTCAAACCCAATAAAAAGTAATCAAGAACAGTTAAAGATAAAGAACATTTCACAAAATTTTAAACTTTCTCCCACCATCTCCAAATCAAATATCCGTAAAAAGATCATAATGATGGGTACTAACATCCAGAGAAATGACCTTGATACACTCGACTTCTTCCTGTTCTCTAATTGCTTCCTCTTAGTTCTGTTGTTGCTCTTCCATTACTCTCTCCCATTACTCTCTCCCATTACTCTCTCCCATTATATTGTTGCTTCTCTTCAAAAACATCTTTTTCTTCAAAAGGATTCGAAAACACAAAAAATAACCACCCTTTTAAAAACCAGAGCAATGGCGCAGTTCCTCGACGTTCAAATACCCGTGGTATTGCAACCTTACATCCTGCACATGTGTGCTGCGCATAACAACAGGAAGATGTTTGTGGGAACTTTTTCAGGGCGGCCCTCCAGAAACGGTACTCTTGTCTATTTCAACCCCAGCGTGGAAATCAGCACAGAACCTCACATAAAAAATAAACAGTGAAGTGTTGTTGATAGAAGCGAGAAATGGAAGTGGAAATGAAATCAATGGCCCACGAGAAGCAGGAATGGGAGCAATTTCTGGTTGGGAAGAAGATGGCTGTGGGGCCTCTCTGGCCTCAGAAACAGCATTCTGGCTACTGTGCAGGTCTGGAACTGAGAGTTTCAGTGGATGATATTTACATTCCTCAATTCTGGCCAGAAACCTAAAGCCGAAAAGTATAATAGGATGTTGGGCAGAACATACAATGGATATACAATAAACATAAAATAAACATACAATAAACATACAATAAACATTACAATAGACATTACAATAGGAAGTGCTAGGAGGTTGAGATGCACCGGAGCTGAGTATTTCGTCTGAGACAGTTTCTGTTTCTCGACCTTAATCCCTCCCCTGGCTTATTGGCTCTTGCGCAACTTCCCAATGGATATTAAGTGCTGGAACTGGGTCGAGAGAACCAGTGTTCAGTGGTATTTGGTGGATCGATTTATTGAATACTGGAAGCTATGTGTTGGACTGAAATGCATTGTTTGCTCTTTTGAATTGAATCAAAAATAAAAAAGGGATTTTGATCGAATGTGTTTGAAAAACCAACTGATACTTTTCTCACTTGAGACAATAATAGCAATCTGGACTTCAAACAAGAAACCCAAGATCAGACTATACTCAAAATCAAAGTCAAAGTCAAAAAAAAAACAACCATTAAAATTAAAAACAAAAGAAAGAAAATATAAAAAAATGATATAAAAAATTATAAAATTATAGAAGAAACGATAAACTATTCAAAAAAATTAATTATTTTATAATATACTGTAAATAAATCATAACTTGAAATTATAACTAATTATTTGTTGAAATGTGAATTAATTTCCTTCTTTTAGTTTGGAATCATTGAGGACAAAAACAGGTGGGCTAAAAATAATAAAACTGAGTAAAATGAGAAAATAGACAAAATTGATTAAATTTAGACTGCAAAAATAAAAAAAAATGAAATGATTAAGGAAATAGTGTTACTTATTTATAATATACGACAACAATGAATATAGGTAATTGATTAATTTTAATAGTACTGATTGTAAACCATATTAACGTGTGAAAAATGATTTGAATCAAAACCGATTAATGGAACATTTTGATGATTATTCAATGGTTGTCCATTTTGAAATGTCAAACTTGTTAATCTGATTGTATCTTTAATCTCTTTTTTTTTCTTCATTTCCAAAATTGCTGTTTCACGTCCTTTCTTTTTACAAATCTTAGCAAAAAACAATCCACAAGCATTGCATAATGTTCTTGAACCATTTGGTCCTCTTCTCCATTCTGGTGTATTTTCAGCAGCACAACATTGACATTTCAATTTAGGTTTTCCATTGGTGGAATTGTTCAAATTAGCTGTTGCAAGAAATTGTTGTTGTTGTTGCTGCTGTTGTTGTTGCTGCTGTTGCTGTTGTTGTTGTAACTGTTGTTGTTGTTCACTATTCAAGTGTTGTTGAACTGAAGATTCGGTAATATAAAAGGTATTATTTACATTTAAGTTTGTATTTTGCAAAGGGGGAGAAGATCGAATATTTGACGAGGAATAAGATGAGGAGGAAGAAGTTGGAGAAGGTTGTAATGGATATAAGTTTGTAGAAAAATCTTGTTGGTATTGATAGTTAGTTAATTGAGGTTGAATTTGTAAGTTTGTTGGATTTTGAGGTAAATTATATTGGTTCAAAGGTTGAGTTGGTTGATTTAAAGGTTGGGCTGGCTGGTTTGATTGTTGTTGTTGTTGTTGTTGAAACAGCTGAGAATCATAGTTATAAGGTATTTGGTTTGAATAAATCATTGGATTTGGTTGTTGTTGTATATTATTTGAATTATTGGAGTTTGGATTATACATTGAAATTGAATTGTTCCTTGATAAATTTAATGGATTTACAGTTTGATTTAAAGAATTCAAATTATGAGGATTATTAGGATTATAAATAATAGTGTGGTTATTAATCCTTGGAGTTGTTGGAAGACTATCAGAAGCTCTTAAACCAATTTGATTAATTGAAGGGAGACTAATGGTATAGATTTAAAAAATAAAGGGGTTAGTAAATATAATAAATAAATAAAAATAAGAAATAATGGTAAAATAATAATAAAAAAAATGAAATAAAAAAAAAAAAAAAATGGGTTGAAAATCATTTTTTTATATATGATTATGAAAATTGATAAATACTCTTTAAGATTGAAATCAAGATGCTCATTAGTTTTTCAGTAAATAAAAATGAAAGTTTTAGTTAAGAAAAGACCAAATTGTTTGAAATCAAAAGTTATGGGTATGTAAATTTATTATTTTTGTTAACTTTGAGATTTAATTTGAATTTAAAATAGCAAATTAAAAATTTTAAAAATTTTAAAACTTTCAAAAATTTCAAAACTAAAAAGATTTATCTTAATTTTTTATTATATTTTAATACTTTTTGATATTTTTTGTTAATTTTGATAATTTTGTTTAATTTTCATAAAATTATAATTTGGAATTTGGTATAATGTAAAAAATTAAAAGTAAAAGAATTTAAGAGTCTAAGAACTTAAGAGTCTAAGTGTAAGAATCTAAGAATCTGAGATTAGATTAAATAAAACATACCGTACGCTTTGATTTTGAGACGAATTTGAATTTGTAAACATTTATAAATAATAATAGTGATAAATAATATTAATAAGGATAATAAAAATTAATAATGATAATGATAATGATAATAAAAATTAAAAAATTAAAAAATTAAAAAATTAAAAAATTAAACTATTATGGATAAAATAAAATTAGTAATAATTAAACTTTAAGTAAGATTTTGAATAAAATTTGGTTGATGATCTTCAAAGAAAAATTTCAGATAATTGGTTAATTGGTCAAGAAAGACTTTGGAATTGGATTGGATAATGAAATGATTAGTAATTTGGAGTGAGTATTAATAAATAGAATTTGTTTTCAAAAAAAAAACCAAAATAAATTAGCTGTAAATCTATTAGATTATTAGGTTCTAAAAATAATAAGAGATTAAATGGTTGAGAAATCGAGATAGTGTGATATAATGATAATACGAGAATTTAAGTGTGAGCATTAAAATAGTATAAATAAATAGAAAAAAGATGAAATATAGATTATAGATTGTAGAATATAATGAATTATGGCTAGGAACTGGATAAAGTGAGTTAGAAAGAAAAAAAAAAAAGAAAGAAGAAAGAAAAATGGAAAATAGATTGGCTTTTATAATAAAATTTGGGATGAAATAAAAAGAAGAGAATAAAAAGGAAGATAAAATGATTAAATTAAATTGCATTACATTGATTTAACTTAACGGTTTATCAATTTATTAATTTATTATTTAACTATTTAATAAGCTTGATTGAAAAATTAATTAATTCTAACCAAGGAAAAAGAATGGGGATTAGTTTTTTATTAATTTAATTTTATTTTTTTTCAAAATTATTACAAGTAATTCTAATAAATTCCCATTAATTCTGGTTGATTTAGTTTTAAATTGAATGGAAAACTAATTTTTATTGTAAGTTTCACGAAGAAAAATAATAAAATTAGAAATAACTCAGTTGGTGAAGAAGAAATCAATTGGAATTTCAAAACTGGATTAAAATACAAACAAAATAAAATTAAATTGACCAAATTATTAAACAGAAGCTGGGAAAATAAGGGAATTTCCAAAAATTTCCAAAATTAGTAAAACATACGCACAATGATGCACAGAAGTAGACTTCTGAGTGCACACATACACGCATTACGCATACCAAGTACATATTCTTATACAATAGTGCAGGGAAAATGAGCAGTTGCTTAGTCAACAGCAAGGTGCTGCGGATGAAACCCGGTACACGAAATTTTACTTGTGTAAACCGTAAAATAGTTGAGTCGGCCAATCACAAGCAGACATTTTCTGGAAAGAGAGTCGGGATTATGAAGAGAGTGAAAAAAAGAAAAAAATAGCAACCAATTTGAAACTGGAGAGAACCAGCTCGCTTAGGCAATATAAAAATAAACAGAACAAGAGTCCGAGTAGAGAACAGTTTCAAAATGAGCAAACTTCTCCAGAAGATCATAAGAAGAAACATAGAAGAATGAGAATCTGAGATGGGTGATTCTTCTACTGGTGGCAGTGGGTGTGGTTTTTGCTGGAAGCTGAAACCATCAGACGTAAAACCTGTCAGGAGTTCATTCTGAGGCGCATGTGTGCATGTGGTGAACAGCGGTACAGTGTTCTCAGTACTCATAGGAAAGAAATTTTTGAAACTGGAGAGATTCAGGGCCATCAAAGGAAAACAATAGAATGATTAGAATTTTCTCCTAAATATTCAGGCTAGCCTTGACGATGCTTTGGCTGTTAATGGCAGACAGAACCAATAAAGAGCCATTAATTCAACATAAGTGAGCAGATCTAAAACAAAAAAAACCAGTTCTTAAATGAGTTAATTTTGATTTAAATAATATTCAAGTAAATATTGAAGCGAAAGAGTGGAATAAGAACATAGAAGGGAAACCAAGATGCTTTCCATCTCGAGACTCGATCCCTATTGTCATCAACTTGGGACTTAACCAAACTTCAAAACTCTAAACAAGGATTATCAAAAATTATGCTGCGTGTATCTGCATTTGCAAACACTTCAAGTGTGTTCTTGCTGCAATTTGAGTTTGCTATTTGGTCGTGTTAATTGGGACCTCGTAGTTTGTTTTTGAGAATGGTGCTTTTGGATTGGTCAGTTAGAACAAAAACAGTAAACTTGCGAGATCCAGTAAGCGGTGCAAATATAGGAATTGTATAAAAAACGTAGAAAATATAGGAAATATGGCGAAACTTAGTCCACAATTAGAAATTCAAAACAAAAACTAGAAATGATTCCATAATTATAAATGAAAAAATTTTCAATTAGAATTTTCAATTAAAAGTTTCGGTGAAAATTTTATTTAAAAATTTTCGATTAAATTTGATAAACATGAATTTATATGAAAATCATTCACTGCAGTTTAACTTTTCCCAAAAGGTTTTTTGATGAGATTCAAGGATGAAATTTTATCTCAATCTAGCCTGTGAAAGCTTTAAATCACAAAAAATGTGTTAATTTAGGTAGATTTGAATAAATTATTTAATATTTTAATGCTTTTGTAGCCTAATATTCTGCTTTGATTATTATTAAGCTATCAATGTTAAAGCAAATAATAATTTGATAAATAATAATAGGAAAACTAATTTTCTCTGAAAAATTTAAGACAGCTAATTGAACAGGTACTTGTTCTTTACTTGTATCATCCAGATATTGCTATTATTACTGTTTTTGTCGATATTGTTTTTGTTATTATTATCATCACAGCAGCAATAACACTATCAATGAACGACTAAAATTGGTACCCAATCGTATTAATAGCAGGCGACGACTGACCAAATCCACAGTGCTTGTATTAGTAAACTGGAAACGTAACACAAACACGCTTGAAACAACTCAGACTCCTCCATGAAAAGCTGAGCTGTATTTCATCATTGCTATTACCACCATTTCCCATTAAATCACCATTCGACGCTTGGAAAAAGTGAATCTTATTTAGTTCACCCGCTGTTTCCAATGGTGAGCGCAAAAAGCAAAATTACACAGCTACACAAATTTGCCCTGATCGATTCTCGTAAATGCTCGGAATTTTTGCAATTTCATCTTCTTTCACTTCCACTATGTTTTCTAATTTCAGATGCGCATGTAGGATGTGGACTGTGCAGAAGTATGCGTGCAATCTCACACCCAAAAGTATGGAATAAAAAAACCTGGAAAAGTTTGGGCGAAATGAGAAAGCAGTGGCAATTGAAAGGCTTTTTCCGTTGCCAGTTCTTTTCCCGCTGATAACAGTTGCTTCTCCAACAGCTGTTGGTTATGACCAACAATACGCAATCACACTCGTCCTTCAAGGAGATTATCTTTTGAGATTATCTTCTGAAGATCATACTCTTGCTGATCATTTGTAGTTTTATAATATTTAACACCTTTTAAATTACTTTTTGGTGGTTCATACATTACCAGAAAACCAGTTTTTAGCAATCTACTTTGCTTATCACTACCATTGAGTAGTTTTGTAAGACACCTTATTGTAAATCTTTTCTTTGTCCATTTTCCAATCTATCATGGCTCATTTCCATTTAATTCAACTATCCAAACATCTTATATTTCACCCACTTGTTCATCTGAATAACAACAGTTCGACAATTGGGTCCACAGCATATAGATCTTGTCTATTCAAACTTGAGTCTTTATCAGCATCCAGAATGTCCAAATAAGTCGCACTCAATAAATCCAAATATCCAGGCCATTGGCTCAGTTAAAAATAATCCCTAGTTAATCTCACCACCGATCTAGAATTTGGCAAGTTTAAACTTGCAACTTTTGAGAGGTTATATATTATGAAACAATTCATCGAATTTTGTCTTTTACATTATCTTGTCAAAGATAATTCAGTTACTTAATTCAATGATCGGATTTGTTTTGAATAAAGTAAGTAAAATGCTCTTCTCCACTGCCTACAGTTTCAAAATCTTCTTTCCAATCCAATCTCCAACCCAATGCCTATTGTAAAAAGTTTTCTTTACTATTTGAAAAGCATGATACACCAAAAACCACTCCAATAACAACACAACAGTAACTCAACAGCAATTCAAAAGCAATATCTAGCAATCAGCTATATACCCCTCCCCCAATACAACGCTCCATCCAGCAACATCAGGAACAAGAACAGCAATCAACCAGCATCCACAGCAAACATATGAACATCCAACATCCAGAATCAGCTTCCGGAGTCACATGCACACATACAACCTCCATTTCTGCAAAATAGGATAATCTTCTGGACTGCTTTGAATCTGACATCTTTATCACCTATCTATAGTTCTTTATTGATAGCCCACACTCTGTTTCTGTTTACTTACTATCTCATCATTGTTTATTCCAATTTATTTTGTTTTCTTTTGTCTATCATATTTTATTCTATCTAATATCGTATAACCCAGTCGTCACTACTATCGATCCAGTATCCACTTATATTATTTTCCCTATTATTTTTCTTATATTCTATTAATCTATTCAATCATTCTATTGTTCTATCTTAGCTTAATTCATACTAATAACATTTATAATTATCTACAATTTTTATAATAATAATAATAATAATAATAATAATAATAATAATAATAATAATAATAATAATAATAATAATAATAATAATAATAATAATAATAATGTCTGCTCCAAGATCATCAATAGCCTCTGATACTCCTCGTTTTGCTCAGTTCAAACTAGTATTATTAGGTGAATCCGCTGTTGGTAAATCCTCCATAGTTCATAGATTCGTTAAAGATCAGTTTGACGAATTCAGAGAATCAACTATAGGTGCAGCCTTTTTAACTCAAACCGTCTTATTACCAAATAATATAACCATCAAATTCGAGATTTGGGACACTGCAGGTCAAGAACGTTATAAATCTTTAGCACCAATGTATTATAGAAATGCAAATTGCGCAATTATAGTCTACGATATCACTCAAGAATCCTCCTTAGAAAAGGCAAAACAATGGGTAAAGGAACTACAACGACAGGCTAATCAAGATATAATCATTGCATTAGCAGGCAATAAATTGGATTTAGCGGAATCTGATCCTTCAACGAGAAAAATTAAAAAAGAAGATGCTTTCACTTATTCAAGAGAAGAAAATTTATTATTCTTTGAAGTCAGTGCAAAAACTGGTGAAGGTGTCAAAAATATCTTCCAAAGCATCGCCAAAAAATTGCCAATTGATGATTTCAAACCTGCTTCATCCAATGCTAATTTGAGAAATTCAAGACATAATCTAGGTGTCGATTTATCGAGATCCTCAATCAACCAATCTTCATGTAATTGTTAATTAATTAATTAAAAGTTATAAATTATAAGTTATAAATAAATAAACAAATAAATAATGCTTTTTTTTTTCTTTTTTTTTCTTCATTCTTTTGTTATTGTTTTTTTTTTGAATTATTTTGAATCATTTGAAGGGTTTTTATATATAATAGTTTATTTTATTTATCTTATTTTATCTTATTTTATCTTATCTTATCTTATTTTATTTTATTTTATTTTATTTTATTTTATTTTATTTTATTTTATTTTATTTTATCTTATTTTATCTTATTTTATCTTATTTTATCTTATTTTATCTTATTTTATCTTATTTTATCTTATCTTATTTTATTTTATTTTATTTTATTTTATTTTATTTTATTTTATTTATCTTATTTTATCTTATTTTATCTTATCTTATCTTATTTTATTTTATTTTATTTTATTTTATTTTATTTTATTTTATTTTATTTTATTTTATCTTATTTTATCTTATTTTATCTTATTTTATCTTATTTTATCTTATTTTATCTTATCTTATCTTATCTTATCTTATTATGTTACCAATTTTTCTTATTCTTTCTTAGTTAATCTATTCTTAGAGTGCTATTTTTTTTTTTTAGTTTCAATTGAATTAAATTTTTGGGTTTTACTATTAACTGTTCTTCTGTATTAAACTTTTAAAGATTATATTAAATTAAATTAAAGTAAAGTAGAAAAAAAAAAAAGAGGGAAAGTAAAGAAAACTATATAGAATAGATAGATTATAGTAAGTAACTAGATCAGTAGACTGATCAAAATAAAATAATAACAAATATAATTAAAATGTTTTAACATAAGAAAAACAAGCAGTTAAATAAAAAAGAACAATTAATGAATAAAAAAAAAAGGATAAAGGGCTAGAGAAGTAGACAGATAAAAATATTTTATATTTTAATTTTATTCAAGAAACCTTTTAATACAAAAAAAAAATTTCAATTGAAATTATTTTATTATTTTATTGTTTTATTGTTTTATTATGAAAATTTCATTGTCTTTTTGTTTATGAAATAGTACATCCACCACAGCATCCCAGATCAGAATCTTCGGTTCTTTGAGCATTGTTAGCATTATTATTATTGGTATTAGTATAGTTTGGGTTAGGTTGATTTTGGTTGAATGAGCCTAGAGTAACAGCAGCAGCAGTTTGAAAGACTTGTTGAACACCTGAATTAGTTAAGGCAGAACATTCAAGGTAAGCAACAGCACCCAATTGTCTTGCAACATTGGCACCTTGTTCAGAAGATACAAAGGATGATGGAGGTAAGTCGGATCCAGATTCTCTCACATCTTTTTTACAACCAACCAAAATTATTGGAACTTGAGAAACATGTTGTCTGATTTCTACAAACCAACGTTCTGACGCATTTCTTAGAGTATCATCAGAATCAATTGAGAAACATAGCAAGATGACATCAGAATCAGGATAAGCTAAGGGTCTTAAACGATCAAAATCTTCTTGACCAGCAGTATCCCATAAACTCAAATTAATTTCATAGGTTCTGTCATTTTGTTCAACTTGAATTATCTTTGAGCTTTCTTCAAAGACAGTAGGGATATATTCTTTGGGAAATTTGCCTTCAACAAAAGTGGTTAAAAGACAAGTTTTACCACAAAAACCATCTCCAACAATAACCAATTTCTTGTCAATTTGCATTTTGAACAGGTTAGATTAAGTAGGTGGATAAAAACAGATCAGTAAACAAGTAAACAAACAAATGATGAGTCAATAGGTGAATAGGAAATAATAGGGCAAAACAGCGAAGGAGGTAAGTAGGTGAGTATGAAAAATGGCCCAGCAAAATGAAAATGGCAGAAGAAAGAAAATAAAAATTCAACAAATGAGGTGTCTCCAGATAGTTTCCAGCAGAAGATGAACAATTACTTTAATATATATTGAAATACTTTCACAGACTTAAAGCGATAGTGTTTTGATGCTAACAAGACCTCAGCACCAGCTTCATTACCAACTTTTGATCACCTCAAGCCCTTTTTGGCGTACATTCTGCTGGATACTTTCAAGCCGGTCCGCTTGTGAGGGGCATAAGCTTGCTCAATTCATGTTGCAAAACAACATCCAAGCAAAAAGTTTTGCAATAACAGGTAATTGTACCCTAGCTCATTCTCGCGCATATATACTTATATATGCGCGCAGAGATGCATGTGAAATAGCATATAATTGCATATATGAAACTCGCGTGTAGAAACGCCATTCTGCAGTAGTGTATTCCACGATTATGGTAGCACCGTGCTGATGGTTATTCGGACTCCGGACGTTATTCTGCGCAGGGATGCAGCACCGGCGAATGGGACGGCGCCAAAATGCTCGCGCAATTCTATTGGCTCCGGGCGGTTGTGGAGCGCTTTTCGGCCGATGGTGGAGGCTCGTCTCTTGCTGACAATATATATATGGGCATTGGCTGGGTCTTCTTCGTGTGCTGTTTCTGCTGAGCGACGCTTCTGGATATAGCTTTTGTCCATATAATGCGACTGCTGGGCTGCTGTTCTATTGGTCATTTCTATTTCTTTGTCATCGGCTGTTGTTTTGTTTAATGGTGCTCTTATAGTGTCTACAAACTACTAATTTTAACCCAAAGATCGCAAACAAAAAAAACAGAAACAGAAATTGTTTTAATAGCCATGTTCAGGTCTTCCTTTCTTTCTTTCGGTTCTGCTGCTTCTCTTCCTGCTTCCCAGTTCACCTTGACTTCCAAGTCATGTTCGATCAAAGTTGTTCTTCGCCGCAACTCCTCCATCGCGGATCATATTTTACCCCAGAAAATCCTACCCTCTGATTCCGTAGCTGATTTTGTTGACAAACATGCTCCTTCTCTAACTAAGGATGCTTCAAAGAATCCACTATCTGAGTATGACAGGTTAGTCAAAATAGGCAGATTAAAAAATGATGAGTACCAGCGAGAGATTATATCAAATTTATCCAGTTTGCATTCTTCTTTAATCAACTACACTCCACCAAAGATCAATATTCCTGATATATCTGTCAGAAATAGTAAATTCAATTTTAAACTAAAAAATCCCTTTAGTTTTTTACTAAAAAATAAAAATTCAGATAACCAAAATGTTACCTCTCAAGATCAGTCAAATATTCCCCCAGGTATTTATCTTTATGGTGACGTAGGATGTGGAAAAACAATGTTAATGGACTTATTTTATTCTACGATTCCAATCCATTTATCCAAAAAGAGAATTCATTTCCATCAGTTTATGCAAAATTTACACAAAAGATCCCACCAAATAATAAAGAAACATGGTTCCAATGATTTTGATACCATTCCAATACTATCTGCCGAAATAGCTCAATCTGCTACTGTCTTATGTTTTGATGAATTTCAGGTCACTGACGTAGCTGATGCAATGTTATTAAGAAGAGTCCTACTAAGAACTCTTCGTCCTGACCATGGTCTCATTCTTTTTGCCACTTCAAACAGAGCTCCCGATGATTTATATATCAATGGAATCCAAAGACAATCTTTTATCCCCTGCATCAAATTAATCAAAAACAGAACTTCTGTCATATATTTGAACTCTCCAACTGATTACAGAAAGATTCCAAGACCGGTATCAAACGTCTATTGGTATCCCAAACCGGGTGTTTCTTACGAATCTTCAGCTGCTAAGGGTCAAGCTCAAAAACATGTCGATGAATGGTATGACTATTTCACTCAGGGCCATCCTCCAGAACATAACGTTGAATTAACTATTTGGGGTAGAAAATTAATTGTTCCAAAATCAAGTCCTCCAAATGTTGCTCAATTCACTTTTGAAGAATTATGTGCTAGACCCTTATCTGCAGGTGATTATCTAACTTTAGCTCAAAATTTCACTTCCTTTATCATCACTGATATTCCATATTTATCCATTGATGTAAGAGATAAAGTTAGAAGATTCATTACTTTCTTAGACGCAGTGTATGATAACAATGGAAGAATAGCTGTTACTGCTGTTGCTCCTTTTGATGACTTATTCGTTGAACCCGAATTGGTCGATTCTTACGGTTTTAAATTGAAAAAATCGGAAATTGAAGCCAAAGAAGAAACTTTAGATGAAGATTTAGATAACGATATATTAGTTAAAAAACACGGTTTTGATAAAAAAATTGCTAAAAAAGCTGCTTTTTTTGCTGTCGATGAAGAAAGATTTGCTTTTGCAAGAGCTTTAAGTCGTTTACATCAAATGAGTACAACTGACTGGGTTGAAAAAGAAAGAGTTCACTAACTATCATAATAAATCATTTTTCAATTCGGTTTCAATTCAAATTTTATCTTAAAATAATGTATCTCAAATAAAGATATCCTAATTTAATTCAATTTAATTTAAATTATAAATTTATTACCCAATATTTAACACTAATCTTTAATACTTTAATACTTTATTCTTTATTCTTTATTCTTTATTCTTTATTTATTTTTATGATTTTATGTTTTTTTTTGGTTAACTTATCTTTGTTTATGCTGATTATATGATTATTTTATTTTATTTTATTTTATTTTTTGACTTTTTAATTTTTTTATGAATCTTCTATAGACCAAGAAATTCACTTGACAATAATAATAATAAAGATATCAATATTCATATTATATATTATATATTATATATTCTAATACAAAACCATATACATTTACACATTGAAAAATAAAATAAAATTAGTCGCTAGAAGCATTTTCTTCTTCTCTCCCTTCGTCACCACTATCATCTTCATCTTCATTCAATGGATTTTCAAAAAAATTCTGATAATCAACCAATGAGTTATTTGATAATCCTAACTTAACCCCTATAGCTCTCTTCATTTTTATCATTTCTTTGAATGTATTTTCATCCCCATAATTTAGTTCAAATTCTCTCCATTCTTTCCAGTATTTTTCATAAATTTTCCCATTTTCTTGTAGTGGGGAAGGTTTTAATAATAATTCGCAGCCATATTTTAATAATTCTCGACCTCTAACAACTTCCCCTAATTTAACTTCAAAATTCTTAAAGCTTAATACAAATTTTATAATATAATTATTTGGCAAATCCTCATGAGAAATAATGTTTTCATATATTATTCGTGCTTCATTGAAATTTTTAAATTCAATTGTCTTTTGAATTAAAATCTCATAGAAATTAAAAATATCTTTATAAATTTTTTCCTTAATCTCCAATGAATTATTTATTGAAATCTGACTATCCAACCACTCATGTAACTGCTTAATTCCTTCCCCATATATTTTTAAAGACCTAGATGATAACCCATTTTGTTGTTCAAAATCTGCATATAATAAATAAATAGGCTTGACCAAATCGCCAGAACATTCATTAATAGCTTGTTCAAATAAATCTCTAATTCTCTCAATTGAAATAAAATTCTCCATTTTTTTCTGTTTCATTTGCTTGAATCTTAAAAGAATCTTTCCTAAATAAATATTATAAATCTCAAATTTTATTGGAAAATAGTTAAATTTATCCAACCCAATCTCAAAAATTTTAAAGCTTTTTTCAAAATTTTGATTATCCCATAAAAAATTAATATAATTGATTAATATAACTGGAGTTAATATCTTAAGATTCATTATTTCTTCATAAACTTTGCAAGTCTCTTGAAAATCATTGGATGATTCAATTAAATCCAAATAAAATGACCATAATTTAACTGATTTATGGATCTTGTAAGCAGCTGGAATTTTATCATCAAAAAATCGTATCTGATCTTCAACCTTTCCTATGTTTTTAAAAGTGGGTTTTACTAAACTACTTTTGATAATATTGATTGCATTTTCAAAACATTTATCAACCTCTTCTTCGGTACTTGCGTCAATTGTTAATTCCATATCTGCCCAAGCTAAGTATATTTCAACTAAATCATTTGAATTCATAAAAGGAACTTTTGTTGCAGTACTAAATATTGATCTTGCTGTGAAATAATCCTTATTTGATTGATAAACTTTTGAATAATCAATCCATATTTGTTCTAAACCTGTTGTTTGCTTAAATTTTGCGTTTTCAATTTCCTCAATTTTTTCAAAATTATTTAAGTCATCATTTGTATTTTCATTATCTAAATCATCATTATTTGTATTTGAATCGTTATTTTCATTGTCATCATCATAATTTTCATTTTTATGAGCTAATTTAGGATCAATCTTTGTTATTGCTTCTACATAGATATTTAATAAATCATTTAAATTTTTATTGTTTTTTTCCTTTTTCTTGTAAAAATTAATCTTTTTCAACCAAATGGTACAATTATTGATATCCTGTTTTAATAGAATATCATAAATAAATAGATTTCTATTTTCTAATAATTTTTCAAATTGATCCATATTTAAATCGATTTGAATATTGATATCGTCAATTTGTCTTTGTAAATCATTTCTAGCTGTTAGATTAAAGCTATGCTTTTTTAAAAGTTTTTCTTTAGAATTTAAGGATTTGATTTGATTTTTAATTATATTTTCTTTAAACTCAAGAAAACTTTCATAAATTAGTTTAAAATCTTTAATTGTTAGACAGATTTTTAAATTTTCAACAAATATATTATTAACTTTTATAAAATTTTTTCTAATCAAAAAATAATTTGATAATTTTATTATTATAAACCCCAATCGATTTTTATATTTTCTTATCAAGTTATTTAAAAATACTTCAATTAATAAATCAAATTTAACTAATTCATTTGAATGATTTTGATTTTGATTGTGATTATTTTGGTCACCATCATTTATCAATTCTTTGACATAATTAGTCAAAATATCAGCATATTGTAGATAAAGATCTAATTGAGATTTTCCAAGCGCCGATACAAAATTTGAATTGTTTATTATATATTTGTCAAAAATTTTTAAAGAATTTTTATAATCATTTAGATCTAGTAATTTCTGTAAGATTATTTCCAATTTATCAGGATAATACTGCAAGTACCTTAGATAAATTCTTGAAGATAATGATTTAATATTTTCACGATCAACAGGATTTATTGAGTTTATCTTGTTTCTATAGCTTTGTTGAGTTTGATTAGGGACATCATCATCCATATCATTTTCCAATTGGTTGTTGTCTGTCCCAGTTAATTCAGTGTTTTGATTGTTAGATTTATTTGGAATTGCAAAGGCATTGAGCAATTTTTCATCGAATTCAAGATAAAGATTCCATATCAAATCATGTTGAGTCAAGGGCAAAGATTGAAAGGCTTGATTAAAAGTTTTTCTTATTAGAGATAGATTGTAAAATTGATAAGTTATTAAGAAATTTAAATAATTAAACCAAATGTAGGGGAATTTGTTTAAATTTAGTAAAGCCAAATTAAAAATTTTATTAATTTTTGTGAAATTGCTTTTAAATTTCAAAGGATTTAAATTTTTAACTAAAGATATTCTTAGATTTAAATAGATATTCCATAGTTTATAGGATCTCTTTAAATGATTGCAGGCTCTTTTTAGTATGTAAATTTGATGATTGATCAATTTCTTTTTTTCAATATTGTTATCTTTTTGATTCAGTTGATCTAGTTCATCTAATTGATTTTTCTTGAAATTATAATAATTTAGCCAGTTATTCAATTCATAGGGGTCTTTTATTAATTCTAATTCGTAGGAAATGTCGTTATCAGATAAAAAGTCCAAGTTATAAGAGGTGGCTACTGCTGGTAAAGTATCGTTATCCATATTAAGAAGAAATAAAAGTATATAGTTTAAAGAGAGATTGAAAGTGAAGTGAGAAATAATTTAGGTTAGATTTAACTGAAATAATTTTCGTCCAATCACATGAGAGTAAGAATTTTAGTGTATATTTTTTTTTGTTTTTAGAAATGACATAAATATCTAAGAATGCTATATATGATATAAATACTTAAAAATCAAGAGTGATAATTTTAATTTGAGATAGATGAATCTTTTTTTTTTTTGTTATTGTTTTAAAAAGACTCAGTGAGAGCTAATTCATATGCAAAGGCAGTTGTTAATTTAACAAATTCAGCCATATGATCGAAATCTAATCTATCGACAGTGTCTTTTGTTGAATGAATATATGGGTTTGAGTACTCGAATTCACTCTCAATGACAAAAGCACTTGGATAGCCAAAATGTGTAGCACTACCATGGTCTGAGCAAGCATAACCACATTTAGTTTCGGTATATGGAATTGAGCAAAATTGATTGATTACCAATTTAACAAATTGATTTAGATTATCATTAGTATAATCTGTGATTAAACCCATTGATTCTATTTTATTATTTGATAGTGTTTTTTCAGTATAACCAGTCATATCCTGTTGTAACATTGCTACGACTTTTAAGTTTTTTGATTTATATGAATTGAAAATATCAGCTGAACCTAATAGACCACCTTCTTCTGCAGAGTAAAAGTGGAATTGGAGAGTATTGATTGGGGATAAATCGGATAAGATTATTAATCTCAATACTTCAAGACAAGTTATAGTACCACTTCCATCATCATCAGCACCTGGGGCACCTAAAAAGGATGGAAATAGAAGGTTTGTTGAGTCTTGATGAGAACCAATGATTATAATGGTTTCCTTGTCTTTGTTCTTATGATTGTGGTATATACCAGGGATAGTGACAATAGTTGAGTATTGTGGCCATGAATGATGGAATTCATTCACAAAGGCATTTTTGGATGTGTTTAAATTGAGTATATCAACAATCTGATCCTTTAACCAGTTGGCACTTTTTAAACCGTTATCGCTTTTATAGTATCTTGTATAAAATGAGGAGAACTTAACCAAATTGTTATACAAATTATTTTTGTTAACTTCTTTTAAAACAACGTCGATTTCAGATTTATAGGCTATACTTTTTGGATATTGATAGTCTGGAACATCAAAAGAAGCAAATCTTGGTCTGCCTATACCTTTATCATTGGCACTGTCACTATTGGAGACAAAAAACGAGCTGTAGGCTTCAGAGTCAGACAATTCTGTTATATCGAAAAAGTTGATGTTTTTTCTCTTGAAATTCAATTTCTCTCTTTCTGTGACAACGATTGGGTCTTCGAACTCAGAGAGTTTGATCACTCGTAGCTCGTTATCATTTTCTGAGGCAAAAAGACTGGCGATGGAGTTGTCGAGGAGAGAGTTATAATAAAGAGGAAACGAGTGGATGGAGACCAAAAAGAAACCAAAGCAAGCGATAAGCAAACTACCGCCTATTCTAGAATGCATTGTCTTCCTGGTTGTGAGAAGCAGAAGCAGCAGAAATAACAGAAACAGAAGAAGCAGAAGAAACAGAAGAAACAGAAGAAGAGACCCACCAGTCACAAAATGGCCTCTTCCGCTTTGGGTTACCCGCCCACTACACCGGTTTTTTTCACAGCACAAAACCGGCGAGAGGAATTTGGTGCCACTGGGGACGTTTTCTCTACACCAGACGAAGCTCACCAACACCAACAACACCAGAATGGCTGCTCCAGAGGCTGATATTGATGCTACAAAGCTCTTGTCCAATCTTTCGCTTGCCGCAGACGCCAAAACAACCGATTCTGCTCTTGGTTCAGCACCAAAACCCACCCCTGCTGCTGAAGAACCACCAAAGGATGCCCCAGTGGAATCCCAGCTAATAACCTCTTCCTACGAGGTCAAAGTCAAGCTATCTGATATCCAAGCTGACCCCAATTCTCCCTTGTTTTCTGTCAAATCCTTTGAAGAATTAGGATTGTCGCCTGAATTGTTAAAGGGTTTATATGCCATGAAATTTTCAAAACCATCAAAGATCCAAGAGAAAGCCTTGCCTTTATTGATCAATGATCCTCCAAAGAACTTCATTGGCCAATCCCAGTCTGGTACTGGTAAAACTGCTGCTTTTTCTTTAAACATGTTATCCAGAGTTGATCCCAGTTTAAACAAAGTCCAGTGTGTTTGTCTTTCACCTGCAAGAGAATTGTCTAGACAAACGTTGGAAGTTATTCAAACCATGGGCAGATTTACAAAGATCACAACTAAATTGGTTGTTCCAAATTCCTACGAAAGAAACACTCAAATTAATGCACACATTTTAGTCGGTACCCCAGGTACTTTATTAGATTGTATCCGAAGAAAACATATCGATTTATCTGCTTTAAAAGTCTTTGTTTTAGACGAGGCCGATAATATGCTAGATTTGTCAGGACTAGGTGATCAATGTAAAAGAATCAAAAAACTTTTACCTGTCAATACTCAATTGGTTCTATTTAGTGCCACTTTTCCTGATAAAGTCCGAAAATTTGCTGAAAAATTTGTTCCAAATGCAAACTCTTTAGAATTAAAACATGAAGAATTAAATGTTGATGCAATCAAACAGTTATATATGGATTGCGATGATGATCAAAATAAATATGAAGTATTATCCAATCTATATGGAATATTAACAATTGGTTCTTCAATTATTTTTGTTCAAACAAAGGATACTGCAAATAAATTATATTTTTCAATGAAAAAGGATAACCATTCAATCTCATTATTACATGGAGATTTAGATCATGCCGAAAGAGATAGACTAATTGATGATTTCAGAGAAGGCAGATCAAAAGTCTTGATTACAACTAATGTTTTAAGTAGAGGTATTGATATACCTTCGGTTTCAATGGTTGTCAATTATGATTTACCTGTTGATAGAAACGGTTTAGCTGATCCCTCAACTTATTTACATAGAATTGGTAGAACTGGTAGATTTGGTAGAGTCGGTGTAAGTATAAGTTTAATCAGCGATAGACAATCTTATAAAGTTTTAAATGATATTAGAAAATATTTTGGAAATATTGAAATGACAAGAGTTCCAACTGACGATTGGGAAGAAGTTGAAAGAATTGTCAATGCAGTTCTTAAAAGTTAATAAAATATTAAAATATTAAAATATTAAAATAAAATGTGTTATATCTAATAATCTCTCATTTCTCATTTCTCATTTCTTATTTCTCATTTCTCATATCCTATTTCTAGTTTATATTTTTTTATTTAGTTAATAATTAATACTATTTCAAAAAAAAATATAAAAACATAAAATGAAATGGGATGAAATATACTACTTTATTAGTATACTGATGCTTTCAATATTTGTTTATAAAAGAATATTTATTATTATTAAATGTTTATGGTTATAGTTATGGTTATAGTTGTTGTTTATTTTATTTTCATGTTCATTAGCATTGAATATTTATTGTAGGTTTATATAATTTATTGATTATAATTAATTTTATAATTAAATTTCATAGTCAATTTAGGATATAATCAAAATAAAATTAAAGTTAAATTGAATCTTGGAGAACTTTGTTTAATTTAGCAATTTTGGAGGAAATAGATAAATCAACAGTTCTGTCTCCAACTTCAACAACTAAACCACCTAAAATATCTGGGTTGGTTTTATTGACTAATTTAAGAGTTTTACCTTCACCAACAAATGAGGATTTTGAAATTGCAGCTTCAATTCTTCTCAAGTATGCACGTTCTAAAGGTTGAACACTTGTAACAGTGGCTTCAATTAATCCATTGTGAGCATCGTTTAAAATTTGGAATTGAGAGTAAATAGAAGAAAATAAATCTAATCTGTTGTTTTCACTCAAAACTTTCAATAAATTGGAGACAGTTGTGTCTAAATTGGATGTCTTTTCAATGATAGTGTCAATAACAATAGTACGATCATTTGCTGATAAAGCTGGGTTGCTTAAAATAACACCAACTTTTTTATCAGTTTCAATCAATTTGAAGATTTTGCTCAATGATTGATAGGCTTTGTCAATTGTAGATTCCTTTGAAGCAGCTGAATATAAAGCTGTAGCATAAGTACCATCCAAACCAAATAATTGGACTGGTGGTTTGCTAGCAAAAACTCTTGTGTAGTGGAATGAACGAGTAAAGATTCTTGAAGCCATTATGTCACCCAGAAAAACTACTTTGTCAGAACAGTTAAAGAAAAAAAACTACCAACTCTTCAGTATCTGATCAAAAAACCAATATATTTAGCATCTCTGAAATTAACGCTATTGGTAAAAACTGGAAGGGTGAGAAAAGCAGAGAAGCACGTGGTTTCCAGCCAATCACAGCGTAGAAGTTCTGTCTGGAGCAGAAAAGCTGGGTGCAGGATGGGTTCCTGTTTAGAGAAGACATGTGACCGGCCGATTTTTCAGACAGAAATTTTGAATTGAGAAGGAAATCGAGCTGATGGAGAGGTATTGTTGGTCGATTGACAAGAGAAAATGTTAGCTTTGAACAGACTAGCTGGTGTTGGGCCCAATTTTTTGGGCTTAGGAAGTACACCTGCTGTCTCGTGTGCTGTAAAGAGTGCCTATTTGGCTAGATCTTATGCCACTTATGGGAATAACAATAAGAACAACAAGGGCAGCAGGAACATCAAGAGCAACAACAAAAGCAATAAAAGCAGTAAAAACGCGGAAAATAAATACAATACCAGAAACAAAGAAGAACTGAAAAATGTTGTAAATAATGTCAGAGAAAATAAGCCTAAAGTTTCTTTGACCATTGAGGAGCAGTTGAAAAACATCAATTTCAATTCATTGGAAATAATAACCGAAAACACACATTTAACTGAGTTGGAAAATCTAGATAATTTGAATGAAAAGAGAAAATTACTAAGTAAAGAGCATGTCAGAATTAAGAAGCATAAACCAACAAATCCCGGTATTAGATGGTTTCGAAGACCTATTCATGAACATTTGCACAAGGGAAAGCCAATCAGACACTTGACCATTCCCAAAAAGCAATGGGGTGGTAGAAATAATTCTGGACAAATTACCGTTAGACATCGTGGTGGTGGTCACAGAAGAAGAATCAGAATTATAGATTATAATAGATGGGAATCTGGAAAACAGACCGTAGTTCGTATTGAATATGATCCCAACAGATCTGCCCATATCGCTTTATTGAAACACAACAAGACCGAAGAACTATCTTATATCATAGCTGGCGAAGGTCTCAGAGCTGGAGATACTGTGGAAAGTTTTAGAAAGGGTTTTGATAAGGATGTTGATGCCTCCTTATTAGCCTCTACAATTTGTGCAAAGGGAAATTGTTTAAAATTGTCAATGATTCCTGTGGGAACAATTATAAATAATATCGGAATACTTGAGAATGGACCTGCCAGATTTTGCAGAGGTGCCGGAACATTTGGTAGATTGATGCAAAAGATTCCTGAAAAGAATAGAGCTATTGTCAAACTTAAAAGTGGTGAGCTTCGTTATGTTTCATTGGAGGCCATTGCAACTATTGGCGTTGTTTCTAACGCTTCCCATCAACTAGAAATGTGGGGTAAAGCTGGTAGAGCAAGAAGAAGAGGTATCAGACCAACTGTTAGAGGTGTTGCTATGAACAAAAGAGATCATCCTCATGGTGGTGGTAGAGGTAAATCTAAATCCAATAAACTATCAATGTCTCCATGGGGTCAATTGGCAAAGGGTTATAAGACCAGGAGAGGTAAACACGTAAATAAGATGAAGGTCAAGGATAGACCAAGAGGCAATCAGCAATTGAGGGCATGATTTAAACATCTGTTGTATATTTGTTCAAACATAAAGATATATCTTTTGTATATATTCCATCCAATTAATTCGTTTAATTAATCTGTTCAGCAACTTGGTAATCGGAGATTACTGCCTAATTTGTGACCATATCTCCTGTAATCCTGCTATAACGAGGAAAACTCATGTGATATTACATACAGTGACAAGTTTTTCACTGTATGTATTTTGTAGATTTCCCGCAGGAGCAAGGTTTCTGGTTTCCGATTTAGATATGATAATAACCAAATTTTATTTAAGAAAAAGCGAATGAAAACGAGTTGAAAAAATTTCTAAAGGGGCATTATTGACATTGATTGACTCACATCATTGTTGCTATTCAGCTTGATTTGAGTGTTATTTGGTACGCTATATCACTGAAGTGGACTATAACATTATTTCAAAATGAGTTCAGACTCTACTTCCTCAGAAAGTGATTGCATTGATATCACTGCCGAATTTCTTCAAGCGGCTAAGAGTACGAATGTTCTTTTTTACTTCAATTCAATTTGTTGACCAACTTGATATATGTTTTTCAATTAAACTAACTTGTTTTTTTTTGGTTTTTTATTGCTTGTTAAAGACATCCCCAATGGCCAGGTTGTTAAAAGTGATTTATTTTCATTGCTTGAAGGAACGAGAGGATTGGAAATTTTGAATTTAAAACTTGACACAACATTAATCAAGTTATCTAAAGAGGAAGAAAATTTTAATACTGAGTTACCTTTAAATTTAGACTATACTTTATCAATTTGTGATAAGTTGTTAAGACACGTATTTCTTTGGCTAAATAATAGTACATTAACTTCGACGGTCTTATCCTGTCGTTATATGGAAAATTTATTGGTTAATTATTCTAAAAATGTTTTATTTGGTATAAATGTTTGTAATTTTTTTGATCCCGCAGATGATGAGATCAACATTATTATTGAAAAACAGCAAAACATTTCCCAAATTGCGAGAAAATTGAAGGATTATAATTTTCAATTAAAAAATAGAGAAAATAGAGAAAATAGTGAAAGTGAATTAATGAAAGAAATGAATGAGAATCAAAATTTAGTTTTGGTGCATAAAATTTTAAGATCATTTTTTTTAGGGATTTGTCATTTTATTTTATTTTCTTTAACATTATCCCATACCGGGTTATTATTGGAAGAAGAAGATATTAATACGCAATCAATGGATTTAACATTTTTGGATTATGTTGATTTAAAATTAATTTTGAAGGAAATTTCAAGTTCAATTGATTGGTTAGAAAATGAATTTAATTATGAGATGTCATCCGAAATTGATAAGATTGAAAATGTTGAATTGAAAGTGAAATTATTAAAGAATTTTTTAGTAATATGTAATGATTTATTGAAATTTAAACCATTATCATTAGCTAAATTTTCTGTTAAATTTGATGATTTCAATGAGAATATTGGTAATGATAATGATAATGATAATGATAATGATAATGATAATGATAATGATAATGATAATGATAATGATAATGATAATGATAATGATAATGATAATG